GTATCCGGCGCGGAGGTCCATCTTCATGAACACCTTGGCGTGCTTCAACTTGTCCAGGAGGTCTGATATAAGCGGGAGCGGGTATCGATCCTTGACCATGTTCTCGTTGAGTAGCCGGTAGTCTTGACAGGGACGTAGTGAACTGTCCTTTTTACCAACAAAGAAGAATGGACTCGCCAACGGGGATTTCGAAGGGCGAATGTACCCTTTACTCAGGTTCTCCTCGAGGAACTTGTCGAGTTCCTTTCGTTGCTGCGGGTTGAGCGGATAGACCTGTTGCTTCATGTCTGCGAAGCCCTCCTTGAGGTTGATTTCATGGTCATATTCGGTGTGGTCTGGAAGTCGCGCAGCAGTGGTTTTGTCGAAGACGGGGAGGAGATCGTGTAGGTAGGATGGTACCATCTGTGGTAGCGTTTTTTCTGTCTTGCCTTGGGCGTTCGAGGCTGCAAGTTCGGTGGAAGTGGTGACGCGCCTAATGTCGTGGTGGATCTTCCAGATCATGCCATTGTGAAGTCGTTTGTAGCCAGATGAAAGTTCAGGGAGTCGTTCCTTGAGCAGAACATCCCTTACTGCTAGGAATTCCTGTTTCTCGTACTTGGTGATCATTGGTGTTCCTGATAAGTAGGAAATGATGAACTCATTGTCGTCGATGTCCTCTGCTTGTTCTTTGATGGACGCAATACCCGTTGACCCAAACCCATCCTCCCCATGTTCCGTTTTGTCAATGCAGTCAGTTAGTGTTACTGATGGGGTGCTTATCCTTTCAAGGATGAGCTGGGCAACTCGGTCGCCGGCTTTGACGGTGAATGGGAGGTCAGAGTTATTGACCAGCAGGACTGAGACCTTGCCTTGGTAATCAGAGTCAATTACTCCTGCCACGACATTGATTTCCTTTAGTGCTAGACCGGACCGAGGTGCAATTCTTCCGTAGTGTCCTTCAGGGATAGCCATGATAAGATCGGTGCCAACCAGGCCTCGTCGTCGGGCAGGGATGATAAGTTGATGCACAGCAGAGATGTCATATCCTGCTGCGCCGCTAGTTTTCTGTTCAGGAAGGGTTGCGTGCTCTGAGGTGGGGATGACGACAAATTCGTCCTCCGTTGGTTCTGGGAGTGGAGTAGTTATGGCCTTTTTTAGTTCTAGCCGGGCTACTCGCCTTTGATACAGGTCCATCTTCCAGGCCCTGGTCTGGTCTCTTGTCCACCAGTGGTTCAGCTCCACTCGTCCGGTCTTCCAGTCTATCTTGGGGTTTTCGAGTTTGAGCCAAGTGTGGCCGAAGATGATGTCTTCCTTGCCAATGCTGGCGACGTAGGCTTTGACAAATCGGGGTTCTCCGCTTATCTTGTAAGATAAGAGAGCTCTTCACGTGATGAGTGCTTCTTTGTTCGGGGTTCCATCCACGTTGAAGATGGGGATGGGTCGGGGAAGGGGTTTTGTCCGAAGTCGATGTTCTCGGACAAATCTCGGGCTGATGAAGATTCCTGTTGCACCGCTATCGATAAAAGTGCGCGCGTCGACGTCTTTTCGTCCCACGGTAATCGGAATGTGCAGAGCACATTCATTTCGGACGACTAAAATTACACGGGACAGTGAAACGGATACGGGCAGTGGTTGTGTCGGCTCACCCTGCCCCTTCAAAAATCCTCCATCGTAAGTTCTTCGTACAGCTCCCGCTTCTCGTCAGTGGAGAGTGTCTTGATTCTGGCGTGGAAGTCGTCCTTCCCAGATCCTCCCTGGTTCGGCCTCCCACCCCCTTGTCGTGCAGCCGCTTTCTTGCGGCAATCCTTGGCGCTGTGACCCTTGATGTGGCAGTAGAAGCACAGGTTCCCGTCCCTGTGGAGCTTTCGATCGGCCTCGTTGAGAACGGCTCCTAGTTCTCATTTCCTTCCTCCCGATGTGGAGGCGAAGGTTGATGCGACAGCAGTGGCGTCGATATCCATTGGTTCGCCATAGTCCCTGGTGTCTGTGACGACGAGAGCCCCCTGCTTGGCTGCATCGGTGTTTCGTACTTCGTCGTACCAGGCCTTCATGGTGTTAGGTCGATCCCTAGCGACCCTTGTTGCGAGCGCAAAATACAGCTCCTTCGGGAGTCCTTTGACAAAGTTGGCGTGGAAAGTGTGGTAGTCGTTCTCGACGCGGTTGGTGCCATTGACCTCAGCGTCCTTGAGCTGAGCCTTTGATGCCAGCTGCTCGAAGCGGGTGACGTAGTTACCGAGGGAGAGTGCCGTCTTCCTATCCCTTTGTCGTTCAGGCAGTTTCATCAGGATTTCATGTGCCTTGATTCGCGTTCCGTGCTCAGGGAACGCCTCTTCTAGGGCAGCAACGAAATTTGCCCACGTGGAATAGACCTGGACTCCCCCTGCCGACTTCTCGTAATATGCGTCCGCCCATGTCTTCCCCAGATCCTTCCTCATCAGTGCTACAGTGAAGGCGATCTTTGCTTCATCGCTGAGTCGGGTGTTGTTGGTGGCGACGAAGTAGGAGAGGACACATTGGATGAAGCGTCTGAGGTCCTCTGTCTTCCCGCTGAAGGGTTCAGGAGCGGGGATGTCGAGACGGAGGGGTCGGTTGGCAGTTGACTGTTGGGATTGGTATGCTGCGAGGGCGACAGCGATGCGCTGATTGATGTCTTCTTGGGTGAACGATGCCATAGGGATTTCAACCGGTGCATTGGTTGGTGCGGGTGGAGCTGGTGGTAGTTCAATGTCTGGGATCTCGATGGGGACATACTGAACTTCAGGAAGTTCGAGTGGTTGTTCGTTGATGGGTGACTGTGCGCTTTCTGCTGTTTGTATAGGTTCAACGTCGATTCGTAGGATGATGAATATGTCTTCTGGGTGAGCGGGTGGGTGTCTCTGGTAGTAGCTAACGAGTTCTTGATGGGTGACGACCTGCGGGTTTGGACCAGTTGCACGACACCAGGTGCCGCCTCGAGGGTAGATGGGAGCCCTTTTTGTGGAGGTGATGAAGCAGCGATCTGCTCGGTCGTATTGGAGGAGCGGTGATCCTGCGAGGGCTGGTAGTCCCAAAGGAACCGGGTTGACTGCATTGTTCGACGTAATGGTGGATGAGATGTTCGACTAGGTAAAACTAGGAACATAGCTTAGAAAGTTCGACCTTTTGATACAATGGTCTATACTCCTATATCGATGCCTGACTCGTAGATGACGAGCGAGGACTTATGGACAGTACGTCGTCCCAAAGATCGAGCGAGGAAGTCAAGAATGACCACTACCCCAAGCAAAGAGGAGCAGAGACTTGAATGGATAACTAGGTTGAACTTAGGGTTCGACCAACTAATGGTACAACTAGTTATACAAGTACCGGCTACGCACGGACCACTGTATCTGTGTGGTCATGTTAGTAAAGAAAGAAATGTAGTGGTACAATACCAGGCACGAAGTGCGCACGGACCCCATTATGTAAGCTACATAATGTTCAACCTGCGGGTGAGCGCTAAGACAGGCGCCAGTATGGGTGCTAGTAGTACAAGAAATAGAACAGAAAGATAAATGTTTCACCAGGACAATGTGGAAGATGTAAAAGGCAACCTTCAATCCATCGCTGTTGAGTGATCCCAGTGTGGTCAACTCCAACATGTGCATCTGAAAGCACATCACAAAGAGCCAGTAGGTTGCAGGGATTGACTGCAGGGATCATGAATGAGCATCATTGTTGGGCGGACAGTACAGGTAATGCAAGTGCAGGATGTACCAGCAGAGTGGCATTGAAGCAGAGAAAGAGCACAAGCATATGGGGAATGCAGGAATAGTGCAGCGCAGGAGGCACAGCATGGTTCCTGACCCCAAGTACCTGTTCTGCCAGATGATAAACACAAACATGAGCCACCCCCCCCAGACATCTCCATAGCCATCGTGCACCCACCACAACATCTGCACGAATTGCACCTTGGTGGGGTCTGTGATTGCCTGGGAGTATAACGAGCCAGGAAAAAATTAGAAAATGGCTAGACACTGTGTCAACTCATGACAATACAGCTGTTTCCTAAATATACAAAATTCATCAGTGTTGTCTTCATTGTGACAGGCTAATGGCTGCATGTCAATGTTATGATATAAACAGGATATAAGGGAGTTTACTTACCTTTAGGAATCGCAAGAAATGTGATCAGCAGCATGCTATCAATATGCACGCAATGCACCACATTGTGGAGATTACCGAGAAACATGTACAGAGGGTGAAAATCATTCTGGCCCATTGCCACAGACACTGTGGTTTTGTCTGCACCAAGGATGATGAGACACAGCATGAATCCATGTGTCGCATAATCTTGGGCAATTTCTGACTGTTTTACATGGTTAGCACCTTTTGAAGGTTGTTTTGGTAAAATTACATACTGCTTTTTGGTACACCCACTGACCAGACATTAGATTAGAGTAGCATGATGTCTGCTGTATGACATATTCCTAAAAAGGAATGAAATCAATCTTGTTGTTGAAGTCCAAATTCTTCAGCATATTGTGAGTGACCGTGCATGTGTTGTGGCAATAGACCTTGTATTTGGCATGCTTCCAGGAGGGAGAGTTGGGCTCTAATGGTCTAGTGTAACGTACACTAAATACCTTCCATGGCACATCTCCATACTAGATGCCATTGATAGTTGCATACATTTGTTCTGTACTGTTGATGTCACAAGTTGCTATGTCACATGGACTATTTTCTTTTTCTTTTTTCTTTTTTCCTTTTCCTGGGTTTGAACCAGCAACCTTGCTGTGCAGGGTAGTGCTTGACATGGACAGGTCATGCTGTCTCAATTGATAAGATTAGATGGCTGTGTGGCATAGCCCAGCATAGCATGAGCACTGCTTATGCAGCCTCTCTGACTCACTGGATCGCTACCTTAGCGGCTGTGACATAGCAACACTGCACACAGACCAGCTGCACACAGACCAGTGCACACAGCCTCCCCTAAACTTCCCCTGTATATAAGCCTGCCTCTGCTACCCTAGGGACCTTAGGTTTGACCTCTTGTCCCTAGGTCAGTAAGCCCCTGTATTTACTTACCTTTCAAATACTAACTTACTTGTCCCTAGCCTTAGGTTTGAGCATTGCTCACCATCACTTCGGTCAACCCAGTTGAACACCCCCAGCCTTTAGGTTTGTTCATTCCTTGTCACTTGACCCTAAGTCACAACAGGTGGTGCCTCCTTCTACCTGTCCCAGAAGGTCGACACCAAGGTGGTACAGCTTGCAGGACAATGGTGTTTCCTTGCATATGAGGAGTACATTCATGCTTTCAAGCAGATCACATTGCACCACCTCATGAACCTGGGCGCAGCCTATAGGTACTAACTGATTGTGGCAGCTCTGGTTGGGTTGTGCAGCACAGCCTTGCCACAGTTTCCCACCTGCTTCCTGGGTAAGTAGCTTGTCTGCTCCACATTCAATCCCAGCTAATGCCAGGATTTCCCCCAAACCCTCAGCTCACACCACATTCTCACCATCATTGCATGCACTCCTTACACCCGCAGACAAGGCCAGATGATTAGAGTGGCATAATTCACCCTAACAATTGGAGCAGTAGCTTTTCCATCTATACCTAAAAAGGACAACATGTGAAGGCGCTACCAGGGCTCGAACCTGGGTTTTGGGAAGATGAATACGCAATCAGAATCCCAAGTGATAACCACTACACTATAGCGCCATATTTGGTTATGGCTGCAATGCGGGCCATGACTCCCCAACGGCTTTGATGAGACCCAAGTATAGCCGTGTCGTGTGAAACCGAGTACATTGCGCCCGCATGAAACCCTGGAGAGTGGCTCGGGGAAGGATCGGCAGCGGAGAGTGGGCCGGACGTGCAAGGGGGGGGCTGTGATGCGACTAGGCGACGTTGGGTCCGGACGTGGTCGCTGGCGAGGGCGGGCCTGCCGAGAGTTTTCTTACATCCACCATCTTCTCCTGCGCTCGAGGAAATTAAAGCCAACAAATTGCCCGCCTCATTGTCCTCGAGAAGATCCCATCTGCCGAGCCATCTAAGCTTTATTCTCATCGGCCGCATTAGAGCGCATTAGAGCTTCCATTATTCCCCGGTGCCGCACCTCCTTGTTCGGTCGTCAGCTTGACGCCTTTGGTCTTTCTTGTTCTCTGGGCCAATAAGTTGTGTCCCCCCTCCGCTCGCTCTCCTCCCCAATCCTTTGTCTATGGGCGGTGTCCTTTGCTGCTGTACCCAGCCCGTCGATTTCGACGGTGAGGTCGATCTCTATCACTTCGATCTCCTGCGAGCAGTCGGGAAGGGCGCCTTTGGCAAGGTCAGTGCCTCCGCTGGCATCGGAAATACCGCTGACCTTCGCATGCCAGGTGCGCGTGGTCGAGCACAAGCGTACCAAGAAACTCTACGCGCTCAAGTATATCGACAAGGCGAAATGCATCAAGCAGAAGGCCGTCGCCAATATTATCCAGGAGCGCCGTCTGCTTGAAGAGGTCAGTCGCGCCGAGATTGTCTTCGTGGAACCTCCTTCATGCCCCCCACTGCAGATCGACCACCCGTTCATCGTGAACCTGCGCTACGCGTTCCAGGACGATGCTAACTGTTTCTTCGTGCTCGATCTCATGCTGGGTGGTGATCTGCGATGTGCGTGCTTTCCTGGTACTAGTGTACCTGTCTGACACCTCTCCAGTCCATCTAGAGCGGCTGGGACGCATACCTCAGGACATTGTGCGGTTCTGGACAGCGGAGCTGTCTTCCGCAATCGCCTACCTGCACAAACAGCGGATTGTACACCGGTATGTGTCATTCCTCCATATTTCTTGCGTGTAAGGTCTCACGGCCGCTCGCAGCGACCTCAAGCCCGACAACATCCTGCTGGACTCGATGGGGCATGTGCACATCACGGACTTCAACGTCGCGATCCATTACTCGGAGCGGCGGCTGCACACGAGTGTCGCGGGCAGCATGGCGTACATGGCTCCCGAGGTCATTGGCCAGAAAGGCTACACCTGGTGCGTTGACTGGTGGAGCCTCGGCATCGTCGCCTGGGAGTTGGTGTTCCATAAACGGCCATTTGACGGCCGTACCGCGGACAAGATGAAGCATTCGATCACCAGGGATCCCTTAAAGCCACCCGCAAAGGCGGACGAGTTATTGTGTGTGGAGGGCCAAGACTTTATAACCCGGGTGAGCAATCAAGCACCTCCCCGCACCTCGTTGTCTGACATTATTGACAGCTGCTGGATCGCAATGCGAAGACTCGGCTAGGTTGCAGGGGCAGGACGCGTGGCATGGAGGACATCCGCGGGCACCTGTGGTTTGCCTCCATCGACTGGGTCAGCCTAGACGCAAAAGACATGCAACCTCCCTTCGTCCCAGATGTGAGTATCCATGTCTACACCGCGCGTTTTAAGGCTTAAATTGGCGAGTTTATAGATTAGCAGAGCTAACTTCGACGTCTCGCATGAACTCGACGAGTTCCTGATGGTGGAAAAGCCTTTGACACATTCGAAACGTAAGGCCAACCAGGATCTGGAGAAGATGAAGCCGGAACTGCGACAGCTGGAAGAGCAGTACGTAACATTCACTGCCTTTCCTTCTGCAACGCTAAAGAGTGTCGATCAGGTTCAGCGTATACGACTTCACCAAGAACCGTCGAATGTCGTACTACCCACATAATCAGCCGATCGTCACCACCGGTCACGAAGCAGATGCAGACGCAGAACCGCAAGAGGTCGTGCCCTCTGCGACAAACACTCTCCTTCCAACAGCGACCGTCGTGGAGCACTCGCAAGGCGGCTCACCGATAGAGGGTCATGACTACTCCGGGCGGGATACGCCTATACACATGCCTTCCGGGCCTCATGAAGAACCCTCCCCTCCAGAACCTATCCCCCCAGAACACTCGCAACCGCACGTATCATAGCGGTACACCGTTCGTTCCCCTTGTTTCGTTTCGGGTTTCCGGTCGTTCTGCCGTATCCATCACATCTTCGTTCGTGTATACGCATGGGACAATGTTTATATGCTGCCATATCCACCGCTGTATTATACCTTTTGCTCTTTTTGGAGACTATGGCCCGGCTATCGAGCCACATTCCGCCGGGCTTGTTGGTTGGGCTTGCTCTATTTATATGCATCCCCTTCTAACCCTAGATACCATACCATGCACCTAATATGTATATCACCCCTGTTGCATTGTCTTGCCTTCTATGCACGCGCCTTATTTGCGCGGCGTCCCGCCGTCGTCGCCAAGGCCATCTATACACACGACGGACAAAGGACGACCCTAAAGTATCTTTCTATTTTTTCCCAAGATACACACAGACGCTATGCATTGTGTCATCGGTGATGCGTCGGAAATATGGGTATCATCGTGAGTATCATTGCATCACAACGTTTCGTGCCTGACGCTCGATGTGTGGTATCCAGTCTCGTTGCGCATACCTCTCGTGAGCATAAGCAGCAGGTTCTCGATGCGAGCTTGTCGGTCCTGCAGAGCCGGTGCGTGAGACGAAGTCCTGCAGAAGACTATTGCGCACTCACTTGCAATTCCTTCATCTCATCCTTCAGCCGGTTGACGGGTAGGCCACGGACGTCCTCAAGGAGTGCCTCCACCCTGGCCGCCGCTGAATTGACACGATCCAGTTGCGTCGCGGATGCATTATTGCGACCTAAATACAGCCGGCTGAGCGGACTGTGCGGACCGATGGTTGGGATCTCGCCAGAAGTGGACGAGGCCATTGCAGGCAGGGTGATTTTCCTTGACCTGGGCGACACGCTCGGAGAAAGCCCATCCCGCCTGCTCTTGCTCCTACCCAGGAGAGTCGATCGTGGAAGACTTGCATGCCGTCGAATCCTGGGCGTCGGTGACTCGAATTGGGGGATAGGGGCCGTCTGCGGAGCCGTCCCATGCGAAGGGGGGAAATGCAGGCTGTCATGGGAGGAGAGGAAGTGGCTTGCAGGCATCTCATCTTCCGAGTCAAAGAATATATCGGTGTCATGAGACATCTCCACGTCAAAGATGGCATCGTATATGTCTGTGGAATGAGTGCCTAAGAGATCGAAGAGAGGCAGGCTCTTCATCTTGCGCGTGAAGCGACTGTACATGCTGTTGGCTGCATCGGGGCTGTTGTCGCGCCATTGGCCCTGAGCTAGGTACCGCTCGTAGATCCAGATGACGATCAACGTCGGGAACGACTGATAGAACGCGCATCAATGATGCTCGGTACAATGACGGGACATGACCTTACGGTAAGTCTGATCAGGAAGACGTTTGCCGAATGAAGTGAGCGCGGCGATAACACAAAGCTGAGTGGCCAAAGTATGATGAACGCTAAGAGATTGAATGGCGGTTGATAACTGAAGAGTGCATCTGATTTGACTCTGAATATAAAGAATTAGCGCAGGAACATTCATGAGACGGGCGGTGGTTTACCCTTCGATCGTAGATATCGCATATTGAAAGAGATACTATATAGTTAGAGGTAAGCATTGATCTCCTTCATTCAAGACACAGTACCTCTTGCTTGGCATTCTGCACGAATAGTCAGCAGTCATGAAACCCCGAGGACGTGAGGACTTACTGCATCGATTCGTGCGAAAGTATTTGATAATATAGAAATCAGAACTACCCGCAACTGTAAGAAAGGACTATCACTTTGAGGACAAGCGTCGAAGTGCTCACTCGTTAATAACAATGTGTTTGACAGCGCCGCGAAACCCGTCATCAGAATCGGCCCGAAAATAGGATGGAAACTCTTCGCCTGCCCGAAACTGAGATATGTGTTTCCAAACCAGATCTGAACCATGAGCCAGGCTATCGCCTTCACGCTCCACGTATCCGCGGCTGACGCACGCTACTGTCAATTTGAAGCAGCAGCGAGCATGGATCACATAGGTGCCGTACCTAAACTGTGGAGAGTGAACAATAGCCCTGAAAAGCATATCGCAGCAATTCCCACAAAGAAGATAAATTCCGCGATCATTGCGCGCAGCGCGCTGGAATAGCGTTCATCAGAACGAGAATACAGACAGCACAGGCACTCACAGCACGACGACATTGTTAGACACTGCGAAGAATGCCAGGCTAGCGGGCTGGTCAGCCCTATTTGCTGAATAGATATGGACCTCCTGACCGAGGGAACAAGATGCAGGCTCCGCAAGCGAGGATATCGAAGCCCATTTCAGACGCATTCGCTTTCACGTTCTGTGAGATAATAACGCGAAGAAGACACTGCTATCTTACCATCATGGTGGACCAACCCCTTGATTCTAAAGCCTAAATAGGTGAGGAAAACGACTACGAAGGAAGTGTCGAAGACGTTCCACATCTACATGGGCTATTCAGCACGGTTTATGCCTGATCATTGGAGGATTCGTACATTTGCAATGTAGACTGTTTTAATGACATCGTCTGTCAGCACCGCTGGACCAGGTAGTGATGGTACAAACAACTTACTCCCCCAGCCATGCTCTTTGGAAGCAGTGTATTCTTCCAGAGTGAATGCAGTTGCGAAGATGATGAATACAATTTCAAATGCAGTCAATCTTTCAACCTGTTGATCTTCATTACAGATAAAGTTAAACAGCAGAATAGCCAGATGCATTCGGCTCACTTGATAGGCAAAGAAGGAAGGTCGTCAACAGCAATGCAAAATTCAAGAACTCCAAGATGGCTCCATATCTTGGCACACGCAGTCTGTAGTGGTCGAGGAAAGGTGCTTTCCGACCGTCGTAGATCTCGATGGCCCGAGGCTTGTAGTTGTCGGCCAATACCGAATGATTGGACGACATAGAGAATACTACGCGCCCGGCGTAGATGTCGTTGACAATAGTCTGAACAACGGGTGACGCCAAAAATGCTTTCGCCTCAGTGGCAATCGCCATCTATGACGTATTAAACTGCCTATGCCTATATTGCTTCTGAGGACATTACATACCTCGAGCGCGCACTGAGGATCATACTGCTCGTCGTCGCCGATAAGCCCTCTGACTTCTTGAGTAATATCGGGCGGGGCGCCAGCTAGCGGACTCCAACTTGCGGTCAAGACGGCGACCAATCGGATCCGACTTGAGGCAAAGGTACCAAGAAGCTTGATGGCCAAGATCTCACACAAGCTCGCGCGAGACAGCATCACCCCAGAGTACGCGAGGCCTTGCTCTGCTTCTGACAAGAAGTGCGAGCGGACCACGAAGCACGCGTACACAGCGGACATGTTATCCAGCCTGGCGTATTTGAAAACGAGCGGTCGCACTATGGCAAAATTGATATCTGACGCTGTCAGCTGTCTGGAAAAGACGCGTAAACGTGTCCAGTTTCGCCCGCGAACGACGAATGTACGTACTCCCAACTTAAAGCCGTGTCTGCGATGAAGACCAAGTTGAGCTGCAGAACAGAGTCATGAGATATTCCTTTACGCACCAATATCTTTCTGTCGTCACAGGCGGTCAGACCCATTCGCAGTATATAGGTATCCCACACCGCTCACTTCCACATCTCGTTTGATGCTCGGGATGAGCGGGAAGACCTTGACCGATGCGAGGAACTCTGGTGTCGGGGCGAGCAGAGATTCTGACTGTTCCTCGTCCATATTACTTGGAGTTCTGCCTCGATGAGGTTAATTCAAGGACGCGTTATATGCCGCAATGAGTGTGCAGTTGAGGAGAAATGGGCGCGCCGCATGTCGAGGTCGCACTTACGCTTGCGTTGCATCATAGATTGGATCGGGACTGCCATCACATGCTTTCTGAATCCGAGTTCAGCGCTTGCACCAAACTTGCGCTTGGATGTATTTTGAACACATTCATGCAACTGTCTGCATCCTCGTAACACATATGAATCATGGTCTGACGGACGCATGTACCACAACTCACATAACACGAGGAAGTTGACTGTGGGCGTACCACTGACTTCGACCTCTTCCGTGGCCGCAAGTTGCCGACGAACGTTAACAAGGTGGGAGTGGTCCTATTCGGGTTCAACTTCAGCCGCCCAGCTCTAGTGCTGCTTACCGCTTTCAAGCCTATCCAGGACACTACGAACATGCCTGTCAACTTGTCAAAAATACCTACACTACGTGAGCTGTATACGGCTGCGGCGATTACGGCGGCCAGTGGCTCTACAGCCTACTATCAGCCTCGAGAATCGCTGCTGGATCGAGTCTCGCTCTAGTGGGTGCTCCTGACGAGACACTCAATCTTAGGTGTTACTATTGGCACTGACGACGTCATGCATCAGTCAAGGTGACATTACGAATCTGGAAATTGATGCCATCGTCAATGCAGCAAACAGAAGCCTATTGGGTGCGCCTGACCCGGCCTTGCGGCCGCGAGATTACTAACGTTGCATTCTTGCGTTCAGGTGGCGGTGGTGGTTGGTCAAGTCACGCATTGCAAAACATATGCATATACTCATCTTAACTTAGTAGATGGCGCTATCCACGCGGCCGCTGGCCCAAAGCTCGTGGAAGAATGTAAGTTTGGACGTCTCCCTTCCCTTACCATGAGAACGAGTGACTGCAACTGATCAGGTCGCACTTTGAACGGATGCGAGACTGGCGATGCAAAAATCACGAGAGCATATGAATTGCCGTCGTGAGTAGGACCTACTCAAATCTTGAATGGTGTTGTAATGTGCCGTGTACAGGAAGCACGTCATTCATACTGTCGGTCCGATATATTCCTCCCGCAATGTTGACTTGAAAGCCGAGCAATTGCGCTCATGCTACAAAATCAGCCTACAGCTGGCTATCGAGAACTCATTGAAGCACGTGGTCTGTGTCTAACTACCCAGTTCGAGAGTGGTGTATTTTGACCGGATTCCCGATGACATAGGCTTTCCCGTCGATATCTACGGGCATCTATGGCTATCCCATTGAAGACGCCACACATATTGCTCTAGATATGGTGCGTCAATTCACGGACGAGGATGAAGGCGACAAGGTATGCAGGAGCCTTATTTCTCCTGAAAGGAGATTGGACATCATCTGTAGCTCGAACGCATCATATTCGTGGTCTGGAGTGACGCTGATAAGAAAGTTTACGAGTATGTCTCTGAGCTTGTCCTTAATTGATGTCCCTCATAATTTGTTGCAGAAAACTGATTCCGCTCTATTTTCCTCTTGAGGCGGGAGAGGTGTCATAATGCTCCAAAGAATGTCGCCAGGATGTTGTACAACATGGGGGCCTATCTCATTTGATGAAATGCAAGTTTTCAACATCATGGTCGGTCACGTTGACGCGTCATGACTCTCAATGCGCAGTTCCATGTACCCACTGTGTCCGGAGCATCTGTACGGCTCTTACCCCTGCCTGAAAAGCAGTGCGTGCCTGATCGTGGAGGCATCTCGTCGCCCATTCATAACACAATTCCGGATCAAGGACGGTACTGGCGGCCCGCCCCGCGTTGCATTGCCCATCCGCGTGCCATGTGACCAGCAACACTTGCTCAGTGAAACCACTCCATCATTGATTTATTCTCATTTGGGGCCTCGGAGTCGGGTGACCTGGATTTGCTTTGGGCACTTGCTCGTCCTCACTGGGCCCGAGGATGATCCTTTCTCACTCATATAGCTATGATAGCGCTGCAATGGCTTTCTTGACCGCCTCAGTGTCGCTTCACCTTTTTGGAACGCTTTAATATAACAGGCTTTGTAAACACAGTGGAGGATGGGCTTAGCATATAACATCTTCACCGCAATCTTCTGCGCTATAGGTGTGTTTCGGTCCAGTCATTCATAATCCAGAGAGGTGATTTATTCACGATCCTCAACTCAGGCTCGTTTCTGTTCGGGTATGTGTCATGATTGGCACGGTCATAATTTGTACTCTAATGTGGATGGATGGCGTGTTTTGTAGCTATGACAGGTACGCATGACCATGGATTCGGATATGGTGACCTCTCATGGGTCACAAGTGGTATCATTTCCTCTGTGATCACGTTTTCTCATTTTGAGAATTTCGTGAACGATCCGTCAAGTTACGACAATCTCTCTGGAGCAGTAGTCTCTACCTTTACAGGTAAGCAGACAATGTCTGAAATCCGTCCTCATTTTCGAGTCGCTTCTGGCCACAGGAGGTTGCTTCTTCGGTTGTATGCTAGCGGGTTGGTAAGAAGTGATTACGCATGTACGGTGGGTGGTATCTGAGAGAAACACACAGGTCGAATGACAAGTACGGTCGTAAACGGAGCATACAGGTACGTTTGAACTACAGAATCGTCTTCGCGATGATCCCAGGACATTCATGTGGACCACAGCTAGGTGCCCTGACCGCCCTGTGGGGATGTGCAATGCAGTGTGGCGCAAATAATTTTGCGTGCATGCTTGTAGGGCGTATAGTCGCTGGCTTTGCAATTGGGTATGTTCCTTCACCGCTATGCACGGACTACTTTAATGCCGAATATAGCGCTCTGTCCATGACAGTACCATTGTACAACGTAAGCTTATTCATCGCGAGCGCGCGGCAGTCACGTACATGCTGACAATGTTAATTCTAGACCGAGATTGCTCCTCCAAGAATCCGCGGATTCATTGTTGGCCTTTCTCAGCAGATGATTGGGATTGGATTTGTCGTTGCCAACTGGGTATGTTTCGTTACTCTATGATATCTACTTGCCTACGACCCAACATCTAGGTCGGTTATGGATGCCAGTATATTGATTCCGACGCTGGATGGAGACTTGCTCTGGGATTTCAGGCACGCCATCCATGCTACATCACTATGAAGTACATTTTAATTTGAGCTGGGAATTGTACAGCTTATACCTGCATTTCTCCTCCTTGTCGGTATTCAGTTCCTTCCCTTCTCTCCTGTGAGTTATTCGCTGTGTGGCCACGTTACGAGATTTGATATGTGTGTAGCGCTGGCTTCTGGAGCAAGGACGAGATGACGAAGCGCGTGCGGTCGTCCGCAAGTTGCACGGTTCTGGAAGCCCGGAGCTTGAGCACGAAGTTGATGTTCTGTTTGAAGAGATGCAATCTGTCATCAAGGCGGAAACAGCGATCAGGTCGAGAAGCATTAGTGACCTATGGGAGACGCCTGCTATGTGCAAGCGCACTCTCGTAGCTGTCGGCGTACAGGTTTTTGGGCAATTCTCTGGTATCAATGGTTCGTAGCGCACACATTGGGTATGAACACGCGCTGTCTGACCTAATTTATTAGTCATAAATTACTTCGGTCCTTCGATGTACAAATCGCTGGGGCTGAGTTCAGGGCAATCGCTTCTTGTGCAAGGGATATACGGCGCCGTTGGACCCATAGCAAATTTCTTGTATGTTCTTATCTGCACGTTGCCGCATGACCACATTCATCGAGATCACCAGTTTTATCACGCTTGTTCTCGACACTGTGGGACGGAAGAAGCCTCTAATGTTCGGCGCCGGCAGCTTCATTGTCACATACTCCGTTCTCACGGCCATCGTGGCGTGTTTCCCTCCCGGTGTCTCTGAAAACCATCCCGCACAAAAAGCCGGCATTGCTATGATTTTCATGACGAGCATATTCTTCTCGCTGAGCTTCGGACCTGTCAGTTGGGTGTTAGCGTCGGAGGTATTATATGACATCAATGGTTTTACGGAAGTACATGCTGACGGCTCACAGGTATTCCCTACAAAGACTAGATCCATCGGCACAAGTGTTGCTACATGCGCCAACTGGGCGCTCAATGTGTTATTTTCTCAGGTATGTTTGTGTCTACATTCCAACTTTGCGACATCCTCAATATATATAAGGTATCAAATCTGGCAATCGCGAATATTAGCTGGAAGTACTATCTGGTTTTCATCTGTTTGAATACGGTAGACTTCGTGGTTATCACAATATTCTTCCCTGAGACAAAAGGTGTGTCAAGCAAGATTGCCAACGTTCCATGCTCATTGAATATTCCTTGCTATAGGGAAGACGTTGGAACAGATGGCTGAGGTATTCGGGGACGAAGTAGATTCCCATGCAATCCATCAGATCGACGTTCACGAGTCAAGTGTTCAAGATGTAGAGAAAAAGGCATGACAACAGAGAACACGATCGTGTTGTCCCACCTCTTGGTATGATACAGCCAACAATAAGACCCAGCACATCTAAGCATGAGAGCGCTTCACCATTTGATTGAATCAACTAGTTTCTGCCGCGTCCTTGCCCTAGAAAGTCAATCTTGCGCCCACGAATGCACAAGAATGTACAAGACACGTACAGCTTGACATTTGTTTTTGTCTCCTCAAGCAATCGCTGCTATTTATGCATTTTGCAGACGACATCGCACAGTATTCATGGCCAAACGGGTGCCATGAAAGAGTGGGAGTCGGGCTCCCTGTGAGTCTATGGCGCAGAGTGGCATTTAAGGGCAGAGAGATTGAGTACAGTACATACGACCCTGCCGAATCGCCCAATATCCGAGAACTTCGTGTGGTAGAGTAGAGCAGGGTTATCAACTTGTACTCCGAGAGAGGACCCAGATGGACGATTTGTGCACCAGCCACACTCATATATAGCGCCTCGGCTGCATGCAGGTACGAAGCCGTGTGTGTTTGTTTCGATCTTGCTATGGATGTTGTGTTCAAATATCATTATATCGTTCATAGTTTTGATTTTCGATTGTGGACATCTCAGTACAACGGCCACTTCGGTTGCATACACCTTGTTCCAAGATCCCTTCTAGAAAGTAGTCTTGTTACTGTTCAGGTTGGCAGTAGGGAAAGAAATCAAGCTCGCTGGCGTTCTACGCGATCCGCAGACTGAACTCGCATGATCGAGCGAAGTGCTGGGACCCATATCACGTGTCGATGATCGCTCTCCGAGAAAAGGGAAACTGCACATCTCATTCCGATTTCTTAGATTCGACTCTTGCATCTCATCGCGGCGACGGCTTCCGCGTTTATAAGTCATGAGCTCGTTGAGCTTACCATCACTTCCAGTCGAAGTGGGTCTATTCTTGCTTATGCTATCTTCAGTCAGAATCATTGATTCATGGGCTAGCTACTTTACGAAATCCAAAGTTTCGCCTTGTCCTCCTCGCTGCCCCTCACGTCAAGGCATCTTTACGCAGTCTTCAAGTCCGCCCCGTTGTCTATTCACGCATCGTATCTCATAGGCCGCTACATAAATAGCGAGACTGCGTCCTTCAGAAGTGGTCTTATCTCTGTCGTCCTCAGATACCCCCTCTGCACTCAAGACGTCTTGGAAGCAATCTTTCGCAGTCCTGAGTGTCCGCCTCAGAGGTTTCGCACCCCGACTGAGCTACCCAGACGGCTCTTTCGTGCGCTAGCACCCAAGAAATCCCAGTTGAGAAAACGGAAGCGGGAAGAGGGCGACGAGGGGTGGTCACCCGACGATGAGCCTCTCCCGTTCTTGCACTACCTATATGACCATCCCCGTATCCCTCACCTGTACGCCAACTCCTTTGACGGCTATGCGCTGACGAAGGCCGTCCATGCTGGTTTTCTCCCCCTTGTCCGCTTCTTGCTCGAGCACGACGCCTCCCCAGCATGTAAGGACGGGCTGGCAGTGATGGTGGCCATTCGGCGGAAAGACCTCGGTCTCGTTCGCATGCTGGTTGAACGTGATGACAGACAGCTTCAAAAGAAGGCGCGGACCGCATCAGTTGCGCCAGAAGGGACACAAGGTGTGGCAGGTCAGACCGCAAGTGTGCCGAATGGGAACGAGAGTGAGGCGAAACAGGAAGGTTTCAAGAGCTCGAAGAGGAGAAGGCTCGAGGACAGAGTGCGGGTAAACCAGGCCATGCTCAGGACGGCGGTGAAATGCGACGCAAGGGAGATTGTCGAATATCTCGTGAAGGAGAAGGGCTGCGTCCCTGACATGAAGACCGTTCTCATGATAAACTCGCACGAGTGATGGGTGGGGGTAAAGCTAGAGCATCCAAACGTCCGCGTCGACATCGGTAGGTTCTATGCGAATGTTTCTCGCGTGTAAGTGGCTGATCTCCGTTTTCCTCGATACAGTCTACGTCATGACTGAAAGGGTAATGTGCGAGATTGCCGCGATGAGAAATCTGGGGAATTTAGCGGGCCTCTTACTCTGAACGAATGACAATCCGACTGGAGGTTCGTTCCTTTGTGGTATTATGTATGCATGTCGATTGGTTACACCATGTAAACCTAGTGCAAAATGTGCGCAATGCGACAGAGCAAATGACAGGCAGTCTAAGACATGCGGGGGACGGTAGTTCTGAGGAGAAGGATACAACGACCCGCTACAGCGTTGTCCGTATGCGAGAAAGGATACACAAACATATTGATACATCTTAAATGTCGTCGATGTCGACCTCGCCTTCGTCGCCGAACTCGAATGTACACTCGCCCTCCTCGTCGCCGAACGTATCGGTCTCGTTGATCTTTGCGTTCTCCGGGAGCTCTCCGTACGCTTTGACTGCGGAAACACAGGGCGATATGCCGAGCAAAGTCAGAATATAGGCGCTGCAGTAAGGATATGCACGCACGACTACGAGCCTCGTCGGCAGTGTACTTGACAATTACATCCGCCTTGTCGTCCTGGAATTCACGCAGAGACAGAAGAATGATATCTCCCTGGTTGATCCAGACCTACGACGCCACAGTGAAGAATATCAGAACGCAACCTATGAGTAGTGTGAGTTTGTAAACGCACTTTCTTCCTCATCTTGCCCCGAATGTGGGCCAACCGCTTCTCGCCGTCGAAACACTGTGCTTCAAGCCGACCGTTCCCCAACATCTTGATGACTTGGGCGTACTCCTGCCCATCTTCTCTGAAGACTAGCTCGCGCTTGTCGTCGTCGTTCTCGTTCTTTCCACGTCTCCGGTTCTTACCACCCTATATCCGCACGTCAATGTCAACCTTAACTGCTCGACGTACAGTCCCGAAGGACTACAAACCTTTCCCTTGTTCTGGAAACATCACGTTTGTCAGTATCGCAAGAACTGTAGAAGATAATCAATGAAGGCATTGACTGACCTTAGGCATTTCAGAAGTTGCTTTCCGTTCGTACGATCACTAAGCTGTGGCCGTACAGTGCGTGAAGCTAGCAGAAGCTGGTTTGTGGGTGTATCCGCAAGGGATGGCAGCAGAGATGGGCGCTGCAGCAGCGAAGTTGCACAGACCTGTGCCGGAGCTTGCAGACGCAGAACGAGCTCGATATTTCACACGCCAGTGACACCGTGACATGTCACGCGCTGCACCGCGAATGTGACGGGCCCGCGGTGCGTTACTCTGCCCGATTCACTCATCACCTACTCCTTCTACCACTGTATAGCAAAACATCATGGAGCACGAGATAGATGTCTGGATTGCACAGCTGAGCCAGTGCAAGCAGCTCTCCGAGGCTGATGTTAAGCGGCTTTGCGACAAGGTACGCCAGCGTTCGTCTTGATGATGATAAGGCAGTTCGCCGCCACGGAGAAGGACTCACCGCTGTTAGCGTCGTGCCTCGTCCGGGGTGCGCCAGATACTAATGATAGTTGGACGTAATGGTAGACACGGGAAATCCTGATGGAGGAGTCAAACGTGCAGCCTGTGAGGTGTCCGGTGACTGTCTGCGGGGATATTCATGGGCAATTCGTACGTCGCTAATTACGAGATCGATCGAGCGCACTCCCTTCGCTCACCTACGGACATCGTTGCATTGCCAGCATGATCTTTCAGAGCTCTTCCGCATCGGCGGGAACTCACCCGACACCAACTACCTTTTCATGGGCGACTACGTCGACCGAGGTTACTACTCGGTCGAGACAGTCACCCTCCTTGTTGCGCTCAAACTCCGCTATCGCGACCGCGTCACCATCCTGCGCGGAAATCACGAGTCCCGACAGATCACGCAAGTGTACGGATTCTACGACGAATGTTTGCGAAAGTACGGCAACGCCAACGTGTGGAGATACTTCACAGACCTCTTTGACTACCTTCCCCTCACTGCTTTGATTGAAAACCAAGTGCGTCCATCTCGCGACATCGGAATATCGGATTCCGAGTGGTACTCATGTCACACTACCATTCCTCGCCATAGATTTTCTGTCTTCACGGTGGCCTGTCACCATCCATCGATACGCTTGATCACGTACGTGGCATTGATCGCGTGCAAGAAGTTCCCCACGAAGGGCCCATGTGCGATCTCCTCTGGTCGGATCCCGATGACCGATGCGGGTGGGGTATCTCGCCTCGAGGAGCAGGATACACCTTCGGGCAAGATATTAGTGAGGCATTTAACCACAATAATGGACTAACGCTGGTTGCGCGGGCGCACCAGTTGATCATGGAGGGTGAGAGGCATCCCATTATTTTCGGCCTGGATTGTTGACGTTAACTTGTCACGATGGCCATCAGGTTATAATTGGAGTCAGGACCGTAATGTCGTCACTATCTTCTCTGCGCCGAACTATTGCTACCGCTGCGGCAATCAAGCAGCAATTATGGAAATGGACGAAAAACTATCTTACAGCTTGTACGTTTTGCTCGTCTTGTCACAATTTGCATGGCCTCATGGACCTGCTCAGCCTCCAATTCGATCCTGCGCCGCGTGTTGGCGAGCCTCTCGTGACACGACGTGTACCGGACTATTTCCTGGTAAGCTATCCCGTTGTCTTCCTGTTGCAATACTTAGTGACATCCTGTCATCCTTTAGTGATTGCATTCTCAGTCGCGCATATACTTGGTGACCGTAACTCTTCTTCATGTTACTTAGTACTGTACATACAACTGTCACATACTCAGTGTAGCTCATCCTGATTGCCAAGACGATACCTTTTCTTCCTGTGTATTCTTTCTAATATTCTGCTCGAGGGGACGAGAACGGACACGTAGAAGACAATATCAAGTATCAAGTATTGAAATCCGGACTGCAGCGGCTGCTCAGAGTGGTGGTAAATGCTGTCAATCTCTGCTTCTGAGGACAAGCAGTCAAGATGCGAAAGTTCAAAATTTAGACGTGCACCAGCAGAGATCTCGGTAAGCGCAACCTGAGTCTTCGATTGGATTTGCTCATCGGCCGTGACTGCCTGATTTTCTGATATAGATTTTCATGTTAAGCCACTGTAATCGCACCGTGCTCACCGTACTCACAAGAGGGACAGCTCTGGACAACTGCACAATGTCTTGTCCAGGTTGGGCTGTTTTCGCTTCGCGTAAATTTCACAACAGTCTCGAAGCCGCGGTGCTCACATCAGCCAGTGTCTGTTTTCTATATTGGCCGACCCCAGTTGTATCGCTGATCCCTCTGCCTCTCCGCCGGGCAGATGCGGACGGTGACCAACTTCGCTGCTATGCTCGTCACCATCGCTGAGTTTCAGCCTTTGCCCTACTTTCGTGGAACAGCTGTCAGGGTTCGCAGGGAGTATATACTGTCTCTTTGGTCCCCCAAGGCAACTTGCCTCCAATTCGAACACTTCATGTCGCTGTTGAAGCATCTGCTTTTTCAGAGAATCCCACATAAAGTGCATGAAGTGTGGGGCCAAGTACGTGACAGAACCTATCGTTCACAAAATTGAGCTTACAATTGAGGCGTTGATGGGTTAATGACTGCTTTCCTAACCAGACTGGGAAGTCATCTAACCCGATTCAGTGGCAAGTGGATATGACGTCTGCATCCTACGAATGATCGGCGCATCCCCACCGTATAAGTACTCGAAAGTCGGGCTGCAATGTGGGTAGCATCTACCCCACAACCTCTTCGCGAATATACTCCACGGGGCCCGTCGACAACCTCCGTAATGGTTAACTTCGACGATTTTTACAAGGCCTCTCTGGAGGTCAAGAAGCACTTCGAGCACCCTGAAATGTTGCAATTCATCACTGTTACAGCCAAAGACGCTCGAGGCGAAGAGGCTGCGAGACTGTCCGCTTTGCAGATCAATAGGGGCCTGTATTGTCTAGAGGAGGAATTCTTGGGCGTTCTTGACGAAGATGAGCAAGAATTAGCCGACTTCTCGCGGACGCTCTTTGACAAATTCGGTCAAATCAAGTGTTGGCACACAGAAGATGAAGTGCTGAAGGGGACGGGCTGCTGGGGCGTTGAATTGAACCGAGGAACCCTCTTCTACCTCTTCTACGTCTACGTGCCCGACACGCAGGTGAGACTTTGGCGCATATATGCGACTATTTAAACGCCTGACGCCTGAATCAATTCAGCGGAGAGGCCAAGGACTGGGCTCCTGGACACTACAGCAGCTACTGAAGTCCGATATTGTCAGGCGGGATGATTTCGTGATCGTTTGGCCTACGCCTTATCCTTATCGCAAGGAGAGGACAGCGTGCCAATGGGACGATGAGCTGGACAGATCTGTCTCGTTCTTCCGCAAGGTATGGTGCACATATAGGAGCATCCATACCCTTCTCAACTGAGTTGAAAATGCAGAATCACTTCCGCAGGATTGGCGTAACGCGGTTCCTCGCGCATTCTCCCGATCCCAATCATCCTTCTCGAGCCCTATCGCCTTCCGCGGACTCCGAATGGCTAGGCCGGACTCCTGCGCAGGATGAGAAGGACGAGATAATCGGAATGTCATTGGACATCAACACCGGCCTTCCCAAAGTGCGCACCACAGCAGATGTCAAGCGCGAGGAGCGCAGCAAGCTTTTTCCTCTGCACTACAGAATCTACGACGATCAGAGCCAGGACATAGCAGAATATATCCGCGCAGCCTTTACCGAAGACCCAGAGTCCATTCGGCGGAAGGATGCCTATGGCTTCACTCCGCTATACGTTGCTGCTGCGGTGGTGAACGTCGTCGCAGTCCGCACCCTGCTTGAGTTGGGTGTAGGAAGCGATGTTTTTGATCGCGCCTCTGGCGATGGGCTCACCCCTCTGATGGCATGCGAGGCCAAGCTTCGTGGCGAGCGCGATTTCGCGGAAACTATGTTGCTCAGCGGTTGGGAAGGACATCGCGAAGACGGACTGCGCACCGAGGCGATGCTCAAGAGAGCGATGGAACAAGGCGTGGGGACAGACGAGCAGTATATCATTTCGAAAAAGTGGGGTTGTACCTGCGGTAAGTGTGCAGGAGGGTGGTTGTCTCCAAGAACGCTCAACCGCCTTGCTGGTGAGTGGCTCTTCCATTGCCATATTTTTGCGCGAAACCGCTCGTGACTCGATTTCCTGTCAGATGTAGCCGACCGCGCCTTTGACGAGATGTACCAAGAAGTGCTGTGGCTCTTCGAGGAGGTTGCGATGAGAGCTCCTCTTTCACCAACGCACATCCCAATAACGTTCACGCTTCCCTACATTCCATCCCACCTGCACGGGAGTTTGTTCAAGACGTTCTATATTGGCTTCCGTGGAGTCTTCGGTGCAATAGCACAAGTGCTACGCGAACTTGCCGAGCGCAACGACGTTCATGCGATCACACTCGGGGCAGCCTATGTCCATACGCTCGTCATGATGAAATTCTCTGGGGCACTACCGTGGAAATATCACATCGACCTTGAATACTTCGAGCAGCGCGCCGTCGAGTTCTACTTCAACAAGGGCGGGAAGATCGAATATGCGCTGGACCTGATCACTTCGTTGGACCAGCTCATCGCGGAGTTAGAGAGCGGCGAAGAAACGATTGAACAGGCCCACGGATATCTACCGGCATGCGTCAATGACAGAGAGGTGCGCTTAGTCAGGAAGAATATGGGTCTATCACCAAGGGGGACGTGGGGCCCATATATAGAAGAGAAATAGGCGCATGTTCTTCGGGGAGATGTACGACGGATCCGACGAGGAAGATGTTGTGGAAGAGACGATAAAATGGGTTCAGGAGTGGATGAAGGCGACGTCGAAGAGGATCTTGAGGACGGTAAATGACCGAGAACGAAAATGGTGGTGAAGTGGATTCGGAGGATTCCTAGACAGGTTGGTCTTTATTTCATTGCTGTGAATATTTCTCGTGAAATTATTTTGTAATGGGCGTCGACATGAATAATGTAGATGTGACTCCTCGCGCTGCATCACTCTACTGCAGAATCACCTTATACATCTTTCCATCATACAAGGCAGGCCATCACTAGGCGAGATCAAGTTAGAGCTGATACTACTCACACTACGTCAAAGCCTCTGCGAAGTCTGATACTCTGCAACACTCCAGTTCTCTGGGATACATATCACCAATAGCATGCCGCACAGCTGCAGAGCACCTGTTAATAATGCTAGGGTCTGCGGTCAAGGATCCACCCTCCTTGGAGTCAGGAAGACTCCGAAAGAGACAGTATAGCAACATGGTCGAAGCTCGTTTGTTCTTTCAGAGTGGGACGCCCGAAGGTGCATGCATATCGCCTTAGGATACATGTATCAGTTGTAGCAGTCGGTGATTACTTGGCAAGCCAGAAGACGTCGAGACCTTGTTACAAGTCCTGGGAGTGTTTAGCTTTGGCGTCTATATGTAGTAGCCCACTCATTTACAGCATGTCATTCGCACAGTCAAATCCCTGGCGGTGTATTAGATCCGGGACTAGACTAAAGAAGGAACACTGGTGAGCCAGCTGGGCGTGCGTCATACGTCATCATCGAAACGCTATTGGTCTCAGAAAGCTTCCGAAACAAACGGCCATCTCCCGCTACATCGTTTCTGACCGAGCCTGCATTGCACAGTGGGTATTGGTTGATGTATTACCCACAGTCTACTCCTCGTCTAATACATTCCATATTGCAAGCTTTCAGATCGCCCGCTTTGAACCAGCGGTGCGTTGCAATGAATGCATCATCCGACAGCGCTGAAAGTTGACGCCGAAGTGACACATGCGGGCCTGGTGGAGGTGGCATCACGCTGATCAGCCACCCGAATGTCCTTGAATCAGCTAGCGATGTGGCGTGTATTTATTCTGAGTCATCTGCAAGATGAGATTGGTTCAAAGAGTTCTACACGCGTAAGAGGCCTCGACTTACTGGGTGTAGTGCGGAAAGGCGGCCATTTCGAATAATCTACTGACGATGGAACAAGAAGCAATCGTGCGTCTCAAGGGCAGAAGACTCACAATACGGTTTAGCTTGTCAGTAATTATGACACCGGATGGAGACATCAATGATGGTTATCCGAGGGTAGACCTCGCCGATCGCCGCACAAGGTGCGATGAGACAATGCGCTGGTTGTTGAAAATATCAGAAAGTCACGGGTCAATAATGTTCCGTTCTCTGTCCGAGCAGAATACTGGTCGACGCCCTGCCTACAACGTAGTCCATTGTCTTATTCATATGGGTGGATAGAATTGAAGGGAAATCCCTCGCAAAACAAGCAGACTCAGGCATGTCAAGGAGGCAATACTCGGGTGCACCGAGGTCGCAACGCGGTATCAGGAGTAGTCTGATGCTGCCAACACGGTATGTGGTCTGGAGCGCTATATTCCATGTGTGGCCTGTCACTCAAACCACAAGATGCCAAGACTTATCCTGCCGCCGAATTGAGGGGTATAATGGGCTCTGACCGCGAACGCTCTACAAAGGCTGAATGAGTGTTTTCAGACTACGCGCTGTATTCTGAATGCAGGTGATACTTGGATTCAGACTTCGAGTACACGTTATAATGAAAGGTTGAGCCGATGCGTCGGAGCGCTAGACTATCATCAAGAGAGCCTTCAAAAGGTGAGAAAATAGCTGACATTAGGATTGCATTATGACATACGAGTGATATACCATTGGTAGCCAGTGAAGCCAATGGTAGACTACACATTATAGCACCGTGGCGCATCGACACCGCCTGGGCCGAAGACTAGAGTCACGGTACTGGTAGACGCTGTGCGGTCCAAGGTATAAGAGCTGGTTGGATCTGTGCCCGGTTTAGTCAGTCCTCGACTACCAGCTCTCATCTCAATCATCAACCAACCATGTCTGCGAGTACCGACCTTTCTTCTACTGGAACTGACCATCTCATTCCTACGTGTAGGACACCGTGAAGTGCGCTAACACCGAGAAGAACGGCGGCACCTGCAACTGGCCGGCGTGCGGCTGTGCCGAGCCCCCCAAGAGCAAGTAAATGGCTTCGTTTACTTCCCTGTCGCAGATGATCGGTAAGTGTGGCGCTCGTGGGGGTCAGCAGAGTGCTGACGCTGTGAACGTAGATGCTGACAGGGAGGGTGCGGATGGTGTCCAGGCTGTCTGCCAGGACTCGGGGCTGCATGTCCAATGTGTATCTCCTTAGTCGCTGTCACTAGACATCTCACGAAGAAAGCCAGAGTTAATTTTGCTGCAAACTCATGCGTGCCAGCGACTCGAGAAGGACACACCTCTGGAATGGCATGAGAGCGAAAATAATGTAGACTGTCGACGATTACAATATGGTCAGCGGCAACTTCGCTATCCATTGAGTTAACTGGCATGAACTCGAAGCAGGATGCTTTCCCGGGTAGTCGTATTACTTAGTGGCAATAAATCCGTGGGCTAGATCATGTAAGTACTGTTCTATCCGCTGCGGTGGCTACACGGTCACGGTCTTCCCGACGCGTGGGGTCACGAGGTCGTGACTTGTTGTGACGGGAGTACCACGCGTAGCAACGACGTAGCGCGTTCTACAGCGTCCGCTCGTTGTCTGTCTTAATGGCTACTCCCGAACCATCCGAGGCAAACGTTCCCAAAGACGAGGAACCCGCAGATGTGGCCTTACAGCTCGCGCACGTCCCCAACCTTGCGGCCAATGGGCTAGTCGAGGCTCTCGAACGAATGCATCGAGAAAATATTACTGCGCGAGAGCGTCAGCACCGAGAATTAATGCAAGCCAAAGAGCGCCAGCATCGGGAGAAGATGAACGCTCGACGGCACTACCAAACGCAGAAATTGCAAGCGCAGGAGCGTCAGCATCAAGAGTTACTGGCGGCTCAGAAGCGCTTGCATCGAGAGAAAATCAAGGGGCGGCGGCGTTTACATGAGGAGGTTCAGGAACAGCGGGAAGAGCAGCAAAGTCAGCTTGTCGACACGCTGGAAGGGCTATGCCCTGATTTTGATGGCGTCGTCGACGCGCTGGGCGAGATACGCAACGAAGTCGAGAGCCTGCAAGATGGATTGTCTGAGTCGTTCACTAATGTGGAAAGGCAGCTTGGAGAGTTGAACGGACGGTGAGTCGCATCATGGAGCCTTTCACCGACAGAAGCCTTGATATTCCTACAGGCAAGGTGGATTGTCCAATCGGTACATATGCATCTTGTCTCCGAAATGTTGTCCACAAGCTCACCTTGTCCGCCAGCATCCAAGAATGCACGGCGCAAATGCAACAGGCAATGATCGGTATGATCCTATGTTTGTCTCTGTATGAGTGGACCCTTGCTAACACATAGTGACCTGATAAAAGCGCACCCGATGTTACAACCATGGTGTGGCCCCTTCCGGTGGCGATAGACTGTAGACAGGTGAGTCCTCCCCGATGAGATAATCTTGAGTAGTCAGTGATCTCCAAAGCACAGATGACCCTTTGCAAGCTCCTGACAGATGACAAGTTTGGAGGGTATTGAGCCATCCCCATGACAGCCTTGCTGACACCCTGCGATTGAGAACTACTCTAGCACTCTGTGTTCACTTAATGCTTATTCTCTAACTTTACGTTGAGTATTTTGGCCAATTGTACGACCTTTAATTTTCAAGCTATGAGACCGACTCGGTGTGTGTCAGACACAACCCGGCATGGCATCAAGACCCATTATCAGTATAATCAATTTCGACTGAAATCTCAAACAGTATATTTACGACAAAACCTCCCCGTCGAAGAAATGTTACAAGTTACGCCCGCTAGGAAGCATGCCGTAGAACACGGTGTTCTCCAACTCTAACCCTGTTAGTCCAAACACACACTGATGACTAATACACAGAGGCATACAACGCAAATTGCCATATATCAAACCGTTGTACGGCCGATACTCACAGTGCTCCGAATCGGTATGTATAGGTAGGAGTTCCCTGCCTTCTTTCGACAGCTATATGGAGCGTCCTGTACGTAGTCATTCCCACGGTGTTCCTGATGCAATACTAATGGCTGACACCGCGATCACAGGGATTTGAGGGGACAAGAATCTGGTGCAGAACGTGCATTGAATGCCACAGGTTAGAGTCCTTGCAGCGCAGCTAGACAAGACTAACAGAGTAGTCTGCATGACATTGTCGTCGGTAGCAATAGCTATAAGGCGCGTATCTACAGCATCCTTCTCGAGACCCTAGTTACTCAACTCATTTCACGAAGCGCTGAGATGTCAATGCTCAATTGTACCTGTTCCACCAACCAACTTTCTCCGATGACTATCCTACCTCCTCGCGCAGGAGCCGAGAGCTTTCAATCTCCGCGAGCAGACATAATTTCCCTTCCTGCTGCGCCTCAATGGTCAACCCTTCTACCCCTGAATATGACTATGCCAGTGAAGTAGCGTTAGCACACATACATCGACGACAATTGACAGCCCAAATAGAACGTGGACGTGCTCGTAATGCGGCAACATCCACCAAGGCGTTACGTTAGTCACCGATGGTGCGTCTCTGTTGTCATGAGGCGTTCATGGGAATCATGGGAATAGCAAATCTTAATTCAAGGGTCTAGAGGGAGTGCTCACCCAGACAACCTTGGGACGAGCGACGGGTTGCGGCCACGCAGCAAGTTAAATTCACTATAACTACTATCGGAGACGGCTCAATTTGGCATTTGCGCACAGGAATCTTGGAACACGTTTGTTGGTTTACACGATTGATTGCTGCTCTTTACGTGTGTGGATCATACCCTCGCTGCAGGCATATCTCGTTACCAATTCCCAGATTCTATTGCACAAACTAGCTCCGTTATGGATCCTCCCGACCGGGCTGCGTCGTCTCCCGTGAGTGGATTTGACCCTGAGCTGGCTTTCCTTTGTATTTCGGTAGTATCCTGGTAGGAATCAGTCCGTCACATGTCGTACGGCTAGCAAGGGGTATCACTGGCAGACAAACGTACCCTTCCTCCTCGGTGAGTTCTTGCAGCAATTCACTCTCGCCCCTGTGGCCTGCCCACTTCGGTATGCCGTCTGGAATCTCCATGACTCTGACAATTCCTGACGTGAGCATCAAGTATTGTATACAGAACGCTGAACGCATACCGCTGGCTATAGAAAATGTGAGCCGTGGGCTGGAAGTTGAATGGCACCTTATGTTCGGGAAAACGGAATGACGAGGGATAGGCGAGGACTGTGTTCCTCCCCTCGTCGAATAATGGAGATCGGCATACATTACAGGACACTTTACACGGGACGCTGTGCATTCCAGTGAGGTCCTCTGTCGAGAAGAAATGTAAGCTGTTGTCCTTGTTTTTCACCATCCGCACGGAGGTCTGCATATAAAATGTAAGTGTGATTCGTATGCCTCGTCTGAATGCGAGCTGACCTTCGGAAAAATGACGGCCCATTGAAACGGTGCCCCGTGCAGGCGCTGGCATTGTCGACAGTGACAATGCTTCGCGTCCAGTGGATCTCCGTGAAATTCAAATGACACGTTTCCGCACCAGCATTCTCTGTAAATCGCGGCTGGTCAATGGGCGTTGCATTGTCGAGAATGTCGCCATGCTTACGACTTATACTTTGGCTTGAATAGATCTCCTTCGCTTTCCCATTTATATGGTGGCTTGTGAATGAAGTCTTTCTCGCGTGTACCGCCGTCCTTGCTCGGTATTAGCGGTTGTCCCCTCCAGCCCGTGTCTGGAATAGGCTTGTTGACCGTTGGAGAGCAGTGTGGACGGTCTCCTGGCGGTGGGTGTGGTATGTTCGAATGCGTACCCTTATGTACCGTGGAATCGGGGTGCGCGTTGACCTTGACGTGGTTTGTCGACATGGCGCGAATCGTCCGGTAGTACGACCTACTAGCCGCAACTTGAGTGCCGTCGGTGCACTCGGGGTGGTGCATGACGTCACTTTGTGCATGCGGTCACGTGACGGCGCGTCAGGGAAACGCGTCACATCCAACTTCCCCGTGGGGAATGGGGACGAGCCACCTGTGACTTGGCCAGGACGTTGACGACACCACCATCTGAAAAACGACTTGATTCGCATATATTCCAGTGAGAGGGTCTATTTTACGTTGGATCAGTGGTACACAACCTCCAAACTATTTTTCTATAGCACAGCAAATCATGCCAGTGTTTTCATCGCTCCTTCCGACCGTCATAAGCGCATATGGTCTTCAAACCGGTAGGTGCTGCTGTGTGAAGACTATGATGAGCACAGCACTCACTCGCGACTAACAGCCTTGGCTGCAATATTCGTTCCTCGAGCCAATGACAAGTTCTTCGACCTCGGTGGAGCATTAGGCTTCCTCTCAACTACATTTGTCTCCTTCTATTACCCTTACATAAGGGTGAAAATATGGGACGCAGCGAAACTCACGCCTACACCCCTTCTTAGTACCTTCGCCCCGAGGCAGATCCTTCTCAATCTTGCTCTCGTCGCGTGGAGTACGCGCCTCGGTAGCTTTTTGTTCACGGTATGTGGCTAAACCTGGTATTGCACCTTAATGGCTCTGCTTATAAAACTTGCCATGGCAGAGGGCTATCGTGCGTGGTGGCGACTCCAGATTTGATGAGCTCAAACATCAGCCTGTCGGATTCACTGCGTGCTGGATGTTGCAAGGTATACTCCTCACGAGGGAAATACGATGCATATACTGGCATTTTACTCACATAGTGCCTTTGAAACCCGAATAATAGCAACCTGGGTACTTACCGTCGGCCTCCCGGTCTACCTGGTACGTCAGATTGTATGAAGTTAGCTTTGTATTATACTGATTATCCTGCATGCGGCAGTCGAACACCATTCCGGCAGCAGTGCATCCCCCATTGAGGACTCTTGACTACCTGGGTGCCGCTCTTTTCGCTGGATCATGGCTCTTCGAAATCGGTGCGTCTTCTTTACAACCGGTTCTTCATACCAATATTGATCCAATGATACTATACCTATAGTCGCCGACCGCCAAAAGTCCGCATGGCGGGAGTCAAAAGATGCCAAAGAACACAACGAAAAGTTCATATCCCACGGCCTATGGGGCCTAAGCCGTCACCCAAAGTACGTGCTCATTATTAAATTGCTCACCTCTCACAGGCTGGAGGGCAATGCGTTGCATGCTACAGTTATGTCGGTGAAGTCGGTTTGTGGACGGGAATATGGCTGCTCTCCATAAGCTGCCTGCGCACACCCTATTTCCCACGTGGAACGTGGTTGTTGGCCGGTGCGAGCCCACTGGTGACATGGTTCATAGTCCGCAACGTGTCGGGCGTCCCGCCGCTTGAGGTGCGTCTGCTTGGGTCCCTTAACATGCAGGCGCTGAAAAAATCACGGACCACACAGAAAGCCGGTGACAGAAAATTTGGCGACGACCCTAAGTGGCAGGAATATAAGCGGTAAGCCGTCTTAAACGAGACCTTTTACAAATTCGCCAAGTCGTCTTCATGTCGCGGGTGGCAACTCCGCCAGGCGGCGGGCTCCTTGCATATACTTGATCAGGTCGCTTCAGGTCCTGCCGATGCCAATGGCCTCCACGCGAAGCAGACCCGAGCTTCTGCGTGCACCAACCTTTCGATGCTCTCCAAAGGCGAGCGTCGGCGCCGTTCTGAGTTGATTAGCTCTTGATTGGAGCGCTGACGCGGCAATAAAAATGTCTCAGCCCGAATGTTATCATCATTCTTTGTTGTTGACGCCTTGTGGTGTCGGCGGTACAAATATGATTTTTATGTCTCTATAAAGCGATTGCCAAACGCTGTATACGTCGAGATGCCGCCTAGAGCCTAGGCGAATGAAGGCCTTGTAGCCTTCATTTCTCTGCTCGCCTCGGATATTCGCCGCCTTTTGGACCGTTTCCGGCGTCTCGTGATGCTTCTTCGTGATCCTACCCTTTCATGATATATATTCTATCACGACACTCCCGCAGATGTGACCTGTGGTCTCTCGCCGCGTCACGCGGCTTTGTATGAACAGATTGCTTCGCAGGATATTTCTGGTACTCGTCGCGTTTGATGGCGCTTGCATTTCCCTCGCCTGTCAATAGGTTACGTTTTAGCACCTTCTCTCCGTTCATCCATTCTAGTGGATAGCCATGCTGACATCTATGTCCCACACAGAACGGTTCCCGTCTTCTGGCCTTGGGGATCCCGCGGTTGAGCCGTAAAGTCCTCCCACTATCAGAATTCCCGCCCTATCACCAGCTTGCAGCTTCCGTATTCTTCCTGCTCCGTCGCGCCCCGCTCAAACTCTCAAAGTTATGACGAAGAAGACCGAGGGCCGGACATCAGATATGTATCATCATCAAGGTCATTCAGACTTCGTTCTGTATCACGTTTCCACTGTAGCCATTGTAATGATAGCGCCTGCGTACGTACGTCTCGCGCCTACGGCCCGCTCGAGTCGACCAGTGCCGGTTCTAGCTTTTTGATATCCGTTTGTTCTGCTTTCAGGCTGTCATCTTTACACATCAGCGAACCAGCGAAGACGCGCATAAGGCACGCCACTGGCTGCATACCCTGACACGGATTGGTTTGACAGCCACCAGTTCCGAGATTGCTATCTTGGATGCCCAGCGCGGAAGCGAGAGTTTCCATGCAACGCACTATAGTTGCCTTCGTAATCTACTCCGCAGATCGGATGCATGATCACGATGGCTAATTAGACCTTATTCGCTTCGTTCCTAGGCTGCCAGCCCTCAACGTCGCGTTCATCCCACAGCCGTGGAAGTCGAACTTTGAACAGGTGAATGCAATGCCTTGATGAGCATCTGGATCCGCATCTGTGTTCAATGTATCCTCAGCTGTACGAGCCGCATTATGGAATGGTTCGCCATGTCCCCTCAGGGTGAACTGACTTTGAATATAGGGTCTCGACTATCGAACCCCTTTCTTTGCAGAATATTCAGGACCGTAGCTGATCGCGCGACGCACGAAATTGCAGTACACCCTTTTCGGTGGTGATTCCTCCCTGGTAGTGTTAGGAAGCTGGCAGCTGGACTACAGGCTATCTATGAACGGAGATCTCACCACAGCTCTATCCAGCAGCCACTTGATAGGTATTCGGTGTTCCTTGCCAAACAAGGCAACAATGCTAAATATGTATAAACATGGATACCGATCCACTATGGGCGCTTGGCACAGTGGTAGCGCGCACGCTTTGCATCTTGTACTGTCTGCGTGAGGTCGAGGGTTCAAACCCCTCAGCGTCCAATTTTTAACCCCTCTTTAGTCCGTGGTCCGCCATATGTGCCGGTGTTCTAAAGCTTGTTCCTGATTCAGAGGGGCGTCACATATTTTGCTGATGCGGAAGCTTCAGGGTCTTCTAGCAGTTTTGATTAATTGCTCGGCCGAGACCGAATCATGCATGATCCCATTTATCATTTGTCTCGGGGTTGCCGCTGCCTGAAGTCACTCTCTTATCCCGTCATCGACCCGTAGCTCTTCATGAACTGGTCTGCTCACGCGCTACCTCCGACAGTCCCACCTACCATTCTCAGCCGGTGCATCTTGCCTTCCTGATATAAAGAGATTGCAGGACCAGGCATTCGATCACTAGTATTGTGTCGTATGCCCTGACCCCACTTGACTACTCTGGCACCAGGTACCACCACCACCACCACTACATGGATTTCTCGGCCACACATGAAACTCCTGCTGAGCGAGCGGCCATGAATGATTTCAAGGCGAATATCTGGGAGGTCTTCCAGCCATTATACGAAGACAAGTGGGACCAAGGTGGATGCTGCGCACGCTAACATCGCCCACACATTGCTGATGCATTCTTCGTTGTACAACGTGCGCTGGTAGCGCGCTGGAATGCTGCAGTGGGTGAGTCAGCTTCCCGTACTCCGTAGGTGGCTCATAGCGTCATCATCCACATAGCAAGGTTCAAAACCGCACACGAGCCAGCGGTCGTGGAAACCTTTATGAAACGGGCGCGTCTGCCGACGTGGGACGCGCTCGAAGAACAAATGAAGAAGGGTCCACCGGCGTTTCTTCGTCCTGGGTGGACCAGCCCCTTATTGGGAAAGAGAGTCGACATGGGGTGGCTCGACACTGACTCGTTTGAGTGTATCAGGCCGAGCAAGGACGGCTGGCGGAATAAGAAGGTCCTCGTTGTCGAGTTCTGGGCATCGTGTGTATCGCTCCTTACCTTCGTATCGCCAGTGAGCAGCATGGCTGATGCCCGTTTCTACGGTTTTCAGCTGGTGCCGCGTACGTGCTGATCTCGCCGCGCTTCCGTGTCAAGGCTGAATGGATGCTTGTAACTCCGCAGCCATGTCATGTGGTCTGCGACATCTTGTCAGATATCGCGAAAAAGCCGGACGTCAAGGTTATCACCTTCAATCACGAAGGTATCTTCACGAAAGCGGACATCAACAGGACTGTGGTCAAGGGCTTCGTGGATTCTCGGGGCGACATGAACTATCCCATCTATATCGACTCGCAGCGCGTAGCCATTCGCTGTAAGGTGTATTCTCGGCTTCGACGGTGACCTTGTCACTGACCGTCTCCGTTCCAGCGCTATTCGAGCCAGGACAAAATCTGTCAATACCACTTGGTACGCAGCCGCGCCCTACCCTTCGAGAAAGATGCCTCTTACCTCTTGGCAGCGTTTGTCATCACCACGAGGGACCAGGTTGTCCACTGGATAGGAAATCCAGAAGAAATGGCGGCTCCGCTCGAAAAAGCCCTCAGAATCGCATGAAGCCAGGCGAATGTATACTTTTTGGGTATGTGGCCGTTTGTAGCCCGAAGGTTCGAGTCCGCGCAGATCACCCCGGAATGCCTATGCCTTGTCTTAGACCATGTAGGAATAGCTCACCCGACTATGTAGCCGTGAAGTTTGGTATTGCATGTGCCGTCATCCAGGATTGGCAGTCCGCAGTCAGTGAGCACAGGGCTCCGTTATGGTAGCCATGTGAATAGCTGTGATTCTTCCTCCATTCTAAGCAGTCAAATTGCGGCCCTAGCCTCAGTTGCGGCCCGATCACGACGAGATTCTCACCCTGGCATTCATATTGGGCGGCTTGCCGACCCTGTTAGGCGCCTGCAGACGTGTCTTCCACATTGAATCTACACTGACAACGCGTATGTTTCTTCCATTGCTGGGATCGTGCATGACAATGAGCAGGACACATACCTCAATGACGCGGACGTTAGGCGACCATAATGAACTTCTGTGCCGCCCGTGCGTTTGCAAGCCCTCATGGTGTCAGACTTTCACGGTGTAAAGACGGATCGATCCGGATTTGCTTCATAAACACCGGACAGGGACAAAGGGGTTTGCGTAGATTGGGGTTGCCGATCGTTAGTCTCAGGAACGCCTTCTGCAATGCGCAAGGTCGTCGACTCCAGGGATCTGGAGAGAGGGGCTGCTTGCCTCTGATCTGGATGTAAGGCACATGAACGCAGAAACGGTTGCCAATGACAAGGTGCATAGTAGACTTTCAAGTCTGAATTCACGTGGTGTCTAGATAAATTCGTGCGTGACATCAGGGAGTGCAGGGTCTCTATCGCGGTTTACCGCCATGTCCACGTCATAAATGAAGTGTCCGCCCACGAGATGTACTATGTAACTGAACCTTGTGGCATCCAGAGTTGTCCAGGCAAATCGCCTGGCGCATCCAGAATACTCAGGATTCCGATGCTCCAACGGAAGTAAAATATCGGGTCTGCTGCGCCTAAGAGTTGAACCCTTTTGAGGTTATTCAAAGATGCTGATCCTTCGAATAGAGAGCGCTATTCGCTTGGCCTGAGATCCTTCAGCGACTAACAGGCGTCATGAACAAGCGGAGGTGCTAGAAGACGAGCCCCATACGTGATGATATCTTGACATCGCCGGATTCTACGCATGGAACCCAGTATCTTCGGCTAACGTTATCCAAAGCAGTCAAACCAGGATCTTGGAAGCGAAAAATCGAGACAGAGGTGAGCGCACCAAGTGAGAAAACTAGGCCGTAGCCGAGCCATTCCGACAGCTCGGTGCCGTAACCCGTTGATTCGTATCTTTGTCAAGTCCTTGTCCTTCGGGCTATTGCTTTGAAACTGATATTAGAGCCGGTCTGCACGCTCTCTCTGAGTTCGGTGCGCTCAGGTCAGCTTACCTTCTACGTGAAACTCCATGTCACGCTGACACCAGCGCATCGTGTATCCCGGGCAATGAAGCTCGTCTTCTGACTAACCCATGAAATTTCTGAAACGAGTTGACGCGCTCTCCTCGCAGTGGTTTGGCAGCAGACGGTCGCGACTTTGGGCCTGAAGGATTTTGATTGATTTTGCATGAGCAGAGACCCGATCGTGACATGCCACAATGCCGATGATCGAGCATCGAGATCGTTCAGCCGATCGTCCAATGGCTGTGAGCTGGCTCACTTCAACTTACTGTCACTTAGTCTTTACTCTTGTCCATTCCTGAAGGTTATAAAAGACACGCCACACCTGATATTTAGCTTGAGGCCCTCCAGGACGCTTTCAAGTGGTGTGATATAAACAGTGAGTTGCTCACAAATGGTCGCAGAGATGTCAATGAGACGTTATGTTTTGCAGCCACAGTGCTGTACTTGAGCTGCCCAGAAACCGCCGGGCTTCGAACGGAGAATGTCAGATATTGTTGACTTGACAAACGAAGACAGCGGGGACGATGAGCGCGACGATGCCTTTGGACCAGACTTGCGATCCGAGTCCCCGCTGAGCCCGGTGGCACGCTTGCAGCTACACACCGCCATTCTGACATGTCCTGAGGACAAGCTCCGTGGAATCCTGTCAGAACTCGTTGAACGTATTCCTGCGGTGGAGAAAGCGATATTCGAACAGCTAGTCACCGAGAGGCCCTCTGCAGACAGGCATGGAGGAGTCGAGGGGCCCTACATTCCGAGATGGGAGGTCTGTAGCAGATGCGAGAGCCGCTATGATGTAGGGACGCAGAGGCTCACAGATGAGTGTTTATATCATTCAGGTACGAATGTCTCGTGTGACATATAGCGCGCTAGATGTGGCTGATGGTTGTACTCTACCAAGGGGAGCTGGAAGTCGACGAAGAAATGTTTGCGGATTGGGACGAACGTTGCCACGGTCCTATGAAGACTGAGAGCAATATTCGCGAGTTCCCCGAGAACTTCACCTGGTCTTGTTGCGAGGGCGACGCCAGCTCGGAGGGCTGCACAGATGGGGAGCACGTGCCTGAAGGCCCTAGGAAGAAACGTGCTCGGCACTGGTAGATGTGTTTATTGTTCCCGGATCAGGCCTTAAATAGTACAAGGGACAATGCATTCCACGTTGATGATAACGCCTCTGTTAGCCACCGCTTAATATTTTAATGTCGATGTCACGGCATGGTGGCGCACGCCACAGTTGTTTTGACCTTGTTCTTTTGCGCATAAAAGCGGGTTGGCCCCTCTATCGACCCTTACCTTCTCCTACACCATCCCCTAGCCAAAGAGACCTCCACACAACCTTCTGTGAGTTGTTCACTTGAGTTCATGATCCTCCATGCTCATCTTGCGCTCAGACCTTCAAGACAGAGATTCTTGGCACCGTCTACTTGACACAGAATATACATCCACATGATGAACAGCATTTATTCCTCGGAACCGGAACTTATGGAACCCGAAAATTTTGATCCTCTTGACTCTTCGCAAGACAATCCTGACCTCAGCATGTTGTCTCCCACAGAGGGATACGACTATAGTATGGAAGACCCTTTTCCCGTCTGCGAGCCTGAGGTTCAGGCTGAGGGCCCCCTCGGCGCGCTGCGCGCTCGCTCGGGCCCTCAACTGAAGGAAGCCATGCAGCTCGTCATTGAGTGCTACACTCAAACCCGCCTGCAGGAGATCCTCAAGGCTCTGGTCGATTCGGACGACGCTGTGGCCGACACCATTTTCCCGGAGCTTCTTCTCCTGACGCCATCCTCTGAAGACCCTGACTCTCCATCTAAGACTTCTCTCGACGTGTTCTCGCCGCGATGGGAGTGCTGCGAGAATTGCCGGACCGAATACGACGCAGGCCTTCCCCGTGTCGCGGGCGAGTGCAGTGGCCCGCGTTCTCCAGGTACGCTACCGTCCGTTCTTGAAATGACTTGAGCGCGGTCGGGGGTCCCCTCCGGGCTGCCATTCTAATAGGATTGTCGTCGCAGGATTGGAGGAATGCGGGAGGGATGCGTATTTTTTGGATGCCATGGACTTGGCCAGGAATGCCTCTTTGACCTATCATGAACCGGATCGTGTCAAATTTGAACATAAGCCTTCGCGGAGGCGCGCGCTCCATGACGAGATATACGGGATGGAACTGTGATGGAATCTACAATATCGCTGCAGAGTCTGAAGTAGACTTGCTAGCTTGATCTTATTAAGTTTGTATAAATAGATGCTTGAGAAACAAAGTATGTCTTTCAAACATGAGATGGAATACGTACAAATCCCTAGCGTACAAAGAGCGTATACAGTACAGTAAAGCAACACAGCATAGCAACATTGTCCAATCGGTATTCCTCCCAAGTGCAATACATGGGGCCCTTCGATAGAAATCCCAGGAAGCGAATGCGCTCGGCGCGCAAGAAAATGGGAACCGAATGTAATAAGTAATAGGACAGGCGCAATGTCCGTCTGCCCAAATCAAAAAGGTGACATAGCGTTGTTCCCAGGTGTAGATGCCCTTCTGGCATCGGTTTCAGAAGTCGGTGTTGAGATCATCTTGGTCGTCATCGATCCTTGGCCCTCATCATAGGCGCCTGGCCTGTGCTCCCCTACGCACTGCACTCAATCATCTCCCAGTCCTCCGACGGGACGACCACCCACGACTTGCTCGTAGTCCCCTCGCCATCCGTCATTGAGACGTCGCTGTCCCTCTGCGCCGCGACCAGCTGCTCCAGGTCATTCGTCGCCGCAAACAGCGATCGGTCCAGCTCGCGGTTTGCGGAGTGCATCGATAAGGCGAGGCGTGGGCCCATGTAGAGTATCTTCCGTCCTTCCGGAGACATGCGCATGCGAGTAGTGATGGCCACACGGTAGAGGTCGGGCTCGGGTTTGGAGCGTGGGAACGCCGCACGGGCGGGTAGAACGGATGGTCTCGGCGCGAGCGGCGACGATGTGCGTGAGCTTAGCATTGGAATGTGAGAAGGGGGGAGCGAGGGCTGGATGACAATTACGGGCTGGGCGACAGGCGTAGGACTGGTGGAAGAGCGCAACGACGCTTTACGCCGCTCGCGCTCCTCCTTGTAATACCGCAAGCTGCGTGTATGTGGACCCGTCGAACGATCCGAGCGTGAATGAGGAGATGAGGGTGCCCCGGCGCGCCCATAGAGTGTCGTCTCCACTGCTGAGTTCATGTCCTCCAAAGATATATACGAGGCCGTGCGTTGCAATTTTCGCGCGGCCTTGCGGGGCTGCGGAGCGGAGAAGGACATGGTGCGCTTGCGATTGTCTGAGGGTGGGGAAGACGTGGTGCCGGTGGAGGTGGGGGTGAGAGAGCAGGGCATCGAGGGAAGGGGTATAAGTGATGCGCTGCCGATGATGGGGGCACAAGGGGAAGTGATGAGACGGGAGACAAAGACTGCTCCTCGGAGGCGGATATGAGATGGACAGGCATGGCCAGGCACGTGAGAAATTGCCTGATTTGGTGAGCGCGGGCAGTGCCGTGACTCGGCCTGGGTGCGCCCTGCAGCGCCGCTCCGCCGTATCGCCCGACACGTTGAATGCACGATGCTGGGCTCCGAGCCGAGGGTCAATGAAACTCTACATACTTAGACTGCGCATTCGGTCCATGAGACGTACCATGAGTTCTGCCATGCCGTGCGGGTGGAACATGTATGGAGGAGCATTGCGGCAAGACATCAAGTGATAGAGATGGTCGATCATTTGATAGCCAGACTGACTTCATCCTGTCGGCCCAGAGCCACTGCCTCGCGCCAACTGCATAACTATGACGTCCAATTCTCATCGGCGAGTCAAATGGTACAAAAGAGGCCTTACAGTCGGCATGACGCCGCCTAGGCACAGTCGCCGCGACCACCATGACAATAATTCCCGTCTGACACGGCTTTGGATGGGAATGACCGGGCAGTGTTGATTGACTGTGTCTTGATGGATGAACAGGTCATCGGAAATGAACAGAATCCAGGCTAAGTAAATTGAAAGCGATTGCTGAATCGGTAGCAGGCGTCAGGGCGCAGAATAGACGCTGTGAATCCGACTCAGATATAGTTCTTGCTTAGACACCATACATGCCAGCAGGATAGTGAAAAACTCCGTTTGATAACAAGTGCCAGCGGGAAGATGAGGGAGAGAAACAAGCCACATCCTCAAACAACCTGCTAAGTCTTCGCCCAAATCAACACGAGGCGAATATCCGAGATCTGCATCTCATGATCAAGTTGCCGACCCTGATCATCTTATCTGGACGAGTACGACACCTTGTTACTTGTGTTCACCAAGCACAGTATACTAGACCTGTCTGTGCATATAGTAGCGCGTCGGCAGAGGCCCTCACGTGTGAGAGTGGAACGAAAGAAGGAGGCCAACATTGTGAGTTTATCGACATTCCTCTGGATCATACCAATAAGAGTCAGATTTGCTCCCTAGCAGAAACTCGCTGTTCTTACAGCTGATTTATACCACAGTCTAATCATACCGGCAGGAAATCCATTCTGAAGTCTCTCGTCGGCTGAGCAACGATCATGAGAATCACTCCCAGGGAGGAAGCCAAGCTCCTGTTGCACCAGGTAGTTTCAGATCCTTCAACTTCGTCCTTACCGTAATATACCGCCAACAAGGCAGGCTTTCTCGCGCAGAAGCGGCTCGCACGCGGCCTGCAACTCAATCAACCGGAAGCCATCGCGCTTATCGCCTCACAGCTGCAGGAGCGCATCCGCGACGGCAAGCACTCTGTCGCGGAGCTCATGCAGCACGGGAAGACACTCCTCGGCAGAAGACACGTACTCCCCGGTGTATCCAGCCTGCTGCACGAAATCCAGGTGGAGGGCACGTTCCCCGACGGGTATGCCGCGCTGCCTGTCTGTCCGCATCCTCGTTCAAACTGCTGCGCAGCGTGTTCCTCGTCACGGTGCACGACCCGATCTGCAATGACTCTGTTGACCTTTGCAACGCCCTATACGGTTCCTTCCTGCCCACTCCTCCGGACCATGCATTCCCGCAGATCGACCATGCTGAGTACGCCCGCGACAAGGCACCTGGTGCGCTCATTGTCAGGAAGGAACGCATCGTTCTCAACCGAGGGCGTGAGCGAGTTAAGCTCAAAGTGACGAACAATGGTGACCGGCCAATACAAGTACGTGCGCAATATATCTCTGACCATTGGATGTATCTTGATATATGTGGCTCTAGGTAGGCTCACATTATCATTTCATCGAGACCAACAAGGCGCTGTCCTTCGATCGAGGCAAGGCTTACGGGAAACGTCTCGATATCCCCGCAGGGACGGCAGTCCGCTTCGAGCCAGGCGACACCAAACATGTCACGCTATGTTCGATCGCAGGTGCACAAATCATTTCTGGCGGCAACGGCCTCGCCTCAGGCGTCTTCAGTCTTTTACGAACCGACGAGATCGTGCGGAACCTCGTGGACAGAGGCTTCGGGCACACACCGCAACCGGGTGCATTAGAAGTTACGGTGGACACGGAGATGAGCCGACAGGCATATGTAGCAATGTTCGGTCCCACTGTCGGAGATCGGGTCAGGCTCGGTGACACCGCTCTCTGGATCGAAGTCGAGCGCGACGAGGTACTGCGGTCTATCTCATTTCATCGTATCCAAGCTACTGAGATCTCGAAATACAGACCGTGTACGGAGATGAGGCTAAATTTGGTGGAGGTAAGGATCCGAGTGCACTCATGATTATCTCTACTGACGGTCGCATAGGGAAAACTATCAGAGAGGGGATGGGCCAGGCAACCAACCGATCCGAGAAGGAGACGTTGGATCTAGTCATCACCAACGCATTGGTTGTGGATTGGAGCGGAATCTACAAGGTGCTCAACACTCTGTGGATCATTGAGAGCACAAACCTACTCACCTGTCGCGCAGGCGGACATCGGCGTTAAGTACGGTAAGATCGTGGGCATAGGCAAAGCCGGAAACCCCGATGTCATGGCGAATGTGCACCCTGACCTCATCATCGGTTCCGCGACGGAGGTCATCGCAGGCGAGAAGCTGATCGTGACCGCGGGGGCGGTGGACGCACACGTCCACTACATCTGCCCGCAGCAAGTAACAGAGGCGCTCGCGTCAGGCGTCACGACGATGATCGGGGGCGGGACGGGCCCGAGCGCGGGCACAAACGCGACGACGTGCACATCAAGCCCATTCTACATGCGGCACATGCTCGCCGCGACCGACACACTGCCAATGAACTTCGCGTTCACAGGAAAGGGCAATGATTCGGGGACGCGTGCGCTCGAGGAGATCATCATCGCGGGCGCCGCCGGGCTGAAGCTGCACGAAGACTGGGGCTCGACGCCTTCCGCGATCACGAACTGTCTGGATGTAGGTGACAAGTATGATGTGCAGGTTGGTGGAGTGATTGTTGTGATGTGGTTTCACTGGCTGATGCAGATGGACGTGCAGATCAATATTCACACAGACACACTGAATGAGAGTGGGTTCGTGGAAAGTGAGTAGTCTTATCAGCGATCACTGCGGTACAGCCGGAACTCATCTTGCACAGGTACCATTGAGGCCTTTGGGGACCGCCCGATCCACACATATCATACCGAAGGCGCTGGTATGACGGTGATCCGTTTGCAATGTGTAAACGAAATCTGACCTCGATCCTCACAGGCGGTGGTCACGCACCTGATATCATCGTCGTCTGTGGGCTTGAGAAAGTGCTTCCCTCGTCAACAAATCCCACACGGCCATACACTAATAATACACTGGAAGAGCATCTCGACGTGAGTCAACGAAGTATCCAGGACCCAGCGCCTCGCCTGAGATTATCTTCTTCGGGTCCTGCAGATGCTTATGGTTTGCCATCACTTGGACAAATGTATTCCCGAAGATCTCGCTTTTGCAGAATCCCGTATCCGTGCGGAGACCGTGGCAGCCGAAGATGTTCTGCACGACATAGGGGCCATTTCCATGATCAGTTCCGACTCGCAAGCCATGGGCAGGGTGGGCGAGGTCATTAGCCGGACATGGCGAACAGCAAGCAAGATGCGTGAGTCCCGTGGTCCTCTGATATTGCTAGGCGACGCGCCAGGAAGAGATAACTCGCGCGTTAAGCGGTATATTTCTAAATACACCATCAATCCGTAAGTTCACCTTCATCCACTTTCTGCGCCATAATGACAACGGCGGCTCTTCAGTGCAATTACCCACGGCATGAGCCATCTCATCGGACAGATTGCGGTAGATAGCCTCGCGGATCTTGTCCTGTGGAAGCCGGAGAACTTCGGGTCAAAACCCGAAATGATACTAAAGTCGGGAGTTATCGCATGGGCTCAGGTTTGCATTCGTCTTTTCTCGGAGGACCCATGCACTCACGGTCGAGATAGATGGGTGATGCCAACGCCTCCATTCCCACTGTACAGCCGTTCATCGGCAGGCCAATGTGGGGATCCCATGCAATGTCTGCGGCACTCAACTCGGTAGCGTTCGTCTCGGGCATCTCGATTGAGTCTGGGACTGTGCAGAAATATGGACTGAACAAGCGCTGCGAAGCGGTCAAAAATTGCCGCAATGTGACCAAGAAAGACATGAGGTGGAATTTCGCCACGCCGAAAATGACTGTCGACCCGGAGAGTTACGAAGTTAGAGCAGACGGGGTTCTTATGGACATAGAACCTGCGGAACGTCTTCCATTAGCGCGGGCGTACAATATCTTCTGACTTGTATATCGTATTTCCTTCTGGGTCCGATGTAGACTACTGTGTTTCTATCCTTGGGTTGCGTCTTTGGTATTTCTTGTATTTCGCCTCTTTCTTTGCGTCACCTCCTATGATATTACTACGAAGTATAGTCAATGGTGCACAGTCATGCGAACTTGATTACCCCAAATAATTCCTCCATAATGGACGCATGCAGAGTACGGTCTGAATCGCCATGTTACAAAGATATATCCCACGTCTCATGTTCACACATACACCGTAATTATCGACGACCCCAAACTGGGCGATGCGACTACACTATCCATAGCTATGCTCGTGTTGAGACATGCCGAAGGAGTTGATGGACATGAGTAGTCATCGCAATCTTCATCGGACGCCTGGTCAAGAGACCCTTGTATTTGACGAATGTTCAAAAGGAACCGTGACATGATGATCGAGGATAGCCTAAGAGAATGAGCGGAGCTTGTACACGAGCAGGGAGTTGACTTACGGCAAAAGGAAGAGTGTGGAAAAATATGATCTCTGTGTGCATGAACAACATTGAATTAATCAGCGGTTCAGCATTACGGATGTGTCGGATTCCTACTCCAGTGAAATATAGAGCCATGTCGAGGCAATTTAGCAAAAGTAGCGCGCTGCCAATATATGCCATTAGAAATGTTCTTGCTTTGTATACTAGCGGCGCGACACACATGAAGTAGAGCATACCTATAGAGTTAAAGTCATCAACGCCAATTGGGAAAAGGAGCGATTCATGAACATACCGTCTCTCACCAAAGATGTTAAGGGCCGGGACATACGGGTATGAGCTCTGGTGAACACATTTTGTATACCGAAGAAAGTGATAACCAATACTAGTGCGTCTGAACGAATGCTGGAAGCTCGAGCCAAAATGGCGACTGAGTAGTACGTTATTGGAGCGAATTTTCGTGATCAAACTCAAGTTTCCTCACATCTGATGGTCGCAATTAGCCTGCGCAGGATACACTCCATATAATTATGCACAAACATATGACTGGTTACAAGAGGTGCTTTCAACACGAAGCCGATGTTGGGGCCAATGTCTGGTGCCAATCCTGGGACAAAACACGACTCGGCAAGCGCAGCCTGATGAAGGTAATACAGGGTCGTCATCATACGCTTGATTTTGAAGGATACACTCACGAGGTTGACAGCAAAAGGAACCAGTCCCAACAACAATGAGAGTATGGTTGGGAGCCATTTGCGGGCGGTCATGACATAGACCCGGAGCATCACGAACGCTGAGAATATCAATTAGCACAAAGATTGATATCATATTGCATGTCTGAGCCTGACCTGCCCATGTGGCAAGGGATACAATGACACAGATGCCTTGCGACACAAGAAGAACCTTGCGCTATTGTAATTAAAGAGTGCACCAGTTACTATGGTCCAGCAAGGCCAAGAAGGAAGTGACTCACCGCGTTCCTGCTTACATTGAATACTTCGAGCATACTGAGGGTCGCGGATAATAGCAGCACATATCTGTTGATAAAAAACAATACGGTCGCAAGACTTGTCTTAGCAAACCACATGAGCTGGACTTCTTGAGAGAACGTCGCTACGTGTTCGTACAGCACTAGAGCTGTGGATGACACAGTGAGTCGATTTCTGCGCATTTGATCTTAAAACTTACCGCTGGCCGCTAGCTGACAAAAAATACTGGCCTGGCTGCCGATCAAGACTGGTGAGTCAAGGCAAGAAGTTATACTGAAGGCTACTGACTAGCTCTGAGCTTGTGAAACTAGAGTTAGAACGCTCTGACTCATGGGGGATATCGCTGGAAGATTGCACCACTTGCAGAACAAGTCGAGAAGATGTAGCTCTCATTCATGCGGTGAATCAATCAGTCACTGCGGGCGGGAGCATGTTGTCAACACTCAAAGTGCAGAAGTTTAGTTCCCAGGAACTGGTGTATCTCTGCAGACCTGCGGACAACATATATGTACAGTAAGAACCATGTGTCTCATTTAAGGTGGAATGATGTGCCTGTGCCCCTACATCGTGTGCAGCCTGTATTGTTGAAGACACCCACCGGTCTCAGATCATCAGTGGTAATTGACCACTGTGCTGTTCCACCTCGACCTACGTACTTCAGAACCTACCATCATCTGCCTGAACACAATATGCGGCGGTGAATAGAATGCTCTTCGTGAAAAGGCCGTCTGGGGCAGTGATTCAACAACCCCCGTCTCATAGGCTGACATCGTGGCGCTTGACGAAGTGAGGGCGCCTATCGGCCTGTCTCCGTCGTGGTACTGAGATCATGATGGGTACGAGACCAAAGAGTTTGCTGCTTTGAGCAAGCTTTGAGGTAGCAAAATTACAACGGTGGACTCAACCTCATGCTGCTGAAGTAAATGTCCATCAATCATGTTGATCTACAGGTGGGCTGCACGAGCTCTTCCAGTAACTCGGGCATAACTCGGCTCCATCATGATCATCATGCCATGCCGCCTAGTGCGGCCAGCATCATGACAAGGAGAAAAAAGTCACGCTGATCGTTTGACGCTTATTCGAACTACTCGTATATCCCAATCTAGGTCCTCTGCAATGCAGTAGGAAACAAGCAGAGACATGGCCGTCGGTTGCACGCAGAGGTGCGTCTTACAAAGTTCTAGCTTTCGAACAATGTACACATCAGACTGGACAACGCGTCATCAACATCGCACAAATGAAATGCGTCCAAGTACCGGTTTGTGTCCAGCTGGCACGACCATTGATAAGCATAATGTTACATCTCAGAACAGAGTCCGTGGCATGGCACATAATGTACATATACAGAGTTACATAGAACAGACGTCTTCCAATTTGGGCAATATCCAGCTTTCTGCCCTCGACCAATGAAGAATTTATGCGCCTGCTGAGGACTTTCGGGAAGGATTCCGGAAACCATATACCACGGCACGCGCCATCAGCAACCCGATCATGGCCTCCGACGCATGCACGCAGTCCCAGCATAGCATATGAAAACCGTTCACCAAGCGGGCCCTGTTACATTTGCTATCGAAACAATCACTATCAAAATGTGGCAGTGTGAGGCCGTACGAGGTAAGACAAACCGTATATCGTGAACGGCCGGCGGCCGGTCGTACGAGGACCACGCTCCTCTCGCAAGAGCGGGGCGGTGCTCGAACGACGCGGCACGCTCGGGGTTGAGGTAGGACGGGACCTTGGGGGAGTACAAGTGAAACTTGGTGTCAGACTGCTTATTACTGGGCACGCACAGCTGAGGTTTCCTGGGCTTCGGCACAATCAAAGGCGGGACTTGCGGGACTTGAGGCGGAGGCCCGAGCTCCCGGGGATCAGGCAGACCGTTTGACTCCTTGAGCTGTTGAATAGATGGCAAACGTGGTTTCACAGATCCGCTCTGGTCGCGCGAGAGTGGGCGCTGCTGATACGAGCTGCGTCCCGGGAGGCTAGATAGGGGGGTGCTAGGAACCCGAGCATCGTTCGTCCTTCTCACAAGCGGGACATTTGGCTGACTTGCGACCACCTGAGGACGAGCGCGATAGTGCGCAAAGCCTAGCGACTGACAACGATCCCGGGGAGCCTGTGCACTCCGTGATTCTTCGACAAGATTCAAGATCTCCGCATCCGAGATGAAGCCGGGGCTCGTAGAACGTGAAGAAGAACGCAAGGAGAATTCACTAGACGGGGGCCTCCGAACGTGATACGAACTCGCCGACCAGCTTCCGCGAGACGACGGCCTGCTTAGCAAATCATCCGTTGACGACGAACCTCGCTGATGATTGTAGACCCCCCGAGGCGCTGCGGGGAAGCTATCGTCCGAATCGTATTCACAGCTGAGTCGCCGAGAAACAGTGCGAAGTTCTTCAGCACGCGGAGCGCAAATTGATTGACCTGTTCGAGGAGACTTGACAACCAGCGAGTCGTCTTGAGAAGTATTGTGGCGTCTGGGGGGCGTATCTCCGTCATCTGACGCATTCTGCGCAGATTTGTCCGCAGGCTCAAATTGGAAAGCACTGCCGAGACCAGGCTTCGAAGAAGCTGACAGGGCTTGCATGTGCTCTGGGTTGGTACGCGGATCGAAGGGGTTCGAACAAGTGTCTTCGGACGGGGAGGAGGGTTGTGTCTTCGCGCGTCTGCTGTTCTTGGCCTTCATCTCCCCCGCGTCAGCTATCTTCAGAAGACTTGAAAAGGGTGGAAGTCGCAAATGGGGAGGACGGTCATCCTCCACAGCTTCATGCGGCGGGCTGTCATCTTCGAAGCGCAACCTCGGGCGTTGGACTCGCTCAGCTTCTGGCGGGGACGAGAGCAGGCGCTTCGGAGACTGAACCGGAGTGACAGGAGCACGAAGGGTTTCTTGACCAAGGGTACCCATGAAAGGCAGCAATGAGCCCACTGGAAACTGTCGAGAGTCCTCGGGAGGCTTGCGGCATTGCATGGTTGGGGTCTGCCGTGGCGTTGCTTGGACAATGTAGGCAGGAAGACGGGGGGAACGAAACACGAGGCACTATTTATACATCCAGAACGACCGTGAGTACGCGCCCACAGCCACCCATTGCAGCTGGACAATGCCATGCATACGCTGACAAAACAGACCTCATACAGCCCATAGGGGCCCAACGCCACCACTAGCTTTCAGATGCCAAGCGAGATACCGATCTAAGACCGCGTCCGATCGCGGTCCTGACCTCACGATCGTGGATACCTCTTGTAGTACAATGGACCCGTGGACACGGTGTCGAATGCTATTCCCTGGTAATAATTTTCTGCCGGCGGAAGCGCACGGCGAGGGGCAGGGAAGCAAGGCTCTCGACGCGACAGTGACTAATTTACGAGACGGTTGTGATGGGTGCTCAGAATGTATTTGGCCACTCGGATGACGGCCGACAAGGGAGTGGGCATAGAAAACCTATTACGGTACGCCGGGAATGATGTTCGATCAGCGTGAGCAACGATGAATATGTATAAAAACGCGCACCATAAATGGATAGGTGAGTCATAGTGCTTCGCTGACATTGCCGCAACCAACCCGGGTAAGATGCTGAAGTAGATGACGCGGGAAGGCGAACGCTGCACCAGAGTCACGTACAGGGCCGCACCGAGATCCGATGGCCTAAAGAGTACGACAATAAATTCGGCGCCCCGAGCAGAATACTTACGTGGTCAGGTGCAAACGAGAGGACGGTATCTGACAAAGATCAAGGCAGTATAAACGTGCAGAACGATCATGGGGACAGCTGAATAGACAAGGGGTCCAAAGGGAATTCCTCGATTGATGAGGCGCTGGAGGCTGGAGCATGCTAATCTGAATGGATCAGCTCTGCAAACTACAATGTAAATGGCTGACTGCGAACTGAGCGATATTCATGGTTTCCGTACGTTGCACAGGAATTGTGTGCTCTCGAAGTCATGTAGGTCGTAAATTTCAAGGGATTTGTACCTGCGTTTGTTTGTTCATCGGATCAGCCATGATTATGTGTTGCACGAAAGCTCAGTGTAAAATATGAACTTCTTCATGACTGCATCAATGCACGATGCCCTGCAGCAGAGGGCTCTCGTCGAGAGGCTTCCAGCAGGTATGTTAATCTTCCGTGATTGAGAACGGGCCCAAGCAAAAGTTTTCATTGAGCAGGGGCGATCATGACATAGGAAGGCCCAGAGAGGAAACGAAGTCGCGTGGGTGACATCGTACCGCGTCTCCTCGTTATCATCTTCTGTCTACCACCCACGGACGGGGTCAATGACGAGGCCTGGCTGCGAACATGAGCAAAAGCAGACCAAGCCGGGGATCGATGGCAAATGACACAACAGTATGTCGTGCTTACCTAATGGAAGCATTTGGCGAGTCATTACCCAGATTCTAGAGTGGCATCAGGCTTTCTATGTTATTCCTTATACCGAAAAGACGGCACCCTGCTGCCGGTGACTTGTTCTCTCACATGTCGTTCGTCTTCGCCCGTCAAGCCTGTTCTGATACTTAAGAGCGACTCCCTGACTCACTATCTCGCGTCTGTACCTTCCACTCATGACTGTACACGCTCGTAGTGACGAGGAGACCCCCCTCCTTCAGGAGTCGCCCCGGGCGAAGCCTGCACGCACCCCGATCCCATGGGGGCAGCTGTCCATCCTCCTCGTACTCCAGCTGGCTGAGCCGCTGACCAGCCAGGTCATTTCTCCCTTCGCGCCCGAGGTAAGCTACGCATGCTTTGAGCAAGGATGATCCAAGGGGAAATATCCTTTCGCGTCGACAATGCGCCTTGATGGTTGTCTGGATACGTCGTTGAGCGTTGAAGATGCGAACCATGCTTTGGCACCTGCGCCTGTGTCGCGTCTGCAATTTAACCCTTGCGTCATGCACGCAATGACGCGTATTGCTCATGCAAAGTCTCTTGTTGAGGACCGCGCGAGCCGTATCGCGTCGGGCGACAGCAGACGAGCCGCGCTCTGCTTTCAATTTATTAACATTGTTACTGACATGATCATTAGCTTATTCGCAGCATCGGGATCACGGGTGGGGATGAGGCAAAAGTGGGCTATTATGTTGGCCTCCTGGTACGTTGCCCCACGCAATGCTTAGTTGCGCTCGCATACTGATATCTCGTGTAGCATTCGCTCTTTTTTGCGACGCAGGCAATGACGGTCCTTCACTGGAGTCGACTCTCCGATCGCGTCGGTCGCAAGCCCGTTATCATGACGGGGCTTTTCGGCCTTTCTCTCTCCATGTACAGCTTCGGCTTATCCAGGACCTTTTGGGGTCTGGTGATGAGGTAACTATAACTTCTCTGGTGCTCCGAGGAACACCATATCACTGTAAGGGGATATACCGGATGGATATCCACGTACATCTCCGCAACGGTCTTGCACGTCGCGCGGCTGGCACAGCACTATCTGCTGCTCTGTCCAATTATGGTCTGCAAGATCAGCGAAGGGATCTAAGCTGTACAGATGTACCTTTTTCCCAAAGGGACTAAACTGCTGGGACGTGCATCCTGCTACCCTGACATGGTCTGCGGCGACGCCAGGACAGCTCACGTCAGTAGCTGACGTTATACGAACGAGCATCCCCCTTGTACTCGCGGCTGTTTCTATTCCTGCATGGGGTGCATCGATTCCACGGCGAGACAAAGCAGTATCGAATGTGGAAGGGCCTACGTGGATATCCATAGATAGTGGAACATTTTCTGCCGAACACTGGATCAATCGTCTACTCCTTATTCTCATACTAACGTTTACTCTCGCAGCCGCAGCCTCAATGGTGCGCTCAATGGTAACATTGGCGTACTGAAGAGTATGATGGCTGAAATCACCGATTCCACCAACATTGCCGAAGCATACTCGTATCTTCCGCTCGCGTGGATGACCGGTGGTGCTCTCGGGTGAGTATTCGTGTTGTTGCGCCCACCACGCTATTACCCATCACGTCGCTTGGATATCTACAGGCCTATGATCGGTGGATCATTATCGCGACCACACGAACGCTTCCCGAATACATTCGGGCATTTCAAATTCTTTGAGACATATCCTTATTTCCTCGCATGTGCTGTCCCTGCAACATTCTCTGCTATCGCATGGCTGGTGACGCTGTTCTTTCTGAAAGACGTTCGTACTTCCTCCTCCTGCAAAGACTTCTTCGAATTGCTACTCACAAGCCGACAAACAAATAGACTGTAGCACATCCAATCCCCATCCGCCGCATCCTCAGCCTTCGTAAGAGCAAGGCGAATCTCACCCTCCAAAATGTCGCAGGCGCCGACGCTCCCAAGCCTGTCGCACCTATCTCACCAACCAAAAGTGGCAAGGAGCCTCTCCCTCTCCGCGCTCTTCTTACTCGGCGCGTGCTCGTCTCCGCGGGAAACTACGCGGCACTTGCGATTGTGGATATCAGCTACCGCACAGTGCTTCCCGTGTGGATGTCCACACCTGTCGCATATGGCGGTTTGGGCCTCTCAGCGCCGATGATCGGTGCTGTGCTGTCCGTGTACGGCATCACGAACGGCACGTTGCAGATTCTGACCTTTTCGCGGGCCATAAACTACTTCGGCGCGAAGAAAATCTACGTCTATGGGATGTCGTCAGCGCTACCCATCTTCGCATCCTTCCCGGTGATCAATCTTCTTGCGCGGGAGAACGGATACAGCTCGGGAGTATGGGCTCTCCTTGTATTACAGCTGTTCATGTCGATTGCGCTCAATTTCTGCTACGGTGAGGCATAATTGGGCGTGGAATCAGAGTCGCGCGTGCTGATCTTGCGGAACAGGGAGCGTCTTCATTTTCATCACCGCCTCGTCTCCGAACCGCGCATCCCTGGGATCCGTCAACGGGCTTGCCCAGATGAGCGTATCTATCATGCGTGCCATTGGCCCGGCCGTCGCGAACTCGCTGTTCTCGCTGTCGATAGACGCCGAACACCACTACCTAGGCGGGATGCTCGTCTACGTCGTCCTTACGTGCCTCGCCTGCGTTGCGCTGACCTTTGCGATGCTTCTGCCATCGCAGGTGTGGAAGAACGAGCCTGAGGAGTCATGACCAATCCGATGACCTTTATAATACATCCATCCATTGTCCGCCAGTTATCGTGCGACACCTTCCGAGTAACTAGACGTGACCACGTAGGAATAAATGAATGTAGTCTTGTATCATTGCACCATTGCAAGTTCCGAGTACAAGAGGCAGGGGACGGTCTGAGAGGAGTGGACAATAACTTCAAGGTCAGAGACGCGCGCGCACGCGCAACGGCCAAGTTGCCGTATTTAGCACCGCGGGCACCGCACCCAACTCAACTACCACCACTACCACCACCATCTTTGTCCCCTCTACCCTGCTTTCTGGTCCTCAGTCGCATTCTACACCCTTTCCTGGTCGCCATCGCCCACTGACCATCCGCCATGTCGTCTTTCGCTGCGCTTATGGCGCTGAGCGCCACACAAACCCGACAATCCGAGGCGGCCGTCCAATCAGCTCTGGTCGAACGTCAGCGCAAAGAGGCGCAGAAACGCAAGGAACAGGAAGCGCGTGAGCGCAAGGAGCGCGAGATGGAGCACAAGCTGCGACTGAAGCGCTTCGAGGAAGAGAAACGGGAGGAGGCGCGGCGGGGGCGCCTTGAGCAGGAGCGGGTCGCGCGCGAGCGCGAGCTCGCTAAGCGGGAGGAAGAGGAGCGCCAGAGGCTGCGCTACGGCCCGAAGAAGGTTCAGCGCACGGACAGCAAAGGTTATCCGCTTTCGAGCGCGGGCGTACGGCGGACTCGCGCCTCGGATGACTCGGACGACGAGGGCGCCATGGCTTTGACGCGCGAGGAGAAGCGCAAGCGCCGTGTGGAGGCCGAGATGCGCCAGAGAGTGAGTACACCGCGGCGCGCGACGCAGTCGTCGGGCTATACCAAGGCGGGAAGACGGCTGCCGGGCGGCGCTGTGGATATCATGACAACGAGCATGGCGCTGGCTGACTCGAACAGCTCGCTGTCGGTTCGCCAGCGTCTCGCCGCGGCGCCTGCGATGCTCATCAAGCTCAACGTAAACAAGCGGGACACCCGTACGATTGATGAAATCCAGAGGGACCTGGAAAAGGCCAAGGCGGCGAAAGTGCTGCAGGGCGACGACGCGCGGGAGTTCAGCGACTGGTTCGGGAAAGGCAAGGTCGCAGCGAAGAAGACGGCCTCGCCAACGGACTCGACATCTACATCGCGGGCTAACACACCCGCAGGTAGCCAAATCGCAGCATCCAAACTGGCCAGTGGGTCCGCTTCGCCTGCGGCCAAAACGCCTAGCAATTCCCGACCTTCAGCACCTTCCGCCACATCGAAATCCGCCCCGCCCCCACCCCCGCCGCTGCGTCCCACCGCACTTAAGGCGACTCCTGGCAAGAGTACGTCGTTCGGCCAGAAGTCCTCCCCGGCATTCTTCAAGGCCACTCCCTCCTCATCTAAACTTGCTACATCCGCGAGCAAACCAAACCCGAAGAAGCACACGCGCTCTTCTTCATCTGAAATAGACTTGCCCGAACCCTCTGCCAAGAGACGTGCTACGTCTGCAGGTCCGAGGTCCAATGACATAAGCCAGGAGATCTGGAAGCTGTTCGGAAAGGACCGTTCGCAGTATGTCCGCCAAGACATCGTAAGCGACGACGAGGACATGGAGGCAGATGCCCAAGCCCTCGAACGGGAGGAAAAGCGAAGGTCAGGATCTCGTTCCCCTTACTCTTGCTCACTCCCTGTGTTGGCCAAATCATTGTTCGAGGCGGGCGCTGACCCCTTGATGTGCGCCACAGTATGCGGATGGCTAAACGCGAAGACGAACTTGCTCTGGAGGAGGAACGACGTCACGAAGAGGAGAAGCGGCGCAGGAGGAAGGAGAAAGAGACTCGGGAGAAGAGAGCCTGGTAGTTCTTGGTATGTATATCGTCGTTGCTCCCTTTCATCCAGGATACGGACGTTATTTGCCATACTTGCCCTGGGCTCACAAGCACCCCCCACTAAGCACGACGCCCGTGCCTATATGCTCATCATCTACTGTTGTAATACCATCCATCATACTCTCGTCTCATTCAGGAAACTGTTCCTTGCATCCGATATTCTAGACTCATCGTGAAGGCTTGCACATTAGTTACGGCGGTTAAATGACATTTATTCGTTTGTCTCAAACATGTTGTAGCCAGGGACGACCATGTACATTAATGCCTACAGTAGCGAGCGATTATCACGATAGCGAAGCGTAGCGAGCAAGTGAACAAAGGATGGCATGGACATTCCATGTAAAGGGGCTTAATACGATATAAAACAACGACGACGACTCGGATAGTGTTCAGCTGCTGGTTTCATCCGCCTTGAATCGTTTTCTTGGTCCGTCAGGTCCGAATTGGCCGCCCCCTCCGCCTTGCATGAAGGCGGGATTGAAGTGTCCCTGGACATTCGCAAAGCCACCTCGGCCCATGCCCATCATGCCCATACCTACATAACGTACAACAAAGTCAGTCCCCGGAACACACGCGTACAACGGACATTGAGCCCTAGAAAGCCGTACCCATGCCGCCCATCATGCCGCCCCCGCGCCCGCCAAAGCCGTTTTGGTTCATCATGCCCCCACGTGGGCCCTGCGGGATCATGCCCCCACGTCCGCTGAAGCCCCCGCCCATCCCGTTTCCGACGTAAGCAGGGTTCATCGTGCCCATACCAGGCATACCGCCCATACCCATGCCCATCATGGCGGGCATCCCACCCCTCATCATGCCACCATTCATCATGCCGCCGCGCATGTTCATATTCATCATATTGTTCATAGGCATTTGGTGGTTCATGCCCCCGCGGAAGTTCCCACCGCCGCGTCCGGCGTTCGATCCTCCGACTGGTGTGTTGCCTTGATGCCGCATCTCACGCGGAGGGGGTTCTAAGAACGAATCATGAGCGTCTGGAAGACAGCTTGATAGTAATTATAGGCGTTCCCCACCTTTCGGAAGTGTCCTGAACGGATTTCCTTGAGACGAATTGGCGAGAGTGGCAGTCGCACGGCGATTCTGGAATTCACTGAAGGAGAACCAACGTTATATTCGAGCATGGGCTGTATGCGCTAGCGCTTACTTGTTATCGAACCAGTTCTTGATGGCATTGGCATTCTCGGCGCTGTGGCATTCCACGTACGCGACACTGGAAAACCCGGTCAAATTTACGTGTTCTACCGGATATATGCACGCTTACCCTTTACTCTTGCCGTTGACCTTATGTTCAGAGAAGGTAATGTCCTTATGGTCGAGTGAAATGCCGACGCCGAGCGCGACTTGCCGTACGTCCTCATCGGTCGTCCACTGTAGGGATTGGAAACGTACACAAATTTGTCTCAGAACGATGCGAAAAAATGAATACTAGACGACGAGACAAACAGACCCATTGTAGATCTCCGATGTACAGGGAGTCAGAAGCGCCTTGCCCAGGCCCTCCTCCATTTACAGCCTGATTTCCTGCAGACGTGTTGTTTGTGATGCTGCCATTAGCGCTACCGTGGGGGCTATTGGGCGCCACAGAGGTATTCGATTTCGCGTCAGAAGCGGAATTGTCTTGCGGTGGATGGCCATTCGACTGGTGTGGCTGCTCAGAATCATCCTCTTCTCGTCGCCGTTTTTCGCCAGTCACGGGGGAACTTGAACGCTGTTCCGAATTATTCTCACGGGGATCGGCGGTCTCTTGCGAGTCGTCGAAGGACTTAGGAGACTCAGATGGTCAATGCAAGCATAAATAGACGACCCTTCCTGCACTCACCTCAATAGGCTTCGATGGGTTGAAACCATCATCTTCGCCATAGATATCGAAGTCGTCTTCAGGCATTTCTCGCGTGGCTCAAGTATGTGAAGATGGGGGATAAAAACTCTGTTGCACTTTTTCTGGAAGTACGACAGGGGGTTTCGAGTACCGACAGACAGGAAGACAGCGATGCGACAGGATGTGGTGAGTCAGAGACAACGACTTTGGAGGATTGCCGACGACCACGTCAGTACGACGAGTGAAGCAACTCTTACAAGGATTTGAATACAGGTGACAGAGTCCTGGTGCTCTACAGAGTCCTTCTTCGCCCGGAATACAGACAAATTACAGCGCGCAGGCCGGAAACGTAGCAGGCTTGCGAGAGAGCTGAGCTGCGGAGAGGACGGGCGGAGTGGAGAGAGTGGAAGTTGGAAACAAGACAGAACAGACTGGTTGGTTCGCGGCCCATCTCGTCATGTGGCTATTCTGTTTGCTTCTGTTTGTTTCCCCAATAGACGCCTGCCATGCAACCCGCTGCCTGCACTAAATTCATCTCTTTGCTCAACTACTCGTCGTCCATGCCACTTTGTTACAGTGGCTGGGGTCAATGTAACGTCTAATTCCCTCGCCTTTTACTAGGGGATTCCGTGTGTTGGCCCCATCTTGTAGCCATACTCCGTATTTTTCAGAACAATGCTTCCTTTGGAAGTTCTATCGCTTTTTGCGGTTCTGTACACCGCGAATTGTTGAGACGTGTCCGTAATGATCCAGATGAATACTCGAATGTTAAAATGATACATCCGGACTCTGTAATACTGTACACCTCAATAGTAATGGGGTAGGAACACAATAAGGATATATGCTTAGGTTCCACCGTGCCTGTAAGACCATCCATGACAAGCTCACAGTCGCGCGTTCTTGGGCAAGTGCTTGATCGCCTGACGCACACCCAGGTCCCCAAGGACGTCCTCAGCTACGAGACGGAAGACGAATCAGATGGGGGAAGAACTGAGTGAATGCAGCACTCACCTCCACCAAGTAGGGCATCGAAGGGAACAGTTCTGTGATACTGCACAAGGCATGGAGATGGCATTAGTGCGCTGAGCATCATCTACAGCAGCGAGAGACCACATACGTGCTCAACAATCTTGCCCATGCCCGTCTGGGTGATACCACGACCACCGAATATCTGCACAGCATCTCTGGCCGTCTCCTGCGCACTCCTCGTAGAGTACATCTTAAGGAGGGCAATTGGACTGTCATATTGTGAGCGGGAAGTTCACGCCTATCAGTTCATCAAATCCTACTCACCCGGCAAGCAACTCGGCTTGTTGCTTATACGACTATCAATCCATCCATTCCGTTAGCTTGTGATGATCCGACGCAAAGACGCACGGCTTACCATGTTGTTCATCTGGTGCGTGATGTTCTCCAACCAGGCCTGGGCGCTCTCGGTGCGCGCAATCATCTCGGCAAGCTTCGCGCGGATGACCGCTTGTGAGCTGAGAGGCTTGCCGAACGCTTTCCGCTGGTTGATCCACCTATGCAACGAGCACAGGCGTTAGCACGCACGAGGCATCCCACTAAAAGAACTAAGTAGACCGACTTCAAGCACTCCTCGACTATCTTCCGCTGATTCTGTACTGACGCGCAAACCATAACCCATCGCTCATGGTTGAAGTTACTATTGGAACGCTCGTTAGTCGAGTCCAAACGAGGTTGCGCAGTGAATAGCCGACCTAAGAATGACGAAGACACCGCCATCAACAGGACCTAACGTGTTCTCGATAGGAACCTTGACGTTGTCGAAGGTGATATATGCTGTGCCAGCTGTCGATGAATACGACGTCTTAATGGCCTTCGTCTCCACACCGTCTGACCGCTCCACAAGGATGGCGGTCAGGCCTTTCTGAGGTGTCGAAGGGTCATGTTAGGTTCTGCTGCTAAGAGTAGAATCCGGTGAAACTGACCTCTGTCTTACAGCCAACGGTAAAGCTATGATGTGGTCAGGACGCCATATTTGTTTGTGATACGATGCGCGTTATGCTCACTAATCAGAGAAACTGCACTCTGCGGTCAGTACAGACATTCACGGATAAACAAGTAGTACATACGTTCCGTTGGTGATCCACTTCTTTGTGCCATTGATAATCCAGAACTTGCCATCCTCCGACTTCTTCGCTGTAGTCTTAAGACCCGACACGTCTGAGCCTGCGAAGGCCTCTGAGATGGCAAGGCTGATGAACTTGCTGCCAGATAGCACCTCCTTCATCACGCGGTCACGCAGCTCCGGACGCGCAAAATGCATGACGGGTGGGAGGCCGATGACCATGCCGCCGTTGAAGCCGTCCTGGTAACCGCGCGGCGAGATGCGGGAGAATTCCTGGTTGAGGATGAGCTAGAACGTCATGAGCGACAGGTCTTGATGAATGAGATGAGGAAAACCAACTTCATGGAAGTAATCATACTTGAGGCAGAGTTGGGGTGAGCAGGCACACAAATACGGGCAAGCGTTGGCATACCTCTTCTGGTTTAACAGCACCATTCATTAATGTCAGGCCCTGAAGATGTTTGCCCGGACCCATGCGCATGGCATTCATATTCAATTCTCTGTGAGGACAGTGAGCGGGGCAGCACAGTCAGTCACAGATCGTCAAGAGAACACACCCCATCTTTTGAAGAACGCTCAGAGTTGGTCGTTTGCCGTCATCTTCTCTAGCCTAATCACACCTGGAGTGAGTCTTGGGGTGAAATAGAGGTTGGCTCAACGCGTACCCATGCGTCCGGTACAATAAACTCATCGACGAATTCGCGCATCGCCTGCTGAAGCCGCTTATGACTCTGTGGGTCTGTATGAGCTGCAGTGCGCAAGATCAAAAGGCCTAGAGCCCACCTCGTTGAAGTATAGGCTGTGGTAACCCTTCGCGAGCCATGTGGGCTCCGCATACGGCACCTCACTCAGCTCGCCACGAATGCGCCCGTGCAATTGGCTCTTCTCCCCAGCAATCGTTCCGATCTGAAGACGCGCATATTGAGGTCTCTCAAGGACCTCGTGTCGATGGAGCCCATAGAACGCTTCGGTCGCATCCTCGCCAGCTGCAGCTGTAGTAAGACAGGGGGGCAGAACATTTATATGGAAGCAAAACGCACGGATGTCCTCAGTAAGAAACACATTTATTCCTCCAGGATGTAAGTTCTTGAACTTTGTCACATCGTACACCTTGGAGTCGATGATAATCCACTGCGTTGCAGCGCCGGCGTCAGCCCATCATGCACGTAGCACAGCAGATGCGGGAACCGCCTCACCAGATCGTCGGGTGTGTTGTGCTACACAGTTCGGAGACGCCTTGTTAGAACACGGTTATGTCACCGAGGCTTGTTCGCTTGCCTTTGCCACATCCTCACGGGTGAATTCCTTCGCCTCCTTCGTAGACATCTTCCTTGCCGTATATAGTTTCCTCACAAGGGAATAGCCCGGACGCTGGAATGATTGGGATGGCGATCGTATGCGCTCTGACACATCTTATAATGCGGAGAAGCGACTATCACATGCGAGTGCTCAGTCCGTGATATTCGCGGTCACGAGGTGCGCATCGACGCGGGGACACACGTCGATGCTTCCGCTCTTGACGCGGCCCCTAGTTCCGGCCCCCGATCTCGGGCAGTGTCCCAATGCGTTCATTTCATTTCCCGCTACTCTTCTCTGATTTCGTTCACAAGCGAACGTGACCTGGTACAAGCTCTACAACCCCCCGGCATCGCTCCCAATCTGTGTCTAGCCATTGGAAGGATCATGGGTAGTATCCGTTGGATACTGTACCGTAGCCAGCCGGGCAATTTGCGAAGGACAGACTCGAGCTACCACTTCGCATGTAGCAGATCTTGGCGGTGATACAATCTCCGGTACATTCCGGTGTACGCACAGAGCTCTTCCCTTGGTAAGTGTTGAACAGCTGAACAGCATCACTGTTAAGAGCGCTGTATCTATTCAGGTCATGTGTGGAGGTGCGTACTTGTACCAGCGACGAATTTGTCTCCATCGCTAAAACATATCGTGCACTTGGTAAGTCTACTCTTTATCTTCGCTTGTTGTACCGACCTTCGGTGACTAGATGCCACCACGTAGCGTTCAAGGGGTCATTTGGTCCCCAGCCGGTGATGCTATCGCCATATGCCGAACGCGTGCTGTATTCCAACGCGTAAGTAGGCCCGAACTCGGTCTGGCCATCAAGCTCGGGGAAGGTATTGACATCTGCCGCCCAACTAAACTACAGTCAGCATTCCCTGAAAGTAGCATCAGAAGAACACTAACGTGTAAGCGTCCAAGATATCGAATGTCTGAAGGACCACGCGTATCAGCACTGATTAATATGTAAATATCCTAAACATACACCTGAATCCACTTCGTACATCCGGAAGCCGGAGTTCAAGTTACTGATAGGTGTTACGGAAGGAACAATCTGCAGAGAAGGGAGGAGATCAAGCGGCACACTGAAGTACATATCTGCATAAACGCGCTTACCCATGCTGCTGTCTGTGCTGTTTCGGCACTCATCGTTGTGGCATTGTTCGTATAGAATATCTATGGGATGATATTGAGATTGAGGTGTGGGGGTTAGATATGGTGAGTACGTACGGTCAGCTGGTCCTCGTGGGTGTGCCCAAAGAATATAGCTGCTGAATTGTAGCCTGTGACATGCGGAACAACATACCGAGACGTACCTGCGATAACATGAGGAGAGAAGCGATCGACGCTGGGAACATCACAGTGTCAGCACGGAGTTAACGCCTTGGTCGAACAATGTCCGAACATACATTTGATAGACTAATCCGCGTATGTGGGCTTTCAGTTTGTTACGTTCGCAAGATCAGAACTCACAGAGGTTAGACGGGTTCTCCAAGGGCTCTGTCCCGTCCCATCCACTGAGGACATGTCCCAAAATCCAAACTTCGTGGAGGCATCAAGATGATATCTCCACTAGACAGAAATGTTACCCACCCCTATCACCTGCATCCTCAGCATCTTGGAGCTCGTCAGTCAAGAATCGCAGCATTCCCGAGTTGTCAGAGGACGCGAGGTTGATGTAGTTAAAGTAATTGGCTCTGCATCGTAAAGTCAGATTGCGATACGGTGAACACGACGCGGTAACCCACGTATACCCTGTCAAAGTAGGTATTAATACTCAAAGCGCAGGGAAATGAGTACGACGACGCACAGAAGTCTGTATTGATGGTAATGATCCTTAGTCCGTCTTGCCGTTGCACAGAATACGCAGCATAATGAGTACGAGCTTGCTGAGCAGTCTCAAGCGAGATCCACTTCTCCAGCTGCCAAAGCGCAGCAAGATGGTCATAATCCCTGACGAGAACCATTCCCATGATTTAGGTGTATAGCCCGAGTCACAAATCACACGTACCACTTGTACTGATTCGTAAGGCCATGCCCGATGTTGTAGGGTGATGACATTGCTCTAGAGGTATCGCCATTCACCAATGAATACCTTCAGATATGAAACTCTGCACATACTGGCTGTATGTATCATGATTCCCTTGGACCGCATAGACAGGCCCTGTTTTGATCATTCGGCCGATCAAGTCATAGAGGACAGTCTTGCTTCATGGTCAGCAATTGAGTCGTCATAAAATGAATATGACAGACCTCTGAGTACAGCGTATACGCCCTAAAGATGATATCTCAGGTTGACGCCTGAGAATGAAATGTGACGGCATACCTAGATAGCTCATTGTCAGGGTCGTGCGACACCAAGTCTCCTGTATAGATTGTGAAGTTAAAACCGTCTTCCTCCGTTCCCGTTACCACAGGAACGGCCTGTAGTGCGGCTAAAATGAGAGGATAGGGTGCGTCGCTAGTCCAATTTGTCAACTTATCTGAGGTAGTCCAAGTAAGTAGACCTACCAGTAATAGGAACCATACCGTGCAGCGGGCGCCGTGATCTTGTCCATACTGGCGGGATTGTAGCTTTGAACACGACAGCATAGGTAAGCACTGCAATTTGACTCAGAACCGATGGAGTAGCCTGTAGATGGGCATTGTAAACGTGAGAATGTAGCGACCACGCAACAAGGAAGAGACTGACGAGGATCAATATGCAGATCTGATAGATGCAACACCTTCAGACGTTGACCTGTTGGCTGCTTTCGTGGCGGGAGAGGATCGGGCTTCGGTTTCGCAAACCAAGAGGTCAGGTTAAGAGGGCTCGTGGGGGCTACTGGACACAAGCTGAGGAAGTTGCTACAAATCATCTATTGCACGAAGCTCATTGTTCCGCCAATAATCTTTATCAGATGACGTACTTGGCCGTCATAGCCACCAACGTCCGCGTATGCCAGCGTCTGTGTAATGAACGAACCGAGGGTGTATATCCCGTACATGGTCCCACAGTCGTTGGTATAGTTGAAATGTTCACACAGGCGCGTAGCCAAAAGCGGACCTTGCGCGGGAGTGGCCATGACCAGGAATTTGGCTACCTCCAGAGACGCCTGGCATCGTGTGCACGTATCGTTACCAAAAACCGGATTTTCAGCGATCGAGATAATCTGAGAAATAGCGGTCTCTAGGAATACATCGGATGTCGCCGGCGGAGGCAAAGGGTGCGCTTCGAACGTATCATTCTGTTGACAGGTTGATGCATAGTATGAACAAATATGTAGGGCAACGTACTTGAGGAATGGTCTCTGGGTCTGTTAACCAATAAGGGTACGTCTCATCCTGCAGAAAATCAATATATACGCTATATAAAATGCTCTGTATACTCACAGTGACAGGATCAGAGATGACCGGTTGTGGTTCCGCCGACGTTGCAGTTGGATCATTATAATACGATTGATACAGAGATGTTGGGAATGCTCCTGGCACGGTATACGCGGAAGGACCGAGACCATGGTTGGGCAACGAGATAGTTTGTTCGGCAAACGTCAAGCAGAGCGCCAAAAATGTGGCAGACAGCATGGCTGGTGCGAAGCGGAAGCTTTACAATGTACTGAGCTACAGCAGCGAGCTGAGGCTCGGCTCAATCGCGTCGACCCCTTTATCAGCATCAGGCCTCTAGGGACATAAGTCTGACTCTGAACACTCTTCGAACGTGCGTGAAATACGACTGGGTGTAGAACTTCCAAAACGAGCCGAGTATTCTTTCTGAGAAGCGGCTAATAACCACGAGACTGGACACTGGCTTGGTTGAGCAACTAAATAGCTGGGACTAAATGGTCGAGGCACTCGCGAAGAATGTGCGGATAATTGACAGCGAATCATGTTGGCTGCCGAAAAGTGCTGTAGGTTCAAACGCGAAAGTCGCGAATTACCAGCTCAAACCTCCATCGAGAATGCGATGGTGGTGCGACCGATGTTCCCACATGTACAGCGTGAATAAAGCTCCTAGGCCAGTGGTCCTCGGGCCGTAAAAATGGAAGCCGATACCTGTGGAAGCCTCGATCGCGGTACAGCACCGTAATATTTAAGGGTACCTAAAGACCTCATGCAGAGACACAGTTCTATCAGAAGAAATATTAGTACAGAGACTGGGAACATTGAAGGTGATGTGACCTACCTGCCAGTGTAAGCTCACTCAGTTGAGTTATACACTTGCCGGTAGATTCATTCTCAAGAAGCAACCTGGAGGATACTGGAAGTACTATTCCTTGTTGACGTTTTACTCTCTGTTACGTGAGCGCAGAAATAGTTGTGTAGGTGACAACAGTTCATGACAGTAATTCAACAAGGTATACTGAGTAGCATTAGTCAAAGCAAAAGCTTGGTAGAATCAAAGCGATTATCACGGAGGACTCTTTTGGTAGGGAATATTATATAATAATTATGCTAAGTTGTTGCTACAGGGTCGGTGGCGTAGTTGGTTATCGCATCTGTCTAACACACAGAAGGTCCTCAGTTCGAACCTGGGCCGACTCATTTTTGCCTCCATGCATAAGTTGCCCTTTATGAACAACGAGCTGATTCCTAATTAAAATACGAAGATCTGAACTGTGTCCCTAATCTCATCGCGTATACCCACCCTCGGGACATCAAGCCTGATAGATACTAAGTGCAATTCTGTAAGTATAGACTTGCACTTGCGCTGCGTATGGAACAGATCTTCTCTGTAACACAATCCCCAGTACAAGCTGCAGTATCCACATAACTCTTCGTCTGGTAGAGGTTGAATGTCTGCAACAGCACGGCAATCAACTACCTTATAGACCATGAAGGGACTATCCAGGACTCACCGAGACGAGAGAAGGGTCGAGTTCCATAGCTGTGTGAAACGTTTAGTTCAGCGGGCCTGCCGGTCCGAGGGCTCAAACGCACTAACCTTCTGTAACTAAATGCCACCATGTTGCATTGAGAGGATCATCCGGCCCCCAACCGGGGACGCTCGCACCGTAGGTCTCTCGTGCGCTGTATTCAAATTGGAACGTGGGTCCGAAGTCGGTCTGCCCATCCAGGTCAGGGAAGGAGCTGACATTCGAGAACCAGCTAGATGACATGTGCTAAGACGTTAATCGAAACATATATGGAGCCATGAAATCTTACGTATATGAGTCGAGAACCTCGAACGTCTGCGGGCCGGACGGTTAGTAGCTAGTAGCCAACACTGTGGCCTGTAGGAAATGTCTTACTCCCGAGTCCACTTCATATACCCGGAAGCCGGCGTTGTAATTCGTGTATGGAGTTACTGAGGGACCAATCTGTAAACATAAATCTCAACGCAATCTCGCCGACCAGCGCTGACAGCTCACCCATGCAACTGTCTGTGCGTTCGCTGCACTAATGTTGGTAGCGTTGTTCGCATAGAAGATCTGAGGATGTTCTCTAAGACACGCGAGATGCGATATTGACCAAAACCTACGTACGTTCAACATGTCTTGATGTGTGTGTCCAAAAAATATTGCTAGCCATACATGAGCAAAGGACAGCAGGTCAGTGGCCGGTCTTGTTAGACATACCAGCAATCACATGGGGTGAGTACCGGTCAACGCTGTGTGATTCCGTAGATGAAGCGACAGTACACCGACAAGAGATGAGATCTCACACACATCTGGTAGACTGCAAACAGATGAGCTACACGAGGTGACTGTAGCCATTAAGACTCACAAAGGTTGGTAGGATTCTGTAAGGGATCGCTAGCGTCCCATCCACTGGGAACATGTCCCATAATCCACGCTAATCAAAAATTATACGGTACTGTAAGTTTACATCTTAACATGTCACGGCTGCACATACCTCGTTCTCCTGCGTCCTCTGCGTCCTGCAATTCGTCGGTCAAGAACCTCAACATGCCGGAGTTATCTGACGATGACAGATTAATGTAGTTGTACGCATTTTGTCTAGGAAAGAATCGGTCGCGTCGATTTTTGCTATTGCGCAGAAATGAGGCAGGCAGACGCACGTATACCCTGCATAGCATGTATCAGCAGAGATCCCATGAAAACAGGTTGTCTGTACTCACAGAAATCGGTATTCAGAGTAATGATTTTAAGGCCATCCTGTCGTTGAACAGCATATGCACCATAAGTGGTACGAGCCTGTTGTGCAACATCCGGGGAGATCCAGTCATCTAATTGCCATAGCGCAGCGACATGGTCGTAATTCCTATGATGATATTTCATTGTGAGTAAATCGACGGTGTCGAGGGGATTCGGCCGTACCAGTTGTATTGATCGGCGAGATCACCAGGCAAGTCATGAGGTGCATTTTGAGCGCTGTAGAGTGTGCTCCAGAGGCTAGACGAGCAGAGGAAGTATCATTATACCTACGTGTTATATGTGTCGTGGTTGCCAAGTGCTGCATAGACTGGGCCGGAATTGACCAGACGCTTCATGAGATCATAGAGAAGGGTCTGACAGAGTATATATCAAACCCAATTTCCACAAAGCACATAGCACATAACCGTCGGACCTCTGTGTATACGGTATACAATCTGAGAGTACAAAATATTAGTGAATCGCCCATTCGCCGTGTCAAAATAAAGAATGCACCCCGAAAGTTCATTGAAGGGGTCATGAGATACTAGGTCACCGGTGTAGATAGTGAATGCAAAACCGTCCTCTTCCGTGCCGGTAAGGGTTGGAATGGCTTGCAGTGTGCTCACAACCAGTGGTAATGGAGCATCGCTAGTAGCGAAATAAGACACATATACACAAACCCGAGAGAAACATACCAGAGAAATGATCCATAGTACGGGGCAGGTAACGTCACCTCATCCGGACTGTATGTGTTGGGGTTATTCGCACGACAGCACACGTTGGATGTACAATTCGCCTCGGCACCCACTGCATACCCTGCATAACCGACCCTGCGTGATCAACATCTTCAGCTCGGGTATTGGTAACATAAGGCACATACGAGGATCTATATGGAGATCAGAAAGATGCAATATCTTCAGTCGCTGTCCGGTAGCTTTCCTCGCAGGGGGAAGAGGATCCGGTTTCGGCTTAGCGAACCAGCCTGTCAGGTTCAAGCTGCTGGTTGGTGCAAGCGGACAGAGGCCAGCATACACGGCGCATAACATCTGCAATTGGTTCTTGAGATTCGCACAGCACTCCGCTCGCACGGTGTCCTACCTGTCCATCATAGCCCCCAAGATCGGCATAGGCCGCGACCTGGGTAACGACGTTGCCCAGCGAGTACATACCGTACTCGGCCTCACAGCTGCTAGTCGAATGTTCGAAGTATTCGCAGAGCTGTACCGTGAGATTCGGCCCTACCTCTGGGGCGGAAAGTGCGACGAATTTACCAATCTCCAGTGCAGCTAGGCATCGGGTGCATGTATCATTGCCAAATACCGGATTAGTGGCGATCGACAGAATCTGGGTGAATGCTTGATCAAGTATCTGCAATGGCGATGCTATAGGTGGCAACGGGTGAAACTCCCAAGTATCACTCTGCGCAATGTGAGTTCATGTCAACAAGTCGCCAAGGGGAATGTCCATACTTGTGGAATCGTGTCCGGGTTTGTTAGCCAGAATGGATAAGTCTCATGCTGATGGATGCATGTGAGAATTGAGCGTGAAGCACTAGAGGTCATACACTGACAGTGACTGGATCCGAAATCACCGGCTGTGGCTCAGCAGAGCTCGCGGTTGGGACATTGTAGTAGGACTGATATAACGAAATGGGGAATGATCCGGGCGCGGCGTATGTCGAAGGACCCAAAACAGCACCCGAAGTTGGTTGCGAAGTCGCACCAGCCATCGCACATTCGATGGCCAGCAATCCAGCGGTTGTGGTTAGGCTCCACATGTCGGAATGCAGTTTGAGCGTCACGAGACTGCTACTGCAACGCAGTGAACGCCTTCAGCACACCAAGAAAGTAGAGTTGTCGGTGAGCGCCTTATATAGGGCGTTCGTGCAGTCCCACGAACCTGCGGAGTTCAGCGATACATCTTGATATAGTCATGAGAAAAGACTGGACCGGATATAGCCCCCTGGACACATCACAGCATCAGGAAGCAACGTGCGTACCGGATACCTGACGTCCATGAATCGCACAAAGGTCATAGCATCACTTGGTCCTGTTCGAAACTTGATGCCAATTGGTTTCGAGAATGGGAACGTCCGGTGTCTATCGCTCTTATGATCCCAGAATGGGATCAAATCATTCTTCTCGTCGACACTGCTCAAACCCACTACAACGCTTCGCTAATAACAAATACTCTGTTTACCAGAATGCGACAGGTCGTGTGGAGCGACCACAACTCGCACGCAGTAGCCAGAAATAATCATTGGGTTCGTGTTGTGAAGAACTCATGGAGCTTACCACGAGCTTTCGTAATATCTGCCAGCGTACTGAATAGAGATCGCAGTCCCGAGGCACTTTCGCCGGCCGCCACTCACACTGGGCTCCTCGACTTTGCTCCTGTAATCAACGTGATCGAAATGACGACGCGGACCTTCTGTGGTCGGTTTTCAACAGGGGAACTGTAGTATACGTTTAGTTTGATCCAAACTTGGTCCTGAATAAAACCCAATTCGGATCCATGGCTTGGCTTTCCCATGCCTGTTCTAATTTTCCGACCTGTAGGAGCAGCAACACCGTGGCATACTCGGGCCGCTTACAGCAATGATGAATGGATATCTGGATCGAGTGACATTTGAGTATCAAGATTGTGAAGGGACTGGAAGGTGCGGAGACGTCTGCTTCGTGTAACTATGAATCCATACCGCTTCACCTGACTCCGACAGTCTCATAATTTAGATTGCAGTTTTGCAGAACCAGGCTCGCACTGGCACTGCGTATGTAGCATATCTTGGCGGTAACGCATTCCCCTGTGCAGGCGGGCGACCTGATAGAGCTTTTGCCTTGATAGGTGTTAAATGTCTAAATCAAGGAGTCTTCGTCGGTCTTGTCCATGGAACGATATCGGTGGAGTAACTTACCGTAACCAATGAGGTATCGTTTTCCATGGCTACATGCAACCGTCAGCAGGTAAGGTCTCATACCCGAGGGAGGACACGAACCTTCAGTAACAAGATGCCACCACGTCGCGTTCAAGGGGTCATTGGGGCCCCAGCCCGAGATGCTGGAGCCATAAGTCTCGCGTGCGCTGTACTCAAACTTGTACGTCGGCCCAAATTCGGTTTGCCCGTCCAGTTCCGGAAAGGAGTTGACATCGGCAAACCATCTATGTGGGCAAGTTGTCCAATCGAGCTAGACAACAGGTCGCACAGAACACTCACGTGTACGAGTCTAGGATCTCGAATGTCTAATGCGTGCATACGCAATGAGGCAGTTTCCAACAAGTAGTAAGTAGGGCAACTTACTCCTGAATCGACTTCATACATCCGGAACCCAGAGTTGTAATTTGTTAGTGGTGTTACAGACGGCCCGATCTGCGTTGTTTGGCCGTTTGACAACATCTCGACACGTTGGACACGACGGCTTACCCATGAAACCATCTGAGCTGTCTCTTTAGTCATGACTGTCCCATTGTTTGCGTAGAAGATCTGATGAACGCATGTCGCGCCGGGTTGCATGTCGTCAAGCTATGAACATAGCTGATACAAAGAAAACACGCACTGTCATCTGGTCCTCATGCGTGTGCCCGAAAAATATGCCGGCAATAACGTGGGGAGAAAACCGGTCGACACTGTGCGAGATTAAGTCTGCGGTCGATAGCTCTGTCGTGATACTCGTACATCTGATAGACTACGCCACGCATAAGGTCGCTGCATAATGTCACTTGAGTGAAAACGTACATAGGTTCGTCGGGTTCGGCAACGGATCCGTGGAGTCCCACCCGCTCGGTACATGTCCCAAAATCCACACTTTAGTAGACATCAGTTACAGGCCAACCAAGGAGTAGACGAGTGCTTCTACCTCGATCACCGGCGTCCTCGGCTTCTTGGAGTTCATCTGTCAGGAACCTCAACATGCCCGAGTTGTCAGACGAAGCAAGATTGATGTAGTTGTAAAAGTTCTGTCTGTAAATGGGCAATTGATGTCATCCGTCATCGCCTCCCGTGTTTAGACATACGTGAACCCTGCGAGAAGGGATCAAGAGTTATCGATTATGTATGAAATCCAGACAGCTAATTGTAATAATCACTTACACATGTCCGTGTTCAGCGTGATAATCCTGAGCCCATCTTGACGTTGTACTGCATACGCTGCATAATGTGTTCGCGCCTGTTGCGCCGTCTCTGGTGAAATCCATTCCTCGAGCTCCCACAGCGCAGCGAGGTGATCATAGTTCCTAAGCCGTCCGGTCAACAAGGAGGCTCTAGAACAGGGCCCAGCCATCGTACCAATTGAACTGGCTTGATAGATTTCCCGGGATATCGTACGGAGAATTCTGTGCTCTGTTCGGAGACAGTGGGTTAGCGTGTCTACATTCAATGCCACTAGTAACACAAACTGATTGAATGTATCATGGTTTCCCTGAACGGCATATACGGGACCTGTCTTGATCAGGCGCTTGAGGAGATCAAACAAGACTGTCTACGGGAGCCGATCAGCAGCACATCGCCGAGTAACGTACAGAATAATCACCTCCGTGTAGACTGTATACACCCTGGATGGACATGATATCTCGTGAGACAGAGAAGACTGCGCTGGGAAGGATACTCACTTCGACAACTCGTTCTCAGGGTCGTGGGAGACCAAGTCACCGGTGAAGATGGTGAAGTCGAATCCTGTACCTTCCGTGCCAGTGAGGATGGGAATGGCCTTCATAACTCCTACCATTGTTGGGAGCGGCACATCACTGCAGCATCCACGCGTAAGCAATGGCACCCGACGGAACGGAGTCCTACCATACCATAGATAAGAACCATATCGTGGCGCGGGGAACACGACTTGATCAGGGCTGATATCGAAGCCTTGCGGACGGCAGCAGAAGAATTGGCTGCAATTCGCTTCGGCTCCAATCGTATATCCTATGGACGACGTGAACGACCGACCATCGCACAACCAGTGTACAACACACACGTGGGTCGATGTGCAGGTCAGACACGTGCAGTACCTTCAGCCGTTCGCCCGTCGGCTGCTTCGGCGGTGGGAGTGGGTCGGGCTTCGGCTTCGCAAACCAGTTTGTCAGGTCCAGCGGGCTCGTCGGCGGGATTGGGCACAGGCTGAAGAACGTGGCGCAGAACGCTTGCCCGTCGTACCCGCCGACATCCGCGTATGCCGCCACCTGCGTGTAGAACGCGCCGAGCGTGGCCCGCCCGTACGCGAGCGCGCAGGTCGGCATCGAGTCTGTCGTAAAGTTGAACTGCTCGCACAGCCGCACCGCGAGCTGCGGGACGAGCTCGGGCACTGTGAGCGCGAGGAACTTCGCTACTTCGAGGGACGCCTGGCAGCGAGCACAGGTATCATTGCCGAACACGGGATTCGCAGCGATCGAGAGGACCTGTGTGAAGGCCGCGTCGAGCAGCTGTTCGGGAGACGCGACAGGCGGGAGCGGATGCGTTTCATATGTGTCGTACTGGGAGAGTACAGAAGCAGTAGCAAGGCATCTATATTGTCGTCGATCATAGATTTCACATACCTGTGGGATGGTTTCCGGGTTCGAGAGCCAGTATGGATAAGTTTCGTGCTACAGCAACAACAGTAGATTGAGCACTTTAGAATCTCATGCTACACGGGCACTCACCGTCACAGGATCGGATATCACAGGCTGTGGCTCAACAGAGGTGGCGGTAGGATCATTGTAGTACGATTGGTATACAGAAGTCGGAAACAGCCCGGGGATGGTATATGCGCTCGGCCCCAGTCCACTTATGTGGTCCGATTGGCCGTCCGCGACCCACACCAGCATCGCAATGCAGGCCGTGGTGAGCAAGCTGCGAGACATTTTGGCATCCACAGCAATACAATGTCGCAATGAGCTTGAGGGCGAGCTCTCCAGAGGTCACTGCATTCGCAACCGAGAGGACGAGGTTAAATGCAGAACACGACAGCATTTCTGTTGGAATTTTATGCCGTACATTGTAGGTACATGGTCGAACGTGCGTCAGGAACAAGCACTGTGGGGTTCGACACAGAGACTTCTGAGGATGATGCATGTACTTGTGCCATACCTCATGATAGAGTCGTTCTAAAAATGTTTCGGTCCAGAACTTCGGATAAGACGATGCACCATTCAAAGGCGAACACATACCGAAATGCAATCAAACCCCGCTTCTCTGGTGTCGTAACCCTGTAAACTGTCTAACTCGCCTTAAGGACACTGTCACACCATAATTAAGACTCGCGGACCCGCATCGAGACACCTCAAATCTTTTGGGGCGTCGGTACGGAAGTTCAACAACCACCTTCAAGAGCTTGGGGGGCTCATACGTACACGATGCGTGCTCCAAGTAGACCATTCACCTCCAAAGACACTGCTGGTGGTCTCTGAGGCTCTCGGACCCCAGATATAAGTAGCATGACACAAGCTCTACTCGACATCAGTGTCACTCTCAAGGAGATCGATGAGGTCAAGATGAGGTGTACTTAGCCTACATTCAGCTGGAGTGTTGTCTCCCCTAGGCAGCCTACAATAGAGCGCCCTTTTTGATGGTCAGAGGATGGGCTCTCTAAAGGCTGGAGTGTCAAGTGCAGATGACAAGCGCTTGCAGGATGTGTGGTGAGCGCTTGTCAACGCATCATGGCTGATGCAATGACTTTGAAAAGTAGTAAAGTGCAGGGATGGGCCGTGAATGTGGCTTTTCGCTCATGAACGCTTCTTAATTTCTCAGAATTGCTGCAGGTTGCTATTTCAACCATTTGTAAGATTACACACTAGTACCACTGATACAACAGATTATGAAACCGAATACGTTCACAATTTCTTAACAACGTTCATCTCCTGAAGGTTGAACGAGATGTAATAAGTGGAGGAACGTCAACGATATAAATGTCAAGCGCACCTGGTAGTTGGTGGTCTTTCCCGTGTTGTCGTTCTTGATGGCGTAGCGGACAGACTACAGCGTATCAATATCAGCCTCATCATCGCTGCATACTAGGAAGACTAGACTTACTCCATCCTCAGCCTCCGAAACCGACGCAATAGTACCAGTAGAGTGTGAGACGTTCTCGGTGGCACCTGCACGCGCAAGTCATGTATGAATACTTGGCTGGCCTTTCACGTAAATATACTTACCACCGACAGGGCGGTACTCAACCTTGTCACCTTGCTGAGAAACGTTAGTATACATTTTCCTCAGTCAGCGCAAGTCAAACTCACCTGGTAAGCAGAAGACGGCATTTCGATTGTCGCGGAGATAAAGAGTTTGCAAATGTGAGTATGATTTGAACGCGCAGACGATGCGGGTCCTCGAGATGCATCTGAGTGGTTTATATACACGCGAGGAGGATCTCTGAGGTCATAGGTGTCGTCACCACCATCCCTGTGACGCCTGGATGCTACCCCACAGCACGTTCGCGAGCTGGAGAATTGCCAAGCAGCAGTGGGGCCTTCGACTGGATCTGTGCCCCTAATCCGGAAGGCAGGTTACCTTATAAGGAAGCGGCTACCCTGAGAAGTCCTCCTACATGACGGGAAAGAAACATTAATATTCGTATAGAAGACACAATGATGCTGCTCAAGGATAGAGTACTAGCAGCTCCCAGGAATCCAAAGTATTCAGGACCAGGACTCGTGAAGAGCGTGAACTCGCACCTTGCACGTGCCCCACATCAGCGCTCCTATGGCAGTTGGCAGGGAACTTCATTGTTGCACGCACCACCAGATTGTCCCGTCTCTTGATATAACGTACGCGTCGCCTTGAGCTTAGCTTGCACGAGAGCCCACGCATCCCTTCGCCTGGCCATGGACGAAGTCGAAACCGACATCGGCTTGGTCAATCTCTGTCACCGACAATCCACCTCTCCTCCGAGTGGATCGCGTCGGCACTCGAGAGCGGTCTCGTCTGGTTTGAAGTCGCCCTCCTCACCTAATCTTCTTCCCCTGACGCCGCGTAAACTCTCCCGTTCGAACACGAACCCTTGGAAACATGCAACCTCCTCGCATCAGTCCAGTCTAAGTCTCGATGGCTTGTCAATGGAGCCCGAGAAGGTGATGCGGCTGCGTCGCTGGATAGCGAGCATGGTCATAGGTATAAGTCCCCTGCTTATACCCCTGATGCGCCATTGAGCTGACATGTATGGTAGTCGACTTCGACTTGGATGTGGGCCCGAAGATAACTTGCATATATCCACCTCTAGACCTGTCACTGTCTGAATCGGAAAACATGTTCGTCAACTATCTATCATACTTTTAAAATTAAGAAATAATTGAGACGACCATCTAAGAGCATTCTTGTCCTTCCCCGACTCCCCGCAATTCGAACAGGGATCACAAGCTCACTCCTTCCGCATCCGCATAACCGCAGGTGACGGGCTCTTACGCTCAAGTACCCAACGCCCTCACTCGGAAGACGGCTTCATGTATGGCTACTCATACTTCACACAAAGAAGAGACGCTACATCGAAACGAGGATACCAACAGGTAACCATAACTCCAATGGTGGTGAGACCTGATCTGAACCATTGTCCAGCGCTCCCTAGTCATCCTCTCGCATCTCGCATACCCAGCGCTGTTCTATACCCTGCTCTCCAAACTGGGACCTGCGTTCTTATCCCACGGAGGACCCATGTTGGAGGCTGCCTGCCACAATATCGCTACTTGGTACGCAGCCCTTCCTGCTGTCGATTTGTGGCTCGCTGAGCCGCGAAAAGAAGGTCGGATCCCACCGCAGGCGCGACCCTCGAGCTCGGTTTTCTTGGATCTGTCCTCCAAGCCGAGATTCCGAGCAATATAGATACACAGCAGGCCCCGGCGAAGTCACAACTGGTCGTTAAACCCGGAATGCACGGAATACAGTACCAGATACTTGCGTCGTTGGCACCGCCGGATCCCCCAGTCATTGATCTCTTTGGCGCGTGTTTATCGCAGCTCTGGTCAATATGGGAGTGTCTCGTTTTGTGCGAACCTATTCTCGTGTTTGGCCCCTCACCGGCTATGACCAGCCAGGCCATCTGGTGGCTGCGAGACGTGCTGCGACCTGTACGTCGTTCTCCTTTATGCGTTATTCCCTGTGGCATTTGGTAAACACGTCGTTTAGATTCCTGTGGCTGGTGACTTCCGCCCGTTTTTCACCATTCACGATGCGGATCACGCTGCGCTCGTCAATTCACGCCCACCCTCGTCGGGCCTGATCCTCGGTGTGACTAATCCCTATTTCGAGCGAGCATGCAAGCATTGGCCACATGTTCTCAGTCTTGGAAGGGCACCACGGTCAGTGCCAATAGCACTCCTCATGCATGTCACGACAGCTCATCTCTCTGATCAGCCACAAAAGTGACGCGAGCGCCACCCTGGGCCCTATCCCCGGATGGAAGTCGCGGACTCACAAGCGGTACACCTCGAAGGACCAGGCACTCCTGCGGCAGCTCCAGGAGGCATGCAATGGTTCCGAACAAACCAGTGCGTAGCGTCTTGCGTGCCCAATATAATTTACCAATGTCCTTCACTTGTAGGACGGGAAGCATCCGCACTTCTGCGGCAGCACTTCTCGTCGCGCACTGCGGCGCTCCTCGTGCCACTACAGCGCTACCTGCAGTCCCTCATCCCCCCGCCAACCGCAGTCTCCGCCACCTTTCCTACCACGACCGAGGGCCAGGGCCGCGCTGCTCACCCGAAGACGTCCAGTGGGGCGCGCTTCCCGAAGGCCTTGTCCGCATCCGCGATGTTCCCCAAGTCCGCCGCGGCGAGCACATTCCCGAAGGCGTCCGTCACGGGCACATACCCAAAGACGGCCGCCGCAAGCACGCACCCCAAGACGTCCGTCGCGACAGCGTTCGCATCGTCGGGCTCCTCCGCGTTCCCGTCCCCCGCGTCGAGCACAGAGGACGACCCGCCCACGTGGAACCCCGCGTTCCCGCCCACGCCCACAGCCGGCGCGCACCCCTCGCCGGCGACGGCGTCCGCCCCGCAGAGCGCCGTGCCCTCGCGCCTGCACTCCGCGTCTGAGGCCTCCCTCACGGACTCTGCCCTGTCATCTACGGACTCTCTCTCCTCGCCCGCGCCGTCGCCGTCGCCCGCACCGACACCAACCAGCGCGGTGCCGCGACTCGCGCCGTTCAGTGAGCGCGCGTTCCTCGCGTCGTTGAAGCCCGTCGTGCTGCCGTTCCGTTCGGCGGGGCGCGCGAAGGAGTTCTATGCGCGCTGGATCCGGACGCCGGCATTTGGCGTGTGGATTGCGCGGCAGGAGGAGGTCGTGGAGAAGGTACTGAGGGGCGTGTAGAGCTGTTGTGAAGTGAGCATTGTTGGTGAGGTCTTGACATAGGATACCCCCGTATGTATTGTACGTCGCGAAACGCGATCCGAGTGATTGTGGCTGTATGTATGCGACTTCATTAGTGGATAATCAGCGGTTTCACCATGTTTTGGCTGCAATGAAATCTGAGGCATGACATGTCGATAAAAGTGATATCACTGCAGGGACTACCGGAGACTTCTTTATTTTGCGTGTGGTGATGGTCAGCATGCCATGCAGCCCTAGAATGTGGTATGTTGTATGCAAGACGAGTACATAGTCTTCAAATACTCGTCCAAGCAACAACTATCTTGGGACACCGAGCCCCACTCCCGCTTCCCTCGAGCCGGGACTCTTCTGCCGCCCCCTCAATGCCTCCTCAGCCGCAGTCCCCCGCCGGAAGCCAAACCAGCCCACGACAACGTCCTTCGCAAAGATCTCGCCAAAGCCGAGCATCACGCCATTGATGAACGGCAGACCGACGTTGACCGCCAGACTCGCGATCAGGGCAAATACCCGCGTCCGCGTGGACAGCGAGGAGTCGAAGATGGCATGCGTCGCAGTAGACACCGGTGTGGGCGGCGCTGGGTCGTGCGCATGGTGGGGGCCCGCGTGCGCGTCGTGGTGGCCCGCGCGTGGGGGCGCGTGGAGGCGCGGGTGCGAGCCGGAGGAGGGCGAGTGTGGGTCGGACGGATACGAGAGCGACGGGTACGAGGACGCGAGCGAGTCCGAGTGGATGTCCTCCCACTTGTGCGACTCCGCGTCTGGCGGCGTGGGCGTTTGTGCGTGCATGGGTGCGCCGGGCAGGATCTTCTGGGCGGGAGTAGAGGCGTGGTGTCAGTGGGGCTAGTTACAGAGCGGGATGGCAGGATGGGCCGGACGCACCTCGAGCTCCTCCTTGGAGTGCTTGCCGGAATGCTCACCGCTGACGAGGTCGCGGGCATCCGCGACGCTTGGCTCGCCGGTCGCAACACTGGCGGCGCGGGTGCTGCCCTCGATGACGACAGACGCGCTGGTGCTGCCGCCGACGCTCTCCCAGCCGCTCTCGCTGCGCGGCGGGCGGCCCTCCGCGCGCTCACGGCGGCGAATCTCCTCCCAGCGGGCACGCTCGCGTTCGGCGAGCTCACGCTGCTCGGCAGAGCGGCGGCGCCATTCCGCGACGTGCCCCTCGTACTCGGCCTTCCACACGTCCTCGGCAGAGTCGTACGTCGGCACGCTGTCTGTAGCGGCGGGCTCCTCCGCGGGTGCGGCCTCGGGTGCAGTTTCCGGCTCTGGGGGGTTTTCTGGGAGGACGGGCTGCTTGGGCAGGGGCGCGGGTGAGAACGCCGTTTGCAGTGCGGACTGGAGGCGGTGGTAATGATTTATATGAGATGTTTCTACCGAATTTTACGAGCGCACCTGGAGGAGGCTCTCCTCTTCTGGGTTGAGCTGGTCGGCCATGGCTGGACGGCGCAGTGCGGGTCAACGAAGGCTCGGCGTTGACGCCTGTAATATTGCACTGCAGTGATCGATCTCAGCCCCTAGAATAGGGCTTGCCGATCTATCACCGACAGCACGGCCTCGCATCTTCACTCATCTGTATTAACCCTCACTGTGCCCGGCCATGGCGGGGGCAAACTATATGGGTGGCAAGCGGTACGTCCCTTTCGTGAGCCGTCTGACCACACTACAGCCTTGTCGTGCCGTACCACACAGAAATGCTGCCAAAGCTCGAGCGAAGGACAGTATAGGAAATGCACAGAGGTCCTTTTTCGGCAAGCAGAAACTTGGTATCCTCACCAAAGGGCTCAGCAAGTCGTACAACCGAAACAGCGGAGAAAACGCAGTTCCCAGCAGCCGAGGGTTACCGGAGATCTCTCTCGCTCATGCTCATCGCGACCTGTCTTCCAGGATGGAACCTGGAGTTATTGGTCTGTCTACACCACGCAAACACGGGCAGACACGTCCAGTCAAACCCCAGGAGGATACTTCAAGTTCTGGTCCGCGAGGCAAGTCATCCGGTAGTCGTTCCAAGATCTTACGTGCATTGGACATGTCCGAACGTGCGTTCCTGCTGCATCCCCTTTTCTCTCATCGCTCTCAAAGCCAGATACTCTGCTCATCGCAGCCATCTTCATGAAGGCCGAGATGGAGCGCATTTGTAATATTCCTAACCTCGCCGGCCTCGCGCCGGACGCGGAAAGGTGTTTCGAAACCAAGTCGATCGCGCAGGTTAACTTGCGTACGCCATCCTCGCCGACCGAACGTGCGCGGAAGAGAGTATGGTCTCGCTTTGAGCGTGTCATGATGCGCTGCCTGACGCTATACATAGCGCAAGATTTCCTGCAGCCCCTCGCTTTCATTACACCATAGCTTCTCTCCTTCGCTCTCGGTGTTATCGTATTCAGCCGACTGGAACGACTCGATGTCCCCCTCGTACGAAGGGCCTGGATCGCCAAGTCAAGAACTATATAAATATGATGGCCGTGAGCTTCCTGGACCCTTGGGCTCTCCAGGTAAGCTTTCGCATCGCATATAATATGTGTTTTGCAAAAGGAAGGTTCCCAGCTCCAGACTATATGCGCGCAAAATCTCGCAATCCGCTAGCACACTCCGATGGTAATCCTCAATATGTAAATCAACTAGATTTTGGGAAGCTGGCCTACACTGAACTGGACTTCGAGCCCATGCCTCTGGATAGCAGCCCATTCGACGACTCTGGCTTCGTCGAGTTAAACGTTACCCCGAACGCGCACAGCACTTCAAGTCGCAGCTGGATCCCTCTTGCAGAACCCCAGTCTACGAGGTGGTCGTTTTACGATCACACTGATCGCTCCAGCTTGCCCGAGCCACGTACTCCAGAGAGGAAAGATGACCTCGTGGATATTGAGCGGCATGCCGATGGAACTCAGGACAGCTCGATGCTTGGGTACCACGGCTCTATCTCTAGCTCGATCAGTCGCTCTGCCGTGTCTGTAACAATCCCTTGGGCTGCGTCAAGTCCATCTCGCCTGGAACTGCCTCCGCCCCTCCTCCTGGGAAAGTTTTCCTCACCTCAGCAGAAGGATTCTGATGCTGCCGAGAGCGAATGCTTGTTCATGTCTGCCCCTTGTGCTTCTATGTCTCGTCCCGGCCATGCACGTTCTTCGACCGCTGCTTCTGAGTTGTCGATGTCGCTGGAGCCTGGCTCTCTGACAACTTCTGAGGCTCCTGCCTATGCCTCTGACTGCTCTGACTGCTCCGCATCTCGTTCGCCATCTCCTGGTCTTGGCATGCAACGTTATTTATCCATCGCTGTGCCCACAAGCCTTTTCGCTGTGGACCCCATGCCTCAAGACATGGAAGAAGAAAGTCTCCACGACGCGCTGGGCGGCCAGCTGTTCGACGGTGCTGATCCTTGGCGGGCTCTTGATACTGTGCTGGATCTGAAGACCCCTCGCTCGGCAGCCGGCGCCTCGCCCCTGTCTCCTCGGACGCCGCAACGATCAGACGCGTCGACGAACGTGTATGGACTCTCCTCAAAAGTGGACTTCGATTGCACAGGAGGATCATCGGATGTGAAACTCTTCGAGGGGCCGGGACTACTGCCTGTCTCTCAACATTTGATTGGCGCGCTAGAGCACGTTTGCGCGGAGGATGTGCACTGGACACAGACTACTCTATCGGAAGATGCTTGTCTAGTCCAGACTACTCAGGCAGATGCAGACGTCGAACAAGAAGAGACTGACGACTCCTTTTGCTTACTCCTCACGAACAGTTCTCCCGTGAGCATGTCGACGAAGCATCTCCCATCTTGTCCTGTGTCCGAACAGACAAAGCCCGCTGTTGAATGCGCCACTTCACATATGGAAGGCCGGGAGACTACTGCCATACGCACAAATTCGGTGGTCGCCGCAAAGCCTTCCCGCCTTGGTTTCGAGTCAAGTGGCCCCGTGGAAGCCAACGCAAACGTTCCGAGAGTACTGTGTTCCCCAGAACCACCCAAGTTTGACGACCACGTTTCGCAAGGCGGGCCTCCGACATCGCGTCCGTCGGTGCCAGTGGACATAGAAGGACCTTGTCTCTTTGCCGACGACATTCCTTCCGAAGACGACTGAAGTAGACAGGGAAGGGATGCTGTACGGACAAATGGATATAATATGTAGTACGAAACATGCTATGCTATGCTATAGTGCGATAATTGCTCGAGCTCCCTGATATTCAACAATCGACAGTCATGACCGTGTCTCTTTCAGCTTGCGAGAAAATGCCTCTCGGCACTGATAGTGAGTAACCTCGCCCCTAAACGTTGAGCGGAATGTGAGCGTGTATACCTTCATGAGTAAAAAGATCATACCGAGGGGTGTGCACCGCTATAACGCTATGGCCTATTCGCTTATGGCACTGAGGACATCTAGGACAAACGTTGAGCGCCCTGAAGCCCTCAGAGTAATGACTGTCCTCACATTCGGCTATCCGTCACCTTGACCCGTTTGGTCTGCAAGTACATCAAACGCAGCTCCAAGTCTTCCTTGTGCGCCTTGACGACTTCCCGCCTTACGCGAGTGTCGAAAATAGGCGGGCGCAGGGCCTCGCGGAGGAATGCCTGCACGTCTTGAGCAGTGACCAGTGGCGGCAACAATTGTAAGGTTTCGTTCTGGTCGAGTCTTGGACTGTGTCTACTGATAAGGCCAAGTGCAGGCTTAAGGAGGTCCGTCGTCGGGGTCACAGTAGGTCGGAGATATATCCGGAGGAGTGTCAGGAAAACGTTGCTAGTGTCCGAATGCGGCTGGTAGACACGCTTGCAGTATCTGGCTCATCGCTCAGTTAAATGCAGGGACGCCATTCACGCGCACGTACTCTTCAGCGTGGAGATAGTCATGTAGGCGATAGACGTATATTTCAAGGGCGTTGTCATGTCTTCCAAGTCTACCCAAGAGAATGGCCTTAGCCTCATAAAGATCTAGATCATAATATGGCGTCACAATAAGTCACGGAACAAACGCTCCTACCGGACGCACCTTCCGATGGCAAGAGCGCATATAGTCGGTGAGTGTTATAATGATCTGTCGTGTCGACGAAGTGGAGGAGCCTCGCGTACATATGCGACTGAGTCTCTGCACTCGAAGTCAGCAGCCGGCACAGGCTGTGACAAGGGTCTACGTGCCTTCGTCTCCCTCTTTCTTCGCAGTCATGGTCATACGTAAGTAGAGCTCTGCTAGCCAATCATGGAATAGTTGAGACTCTTCCCCACGTTCATCAATGAGGAATTCCAGAAATCGAGCGCATATACTGGGGTCAATGCCCTCCAGATATTTCGCCACCGGTTGTCTTGGAAGCTCGACCTCCTCTGACGTGAAGATCTGAGCCAATAGAGTCAACGTGTGCCATTGGGAAGATGAACAGTGCATACTTCGATACCAATCTCGGAATCCTGCTCGAGGATCCATCGTGAGCTGTCAAAAATCTGCTCCATATTCTCTTGACCCAAACGTTGGAGGTATGAGACAGAAGGCATCAGTTTGTCTCTCAGGTCGGATTCCTTCTCGCTCAACCTGCAACCCGGTGAGACATACGCAGCATGGATAGCCAGGCAGACTTACTCCCGCAACAAGTGCAACGCCTCGCCATGCATTTTTTGGCCGTTGTAAAGGAAGATAAGCTCTGAGAATTTCTGCCATCATGGTTAACATGCCATCCGCGAAGTGAGGCATTTTCTCGAGACCAACCTCTCGCGCCCTCAGCACCTCCTCCACTTCAGACACCTCACACCAGTTCGGCAACCGACACAGCGGGCCGAGCAGTCCCGGCCGCACCAGCAGGTACGACTTGAACAGCGCCGTATCCACGATCTGCGCAAACCGTACGAGTTCCTCTGGTGTCAATGCCGACAGGGGCGCGTCCGGGAGCCCGAAGAGTTCTTCCCTTGACGCGGCCGAGAGGTTCGGCATCTGGTGCGACTGGGCGGATGTGATGCTGAGCGCGCGCAGAGCACCGTCGATCTTGGGCCGTCGGTCGGATAGATAGCGCATGAGCGTCTCGACGGACTTGTGAAACTCATCTGGGCAGTAAAGCGTGTCAGAGGATGGCACTGGATCCGTGGATGGAGACGCACCCTTCTTTGGTCGCTCCTTTCGCCTGCCTATGACAGACGCTGTCTCGTCATCCTTCGCCGCAGCGGGGGCGATGATGTTTTCTAGGCCCGTCTTCAGCACGCCTGCTATCGAGTCCTTGGGCGACGGCTGCCGCGGAGGCACCTCCGCAGCTGCACTCGGTCCTTCCTCCTGCTCATTTCCTTTGTGGACTGACGAAGGCTTGCTCTCCGCCACTTTGGCGGGCCCGCCGAACAAGGAGATCCACTCGTCCTGCGGCACTGACAGCCTGCCTGCAATGCTCTCCGGGTACAGTGCGACGACCTTCGCCGGGTTGATGTCCAGCTCAATGAACGTGTTGATCGCGTCGTCGTACTGACGCGCAATAAACTGAGACACGGCATGCAGGGCACGCACTTGCCGTTTCCGACGCTCCTGCGGGCCTGTCAGAGCGTTTCACGTGGGATGGCGTGGTACCCTACCTTGTCCGGGAGAACCGCAACGTCGACAGTGTCCAACAGCGCGAGCGCCTCCGCGTATGACCCAACCTCTACAAGCTCGTCCACCTGTTCGCTCCAGGGCCGCATCTGGAACTGCCATATTGCACTGCCCACAGCCGCGGCTGTCGCTTTTTCCGACGGAGTTGTCACGACGAACAGCGAGCCCTGACCGGCAGACGAGGCTGTCAGCAGGCGCACTGTATGCTGGATGGGTGGTGAAGGGGTATCGTCAGGGGGCGGGGGGAAAGGAAGGGTTTGCACCGGGGTGAGTGACAACGAAGAGCGGATCTCTACTACAGGAGAGGATATGAACGTCGGCGGAGAGGACGTGGATGTTGAACTATTGTCTGGTTGCACGATTGGTACAGTACCAGAAGGGAAGATGGTGAAGATATACGGCTTGACAAAAGCTGGGGCAATGTGAGTATGAACAGTGCCCATAAGTCAATTCCCATACCTAAGTCTTCTGGCGGAGCCGGCCAATCCACTGTAACTTCTCTCGTGGGCTTTGCCTCGCTTCCAACAAAGATTCCGCTGTCTATCCATCCTGAATATTAGCGGCCGGCGCGCAATGGTGACCCTACTCACTGTCTTTCGCAACGAGGGCCTCTTTCTCGTCAATGCTGACGACGCATGGCTTCGCCTTTGAACCAAGGCCCAGAGTCATGTAGCCTCCTAGACCAGACAGTGCGCCCATGCCCATATTGCCGATTGCAGAACCTGAAGTTGCCGTGGGCACTGGCAGCGTGAGTTCCGTCATAGACGACGTCTTCAAGGAGAACAGAGCATAGTCAGATAATGAGTATCCGAAGTATATCGTGTCGGGCCCCAGAAAGGATATCGCACGGGGAGAGTGGGTCAACGTTGTTTCCTTGAGAGCACATTGAGCAGGCTAACGAACGTAGACGCGTCAGACTCACCTTAACTTCCTGTGGTTCTCCATCTCTCCACGAATACAGCACAATCTTCCTCTTACAGCCAACAGCGAGGTGTGTGACGATAACGGGGACATCCTTGGCCTTGTTGAGCTCGCCGTCAAGAGACGGACGTGACTTGGCGTCTGATTCACCGTATACGGTACCGGTGAACGTGCCAAACGCCAGAGCTCCCTTAGTCTTTGCAAGAGGCGTAGGTGAGGCAAACGTCGGCAGCGGATACAATGTTACAATGGAGTCTATAGCGTCAAAAGCGTCAAGGAATGCGTACAGAGGTGACTTGAATAGTTACCTGCAAGGACCACCAGTGAGTTTACATCCTTGATGAAGCCTAGCTGCTCTATGGCTCGGCGGCTCAGAGCCTTCCTGGTGTCCACAAGTGTTGCTTGGGGCTCTCCGGCATCTACCACAAGGCCTTAAACATTGCTGCACATAGAGAAATGGTGTACATACCAGAGACATTGAGCTCGTATACGCTGAGACTTCCGGTTGCTGTCCCAATGTACAGTCGGTCGCCTGAAGAATGAATGCTCAGATGACTTTCGCGGACCAGTCAACAAGTGTATGCGCCTTGCAATGCTAACGATTCGGCTCGTTCTTTGAAACCATTCAAGACCGGACTCGGAGGCAGGAAGGGTGCCATATTTGAGAGTTGGACAACAATCGCATTCGAGTGTGTACAGGTGCCAGCATGCAGAGGCTGCGAAGCACAGCGAGCACGACGTGCACGCTCCTAGACCTACATACGCGGTATGGGCGCTTGCACAGTGCGGGGCTCCCGATCGGGCGCTTCGCCGCTTCCCTGGCTGAGTGATCTCATTCTGCTCATTCTACAGTGCCCTTTCTCTCCCTCTTCTCTTTCTCTGCTGTATTTTCCGCTGGCACATCTGCGCATCTCATATCAAAGCCGACAGCTCCGACGAGAAATATGCTCGATCAGGCTGTGACTCTCTGTCTCGCATGCTCTGCTTCTCTGCCTCCTCGCAAAGCCATCCGAGGCGGTCCTCAGCTGGGGGGCCCCGGTGAGGGAATATTCCTGACGCCCTGCTGCCGTCGCCCTATATGTCCAAACTGCCTACTCTCTAACCCTCGTCTAGCACGTTACAATCCATGTTTGCACTGCTTGGCCGGTGCGGAGGCTGTGTCCCCTCGCTCGTATTCGGCTACGTTCAGGCCAGGAATGAAGCAGCAGGTGAACATTGACGGCGCTGTGCGGGGCGGAGATGTCTTCGTGCTTGAGGATGATGATGATGAACCAGATGATATCGAGGACGGCGAGGGCAGCACAGCGTCTGACTCGCCTGCACCAGATACCCCGCCGCCCGCATATACAGATCCGCACTCTCTGCAATCATTCCCTGTCGCTGGCAGCACAGAGGATATTTCTGAGCCTTTCTGCGAGGACAAGGCCAACGTAGAGTCCGTAGAGCCTACCGCTTCTTCAGGGCCTTCAAAGTACTACATCAAACCATCCGATACCCTCGTAGGCATCGCACTGCGCTTCAGTATTGACGTGAGTCCTGAGCCATCAGTTTGTCACCTTCTCACGCATTACTACCTGCAGGTCGCCCTGCTTTGCCGGCTGAACAACCTCCCTCTTAGCACCCTGCGCACGACCCCACACCTCCTACATACCCGTACATTCCTTATCCTGCCTCCAACCGCGCGCGGCGCCGAACTCGCCAGTACTAGTACGTCTGAAGACGCCGAGCACTCTGCCAGACGCGCCCGCGAGCGTGCCCAGCAGCGCCTCCAGAATCTCACCAAAGAGCGCGACTGGCGTGTCGCCCAGGCGTACGTTGCACTCGCTGACCTCGACGCCGCCGCCGATAACGCTGCCTCTCCGAGCAGCACAACCGCGATTGGTGCTGAATGCACTTCGGAGAAGACAGCCGACAGACTGCGCAAACGGCGCGCCATCACTGATGCTAATAGCGGTGAGAGCAGCTTGGATGCCCGCGCAATTGATCGATATTTGGATGATGACGAGTGGGAAGAGCACGAGCGGTGCGAGGGCCGGGGAGTGTCGGTCCCGGCCTTTCCTCTGCTGCAGACGGGCATGCGCTCGGTCAAGGCGGCCAGGGAGCAGGCACAGAAAACATGGTGGCGATGGCGGTCCTAGACGTCGGTGAGACCTGACGCGCCGGATACGGCGGCTTCGTCAGATATGTCATGGACCATTGCTTATGTATAGTACTATCGTTTCAGAGAGCGGGGAGGGATCCTACCTGTGAGAGATCAGGCTGAGTTTGCGTGTCTTCCGGCCTGCAGAGGGAACAGTCTAAGAACCCGACAACTAACAAAATTGAGACAAGTATTCTATCATAAACTAAACACCTACGGCGCGCGACGCCTACCTCCTCGTCTTTGTCCGTAACTGCAACGCGGAAGAATTTGTCGTCCGCGGCTGTCACATCTCGACTGCTTCAAGAGAGAAGCAGCTTGCTTTTCAGACCAGGCACACTAGCATGGTTTACAACTTGCCATCCTACAACCATATTATTGCCATAATTTACGGTAGAAGCAGTGTCATATGAAAAAGATCTCATCTTCAGGCACTCATGAACAGTCGCTTCAGATAATCCGCTGCCGCCCTCCGCACCTCTTCGCCAACGTCCGCGTTTGCCAACATCTCCGTAGCCAACGCCGCCTTCTCTTTCCTGTTCATGCCGTCTTCCGGGTTACGCCGTTGCATAGCGGCAGCTCGCTCGCGCCGCTCCTCCTGCTCTGCACGGAGCAGCTCCGTCAGCGTCGAGCACTGCTCTACGAGGGCCTGCGTGACAGCCGTTAGCCGATCGAGAGCCTGTACCGTCGATGTCTGCCCGCGGGACTCTGTCCAAGCCGTAGACGCGGGGATTTGGGTCGTTGAGGATGAACCCTTGCGGGCGGAATACGACTGTGATGATGGCCTTCCACGCAGGGGCGTCGCGGTTGGTGGCACATTATTATCATGCAGCGCGTCGGTGAAGCTAGTGCTGGGTCCAGCAATGGGAGGGTGTGGCGGAGGCGGGATGGTTTCGTGCTCGGGCTCCTCGACGTCCTCTTCTTCCTCCTCCTCCTCCTCCTCTTCGCGAGCACCGTGTACCAATTGTGGGTCGACGGCAGGGGCTGGTCCGTTCGGGAACGACATACTACCGGGTCCGTAGAACGGCACAGGCTGTCCTGTCCGGGGATCTTCTCGAAATCTACAACATGCCACGTCAATGTGATGGCCCGTGGGCGGTGGCAGCCGACACAGACCTTCGCTTAAACAGACCGTACCATCCATTCAGATGCCAGTGGTCGATGACCTTCACATTCAGGTTACCAACAGGCACGCTCTGGTTGCGCGCGTCCTCCAGCTTCTGCTCGAGATACGCCTGTCGCGCAATCGTCGGATCGCCGTGGTTCGACATCATCCGGATCGCCTCGTTGTCGCTGTCGCTCAGCGTGCGCGTGAGGTATGTCTCGAATGCAAAGATCTGCTTGAATGTCTCCACATTGCGATGGTAGCAGCTCTTCAGCGCCGTGAAGGACTTGCGTCCGCCGAAGATCTGTTCGGATGCCTGTGCGCTGGTCAGCGGGTAAGCCTGACGAGGTCCGGTACGACATACTTCACGGAACACCGTATTCATCTTCGTCCTGAACATGTCCCAATGCTTGTCGTGCACCAGCAGCCACTGGAACAAGCTGTTCTTCTCCGCATCCGTCCAGTGCTTCGGCCCGCCGTTGGGGCCCACCTCCGACTCGTCCCTCTCATGCGCAGGCAGGATCCGCCGCTTTCTGCTCGTGCTGGCTGCCGACTGAGCAGACGCGCCGCCGTCGTCCAGCTGCTTGCGCTTACCCGCACTATGCGACGGCGACGTGCTCGGCGACTCTTGCGGTCCATCGTGGGGCGTGTGCGAGCTCGCGCTGGGCACGGACGGGTAGATCGAGTTTGACGGCGGGAGGATGCTCGGACTCGGGAGCGAGCTGCTCACGTACGGAACGGCGTTGTTGGGGTAGATGTGCGGGGTCGTGTATGCCACCGGCGATTGAGACGCATAGGAGCTGCTGCCCGAGGTCTGAGACCAAGGCGAGGACGAGCGTGATAATCAGCATTTGATCCAGGAGAGACCTCGAGGCGGCGTACCTGCACGGCCTCCGCGCTTGGGGATTGGTTCATGGACTGTCCGCTCGACGAGGCGAACTGGCCGCCGCCGCCGCCGCCGCCGTTCCCCGAGACGGACGTCGCGACGCTGGAGGCGCTGTACGCGTACCGGCGGTGAGCATGCCGCATGTCATCGTCTTCGATAGCAAGAGGAGCGTACATGTGGGCCATGTTTTTCGAGTGCAGACCGGTTCGCCTGGATGTGCGCGCAGCGTGCAGACAGCGTGCGAGGCGGTTGTTTGAATTGGTTTGGCTCTATGCCGTCTCAGGCGCCCAATAGAATCACTCGAAAGTGGACCAGTTCAGACTACGTGATACTCGAGGCTCGCATCCTGGTTTTGGGGTCATGTCATTATAATCTCGGCAGTACGCACTCGGAGCCTACAACAATACAGCCAGCCACCGGGTACACCAACATCACTAATATGCACAAGGAAGCTGAGAGCGAATAAAAACAACAGTAACAATGACCGCAGGCTGCTATAAGTCAAGGACTACCACGAGGTATCACCTAGATATGAAGACACGACCCATGAAGCGAGTTTTGGTTCTTGGGAAAGATAAAAAATGGTGGCAGTAGTGCCCCACACGAGAGCCGACACCAACAGCGAGAAGCTACCTGTCCGCAGAGGGCTGGAGATGGAAAGGAACAGGAGGGTCCCGCCGGCCTGGGAGTCTAACGTGAGAGAGGACGCGGAAGGGCGCGAACAGCATGGTATCAACAATCTCTGCACGCCGAGCGGAAATGAAGGGCCTCACGATCCGTCTCTCCGCCCTGTATTCGATGTCCCATTTGGTCGGTACATGTATTGATGCGTGGCTGCGACACTTCCGTGTGACGACGACGGCCTTGAAGCATTCGATGATGTGGACGCACCGTAAGAGGCTGTGTTCGCCGCACTTGTGTTCGTTCCATACGGCGTGGTCCCCGTGGTCCCGTATGATGGTGTCTGCGTTGGTGGTGGCCTGTAGTAGTTGTTGCGGTCGGTCTGGGCGCTGGCAAGCACGGGGGAAGGCGTGTTCGCCGCGACAGTAGGCATGGGCCAGGGTCGGGCGTTTGCCATCGCAGGTGACGACGTTGGCGCGGTGCGGGCGGGAGCAATCGTCTGAGAGGTGGATGACGATGGCGGGCGTTGCGGAGCTAAGGCGGGGGACGCGCTAGTGGTGGCTGACTGCGCAGTTGTGTTGACCGGGGCGGCAGGGGCATGTGTAGTCTGTGCATGAGTATGTGTCGTCGCCTGAGTCTGCGCAGTACTAGGAGTACTTGTAGCTGCAGCAGTAGTGACTTGACTCGATTGGGCTGTAGGCGTGGGTGTTTGCTCGTTCTCATTGGCAGACGCATCTGTTTCACGACGACGCTTTGTGCCGCGTGTTGTACTCTCCTTGAGGCCCATTGATGTAGCTTTCAGCAGGATCTGGTGCCTGCAGATCCACGATCAGAGACCACGTTGTCTAGGAGGGCCCCAAGGATCTGCACGCGTACCTAGTCCTACTGTTGCCCCACTGGGATACCACCCAGTCCCACTCAATCTCACCCTTGTTTTGCGGGCCACCCATCTCACGGCTCTGCTCCGCTAACTTGCGTAATCGATCCGTCTCTTCCTCGGACCAGGTGCCCTGCTGCCCTCCTGGTGCTGCGGTACCAGTTGCGGCATTGAATGTTGAAATGGTACCGGTAGTGGAAGCGGCTGGTGGAGGCGAGCTTTGCACCGGAGTAGTGACAGGCTGTGAGGGAGGTGGATAGTATGATGCGGCCGGTTGGGGAGCGTATGGGTAGTAGGGCGCTCGGGGATAGCCTCCGGCTGCGGTTGCATACATAGCAGGATAGTAGGATTGAGGCGGTGCAGCCGGCGGTGGCATGGCATGGCCAGCAAGAGGCATGATAAATGATCCAGCGTTCGTTATGACAGGGCCTGAGGCAGGAGTACTGCTGCTGCTAGCAGAACTAGCTGTAGGGGGTGGCGGTGCCATTTGCCCGTACGATCCCATAGAGTAGACTGGCGGAGGTGGGCTGCCAACTAATTGGCTTGGGTTTGCCAGCTACATTGGGATATTAGAGGAAGATAACGAGCAATTCTCATAGTTGCTCACGAGGTTATCACATACGCGTTTCGCATCCGCGATCATCGCCAGGGGGTCTACCTTTGTTGCTGGACCCATCTGGTAGCATTGGGCGATGACCATGGGAGAAGCGGCTTTCTGAATGATTAGGCCCGATTAGAGACTCAGCGAATCAGGGATGTAGTCGACAGAGCACTGACGACGAGTTCTTCTGCCGCGTTATAGAACTCTGAACACAGGTTCAGTGCTCGCCATTGAAACTCGTAGAATTGCTGATTTTGGGAGACTGCGCCGCCGCTAGCAGGTGCGGGAGGGTATTGATAGAAGCCTGGGTGTTGCGTATTGGTGGGGGGTTTCGTTGTGCTGCTTGGAGCAGCTCGAGGCTTCCGATTCCTCGAGCCTCGCGGGCGACCTGGCTTTCGTTTCCCAGCATCGTCGTCTGTGCCTACTTGCTGGCTTTGGTCGTGAGGTGCTTGTGCTTTGCCAGCAGAATTATTCGCAGAGGCTGCGGCGGATCTTCGCGCAGACGTCAGACCAGAGCATGGGTCAGGACCGGAGTGCTCACCCGGCGGACAGATTCTGCGCGGGAGCAGACGCGTGAGGTGAAGGATTAGCAGCCGAGGGTGCTTGAGTGTCGTGGTGGTCGAGCTCTTCCTCTACAATCTCCTCATCGTCCTCCTCCTCTTCCTCCTCCTCCTCGCGATGGCCAGCGCCATTTACGGCAGTGGGCTGAGTGTGGGAGCCATAGGTGTACTGCTGTTGCTGATTGGAATGGCCGGACGAGACGAGAGGGGGATGTAGAGCGTGCGACAGGGGTTGATAATACTGCGGATTGTCCATCTTTTTTAATTTTCAGTAAATGGAAAGCGGATGGAGAATTGTGTAACGCTGGACGAGCGGAGGGGCGGAAACGTCGTTCAGGAAGACAAAGAAATGCCGTGGGAAAGCGAGGCCGCGCAAACATCTCGCTGGGTTACAAAAGACTCGAGGCGTTGAGCTCGCCGTCGGGGCGGTTCAGCCTTGATTGCTGTGCATATCCGCGAGGCGGCTACGTATGTCGGGCGTGCTCCTCGCTTGCGCGATACATTGGGACCCACATTAATTTCCAGCAATTTTTTGCCGATTTTGGATTCCGGCAACATGCACTGGGCCTGCGAACAAACACCAACAACGCCTCACGACAGTCACGAAAACCCGTGACGTGTGCGTGACGTGCTGTGACGGAACGGCGAGTCAGTGACCTCAGAATTACGGGCCCGTGAATTTGACCGACTTGGACGCTTACCACCACCCTGTTGGACTGAGTGGCAACTCCTCAACTTTACTCAACACGCCCCTCCCTCTCGAGCCGTTCGCGACAGCGAGACACGCACATATCGCCATTTCATACTCTGTTGACCGACGCTACCTCCTATCCCAACCGCCGCGTCTTCCAGCCATGTCCTCCGCCACAACTTCCGCCACAACATCTACAGCCAGTAATCGTGCGACCCGTGCTATCGCTGCCAATGCTCTTCGAGGCGCGGGTCTCATGGACCGCGACACACGCATGCGCGACGTTTCCGACAAACCTGGTGGTCGCAAGGGCAGCGCAGCAAAGACAATACAACACAAAAACCGGTCGTCGCATCGGCCGCGTCCGATTGACGCATTGACGGGCAAGGATCAGGGCAGCTCTTCTGCGAACGCCAAGGCAGCCATGGTAAATAGAAAGATCACTCTTTGCCCCTTCACCCACAATGACCGTCATGTCGCCACATTCTCCCTGTTTGTGAAAACACTTTACTTACATTGTTCATCCTGGTTCCCCCGACGTCCCTTCTCTGTGTCTGCTAAAGCTTGCCTCTCGCATTGCTGGGGGTGAATCAATTGCAATTCGCGGTGCCGCGAGGGGACCGTTAGGTCGTCTTCGCAGAAATGCAGTTTCAAATGGTGATGTCGTTGTCGAACGCAAAGTCGTGGATCTCTGGAGAGAGTTCGTGCATCGGCGATGGAATCCCGAGCACAAATTTCTCAACCTTGAGGTACGTGAGATTTGCACATAATATCTAGATTGTCAATGTTCACATCTACTCTAGCGAATAGCAGAAGACGAGTTTGTGCGACAACATCGGTTGCTACCAGGGTCTGGCGCGAGCGGAGCAGGCAAAGAGATCGCAGTACTATTCAAGCTTGCCTCTATGCTGCAGCCAAAGGTATAGTTCTTGCTCATTGCTTTACTCTTTCCTCACTGTGTTTAGGTCGAGACGATCTCATTGGCCCACAATGGGCTTACGAGTGGATCTTCTCTTTCTCGCCTCTCACACTATCTCCCCGGGGTTGTCAATCTGTCCCTACAGGATAACAAACTGAGCACTTGGCGAGATATCGACTACATCTCAAGCAAAAGGGGCCGCTTGCAGCAACTACGCGAACTCATAATGGTCGAGAACCCTTTGAGGGATATGGAGTATTCGAACAATCGAATAGACCGCTATAAGAGGTGCGTTCATTAAAATTCATGGCAAATCCCTTCTCACTGCGAGGTGCAGCGAGATGGTTCGCCGATTCCCGTCGTTGGACATCCTCGACATGGAAGCTATCCCCAAGATTGGATTCGACGCGCCAGCGGCCTCAACATCGGCCGTGGCGTCCACCTCCCAAGCCACAGCGACAACGTTCCCAGCAGAAATGGGACTCTCTTTCATAACCGGAGTTGATAGTTCTGTCGTCAGCAATTTCCTCGTGCGGTATGTGTTGGCTTCATGTGCTAGAGTTGATTATTCACACGCATCTTCAGATTTTTTCCTCTATTCGACAACCAGCGTGCCGGATTGCTGGATGTCTACCATCCAAACGCGACATTCTCCTTCTCTTCCAACACAACCATTCCCGCGCGTGCGCGAATTGAAGGGTACCATTACTCGAAGGAAATGCCAAACCAACGCAAGCTGGAGTGGACCCCGTGGCTGACTGGCGGTCACGGAGGCTCACGCAACTTAAACAGGATGGGCGGGGGTATAGACAAGATGACGAAGACGTTACATGTCGGCAGCGAAGCCGCCGTTAAGGCAATGGCAGACTTGCCCATTACCAAACATGACATTACGGGTTCACCTGAGAAGTTTTGCGTCGATGCATGGCCTGTGCAGGCGGGTGACTCCCCGCAGCTCTTTGTTACGATACATGGTCAATTCACAGAAGGTGCTTCGACTTCTTGATTTCGATTTCGCTCGCTTACCACTTCATCACTAGAACCTTCGCTTGGCATTCGTTCCTTTGATCGGTCGTTCATTCTGGCTCCTGCCCCCGAGGGTTCTCGGTATGTCTTCTCATGTTTACGGCTTCGACTGTAATCATAAAGTTCCGAATCTTAGTGCCAGACAGACTGGGTGGGACGTCGTCATCCTGTCTGATCAGTTGACCGTCCGAGCGTACTCCAACCACGAGGCATGGACGCCCGGCCCAATGCGGGTTCAGGCGGGTGAACCCATGGCATCCGGTTCATCGCTGCAACCGCCGGCAAATCCACAGATACAGGTTGCTCTATCGGCAATGGTGAGTGTACTCGCACTGATTATCAGTCCCGCCGCTCCGAGATGTCGAATTATCATCGCTAACTATATCTTACCGCTGTCGCAGCCTGAGCCCCAGAGGTCTCTGGTGATGGAAGTACTGACGCGCACGGGCCTCAACCTGGAATATGCCGTCCAATGTCTCGAGTCCAACGCATGGGACGTGGGGCGTGCAATTGCGAATTTCGAGCAGGTGAAGGTGCGTAGCTTAGACTTTGATCATGATCGTCACTCTTGATAAACGTTCTGATCCCGCAACCGACAGGGTACCCTGCCACGAGATGCGTTCCTATAGAGGCCTCGTGCCTACCGAACCGCATCATCCCGCCCTTCAGGTCCTGGTAGAATCAGCATCATACCTTCGCTGCGCGGATCAATTGATTGAGATCGCTTGTGGAGATGCTCCTGACGGACTAGTGATTTCACCTCAGTTCAGAACTTCGTTCTTGCATCGCGCTACGTACTTGTACCCTCCCATGACACTAGCCCATCTGTAACGTATACTATAGCATCGCCTCCCGTCATTTTCTTTCTCACGCACTGTTTATCACAACATATTATTGCATCTGCCTGGCCTCGATTTTATATTTTTGGCGAGAATGAAACAATAGGCGCATCGTGTCTTGTGCTGTTTGAGCAAGCGCCTGCTTTGCGCAAACAAGTCTGGGGGCAAATAAATGTTGTCCGGCGACAACAGTCAACTCATCGCCAGCAATGTTGTTCGCCTCCGGTCATCGGCAGCGCTTGCATTGTCTCTCCCATGGCACAGCACTATCGGCTACGATATCCCCGAATACGACGCACTGAATCTGATATCTCGCACTGTTCTCGAAGACAGCCGCTGCCTCGAGGCTGAACTCATTCCTCGTAAGGAAGATGCGCACTCGACTTCCGGACAGCACTGGCTTCTGATCAATCCTCGGCCTCGTGCTTGTTTGTTAGGCCTCGCGGTGGTGGTAAGGATTCCTTATATTAGCGGCGCGCCGCCCGCGCTGTCCCCATTCTGCTTTCTGGGGGAGGTCTGGCACCTCGGACGTGCTTGCTTACGACGACGACGATCTGGACTCGAGGATGGCGACGAGGGCTGTTGATCATGACCGATGTGGGGCACGACGTCCCGTAACTGGTTCTGTTGCTTTGCTCGACGCCGTGGCACGCGCAGACGAGGAGGCGGTTCTGCGGTCTCTTGAGTCGGGTGCTGACGTGAATGCCTCGGATACCTCTGGTAGAACAGTTATTTCATGCGCGATCGCGGGCGATAGGTGAGATCCTGGTTGCTGAGCTCGCTGTCGGCGCGTGCGCGTAACTCATGAAGTGGACGATAGTTGGGAGAAGTTGGACGTGTCTGACGCGTCGTATCAGCTTCAAAGTCGTCTGAATATCCTGCATCATCTTCTGGGATGCGCGGAACTATCGTTACATACGTTGAATGCGCCAGTGCGAGGCGTCTCACCCCTGTGTCTCGCTGCTTGGCTCGATGTGCCTGAGATTGTGCGGCTCCTCGTCGAATGCAGCGATGGCCTGGTATCCGTCAATGCGACAGATACCTATGGCGCCACGCCTCTCATGTGTAAGTCCGTGCCCTTTGGAAGAGCCTTCGTTTGTTTTGACATACCTGTCGACAGATGCTGCAAGAGATAGCCGGGTACGAACCGTATGTTTTCTGGTAAGCCTGAAGCATCATCTGTCTAGCGATATGACTCACTCGCAATGCAGCTCGCGCACGGTGCCAGGCCCGACTACTGGGATGTCAACTATCGGACATCAAATCAGTACGCTCTCCGGCATCCTTACATCTTGTGGTTATGTGAGCAGGCCTTGAGGCGATTCCGTCTCCGAGAGCCAATGGTATGTCTTGTTATACTCTTTGCGCGGCATACAATCTTTGACTGCCGCTATCAGCTACATCTTATGCCATTGCCACAGCCCTACTTTGATAGACTGGTTGATTCAACGTCCTCCATGATTTACGACCCAGACATGACCGCGGCCGCGACATACACATTGCGCGGCTCTGCTAGACCCACTGAGACGCTTGTCCAGGCGGTGATCACCGCCGATCTTCAACAATTGCGCTCCTTGCTGTTCTCCCCGAGGCCCTCTTCCGTCGGTTCCACGCTGGGGGATACACCCGTTTTGGTCAACCTCCCAGACTCCACAGGCTGGAGCCCTATTCATTACTGTGTCTCTGCTGAGCGTCCCTCTGTGGAAGTGCTCGACACCCTCTATCGCGCCGGTGCCGACGTGAGCCTCTATACCACATCTGGACAGGAAACTCCCCTACACTGCCTTGCATACAAAGCTCGCCTAGCGATGTCACATGAAAACGCTGCTTCTATACACTCATTTGTGCAGCATTTGGTTAGTGACCTCCGTGCACCGCTGGCGGCTAGGGATTCCAATGGAAATACCTGTCTCCATATTGCCGCACAGTATGGTAAGAGTGTCGACGTGGTGGCGGCACTACTCGCGTGTGATCCCAGCGGCACCATAGCGGATATGCGCAATGCGAACGGGTACGTGCTCGTTGGTTGCGTCACATTGTGCTTGCCATTGACAGTCGCAGATTGACAGCATTGGAGGTCGCCAACCCGGAACTTCGCATCGCGTTTGGTGTGGACAGTGAACGCATACGCTCCATGTCTTCTGCGTCCATTCGTACTATCAGACCGTCCACAGCGACATCTGTCAAGTCGATGCCGCCCAGACTCGATGAAGGCTATCCCTCTCCGCCCCTCTCTGCCCGGTTGTGGAAGAACGATAATTCAGAGGCTGATGTCGACTACATGACCTTGCCTCTGCAAATCCTCGACAATCTGCGGTCCGTATCTACTAATCTTGCGGACATGACGTCCCTCGACGTGACGTGGTGTACTCAGGTTCTGAAGGAGACGTCATCTATGCGCGACCGACTGTTGCCCCACTTGCGTTCCCGCATGCGCGACACGGTCGCAGAGCTGCGTAGCGCTCGCAAGTTATTCCAAGACGTCTATGGCCTGTATCAGGAGACCAGTCATTCACTCGTGGACGTGCTCGGTTCAGAGGAGTGGAATGATCCCCAAGGCAGTTCCGGGCACTATCGGAGGCGCACGACCGACTCTAACGATTCCGACGTAACGGCTGTGTCCGATGCCAGCTACGTGCTGGTGAGTCGCAAGTGCCGGTCCATGACAGATCTCAAATTGTCTCGGCGCTCGGAATCGTCGACTTCGTCGGGCATCCCGCTCTCGCCTGTCCCATCATCTCCATCCACCACCACTCTGCTGGGTCAAGGGGGTCCGCGAATTGACCGTACACCAGTTTCCTCCAAGGAAAGCTCCCCATCCCAGTCCACGGCATCTTCGATTCGGCAGCTCACCCGGAAGCGTAGCCACACGTGGAACGACTCGAAGTCCGCTGCTCAGTCGGAGTTGGGCAAAAAAGGATCTGCTCCCAGCAATGCTTCCAAGCTGAAGGCCTGGCTGAAGAAATTGATGCCCGAGCTCGCGTCGAAGTCTGACAGCGCTCCTGATGGACGGTCGAGGAGCCATATCCTTGGGATGAGGATGAGGAATGTCTCTACTTCAAGCCGTGCAGATGGTGTTACTTTCACCGTGCTGTCAATGTGTCGCCGGTGCATGGATGCTTCGTGTCAGGATCTCACCCGCATAGAAGCCTGTTTGGATGTGGTAGGTACTAAGCGCTGTCCTGCCTTGATTTGCTGACACGTCTTTCTAGGTGGAGCAATATATCACATGCGCTAAGCGGGCAATAACTCATGCAGAGGCTAGACTCACGAAAGCTATTGAGGTGAGTTATACTTGCTCAAGCACGACGTAACGCTAAGTATTTCGGAGACTCGCACGATTGCACTCGAATGCATTCGTCTGACGCAGAGCAGAATGCGCTCGTTGAGTGCTGGCTCGCAGTCGTGGCGCAACCAGCCCATCATAATGCGTCAGGACGATATGTCGGACTCATCATTCATAGAGGGCGCAAGCACGAATCGACCACGAGTGCAATCCGCGAGTTCATCCATCGCATCGATATCGTCCACCCTCATCGAGGGCGACGATGATGATACGCGCGTTTTCCGCAGGTTGATCTCAAACAAGGTCGAGGTATGGCTCGACGACTCCGAAGAAGAGGTCGACAAGGCGATCGCGTGGCTCCGTATAGTCAAGGACGCTCTGCAAAGAACCCGGACTAGTGTTCTGCGCCCGTGAACTCTGAACGCTGTAAGATCTGTATCATTATCCTTGCTGTATATTGCTTTATGTTGTCGGGGCTATCCGAATTGCTGTATCTATTTCGCATATGGACACATTTACGCTGTCTCTCCCCCCTCCCCCCTCCCTCTTACTGCACTCTCGCTGTCACATATTTGTACGTTCTGCTAGTTGTATATACCGCCCAGTGTGTAGCTCATGACTAAAATGTGTTGTTTGCATGTGGATTCTTCCCACAAATACTACGGTTTATGGCGTCGTGTTCTGCCTTCGCAGCGTGCTTGGCATAGACGCGTGCCGCGGCGTGGCACAAGCAGCGCATCCATACGCGTCGCGTTGTGCCTCTGTTCTACGCGTGCCACAACTATTGTCAAATTGAGATTTGTGGCCCTCGTTAAGGTGCACGCCTTGAACTTGAACTCGAACTCGAACTCGAACTCGACGATACTCACGATACAAGTCAACGCAGTCCATCATGCTGCATATTCCAGCCCTTCTAATACATGCGCTACTCACAAGCACTTTTCCTGCAAACGCGGTCAGCGTGGCTGAGATACAGGGCGCGTCGTTTCAGTCCCCGCTGGCCGGGTCCATGGTACAAGATGTAACTGGAGTGGTTACAGCAAAGGTCAGTCTCCACCTTGTGATCCAAAGTCGTTCATAGCGAACATGTTATGGCAGCCCACCATGGCTTGATGCGAACTTCAGGGCCGATTTGGCTCGCCAGTTGGCATCAACTCATCGGTATATGGTCTTGCGAAGGTCCGCGGTGCCGTTCCTCTTGTGACGTACGCTGCAGGTGACTGACCAACAGCCTTTAGGATAAGTATGGCGTATGGATAATGGGAGACTCACCCAGCGACGACCCGCGCGTATCTAATGGACTACGTATTTACGGATCCTCCGCTCTGAAGTCCGTGTCTTTAGGAGACAGGATATCCCTCTCGGGGCGTGTCACGGAGTATCGCGCCAACTACAGTCCAAACGACCTATTCCTCACCGAGCTGGACCTGCCACACGCAGTCACGGTGCTCTCGCACGACAACCTTGTTGTCCCTCTCGTTTTGGGCGAAGACCGTACCCCTCCCATCGGGCAGCTTTCAGCGTGCGATGTCGGGCCAGACGGATGGCTCTCTGTGCCGAACAACGTTACACTGCTAGAGTCGCTGAATGCTACCTTGCAGCCAGACCTGTATGGGCTTGACTTCTGGGAAAGCCTGGAGGGACAGCTTGTCACCATACCGTCTCCAGTCGCGGCCAACTTCCCAGACAGATTCGGTTCCGTCTGGGTCTATGGTGATTGGCCTGTCTCGGGGAAGAACTCGAGAGGCGGATTGACCCTGACATTATCTGGCAAGTATCCATGAAATACCCAATGTCTCTGTTTATAATCGTGCTCAACTTCGCAAACAATCTGTAAAGACTCAGACAATACTCCTTACGCACATCCTGGAGCTATCCTCATTGGCCATCCCCTTGACAACACCAGGAATCCGCGCACTACTATGGGCACGACGATGAACGATATCACGGGCATTGTGACCTACCAAGTGAGCTCTATAAATACGTTTTATGGGCAGTACCTCAACTTTAGGACCTCACAAGTACGGGAGCTACTACGTCTTGCCTCTTACTGCACCCAAGATTCTCTCTTTCCCAACTTCCAAACCCGAGCCTGCGTCGGTCGTTTCTAGTACGCATCCCTGTGACATAACGATTGGCGACTACAACGTGCGTCTACCGCTATTTCTTTATTTTCTCGTCCCTAACGCAACAGACGATCGTCAGGTAGAGAATATGGGCCCTCGTTCACACCACCAATCGAAGATCGCTGAGCATATCATAGACTTTCTCAATGCACCCAATATTGTCTTCGTCCAGGAGATTCAGGACGACTCAGGGACCAAGAACGATGGCACGGTATCTGCGAACAGGACGCTTGGTGCCCTCACTAAGGCAATATCGAAGGCGAGCAGCGGTCAGGTGCGATATGAGTTCGTCGACATACCGCCAGAGAACAACATGGACGGCGGTCAACCCGGCGGAAACATCCGGGTCGCTTACCTGTGAGAGTACCATCTCTTGGATATCCCCTTCTTCAAGCTGACAGAGTATTGCAGATACCGTCCTGAGAAAATATCTCTTGTTCCTGGTTCACGCATTGGCAATGCAACAGAGGCGACAGAAGCCGTTATCGACAAGGAAGGCAGGTTGACACTCAGGTATGTGTTTCGGCCTCATGCATCTATCGTCTTGATCAACCATCCCCTGCTTAGCTTGAACCCAGGACGCATTGACCCTACAAACGCCGCTTGGGAGGAGGCCCGTAAGCCTCTGGCGGCCGCATGGCAGACTGCGTCTGGCGACCGTTTTTACACCGTCAATGTCCACCTTAGCTCGAAACGCGATAGCTCGTCCGCCCAAGGGGACGCGCGCCCCCCTGTAAACGGCAAGAGTGCACAGCGCACTGCACAAGCAAACGTGACCGCGGTAAGCCTCCTGTGAAGCATGAGAGCTGTCTCATTTCTCAACCCTCTGCGCAGGCCTTCGTTGACACGCTTCTGGCGCACGACGCCAACGCCAGCATCATCGCCGGCGGCGACATGAATGAGTTCCTTCAGACCCGCAGCGTCTTCGCCGCGTTGCAGGACCTGCTAAGGGACATCAACGAGATCGCGGGGGTGCCGCCGGCCGAACGGTACACCTACGTGTACGACCAGCACGCGCAGGAGATTGATCACATATTCGTCTCGCCCGCAATCGCAGCGCGTGGCGCGGATGTCGAACACGTCCATATGAATACATGGGCTCAGACTATGGGTGAGCGTGCGAGCGACCACGATCCCAGCGTTGCGCGGGTGTGGGTATGCGAGAGCGAGGGCGAGGCATGGAAGGAGGGTACGTTCAGCATATATTCGCTCATGTCGTCCCCGAATGCCCTGTTGATCTTATACGTATAGGGCCCATTGCCAATAGCGGCGTAGAGGTTGATGGCCAGATCGTGTTCTGGTAGGGTGCGGTCGAAGATGTGCTCACTATGCCTTGAGTATGCTCCATTCTTGTTTTACACTGTACTTTGTACCACACAGTAATTGATGCACTCTATTACGTAGTTGATGCATGATGCCTGCTATGCCTGCATGAACATCTGTTCTACGGGCACGCCTGCGAGCCGAGGATCTAGGCAGGGCCGGGACGTGCTCTTATGAGAATTTCCGTCCAGGGCTCATGGCAGGTTCATGCTCCGGCGGACTTGCACACGATAGACTCAAGTCCGCTGCTCGGATTTCCGCCCAGACTCATCGGCTATTCACCCGGGGTGGAGTGACACAAAGTCCGCCCCTGTTGAATACTGTGACCTCCCCGTGTACCGAATGAGAATCGTGAGGTAGACATTTGCTGTAATCCTCTCGCCATCTCGCCGCCATGGCCAGTAACGAGCGCTATATCCATCCTGTCTAGAAGGTCAGATTGAGGAAGCTACTGGCATCGCGCCATGGAGAGCAGAGTTCGCTGTCTGTGATTGCTTGCAGAAGCAGAGAGCGACGGGATAGACATCGACAAACAGACGAATATTGAGATAACTGGCGTGGATTAGTATAGCTGCTGCGAATAACCTCTAGAGTTTAAGGGATGAGGACACGTCACCTCGAGGTGACAAGCGCCGCTGTGCTTCATGCCGCTTATCTGTGGCTGTTGCGAAGGTCTATCGTTAATGATTTTGCTGTGAGTGAATACGCTCTTGGTAGCACACCATTCGACCAATGTGAAACTGTTTGAATTGCATGGCAGATTGAGCAGAGACTCGCAGCAGCCCGAGACGTTAGACCGCAAATGACAAGGGGACTCTGGGAAGCTGGCGAACTGAGAAGGTCTGAGAAGGTCGACGCATTCTATGGTTTTCCACCACACGTTGTCGACCCAGTCGACGTCAACGGAAACATGAGGCTCGCGGCAGAAATTGCCATGATATGGTTTGTCTCGCATATGACCTCATAAATCAGTGTAAGCCGCTTTTCGTCTCCCTCATGCGTACCTTGCACACCTTCCGGAACCTGGCTGCTTTTGTAATTGTCAAATCAGTATGCCTAACATCAACGTGCAACCCACTGTCGACACCACCCGCATGCCTTCTCTCACCAATGCAGAGCCTGCAACAATTCCGATAACGATAGACGTTGCAAGATGTATTTCAGGCCAAGTGGCCCAGACGATGCATGAATAGTTTACAAGCTTTGGCTAGCGCCAAGAGCGGCCACTCCAGTGCCCACTCTGAGTCGTGCCTAGGGGACATCATTTCAGCGGGACATCCAAAGTTATCTTGAGAGCGAGCTTACATCATCGAGCAAATCGCTGTCAATTTCTGGCAGCACCTCCAGTTCCTGGTTGTGCGGCACCACGTTCCACCGCGTCGGCGCGTTCTGCACGAAGAGACACACGTCCTCAGGCAGATACTGCCCATGCTCTGCGCTGAACTCTTCACGGAGCTGTCGTTCCTCTGTTCACCCACCACCCGGCTCGTGAGTGCTCGCCTGAGATTGTGGGGAAGAAGACGTGCCTTCAGTCATAGCGTTGAGCTGCGCGATCATGCCATTCACGATACGATCCGAGGCATCGCGGTACTGCCGCCGGCGCGCAAGCTCCAGCAACAGCTTGCTGTAAGCATATTGGTATGACGTGAAACGATGTTGCAGGTCCTCGATTGTCACGATGTGGTGGTGCAGCAGAGCTACGTGTTCCCTGGCCTCGTCCTGTGAGAGTGCAGGTCAGTCTCCAGATGGGCTGGAAGTCTTGAGCATGGAAACTACAGACCTCGACAGCTTGTTGTCGTTCGAGCATCTCGGACATGATCTCGCCGAGCTCGTCCAGATCGTCGAGAATACGACGGTGAGCGTCGAGGTTCTGCTGGGCGGTGCGTTTGGTGGCAACGAGTTTCGTGCTATGGCGGTTAACGTTGGAAAGCTCCCTGGACTGAGAAAGTACGGGAACCCACTGTGCAGCATCAATAGACACGAGTCTCTCTTCCATTTCGGACAGGATGGCGGGGAGCTCCTCTGTGTCACGGTTCATCTCTGTCCAGGTAGTACCCCAGTCTATGAACAGTTTATACGAACAGCACTATTCGACTGCATACCATGCAAGTCTTCATGAACAAACGTCTCGCCGGCTTCGTGGTGCTCCAGAGCCGTGGACATCTGCTCGAAATGGGCGGCGAGACTTTCTAAGTGGCTTGCCATGTCTGTCGACGCGATACCCTGCGCTTGGAAAATATCTTGCATGGAGGGCAGCGTATTCTCGGCAGGTACACTACCCTCGATGGCTGCTATTGTGTTAGAGAGCGACTCTGGGTAGTCAGACGTTCGCGCCAGAATGTCCTACATCGAGCCTGCGTTAATTCCACTCCCAATGTAGCATGAGAGAGGACGGGCGTACGTCAAGCGCATTCCGATCACTCTCAATCGTGTCCAGGACGTCCTCAATCGTCCGCTCGTCCACAAAATCACGTAGCGTCTTCCACGTCGAGCGGTCTCTTGGCACGCCGTTTATATTCAGCCGGACGCTGCGCGTTATGTTGCGCAGGGTGTCCGTCGGACTCTGACTGGGCGCATGCAGCTGCTCGCCGAAGATCGGGATGTCGTCCGGGTCGCGCTCGCTGTCCGAGTCGTTCTGGATGCCGAAAGGCGACGGGTCGGGCGCAGCGGTCGTATGAAAGTCTGGCGGAACGGGCTGCGCGCCGAGTGACTCCAAACTCGCGTCAAGCGCGTCGGCACGTTGGGAGCGGATAGTGTCCCATTCCTGTGGGGTGCAGACGCATACATCCATGCCACAATTCCGGGGTTAGCAGTAAGCTGAAATGGGGTTACGGACGCCTTGCCTGTGCCTGTTTCTCCAGCTGGGACCGCTTCTGCTCAATGCTCCTTGCGACATGAGCAGCCATCTGCGAAGAGGCGGTATGAAGCACACTCAATGTGGTCGGTATATGAAGGCATTCAAAACGTACCTTGAGCTGCTCCAGAACCGCCTCTGAAAGCCATCGAACTTTGGCGTCCAGTGCGAGCAAGTTTACCGCACTCTGTGCTGAGGAACGCGAAAGTTCGTCCGCTCTGAGACACAAATCTTTACCATGTTGTAATGCTTTCTTAGACTGCACAACGAGTGAGACAAGGTGAGGCTGTCCAGAGGAACTAGAAGGAGTGGGCGATGTCGCCATCATGTCCTATAGGTGCTAGCACTGGTAAACGCCATGAATTGTCTAGAAGCACGGCGTCCATGGCAAACAGTCGCGCAGAGCACCTCCCCAAATGGCAAGCACAAACGATGCGAGCCAAAAAGTGAGTCGGCCCAGGTTCGAACTGAGGACCTTCTGTGTGTTAGACAGATGCGATAACCAACTACGCCACCGACCCGACACTACTTAGTTGATCAGAAATGTTTACTTATTTATTCCGCATCTCATCGTCATCGCAGCATTCAGCTCTTGAGCTGCTAACGCGAAGGGCGAGCGTGCTCATTCACTGCTTGATTGTTGTCCGCCATGTCCGTCCTCGCACCCATCATTTGTGATAACGGCACTGGTTTCTCAAAAGTTGGGTATGTGCAGTCTCGCGGATAGGAGTATCCTCGTTGAATCCACGGTATATCAGGTTCGCAGGCAACTCCGACCCTTCATTGTAAGTTGTACACATAGGTGAGCTGCAATCTGGCATCCTGACCAAGTGCAGTGTGTTTCCGACAGCCATTGCGACGCGCGGGCCCGTTCAACAACCCAGCCGCTCAGGCCCAGCCGTTCCCCCGCGCCCCGGCAATCTCGCATCCAAGCGCGGCGTGGAGGACCTTGATTTCTTCATCGGCGACGAGGCACTCGCGAACGCACAGACACCGGGCTATGGCGTGTACTACCCTATTCGTCATGGGCAGATCGAGAACTGGGATTACATGGAGCGGTATTGGGAGCAAACCATCTTCAAGTACCTTCGCGCCGAGCCCGAGGATCACTACTTTTTGCTGGTGAGTCTCTGTTAGGTTCAGTGCTCTGTGGGATATCCTGGTACTGGTGGTTATCGAGGGTGAATGTTCGCGCGGTCTACTTGAGATTCATCGTGACAGCCCACGATGCTCTGGTCTACATTCCTTAGGCCACTGCTGGTATGTATTCGTAGTCGAGACATACGCATTGTCATTACTCTGCACCATGGGCCTCCGAGTCGTCCAAGGAGATATACACTATGCTCGGGTTTTCAAGGAGGCCCCTAATAACACTAGCGCGTCCCCGCAGCAGAATATACACTGACACGCGCCTGCCCACCACAGACTGAGCCGCCGCTCAACCCTCCCGAGAACCGCGAACAAACTGCCGAGATCTTCTTCGAATCGTTCAACATCAAGGGCCTTTACATCGCTGTGCAGGCTGTGCTCGCACTCGCGGCATCGTGGTCCTCGAACCGCGTCACAGACCGCACGCTCACGGGTACGGTCATCGACTCCGGCGACGGTGTCACGCATGTCATCCCCTGTGCGGAGGGCTACGTCATCGGCAGCGCGATCAAGCACATCCCCATCGCCGGGCGCGACATCTCGCAGTTCGTGCTCAACCTGATGCGCGAGCGCGGAGACATGACGACTGTCCCGCCCGAGGACCAGCTCAAGGTCGCGGGTAAAGTCAAAGAGAACTACAGCTACGTGTGCCAGGACATTGTGAAGGAATTCCGGAAGTACGACCAGGAGCCGTACAAGTACTTTGAGCGGTACGAGGGCGAGCATACTGTCACGGGGCGTGTGAGTGTGTGCTATGTGCCGGGCTCATTAGTACTGACCTACCCTAGAAATACTCGGTAGATGTCGGTTACGAGCGGTTCCTTGCGCCTGAGATCTTCTTCAACCCCGAAATCTACTCGTCTGACTTCCTGACACCTCTACCCGAAGTTGTCGATGGCGTTATTCAACAAACACCTATCGATGTTCGACGTGGTCTTTACAAGGTGGGTATCAGCGCTAAAGATGTACGCTAGAAGTTGTACTCATCATGCGTACGCCGCAGAACATTGTTCTCTCCGGAGGATCGACAATGTTCCAGCACTTTGGTCAACGCCTGAAACGAGACTTGAAGCAGATAGTGGACCGCAGGCTCGATGCGAGCGTCACGGCAAGCGGCAGCCACATGCGAGTGAGTTTCATAGTGTCATGGGTCGCGTTCCTCGTTCTAGTGATTAACTTGGGGTAACAGTCGTCTGGTGTTGACGTCGAAGTCATCTCGCACAAGCGCCAACGGTCAGTCTAGCGATAGTGAATTGACTATATTATCCTAAACGTATGTTCGCAGGTATGCCGTCTGGTTTGGTGGATCTCTCCTCGCATCACTCGTACGTTTTGCCTCTGCATCCGTGTATATCCACTCACTCACTCGCGTATAGCCCGAGTTCTATTCCTTCTGCCACACGAAGGCGCAGTATGACGAGGTCGGCCCAAGCATCTGTCGTCGATACCAGATCTTCGGAAGTGCAACGTAGAAACAATGTTAGCTGGAATGGCCCGGTGTATTATCATATCATACCACAAGGACACACAATACGAAGATGCTATCGATTACAACATTGTTTGAACGCAGTCAAATGGTTACAGATGCAAGGTAAGGTGCACAACTCGACGATGCCTTCATGAAAATATGGTACAGGCCAGTCAGTCTCCTAGCTTGAGCAACTGCATTGGAATCCGAGCAGTTTTCTGTCGCCCATGCTACAATATCTCCTTTCTTCTCGAACCTCAGCACTCAAGGACCCTTCGTCGCCTTCGGCACCCCAAGGTTCGAACGGATTGCAGGCCATCTGGCAAAAGATATTGTCAAGTCGGACCCCCTATGTTTTGGAGTTCTGGATGCATACCTGCAGCACTTTTCCCAGCAGCCTCTTCCCACTGTCGACATCGCGCTCGACATTCTTGATGATCTCTTCTAGGACCCACTGTCTGAGCACGAAGCGAGGGTTGGCTGCCTTCATATCACGTTCCCTCTGCTCGTCCACACTGCCTTCACCCGTTGTCCACTCCTGCGCCTCGCTTTCCACGCGAGCCGCATATTGCTGCAGCCACTCCTGTAGGTCCTCTTTCGCTTTCTCGCGGTTGATCACTTGCGGCTCACCGCATAGCTCGAGGACACTCTCGATGAACGCACTGCTTCTGTCCTGCACGCTCAAGGCGGAAGGGCGGAAGAACGCCAGGCGTCGGAATGTACCGTGGAAGTCGAGCTTGTGCTTCGCCAGCAGATCCAGCAGAGGCCGCGCCAGCTTGGATTCGTCGTCTGTGTCAAGGCGACGCAGCCCAAGTCGCTGTTGGTCCATTTTGGTCAGAACGATGTGTGTCTGACAGTCCAGGTCGCATGCGTACCTTGTGCATGAGCCGGCCATATTCAGCCGCACTTGTCTCGATAGCGACCTTCTCTAGCTCTTCTTCGACGAGCTCTATGCCTCTCTTACGCCACTCGTTGATTTTGCCCGAAGGGATCTCCTCAGTCCATCCCGGAGGCAGCGCCTTGCCGAATTCCGCCTCAGCACCGATCAGGGGCGCAAGAGCGTCCAACAAGGAGCGGAGAGCGAATAGACTGTATAACCCGTCAATCATATATCGGAATACTGTTATTGTGACACTGACACAGCTTTGGGTTGCCACTGTCGGCTGAGTTAACGGGAACGGTATTATGAGACGATGGGGGCTAGCGTACCTTGTACCCGTACCGACCTTCGTGATCATCGTGGTTGCAGATGTGGAATGAGTCGAAGACATCCATAAACGCATATGGACCTATACCACCGAGCAGTGGAGTTCAACAACGGCTCAAATGCAGGTACGAGGAAACACACGCTCACCATAGTCAATCGTCAACCCAAGGATGGATACGCTGAGTAACACATCCTGTCAGACCTCCCATCCGAGCCAAACCCAAGCCAAGGCCGCGCACTTGTCCGTATTGATCACACCATGCATAAACCCGTACGCCTGCCACCCCGCGACCATCGTCGCGTTCCGTCTCGCCACCTCCAGAACGAGCTCTCGCCCCCACGGCCTCCCCCCACCCGCCTCGAGTCCCGGGATCCTGAGCACTCCGCGCGCAACCCACTCACCGAGCACGCGCAGTGCGTCCCAGTGTGCGTCCTGCTGGCCGCCCCCGACGAAGCCCACGTTCGCGGGCGGGCTGAGCGCCTCGAACGAGCCGATGCGCAAGAACGACGGCGCGAGCCGCGTCAGGACGCACGCAGACTCGACGCGCTCGCGCGACACAGGCAGGTCGGGCAGCGATATGAGGCTCAGAGCACGGCTAGTGGGGATCCCGAGCGCATTGATCGCTGTGGGGGACAAGAATCAGCGGGGTGAGGGGGTATATGGTACAGGCATGAACGACACACCTTCAGAGGCGAGGAACTCGCGGATGGAGGAGCGCAGGACGGCCAGCCCATCCGCAAAGCGAGAGAAGGGCGTGCGTCCGGCACCCTTGAGCTGCAGCTCGTACGTCACTTCCGGCTTGTCAGGATGGGGTGTCGAAACTATCGACAAACCCGGGGTGAGTACCGGGAACCGGGGTAACTGCAACGACCACTCAACGGATTGAGATTGCACGCCCGTCGCCCAGCTGTCCTGCCCATGTGCCAAACTGATGCCCGCTATACCGGAGGGACCACGGTGCCCAGTGTGTAGCGCGGTCGCCCTCCGTATTCATGAGTACCGCCTGTCCGCTCAGGACGTCAATGAGTTCCTGCCGCGCCGCAGCGTCCTCGCTCGACGCTGGGGTGGTTTGCACATCGTCGCCGTACGCGTCCGAAAGGGTAGGCGTCCCGAGCGTCGCGAACGCGTCCCCCACATCGAGATGTGGAAGACAGTCTCGTAGCGCGGTCTCCGCGAGCGCGATGAGCACGCGGGGCTGGTCCCTCTTCTCCGGATAGTACTTCTTCAACGCACTGGGGGCCACGGTGGGCCGCTCGTGCAGTGCCTCGCGCTGAGCGAGCCATTTCTCGACGTACGCTGCCTTGTCATCCACGGGCTCGCCGTCTTCGGGGAGCGCGATGCGGTACGGGAAGGGCAGCGGGTAGGGCGTGACGTACGCAAAGTGAGCGTCGGGGTCAATGAGATGCGAGCGATGCTGCACGCTCGGCCGCTCTGCGAGGAGCTGGCGGAACTCTGAGGGAGTGGTGGCTTCGTGGTCGGGCGTTAGGTTGTGTGTGATGCTCTGCGCGGGTGGGGGCAGCGGGAGCGCGGAGATTGGCACTTTGCTGTTGCGCGACATGGTGCGGAAGGCAGAACGAGCTGGGCTCATCTGTGAGCAGAGGGGGGGGAAATTATATACGCTGCATCTGAGTGGATTATGTTGCCAGAGTTCGCAAGGCGGCTGAGGTCATCCCCTCAGCCTCCGTCATCCCTTCCATGGTGCCACCTGATCACTAAGCCATGACAATGCTGCAGCATTAGGAGCCCGAGTTCGGGAATGGCCCTCAGAGCATGCTATTAGTCGAAACAAGACACCATCGTGGTAGTGCTGGAGCTCGAGCTGCGCGGATCAGACGTTCGCGAAAGTCGGGTCGAACACATGAAATCTGTAAAAATTATGCGCGAACTCGCGTCTATTGTACAGGCGTGCACATAAACCCTTATATATAACAACAGGCTCAGAAATGGTGTCTTCGGCCTGGGTATCCTGAACCCGCTAAGGTTGCTGGAAGTGTCTCCCTCGGGGGACATAACGACTGCAAGCTGGAAGCCCTATAGTCTCGCATTCTTAGGCATGCCCCTCATCGCCTGACGTACGCCAAGATCCGCGAGGACGTCCTCCGCTACAACAGTACAATGAGCACCGCGCAAAACAGACCAATTGAGGGGACTCTTACCGCCTCCCAGGAGTGCATCGAAGGGCACAGTACGGTGATACTAAACAAGAATTAGTTCCAACACATCTGTACCCTCTGCATAGCGCATGGACGCACATGTTCAATGAATCGACCCATGCCGGTCTGTGTGATGCCCCGTCCACCGAAGATCTGCACCGAGTCCGTGGCTGTTATCTGCGAACACCGTGTGCTGTACATCTTCAGGAATGCGATCGGCCTAGAGCGATACTAGGTCAACGAGCGTTCACCGGACAACTAGGCGGGTGAAAACGCACCCTGCTAGCTTATTTGCTTGCTCCCGATACGACTGGATTGCACGAGGATCATGAGGGAATGATATGCGTGATATACACAGGCACGCACCATGTTGCACATCTGGTATGTGATGTTCTCGAGCCAGTTCTGTATGCTCTCTGTCCGTGCAATCATGCCCGCGAGCTTCGCACGCACGACCGCCTGGGAGTTGAGAGGCTTGCCGAATGCTTTGCGCTGGTGCGTCCACCTTTATGCAAGAATCAGAACTCCATGAGCAGCGGTGGGGAAAACTCAAAAGGCTCGCCCACGCACTTCATACACTCATCCACAACAAGCCGCTGGCTCCGCGCAGACGTACAGCACATAACCCATCGTTCGTGGTTGAAGTTGCTGCCAATGAGTCTCAGTGGCAGCAGATATGATGGGCAAACCAAGCTCACCTGAGCATCACGAAGATGCCCCCGCCTTCCTCGCCCAGTGTGTTCTCCACAGGTACCTTGACGTTGTCGAGCGTCACATAAGCAGTACCTGCGGCGGACGAATATGCTGTCTTGATCGGCTTGGTCTCGACGCCCTCTTGGCGCTCGACTAGTATGACGGTGAAACCATCCTGCGCAATATTGAATAAGCACGAATCCGCAGGATGGTAAGATATTCAAGTATGCACCTCTGTCTTGCAACCGACAGTGAAGCTGGAAGTCGACTTTCAGTTGACAATACGCATAACGTTTATAAAGGGGACACGCACTAGTCCGAGAACCTGGCGTTCAGGCACACATGAGAACCCCAAACACGCACACGTATTCCAAGACGACTCACGTTCCGTTCGTGATCCACTTCTTCGTCCCATTGATGATCCAGTGCTTACCGTCCTCCGTCTTCGTCGCCGTCGTCTGCAGCCCAAAGACATCGCTCCCGGCGTGCGCCTCAGATACCTGGATTCCCCGTCAGCGAACCCCCGGGAGCCGAGACGAGCGCCACGCACCGCGAGACAGATAAACTTCTTCCCGGCCAACACTTCAGGCACGATGCGCGCCTGCAGCTCGGGCGAGCCGAAGTTGAGCACGGGCGGCAGGCCGATGACGCAGCCCGAGTTGATGCCGTCGCCATAGCCCCGCGCGCCGCAGCGGCAGAGCTCCTGCGTGATGATGAGCTCGTGGAAGTAGTCGAACTGCGGCAACGGTCAGAACGATGTGGGCAGAGAAGCAGGCTGATGGGTCCCACCTCCTCGGGCTTGACGATGCCGCCCATGAGCGTGCGGCCCTTCAGGTGCTTGCCTGGGCCCATGCGCATCGCGTGCAGCTCGACCTCTCTGTGCGGGCAATCAGCACTTGGACAACCCAGCTGGGGGCCACGGGCTTACGCCATCTTGTCTATGACGCTTTGCGAGGGACGCTTGCCATCCAGCTCCCGCGCCTGTGATATAACAGGGTTAATGGACGGGGCGCCGAGCGCAGGAAGCACACGCACCTGTGCATCCGGGTATATGTACTCATCCACGAACTTGCGCACGGCTTTCTGGAACCGCCTGTGATTCTATGTACCCCCTGTGTCAGGCTCTCCAGGATTCACCCACGGGTCTGCGGCATGCTCACATCGGTGTAGTACGGACTGTGGTATCCTTCTGCCAGCCAAGATGGCTCTGCATATGGGACATTGCTGATTTCCCCGTTATTCGAGGTGGCATAGCACTGCGGCTCCTCGCCCTTGAGGACGCCAACCTGCAGTCGCTTGTACTGCGGTCGCTCGAGCACTTCGTATCTGTGCAAGCTGAAGAACGCCTCCGTTGCGTCCTGTCCCGCTGCAGCAGTAGAAGTATTGGTCGAGTGTCAGAGTAAAGCAATAAGCCGCACGTACGGATTCCCTCCTCCAGGAGCACGGACGCTCCGCCGGGATGCATCCCCCTAAAGCGTGTCACATCGTACACCTTCGAGTCGATGATGATCCACTGCTCGCGGGTACTCATAAGCCATTTCGTTCCCACACGTCGACTGGTAGCTCACCAAGTCTCCCTCCGTGTTGTGCTGAAAGGGGCGTCAGGACATCGGTGCGGTAATCGGAGTGTGCTGTGCTCACTGCTGCAACCTCCTCTCGCGTGAACGTTTTGGATGCCATGGCTGATTCAGTGAAGGGTAACCTCTAAGTCGGGTACCAGTGTAGACGATATGGCGAGGGGGTTACTTTAAAGCAGACAGCCCGAGCTAGGAGCTCACTTTGGGGACGGATCAGCGCGTGTGACCGCGTCTAGCATGTGATTTCAACAGGCTAAGCATCCGGAAGGAACTTGAAGGTCGCTGCCTCATACTTACTGTGCTGTGCATATGCCTGCGCTATTATCTATATGCCTCACCTTGGTCGGATGATACGACCGCATGAATACTACCTGGGCTCATGAGGGAGCTGCAGTCCTTGCAAAGCAGGTATGCACGCTTATAAAGGTTACACAACGACTTTCATTATATGCTCTGATATCGGGAGTCGTGCCGCGCCAGGGCCACATTACAAAATCATATGGGTTTCAACTCACTTCTTCCAGGTATATTCTACGCAGCCAAGCGTCCAGCGCGTCACAAGCCCGCTCGCTCGCAACGAATTAGTGGTGGTTCTTCGTCCTGGTGATGCCCAGGTCGCGCAACCGCCCGCTCTCCAGCTCGTAAATCCAGCCGTGCACCTGCACGTCCTTCCCGCTCGCCCACGCGGCGGTGATCGTCTCCGACTTCGCGAGGTTCTGCACCTGCACGCGCACGTTCTCCACGACCAGCTCCGCCGCCGTCAGGCCCTTCGCGAGCGCAATCATCGGCGCGAGCCAGCGGTCCAGGGGCGTTTTCGGCGGGCCGGGTGGCGTGGGTCCGTTCGCCGCGGCATGGCACGCGGCGGCGCCCCCGCAGTTCGTGTGGCCCGTGAGGACAATGTGCGTGACGCCGACGTCGTTCACCGCGTATGCGAGGACCGCCTGCGCGTTGTCGTCCTCGGGGTGGAACTGACTGTGCACCTCGACGCGTGAGACGGACTTGTAAAAAATTTACAGTGGCGAGAGTACATACTTGGCGACATTGCGATGGACAAAAATTTCGCCCGGTTTCGATGCTGTGAGCACGGATTCAGGGACACGCGAGTCCGCACATCCGATCCAGAGGACCTAAAAGTAATACAAATAGATGAGTGGGAATGCCAGACACCATGTATGGACAGCCGGGATCGACGCGGGGGACATCTGGAGGGCATCAGCCAAGCGCGCGCCCACTACAAATTCGAAGCGTCGCTGGCACGAGCCAAGAGCACCCGACGCGGGGCATTGCATGTCGGAGTGACGCACTGCGACAGTGCCGAGATGCATTGCGAGATCGCATGCATACACAATGTACAACGTACCTTGGGGTGTTGGCCCTTTGCGCTCTCCGTGAAGAAGCCTGGTACAGCCTTCTCGACATCCTCTGCCCATTGGGCGTTGCGTTCGAGTACAGGTTCAAGAATGGGATCGAAGGCCATGATGGTGGTTTCGGTTGATGAGTGGTTCAGAGATGGTATAAATAACGCGGTGAGTGGCGAGTGTGGCGGCTTGTCGAATGTATGGGGCGGTGCACGGACAAAAGAGTTGGGGTGGTTTGTATTTCGCACGAGTGCAGTACTGATAGGGTTGTTATAAGACTGCCTCAGAGGTGGAAGGGACCGGCGACCATCATGCTCCTGTCCGAAAGCTATTCTATCCGACAACACCGATGACAACCAATCGCTGACTGCCATGCCGCGCTGCCATTGCATATTCGCCTCGTAGCCGTGTCGACCGGCTGGGCAACAATCACTGTTTTCTCCCTCTCAAAAGCCCCCGACGCTAATGTGCCAGGAGTAGCACTATACAATGACGTCCCTCCTTCGGGAATAAAGCGGCTTGTCTAGAGCATCGACATGCCCTATCAGTCGAATGTATACAGAGATCCTGTAGATTGCATGAACGCTTAAGCAGGCAAAGGGATCTCATGGGAAGATATCACACTTCCAGCGCCAGACCAAGCTATTTCTACCCGCGTCTTCCACATCCACGGATTCATATTTAGGTCGCGTACAGCTACGCGGTAATTGCGCTTCATTTATAGTCGTGTTCTGTTCGTCTATACACCCCTGGGGCTGCTATGTCGTAACTCTATTCATCGCGCCACGGAGTCCATAAGGTGAGCTCCATGCATGCGTACGGCGATATCCGCCGTGTTTGAAGGCCAGCCGCGACACGCCGTGCCTCTGTACGGCGCCGTCGAGAGCCCTCCATCATCTCGAACTCACCCCCGGGATGCCCCCTGCAACGGGATCCGGGCCTGCTGCACTGCACCGCTTGCCCGAGGATCATGCCGGGAGCACGAACACATCGCCACATTTCTCTCCCTCCTCGGAATCCTTCGCCACGGACGGGCTAGCTATCGTCCGCCTGTCGCTCTCGATCACCCGCGCCTTCGCCGCGTACCTAATGTCGTCCAGGGTAATCGCAGACCTCTCGCACATGCTGCGGAAGATGCCGGCGGGCAGATGGTACAGGGTCTCAGGCGTATCGTACTCCGCGATGCCACCCGCGTCCATGACGCATATCCGGTCGTAGCCGATGATCGTTCTCAAGCGGTCTTGGCCCAGTGTCAGTCCGGCCACACGAGGAGGCGAGGCGGGGTCTACTTACGGGCTATGCACAAAATGGTTCGGTCGTGGAACTCGACGGCTATCGTGTCTTGGATTTTCCGGTCCGTCTCGTAGTCGACAGATGCTGCCGGCACGGTTTGTTGCTTTCTAACCGGAGACATCGGGAGCACGCACCTGTTGCCTCGTCCAGGATTAGGATTTTAGAACCCTTCACAAGAGCGCGGGCTAGTGAGACGAGCGAACGCTGCGAATACATGAGCCGGCTGCGATTCGCTGTCCGCGTATGCAACGGCCGATACATACCTGCCCAATAGACAGGTTCCCTCCCTCGTCCTCAATCGTGCTGTCAAGTGTAAAGCGACTGGCTTGCCCATTCGAATCTTCCCCGTCGAGCGAGTCTGGCTTGCGGTCCTCAACGAGGTATGCACGTTTCAGTGCATCCCATAGTCGTGCGTCGTCGTGAAGACCGAATGGATCTAGGTTGCTACGTAACGTGCCCGAGACTGTGCAGAAGGTCGGTATCACTTAATGCATCTGCGATTGAGCACTCACAGAGTAACTATGCAAGTGTTGGTCTCAGCGCAAGTTTAACCATAACATATACGTAGCTGCTGAATGCGACTCACCGGGTCTTGAGGAATGATCGCAAGCCCCTGGCGAAGATCGGTAAGCCCTATCTTGGAGATATCCACCCCGTCGATCACGATCGAGCCTGATGTTAACTCGACGAGACGGTACAGTGTAGTCATGATTGAACTTTTCCCAGCTCCGGTACTGAGACCGCGTCAGCCGTTACCACACTGTGCATTCTTTAAAGCCAAACGCGACGAACCGTCCCACGATGCCTATCTTCTCTCTAGGTCGGACGGACATTGTCAGGTTCTTGAGCACGGCCGGCAACTCGGGCCGATACTTAAGCACAATGTTGTTGAACTCGATGGCACCAGCTGAGGGCCAAGGGGCAGGAGGCGCGGCATCGGGCAGACTGTGTGGTGCCTCTTGCTCGAGCTCGTTGGCGTAGTAGATCTAGAAGACAGTCGCATCTCAACTGAACTGCCTCAGGGAAGTCCTGCAAAAACTCACGATGCGTTCCACGCTGTTGAAGTCGTTCTCTACTTCGGCACTCTGACGTACGAGCCAGCCAAATGCCTAATGGTAGCCGGTGAGTATGCCGTGATCGCGCAGATACACACGCAACTAACCTGCTGCACACTGATAATGTAACTCAAGACGACACCCGTTTGCGACGGCGAAATGCTGAATCGCGTGCCAACGGTGAGAATGGCGACCACAAATGTGAGAAGAATGCCCAAGAAGTCCAGACGGATTCCCAACCATCTCTACGGGCGTTCATGAAGAAACGTTTAGCGGTGCCAATATATTTCCAGAGGAACGGGACAAACCTGATTGGTAACTGTCAACCAGTATGCACTGATAGCTGTGAGCGAGGCCGAAAACGACAGCGGCTGAATGCGAACATACCGGTTTTCAATATCGACACGCTTGCGATTCTCACGTAAAAAGCGGTCGGTCTCGCCGTATGCGCGAATGGTAGCTAAACCAGACAGCGATTCGGAGAAATGGCTGTACAGCGAAGACCGTAGTATAGCGTCTAAACGCTTGAGCTCTCGAGCGCTCGCCCGGTAAAACATGGCTGCCCAAAGATAGCCTACCGAGACCGCAGCCACGGCGATGAGGAACCATGGCAGGACGATGGCAATCAGAATGATTGCGCCGAGAATGTTCCCAAGTGTCGCCATGAACATACGCATAGCATCTGTACGTCAAAATCAGTATGATGTTGGAGGTAATATCACGGATGACTAACCTCCGAGCATGTTGTCGATGGTGTCAATATCTATCAAATTGTTTGGAATCGTCCTCTATCTGTGCACAGCAATATGTCATACCTTTGGCAAACCGATTCATGATACGACCGAGGGGCTGCCATCATGGGTGAGTGTTCGCTCAACAAGAAGATATAAAAGGCTTTACCGTGGTCTCGAAGAATGACATTGGCGCATACATGACGCGAAGGAGTGCGTCCTGGTATGGACGTCAGTGGTGGCACTCGTGCGAAACCTTCTCGACTCACGTTGTGTAATTTCTTCGATGCACTGAATGTCAACAGAGCAAACAAGGCGCCCATGAAGAAAAAGAATATGGCTTGCGAGACACCAAGACCTGCGTATATCCCCATCTATCTACAAGTAAGTTACTGTCATGCCGCATACTGTGATGAGGAACATACGTAAAAGCCCGACCCATAGGGCCATTTCCTGTAGGGATAATCAGAGCACGAAAAACATTCAGATGATATCGGACACTGACCGCTCTTCCCAGTAAACCAGCCTGTGCAGCCGTCAGCGAGACGACAACGAATAGAGTGAGAAATAGCATACCAGTAGGAAGACATCACTTGTGCGCCTTGAAGAAGTGCGATGGAAGTGACGAGGAGTGGCACAATGATGGCTCCCTTTCCAGCGCTGAGGTACTGCTTATACATTGCCGTACTGACAGACCCGGTATTCCTCTCCTCCGCCTGCATCATTGTCGCGCCCGCTATCGGTGTCTTCTTCTCCTTTTTGTCGCTCTCCGTACTTTCGTCTGCAACTGCCTCCTCCTGCTCTTCCTCCTGCTCGCGTGCGCCGAACTCCCGTGCGAACTTCGAAAAGTCGCCATCCAATGCCATCAGCGCCGCGTACGTGCCTTGCTCGCTGAGGCGCCCGGCCACGACCGTGTGGATGTAGTCCACCTGTGGGAGGAAGTGCAGCGCGTGCGTGACGAGAATGCGCGTCTTGTTTGGCGCACCGTCGAGGAACACGTTCTGAAATACGGACTTGCCGACGTGCGCGTCGAGCGCGGAGAAGGGATCGTCGAAGATCTGGATGTCTGCGTCGACGTAAATCGCGCGGCAAATATTGACGCGTTGCTTCTGACCACCAGAAAGCGAGATGCCCTACGGTGGCGGTATCAGCACCAGCGATGGGATCGCAGGAATATCGCTCACCCTTTCGCCCACCTCGGTGAGATCACCGTGAGGCAGTAGCCTGAGATCAGTCTCTAGACAGGCAGCACTAACGGCCCTCCAATATCGCTTTTCGTCAAAAGGTCGTCCGAAGCAGATGTTCTCTCGTACAGTCGCATTCTATAGTCGCGTATGAGCGATCGTGCCTAAATCGTGAACGAGACGCATATACTCACCTGGATCCAGGCGCTCTGAGGGCAGTATGCAATGCTTCCGTTGAATCTGCAATTGGGGCAATCAGTACTTCTATGTAACATGTGTCACTGGAACAGCGCACTTGACAGAACCGGTGGTCCTCCTCATCTCCCCGATCAGGCCTTCGAGTAGGGACGTTTTGCCGGATCCAACCGGACCTGCGAATCGGTCAGCAAGCAGGCAGACTTACCACGACATACGAGCACATACCGACGATGGCTGTCAACTGTCCGAACGGGATCTGGACGTTGACATTCTTCATGCCGAATATCTTCTCCGCGTGTTTCTCTTCTACGGTCCTCCCTGTATCCTCGGCTGCATCTTTCGCCTTCTTGCTGCCCTTCTTAGTTTTCTTCATCGTCTCCTCAGGTGGCGGGCCCTCCCACGTGAAGTCTGCCTGCACAACATCCACGGCAACCGGCAACAAAGGGTCCTGTATCTGTGTCTCCTCGATCACCTCAGCCTCGAAGACGGCGTACAGTCGCTCTATAGCGTTCTGGGCATCGACAGTGGCACTCAGAGACAAAGCTGATGATAATGAAAAGATGAGTTAAACACATTTGCGAGATGATCGTCACTTACGCAAGAACATCAAAGGCATGCGTAGCAGATTGAACAGCGTCAAAGATGAGAAAATGTTGGCTGCATCTAGCGAATGGCCTGCCAGGGAATACACAATAAACGAGAGCACACTGGCCAAAGTCGGCAGCGAGATTGCGATAGCATTATTAGCGGAGCGTAGGAGCACCAGCGACCGAATGTACGCCATCTCCTTGGAGCGCAGCTCTCCGATGCGCCTTAGGTACGGCACCTCCCAGGAGAAATATTTGATGATCTTCATTCCGCCTAGGAGCTCCTGCAGCATCTTCGAGCGCTTGTCTGTCCACGCCATGCTCTTCATACGGATGCGCATCAGCCGGCCCATCGCGTACGTCTGCAGGGGCGTGCAGAACACAAAGAACGCGAAACCCGCGAGCGCGGATGGCCCGAGGTTCACCAGTAGGATCACGAGGCAGATTACCAGCTGCACTGGCGCGGTGAACGCGAGCTGCAGGAACCCACAACAGAAATCGATGCGCGAGACGTCCGTCGAAATATGATTCACGAGCTTGCCGTTCGTCAGCGTCGAGCGCGCACGCGTGGTCAATCGCAGAGAGCGCGCATATATCGCCGTAATGAGCCCTCCACGGAGGAGTACGCCCGTGGACGTCGCTCGGTAGAAGAAGTGATGCGTACAGACGGAGGTTAGCACCTGCATGAGGAGCAGGCCGATTGCTAGGCCTACGCCCCGTCCTATGGGCGGTATATTCTCGTACTGGCCGGCGATGTGCGCGCTGAAATGCCAAATTAGCGATAGAGGAGAGAATGAAGACTACAACAGTACCTGTACGACTCCGTCGCAAAGTTGATGAGGGCCTGTCAAGTGTCAGCGTGCCGCTTCAAAATATAGCAGGGAGGAAGCTCGCCTTGACCACTAGCGGGTTCAGGATCGTTGAGACATCGGCCACAAGTTTCATAAGCCCGCCCGTCCAAAACCACCATTTGACACTGTCGTTCATGGCGAGGGCTAGACTGGCCTTTCTCTTCCCGCCCTTCTCTCGCCACTGTCGTTCACGCTCCCTTCTGTTCCCCCGCAGAGCCCACCATAGCGATCGCCAACCTGGTCGCACCTCACCGCTTGCAAGCCGCACATTGTAGGCTTCTGCTTCATCGCGGCGTCTTTGGAAGGATGCAAGGATCTTGTCGGCAATCACGGCAGCAGAACGATTGTCTTGAAGTTTGTAAAGATCTGGTGCTTCGAGGGGTCTGACGTACCCGAGGGAAAGAAGCCCAGTGATCCAGCCGAAGGTAATGATGCTCCACCATCCAGCAGTCGCCTCTGGTATCAGGTCTGCGTCGTCGAGCGACTCCTTGGGTGGAGGTACTTCTGAATCTCGCAGGATAAAGGGTATCCGCCAAAACCTGGCTAGGGGTTAGACACTTTGTCCGAATATATGTGGCTGTACAGATATGAGTCCTTACCGCTTTGCTGCCTTGCCTAAACCCATGTTTCCCGCTGATGTTGCACTGGCTAGGAGACAAGATGGGTAGGTAGACAAGGGGAGTACGATGGGTGTCTGTGCCTCGGGGCCATATGCACGGTGCGGATACCCATCTGAGATAACTTGCCGGCCGGGATGACCTCCAGGACGTCGGATGATGACTAACTCAAATACAATCGGTGACTCCGATCGAGATCGTCCCTTCCGTGCCCTGTCTATTACCGTAGTCAGTGCACGGGATCTTGGTGGGAGGGATGAGCGCTCAGCGAACTGCGCCCGAGAGTCAAAGGGACCGGTTGGCGTACAGTAGAATCTGCGCTGTATTGCCACGAGTAGTACTCAAGGTACAAAAACTCCACACGCGCGCACGCTGACGGTGAGCGATGAGGATGCGACGAGACTCACCACACAAGTGCGATATCAAACGCTCGGGTGGCACACGAGTCTACGCTTTAGAGAAAATGGGATATAAGTTTGGGGGAAATATGTGAATTGAGTTGCTCTGAGACATCTCAAAGCATCATGTAGGAAACAGACCCGTATGACAGCAGCGATGCGACAACAAAGACGATGTCAGAGACGCTGAGAGAATTGGGTTGTACGTGAATGTCCAGAAGGGGTAAAGCACATGCTAAATTGAGACGGGAGCCGCATCCCCGACAAGACATCGTGTTTAGTGTCATGCTCAAAAATGTCTCATATTGCCCAGATTGGCTGTGTTAGACTTATCACATCTATGTATCAGGGACGTGACATCACCAGCAGACGAGAAACGTCTAATACGACGAGGGTCGTCTAGATACAAAAACGAGATACAGGATAACAGCGTGCTGGCATTAGTGTTGATTCATTTGTGAGAGAGTATAGTGAGGAAGACTAGCGGAATGCGTGATTGGGATATCTGATTCGGCTACCCTGGCCATCGTTACGACAGTCGCCTACTCCGTCTCCCTGGAGGCGAAATTAAGACAAGGGTGATATATTCGTGTCATATTAAGCCTATGGCTGTTCATTAGCAAAATCTAACAGAACCAGAAAAAACCGGGACGAAGTCTTCTCGCAGTGGCCTCAAGTTCGTATATAGCGCGTCAACATCCCCTTGTGCGCGCCGCCGGTCACGCACCCTCGATCTCCCCTTATTCAATTGATGTCTGTTTGTCCACCACACATAGCATCAAAGAGAGAATATGTTGCATGAACATCTGCTACCGTCGGCTTAGGTAGGTCATGCAGCACTCCCTACGAGAGTGAGCATATAGTCAGTAATGGCGCAATATGGTTGCGCATTGATAATGTGCAAGGGTATAGAAAACATAATAGCAAGCACGTCAAATTGCCCTGAGGTGGAGGTCCGTAATGTTGTCACTGCACTGGCCCAATGAGAACATTACGGGCATGATGGACTTCGATACCTCGAACTCTTGATGGACTGGGTATCCACTCGGCAAAGGGCACTCACAAAGCTAGGCAGACGATGAAGAATATGGCAAGTCATACAACATCCGGAAAGCCTTCCACGCGTCCGAGTTCTCAAGATCTATGGACACCGCCGTGCCGTGTCTGCTGATTAGAGCACCCTCCTTAGGTTCTTCCATATAACCATCATAGTCTGGTACCAGACAGCGCACCGGCTCGATGATCTTCAGAACGCGAATAAATAGGATCCGCCTGCCAGCGTGTTCCTCCAGCGTCGACCGTTCGAAGCGGCAGACCATCTTTCCTGTGTCGCAAAATGTGAGACGTCTCTTGCTTAGCGTTCTATCCCTTTATGCGAGGACAAACCGGCATATGTGGGTCTTCCCCTATGAGCTCCCCTGCTATCACCCAGGCGCAGATTCAGAGTCTGGATATGCACATCGTCGTTAGCCCAGACATGGAGCCTGTGCACCTGTAGCTCGAGATCCGCAATAAACGGGTCTTCTATGCTGCACAAAAGCCGCTTGACACCGTACGTGTTCCGCATTGCCCCTATTTTCCTCTTGATGGCGGCACATCGCTCCAGTAGATCAGGGGCCACGAGCTTGTCTCGCAAAAGAATGTTGCGCAACACGGAATACCACGGGTCCATCGCAATGTCCGTGAGCTTGATGGAATAAGGCACTGCGGCAAGCTTGTTTTGCAGGTCCTTACCCGCCTCGAAATCGTACTCGCCCGTCGGGGACAGCAGCCGGTATCGGACCTCACCCGCGATCGCAGGGTGAGTGGGAGGACTGTGGTAGTAGAGCCAGCCTCTGGCATCGGGAGGGAAATGTTGGTGTCTCTGATCGTCAGAGGTGCCATAGCCTAAGCGGAAGGAAGCACCGCTCTGCCCTGTATGCCCTTCTGCGGGGCGACGACGCTTCCACAGCGATCCTCCCTCTGTTGGTTTCTCGCGGCGAACGAGCCACGCGCGGTCCCAGACAATAGGAGATCCCCCCCCCCCCCGTAGCTCGATAACGTCTGATTATTTCAGACGACGCGGATCCAGAGTTCCGATATTGTTTGCATAATGTTGAAACCGCGTGCGTGTTGCGGATGAAGGCTTGTCAGAAGTCTGTCATGCAATCGCATATGGTAGATTTCTGCTATTTGAGTGTTGGGAATTGGGATGTATACAGAACTCACTTGTTGGCTTGTCCCGTATTTTCGCTCACCGGTTGCAAGACCTCTCCATAAGCTCCACGATGATCCTGGCCAGAACCCGAGGGCTGTTCTCATGGTATGATGCAACAGTGAGGTGCGTGACTGCATATATACCTATGAATACGCAGAGCTATAGGTTTTCAACAGCGTGCCGCGACTAGTGCCCGTTAGGTTGAGTAGGAATTGATCACGGCGCCGGTGTGTCCATGTGGACACTACTCAGTTTGGCAAGCGCACAAGTTCGACCATAATTCAGATCATCTCCGAGCTAGGCTTTGGGCGGTTACTAGTAGTAGGGACTGGCACCTTTGCTATTCTACTTGATAAGTTGCTCGGTGCCATATTCTCAAATGCTACAGCGTGTTGCATACTAGACTGCAGGTGCCGTTTCGCCTTGGGGAGCCTACTTGGACAACCTTCGTGACCAACGCGCCTGACATAGGATATTCAGAAGTCTACAATCCAAGATGTAGTCTGCAATCTGACACGAAAACGCATAAAGCTCGTTTCTACCACAGCAAGGGAGGAACGAATGCACAACAAACTACTTCCCCAATCTGGATGTGGTCATTTCATTCCATGAATCAATACCGGGTTGTTGAGATTTCAGACGACGGGACAGTGGGGGATGTCAACATGTACGAATTTGTCTCATTGAGAAGAAGACAGAAATTTGTTCGTTTCCCGTAGTAGCAAAGCCTGAACACGACAACGATTACGAATGTTTGCGCATGTACGTCTGCTACGCTCGATATCTTTCACGCAAAGCACGTCGCCGTGATGGTAAAAATCGAAAGACAGCTATGGAGGGCGTCCGGAGCGCATTCCCGCGGATGTCATCAACGCCGGGTTGGTCAATTGCTGAAACGAGCATATGACTCCTTCAGCTGACCCAGAGCGCTCTACATTGGGACAGTCGAAGATCAGCATGGCGATCATGATCACCCTTTCTCATAACCGGGTACTGACCTCGTATATGGCATGGAAAGGCGAGACATCCTTGTCAGACACCCTCATACGTTTCACCTTCTCCAAATGCCCGCCTTCCTTGAGCATGTTTTTGAAGTAACGTGCCTGTGCGAATTCCTGGCTCAGCACCGCCAGTAAGGACAAGAGTGGGGTCGTGTTTACCTCTTGCTCCTCCACTAGAGTCCACGCATCTCCTGCTCGGCCAGCGCGCGCCGTCCGCCCGACTCGATGCACATACTTGCGCATGTCCACCGGTGCATCATAACTGACAACATGCGTGACGTGGCTGATGTCGATTCCGCGTGAGATGAGGTCCGAGCAAACCAAGCTGGCAGACACAAAAGGGAGGATCAGCAGATAGCCACGGGAGTGATCATCCCTGTACGTACATGTGGATCTCCTGATTCTTAAACTTTTCCAATATACCTCTCCGTTCTGCTGGGCTGAGGTCGCTCGAATACGCGCTGGCGACGATCCTCTTAACCACACTCTCTTGCCGCGCGTTGGGATCCGCGGTGCGGGCCGTCTCGAAGAACTCAAGCAGGCGCACGAGACGAGCGGTCGACTCTGCTGACTTCGTGAAAACAAGCGCATTTGTAACGCCATGAGAATGGACAAGATGAAACAGCATCAACGGCTTCTGAGAAGACTCGCACACGAGCATATGTTCCTGTCGAGATCAGCGGACGTGAGTTCTGCTGATCATCCGAAGCGAAAATGAGACCCTACGTACTGCCAGTGTTGCCGGCATGCTGAACTTCTCCATCACCAGATCTAGTACATCCGGCGTACTCTCTGCTCCCTCTATTGCCAATCGTTCGCGATCCTGAACTACGAGATACTTCGGATCATGCAAGTTTAAGGCAGATATCTTCGCGGGATCTCTCGTCAATGTTGCCGAGAACAAGAGCTTCTGACATGACGACTCCCTCCTCTCGTCGAGATCCGTGCGGATATACGGCAGATCACGCGGGAGGCCAACGAATGCCGGGGCCAGAGCGTCAGCACGAGGAAGAGTGCTATGTTTAGTATCAGTGTCTGTGGTGTTTGAATTGTCTCCGATGTTCGACGGGGGTCGTGTAGCGGCGAGCACTTGGGCGAGCCAATCTTGGAACGACTGAGCCAGTAGTCGATCTGCCTCATCAACCACCTGCACCATGCATTGTAATCAGATGAACCAGCTTCATGACTCGAGAAGGCTAGATTACCAGATACCGAAGATGTTGCAGAGAGAAATTTGGTGTCCCATTCAAGTGATCTATCAGTCTACCTGGTGTACAAATGAGAATATCAATTTTGCTAGACCCGCCCTGCAGACTATTTAAAGTTTAGTGCATGAGGCGGATGCATCAGGAAACTACGCACGAGGTCGACCGTTCCGCGACTAACTGGGTTTGCTCATGGGCAAATGAATGTTGGCCTGTTGCCGTGCCGATCTGTACATGCGTGAGATGCAACGTGCACCCCGAGTAATAATACCATACCTTTAGACCTCGTCCTTTTGCAACAGCCTCAAATGTCTCACGGACTTGCGTTACGAGGTCACGGGTAGGTAGCACAATAAGTGCACGAAGTCGTGTCACTATTCGTGCGGATAAAACCTTCGTGCGAGATTAAACCATAGGTTTAAGTAGATAATCATACCAAGACGTACCTCCACTATAGGCAGTACGTAAGCAAGAGTTTTTCCGCTGCCTGTGGGGGCTGAAACGCAGACATCTCGCGGGGGGTCATAAGGCAGGTAGAGGGATTTCAACCGAGGTGGCGACAATAAGAAGGGCACGACAGCCGTCTGCACTGTGATACAAAGCGATTTGAGTGAATCCGCCGAAACGGAAAACCTGAGAGAACATACCAGCAAATAACTCAGTTATGCCCAGCTCTGAGAGTCTCTTCCTTGCCTTCTCGCCAAGGCCCGTGCCCCCGTCATCGTCACCGTCAGACGCGAAAGGATGTAACGTCGTTGGGTTAACGATTTCGGCCTCTATGAGAGCCTTGTCGAGCCCCTGCAAGGCTAAAGTCGATCTTGAGGGCGCATTGGGACGTCTAGGAAGAGGGAATGAGGGTAACGCTGCTTGAGGAGTCTGTGATCTGGGGCGGCCACGATTGGCAGAAGTGTCTGCGTGTACCTCCTCTTCGAGATCCATTTTAGTTTCGGATGCGGCTTCAGGTATGGGATGTTTAGGGCCTTCGTCCACAACAACGTCAAGTTTCCGTCGTTTCCGAGGTCGCTCCTGTACCAATTCTTTTCTTGACCCTTCCACCATTAGTAAGTCAGGAGTCGATGCATTCTCGTCATCTTCCTGGCCCGTCTGTTCGTCCTCTGATTCGGAGTCGGGATGGCTGTGAGTAGATCCCGCTGGGCTTTGTCCGCGCTCGCCAGCATCTGGGGCCGTGGATGAACCCTTCTTCTTCTTTCGACGCTCTTTCTTTGCTTTTAAGTATCGCTTCTTGGCCTTTGTCTTCTCCTGATATGTTCAAGTCTGCTCGTCAACGCTCGATCAAATGATGGACACCGAGAATTATACTTTGGGTGTCGCGGCAGCAGCTTGCTTCGGCTGTGATCCTACTAGAGACATACTTGGGGCGTCTTGCTGCGAAGAAAGGCGCGTGTCGTTCAGCTAGTACGTTATTAGAACTGTTATTACAGCAATTCTAAGGTGAGGGGAATAAGAGAGTATTTCCACGTGCCGCGATAATTATTACCACGATCACGATCGCTCGTGCACGATCGCAGATCTCGATTTCGAGTCGAACAACTTGTAGTCTTGTACGACATGCCCTTGCACAATAATTACATGCATTTTGCAACGTCCGCCAACTGCAACGTGGAAATCATCAGTTCAACACACTCATCCCAAAAGTAGTTTCTATGTGTGAGAAAGTAATCACGCCTTTGGTCACAATGTGTTCGTGGGGGCCCAGTGACCAAATTCTACTCCACGTCAAGCGTGAAAATGTAGATGCATGCGATACAACTCTATATTAGAAGAAAGTCACTTTAATCTTCATAACAACCCAAGCTATGGGCTCCGAAACAATACCAACACGAACAGACCCGGACAGGAACAGATCAGACTCAATCTTTATCACGCAGAGTACGTTTTCCTACGTACCGAGCGAAAAGTTTCGTGCTCCATATTTAGCGTTAGGTTGTTAAGCGTCACCAAAATGTGACATGGCTTACATGATGCCAGTCACTTGCGTTCCGGTGAGTTATCAGCAGGTGTAACAAAGCCAACAAATGTGGAGAATCACACAGTAATGATAACACGTTGCTTCTCAGAGCAAAAACATTACACGTGAACTTCATCGGCATCCAAGTCTACGCTTGAAGCGGATGGCCTGACACAGCTTTCCGTGAACGTCGGTACGTATTTACCTTAATCGTCTGATGCTGACCGTAAAGACACTAAAGGGAGTTCCTTTCTTGCACGAGGGAAGACATCGGCTGCCGATGCGGAGGCGGCCCTTATCTCCGCGCCTTATACCAACAGGTCACTTCAGAATCACCAATAGTGAATGCGGATTGACACAGCTGTACCTGCCCCTTGAATATTGCAGTTTCACGTAGGGCGTCAGCAGATGTGCACCGGCAGCCACAATCATTGCGGGAGAAACTGCACGGTACACATTGAGAAGTTGCGCCAGATGGATCTCCTGACCTCAGCGGATGCACTCGGCCTTATCATGACGCCATCTTCGAGCACTAGCTCCGAAAACGTACTGCTGTACGAGACTATGTACGTCTGCGGTCGCAAAGGACGCTCTCCTCTGCAGTAACCTTCTTTGTCATGTTAGCCCAGACGCCACATCTGTCTTGTGATAGCGTCCGCTCCTTCGGTGCCCACATCTATTCAATCGCATTAGGACTCGTGAATCGCGTGAAAGTGTATGCCACATATGACTATGGCCTTACCATACATAAGGTCGGCATTGTGCTCAAAAAACCCTCCTCTTGCGTTAAGTCCTCGTCAAAGCCATACTGCGACAGAACCGACCCTCGTATTCCCGCCTATTGTGATCTTCTGCCTCTGTCTTCTCTGAGTCGACAATGTGCTCCCAAGAATGGTGAGTGATCACGACAATACCGCCTTCGACATCGCTCTGAGCTCGTCGTGCACAATCTTGAAGCTTCGGTAACCAGCACAGAGGATGTGGAGTGCGTCACTAAAGCTAATTCGTCGATGAGCTCTCAATTACTCAATTGTCTGTAAACAGCATTTCATAATCAATTATTACTCCGGCATCCGTTTCGACTGTGGGCAGCCGACCTGTGCATTGAGCCCCGCGCATATGCACAAGACAGCAAGGAATTGCTCCTGCAATAAGGTATGATGCCTTCTTGGCTGTCTTACGACTGTCAATCTCACCGTAAGCCAGACCTATCACGACCACCGGAGAGTGCAGAATCTCATACAAGAGGCTTGCGACCCATGCAAGGAGGCGGCTTTCGCAGCCAGGGTGGGAAGACGATGATGAAATGAGAGCATTTACCCGTTGTCCTTGCGCACTCTCACGCCATTCACCGATGTATGGATACCGGCCGATGAAGTGGCGGGCCTTGTAAAATGTAGATCAGTGATATATACAGCAGCCCGGCACGTCCGACCGACCGCCCTTCTTGTCTCAGCTCACTAGCCGTCAACCGCAAGACGATTGCACGCGCGGCTGTCGTATGTGGTCCGTAGGCGCTCTGTGCCATAGCCTTTCTCGGCGAGGATATTCGCATGCTCACCAAGATACTTCACTGCACTACACAGTCAATGATTGGTCGCGCTTCGTGACCCTCCAACCTGTATCTCATTTTGGGGCACGTCAGCGTGGTAGAGAGGCACGCTGCAAACACGCTGCTGAACACATGTGCTTCTTGCTTTCCACCGCTGATGGCATCATTACGAAGGCTGCGACAGCGGGTGTCCGCAGGGAAATCATATAACCAACGTGCTCGTCAGCTTACGCTGCCTCAGAATCGTCTGCCCCCTCGCTTGAGTGGCTGCTTCGCACCTCGCGTCGAAGTGGACTTGATCCGAGCGACATGCCTTCTACGCTCGGCCTCACTGTCTTCATCACCCGACGACGAGGACGACTCCACTGTTCTCTTCGTCCTCTTTGCAGGCGGAGATGACGGCGAATCGATTGAGGGTACACCCTGGCTGGACGTTTGTTCTGGGGTTCTCGCACGTCCAGGACCACTCTGGCGGAGTCGTTGAGAACTTACAGCACGTGTGGGGGACCCTGAAGGTGAGGTAACAGCACTTCTGGACGGTCCGCCCACAACGTCTTCTATCTGACCTTTCGCTGCCAAGACAGCAGGTCGATCTTCATCCTCATCCTCAGTTACTGAATCCTCGTCGGCCGGCCGGCTTGATATTGCTTCACTGGGGATGATTTCCGGTGTTGGCTGCGATCCTACCGTTTCCATTGAATCCACAGCTGGCCCTTTATTGACCTGTATGAAGATGGTAAGTGGTAAATGCTGAACCTGCCGGGTCAAGAAACTCACGGCTAGAACTGAGGTCTGAAGGTCAGACGACCGCGGACTCTTTGTAGAGGCTCGTGACTTGAGTTGTATGGTGGGCAAACTCAAGTCAGGTTTTACCACGTCCAAAGAGATCGAAGCTGCGATCAGTCAGAGTGTGGAACAGGTACGAAGCAATGTTCTAATTGGTACTGACGAGGATCCGGGAGATAATTGAATACCGCAGTCATCCGCCGCAATGTGGTAGCGACACGGGGTCGGGAGACAGCATGTTTAACATGAGTGTCTACTGTCCGGCGAGCGGTCCTGCCGACCTTATCGACCGCCTGAAATGTCCTAGGTCAAAAACGCTCAACAGAAACGCGGATATTTCCCACCTTCTCAAGGTCAGCTTCGGACAATTCGCTTACCGGATCCGCCGATGAAAAGGCAAGATGAGTGACGCTGATCAGTGGCATGATGAGTTGTCTGGAGAGAACATCCGCCGCAGCTTTCGCTCCTAATGGGTAGGTATCCCATCTCCATCTAAATTCGTCGTTTCCCAATTCGAATGAGAAGTCCTGTACGTAGCCGTTGAGTAATAGAACGGCGTTGAACACCCCGGGGAACGAACGGCATAGTGTGAATCCACAATCCCGAAATTTAGATCCATAATTGCACCAAGTGTATGGGAAGCAGATAGCACTTCTAGAATGGCAGTTCTCCATTTGTCTTCCTCTTCGATATTGGGGAACTCTGGCGAATGCTTCGGATTACAATCTCGCCAGCGTCGTGCAATTTGCTTGCTTGTCAATGCTAGTCAAGGTGGGAAATCAAGCTGAACCGTTCGACGATGCTCAGCAAAGAGTCTTACCTTCTCCCCATACGTTCCTTGTGTCCGTTATAAGGATGCAACACGACATGTCCACTGCAGAAGCATAGAATTTCTGTGCAGCATACAAAAAATCAATATACCAACTGGTCTAGAAATCTGGGAAGCCAACCAGTAGATACGAAACGGATTTCTCCGAATCGATCTTGACGAGCCACTCCTTACTGAGGAGCAGCTTGAGATGTTCCTGGTCTCGAAACTTACGACGCGCCACATGATAGGAAGTGTGGCTCATACCTCGCACACGTACTCCATGGCTCCTCAAAGTGGCAAGACAGTTTCAAGCAGCGGGTAAGGAAACAGTACAGGTGCCGCCTTACAGTAATGACGCAGGGTTGAGACAGGTTATAGTGGTCCACACCGTGTTTACGTACAAAGAATGTAAGTACTGGGATTCGGTTCATCTCCGTTCTGGGGCATTCCAGAAATGGAAATTGATCACAACCGTCACCCTCTTCTTGACCACCTTCCGCTTGGCTTTGTCGAGTGATCTTTCTTCTCTCCTTCAATTGTACACCGCACATCTCATAACTATCTATAAGGTTGTGCTGCTGGGGGAGCGATGGAAGAGGGCGAAGTTTATGAAACCGATCATTATTCAGCCACGGTTGCTTATGCCAACGAGGCGGCCGCGGACGCTTCGGGGAACGTGTACTCTCCTGCACTCGAATGGCCTCATGAAACGGAGTCTGAGCTAACGCCACCCGCATCGCTCACTGCACACTCCGACGACGCCGCGCCAACTCTAGGTTCGCACTCACACTCGTCTCCATCACTTCGATTACTTGTCCAACGCAGCTCGGTCCTCCCCAAGAAGCATTCTATCGCAGTCATCGACGGATACGAAGAGGTACAGCTTGGTCGCGACGCTGCGCATTCCAGCAGTGACGTTCCACGAATTCGTCTGAAGGAGATGGAGGTATCGAAGATCCACGCGACAATTTACTGGGATCAGGACAGACGTGAGTGGGCAGTCGTCGACATGGGCTCAAAGCATGGGACTTTCTTCCAAGCCGGTCTCAGCTCTGGGGCATTTGGCGACAGTGTTGTTGTGCTGCCCTCACCTCAAGCAGCAGCTCCACTTGCCGACGACCCTCGAGGTTGGCGCTTGTCATCTCCCCGAATGGCAAGCATACCACGCCGCCTCAACCATCTGGACCGTCTGAGTCTAGGAAGTACAACCTTCATTGTACACATACACGACGACCAGATTCCGTGTGTGGAGTGTTCACCCACGGGAGACGATGAGATCCCTCTGTGTGACGCCCGCAGTAGTCAGCGCGAAGCAAGCAGGAAGCGAAAGCGAGACTTGACTTTGTCTAGTGAGACTGCGCCCACAAAGCAGGATCCAAAAAGGGCGCTTGCGACCCTCAAGCGCAGCTTGCTTACCCGACATGCTCCATATCAAGTGGTACAAACGTCAACTCAGTATGTTGATAGGAGTGCACAGCGTCGTGCTCTACGTTCTGATGCCATACCAGTAACGCCGCCGACGTCTTCGAGCCCGTCTTCGACGCGCGTGACCGGATACCCCGCGGTAATGCCAACGGCATCTCCCTCTCCGACACTTTCCTCCACATCTACTCCGCTGCCTGATACGAATGTCGGCCACCGTTTACTGATGAAGCAAGGTTGGCAGCCTGGTACAAGACTCGGTCAAACAGACAGCAGTGGCACTGCTTTGATCGAACCCCTGTCCGTGAGCGGGAACGCGGGCAGGGCAGGGCTCGGATTGACTTCCAGCACGTCAGGCGACACTGACGTCAACGGCTTAATGTGGAGAGACCAGGGCAAGCTTCGGCGGTGGGCGAACGAGCGGCCTAAATAAAGGATTGCCCGTCTACAGGTCCCTTTGCGGACATTGTGGTACGTACGCCTGCAATTCTTTGCCGTCAAGACTCATGGTTCCGCAGACTTCCATTTGTGGATCGCGGACCTGTCGCCCTACCCTTCCCCTCAGGGACTATATGCGACGTACAAGTCCCACAACATTGGCTGTACCTCACAGGCGTTGATGACGATGAAGCACAGTATCACAGCCAATCTATCCGGAGTGCTGTGGGGACAGAATGTACTATCTGTCCCTTTGTGATCGCTGTGGCAGGGTCTAAAAACAAATAGGCCCATTCTGACGATATGCGCTACGCCCGAAGCATTCCAGTTTCGCGTCACGGTTGTAGTCAATACGAGATTATAAACCGTGAATATGTCCCCCGTCATGATCGCACATGCGGGCCGCCCGAAACACCAACCTGCTGACGACGTATGTCCCTAGGAGGGGTCATCGTGGAGCGCACAGCTACCAAAGATGGTCGCAACAGTTCCTGTGAGGCCCGGGCCTTGAGATCGCGTATCAGCAACGAGGCGGACGCGTAGACGCTTGATTCACGCTGGCACGCGTCCCACTACTTACCAGCGAGTAGTAGGCACATGCAATAGGCATCCAGCCCTAAATAGCTGGAAACGCGCTCACATCTACACGTTTGTATACAATGAGTATACTGGAAGTCCTTTAAGACGCGTCGGACAGGCATTTTTGCAAGGAGGATTGGCCGTCTACGCGTCCGACTTCAGAGCGTGTTCTTTGTTCGAGTTTGGTGGTCACGTGCGCGCGATACGGTCCAAGTTCAAATCGCGAAACGAACATCGTATCCTCGTCGTAGGCTGACACCGCCGTCTGGTTTCAAAACCGCGTCTTTCTCCTCCCTATTACTTTCGTCCCTCGGCGTGTCGGACCACTCCCGCCTTCTTCAGTTTGTTCGGTTTATTCAACAAGGCGCACCACATACGCACACCGGCCACATAAACACTTCAACAGTACATATTTCTCATTCAACATAATGGCAAACCACTCTGTGCGCGTGAGTCATCTATGAGTCTTTCTGATGAGTTCTAAACACAACGCATGCGCTATTCTAGCTTCCTGTGCGAAACCGAACCGGTCCACAACGCGTGAAAGTCAACGGTGACGAAAATGCAGCAAGTAGACATATCCGCCAATCATCCAGTGGTGCTATTGCTGGTGCATCGCGAGTGCCACACGTAGGCATCAAGCAAACTATTTCTCAACGCCCTGCACTGGGCGAGGTCACGACGACTGCCGTCAATCGCAAGGTCCGACTTCGGTTGACGTGTTGAGGATTGTGGTTGACTGACATCAATATTGATGAACAGGAGAACGTCAGCAAAATCAACGGCAATGGCAAGGTGAAGGAAGTCCAGCCTGTGCTAAAGCGCACAGCGTCAACATCTCTCGCTGCTACCACCGGTCCGCAACGAGTGCCGCTCGCGACTACCCGCAACGCCACAAACGGTGGACATGTCCGGGCATCCTCTATCCGCGTTCAGCGACCGCACGCACCTGCGCGTGTCGTGCACCGTGTGCCTGTGCCCGTGCCCCAAGAGTACCTCGAACCCTCCCCGGAGGAGGACGATGTGGACATGGAGGACGAGGAGCAGCCTGCTCCTGCGCGACCTCTGTCTGTGGAGGAAGTTAGCCTTCTCGTAAGCCAAGAAGAGGGTGATATGGCTGCAGATGCTGTCGAGGTCGAAAGCGACGACGAGGATGCAGAGTATGCTCTCGGGCCTAAACCGGGGCGCATGTGGCCCGAGGTCAGTACAGAACGCGCACAGCGTTACAAGCGGGAAGTCGACGAGATCAGAGAGACGTTTGAAGACACGGTCGATGAGTTTGACATGACGATGGTCTCGGAATACGCCGAAGAGATCTTCGAGTACATGAATGAGCTCGAGGTCAGTGGCATTCTGCTTACGCTTCCATGGCTCATACTGATTGCTTCTTCAGGAGGACGTCATGCCGAACCCTGACTATATGGACGGGCAAACGGAGATTAACTGGTCTATGCGGCAAACACTCGTCGACTGGCTATTGCAGGTGCATTTGCGATATCACATGCTTCCAGAAACGCTGTGGATCGCTATCAACATTGTCGATCGCTTCTTGACGAAGCGGATTGTCTCCGTCCTCAAGTTGCAGCTCGTCGGCGTGACAGCGATGTTCATCGCTGCGAAGTACGAGGAGATTCTCGCCCCGTCCGTCGAAGAGTTCGTCTTCATGACGGACAAGGGCTATTCGAAGGAGGAGATTCTGAAGGGCGAGCGAATAGTGCTGCAAACACTGGAGTTCAAAGTCAGTCACTACTGCTCACCGTACAGCTGGATGCGCAAGATCAGCAAGGCGGACGACTACGACATCCAAACGCGGACGCTGAGCAAGTTCCTTACGGAGGTCACGTTGTTGGACCACCGCTTCCTGCGGGTGAAGCCCAGCCTCATAGCAGCTATTGGGATGTACACGGCAAGGCGGATGTTGGGAGGCGATTGGGTGTGTACCAATTTCACCTGCGAGCCCTTTATGCGTTCGAGCGTGTGGAAGCTATGCCCTCCCAACGTTTTGTTCTCCAAACCTGTCATGTCCACGTGACTTGTTGAAATGTCGTCTGACTTTTGCTATTTCCAGAACGAGGCCTTCGTCTTCTATTCCGGCTTTACAGAGGAGCACCTGCAGCCTGGTCACCAATGGCTGCTTGAGACGATCACAGAGCAAGGCTTCACCCAACAGCACGTCTGTCAGAAGTACGCGAACAAGAAGTTCCTCAAGGCGTCGCTCTACGCCATCGAGTGGGCGCGTTTGCATATCTACGATGAGCTGGAAGGCGACAAGATGAACCTCGAAGAGTGAGGATCTCTGGGGTACCCCCGATGTCGCGCCCTTCATGCATCCACCCTCCCCCACGGCCCAACACCTGTGTACCATCAACCGTCACTTCCATCCATCCACGATCTATCTCCTATTTCTGTCGTCGTTTCGTCCTGCAGTCTCAACCACATGTGTTTGATTATTACACACTACGCAATCCTCGTCATTTGGTCATGTCCTTGTCTATGTTTGTCACCGCACATTGCTTTCACTTCAAGTTGTTTTGGTCTGATGCCCCCGCCTTTCGCCCGACACGCCATACCATTTGATCTGAAAGCGCATTCACTTTTGCATGATCACCCTGACGCCTGTCGACCACGCTCTTATTCGAACACTCATTTGTATTGGACTGCATATGCCCCTCTCATGCTCGTTTTGTCTATGCCCGTCGCCTCATCCGAATTATTCTTTGTCTTTGTCTACCCCTTGTTTTGCTTTGTCGGTTTCTTGCTCCCGCACACGGTCGCTCTTCGCTCTTTGCCTTGTCCACGCCGCCTCTTGCTTTGTTCTTCGGCCAAAAAGACCCCGTCGGCTTGTGTTAATATCAACCCCTATTGTTTTCCTGTCCCTCCATCGCCCCCTTCCTGGTTCAGTCTTGGTCCTATATATTCTTGCCTTCGGTTCCCCAGGCGGTTGCGGCCAGCTCCATGCCCCGGCTATGGTACAGACACCCATGTACTATATCTTGCGCAGGGCGCCACGTCTCATCTTTTTATCTAATTATCATATTGCATGTGTTACAATACACGAAAGATGATGCAAGTACTAACAAACAATTCTGATGAGGATGCGAAGATCAACCCTAGAGGATGTCCGATATGCATGATTTGCGATGACGCCTGGAGACGCGTCGGCTGGATGCGTTCGCGGAGGCAAAAGCACGTGGACCGCGTGTTGCATGTGATTCTGCACGCCGTTACGCGCTTCCCTTCCCCAGACGGGAGCGGTATAACGGCTACCCCAACCTTTTCGGTCATCCACAACCATGTCGCAACTTTCGTTCGCGGGCCACACAGTTATCATCACTGGCGCAGGCGGTGGGCTGGGCAAGGCGTGAGCTATACGTCCCGAGCAGTGGGTGTGGGTATTCACCGTGTGCGCAGGTACTCGCTCTTCTACGCTTCGAGGGGCGCGAATGTGGTCGTAAACGACGTCAGTCAGGCAGCTTCGCAGAAAGTGGTCGATGAGATCACGAAGGGTGCGTAGCTGGTTTACGGCCATTGTATCGACGCACCCGCTTACTGCCTGAGCGGATCTTTGCAGCTGGCGGCAAGGCAGTAGCCAATACTTCGTCAGTAGCGGACGGCGCAGCGGTCATAAAGACCGCGCTTAACGCCTTTGGCGGAGTGACCATCCTAATTAACAATGCTGGCATACTTCGGGACAAGGGGTGCGTGAGGCATAGAACTCCGCACTGTTGACGTCGACACCAAGTTCCGTGGCTACAGGTTTAAGAACATGACAGACCAGGAATGGGACCAGGTCCAGCTCGTCCACCTGAAGGGTGCGTTCTCATGCACGAAAGCTGTATGGCCCATCTTCTGTAAGCAGGGATTCGGTCGCGTCGTCAACACGGCGAGCGCGGCAGGCTTGTATGGTGCGGCTATCCCAGCTATACTTTGTCTTCTCGATGTTGAGCCATGGACAGGCAACTTTGGCCAAGCGAACTATAGTGCTGCTAAGATGGGACTGGTCGCATTCACAAAGACCCTCGCTCTCGAGGGTGCCAGATTCGGAATCAAGGCCGTCGTTATTGCACCTGTACGTTTGAGATGCATACGCATGTTAAGGGACCCAACCGTGACATCCTGCGTTTAGATGGCGGCGTCCGCGATGACCGAAACGATCATGCCGCCTGAGATGCTCGCGAACCTGAAGGTACAACCATTGTTCTAGTACATGTGACTGTACTCAATGATTCGCAACACTCTAGCCTGAATTTGTTGCACCTTTCGTTGCTTCTGTGACGCACCCCGATGGGCCCGACGCATCAGGAAAGATTTTCGAGGTTGGTGCAGGGTATGTAGCCGAGGTGCGGTGGGAGCGCAGCAAAGGAGCCGCATTTAAGACAGACGCGTCCTTCACACCATCTGCTGTAAGTTTCACCCTTCGACACAGATCTTGGGAGACAATGTCACGAGTATCGTTGACAGGTGCAAGAAAAGTGGGAACAGATCACTGATTTTGAACATGCTGAGCAGTGGGTCCAGCCTCATATTGCATAGAGCGCCTCGGAAGGGCATTCCTGACTGTCCTTACCATCACTAGCCCTCAGGGGTTGCCAGACCTGGATATCCCGGTAAGATATTTGCCCACTGGTATGACGTCATGTCCTCATTCCTTCGGCATGAAAGGGAATATTTGCAGCAGGATCAAAACTGTCTACTAATGCCCAGGCCTCATCGGAGATTCGATTTGATGGGAAGACAGTGATTATTACCGGTGCAGGAGCGGGACTCGGTCGTGCCTACGCACTCGTCTTCGCGAAGCTAGGCGCCAATGTCGTTGTCAACGACGTGAATGAGAAGACGGCTAAGAGTGTGGTCGCAGAGATCGCTAAAGGTAAGTCTCATTTACGATGTCAGCCCAGTAGCAACTCGAATCTTAGCAATCTGGAATAGCGGGAGGCAAAGCTGTTGCCTCTATCGCGTCGGCTGAGGACGGGGAGGGGATCGTCAAGGCTGCCCTAGATGCCTTTGGCGGTGTTCACGTGCTCATTGCGAATGCTGGTGTCATACGTCCAAATGCATTTGCTGCCATGAGCGAGAGAGAATGGGACGAGGTGACGGCGGTGCATCTACGGTGAGCTTGCCTGATGCGACTAGGCACCTGCATTTATCATTATCTGATTGGGCAGAGCGACCTTCAAGGTGAGCAGAGTGACCTGGGCGCGTTCACGCCTCCGCTTACTCACAAGCCGTTGTTACTTCAGTGCGCAAAAGCAGTTTGGCCGATTTTCCAGAAGCAGAAGTTCGGGCGCATTGTAACAATGGGCTCCCAAGCCGGTATCTGTAAGCCATAACTTCCGTGCAGGGGGAGTAACCTTCGCTGAGATCACTTTTGCTTTTGCATAGACGGCCTGAGTGGTCTTGCTAATGTTAGTTTCCATGACTTACTATTTGTACAGCGTGCTCACGCTCTGCAATCTGTGACAGTACGCTACTGCCAAGGCTGCAGTATTGAGCCTCACGCGTACGCTGGCAATTGAGGGCAGGAAGTACAACATCCTAGCGAACACGGTAGCGCCCACCGCGGGGCCATTGATAGGTCTTGCTCAGTACGTCGGTTGGCCGCCTGCTGTTGCGAAGTGTGACCGCTCAATAAGACCGCTGACATCATTGTATCAATCAATAGATACAGGTTTAGCGCCAGTGACCATGTCGATGCGATCAAGGTTGGACCACACTAGTGTTGGGATCTCGACGATCATGCTGAATGGATTACCGTCCCTGCATCTGTAGGAAGAGTACATCGCGCCTCTCGTTGGCTTCCTGAGCAGCGAAGCGAACGAGGACACGACGGGCGGCCTCTTCCAGGTCGCTGCTGGATGGATCGCACAACTGCGGTGGCAACGTACAGGCGGGTATGGCTTCCCTGTCAACAAGCCGCTGACGCCAGAGGCGATCATTTCGAAGTGGAGCTTGATCACTGACTTCAGTATGTGTCCATATGTGTCCAAGTTTGATGATCGTTGACCGAAACATTAGACGATGGCCGCGCCACGAATCCCGGGAGCACTCAGGAGGCTTTCATGCAGGTGTGTAATCGTTTGCATCTCTCTGTACGTATATATATATATACAGTGACTAACATCCTTCAAGATCGCTGAGAACTTCGGCAACGAAGCCGACGACAGTGCTGGCGGCAGCGGCAGCAATAGCAGCGATGCAAGCAGCCCTTATGCAGACCCCGAAGACTCTAAACTTGTTGCAGAAGCCAAGACGAAAGTGGAGGAACCACTCGAGTATCACTACACGGACCGTGATGTGATTCTCTACAATCTTGGTATTGGAGCGACCGAGAAAGAGCTCCAATGGACATTTGAGGGAGATGACGAATTCGCGGCTATACCGACGTTCGGTGTCATTCCCCAATTCATAGCGAGTGGAGGGCTGTCTCTCGATTGGTTACCCAACTATAATCCCGTAAGTGCTTCGAGTTGGGGTATAATGTACAGCCGTTGAATGTGTTCCGCGCATCGCAGGCCAAGCTGCTGCATGGTGAGCAGTATCTTTCCATCAAAGGCCCTATACCGACTAGTGGGCACTTCGTCAATGAGGCCAGGTGGGTGCTCTTTCCTTTAGCGTCGTGCTTGGCTGAACTGGTTTCAATTGTATGATAGACTCATGGAAGTGCTCGACAAGGGGAAAGCTGCTGCCGTGACGTCAATCGTGGAAACGAAGGACAAGGCGACAGGCAAGGTGATCTTCGAGAACCAGTCCACTGTGTTCATCCGAGGGGCTGGAGGGTTCGGTGGCAAGCGTGTAGGCAAAGGTGCGTTCGTCCAACCGACTCGATTGGGGCAACTCGATTCGGGATGCATTGCCTTGGTACGGGCCAAGGCGCTCGGCGTCCGGCAATATTACTTTTGCGCCCGAGACGCTCTGGGAGCCCTTTCTAACTGCATTCGTAATTTGACGGACAATAGATCGCGGCGCAGCATCCGCAGCGAATACACCGCCTCAGCGCAAGCCGGACGCTGTTGTTGAGGAGAAAACGCTCCCAACCCAGGCCGCATTGTACCGGTCAGTGCTCCACTTACGTTCCCAGTGTGGAACCTCATGAAATGCGTGTGCCCAGCCTGAGTGGAGACTACAACCCACTGCATGTAAGTTTATCCTTCTCTCGCCGCACCGTTCATGGTGCTGAGCATGCCATGCAGATCCTGCCGGAGTTCGCTGCTATTGGTGGATTTGATAAGCCTATCTTGCATGGTGAGTCCGCCTGGCGCGCGATCGTCGGCAGAAGAACTGAGCAGTACTGCCTCCCGCAGGCCTGTGCTCTTTTGGTATATCCGGGAAACATGTGGTCAAGACATTCGGCGAGTTCAAGGATATCAAAGTCCGGTGAGTCAGCTTGGTGTTGACTTGTCGTAGTGTTTGATCAATGCGGTACAGATTTGTGGGCGTCGTCTATCCCGGCGAGACTCTGGTGACAGAGATGTGGAGAGAAGAGGACAAAGTGATTTTCAGTACGTTGATCTGGCGTGCCTATGGCAATGTCGAGCTAATGATGCGCCCGGATTGCTCAGCAACCAAGGTAAAGGAGCGAGGCACTGTGGTCCTTGCAGCTGCTGCAGCGACATTAGTAAATGCTGGCGCGCCGAAGGCTAAATTGTAGAACGGTGAGCACAAGCGCCACATTAGTTTTGATCTCACAGCGTGTAAGAGGATATCTTGTATATTACCTATTGTACGATCACACGGTGACTGTCCTACTATCCTGCATTTTATTTTGGTATCACACAAGTTTGAACCATTATATTGTCAGATATATGAATGAGTGGACATTATAATACAACGGGGTATGGCGCGACATTCAGCGGTCATGACATTCAAGTAATACAATGGAGGATATTCAACACCAGCGTAACTTACGATTGCGACAAGCCGTAGGTCTATGGAAGTCGGCGGCTGATGTCCACTAACCAACCATATCATGAACGGGATCCAAACGCTAGGGTGAATAGCGTGGATGAATGCGAGACAGATGCAGAAGCCGATAACTTGATAGGGAGCGACGTTATAGCGAGAACGTGTAGCCAGGGAAGATAGATGGGAGAGGACGGAGACCGTATTGAGCGAGGGCCAGCAGACACACATAACCTACCACATGGGGAGATATTGGGGACAGAAAGGGATCCTAAGTACCGGTCTTCAATGCAAAACGGACGAATAATTATGACGAGCAGATCAACTCTTGTCCAGCAATCTGCTGTGAGATGCTGATGCCTGTGGTCACAAGTGCGGATCAGAGATAGGATGAGTGTGCATAAGATAAAAAAACACGAACCAGGATAATACCAGAATGTTACCGCGATGATAACGTAGAGGCACATCAAGATCATGCCTTCTAGCCAGTTACTCTTCCCGTCTTGCACTGTGTAGTTGACGACCAGTACTATCATCATTCTTATGAGCAGCAGCCTTTGTGATGCAATATGCGGACACATACCTGCTAGGAACAATACGATACTCTCAAACGGATCGAACAAGAGCGTCAATGGCTTCCCAAGAATCCATGCGAGCACGGTGATGAATGGAATGACAAACAACGCGATTTGCTAACAAAGTTATCAGCCGAAGCTCGGAACGATCTTTGAGCCCAAGATACGCACAATACTCGATCCTACTGCAACTCCGATGCTCAGGTTAAGCTTGTCCTTGACAGAAACCGTGACAGCAGTAACGTGCTCTGAATGATGAAATTTTTCAGTTCGCATCTTCAAGACCTTTGAGTAAAGACATACCTGCAGCATTGCCAACAATAGGGAGCAAAATGAGGCCGACAAACTCCTTACTGATGGTCCCTGAGTTCGTTAACCCGTCAATGGAGTCTACCAGCCACTCTGCTGTAACGGCAACAAGCTGCACAAAGTCAGCTCTCTAGCAGGACGTGTTAAATAATTTGAGTATACGCACAACTGTGACCGTCACAAGAAGCGCGACTGTCAAGGGGACGGACAACTGCGGCTGCTCCGGCTGCTCCTCTTCGTGCTGAGCTTCGGCGTCAACGTCGGTATGTGTCGAGCTTGATGACGCAGCGACATCATTGCTTGGGCTTGAAGAACGTCCGAGTTCGTTGCCCTCATCGTCGACCAAGGTACTGTTGTGTACTTGTCCGTTCTCCAACTTTCGCCGGGTCTCTCCCAGAGGCGTGAGGGGCTCCGCACTGTTGTTGCTGTCGTCGGCGCCGTGGCGGCGCCAGTGCGCGGCGAGCCAACCCTGACGAGCTTGCTTTGTCTTCGGGGTGGGTGAGTGCGGGTACTTCGTCGACTTGAACACGTCTGGACTCTCGTCCTCGTAAAGATCCTTGTGGGAGAACAGTTGGAAGACTAGATATGATCCGTAAACTGTGAGACAGCACGTGTCAGAAACCTGCAGGCGGGCGACAGCGTCAAGCATGCTTACTGAACAACAGGATCACAGCAGCCTGGGAGTAGGGGAAAACGGGGCGTCAGCCTCGTTGTGATGAGACACATAACGCGAGTAGATACTCACCCCGCGACTGAAACTCAGGATCTCTCGGCCCTCAATAGGATCAGGGATCTCCGCACCAGCGACCTCGTGGAAGGCCGCCGGTAGCAGGACCGCAATTACCGATACGGTGAGCAGCGACGCATTGAGCTGTGTCGCGCCTGGTGATGCGTCGGAACGATGTGCCGAGTAGTATCAATGCCCATAGAACACGCAGGTGATACAGGCGGTGATGCAGGGACGGGAAGCAGAAGATATTAGGGTTATGTCAGCAGGGTAGAAGCCAACATAGCCATGAGAGACGCACTCATGCCGAAACCCTGCTCGGAGAACTTCACACCACCCGCGAAGAAGCACATCCCGAGTACCAGAACTAATGTAGTTGGCAGCACGGTTCTAATCAGGCACTGGTCTTGATCAAAGGATGAAGAACCACTCACGAAGATTGCTCAGAATGGAGCCAACCACTGCAAATATGAGTCAGTAAAGAGCCATTAGACGCTACGAGGACGTGGGCGCTCAACGAGCACCCCGCGAAACAAGAACGAGATTCGCGATTGGATATCTGGGCGGCACAACCGCAATCTGACAGACTAAGTTTGACAAGAGTGACGTACGGGATGATTGGACCACTTGCAGCTGACACTGGATAAGTGCGATGATCTAGACGGCGTCCGATATAAGCGACTGGTTATCCGCTGCCAAGACAAGTACGCTACTCACCGCTACAATCAACTCAACACTGGAAGGAGGCAGGCGTCAGTATGAAACACATAGCAGGAGAAGAGCGATGCACACGTACGCGTTTCCCTGTGGGCGGAAATGCATCAGAAAATGGGACACGCTGTGGGCAAGCAGCGCAATCGACTCACCAGGGTAGCATTGAGAAGGCCTGCAAGCGTCTGCCCGACCCGCATAGAGAGCTCGTCCGTCGCGAAAGCAAGGAGCTTCGCAAGTGGAATGATAGCCAGGAATGAGACTGAACCAGGAGTCAAGTAGATATCGTGAAAATGAGGGTTGTGTCACTCACAAATGAATATCAGAGTATCATTCGAGTTAGTGTGCGGGAGCGCGAAATTCATTGCCCACTACATGCGGCGATTAACCTCGTGTTTCTAGCTTTTGGATATCCAAGATCGGAATACGTACGGAAATAGGAATGCAGACAAGCAAGACGTTGATCCCTGTGGCACCACAGTCAGTAACACATCGTCAAGTGTAGACAGACAGCACATACATGACATGAGGATGATGGCTTTGACGCCACGCCAGAACGGCGGCGGCGTGTTTGTCGGCTTCTCAGGCATGAGGTGTTGTGATAACCTGCGACCGATCTCCTGCGTGGTCCCGCGGATGGAGCGAATCGAGATAGGGGAGGTGACGCGTGCAGCAGGCAGCGTAGATGATCGCTTGGAGGAGCGGTATTGGGACGGATATCGCGATTGTGGATTCCCCAAGGAATTCGGCCGGTGACGAGCACGTGTAGGGTTCTCTGACGTCTCTGTCGGGTGCTGCTGCTGCTGGTCAGACTCAGCCACGTCGAAAGTCGTGCGGCGCGTGATGCCAGCGACTGAGGGTCCTGGAGAGAGAGGGGACGGATATGTCGCGTCAGATACGGATGTGCCTGCTACCGCCGTCTGGGTCTCAGCGGAGTGTAGGTTATGGTCAATTGGAAGAGCTGCAGGTGGTATTTATATGAGCGTCGCGATCGTCAGGTACTTGTGGCGCAATGAGATGGATGTGGCGAAATGTCGGTGGCGGAGAGATAAGGACGACTCGACTTGGTGATGTGATGTGATTGTGGTGATGGGGAGGGGAAGCGGTCTACTCACACATCGCGGGAACGGTCAGAATTTATGAGAGGAGATCACACAGCCTGCGTAGAAGCAGTCAGTGGCGGCGCTTATTTACAAAGGTATATCCCATTCAAGGGCCAAAGCGCAACTTACCAAGCTGGTGCACGAGGGCAAGGACTGACGGTCGAGCTGTGGTCTAGCTGTGGGCCAGCTGCGACTGGCTGTGCGGGACTTTCTTGAGGCTATGCGGAGGGAGAGTTCGGCCAATTTAAAGCGTTCTATTGGGCAGGTCCGGGAATGCAGACCCAGGTGCTCCTTTTAAGAAGGCAATAACGGAATGCACTCTTCTCCGAGCACAACGAGGCTGTATGCGTGCAGCCCAATTCAGCTACTAGTGTGGTCACGCAACGGTACCGAGACGGAGAGAAGGCTGGTATCGAGTACGAGGGAAAAGAGCGACAGCGTGTTAGTAAGAGGATATAATATACGGGGCATGCCAATAGTCTGTGCCGCGAATGCCAAGCGGTCAACGTTGCTGGCAGCCCCAAGAATGCGGCTCGTTGCACAGCCTTGCCGCCAAGGATGCCAGCCCCGCCCCATTCGCGGAGTTAATTTCGGCCTTCCCTTTCCGGTCGCTTCACGGGTTTATCCGCACACCACCCCCTCCTGTCTGTTAATTTAGTAGCAGACCAAGATCGGTAGCTGCGACGACATCGTACTTGTGTTCGACCGCTCGACCGTCTCATATTCTCTGTCACCGTCTCCCTTGCTGCTCACGAACACAAATTCACGGGATGCACTGCATATCGTAGTCATGATAACCTTGTAATTGTTTGTTTCCCAAGTGGTGAGTGCCTTTCTTCTGCCTCTTTCGCCACAGCCTCGCTTCATCCCGACTGCATTGTTCTATTCTGTCCTGTCGTTAATCTTGATTCTTCTGCCTAAACACTGCATGTGCGATGTAGTATTTCGACAATCTCTTTTGTCGTGCACAGCTTCGGCCTCACCATATGCCGTTCGCCGATCGTAGCGCGCGAACCTGGTCAAAGCTCTCGCCGTGCTGGGCCCGCGCACAGCACTCTATAAGACTTTGTATGACCCTTCCGCCGTTGTTTCGCACGCTTGCGCCATTACGCGGGTCGTGGCTGCGTTCCACCACATGGATTGCAAGCTAACAAGCTTGTGCTATTACACTGACTTCTGTATAGTATAAGTTGCTCCAGCTTGGTTTGCGCTAGAGGAATACCATGGTTGTCCGCCGTATTGTGCTTCCGTACTTAATCGGTCACGATCTCGATCAGACGTGATTGCTTACTGGTCATTTGGTACGTTGTCGGATAGCGACTGCGTTTACTTTGATTATGTGTGTCACTCCTGTATCATATGTTCCTAATTTTCATCCGCTATCGAGATCTCACGGCGGTAGCTGCGGAACGCTGTGCGTGCGCTACTTCTCGCAGTCGTTTGAATTTGCGGGCCACAAGCCTCGCGGGGGTTCATAACGCTCTTCGGGGGAGATCGTGGCTAATACTAAAGTAATGCTGGGCCGCGCCGATATCGCATAACCGTCCTACAGCCGTCGGCCGCGAACAATCTGCCATGCGCATCAGAGAATCAACGGCAACTGATACATACACTGGGAGACATCTTGGGCAATGAGATGAGATATCTTGCGTTCGTCCTCACCTATCACTGCCGACTCACTGCCGTCCCGCGCCCCGAAATTTGGCCAATACCTTTCCCCTACATGCCTTGTGCGTGGTCTGTGAATTATCACTGTCGGTCTCAACCTGCGCGAGGCCGAGTAACGCCCAGTCGGAAGCCCATGGCCAGATGCGAATATCCTGGATTCTGGAACATGACACGTACAGCCCCTTCGGCTACTTTCAGGACCGCCCCTGATATGTCTGATCTCTTGGACTAGAGTATCCAAAATGGTTATGCACTGCTCACTCGTCTTGCTCTACCAGGTGCCACGCAACAAGGGAACACCTGCTCTACTTCAGTGGCATCCGTGACATCTGGGAGAATCTGACGCCGTTCGCCGCGCCATGCACAAAGCCGGCGTCGTTTTCGACGATCTATCCCAGTGGCTATGGGCTAATGCTGCATACAATTGACATCCGTCAAGAGGTTCATCCGTATCCAATCTCGGTCGGTGCTGGTCTCCCTTCTACCTACAACTACTGCAGCAGCTGCACAAATGACCAAGACCACGTTGATACGATGATCCAAGATACGCGCTGTGCTCTGCACCCGGATCTACTATGACGAACTTGCGCTGCCACATTGCATCCATGTGGTTCGCGTGCATCTCCAGGTGTCTTCGCACATCATGACCAATCTAGTCGTCCACGAACTGCGTACAATGCGTCTCGATTCCCATAGTATGCTCCGTAGCCTCTCACCTCTCGCGCAGACATGACACGACATGGGGCAGTAGCTCTGGCGACGTCAGGCAGCCGTGGCGGGTGACTGACCTCAAGGCGCTACACCTGTGTATGACACTGCGCATACGGACCTGCGATAGGCCGTCCCATGTAAGTCGAGACGGCGTCTCGACAAGCCACGGCGTTTTCAATTAGTGCGGGACATGATGTGCGAGCGTTGGCTGGGGCTCAGAAGAGGGCTCACCGCCTGTACACACGCTCACTGCACTCGCCGGTCCCTTGCCTGCGCTGCGTATGGGTCAAGACAGCAATGTCGCGTAGAGCGCACCCGCCAAGCGAATAGCGTCATACACAGCATTTAGGCCGACCTCGGCACGCCCGCCGGGCTCCGAGTTCAGGTCAAGGCGATTGCTTAGTACGGAACTTGCTATGGCCCTCGGAATTTCCTGGGGCTGCGCGCCAGCGTCTCGAGGCCGGCCCCTTAATATACAGCAAATGTATCAGGATATAGCGCTTCCCGTAGTCGTGGAACCGTGCTGCACAGTGCACAGCTAGTACCGTGGCACCGTTTATCCACACAAGGACATGAACACGACGTCAGGTCAGGAAACACTGTACCTGGAATGGGATCAAGTGATTATCAGAATCTGACTCGTACAAGTAGAGTGTGGAAAGTCATACGATGCATTTTGTATTGTCGCTACCAATCTTGCTCGGGTCCCCGCAAGCTATGGTGGGACCCAGGTACAGTCCGTGGCCAGCATGAGAAGCAAGACATCTCCGATTGCAGACAACGACGGTTGTTGTGTGGCTGGATCGAAGCTGCAGGTTGAGGCATTGTGCTGCGGTCTTTTCCAACCATGCAACCATGGAGGGCGAAGGACTACTTTACCTATCATTTAAATTAAGTTATAAATCACCCCATGAAACCGAAACCCACATTTACGGCGCATAAAGGACAATGCGCCAGTCACGTCCATGGAATATTGGTGCGGAGGAAGGAAACGGCAATGTAAGGGCATTTTGTCTAGACCGCATTTAGAAGACCAATTGCCATTACTCTGACCAATGGACCCGGTCATACGTGGGTGCTGAACTGTGCTAACGGCAAAAATGCCGCCCTATACTATAGCAAGTCATGCGGACTTGTCGAGAGTACATGACTCAATTGCAAGTAAACTCTAGTCGTGTTGACCTACCAAAAGGAATTTTCAGTAAAACCGAAACTAAAGGAGTGCGGCATACACCGTTATCAGCGGTGATGATCTCAAGACTCATACACACACTACACAAGAAGACCGCGCGAAGCCTTGGCTGTGCATCTTGAAGTTTAGAAGTATCTGCGGGAGACGCATGACTGCGAAGATCACGGTGATGCCCCTTCTGGTGCCTCTGCATCCGATATTGTTCTGCGGCTGTGGCATAGTAGATAAGCTTGATGATGCCATACCTGTATGCCTGTACAGTGCTTCCGGGAATTGCACAGGTGAGCTTTGAGAGCTTGTGTTCGGATCGGCAATCTTGAGGTCAAGCATATTCCGTGTGAAAATCTTGACTATGTGGGCATACACTCAAGTCGCGGGCGCTACTGGGCGGTGTATTCGGGGAGATTACATACACGTATGTCTATACTTACAAGAGCAACATAATCAGATGAGATAGCGAAAAGCATATTATGACAGAGTAGAACAACCAGTGGTGAATTCGGCGAAACAACAGTAGGATCAAGTAGTTAGACAGTAATCGCACTGCCATCTGCCGGTGAAAAGCATTCATATCAGGACAGCTGTGTGAGGCGAGCGTGAATAAGTGCGTGGACGACTTACTCAATGAGTGAGTGGCGGTGCCAGTGGGTTTACCTATTGCCAGATCGTGGAAATGAGTGGCGACGGTTCAACTTGGAGATACAATGTAGAGGCTAGCAAAGCAAATAAAGTATCGGCACTCTCAGCGTCGAAGGCTATGATGTATAGCTGAAAGACAGATCCGCCTAGGATCTTTTCGAAGGGACATTGCCGAGCGTACAGGTCCTGCCACACTATTGTGAGTGAAGTTTACTGTTTGAAGTTGAATGCCTGCCAAATTGGGTAATAGTCTGATCGCTTCGCCGGCCCCCGGGGTCGGCTTGTGAGCAATAGCGGTACTTAAATTGCAAACAAACCTGAGCACTCACCGAGGCTCACCTTCAGATTCTGTGGAGGGGGGCGCCCGATTCTGTAGGCGTGGCAAGCAGGTGATTGAAGGTGACCTGAAGCCGAGGGTGAGGGTGGTGCTAAGCCCTTAAAGACATTGTATGACTTGGTGTATCCTTCAACAAGTGCTTAGCAACGTGCGTACATCATATTTACATGCTTTATGACCTCCAATCATATCTCATAGTCGTCAGACGTACTGGCCTAGCAGTCCAACGAAGCTTCTCACTGATCTGTACACAACGAGCGTTCGAATCACCTCGCTGCCTGCCGGCTGGACGTTCCCATCCAGGCCTTCTCGACCCCTGCTCCATTACAACTCGCCTTGCACTCGCGGTTTCTGTGACATTGCTCTCAATGGCCTTCGGCGGCTGCCGCACTGCCAAATATTCCTGCTAAGGTTATCAACTTTCTCAGACGTTCCTATGGGAGTTTGCCCATATCATCAACTGTGCTTCCGACACTGGCCATAAAGGCCGGTGGTCAAACTGCAGAAAGTGACAGTCGCGGAACATTTGTATTGCGTAATATTACATAGTACATGGTTTTACACACAGTGACTGATTGCAGAGCATTGTCATCCTTGATACGCGAAGGACACCGCGCCGTAGAGCCCTGACTCCCTACCCAAGAGACCCTGGCCGTTGAGGATCTGTCACGATGGATTAAGATTTTACATTCTGAACCGGGTGCACGCAGCAGCGTTAAGGTCGGAGACACTCACCTCCATTTTTCTTGCGTGCCAGCCAATGCCGCTGCTAACGTTCCCATTAGCGTCGGCGAGGCACTCCAGTGCCGTTCGCCAGGGGTGGTCGCTTGGCAGATCCCGCCTGAGTGTATGTCCCACACTGTCCCCGGCCTCGCTGATCCACCCACTTGCAGCGTCTACGTACCACCCGCGCCCGCCCTTGCTCTTGATCACACGCCACGCGCCTGCGCCAGGACCCACGCTCGCCAGCAGCGGCATCGCCAGCTCCACAACGCGCAATTGGGTCGCTGCCTTCTGTGTCGCGCCGCTGAGCGAGAATGGCGGTGTGCACAGCGGCCAGACTAGCCGCGAGTGCAGATTGATGGCCGCCTGGCGGAGAGGCACACCACGAGGGCCAGATCCGAGTGCGGACGAAGTCGAAACGAGGGTGAGCACCTCCACTTGCGGCGCCTTTGTCTTCAGGAACTCGGCGACCGCGCCGAGGTCGAGATCGGGTATGTGCGAGAACCCCAGCGAGCGCAGGCGCGGCTGCAGCGTGAACACGTCCTGGAGCATCGCGTCCGTGAGCGGCGCGCTCGAGATGTCGAGGAACACGAGCCGGCCCTTAGTGAAACAGGGTGCGTGCGCAAGCACGTCTTGAAGCTCTTCCTCGCTCAACGGCGATGGGTACGTCCAGTCGCCATACAGGCTCAACTGCTCGATATCCCTCGTAGCCGGCGCGTGGACAAGAAAAGAGCGGATGCTGTCACCTGTCAGCCAGTTGCACCGCTCGAGCGCGAGCGAACGCAGGCGGACGGTGGGTGAAGTCCCGAGGGCATCGAGGAGGTCCGGCGAGGCGCGTGTGCAAGAGAGATCAAGGTGCGTCAGCGACGGAAACGCGAGCACGAACGGAGTTAAAGTTTGCGGCAGTACAGACTTGACGCCGCGCAACCCGAGCCTCTGGACACCCGGGAACATGAGCGGTTCGCGCACCGCATTGCAGGTCCTTGGGCGCGTGTGATAGTCATCGCCCTCCTCGTCACTGCTGCCGGAATCTGTGTCGGTGAGGTCGAACACATGGTCTTGCACGAATTGCGTGAGCGCGTTCACGAAAACGCCGCTGACACAGCCCGTCAAGTCGATGGCTTCGAGTTCTCTGCATTCTCGCCGCCGCTCGCGGTCTTCCTCCTCCGTATCGTTCGGATCGAAGATCACGAGGTCGCGACCACGCGAGGGGCGCCCACGGCCACGAGATGCAGAGCCACGCAGGAGCAGCTCTCTGAGTACCGGGCACGTCAGGGCACTATCCATATACTCGGTGGCACCGAAGGCCACCAGACTGGGCATTTCCTAGAAAAAGGGGAATTGGCAAGGGGCATCGTCTAATGGGGCGGTAGTGACACACCTTCAGGACAGACTCAAGCCTGCTCCCTGTCACAAAACGGTTGTTGACGCCTTCCTCTACAGAGCGGCGCATGCCTATGGTTCGGAAATGATTAAAATCTAGTTGATGTACGAGATGTCCGATATGCGGGACTTCGAGGTGTGGCACTGCATAAAGAAAATGTGAGTTGTTGAATTCAGAGCCTCTAAACGCGGATACAAACCGTAAAATCCTGGATTGTCGTGCTCCATGACGTTCCTAACAGCATCGCTGATGGAACGCATAAGCTTCCATCGGGCGGGACTCTTGCTCTTTTGCCTGAGACGGCGAGGACTCGGGTCACGACTAGCCGCGGGAGTGAGGAGTTCAGGGGGGATAGAACCGTCTGGCCCACTCAGTTTCTCGATGACCTTCTCGTGCAGGTGAAGGGCCGCGGCCTGGTCAATGATCCCACCGAACAACTCGTGGGTCGCCAGAACGGCATTCTCCGCCTTCTGAATGGTTTGGTCGATGAGGACCGCAGTCTGATCTTGGTCGACGCTTTCCTGATCACCACCGGCTATTTCTTCCACGAGGGCGAGCCAGCTGCGAGGGAGGCGAACCTCTACCTTGCGCCACAGCCATGGACGTGCGGCCTCATACCAAGTGCGATTGACAAGGCAAAGACTGGCCAGGGTCCGGTGAGAGATTGCATCTGGCCAGCGGGACGGGGGATAGGATGCTGGAAGTACAACAGGCGCGTTACCCTCAGGGTGTAGGATTGGATCGAGAGATGTAAGTGTGGGATCATTTCCGGCGGCGTAGACGTACGCGCAGATGAGCGCGAGCAGCTCCGGAGGGTGCATATGGATAAACCCCGACGTCGGCCCGACCACAGTTACAGCAGGATGCGGTAAGCGGGGGAGTATAAACAGGTCTGAAAAGCATGAAGGCCTGGGGCTATTATATAGGGCGGGCGGTCACTAGAAGAATCAGGCCAAAGCGTCGAGAGTGAATTGGCAAGCGTTAGACTCATCGGCGTGATCTTGCACGCATGATTCGGCTGAGATCCGGATCGCCCTCCTTTAGACTGCCGCCTGAACGTCCTTGTTGAGTACCCTCGCTGAGCCTGGCAGAGTTGCGAGATCTGTGAAGAGATAGGCGAGACCACGAAGCGCATCTACAACATCCGCGGCCCAGGTTCTTCAAACGTGCCACCCAGAAGACCCTGCGCACTTCCCAGCGGCTGCAGCCTAACGCAGACGTCTGACGGATACAAGTCCGAAATCGGCCAACATGAATAAATAGTGGAGTCACGCACGGACGACATCGGGCGACTTGGCCGGCTCAAGTCTTTTGGGCCCCTGACGCACAGCTGACGGGTTTCATGAGCCTCGGCCAAGCAATACTGTATTATGACCCCTACCAGGTGTTACACGCCATGTGCATCTCTGTGGGCTTCATGCGAAAATTGTTCATTGGCATGCGCCGTTCGTGACAGACCGTTTGTAGGAAGTCTGTGTCAGCGGGTCGAATTCAAGGAGAAGGATCTATTTAGGAGACCGGGGTCCTTCCCTACTCAATTCCCACGTGAACAGGCTATTCATTCGGTCTAACACAACCATCAAGGCGGATATTAAAGTCAAGTATGTTCAACCAGAGCATCAAATTACAAAGCACACTGCAGAAACGAATGCGCATTACGCATCCTTTGATACGAAGGAGTTTTCCTAGGCGACGAACGTTGCAGCAGGCTACACACGCTCCTTGCAGGAAAAAAACCCTCCCCTTTGGCTCGACGGCTGGCCCGATGGCCTCGCTTGCCGACGGAACGACTCTAGTAATTTCCCCTTGCACCATAGTGGTGCAGGATGGTGAGCAATATTTGAACCCACGCACGAATGCCATGTGTATGCGCGCCATCGGATACGTCATGAGACGACCCAGACAACCGGTGATATTCTCACATAATATATTTTCTTTGCGGGGCGATCGACCCTATTGTAAGCTTCTCCGCAGTGTAGGTTCCCGTCTGTCGAGCCCAGCCGCCGCATCAGTTCAAAAGGCTAATTTCTACCGTTGCAGAAGCTCACATGTGGATCGTGATTGGTTTTGTCAAGCTAAACGCCTTTCTGGGGCGTAAATCGTTCCCCATGTCGGGCAAACGTGACGACGACGCACGTTGCATCGTCCCGCACCTGACTTCGGGCCTGGACGAGGACACAGCACCTGACCGTAACGAACACCCCATGCGCCTATGTTCGCGGGACACAGCCAGGCTGAATGCGGGGATATGACGGTGCGCACCCTTTTCATTCCTACTCATGTAACATACTTGAGCGAGGTGATGTGATGTATGGCGCAAGAAAGACTTCGCACGCTGTAGAACATCAGATAATCCGTGCCATGTACCATTATGTGTCTTATTGGCGATGTATTTCCACCGCCGTGGATACATTATTTTCCATTACTTCCTGGACGCTCTCGACGACTGCTGAGGTATCGGTTATGACTCACATTTTCTGGCTTGCCAATAAGGTGGTATGCGAGCTCCGGACGTCCCGAGAAGTGGCGCTTAATTCGCAAGCATCCCTACTACGCCACAAAGCCGACCGACATCGGAGGCATGCGGTGTGCAAAGTCAGTGGGTCACTTTGAGCAGCGACCACCGTGGCTGTTAACGCCGTGGCGTTAGTAGGCTCCTCGTTCTCAATCGTCGGCAGTGCCCTCCTTCTTCGGGCAGTAGGCGAACATTGGTGATCGCCGGCTGCTGTCAAACCGCAGCAGTCACTCAGGAGAAATTTTCTGAGTACCTTCTCCCTTATGCCAGCACTCCCGAGTTGGCACGTTCGGGCGACTGGCCAGTCGCCAAACATGCATACAATACGACTAGCATTCAGCCGCACGTTCAATGGCCGGCAACGATGCTAGCTGCTTCTCGAGTGTATCGGAAATGCTGGCGTAAGCCAGACACCCGCGGGCTGCTATGCTAAATAGGAGATACTTGCATACCTCTGGACGGATCTACTAGGGGTGAAAGAGGTAGCGGTTGGTGCATACAGTCGTGACGCATAAGGACTGGCATTCCCAGACTACGGAGCGGTCGCGACACGTCTCCCTTGTATGCCTGGGTTGCAGATCCGTCCTATGCAGGTATAGCCTGCGAGAAGTCGAAACTGGGGTTCTCGGGCGATATACTCGAAACGCTCGCCGTTCTTCATGGATGACGGACGGCTATCTCACATACCGGAAGCTTCCCTTGTATTTTCTCAGCCTTGTGCTCAGCAGACAATTTCAAGTGCTGGGGGTACCCGTGGTATTCGCGAAAGGCAAGGACTTTCGCCATTGGATTCCGCGTCTGTGTCCAATGTCGAATTCATATCAGAAGTTTCCTCTCCTGAATCTCTGCTTCTATCATGCTCATCGCCCACTTGGCGGGTGCGACTTCATTTCGTAAGAGAACATGCGGCCCATCCGATTCCTGTATAGCGAGCTACTCCGCGTCGATCTGTCATTTTTACTCACATGAGATTTCTAGGCTATAGAACCACCATCATGCGAGATCGTACCATCCATTCAGCCGTGCTTCGGACGTAGCAGCTGAGTGACAGTTTCGAATCCAGCTCGCTGGTGAATTCCACCGCTCTGTCTTCGCAAAGGGATGGATAATCTGAGAATGAGAGATGAGATGAGAGTTCCAGACGAGACGAATAGTCCGACATGAAACTAATTCGGATACATTGATGCCTCCCTGAGATCTGTGTGAGTGTGAGTGCAGCCGTATCGCTGAGCCGTGACGGGTGCTCGTTAGTACCAAGGTGTGCGGGTAAACACTAACACCAAGGCGTTGGAAAAAACAGATGTGCCGGATTGAGGAAAGGAGAGAGATGCAGGACGGTGCCGCTGCACCAGAGGCGAAATTTGCGCAGTCCGTACGCCCAGGACAATGTACGACTTGTAGCATCGGCGGCTCTGGAAAAGGGGACATCACCCGAGCAGCGCAAGGAGTGCCGTCGTCGCTCCATTACATCCCCAAAGCCGGCGTTGGTGGCAGTAAGAAGGCACGAGGGAAGAATGTTGTGAGAATTTGAAAAGTGAATGATCTGTATGTTCTCCCCAACCCAATTTCTGCCCAAGATATTTTCAGGTGTATCTCCCACAATATGCCTCGGGCCCGAAACTAACCCATCCGAGTAACTCGACTCAGTCTTCCCCTAGACCCAATATCATCACTATACATAAGTCTAATCCCCGTCAGGCTGGGATTGAGGAGCTCGAGGGTGTCATTTCCGTAAGCGACCACGCATGTGAAGAGGATGTTAAGGCAGCAGGAATTCGGTCGACGAGCATGTTTGTCCACGGGCGTAGCGATGCCCGTAAGGGACAATCGCGTGAGGCACGTACAACGCAAACAATTGAAGACGTACCACGCCACCTCCAGCTATAGTATCACACCCGAGCTTGCGAACTCGTTCCTGCCTGAATATTCCAAAACAGGGGACGTATTATTCCAGATCGTGGAATGGAGGCATACTTCCACCAGCATCAGTATGTACTCGAATGGTGTTTTTAACGAGGTATTAGTGTCATTTAACCTGGAATCGAATTCGATAGGCGAAGGCACTCGGAACAGACGCGGTCACGTGGTGGTCGCGTTCTACAACGCGCGTCCTGGTAGTTTGAATGAACGCGTGCTTAGAGCGCTGGATTCCCTGCGTGCGAGACAGCAAAACTTATTAATATATCGAAAGTCCATTCAGTCTCTAGTGATTCACAGCGACATCATATGCTGCGAATATGATGACGGCAGGCCAACAATGGGGTTCGACCGACACTATTGTAGGACTTACGGGCTTCACAAGGTAGATAGACTCGGACTAACGTGGTGGTGCACGGCTGATAGGGAGCGCTGCGAGTATCTCCGTCGGAGTGGCTATATGCGCCGATACCATCCGAGTACGCATCATGTATGTTCACAAGCAGACTTGAACGTCGTGAATCTGCCTTACCTATAACACAGCCCGCCTGGAGCTTCTATGTTTTCCAGAGGTCATCGGGGGTGTCATACAATGCAGAAAACCAGGAATAGATGCGCAGGGTCAGGACAGCCAATGAGATATGAATATTCCTCGTACGTGAACAGTAGACCAAAGCTCGAAGCGTTGTTGTCAAAACTCACGACCGCACATAATAGTCATACTGTGAGATCATCCAGACCATAGATACGGCTGAGTTCGCGAAGCAGTCAGCCAGACACATTCTGCGGCCAAATCGCGGAAGAAGTACGCACTAGACACTATCACAGGGCTGATGGCCGCGCCCTTGAGGCTGGCAGTGCGGAAGATGAGAACCTCGGAACCGAAGTGAACAAAAGCAAATAGGTAGCTGAGCAGTGCGAGATCATATATCCTAGTAGAAGATCAACGGTGAGTGGGACACGGAAACGGAAAAGAAAATAGACCTGAAACAAGCCGGAATCAGATTATACGTACACTTTGTTGTCTATGTTATATGCTGCGTAGAGCCGTATGGCAGCAGATGTTAGCGTCCATATAGCGAACGTGCGCGCTTGTAAAGCGGTGACTAGAATGTGCGGGTCAGAATACTGTATGACGGTGTCTTCGCAACGCGGAATGGAAGACGTGCTTACCAGTCTGCGGGGCGATGCTGTATACCCTGCGCGTGAATTTCAGGGTCATAAAGTTCTGAACCGTATTGAACACAGCCATGACGGCGACCACTAGTTGCCATTTTGGAAGCCACCCAGCCGCCTGTGGAATAACTGTATCAGATGGTCAGTGACTGAGGCAACTTCATTGAGAAAGTTCAGCATACTATCAGCAAGAGCCATGGGTGTTAGAAGATAGGAAGAGCCTATGTAATCGTGCATCTTGCGTGAAACGAATAGGGCCGTGCGAATGATGGCCCCTGGCTGTTCCTAAGCATGAGCCGAAAATAATGTTAATCTTGACTGAAGTCAAGCAGCGTAGCCGTAGCGAACTAGTTCAGTATATGAAGAGAACTTTGGACGAACGAAAAGCAGGCCTTGGACATCCTGATTCGCGCAGAATGAATATTCTTAGCAGATAGACACTCTTTTTGGTCGTTGAATTTGACACAATTTAAATATGATTAGGCGCTTGACGCTTGACTTAACGGCAAATGGGGTCGAGAATTCATATCACCGCGCCCTGAGGTCGTCGCCGCCGTGGTTCAGGTCCTCGCATGCACCTCAACCCCCATCTCCATGGCCTCGACGACCCCAGTCATCCCCGTTGCTCACATCCATAGGTCTCCCTCCGTCCGCTCGAACTCTAGCGCCAGTACTGTAAGCGTGAGCAGCACGTCGCTCAGACGGCGGTCGCGGACGAGAACCAGGACGTCTACTGTGACCGGGAGAGGAAAGAGCTCGGGGCCGTCCGGCAGTGAACATGGTCGCGGTGTGGATGACAGTGCCATCGTAGTCTCTCCAGCGGGCGGGGACAAGTCCCGCCCGCCGCTTCCCGCTTTTCTCCAGCAGAAGCCAGAGAGCGACGCGTCTGGAAACCGCTCCTTGCCAGAGCGCGCGACGGGTAGACCAAGGACGGCAGGCGCTGTTAGACGTCCTGGCGTTATCCAGAAGGTGGGCAGTGAGGAAGGGCTGAGGCAGACACGGTCGGAAGGCGGAACCTTCAAGGGGGTGAGCTTTCCCCCTTCCAACTACTCTATCGCTTACTGACATTTGCTAGGAGATGAGGCAGCGTGCCCTCAGTTTGCCCCGTCGTGCCTTCAAGGTGAATGCCTCGTCGGACACGTCTTCTCAACCGAGTCCGAGCACGCCTGCCGACGTCGTCCACGAAAACACCCTCGCGCGGATTGTAGATGGCGACTGCCCAAATTTCAGGGACTCGATGATATCAACTACTTCCTCTTCCTTGTATCCTGCGTCGACCATCACAGAGACACGCACCGAGTCGTCTTTTCCCTACACGTTAGACTCTGCATCCGAGCGGCATGCGGGCCAACGCTCGCCAGAGATTGTGTCGTCGGAGAACCTCGATTTTGACGCAGATGACGTCTCGTATCGACTGCGTCTGCTGGTGAACAACAGCTACTTCCTCCCACCGGCTCATGCAAAACCATCCCCGCTGTCGCTGGCTCCTCCAGATGCCAGTATGTCCAAGAAGCCTGCAAACAAGGGGTCCAACTCCACCTTCCTAGACTTCTTTCGCATAGGATGGTCTAAGTCCAAACCGACAACGCCGATTACATCTCCCCCTGCTATCGACTATGCGCACGGGCCGATTCTTCGCACAACGTCAGACTCGACAACCGCATCGGGCTTTATTCAACGTCCACATGCTCGCTCATTGCCCCAAACCCCTCTTCACACAGTGCCTCCACCAAATGTGACCAGCAGAGTCGTGGTGGTGCGAGAGAGGATGGACGACTTGGCGGCTGCTGCGCAGGAGGCCGAGAAGGATTTGCGTCGCGCGACTGCGCGAAATACGAGGAGTCGATCGTCATCAAAGGGTAGATATTCCGAGGTCGACATCGTCGATCCAACCGATGCGGTCGACCTACCACCGCCACCACCGGGGAGCTACCCGTTCGCAACGCAGGCATCTGCCGCGTACGGTCTTGGTGTCCTTGAATCGGTGGGCGCGGCGGTGCTGGCAGAGCAGCTACCTCCTGGAAGCCCGGGCATCTGGTCATCGACCACCGAGAACAGTTCATGGCGTCAAGCGCTGCTACGCGAGGCTGTCAGTCACTCGCTGAGTGGTTCTGCCGATATCTCCCTTGCCACGACGTCAACAGATCGCTCTGCACTTCCGTCGCCCACTTCACCTATGCCTCTTTCAGTCAGTACTTCTGGTCCCTCGGGGCCATCAGACGACCCTGAGTCCCCGCAGATGTACACGCTTGGGCAGCCGATCTTGAAGGACTTGACGATCGTTACCGACATGGCAGAGGAGCCTCCTACTCCTACTCAAGCGCAAGTGCCGCTCACGGGTAACAGCGTATCTTCTGTTTCCAGCAAGTCAACAGTCGAAGCCCGCCGCTCAGGATGGCCAATGCCGAGTAGCCCGCCGCGCGCTGAGAGTCCTACGCATTCGCATGCGCTGGCCCCGGCTCCCCGCAAACGGCTCGTTAACCCTCTATACTCCGTCTCGCAGCCAGATTTATCCGATCCTAGCGAGCGGGAGCAGCCAGATGCACCGAGAACAGCGCGACCTTCTCTTCAGGCACTAAGAAAGGTGATGTCTTCACCAGTGCTATCTGACGTGCCGGATGCGGGCGCGGCGAGCAAGCGACATGTATTGTCGCTGAGCCCGCCGCCGACAGCGATCTCGCCACGGCTGTCAGCGGAGTCGCCAGGTTTGATGCAGGACCTGCGCGCGACTACGTCGTTCTCATCATATCGTAGTTTGATGAGCCAGTCTCAGTCGCACCATTTGCGCGACACTGTCGTCCAGGATGATGATGATGATGATGACGACGACGACATGTCCTACGTGACGCCCGCAGACACGGATGTGGACTCGCCAGATCAACCGCGCCCGTCGGTGACACTGTCTTTGCTTCCCGACGCCCGGCCGTCGCTGTCAATATCTGACTATTCGAATCCCTCACCTACGGCGTCTGCGTTCCATGATGCGATCTTTGGCAGCAGCTATCGGCCACCGTCTGTGATGTCTAGACGCAGCTTTATGGCAGATCCGTCGCGCAGCACGCTGGACTTGTCTGCCCCGCCCTCGGCGACGCCCGTGCCGCCACGAGTATTAACCCTGTCGCCGCCTCCCCGGATGTCTTCCTCCGCAAGTCCTACTGCACTTCCTCCACCTCCTCGGGTGCCCGGGACAAGACCTGTCTACCGCCCATCGCTATCCTCACGCGCGTCCACAGATCCTGGTCGTCCTTCGTTCGCGGCCACTATTTACTCCGTGCAGGAAGATCCTATAGACGACGCGGAGGTCCCGCCATTACCATCGCGGCTGGCTGATCGCCGTGGCAAGTCGTCCTCACGCCTGTCGCTACGCATACCTACCGACTTCATGGGTCCCTCTATTCACTCAGCTCCCGCGCCCGCGTCTCCGACCGAGTTCTTTGATCGCATTGAGTCAACGATGGACGAGCTAGACGACTTGGAAGATAGCGACTCGGATGAAGATGAGACGAGTGTACCTCCTGCACCCTCCTTGCACCATGCTCCTGCGCGAGCTGATAGCATCGACACCCTCGGTGGCAGCCCACGACCGTCGTTTATGCGCATGGGTAACCATTCGAGTCCGTCACTTGCGCCATCCTCGTCATCCTCGCGCGACGGCCCACAGCACATCGACATATCTCAGCGGAAACCCGTTTCGAACGTGCCCGTGAAGCCCCGCCGCGGAACTTACTTCTCGTCTAGGAAGAAAGGACTGACGAATACCGATATCCCGCTACTCCCCTTCACGGGATTGGCTAACACCCACGGACAGGCGTCGGAAAGCGGTCCCTCGGGGTCAGGTCCCCGGTCGCAGTCTTCTGCGAGGCGAAGACCCGCGACGGCCGGCGAGGCGGACGCGAAGTCGAAGCGGTCCCAGCGGGAAAGTTTGCAAAAATTCGACGGGATGCTGTTGCGACATTTGGAGGCAGAGCGGAGCAGGATCAAGCAGATTACTAGCAACGTGTCCACGGGGTCGAGAAGTTGATCTATTCACTATCTATCGCAGGTTTTCCTTCACTTATTATCGTCATCCTGCTATTCTGTTCTCAGTCGCCTTGCATTGCATTCTGTACTGACATCTTGTCCCATGAGCAATTACATACATCCAGCTAGTCCTTCATACCACATATCCTTGCTTGCACATTACATTTCTGTATATACCATATCTTTGCAACCGCCTTGAACCACACTCATTTAGCTGCTGTATATACCCGCACTAATCTGCTTTACACTATGATAACGGTATATGCATTCAAGTATCCATGTTTTACATGGGTAAATCCGCAGGTTCCCAGTGCATATAGCATGAAAGCTCAGGTATTGATACAATGATGCGGGAACGGTCGAGTACGGCAGATAGCAAGTAGGATATGTGAAAGCACTGACCATCTATCAAAGCAACTAAACAAATACAACACATCTATGAACCTCCCTGGCTCTTCCTCCACGATGAGAAGGAGAGGAAGCCCACCACCAACAAGGCAGTTCCCGCACCTACCAGCCCTGGAATATACAGGTACCAAGTCCGGTCGTCATCCACGTCTGGGGTTTCACGACAGTTCTCCATGAAGGAGCTCGACAGATCACCCGACGTCTTCTTGCGCCGCCTGCGCGGCTGATTTGCAGGCGGGTCCTTGGTGACCTCGATCGTCGGCATCTTGAAGTGGGTCTGCTGCTGCTCCTTGCGGCACGGCTCTGCACCAGATCTGGAGCCCTTTGCGTCCCCGCTCTCCGCACCCGAACTGGGCTCGGACTCGCTGTCCCGCAGACTGAGTGGGTTTTCGATCGCAGGATTCAGCATCCGCGCGCGCTCGAGGTACTGCCACGCGCAGTCCTGGTTGCGCTTCCACTCCTCAGAGCTGTGAGCGTGGCTGCCCAGGTTCGACCCATATCCGTGGCCGGTGTTGCCGCTCACAACCACAGGGGAGCGCAGGGACGACAGACCTGTATAGGCGGAGGACAAGAGCGCGGTCGCCCTGCCCTCGTGGTGAAGCATTCCCGCACAGCGGTAGAGCTGCGCAAGGTCCACGTCGTGTCCAATGCGGCTCAGGTAATACTGTGTTGTACCATGTGATGGGTCCCCCAGCCATGTCGAAGCAGTTGGTGTCGGTGTTGAAGGCTCATCCTTTGCGCCCTCGGCTTCTGAGGGCACAGTAGATGTGAGGTAGTCGGATGGTAGTGATGTATGCAATGGTAGATAATGCGTAACGAGACGTATGGTCGCGGACGGCACAGAAGCCTGGTGCCATGCGCGTCTGTGTGACGTTCGGCTTCATCGGAGAACATGGGGTAGACTGAAGACTTACACGAAGTACTCGAATGCATCAGTATAGGCTTCCCGTATATCACAGAGGTCCAGCCCTATGAGCACCAGACTTGTCGGGTCCATATTGTAGTCTGCCTCGATAATCGCGGACGATGCCCATGGGTAGATGGGCTCCTCGAAGCCGTCTCCAGGACGTGAGAGAGCCACAGGCACTGGACCAACAATGAGCGATGGCCAGATGATTGATTCCGTCTTCTCGAGGTGTATTGTAACCAGCCGCCCAGAGCCCCCGTGCACAGAGTCGACCGACGAGTGGGATGAGGTCATGCTGTAAGGTGGAGGCTCATTCGGGGGTGAAGATGGATACGAAGAGATGGTGTTCTGCGTGTGTCGTTGCGAGGGCATCGTGTAGCCATAGTGATCGTCCATGGTTGAGGAGATTGGGGATGAGAGCGCAGGGGACGACAGCACCGGGTCGTCTGCATCGGAGATGAGGCCATTATCCAAGGAGGCTGCAAAACTGCTGGAGAAATCGGGGTCTGATACAAATGCAAAGGATGAATGAGTGGAGACTGTAGACGTTGTAGACGTCGTGCGCTCGTGAGCAGAAAATCCGTGACGGGATGCGCGAGGCTCGAGTTGCCATAGAGAGTTTGCGGTGTCTACTGTGCCGTACAGTCGTCCCTAAGCATTGCGAGAGCACTAAGGCTGTGGCCTGTCGTGTATTCAGCATAAAAACCCACCTTCACGCTCGGGGCTTTCCCTCGTACTCCGGCTATGAGGTGATTCTTCTCAATAGTGATCTATGCTGCAAGCTCGTCAACGTCTCAGGATCCGGAGAGTGGCTGACGCACAGAGACATCTTCCTCAACAATGTCATTTGGTACCAGAAATAAGACAGTCGCCTAGGGGATGTCAGACCGGACGGTGAGGCAAGGAAGCATGCACCATCGACTGACTTGGTCATGAGACTATTCGCATCAAGAGGGTCAATGAAATTGAAAATCCATTCCTCAACTGAGGCTAATGCTCACCTGGTGCCAGGAGTAGGGCTGGTAGTGATGTGAGGAGCTGTCCATCGTAAGGGAGGTCGTAAAGGGGGCAAACACGGGTGGCGGCCGCAGGCCTCAGCTAAGACACGACACGCGCCCGAATACGTACATCATCACGTGCGCGTATTGCGCCTAAGGCGCGCAACGCGCCAGTCGACGCGCCGACTCGCCTCTCTCGCCCAGTGAACTTGGCAAGAACCTAGCAATATGACTGAGACGATAGAGTGGACTTTGCCGTTCCTTGAGCCAACGCACAGCCCGGCTGACCATCGCTATGTGCTCATCATGCTGAATCAACCTTTCTCGTATCCACTACTCAAGCGCCTTTGGAACGGATGCTCCTGGCGATATTGCGCGGATGGCGGCGCGAATAAACTGCATGATGTTCTCAGGGAAATACGGCAGGCGGGGGAGGCCGAGGACGCGAGAGGCATGTGAGTGCGACGCACGTTTGCAGCCCGGACATCCCCACCCAGCTGCCTGTCTCGCCAGGTATCTTCCTGACCTGATCAAGGGTGACCTGGACTCGCTGCGAAGCGATGTGCGGGAATATTACACGTCCAAAGTGAGCGCACTCAGATATCGCAGGCACATCCCCTTTGCCGGTGTTGCGCTCGGGTGCGCAGCCGTCCGCCACTTCCGCGACAAAGTCATTGTCACGCTATCCCATATTGTGCTGCCTTCGACCCCATGGAATGTATACCCCAGCACAGATGTTATGCGCGCAACAATGCACTAATCCGATGTTCATCATAACCATCTATCTGTCCACGAACTTGGTATTGAAATTGCCACAGAACATCACAGTCGTGGAGGATCACGACCAGTACTCCACCGATCTCATGAAGTGTATATCCGCACTAGCAGAGAAGGAGAAGGCCGAGGGAATGGAGGTACGCCCATCCAGTCTTCCCTGCCTTCTCTCCTGCAGCTCACAGGTGGCCGGCTGGTCGTCACCATAAACAGGACTCTGACCTCGTCATATTGGGCGGGCTCTCGGGGCGGCTCGACCAGACAGTCCACACGCTGTCGTTTCTGCACAAGCTCCGGAAGAGCAAAAGGCGGGTGTTCGCGATAACAGACGACAGCGTAGCATGGGTCCTTCCAGAGGTATGTGCCAGATCGACGTGCAGATTTATTCGTTGGCTCAGAAGAGCTGTTGCTTCCCTGCGTCTGTTGCCCAGGGTGAGCACCGAATACACATCAATCATGACATGCTGGGGCCTACGTGCGGCCTGCTACCCCTCGGCGTCGACTCCACCATCCTCTCAACGACAGGTCTCAGATGGAACCTCAGTACGTACTCTCGCCCACTATTTCGGTTTGGGGGTGCTGACGCACTGTGGCGTGTTTGCAGCCGACACGGAGTCGTCCTTCGACGGCCTCGTCTCCACGTCAAATCACCTTGTGCCTGAAGAGGAGTTTGTCTGGGTGAAGACGAGCAGGCCAATCTGGTGGACCGCCGAGTTGCGGGCGTCGGGGCTGGCGGAGTGACTGAATCAATCACACATGCTCGCGCCTTGGAGTAGCAGGTCACTTACGCATCCTGGGTGATGCCGCGCTGCGACACCTAAAATGAAAGAACACCTTCTATGCTGGTTTGGCCATTAGCCCTAGACGGTCCGATCGTGGTCGATACTTTTCCGATTGTGATATACACAGATTTAATTTTGTCGCTGATACTGCTTGACATATCGGGTTCATAAACGTCAGCGGCACGCCCGTACGTTTTCGTTGTCCTTGCGACCCTCATCCCCGCATTTCGGTGAGTAGAGGTTCCGCGCTGCCAACGAGCATATACAGTACACCCCTTTGCTTCCGCGAACCTGTTCTGCGCCGGAACGATGTATGGATGCAGACCAGATTTTCGGAATGGTACTGCAGCCAGCTTGCATTTGCAACAGATACCCGCCTGATTCCTGACTCTGTGACTAACTTCGTGTCAGTGCTACGGCACCTGTACCCCGACCTTCTGAATCCATCCCACGCACGTATCCTCTCGCTCTCGTCGGGAATTCAAACATGGCAGAGCCCCCTTCCAATTTTCCCGAGATAACCGTCCTCTACTTCGCCGGCGCCTCCACCGCAACGGGACTCACGAGCGAACAAGTGCCGCTCCCTGCTACTCGTCCTGATACCCACACCAGCATGTTCGTCGCGGACCCGCCGTCTCGCATCCGGTTCCCACTATCAGCGCTGGCCGCGCTCCTCGCCGCGCGGCACCCGAGCACAGGCCTCGCCGACGTGCTCGCGCACAGCTCCTGGGCGGTGAACGAGGAGATGGTGGACGACCCGGAGAAGGTCTTTTTGAGCGGGGGAGAGGAAGTCGCGGTCATCTGTCCCGTATCGGGTGGGTGACCGCCTGCGGCGACTCGAGTGCCTGTTGCTTGCTGCCGGTGAATCTGAATCGTAGACCCTGCTTCCGTAACTTGGATATTCTGCCGCCTCAGCTAAATTGAAGCCCAGTGCCTTCTCGGCGTGTGTAAATGCGGTGCGCACAATCTCCGCCTCGCCTCCGTCGCAGCTCTCATTCCTCGGCGTTCCCTCAGATTCCTCAGCTTGTATTAGGTCGGCGGTGTTCTTAAGGCCTAGTCCCACCTGCAATGCGATAGATTGCGCCCGCTATGATGATTGTATCTCTAAGCTGCTTTGAATCGAAGGACGTATGAAGGCGACACAAACTCCTAAAGGGGATTTTGCATCAAACTATATCCAAAAGCCATGCCAACGTGCGCGCAGGAGGCGCAGTACAACAAGACCGGCGAGCTCGACATGACGACGGATGAGCGTGAAGCCAAGGCCCTGATTGCTTGGCAGGGATCGTCCTCAGTCGCGCCGTGCATATGACCTCAGAAAGGCCGGCTGCTGGCTGGCTTGCTGGGAGCGAGGTTCAGTAGAGTTGCCACTGTCGGGCTCATGTCGGGCAGAGCTCATCAGAGCGTTGTCTTCCGTTGACAGGATTGCCGCCGGCAGAGTGCCGTGTGTGATGGTTAGAATGCCTTCGGTCTATAAGCGTCGCCCAACGTTTGGCACGTTCAGTTCGCCGGGTGTCCATCTGCGTGCGGCAGCCATAAGAATAGCACTGGGGCTCAGTTATAAGTGGAACGGCGCCACTGCGCTGCGCGAACGTGCCAACGCTTGGCTTCCCTTGGCCTCGCCTCCCTTATATTCTCCCATGTTCTGCGGCGCATACGCCCACACGTTTTCACTCGTTTAGTTCTCCTTCATGGGGCCCCAGCAATGCTGCTGCTAGCTGAGTTTATCGTCTGGGTTGTCGGCGTCGCCGCCCTTGTCTACTACTTCCTGTCCATAAATGCCCCAGTGCGTCGTAAGCGCGCTCAGACTCTTGCACTGTCCACGCAGGATGCACCGACGGCGCTCATAAAGCCCAAGAAGAGTGCATGGAGGGCGTACAGGCTGACTACGACAACATTCCTGATCATTGAGGTCAACGATGCATTCGGCGAACATCCATACATGTATGCGAAGATCGTGCCGGCCGCGGACACCATCCTACTATTGGACACGGGCTGTGGAGGGGCGACTTTCGACCGCGACGTCGACATCACGAACCTACGCGAGTTCGTTGAGACGGTGGGTGTGGAAGACAACGGCGGCAGGCCGCTGAATGAGGGCGGCCGGATGCGCTATATCGTAGTCCTCAGCCATTGCCACTATGATCACATATGTGCGTCCTCCCAAACATAAGATGCCCTACTCAAACTCACTGGGGCATAGTGGGCGTTGAACTCTTTGCGCACGACTCACCAATTCTCGAGTCCATGCACTCGCCCTCCTTTGTCTCCGAGAAGAACCTCCCCGCCCACTCCCTCTGCAAAAGCCTTGGCCTCCGCACTCCCTCCTTCACACCAACGCTGGTCCCCCACAATCACCCCATCCTTTCCGCCTCTGATATGCCCCTCAGCGTGAGGGTCCTGCATACGCCCGGCCACACGCCCGACGAGCTCGCACTCTGGGACGCAGGCGAGCAGATGCTCTACGTCGGCGACACGCTCTACGAGTTCGAGCCGATCATGTTCCCGAACGAGGGCGACATCCGGTCATGGCTATCGAGCGTCGACGAACTCATCGCGGTCGTGATGGCGTCGTGCACGCCAGCGGAGGTGCTGATCAACTGCGGGCACCGGACGGCGATGCGCCCGGCGCTGGATATCTTGCATTCGGCGAAGCAGTTCATGATGGATGTGCTGCTCGGGAAGGAGAAGGCGAGGAGACGGACAGTGAAGAGAGGTGTCGAGTTTGTGGAGTACATGCAGGCTGGGGGTCGATATCGTATGCAATGTCCAGAGCGACTGGTCGAGGAGGCGAGGAGCGTTGTACGAATGGACTGATAGACGACATGTGTATTCTTGGACAGGCAAGCGCAGACGGCGGGTCATAGCGCGTCATTTGATGATCCACTCGTCTTCGTCTGACCGCCTTTGAGCATGTCTCGTTCCAGCTGTGCGAGGAAAGCATCTGCAGGATCGATTGGTGAGGGCGGCGGTGGCAGCTCTTTCTTCTTTCCTTTGGGTTTCGTCAATTGTACTTCCAGAACAGCAAAAGGATCCACGACTGCGCCGGCAGGTGTGCCGTTCCAAGGCCTCGCCTCGCTTTCTTCTGCTTTGGCAGACGATGCTGAGGAGGAAACAGGGTCTGCTACCTTTCTCCGCTTTGCATTCAGCATCTTTCGCCGCTCCTCCAGCTCTCGCTTGCGCTTCTCAAGCGCCCGGCTCTTCGTCGCGACGGGTCCTGCGCTCTCCTCTCCAGGCCCATGCATGCCCTCCACCTCACCTGGCCGCACATCTTCAGCGCCGGTCTCCTGCCGTGTCTTCTCCGTCTCCTCGCGAGCAAGCCGGAGCTCCTCCATCTGTTTCCTGCGGGTCTCATCGTCTCCAGAGAACTGGTAAAACCCGGCGCCCTTAGCCCGGACCTCCTGCGAGGCGTCGTAGTGGACGTTGAGCGGGTTGTTCTCCTCGGCGAACTCTGTTTCAATGGCAGCGACGCGGTCTGCAGACGGCTCGTACACAGGAAAATGGTTCACGGGGTTATCTAAAGGACAATTATAAGCAGTCGCACCGCGTTCGCACAATGAGACATACATATCACAAATGGACTGTAAGCAAATAGGTGGTGAACATCAGTAGATGTATGCGTCGGAACCAAAGTGTCACGTACTCGATGTCCTCTTCCTTTTCCCCCTCTGGCTGAGGCATAAGATGGCGGGGGATCTCTGAACGCCGCCCAGTTCGCATCCGGCCAAACTCGTCTTCGTATTCGACGATAGGATCGTCCTTGCAAGAGCAGATAGGTCAGGGATCGTAATGAAGTTCGTGCGTCAAGTACGGACCTCCTCGCCCCCAGGTAGTTTAGGAACAGTCAACGATTCGTCGACGTCATCACTGTCCGACTCATAATGATCGATGGCCTTGGAGTCGAACTGCAGGGGAAGCTAGGCGTCAGAGCGCACCACGCAGCGCACCGGCAGCAGACACATACGTCGACCAGCAGAGCTTCTAACTGCTTCTCGCTCAGCCCGCCGCTCTTGCCCTTCTGCAACTTCTCGTACATCTTGGCTTTGCGTTCGAGGACGGCGCGGGCGGCATCCAGCGTCGGCTTGCTGATCTCCTCGAGCTCGATGTCTCGCGCCGCGCGGTTTTTGACACCCGTATTCTGTCTCGCCCATATCGTGGGTTTCTACACAGGATCATAAGTTGACGGCCTCATCCAAAGTGCTTGTGAACACACCTTGTCAGGCCTCTTCACGCCACCAACGAGGGCGGTTGCCCTACCCGCGGCCTTTTCCTTTGCAAAGTCTTCCTCTTTCTTCGATAGCTCGGCCTTGAGGTCGAAGAAAGAGCTGGCACTGACACCTGCAGCCTTTGCCTTGTTCTTGGGCGCCATGGCGGTCAAGGTCGAAGTTGAGCAGGCGCACAATGTGAAGACGCCTGATCACGTGCAGAAATAAGCAGGGACAAATACAGTTTCACCGCCAACTCAACATCTGGACAGACAAAGTGATCCGTGGAAGACGATCAAGGGAGCGATTGCTGATCACGCTAAAATGATCAAGATGTTTTTGACTTGAACGATCGAGAGGACAAAGTATATTATACAAGCATGACGTTTTTCGATCAGGTGAGAGATGGAGGGATCGGGGGAGCAAGATCGTTGCAGATGGATGACCCAACGTGCAGCCATAATGGTGGGGATGTAGTACAGTCCAGTCGTGTCAGACTTGTTTTACAAATCTAGGAGAGACGGCTTAGAACGATCTGCGAAAACAAATTTGACGTACTCACGTTGCGTCCAGTTGTTTGATCTGCGGAAGTGCAAGAATGACCTTCCTGCGATAGTGTACACCTTCTGTCTTCTGTACCGGGTTACCTTCGAGATATACAGTTTCGAGAGAGGAGATGGGCTTCAGCTGAGAGCCAAGGTCTTCGAGAGTAGAGATTTTATTGTCGTTAATCTGGGCGAAAGCATGAATGAAAGATGACGACAGAACGGTACCACATGAAGACCTACCCATAACTCTTCGAGCGATGATAGATGGGAGATGCCCTCCAGCTTCTTCACAAAATTGTTGCCGATGTCTACTGTCCGGAGCTTATTCTGGAAGGCGTAACCGTCAGAAGGACTCCGTTATTCTAATCGGTCCGCTTACATTGTGTTCCAGCCCTTCTAGCCGCTCGATGCCATTGTGGCTCAAGTAGATTTCTTCTAGGCTTTCCAAGTGATCCAGCCCTTCCAGCTTGGTTATTCGATTTGACTGAATGGACAAGATCTTGAGACGCTTGAGCGCGTCCAGATTCTGTGCGTGGTGAGCAGTCGTGACGTTTCCGGAGATAGGGTGACATACCTCCAGTCGTGTGATCTTGTTCTTGCCCAGCCAGAGCTCCTCCAGATTCACAAGCGCGTCTAGGCCCTCTATTTTCTACCACGGCAAGGATGAGTGAGCAGGCACCTGACGTGGGACGAGTGCCTACTCGTAAACGGTTGCCGCCAAGCTCAAGGCTGCGCAACGTCGCACCGACGCCATCCAACCCCGAGATATGCGAGATCTTGTTCTGCACAAAGAAGATCGTCTTCAGAGAGTGCAAGTGGTCCAGTGTTTCCGGGACGTGTCGCAAGAGGTTGAACGAGAGGTCCAGAACGCTGTTTCATGACGCGGACCCACATCAATCGCGTCCACTCACAAGAGCTGAGGGCGGCTGCTCACGAGAGCTTGCTGAGGGTCGTCAGGGACTCGTCGACTCGCTTGATCTTGTTGTCGTACAAGTCCAGCTCCTCTAAGCCCTCCAGGGCCTTCATAACCTCCGGGTCCAGGACGGAGAGGTAGTTCTGCCGTAGGCATAGCTTCTTGAGATGCGCGCCGAAGCGCTGCAGGCCGAGCCTGCTGATAGAGTTCAGGCGGGAATGGATGAGCTCTATCTCCTACAGACATCACATGTACAGTAGGACACGAGAACGACCCCGAAATGCACGTACCTCCGTGTCATCCGGCAGATCCTCGAGGATCTCCGAGTCGTCTACACTCGCTTCCTCCTCTTCGCCGTCCTCCTCTCCACTCGTGTCTGCGTCCCCAGCTGTGGGGATTTGTACTGTGGCTACCCGCGCTGTTTTGCCTCTGCGAGAAGGTTCAGTGCACAAAACGCGCATGAAAGGATTGCAGATCATACGGCGGAGGCGATTTCGTCAACTCAGTAGTAGCCTCATCTTCGTTTGCCTGAGACGAGGATGTAGGGGCAGCCTCTGTTTCTGGCATCGTGGTCGTCCAGTAGTAGTTGGTCGTCGGGTGCTCACAAAGATACGCTGACTCGAGCGTTCGGTCTCTCGAGTCGTAGTCCAGCCACCGCGGGCCATCAGCTATCCCTCGGCAGTCGCCGCTCCCAATCCGGCAAGTGTGGCAAGGGTGTCGCGACTCTGTAGGATTTCGCTCCTTTCCATGAACAGTAAGTCATTAAATCACAATTCGTGCTGGTCGAACAGGTTTGACCCCTGGCGTTAGTCATCTATGACATATAGCGATCTCACAGCATACTTGACACCAAGAATGAGCGGTGCCCGCATGGTTGATGCCCGGTTGTCAGCAGTGTATACAAGCACCAAACTGGCTTATGGCTTGAGGTTCAGGTGCTTTGACCCGCCACCAGGTAAGACTACAACGCGACTGTCCATGCAATTTTACGGCCAACGGGAACGCTTTGAACAGTAGTCGGCGCTTCCACTTACATTCTCTCGATCGAGTCTCCATGATCACGGCGTCTGGGGCCGATCCCGGCGATTCCGCACAGGAAGGTGCTCGGAGCCGCGCGATTATCCTCACCATGCCCTCACGAGCTCTTGAGTGGAAGTGAACGCCGATTCTTAGTCTGCAGCCACCTCGCGGGTATATGCAAGGCTATGCAGCCTGCGGGCGCGCGCATATACAGCGATGTTTCTAGACGCGGGGACCTGCCCAGTCACCAGTCACTTGCCGTACATGGGGATAGTTGCCATAGGTGGACGCCTCAGCATAGCCATGGGGCCGGTGTTCAATTGACCCTATTAATCATTCACAGGTGCGTGGCAGCACTCCGCATGCCAAATGGCGGTACTCACGCTTTGAGACCACCGCAGGGATAAGCACCGTTCAACTCAGCCCGCATTGTTGGTCATATCCAGCCTCCCAAAAGAGGGGCCGGAACTGTCCCGCCTCTACGATTACTTACACGCACACGGTGGCTGGTATGCAGCTGCGATTCGGATGACTCCTTAGACGTCTTAGTGTCGCCATCGTGCCTGGTGGAGGATCAGCCGATGCACTCCCAGCGAATCGCCGACGCCGCCCAAAAGAAGCAGCTTAACCGCCGCTTAGTGTAGTACTTGTGCATATCTCGCAACGCAAGGCCCGCTAACATCCAGCTCACATCCAGCAAGACGGCCACAACATATGCGACCGTCGTTGATCGAGGTTGCGGACTGGTTTGTGGGACCTCCTGACGATCGCGAGAAGCGATCTATGATCGGAGCTTGATCTTCGCACACTCTGTTAGCCCCGAATCTGGTGTATGTCTGAAACGGCTCTGCTCGTGCAAGCGTGCAAGCGAGAGGGCGGTGGCTTTGCCGGCCTTGGATTGAAGAGTAGGGTTCGGTACACGAGTCAGGTGGATTATTCGGGAGAAGCTGTGTGACGGAGGTCGCGGCAGGAAGCCGAGGAGTCACGGAGCTTGGCGGGATCTCACAGGAATGCATTGGTTGTAAAATAGAGTGCCACGCAGCACGACCGAGGTAGACGGTCCGCAGCTGGCTGAGGGTGCGCAGATGACGTGGCGGCTGCGAGAGGGAGGGAAAAGCAGATAGAGAGGAAGGCGAGAAAATAGACTTTTGGTGTCGATGATCGAGCAAAGCGATGCCGGACTGAATTTGGTGCGGTCCGATGACCTGGAGTTGATTCGTGTTGACTGCCTCCCCGTGTCGCCACAGCGGTCAGGCCCCTGTGTGCTCCTCCTCTTCTCTTCCACAACATCCTCCGAGCCCAGCACCGTCTGCCCCCGCCATCCCCTCCTGTCTCCCCAACCCCCATCTTCTCCCTTCGTGTCCTCTACTTTACTTTCTCTCTCTCCTACTCGCGACGCGCCCCGCATCGTACACGTATTTCTACGTCTCGCTCGCATAGTCCTACACCTATCTTATCCCTGCTATGAGCTTTCTTGCCTCGCCACGAGGCTACGATTCTCTAGCACGTTCAGACCTCGCTCTCCCCGCCATTCACCCGTCCAACTCCCGCCTTCCTATGCAGCCTCTGTCCGCGTTCGACAGCGTGCCCGTGCACCTCCCTCCACTCGCGCCTGCTGCGCCCGCCACCGCGCCTGACGCCCCCCAGCCGGCCGATCGTTCGACGACCGCGTTGCCGAAGCTGGGGCAGACTCGTTGTTGTACGTCACTCCCCATTCCGTCCGAGTGATCGTTCGTCGATCGCCCCTGGATTGTTCCGCTCCCGCTGCCGGTCGACGCTGACCCCCCGTCCTTTATTCGCAGACTGGAGCTTGCTCACGCCCGACTTGCACTTCCTGTACCTCGACCCCGTGCTCGCGCATCATCTGCAGGACCAAGCTGAGCTCCTAGTGAACAAGTCTCTGCTGGATTTCGTACACCCGGACGAGCAAGCATCCGCGAAGCTTGACCTGGGCAGTGTTTTGGAGAGTCGCACACTGCATGGGAGCGTCACTCGGTACGTGCATACACGTTCACTACACGCGTTCGCTTCGTTGCATCATGCGTGGCCTTGAAATGGTGCGTTGACGTAACACTCTTCAGCGTTCGTTACTCCCGCCTGTCGCGTGTCCGCAAGGTGCTCGGATACCAAGGTCCGGCACAGGAATGGCCAGACGCCGACAAGGTGGCTGTTGATGACAATTACATGGCCATTGACATAGTCATCAATTGGGCCTCCGATGGGTTGGTGTTATGCTTCATGCATGCGGTGGTAGACCTCTCGCCGCACGACAATGATGAACATCACAAAACGCCTTGGACTAACTGGTGCGGCACGCCCTTTATGAGCATGGATCAGGTTCAGCTCCTGCATTCACGGCTCTTGTCTGCCGTGCCGCAGCCGCTCTCTATGTCCAGGGTCTTCCAAATATTACTCAACCAGCCTGAGAGGTCCTTGTGCATGAGTTGGCCTCCCGATCAGCCGGAACCAGGAGGCCCAATATCAAAGGACTTCGCAAAGTTGGCTCAGGACGTTCAAATAAGCAGCGGCAGCGCCAGTGGGACTGATGCGAAGACTAGTTGTACGCGACGGTACAAAGCCCACCAGACTATGAACTTCGGCGTCGAGAACGCAAAGGAAGTCGAGAGCATTTTCATCCCCCACGGTTTGTCATCGTCCCTCTAAACTGGATGACGCATGCTTATTGCCACCGCTTCAGGCTCCATAATTTTCGCCTGCCACAAGGTGCATCCCAGCACCCGAGAGCTGAACCCCAACGAAGCGGCGACTCATAGCTCGCATTACTACCCGCCACCGGGCAATCACCCTTATCCCGATCAGGCTCACTCATACAGTCTTCCGCCAGTTCCCGCGCCTTCTCAGTATCATAATTCTTTCCCGCCGCCGCCGCACCATTCTGCTCACTACTCTTCCGGCAGCAACTGGCCCCCTCATCCAGAGTCTCCGGGCTCCCCGCCTCACTACCAACAATGGAATACAGCTCCGTCCGTCAGTAGTGTCCGTTCTTCAACTTACTCCGCTCCACCGCAGCAGCATCAATGGCCTTCGCAGCCGCCATCCTATCTGGACGCCAGCTCCGCTCCTCCTCCTCCATTGAACTCAGGACCTCAAGGCTCGCCTTATCCCCCTCCAAACAGCGGAAATGATGACCCGCCGCCTTCCCCTGGCAGCGACACTGTGCCTCCGTCACGGGTCATCCATAGGCGTGGCTCGAACACAAGGGACCAGTACGGCAATGGGGGAAGAAGCACAGGGAATCCCCCTGTCGGCGTCGCACGGTGCGCCAGCTGCAAGGCAACCCACAGCCCAGAGTGGAGGAAGGGCCCAAGTGGTAAAAAAGATCTTTGCAATGCGTCAGTATGACATGTGCTCCGTTGTCAATCTAGCTAACCCGTAATGCTTTCCCACCATCTAGATGCGGCCTTCGTTATGCTAGGTCCCGTGCGAAGAAGGAAGGGGGACCACCTCAGCAGTCACGCCGTCGCAAGGACAGAGTCTTCGATTCCTTGTCGAAGGAACCTTCGCCGTCGGGTTCTCCCGTGCCAGCCCCCTATTCAAACGTCCGAAGGGGCAGCTACTACGAGGATGGGTCCTTCCCCTCGACGTCGAACGGGTCGCCGGGCGAGCTGTACCCTCCCCCACCACGCTCGGGCCACCCTGGGTTCACCGGCACGCCGTCGCCATCGCCGCCGAATGGTGGCATGCACTACCCGTATCCCCATCCACCGCCTCACCACCAAAACGCCGACGGTCGGTCGCACTACGACGCGCACGGCGGCCAGTTCTATTCGGTTCCGCCACCGGCGCCGCCCCAGCAGGGCCTACCGCACCTTGCCGGCCACGAACATCCCCCGCGCCTCGAGCCCGTTACGCCTTATTCTGGACCGAACCAGTCCTCGCCTGGGGTGTCGCCCACGTCGCCCATCGGCGGATCGCCCATGAGTGGGAACCTCTCTATCGCCTCGTTCGAACGCGATAGGACTCATCGGGAACACGAACGGGAGGGCTTGCAGCCTACACCGGTGTCTGCTGAAACACGCCGCTCAGGAAGATCTGGCTATATGCGCGATTAAGTCTTAAAGCCGCCCCGCGGAATAGCGCTCAGGCTGTTCATTGTCTCGAAAGCGTCCCACGCAACTTATGATGGACTAATATTCTGTTCTCGCCTTGCCTATTGTTCGCAGGAGTGGTGATCGTGGTGACCGTACTTTCCGTTCGAACCCATGTCTTCCTTGAAGATATTTATCCGCTGTTTCCTTATCCTGTATCGGCTGTGGCGGCGGGGCGTATGGAACTGCCCGCGTCGCCGCGTTCCCCCTTCTATGTATTGTACCATAAATCGACCATAGATATTTGTCCGCGAGGACCTTGTGTACGCCGGGCCCGAGAGGAGGGTCGAGTGAACGATCGTGATCGTGCGCGCGACTATCAGCCCGATGGCAGCGTTACGACATGGGCTCGATTGCAGGCAATCGGCGATTCCTTATCGGAGGATAAGATAAGTCAGTTCTGCGTTCCCGCGGCAATTCTTCGGCATCGGTAATACCAATACCGCCTCGACCTCTACCAGTTGCAGCGCGAAGCCGTAACTCAAAATGCCCGTCCCGACATATGTCCAGCACGAAAAGAATATCTGGATCGCAGCTGGGGACGGCGACTTGGAGCGAGTGAGGGTGAGTGTGCAGTCATAACTCGGTGACAGACGGTGTCACGCCTTCTAGGAACTCGTCGAGCAACACGGTGAGTGGTGTTGCTGACTCTTCAGACCATGTAGTCGTGCTCATACCTGCTGCAGCTCTATCGCCCAATGTGCCCGACGCAAATACGTATACGCCCATGTAAGACGGAGCTGTCAATCACACTTTTTTCACCTAAACTGAGCATGTTGGTGTCTAGGCATGCGGCAGCTTCATACGGACACCTGCATGTCCTGGAGTACTTGATATCACAAGGTCATTCTTCACCGGCATGAGGTCCCTTTGTCCACCGACATCTGTCATGTAGGTGGCGATGTGAACATCACAGACGAAGATGGAGACACGCCCCTTTATGCCGTCGAAAACGTCGAGACAGCGCGGTACCTGGTAGAACACGGTGCCGTCGTGGACCGCAGAAACGCAGATGGCGTCTCGGTAAGTGTCGTGTCTTCTCGTGGCGGTAGCTGTGTTGATGGCGAAGCAACAGCCCGCGGACTATCTCGCGGAAGACTTCCAGGAGGTCGCCGCGTATCTCGAGACGATCTCTCCGACTCGCACGGCCGATGCAGCACCGTCGCCTGCCCTGTCGCCTCCATCCCACCCTCAGCCGTCCCAACGCGCACAGGACCTGGCATCGGAAAGCCTGACGTCGTCCTTGATCCAGTCCGTGCAAGGCATCATGGAGCGCGCGGAGGCCGAGGGGCGGGACCCAGACGAGGAATTGCGCGAGGTGGTAGGGAGGACTGTGCTTCAGGGCGTCGTGACGGGGTATGGGATGGGTGCTGAGAGCAGCGATCGCACGGCGGAGCGCGAGGAGGGGCCTGGAGAGAATGGTGCGAAGAGATCGCGGACGGACACCGGGCCCAGTTAGGGGAGACCCTTCATTTGCCGAATGAAACACTCTGTACTTGTACCGTGTCCGGAGTACGACTCGGTCACAGCATGTTGCGCTGCAGCCGCAAGGACAGCGTCTGGTGGAGCACTGGATGAAAGCTGTGTTGATTCTGCATCTGGCAACGCCTAGCAATCATTATCCTTCACTGTGGACACCACCGACCAGTGGAATACCGCAAGGATGTGTCAATTCACAATTCTCGGGCCTCGTCCATGCTGCCGTCTTGATGCTGCTGACATGCCCAATATGTTGCGCATAGCCTTGCGCAAATCGCGTCGAGGTCCTGCTCTCATCCGCGCCCGTCCTTGCGACTCCGACCTGCTTTTCATCTGTGTCTCTGGCTTCCACCGTCATGCCCACGTTCACGAAGCACATCTCGCTCGCTGACCTCACGGAAGTCGCCTCGCGTATCGATCCTGCCGCGGAAACGCCGATCGTGCGGGCGACCGCAGAGGCACGCCTGAAAGAGTTTGAGACGATCTGCTGCCCGCTGACGACGGAGAAGTGGAAGACGCGATGGCAGGAGATGTGCTTGCTCCCTGCGGATGATATAGAGGACAAGGAGCCCTTGGAGAGGAGGGCAGAGGAGTGGCGGTCCAAGCCCGCTTTCATGCGGGACGAGGTGACCGTTACGCGGTTAGGTGGGCAAACTTGCCGTTCTCGACATACATGTCGCACTAAGTATGTGTTTTAAACAGATGAAGCGGAGAGTATTGTTGCTATGGTGTCCGATTGGCTCGAGCTTGATGCTATGGATGGTTGGGTCCGCCATGATTCTGAAGTTGTGCGTCTTTCATAATTGTGGGACTCAGTCTATAAGCGCAAGCTTCCCCAGCCAGTACGAGAAGTCGTATCGTCTTCTCTTTAGCTAGGAGAAGCCAAAAGTTGCACTCAGGACAGGTCTCCTCGCAAGGGGCACACGGCTCATCCTGCACTTTTCGTAGGCACTGCTGCAAGAGCTCGCATATGCTTCCTACCTCAATATCCAGACCGCTATTCTTCCGATACCTCGGCACAGATCACACATTGCGTCCTATGCTAGGGCCGTCAATGCATGTCTCAATGCCATCCCGTACATTCAGCTCTCTGTCAGGATACCAATCTACGATCCCATGATGCTGCATCTCAGTCCTACTTCTGCGAAACCTACTGCGTCCATATCATCACCTTCCGTGTTGTTCTCAGACGAGCCGTCAGTAGCAACATGGGAGATGTGGGACGCCATCCGAACGGTCTGCGACTATAACCCGCGGCTTACATTGAGTAGGGCGTTTCCCGCCATCGCACATAGTTTACTGACTAAGGGGGTCACAGCGCTTGACCTCACGCCTCCTCTGCCCTCTGTCCTGAGTGTTCTTAGTCAATGGTCCGCGGAACCCGTGCGCAACATCTTTCTACCCGTCACCACTTTCATTGCGAACGCAAAGGGCTATCCCGTGCTGCCCAAAGTTACACAATCATTTATTTGGGACATGATAAAGGTTAGTCTTCTCTTTAGTTTGGCGTGAAGACGGTTCACAAGACGATCACGCGCAGTTACAGCCTAATATCATTCTTTCTGGAACTGGCGCAAGACCCCACAGAACGGCGGGCGAAGGCGTCTATGCACAGTATATTCGGCACCTGGAGAAAACAAGCCCGTCCGTCCGCGCAGCACAGACGTCAGGTACCGTCGAGAATTTCGCGCAGGGCTATCAGGACTACCTACAGGCCCCTTTACAGGTCTGTCTTCTATCTTGCACTGACCATAACTTTCGCTCATACGCATATAGCCGCTTATGGACAACTTGCAAAGTGTCACGTATCAGACATTTGAGCAGGATCCTGTCAAATATGCGCAGTACGAGGAGGTGAGTTATGCTCGCTCGAAGATGAATACGCCCATAATGAACGAGTCAGGCTGTCTATACAGCTCTCATGGAGTGGCCGCAGATTGACAGAATGTGAGATATATTCCACACCCTTGCGAATTCTCTTCTAACTAGAGTCAAGTATCCTATGTGTTGCTGGTGCAGGGCGCGGTCCCCTTGTGGCAAGATGCCTAAACGCACTGAAGCGCGCCAATCGAGCTGGCTTCATATATGCCCTCGAAAAAAACCCAAATGCATACGTCACGTAAGTGCCTGTTGTAGGAACGATTATCACCATGTATAACTGAACAAGGATATGGAGTGAAGACTGCAACATCGCAAGCAGACAGAATGGGGCGATGATGTAGAGCTAGTGTTCGGTGACATGCGGACGTCACAACTGCCTGAGAAGGTAGACATTCTCGTCAGCGAGCTGTTGGGCTCGTTCGGCGACAACGAACTCAGTCCGGAATGTCTCGACGGTGCCATGCGCTTCCTGAAAGGTAAAAAAAATTAGGACAAGATCATTTGTGGATCGTCTGACTGGACCGGTACGCAGCTGACGGCGTGTCGATACCTGCATCATATACCGCGCATATTGCGCCCCTTTCGTCATCAAGGCTTTTCAATGAGACGCGCACGCTGAAGGATATCAAAGCAAGCGAGACGCCATATGTTGTGATGTTCCACGCGGTCAACATTCTCAGCGGCGAGGGCGGCGGTCTGAGTGGCAATTGTGGGCCCAAAATTCAGGAGTGTTGGGAATTTGAGCACCCAAGAAGGGATGCAGTGCTCGATGATCAAGGTGCTCACACAATAGCCGTCATTTGTTGCTCGGCTCAACATGAACTATTGATACAGGGCTTCCACCGACCAACACACACAATGCAAGATCTACCAAGCTGACGTTCCACATACCCCATGCCGGTATGCTGCATGGTCTGGCGGGCTACTTCGAGGCCGTCTTGTACGGCAACATTGGGTTGAGCATCCACCCCGAACGCATGCAGCACATCTCGAAGGACATGCTGAGCTGGTTCCCGCTCTTCTTCCCGTTTCATGTGCGTGCGGTGTGGCGTCATGCGTGTGGAAATGTCCTGACCACACCGGACAGGAACCGCTCTACCTGCCGAGCAACTCAGAGCTGCACGTCTCGATCTGGCGCCTGACGAACCAGCGGCAAGTCTGGTACGAATGGTACGCCGAGGCGTTCCTGCCGGTTCCAGGGACGACGTCGGTGCGCGCGAGCTCGGAAGAGAGCCGAGCACAGGGCGACAAGCGTGATTCGTGGCTGTCTGCGCGTTCGACGCCGCTCATGTCCCCGAGCCCGGTGGCGGACGCGATTGATATCCCGCCAATAGCGATAGATACAGCGATGGAGAGCGAAGGCGGCGCCAGTGGAAACGTCGGGCTGATTAAAATTGGGCAGACGACGCTGCACAACCCTCGCGGGCGAAGCAGCTGGATAGGCTTGTGACGAGACCAGCAAATACGCGCAAAGGATATGTAACGAAGGCCTGTACGTAAATTGCGGATTAGTACTCGCATGATCCCCCCCGCAAAGCTTCTGCGTCGCAACCGGAGGCAATCGCGGAGGAATGTGGGGTGCCATAAATAACGGGCCTGACGTGCCAAGGTATTCAAGCGGCGCTTAATTAGCCGCTAATGTGCGGAGGTTGACGCTACATAAGCGCCCCCTTCGTTCGCGTCTCTACCTCAACTTTTGTTGTTCCCGTCCAAAGGCTTGAGTATCACAAGACTACTTCCCGCTCATTGCAACAAGCACGTTCTTTTCGACGATACCCCGTACAAGATGAAGTTCACCACTACCTTCGCCGCCCTAGTGGCCCTCGTCCCCGCCCTCGCGAACGCGCTCACCATCAACACGATGTAGGTCATGATCATTTGACTTCGTTGAAATTCTTTTGACGTGCCGCGCAGTACTACTGGCATTACTGAATGTCGTGAGTATAGACCCCCTTCTGCCCAGGGCTGTTTTTGACGTCGTGCCCTTAGAGCCGGTCCTCTTTTCCTGGTCTGGGGGAACTGCACCCTACTACCTCACTCTCGTTCCCCAGACTGATACCAATGCTTCTCCGGTACGATACGCGCACCCTCATACATAGCTATTGTCTCACCGGAGTCGCATCGCGTCACTCTAGATCAAGAACTTTGGTGAGCAGCAAGGTACCTCCTACACCTGGAATGTCGACCTTGGACAGGGCACCAGCTTGTAAGTTTCATGTCGGATTGCAACCTGCCATGGCGGCTGACAATATGGTCTAGCACCTCTATCATCAAGGATAGCACTGGCGCGACTGCGTTCTCTGACCTAGAGACTGTCGTGGCTGGCACCAACAGCAGGTGAGTGGGAATCAGGTAGTCTGATTGATGTGATCCGCTCACACACGCTCCCAGCTGTGTGAACACTGCTGTCAACGAGGGTAGCTCTCAGACCGGGTCCGCACCTGCTGCCACTGGGCAAGTGCGATACTTTCGATAGCTTCACTTTAATGCTCATATGACACTACAGCAGCGGGTCTAGCACGACTGCTACTGGATCTAGTGCAGCCTCCAAGACTGCCTCTGGCACTAGTGCTTCGGCTTCCGCCACTGGTGCCAGGACTGGTGGTGCAGCGCGTACCTCCGCTGCGGGCGCCTTCGGTGTTGCGGCCGTGATGGGTCTCGTCGGCGCGGCGCTGTTCTAAACATACGCACGATGTCTTTCCTGTTACCCGGTATCCATTGTCCAGTAGCAGTTTGGCGGTTCGTTCGCACCTTATGAGGGCCACATATAGTCTTGTCAAATACCATGTCTCTGCATGCACCTACTAAGATGGCCTAGTCGAAAAACGTGCATCGCAGCCTGCAATGCGTGTCGGGCTCTTACGATGATGCGCCAGGGACGGCATTCTAGAATGCGATCACGTGATGGTCGCGTTGCGTGCCGGGGCCGGAAATCTGGCAGAGCAGCCGACATGATCTACTTTGGACACGCGAGCCGCCCTTTCTCGTTCTCCTCTCTTTCTTCAGTCTCCCTTCCGTCGTGCTCAGTGCCGACACGTCCTGCACGGGCTTGTTAAAAGCCGCCATATCTGTACCCACACCATTCATCTACAATCGTCGTTCACGCGACGAGCGTCTTCTTGATTAGCTGGCATGTCGGTCGCGCTCGAAGGGCCACTCGTGTCTATTCTACAGGATACTACTAACACGGCAGATGTCACCGAAGAACATACTATTCACAATGGAGATGCCCACCTGGCAGGAAAAGAGCTCTTTGTGCACGAGAGTGGCGTTGAACACGCCCCCAACGGTGTAGCAGCCGCCGAGGAAAAAGCAGAGGAGCATGAAAGCCTGGCGTCCCGATTCGCAGAGCAGATCGAAGCCATGGTCGAAGAAGTAAAGGAGCTGATCTCTGGTGAGGACCACGAGACGTCAGCTGAGCCCGAGGTACGTACGCTCAGCGTCATCAGCTGATGGCAGTACTCATGACCATGCGCGCTCCCCTTGCTTTGTATCATGATACAGGAGAGCGGCCCCGACGCTGAGGCAAGCCAGTCTGTCGAGGAGGCCGCTGAGGTGCTGGCAGACGAGTCCGCAGATGCTGCGGTCGTTGATGAGGCTATTGCCGCCGATGAGCACACGACTACAACTGTGAGCACATCTGTCAATGATTGGACGCGACGTTGACTGAACTGAGCAATCTGTTCACGTAGGAGGAACATGCTGAGCCTGTACTAGAACTTGAGGCTACATCAGAGGACGCTGTATCAGTGCACGTAGAAACTGAGACCTCCGAGGAGGCGCTCGCCGAGTCTGCAGACGTGCCGGCAGCTGACGCTGAGGAGCTCGTCGTCGCTGAAGAGGCCGCCATCGCTGAAGAGGCCGCCATCGCTGAAGAGGCCGCCATCGCTGAAGAGGCCGCCATCGCTGAAGAGGCCGCCATTGCTGAAGAGGCCGCCGAGTCCGAACCCGCCGAGGTCGCTACAGAGGCCGAATCGTTCGCTATTGATGAGGAACCATCAATCGAGGAGGCTGTTCTAGCTGCCGCCGCCGAAGAGTCTGTCCCCCTGGAACCCACTGCTGCGGAAGAGCCTGCCGAGATCGTGCTCGCTCCGGAGGAAGAGCTGGCTATCACTGAAGAAACAGCGCCGGAGGCGTTTGCCGCGGAAGTTGAGCCCTCGCCGGAGTCCGCAGCAGAGGAAGTCAGGGAGGTCGTCACAGAGTTTGTGGAGAGTATCCTTGAGGCCGTGGAAGAGGCGACGCCTGCTCCGGAAGAGGCTGCGCTGGCAGAGGAGCCCGAGATCGTCGAGGAGATCGCTGTGCTCGCAGAAGAGCCTACACCTGTCGAAGAGGTAGTGCTTGCAGGGGAGGCAGAGTTCGCAGAGGAACCCACGCCCGCAGAGGAATCTACAATTGCAGAGGAATCCACACTCGCGGAGGAATCTGTGCTCATAGAGAAATCCGCGCCCGCAGAGGCTGAAGCTGCGCCAGCCGATGAATCCGCGCCAGTCGAGGAAGCGGTGCTGCTCGAGGAAGATGCTGTCGAGCCTGTGTCAGTCGAGGAGCAGGTTGCTGAGACGATTCTTACTGACCAGCTGGCAATCGAGGCCGAGGAGGATGTCGTCCCTGTGGAGGAAGCCGTAGTCGAGGTGGAGGAGACTACCGTCGAGGTGGATGAACCTGCCGCCGAGGCCGAGGAATCTGTCGTCGAAGTCGAGGAATCTGTCGTCGAAGTCAAGGAACCTGTCATCGAGGAAACCACCATCGAGGCGGAGGCTATTGTCGCTGCGGAGGAAGCCGTCGTACCTGCCGAGGACGATACCGTTGCAGAGGAGACAGACGTAGCTGAGCCCCAACCCGTGGAAGAAGTCGACGAAGTCGTGACCGAGGCAGAGGTCGTGGTCGAAGAAGCGGCGCCTGTCGAAGAGGTTGTTACTCCAGAAGAGACTATAGTGGTTGAAGAGGCTGCCGTTGTCGAAGAAGCTCCTCTTGTTGAAGAGGCCATCCCCCTCGAAGAAGCTTCTCTTGCCGAAGAGGTTGCCGCCGTCGAAAAAACTGCCCTCCTCGAAGAAGTTGCCACTGTTGAGGAGGTTACCCCCAGCGAAGAGCATGTCGCCGTCGACGAGCCCGCACCCGTTGACTCTGCACCAGTAGAAGAGGAGGTTGCAGAAGTCTTGCTAGTCGAGGAGGATGCCTCCGCAGAAGACGTGCCGGTAGAAGAGGCTGCAGCCGATGCAGCACCTACAGATGAAATCCTCATCGCGGAGGAGCCCGCGCCAGCAGAGGAGAATGTAGTCGAGGAGGTGGTGTCAGAAGTAACGGCGGCCGTCGAGACTGCTTTTGAATTCGCTGCTGAAGCAATTGCGGGTATGACAGCCGAGGTCGAAGAAACCATCGTGGAACAGGACCCTCCCACCGAGGAAGCTGCGGAGGAGCCTGCCCCAGTGGAAGAGCCTACCCCTGTGGAGGAGCCTGCCTCCGTGGCTGAACCTAACACTGTGGAAGAATCTGTGTCTATCGAGGTGACGGCACATGCTGAAGAACCTGACCTTGTCGAAGAGGTTGCACCTGTCGAAGAGACCGAATCTGTCGAAGAGACCGCACCTGTTGAAGAGGCCGAGCCTGTAGAGGAAGCCGCGCCGGTGCCAGAGGCTGTCGTGGAAGAGGCTGCATCCTCGGAGGAAGTTACTGTTGCGGAGGAGTCCGCACCAGCAGAAGAGACCAAGGACGATGGGATTGTCTCAGAGGTGGTTGACGCGATCGAGACGGTCGTGGAGGTTGTCGCTATCGTGGAGGCTGTCTCGGAGATCGCAGCCGCGGTTGAAGACGTCCTCACGGAGCAGGAAACTCCGGCCGAGGAAGCTCCTGTCGTAGAGGAGGCTTCATCAATCGAGGTCGCTGCTGTCGAAACAGCATCTGCAGAGGAAACCGTCGTCGCTGTGGAAGCAGTGCAATCTGAGGAGGCAGCTGTCACAGAAGAGGCCGCTGAAGTCGAGGAGGCAGTCGTCGCAGAAGAGGCCATTGAGGTCGAGGGTCTCCCCGTCACGGAGGAGGCTGCCACAGTCGAGATAACCACCGTTTCCCAAGAACCCGATGCAGCGCAGGAGCAAACAGCGCCTGCTGTGGAGGCTGATGAAGTAGAGGCTGTGGTTGAGATTGCACCGCAAGATGAAGTCGTTCTTGAGGAGGAAGCTGCCCCTGAGGCAATCTTGGAACCCGAAACGGTCACAGAAGTTGTTGCGGAAGTAGTCGCCGAGGAACCTCCTTCGGAAGAGCCTACTGCTGTTGAGAGCGTCCCTGTTGAAGAAACAGTGGTCACTGAGGCAGTGCAGGAAGAAATCCCTGTTGAAGAACCTGCAGCACAGGATGTTACGGAAGACACCTTCGAAGTCCCGGCGGATGAGGAGACCGTTGACGTTATTGAGGCTACAATTGCCGAGCCTACTAAAGTATCTGTTCCCGAGCAAGAACCCTATGCGGAGACAGCGACCACAATCACCGATGCAATTCACGAGGCTGTAGCTGAAGTTGTGGTGCGTTGCCCGAGCCTTACTTCATGTAAGGCTTACCTTTACTGATGCGCCCCTGCAGGAAGTTGTTGTGGAAGCAATAGAAGCGAGTAACGAACCGGAAACAACAGCTATCCCAGAGCCGGAATCTGAGCCAGAAGTTGCTGAGGTAGCAGCTCCGGAGACAACAGACACAGCAGACGAAGTCACGGTCGAAGACCAAGCTCCTGAGGAAGGCCCTGTCGTGACCGAGACACATGTTGAAGAGACAGCTGCTCCCGATGAGATTATCGCTGAGCAGGAGGACCAAACCAACGTGGTTGCAACGGTATGTTTTACGTCAAGGTCATTCAATTTAGTCATTGAGTGTGTCATTTCAGCCCGGCGATGAAGAGGCTCCCACAGAACATGCAGAACAACACGTGGTTGAGCATGAGGTAGAGGCGCCTACGTCGAACGTTGTTGATGCAGAAGCTGAAGTCGCCGCCGAAATCGTTGTTGCTGAAGTGGCAGAGGCAGCAACAGAAGGTTCGGCAGAGATTGCGACATCTATCGAGCAGACGGAGGCCACTGAAGAAGGGAGTATCACCGACGATGCTCCTACTATTGCTATCACCGTTCCCGAGCCTCAGAGCGACGACGTTGAGATCACCACTGATGTTCCAATCGTGACACTTGACGCCGCCGAACGACCCAAATCGCCCTGGACTCCGTCATACAGTGTTATCATGCAGGGTCCCGGTGTGGGGGCTCCTGAAGCGGAGGATAGCGAGGAAATCGCGGAGCTGGAACAGCTCCCGCCTTCAGCCGATGAAACCGCTGTTGAGAGTGTCGTCATTACCGTCGAGGTTCCAGAGATCCACACGGAACCTGTCGCTGAAGAGCCTGCGACAACGCTATCAGAAGTCATTGCTGAGGCATGTGATTGATACCATGAAAAGGACCCAGATACTGACTCGCTTATAGACCACCGCGGAGAACCCCGCGGTCGACACACCAAAATCCTCTCCATGGGTTCCATCATATTCCGTCAGCTCTCAAGGTGCAAGCCCCCTGCACTCGCCGAATGTGGCGGCTATTGCCGAGGCTGAGCTTGAGCTTGTGGAGCCTCTTGAAGCTCAGGCAGCTGTCGAAGTCACAGAGACAATCAACGAGCAGGCACCAGAGGTGGAGCATATTGAAGAAGTCGAGGTTACCACGACGGATGTCGTCGAGGGAGTGCCAAGCATTGAGATTGTCGCAGAAGCTCCTTCGGAAGAGCCTACTGCCGAGCCATCAGTGGTGGTCACCGCCGAAGCCGATGCTACTGAGGTAGGGCTTCGAATTTGCTGTCGCCGGCTTGTTTGCTCATGATTGCGCAGATAGAGGAAGCAGTGCTCTCAGAAACATCTATCGTCTCTAATGCAGACGAACGGCCGAGGTCTCCCTGGATCCCTTCATATTCTGTCAACTCGCAAGGATCAACTCCCCTTCATACACCTCGCGTTACCGAGGACGTGGACGTGGAAGAATTGCAACCATTATCTTCGCCCGTGCCAGACAATGTCGAAGTGCCAGCCGAGGAACCATCACCTGAGACTATCGCGGTAGATACCGTGGAGGCGGAAATTCAAGAAGAAGCTGAGGTGATTACTAATGAGGTCGTGGAGAGTACTATTGTGATACCACAGGTCGTGTTGACGGCCGAGATCACTGAGGCCTCTTTGGAAGACGCTCCTCAGGTAACCATTGATGGCCTTCGGTTGACGATGTTGACAATGCTAACTCCTATCCCACTACATAGTCTATTCCCGTTCTGTCAGATGCTCCGGTTGAGATAGAGAGACCCAAGTCGCCCTGGACACCATCGTACTCTGTCATAAGACAGGGCACCACTCCCCTAGCTAGTCCGGTCGTTGGTGATGACAAAGAACTCGAAGAGATCGAGCAGTTACCACCTGCTGTCGAAGTTCAAGAGACTGTGATAACTGCGGAGCCCGAGACCGTCGACGAGCAGCCTACGGTCATTGTACAGCCTGCCGAACCATCCGTCGAGGTAATAGCACCCCGCTCCATTGTCTTCACTTTGCTTATGCCGCTGGCAGGAGATCGTGGAGGTGGTTGAAGAGAGGCCTGAGCGTCCTTGGACACCCTCGTATTCAGTGACTACCCAAGGTCCTGGAACGCCCAACGGGAAGACGCATGAGATTGAGGACACCGACGATGTTTTAGACAATGGCCCGCAAGTCTTTCCATCAAGCGAGGGTTCTGCACCCGATACCAGGAGCATTGCTACTAAGTAAGTGCTTGTGAAGCTACGCACTTGCGAATGATACTCATGCTTTTACAGGCCGAGCTTGGCTAGGTTGGCCACGGTGGACGAGCACGAGCAGATCAAGATTGACCTCGACGGTCAGTCTCTTGACACTTTGACTTCTCCCGTCACCGCGCGCGCACGACTCGAATCAACGACCTCTTCGCGGTTCTTCCCAGGTGGCTGGTTCTCTAGCGCACCCAAATCCGCAGAAGAAAACCGGATGTCCCTCGAGAATGCCGCGGGCGAGTTCTCGAGCCCGACGGGTATGAAAGACTCACCCGCACTGGAAGTGCCGACAAACACCCCCATCGACGGCGTTATCGACGAGAAGAAGAGAGGAAAGTGGTGCATCATTATGTGATACAGTGTTCCGGTGCATTATTTTGTGATACAGTGTATTCGTGCTTCAAGTTATTTCTAACGACTTTACGACCTGACGATGTTCTTATTTTCATACACACTACTCCTTCGCTTTTTTGCATATACCTTCTGTGAGATCTCATCTTCGCGGTTCTAGGATGCTATGCGCAGCTTTCGTCATTCAGCTGTATATTCCTGTTGATATAATCCATCGTCCCCAAAATGCTTGGTCCTTGTTGCGAGGCAGCAGTAACTGTTACGTTCGTGTATGAGAGTAGCTGTGGAAGAGTACCGCAGTCTACTGGCCGTCTAGATAAGAAGTTAGCGCTACCTATGTTTGATAGCTGTCCATTATGATGAATCGATATATAGGAGGTACAGATGATGTCACTCTTCTCGGTGATGTATCAATTCATCACTACATATGTCTGGACCGAGGGTGCGTCTTTGACACTCGACATTCGTGGGCCTTACCGCAAACGCGATAGTCTACTCGTGTTCATTCTCGGAGACTCTGTGGGCGACCAAATCCGTGCGTAACGGATCGAAATGTTTAATGTGAAACTCGTACTCCTTAGTCATGAGGCCCCAGGCTCTACACTCGTGGACAGTGAGCGTAGCGCACAACACACAGAGCTTCCCGCTCCGCGGCCTCGGACCGCTTTCCAGAGGCAGTCTATTTCGGACAGGAGCGTCTCGAATCGACAATGCGCCTGTAGCCAGACGAGGCAGAAATATTGCCGTATGCACTTACAGTACCTCAGCACAGAGCATCCCGCCCGGCGTGTGAGCGATCTGTCTAATAAGCCGCGCGCAGCCGGACACGGGGGCGCAGATGCAGACGTCCGAGAATGCGAGTGGAACTAGGAATGATTAGTGCGCGACAGTAAAGGCGTCTGTCTCGTCAGGCCACGAAGGTCAGCAAGACCTATGTCATAGATTGGCTGTCGGGGCACACTGGCCTATATTGGCTCCTAGCAGAGGCGGGAACGCCGAATGAAATACCCGCGGCTACATTACGCCGTCGGCGCGCCACCTGCATTGTCTAGTATTAGGAGCGCGTGAATGTCACCTCAAACGGGACACAACTCGCAGTCACTTAAATGCGTCGACTCACTTTGAAAAGATTCGATGTACTTCATGCAGAGGACTTACCTTGGGACCTTCATGGTACGACATAGACGTATCTTCTGATTGTGCACGGGCCTGTGGCTGTCTTGGTTCATGGCGGGTTTCCTCTTAACACTACCCAGCGTTCCGGCTCGCGCTCGTGAGCTTTTACTCTATTCAATTCTGGAGCCTTCACCTTGACAGATGCGGTGTTCCTGGCCGTTAACTCGAGACTAGCTTCATTCTATAGGCATAAATCGTAGGCTCGAGGTCTTGGTAACCGCTCTGAGTCAATGCACTGATGCGAAAACCGGAGCTATACTCACCTGTAAATAGCGTCCCAGCGCTGCCCCTCTAGTATTTAAGAGGTCGACTGAAGGACAGGCTGATACAGCAGCCATCCACAGCAGCTCTATTCGTCTTTCTACAACAGCGACCTCAGCACTTATTCACTATGAAGTTGACCACTCTGCTTACCAGTGCTCTCTGCCTGGTGCCTATCGTGTTGGCGGATACGTACAAGATTACATACAACCCCGTCTACGACAACGCAGACACTTCCCTCAACGACACGGCCTGCTCTAACGGCGTGAATGGCCTCATCACTAAGGGTAAGCACAATAATCTGTGTGTTTCGTACCACACGCTGATGCACAGCGACCATAGGGTACACCACCCTCGGATCCCTTCCCGATTTCCCTTACATCGGAGGATCCTTCGCGGTTCCGCGTGAGTTTCGTAAGACCCGCATGGATATTGGGAGGCTCATGACCTTGTGGACAGACTGGAACTCCACTGGTTGCGGAACATGCTGGGAGCTGAGCTATAACGGAACCAGCATCAACGTCGCCGCTGTCGACACGGCGGGAGTGGGCTTCGACATATCGCTCGACGCTTACAATGTCCTCACAGACGGGCAAGGTGTAGCGGCCGGCTTTGTCTTCGCCACTGTTGCCGAGGTGGACGCGTCGGTTTGCGGATTGTAATTTAGTTCGTACCATTCGAGGTCTGAGGACGAGCAAGTTGCCAAGTGGTATGTCTGTGTGGCGAGCAGAATTGAACTTTGGACTATGGAGATGTAGGAATAGTAGTAGGAGAGCATTTTATCGAAGTTGAGATTGTGCATAGGAGTTTCAATGCAGTTGTGAGATATATCGCGGCTCCGTCAGACCGCCAGCATTAGTATAGTATGTTTGACGGCTGTGCATGATGACAATTCAACGTTTAGGGGGGACAGATGGCTTACCGAACAGTCGGCAGCGACTGCCTGATTGATCCAGGAGCCAAAATCGTTGATCGGACTGCGAGCATCCCGAGACATTCCGCCGGATCCTGTTTGGCGTCTGCCGACTGCCCGATAGGCGCAGTACGAGGCTTCTCGAGATGTCCCCTCTTGCTTGGATCTTTGAAGGAAAGCAGGGACCATAGCCTGCTTTACAGTGAGCAAGAGGTTGAATACAAGGCCTGGGGAAAGCATTGCAGTCCGGAATGCTGGAAGGTCAGCAGACGTCCGGGAATGCGAGCGGAACTAGGAATGGTTAGTGCGCGACAGTAAAGGCGTCTGTCTCGTCAGGCCCAAAGGTCAGCAAGACCTATGTCAGGGCTTGGCTGTCGGGGCACACTGACCTATATTGGCTCCTAGCAGAGGCGGGAACGCCGAATGAAATACCTGCGGCTACATTATGCCGTCGGCGCGCCACACGCAACGTTCTAGGACTGGGAGCGCGTCAACATCACCTCAAATGGGACACCACTCGCAGTCGCTTGAATGCATCGACTCACTTTTGAAAGCCTCGATGTACTTCATGTGAAGTACTTGTCCTGTAACCTTGATGGCACGAGATATCTGCTGAGCGGTGTACGCGAGCCTGTGGCTGTCTTGGACCATGGCGGGTTTCCTCTCAACACTACCCAGTGTTCCGGCTCGCGCTCGTGAGCCTTTACTCTAATCAATTATGGAGCCTTCACCTTGACAGATGCGGTGTGCCTGGCCGTGAACTTGAGACTAGTTTCATCATACTGGCATGAATCGGAGCTATACTCACCTGTGAACAGCGTCCTAGCGCTGCCCCTCTAGTATTTAAGAGGGCGGGTGAAGAGCAGAGTGATACAGCAGCCATCCACAGCAGCTCTATTCGTCTTCCTGCAACAGCAACCTCAGCACTTACTCACTATGAAATTGACCACGCTGCTTACCGGTTCCCTCTGTCTGGTGCCTGTCGTATTGGCGGATACGTACAAGATTACATATAATACCTTTTATGACAACGCAGACACTTCCCTCAACGACACCGCCTGCTCTAACGGTGCAAATGGCCTCATCACTAGGGGCAAGCGCAATAGTCTATGCGTTCCATACCACGATGCTGATGCACAACGACCATAGGGTACACCACGCTGGGATCCCTGCCCATTTTCCCTTATATCGGAGGGTCCTTCGCGGTTCCGCGTAAGTTGTGTAGGCATCACATGGATATTGGGAGGCTCACGATCTTGTCCACAGACTGGAACTCCACTGGTTGCGGAACATGCTGGCACCTGAGCTACAACGGAATCAGCATCGACGTCACTGCTGTCGACACGGCGGGGGTGGGCTTCGACATATCACTCGACGCTTTCAATTTCTTCACACAAGGGCAAGGTGAAGCGGCCGGCTTCGTCTTCGCCAATGCCACTCAGGTGGATGCATCGCTTTGCGGTTTATAATTTGGACTGTATCATTCGAGGTCCGAGGATGAGCAAGTTGCCAAGTGATATGTCTGTGTGGCGAGCTGGACTGGACTTTGGACTATGGGAATGTAGGAATAGTAAAACAGCACTTCATCGAAGTTCAGAAGTATTGTGCATGGGAGTTTCAATGCAGCTGTGAGATATATCGCGGCTCCGTCAGACCGCCAGCTTTAGCATAGTATGTTTAACGGCTGTACCAAGGCTGTACATGATGATAATTCAACATTTAGGAGGGACGGATGGCTTACCGAACAGTCGGCAGCGCCTGCCTGATTGATCCAGGAGCCAAAATTGTTGATCGGATTGCGAGCATCCCGAGCCATTCCGTTGAATTCTGATTGGCGTCTACCGACTGCCCGGGACAGTGTAAGTGTGATCGTGCTCACTCAACTACCAGCTGTGCCCACGCCGCCTTTGCCAACAGAAATAAGCTCGGAGTCAAGATTGGACCACCCGGAAAAGTGCCTGGGCAGTGAGACGGCGCTAACAACTTGGCGCCAGAGCTTTCACTCTCCGTTTGCTACTCTAGCTGGCTAGGTCCATGTTCCATCTCATTCGGCTCAAGCAGCTGCAGATACTGGAGAACGCTCTGCTGCAGGAGAGAGGACAAGCGATCTCTCATGGCCTATCGGCGCACCCCGTAATCTCCTGACATTCCTCTGGCGTTATCGCCTGCAGTGGACGACGCACTGTGCGAATTGCTGGCCATGATCACAAACACTCTGAGTCTTCCTGAAGGCTTCATTGACTTCGACGATGACTCTCTAGAGCTCTCCGTCGGGCTTGACCCCTCTTATGGCGTAAGAATATAGAAAAGTCATTCGACGTTCGACACGGTACACTGTGTGGGTCCTGCGAGCATCATGCGGGAGTTTAGACCAGACGCATGGAGGACCGCGTGATGGAGGGGGAAAATGACAAGAGTGTTCATAGCCAGAAGATTCTTCCACATGCGAGCATCAATGCAACGAGGCAGACCGACATCTGGCGGCGAACAAAGTCCAAGCTGCACAAGCGGCCCTCGTCCATATCAGGCACCTTAATCTGTACAGCAAGTCGATCGCGAAGGCACACATCGGGTTCGGATGGCAAGATTCGTGTCATCGTGACTGTTGGGTCTGGGTACATGGGCTCCAGAACAGGGCCGATTGAACGAAATGAAGCATGGAAGGTATGGCGACCCTCGTAGAAGACTAATATATATGTTCTTAGTGGACCGCGTACCACAGTGGTTCCGAGCGCGATCACGGGTGAAGTGCAAGGAGCATGGACAGCACGCGCTGGCAGCGAGGTCGACACTCGGGCGGAAGCACGAATTGAAGAAGAGGATATTTGGTACGTCTTCAGTAGCTTTGCATGTAGTCGAATAGAAATGGATCACACATGATGGGTCAGGATGATTGCCACAAGGACATAGCAGGCCCCAAATTGATGGCCAACTCTCGGGCCCGTCCGCGCTAGGGACCGATCTGAGATCGTCCTGAGACCACCTGCCTGCGGTGTGGCATGATCTTCCATGCAATGAATGAATAACCTGACATGCGTAGTCACTGAGCCCCAATTCCCCTCTTGTGGCTTATGGTCATTTGACAGTATGGAACCGTCTATAGCTTCCTTTTTCACGTATGAATTGTTTCGTAGTACCTATGCGATGTTTCCGTGCTATTCCGTGCTATTTCGTTTCGTATAAAATTCATTCCAGGTCCATAGCAGTATATAAGGCAGGCCGTTGTCCCTTAGCTCTTCGGGCTTCCTCACTCATCAATCGACAAGTAAGTCCCGCATACTCCTTTCCACCTCTACACCGTTTGCTCACTGCCGCACACTGTGTGGTAAGTCGGATAGATAATCGAGTCCATATGGCTTCCAGCACACCTCTCGACCAGACGCTTCAGCAAATATTCGAGCGCAATGACCAATGGGCGCGTGAAATCGAGACCGCTATACCAGACTTCTTTCCGAACAGCGCCAATGAACAGCAACGACCCAAGGTGCGTTTTACGAAGTGTGTGCATGGGACGCTGCGACGCATCCGATCACTGGCGTGGCATGTCGTGCCAAGTCTCCATTGTGCCAGCGATGCTCCGGAATTACGACGGAAAGCGTGCCGTGCTCACGGTGCCAGCCAGAGATAACCCTGCACTACCCTAGGCTTAGCGGATCCACTCATATTTTTGTCATCCGCAGGTCCTCTGGATCGGATGTTCGGACTCGCGTGTCCCTGAATCAGTGGTCACGGCGTCCAAGCCGGGCGAGATATTCGTGCACCGCAACATCGCCAAGTATGTATCCTGGCCTCTGCTAAGCGCATCGACTCACGCATCAAACCACAGCCAGTTCCGTTCCGAAGATCTCGACGCGCAGGCGGCCCTCCAATTCGCAATTGGTACCCTCGGCGTCACACACATCGTTGTCGCAGGGCACACAAGGTGCGGGGGCACCCTTACGGCATATCTCAAAGGCCTGAATGGCCGCTCACCGGAAACACCCCTCGACCGCTGGCTCGCGCCGCTGGTTGAGCTCGCGAGGGAAAAGGCCACAAGCTTGGAGGTAGAAGAGTTCACGGAGCTGAATGTGAGAGTGCAGGTGGATCATCTTGTCGAATCAGAGACGATCAAAGCGGCATGGGCCAGTGGCACAAATGTTCAAGTGCACGGTTGGATCTACGACCTGGAGACGGGGAGGCTGCGCGACCTGGGAATCACCCATACGAAGGATCGATGAAACAAATAATACGTTCTCGAAGCTATGAGAATGCTGAGATATTGACGTTAGTAGTTTAGCGTTCAATTCACGGCAAACCTTTTCAAGTATCTAGTCTCGATCACGCCTTGAGAATATGTTCGATGTGTAGTACATGGATGTAGATGTATTGAGACTGCATGAAAAAGGCATACATAAACAGAATTTGGATGCCAGGAACACTGAAGTAGGCGAACAGAGTTCACGCCCCACCATCTATAGGCTGTACTACGAAACGCTCAGCGGCGGTCGACGGCTAGAGCGCGGCAACGGCATCTCTTCTCGAAACAGTGTTGAAGCGCAGTACACCTTTGCGGCTAGCTCCGGTGGCACGACGGGACTGGGAAGTTCACTTCCTGTACAGCTGTGGAATGTTATCACAGCTGACTGTCCCTCAGGCGGCCTGAAACCCGCCAGAGAGATGTTAGCCCAACCGCAAGTCCGATGTCATCTTCCTGCAAAATACGCCAAACCATCAATGCAATGTCTGTATGGAGGGATCGAGAACTCAGGCTTGGAGTTTGATAGTTTAGTTGCGTTCAATCTGAGTGAACACTGTAGGGCGACTAGGTGCGCAATACGATGACCCGTAGAGAGAGGATCGAGCATATGATGCGAAACTCACACTCCCTAGTTACGAGGGCATGCGCTTGTGGACAGTGATCTCAGCGTACAGCATGCACAGCATATTGAACTATGGTTTCGGGTCGCTCTCTACGGAAGCCCAATGCGGCCAGGGATGTGTCGAACCGTGTGCCGATTAAAGCGTCTGTGGCCAGACAAATATTGCTACAGGAACTGACAGTATCTCAGCACAGAGCATCTCGACCAGCGTGTGACCAATCTGTCTAGTGGTTCATGGGCAGCCGGACATGCGGCGCAGACGCAAAGGTCGAGAATGTGAGTGGGACTAGGAAGCGCATAACAGGAACGACATGTGTCTCATCAGAGGTCAGTAAGGCCTATTTCAGGACGTCGCTGTCGAAGCACACCGACCTATATTTGCTTTTACCTGGGGTTGAAACGCCAAATGAAATAGCTGCGGCTACATTATGCTATCAGCGATGCGCCACTTACAGTGTTTAGGACTCGGAGCGCCTGAAATGGACAAATCGAATAAAGTTCCACAGTAGTTGCCGATCTGACCCGTTGCCACTTGAACGCCACACGCAGTCGCTTGCATGCATAGAAACATTCTGAGGAGACTCGATATATTTGTGAAGAATTTGCCTTGGGACCTTCATGACACGACATATCCTCTGAGGAGTGTGTGCGGGCCTCTAGCTGTCCTGGTTCATGGCGAGTTTCCTCTCAACACTGCTCAGTGTTTTGGACTCGCGCTCGTGGGCCTCTACTCTTTTCAAATATAGAGCCTTCGCCCTGACAGATGCTATGTTCATAGCTGTTGACTGGAGACGAGTTTCATACTATGGTAATACATCATAGGTCTGGGGCCTTGGTAATCGCTCTGAGTCAACGTACCTACGTGAGAATGACCGGACCTATACTCACCTATAAACAGCGTCCAGGCACTGCCCTTCTAACATATAAAAGGACGACTGAAGGACAAGTTGAAACGGCACCCATCCACAACAACTCTGTTCGTTGTCCTGCAGCAGCAACCTCAGCAATTACTCACTATGAAGTTGACCACTCTACTTACTAGTGCCCTCTATCTGGTGCCTGTCGTGTTGGCGCAGCAGTACAATATCACATATAACGCTTTCTACAATGACGGGGACTCTTCCCTCAGCTTCACCGCTTGCTCTCGACTGATTCCTAGTATGCATGTTAATTTATGCATTCCGTACCATACGCTGACACGCACCGACCTTAGCTGATCCTGTCCTCGCTTCCTTCCATGATTTCCCTTACATTGGGGGAACCTCCGCGATCACGAGTAGGTTTTGTGGGATTCGCGTGGATTTATGAGGCTCATGATCTTTTGAACAGGCGAGAACACCACTGCTTGCGGGACATGCTGGCAGCTGGACTACAATGGAAACAGCATTTACATCACCGCAGTCGACACAGCGGAAGCGGGCTTCTTCAACCTGACGCATTACGCCTTCGAGAAGCTCACAGACGGGCAAACGGGCGACTACGTCTCCGCCATTGCTACCGAGGTGGATTCGTCGCATTGCGGTTTTTGTCCCGGTGTGTATCATTCAAGCTCCGAGTATGAGCAAGTTTTCTGAATGACGTGTCTGTGTGGCGAGCAGGGACGGACTGTGGACGATAAGAGTAGTAGAACAGCGTTTCGCCGAAACCGCCGGGGATAATTTTATGCGATTTGTTAATGTAGCTGTATTCGGCAGTGACGCCTATATTTTGAAGAACTGGTCTCGTACTGAGAGATTACCCAGAGCAAAACGCCGTGAGCAAGGTTGCTTACGGAGGCTGAGAGACGCTCCGAGCAAACACAGCATGCCTAGGTCATCGCAATTAGCTTAAAATCCCCGCAAGCACTCTCAGTCACTATACATTCTCATGGAGAGAAGGAAGATAATGAAATAAACACCTCAGTTAGTGACCTACAGAGGGTCATTGAAATCATCTGTCCATGAATGTCTGAATCAATGTCCTAGAACAATTTAACTCAGACTCACTATAAGAGCTTCCACAAGATCAAGTGACACAAGGCTGCACATTGCGCATGTGCACGGGCGGCATCATCTGATGGATTGCAACGCAACATTGCTCGGTCGCGGTTGAGCATCGAGAAATACTGTCGATATCCCATCTAAGATCACTTCTGATGTGGGTATAATTGATATTTATTGAGGGCGATAAATGTACTCACAAGCGGATATGCGCATCACCTCATACCGCCATAATGGAAGGTGTATCTTCCCACGTGTGTCTCCTAAAGAATAAGCGTGGTACCGTGGCATACATCCACTAGTTTATGGTATTTCGGAGAGTCAGCTATGCTGTCGGCTTTCTTTAATCCCAGTGTTATGTCCGCTTGAGGGTGTTGCCCTATGCTGGATAATACACGCGTTTTGATGCCGGCTTGGATTGATACAGTGCTTCAACGGGTGCTCTTCCCAAATGGATCCATTGACGAAAAGGACAATGATCACATTGAATTCCACAACGTCGAGTGTGCAAGAACCACAACAAAATCTACAGATAATACCTGTCACCTGCGGCGCAATCAGAAACAGTAGATACTGCGAAGGCGATATTGGTTACTGACCAATTTGACCCATTCCAGGCTCCACTACCCATACCTTACGACCTTCCGCGGCGGTCTGACCATCATCATCTTCGACACCCTCCAGCCAGGTCTCTCGTAGACTACTGTCGACGGCGCCGGATACGATTCTCACCTGAGGAAACGCACGCTGCAAAACGGTAATTCCGCCGCAGCGTGCGACGAGGAAAGTGATGAAGATTATGTGATCTTGGGGCACGCCATGATCGAGTAGTACACGAATTGCCATGAATGCTGCAGCTCCCGTGCCGATCTATGATACAGACAGTGAGGATGACGTTACTCGAGTCGGGTGACAACGACATACCTGAGCATCTAGCAGAAAGACCCAGCTTTGCTCCGCGAGGTGTCGATGGCGAAGACAGATCGGAAGTTGCAGATGCAAAAGAATCTGCTCGCCCGTCGCGGCCTCAGACTGAATGAGAAGTGAACCAATCGGGATGGCGTTGACAACCCGTCGCAGACCACGCTCCAGGGGTCCACCTCTGCAATGACATCGTGAGTCCTCAAACATACCAGAACACCAGGAGACTTACGATCGAACTATTGATACACCGCATACATACTGCAGACCGATTTCATCAGTCGTGGAAGCCATCAATAGACACTGAACGATTTACCTCAGCATCCAATTCCTTGCCATGATAAGCTACCTCGCAAGGCGTCACCACCGTTTTCTGGCGATACGGAAGTAATTCCATGGCCTTTTCGACGAGTAGGGTAGAGAGCCTGTCCACGAAGAAAATAAAGTCCCCTCTACGCGTTGAGTTATCCCTGAGGATAGTGAACATGCCCTGCATCACAAATTAGCCAAATGAGATGGAAAACTGCGAGAGACCCGCGTTACCTTCAGTTGTGGTGTCTGCGGTAGAAGTGTTAGATTGAGGTATTCCTTCGTTGGATCCGGGTTGAGGGCTTCTGGTGTCAAATCGCGCGGTACGGCGCCAGCGAGACGCTGCCTGAGACGCGTGGCACGTTCGTCCAATTGTCGACGAATATGTGTGGAAATGATGTCAATAGCGATACTGTTGTCGGACCCAGGGACAATCTAGACAAATTCAGGAAGCGAAAGCGGATTGTAAACTGAGGGGAACGCTCACAATATTGGCATGTCGTGCGGTTGGGAGTACGAAGTTGTCATATGAGGGCTTGACAAACCTCAAATATCTGCGCTCGCGGGCCATGAGCACATCCATGGCGGGAATTTTCTCGAGACGTACTGCTCAAGGATACCTTCGACACTTCTGCCTCTTTCGTGCACATCCCGTCTGATACGACGAGCCAGCATCAAATCTGAATCACATTGCACGAAAATCTGTTCGATGTCATTTCTCTGAGCTGGGTTCGTGCAACAATGCAGGAGTATACCCACCTTCAGATCATACAACGCTCTTAAGGCTGGGTCGTGTAGAGCCATGATTCCTTCCGCTGAGTAAAGGGGTTTGGTTACTGTCTATCTATCGGTGGACGCTGGCATTCTGACTTATGATGATGGCAGCTCCGTAAAGGTATTTCGTCTCATCTAGCCGTTGATGGGTTTTGAAGGAGTAGACGGGTATGTTAGTTTGCCGGCATGCCTTGAGATCTGCCAGACACTAGAAAGCGGCAAACGGGGGATAGGACCTTGCAAGCTCAAGTACACTTCGCATCCCATGGATAGTGAGATTCAAGTCACACGTACAGATGCGAACAGAGGCATATCAATGGCATCTGCATTGAAGGGACTTGGTTAGTCGGGACAATGCTCTATCAGGCAGATAAACTACCTGGGTGGTCAAAATCAAACCGACTTGCATAAGCCAGCTCAATCTCTTCTGGTGTATGCTGCTTGTAAAAACTGTCCTATCGTGACAATGAGCTGTATTCCTTTGGGCGATGGCACGTGGTCTGACTTGTGAGAGAATAATGACAGTCGGTATAGAACCAAGCGACTGGACGATCCGACGAGCTACATGTGTCTGTGCCAGCGTTCAAAAGTCGTGTACAATTGTTTGATAATTTTTTTACCTTTCCACTAGCGGATCCTCCTACGAATTGCCTAACATAGCATCAGCTAGCCCGACATGGACACACGTTTGCGCACCGGCGATTCCAATCACGAATGCGTCCGTGATTCTTGAGCCATCCTCGCCGTACCTGGAAAACGACCGGTTATATCAACCACGATCTTGTGACACGGCACTTCAGTCCCACCATGGCGGTCTGCCGTGGGACTTGAGAACAGTGTTTTTCTTGGCTTGCAACAACACATCGCGAGCGGTTAGGGATGTAGCTGTCCGGGACAAAGTAGGCCGAGAATCTGTAGCAGCTGGAATATTCCCCTGGCCAGGTTCCGAGGACATGAAGTGCTGTGAGATCAGGGTGCCTGTGCACGCAGACGGTCGCTCAGCGAGTTGAGCTGCAGTCTCGTAAGCGCTCAAGCACATCTGCCTGTTTAGGGCTTCTCAATTCAAGTTGTCGCTCGCTCATTCACACGGCTATGCAAGCGATACGGGCGCCCATCCAGCGCTGCCCGGGTCTGTCGTCTCTTGCACAGTACTATGCACCTACCCGCATGTCGTGGCTGTGCAATGCCGGACACATCCAACGCTGCGCAGCAGACTATCCCCGCCTGAACGGATTCCGGCGTAGCGGTGTTTCACGGTAATTTCAAGTAAACTCGAGTTGAGGACACGCTAAGGCTTGGCGCACTAAAATTGGATCAGCGTACCTATGCCTTGGCGAGCGCTCCCGCTTGATTCTTATGCACGAGCACCGAGTGCGGAAGACTTGCAGGAATTAGTATCCGTGCACCCTGCACGCACAGGGTGGGCAGTGTAGGTGGCGTGGCACGTGTTGATGTCGCAGTCAAGCAATTGCGCACACTGGTAGAACAATACACTCATTTAGCGTCCCTGACGACCGAATTTGCCTGGGTGCCCGATTGCTATGCGGGTTCTCGTGTCAGCGATCCCCTTTTCACCGCCTCCCATCAATCAATAGGCCTCGCGCCTGATCGAGGTATGAGCAATATAAAGTGCGCGCTGCTGAGCAACCCGCCCATCCTCGTTCCTTCATCATGTTTCTGGTCCCTTTTCTTTCTTTCTTTGTTGGTTCCAGTTATTGCCTTTCCATACCTTTTGTGCGACGAGCAATCCCCCAGCCAACTCTCACGGTAGACTCGAACTACCAGGGCAACCTTGGGTTCTCCAACGAATATGATGCGGTCTATTCTGGCACTGTCTACGTTCAGGGCAAGCCATTCCAGGTGACCCGATCTACTCTCCCATGAGTTCTCCCCGGTATATTGACGCTCTGCAAATTGTTAGGTCCAAATTGACACAGGAAGTTCTGACTTTTGGATTAACAACGAAAATGTTACTCTCGACGACCTCGTTTACACCGGAAGTAACGCTACACTACCATATGGGTACGTATGGCAGTATACGACTTGCCTTTTCTTAACGTATACGGTTTGCGGACAGCGATGGCTCTGTAGCGACTGGTCCTATCGCACTAGGCAACGTGTCATTTGGCAAATATACCGTCGCCAACCAAGCGATGAGTGAGTCAGGACATCGTTCATGGCATATTATCTGACAAGCTACGTTTGCAGTTCTTGCTCCCGGTTCTAATGCCTCTGATGGTGGTCTTATCAATGGTCTGATTGGAGTGGGCCCGTGAGCACGCCGTGCATATACCATAATCCCTACTAACCAGTCATTAGAGCCCCCTTGTCGCAAATTCTTACGACACTGATTGAAGAAAAGTCACCATATAATGGTATGCCCTTCACGACGAATGTGAGTGCTTTCTGAATACTTTTATTCGCATAAGCTGACAAATTACTCTTCAGGTTTTCAACCAGACAGGGCCGAGCTCTAGCTATATGACCTTCCTGCTGTCTCGATCGGAGGCAGGCGTGACCGAGGGCGGTCTCATGACTCTTGGTACTTCTTTTCTCTTTCACGTCTGTCCATATTTACCATTAATAACGTCTACCAGGGGAGCTTGCGGCCAATTACACTGAGATTACCAGAAGTCCCAAACTTCCCGTTGTTCATGATGGACGGTGGATCACGTGGATGGATGGTATCTACGTTAACGGCAAGCTCTACTCCGGTCATTCTGTAAGGTAAGTGTGTGTCAAATGAGAAACTAGGAGCTGTACTCAGTTATATTGGTCCACAGCCAGAACGCGACAGGGTACGTTGCAAAGCCCACTGGGAATCAAACTTCCGCACTACTTGATTCGGGAACGTCAGCTGGTAAGATTTTCGCCAGATCGGAGAGCAAGGAAGTAAACGCCTTGATTAGCTTCCGCACCCCGTTGGTATGTCGATGCGATGTACAAGGACATTCCTGGAGCAGTCTGGAACGACTCGCAGAACACCTACACCTTGCCTTGCCACTCAAAGATAAACATTAGCATGTCGCTCGGGTTCGTGCTATGTTACTTCCTGCTGGCTTGGCCGCTGACATTTTTCCCAGAGGGCTCACGTACCCCATGGATCCCATTGATGCTACGCAAATCACGGTGAACAGTGATGGAAGTTTCTATTGCAGCGGCGCGTTCGCGGCGACAGCAGCTGGCAGTGGCAGTAAGTCGACCATACCCATTATACCTGTTTCGTTGGTTCTCATCACATGACAGTTGTCGACTTCATTCTGGGTGACTCGTTTATGCGCAACGTTTACAGCCTGTTCTACTTCGGCGCCAACTTCACGGGCACTGGTCACGAGCAATCGTACATGCAGATTCTCAGCGTAAGCTCAGCTTTTTTTTGCATTTTACACCGCTTACATTGATGTACTTAGACCACCGATGCTAATAAGGCATGGGCTGACTTCGAGTGGGCCAACATCCAACGTCTTATTCAGGACGAGTACGAGGAATTCCAGCCTCAGCCGTCTACCGTGTCAGCTGCGTCCGAGATGTACACGTATTCCTTAGTTTCGGGAAGCGCGAGCACATCGGCCGCCGCAGCGACAACGCTGGTCACGTCTGCTCATACGACTGCGCCGTCGCAATCCGCGTCTCCGGCACCCGCTTCGGCATCAAGTACTGAAGGGTCATCACCTACGTCGTTGACATCAGCAACGCCGGCTCGCACGACGTCAGCCGGTGCCGCGACCACCAGTGAGGCTCCCGCGAAGATCGGCGGCGAATTGGCCGCCGATGCAGCTGTGACATCCGCGTCGTCATCACCCGACTACCACGGATTACTGCGCAACTCATACATTGTGATCGGTCTTCTCGCCGGTGCCATCGTCCTCCTCGTCGGGGTTCTCATCAAGCTTGCAATGTCGGCGCGGAACAACCGCTACACGCAAGTGCCGGGCGCCATTCCTCCAGTGCACTTCGAGAAGCCCTACGAGCGAGATTCAGAGGCATTCTCGACGCCGTATGACGACCTCGCTCGTCCACTTCCGCAATAATGTACTCTGTCGATTGTGTACCGTGTTTGTGAAATAGGCTGTGCTGCTTGTCGTGACTGACTGGGACTGCTACGTCGTACTGTATCCTTCCTACTTATTTGTTACATTGGCATCGATTACATCGCTCTTTATTGCCTCCAGTGGTATGCTACTTACACGCAGTATCTACTTGCTTGCATCAACATTTAAATTACCAATTGTAATCGCATTGAAAGTCATTGTGGCGTGGGACAAAACATCGGCGTCAGTTGGAGTGCGACCAGCTCAATTGCTACATATCATTATCTCTGGCCAGCTTGGCGCAGATGGAGTGTCTCCATGTTGGTCGATTCTAGTATTCCCATGTTGTATCACTGCGCACATTTTGCGCGTGCTCCAATGACCCTAGGCCTCGAACTGGCTGCGAATTGAAGATGTCTCCTGTACTCCGATGAGGGATGCGCATCCGAGCTGTAGAACCAATGATGATAAATTCGTCATGGCCTTCCATCCCCGACAGGTATTGTGGTGAGTACGTGGTCAGCCGCGTCCTTTAATGATAAACAGTGTCCCAGCTCGCATGTAGGGCTATACTTGATTGCTCCCGGCCAGTAATTCAGTCAGGCGATGTGACATGTGATGTCAAGATCTGCGTTATAATGAACTCCTCAAGCGATGTTCGTACGTTCAGCTTATATGCGAACCCACCGACACTCCGAAGTCCGTCCGCGACATTCCTGCGTTCTGAGAAGTTGGAATTCATTGGGTGACCCGAGCCCCATTTGGCTGGATAAAGCGGCCGCTGCAATCCATTTTTACGACCATTGGCAGAGCATATGAATCATATCACCTGGAGCAAAACCGGGCCGCTTTAACGCAAGGATTTCCTGGCTCGTTAAAATGAATCGTGCAGATGGCGTTTAATTGTGTGTACCTTTTGACGAGCTAAGACTTCCCGGTACGCCTCGCTATCATGTTCTCACTACGTCGCCCGTTTCGGGTTGTGCAGCAGTGTCTGCTCGCCTTACTCTTGCACAGTACGACATGCCTTGGTCAAGCCGGGCAATCTGGTTGCTTATCATTTACGCTCGGCGACTTGTCAAACGTGACTCTATCTAGAGCTACTTACTATGCCGCGAATACTACTGTCAACAGCACAAATTTGTGGCAATCCATTGATGTGGACAACCTCCCCGCCTTCTGTCGTTTGGAGCTTTCCATCACTACCAACTCAACTGCAGACTCCTCATGCGTCACCGAGATTTGGCTTCCCGACTCCTGGAATGGTCGTGTTTTGACCGTCGGGAATGGCGGATACGCGGGTGGAGGTGTGTGGATCATTTCGTATGATTGTGGGTACGGTGTGTCTGACACTCGTTCCGATATAGTGAGCGTGGCGGATTTGGGATATGTCGCCGTCGCGCAAGGATGTAAGAGGCAACTTGACAGCTGCATAAGGCGCGTCCCTTACTTGCAGCTCGTCCTTCGCAGTCGCCGGAATCTCTACCGACACTGGTCACTCCTCTACGGCGACAGATGGAACGTGGGGAGGTCCGCACAACGATGTAAGTCGACGTCGCTGAAAAGGTCCGAAGCTTTGGTTTACTTGCGCTTTAGAATGCTATCGTGGATTTCGGTTGGAGAGCGTTGCATCTCAGCGTCGTCACAGGCAAGGAGATCGTACAACAGTACTATGGCAAAACTCAGAGCAAGTCGTACTACATGGGATGCTCCTCGGGTATGACAAGGTCCTGATCTGTAGATGGCACTGCAACTCAACAAACAGTCTAGGTGGTCGCCAAGGGTACATGTCATGGAAAGTAGACTTGACGTCTTACTTACAATTTTGATGACCCAGGCTAAAGGAATTGCAATCTTTCCCAGAGGATTTTGATGGAGTAGTGAGCGATATTGGGCATCACTTCTTAGCTTAAGTTTAGGCTCGTGTTCCTTCTTCTATCAGGTTGTGGGATCACCAGCCAATTGGTGGACACATCTGGACGATTGGCAAATTCGCATGAGTTTGGATGTGCAATCACCGTCGGCTTTCATTAATACCTCTATTTGGACCGACGTAATTCATCCAGAGGTTCTGCGGCAGTGCGACGCACTCGACGGGGTGAGTAATGTGGAGATCTATCTCAGCTGCTTACTGAGACGCCTCCAGCTCACGGATGGCATCATCAACGATCCTAGGTTTTGCGCGTACGCATCAGTTTGCCCGCGATCAAACATATTTGTTTACCTCACTTTTTCAGTTTTCGTCCCGAGACATTGACCTGTCGGCCTGGACAAAGCACGTCGACCTGCCTTACGCTTCCTCAAATTGAAGCCGTTCATCGAATCTACTCTGACTATTATGAAACGAATCAAACATGGATATTCGGACCGTACTATCCCGGAGGTGAAGTCGAGTATCCGTACGGTCTTGTTGGGGCTGCGCCATATCCGATTGGCCCGGATTGGTTCCGCTATTTCATCACGAAGTGAGTGGGCGTACCCAATATTTGTCGCCTTCTCTCATATGAGTACAGTGATACTACGTGGACGATCGACCAATATAATGCGTCTCTGGTCTGGTTGTCCGACGAAATAAATCCAGGACAATGCAACGTAGATCCATCCGGTATATTTTCTATGCTGGGACTGACATGTGTACAGGCGATTGACGCCAATATTACATCCTTTGCCGGACCACAACACGGCGGAAAGCTGCTACAATATGTAGGATGGGCGGACCAGCTGATCAGTCCTGGGAACTCGCTGCACTACTACGAGACTGTACACGCATTCACAAACGCCTATACCGAGTTGAATATCGATGATTTTTACCGTCTTTTTACCGTTCCGGGTATGAACCATTGGTATGTGGATCTCATCTCACTGCTGAGACCTGCGCTCATCTGGTGTCGATTAGCCAGGTGAACAGTGTCTTCTTATGCCACTTGTAAGATGCTGATGCCGGCTCGGAAGGGTGGTTACGGAGCTAACGCATTTGGTGGCGTAATGCAAGCATCCGGCGGCATGCCTCCCCTTTCGTCCGCACCAGAATATAACATCCTTTCTGCCATGGTGCATTGGGTTGAAGAAGGCATAGCACCATCATCCCTCACTGGCGTCTACTACAATGATAATAACGCAACGAATGGGATCGGTTTCACACGTGGGCTATGTCAGGTACGTGGAGGGCTCTTGCGAAAACTCTCTGTCATGCGAGCCGTGTCATGCTAGTATCCTCAAACATTACGCTACAATGGAGGAAACCAGACAAGTGCCGACGGATTTACTTGTGTGGCGAGCTAGGTGTAGGAACCATCAAATAAAGCCTGGCTAGGTATGGTCACCTGTAGCTGGGGTGACAACAGCCATACATAGGAGTTTTAAATCAGCCGCGCGTCGCTCGATTGGCGCTCTACTTTGCATTCCTGCAAGTAACTGGTAAAGCACTGTGATTATTCAGCACATGAGGCCCCGATCTCTGCAACGTCGTACCTGTGTGGATCCACTGTCGCACACGCTTGCAACTATTGGAAGCAGTACTGTGACTGACTGACGGTGAAGCTAGCGATTGGCGAGCGTCCGACTGATCGCCAAGAGTGGGGTAAGCGTCTCTTTCAAACCTTCGCTCTCAGTCAAGCAGTAATAGATGCATCACGACGGAGTGAAACAGGGCCGGGCACCCGCCGCTCAATGTACTCCACAAGGTGAGCGCGTAAGCTGCGGACATGATGCACAGCTGTATAAAGACGGAACCTTAGAGCGACATTACCATCATCTGTCATGTTTGGAAAATCGTCTGCCCTCTGGGCACCGCTATGCCTCATCCCGGGGCTTCAGCTGGATATATGCCCTGCTCATCTAGCTCTGGCTACAAGGCAGTCTGCTTGCTCGGCATTCACTCTCCAGAATGCCACTGACGTCTCCCACTATGAGACGACATACTATGCACCCAACTCGAGGGTGAACATCAGTAACTCTTGGGAGAGCATTGACGTTGATGATTTGCCTGGGTTCTGCCGGGTAGAGCTTGTGATCATTACGAATTCTACTGCGGAGCGCTCGGGCGAAGCTAGCACTGAAGTGTGGTTGCCTGATGACTGGAACGGGCGGTATTTGGCCATAGGTAACGGTGGTTTTGCTGGTGGTGGTATGTACCTCAGTGTTTTCAATTCGGTTAGAATTGGAGCACATAACCTGTCCATGCAGTGAATATCGCTGAGCTCAGTGCTATTGCGATCCCTCAGGGCTGTACGTGACGTGCTCTCCGCGCACTTCATGACGTCCCCTTTCTAATCCCCGTTTACAGTCGCTGGCGTGTCCACTGATACAGGGCACAAATCAAGCATAGCAGACGCTAAATGGGCAGGCCCAGGTAACGACGTAAGTCACGCTGGATCAGTGTTGCATCTCCCATCACAATGTCCTCATTTCTGCAGAATACGATTGTAGATTGGGGATGGAGAGCAATGCATTTGAGTGTCGTCGTAGGGAAGGAGGTCGTGAAACAATACTATGGAGAGGCACAAAACACGTCTTACTATATGGGCTGCTCTACAGGTAATCTTGATGCGCTTCTGAAGTTGACTGTCATTGAAACGATCCTGGTTCATAGGCGGGCGACAGGGGTGTGTCTGTTATGTTTTTGGTAGTATATTCAGGTCTAATCTATTACAGGCTGAAGGAAGTGCAAATGTTCCCCGAAGACTTTGATGGTGTAGTAAGTCTGATCAGGACAATCGCGAACGATATAGCATGCGATGACCACTTCTCCAGATCGTCGGATCACCGGCGAACTGGCAAACGCGCATTCAAGACTGGTCCGTTCATATGAATCTGAACGTGCAACCCAACACCTCTGCACGTTTTATTCCCGAATCGGTCTGGGTCGACGTCATACACCCTGAAGTACTGCGCCAGTGTGACGCGATCGACGGATTGGCCGACGGCATCATCAATGACCCTAGATTCTGCGAGTCAGTGCTCAAATTATGCCAGCTCTCTGCTGCTGACAAAATCCTAGCTTCCGACCAGAGATACTGACTTGCCGTCCCGGACAAAATGAGTCTACCTGCCTGACGCTTGCACAACTTGGCGCTGTTCATCGCATATATACAGACTATTACGAATTTAATCAAGAGTGGATCAATGGAAGGTACTATCCAGGTGGGGAGACGGAGTACCCACTCGGTCTCGTCGGCAAGCCTTTCATTGGAGGTCAGGAATGGTTCCAGTACTTTGTCTTGAAGTAAGTCCCCAGTTCTTTGTCATAACACATGAATTCCGAGTTCATATGTTCCCATAGCGATACTCAATGGAAACTGGAACAATATAATGCATCCTTAATACCACTGGCGGATGGGATTGACCCTGGTCAAGCAAATGTGAGGACGTCAAGGCATTGCTTGTTCATTTCTGATCCCGTGAACAGGCAATCGAACGCAACCTGACATCTTTCGCAGGGCCGGGACACAATGGCAAGCTCTTGCAGTATGTAGGCTGGGCTGATCAGCTGATTAGCCCCGGCAACTCGATACACTATTATGAAAGCGTGTATGCCTTCACGAGAGCATATACAGACTTGGACATCAATGATTTCTACCGCTTGTTCACGGTTCCTGGTATGAACCACTGGTACGTGGACATTGTACTGTGTGCACTGATGGAAGCTAATGCATGGCTGTGGAACCACTTGCAGTCATGTAAGTTGCCCACATTATCGGCCGATGCAATCTGCCTCATTGCCCTTTAGAGCGGCTATAGCGCGAACGCATTTGGAGGTGTTCAGCAAGCCTCCGCAGGCATGCCTCCCCTTTCGCTCTCGCCAGAAAACAACGTTCTTGCAGCGATGGTCCAATGGGTCGAGGAGGGTGTCGCTCCCACATCCTTCGTAGCCGTTCACTACAACGACAATAACGTCGAGGACGGCGTCGCATTCACACGACCGCTGTGTCAGGTATGTGATAATGGGACAAGTGCTACGGAGTTCTCACCTGCTCCCTAGTATCCCACGAGTCTTCGATACACCGGAGGAAATGAGACGGATGCTGGCAGCTTCGAATGTGGTGACTCAATATGAGATCGGCGATTGTATACGAACATCGTCCAAATTTTAATGTCAGGACATGTTACTGTACGCGTTCTGTAGTGGAAGGAAATTCACAGGAAGAGTCACATCTTGCTCAATGACGGTGACCATTCGTACTTCCATCTCGTTCACAACTTCTGGGTCGTACCTGTAGCAGTCACGTGGGACACTGGTCCCGGTTATTACTCACAGACTCGAGTCGTTGGATCGGTTACCTTATGCTGTCTATAATGCTACATCGTTTGCCTGGGGGCCTCTGCATACGACAAGGCCATCGGACACGGCTGGCACTCAACCATGAAATCCTCCGCACCAGGCCTGAGTATACCGCGATGCGATGTATGGCTCATCATTCTCTACCGCAACCTCCGCCCTTGGCTTCCCTGCAGAACGCAGCTGATAGTGCGCAAGCGGAGACCTGGCTAAACACGTTCAAGGCTCAAGCTATCCCAAAGGATGTGGTGGAGTTTTCATTTTCCCGCAGCTCGGGACCTGGCGGCCAGGTCTGTACATTCTTCTTAAGTGCTATGTAGAACCTATAGAACATGGTTAGAACGTGAACAAAGTCAACACTAAGGCGACATTACGATGCTCGCTTGACGCTACATGGATCCCACAATGGGCCAAGGAGGCTTTAAAGCAGAGTGTTCGTAAATTGACTTCAACAACATTAATACAGCATAGCTTATTGGAACTCAAAGCCTGCATATGTGTCTTCAAACCGAAAGATCATGATCACGTCGACAGTGTATCGATCTCAAGCACAAAACATACAGGACTGTCTCCTGAAGGTGCGCGACATTCCTGTCGACGTGAATTTGTGGTACATATTGAGGTGGATCAATCATTGATAGCTTCATAACCTCATACTTTCCACTGCATCTGCGTTCCTCGTAAAAGAGCCTTCAAAAGAACAAAAGGCACGGGTCCGGAATTTGCAACGCGTGGAGAAGGCGAATCGGAAGGCTGGAAAATCGTACCGCAGCCAGGTCAAACGTGGTCGATCCAGTCGAGATTGGGACTAGCTTTGCCGTGAGTCCTCGATGCTCTGCACGTATGCAGCCTAGAACCCATCTCGCTTGTATTACCTTCAAATAATATAACGGCTTCGGCGTTACTCGCGAGCTTCTTGTAAGGGAGTGGCGGGGAGACGACTCTTAGCCTATTGGCAACGACGTGAGGCTGCTGGATACAGACGTCGACGGCGAGCCTCGGTGGACCAGAGACGGGAAACGCCTACATTTCTCAGAGGCCCTCAATCACAGCGGGCCTACGACAACACCAAACATTGCTCTCTCACTGCATATACTACACATCTGTGGTGAGCGTGCACCCAATCGCTGGCTCGCTCTGTTCTTCTGTTTCGACCTGTGCAAACCGTTTTTCCCTCACCATGGGCTCGCTCTTGGAGAAATGAGCGATCTCAAAACCGCGTTATTCGGATTCGTTGGCACGACAGTGCTCCTGCTTATGGCAAAGTTCTAAAGATACAAGCCACACAAGATGAGTCTTTCATCCTCAACTTAAATGTTCTTCAGCCTCTACATTGCACTCTTTTCCCCCCTCGCATCAATGCACTTATCCGGTAAGACGGGGTCTTCATTCCTGAAATGAGCCCCGCACCGGTTCTTATTAGGTTCATGAGATACTTCCGATTTATTGCCCCTCACACTGTGCAGCTTGTCGGCGGTGCTTGGTTTGGCTTTTGACACCTGGCGTCGAAGTGAAGATGTCAGCCCCGCTCTTCCTCAACGCACACAATCAAGTAAAGCGTATCCCTTCAGAGAGGTGTCAACTCTGCGCAGGGTGTCTTCATCAAGGCATTTGTTACGGCAGCTGCCAGCCCTCATGCGACAGAAGCACTTTACGACAACATTCACACCATCCTCGCTCTTCCGACAACGTTTCATCGATGCATTCTTCAGGTCGGCATCGGCCTCACTCTCTTCCTTTGACGCCTGTGAATCCGTGCAATACCACTTCCTTGTGTGGGTCACAAACACCTCATTAGGTAGGTCATGCACTACACCGGGGCAGCGGTGAATATGACACGCGTTCGGCCCTGCTGTTGTCGCTGGCTTTCCACGTGGAATTCATTGAATGGTATGTGCCTTCTTGTTCGGATCAGCGCTTCCCTGCCTCCACTGTTGACATAGTAATGGATCGGTGATGGCCTTGGTTCCCTCCTGTTCGCCGTCTTGTACATGAATCTGTAGCAGAAAATACTGAAAAGGGAATATGAGCTTAATGTGCCGTCCGAAATCGATACTGGCGGCTGATTTTATATTTCACAAGGAGTTGTTTCGTGCGCCCCGACAGGACGGCGTCGACAGCCAGCTCCTGTCGAGCGCAAATAATGTCAAAACCCGCCGAATTACGCAACACGGAGGAAAATTGCTCAGAACCGGGGTGCTGGCGCACATCGCAGTGCCGTCATTACTGACAAGGGTCCACGAAAGGTCAACGATGGCCCGGCATGAGGCTTTGTCCCCCAAAACAGGTACAAGAGTGATTGCTTGTCGTTTCTGATATTTGTCGGGGATTCAGAGTAGATTATCACTCATCGCTCACTCACCGGGGGACGGATATCACTCATGAAGGATCAATATAAATGATTGTGAAACAACGCTCCATTGACATTGGGTCCAGACTCATTACGCAAGGTGGAGTGCATCGGCCCTGTATTTATCCTCACATAGCCATTTGACAAGCCTTCGATTGAGCATAATTAGCGGGAAATATCTCGCCTTCATGATTGGTCTCGTACCGATCTTGTTTCGCTACTCCCGTGTCACTCGTCACATCCCTGAACAGGTAGAATGCCTCTTGCAGGATTGAATCTCCAGGTGTATGACTCTTCGGAGCGACACATGGGAATAGAAATTTGGGACCGTTCATTTAATCCTACACCGAACTCGACGCAGACCTGTGTGGCGAACACCCCTTGAAGCCCCGAGAGGACCAGCAGCTCATCGATGGGAGGCCCTGCCAAGGCCACATGCAGATGCTGCAAAGCCCGCTTGCACTGGTGGCGGCGACGTACAAGCCGGTCAAGTAGATGTGCTGAGATACTGTGAGGGTCATAGACGAGAAACTCCTTTAAGCTCGGAGCGCGTATAGATGGAGCTGAATTCGTCGATACTCCAGGGGTAAGGGCCTTTATGATAGCCCTGGCGGAGTTGTGACCGACGGATATGAGTCTCAGGTTAGCCATAGGCTCGAGGATGGTCGCCCATAGTTCAGCACTGTCCAGTTTTGAAAGCCCATCACAATCACATTCCCGCCTGGGGCAGCTGATGTCGATCCACAACTCTGTGAGCTTTTTTACGTTGAGAAAGTCACCTAGCGTGCGCCAAGTCGATGTTTCGAACATGTTGTCGTGATACGAGCTGTCGTACAAGAGGGATGAATGTCCATCTTCGCCGAAGCCGGCGAAAGTGACGAAGTCATGTTGATGATTCACATAGATTCTGGTGATTTGGCTGAGGTTCTCCAGATGCGTGACATCTATGGGAAACACCTCCGATACGCTGCTTCCTTCGACTATGTCGCCGATGATTAGGCGAGTAGAGACAGGAATGGAGATATGGGTCAAGATGAGCGACACGACGTCCTCTTCGTAATATGTCAATTCAAACACGGAAAGTTTCGGGAGGGCAACGACGCGTTTCGGACCATCCAGGGGAGTGTCATCGTCGAGCACCGCAAAGAGATCGAGGACTTCAAGGTTCGGGCTGGCCTCGAGGGTATCCAAAAGTGTTGATAGTTTCCATTCCCAATTATCCGCTTGGTTTGCGAGGCGAAGATGTGTCAGGTTGGCAAAATAGTCGACCGGGCGGAGACAGAGAGGCGAGAGGTAAATCTGTCTGAGACGAGGCGCGAAACCGCTGAACATGTGCGGCAGTAAAGTGCCTTGCGTTTCCACCATTTTAACGAAGAGAACTTGCAGGCGCTGAGCAGGCATGGACAGCGCCTCGAGTGCCACGCGTTCGAATGGGTGCCTCTCCTCAAACCAAAGGTAGAGCTCCTTCGTCCTCCAGAGGTGAAAGTTAATGATCGGCAGAAAGTCTGGGTGGCAGCCGCGCAAGTAGACTCTAATAGGAGTGGAATGAGACCGTTCAAGGTGTGGAGGAAGCCGCGTCAGCCGTGCACGTTCACCAATCATGACACAGGACCAAAAGGCCGACGTATGCAGAATAACATCGCGCCAATGGCGACAGACGAGCATCAAGGAGGCGATAAACACGTTGGCATCATACATCGCATTCCATTCTTCTTCTTCGTCCGAGGAGAATAGGAGGGATTCTGTGTCCACATATTGGAAGCAAAACATCAAGATCTCGGTGAGAGTTTCTGGCGCAAGACGGTAGATTGGGCAGGTTCCATTTGGAAAAGGCCAGATTGAAGGCGAACCCTGGGGTGGAAAACCAATAGACTGACGTCCTGTCGACTGCGCAAGACGGTCACTCTGAGACTCTAGCACAGGCAGCCGTAGGCTTGTCTCGCTTACCTTATCCCCGTTGATGAGGTCGCTCGACATCATCATTATACTGCTATTCCAAGGGTCAAACATTGCAAAAGGTGCCCCAAGGGACGTAGAGGTCTCACCAGTGAGAGAATCACGGAATCAAAGTCGCTTGAAAACACAACAGATGGGGAATGATATGAGTGCAGGAGTGGCGTCGCAGGACCTAGGAGGAAGCCGCATCCAGCGTTTATCATCCCACGCCCCGCACTTATGAGCGAATGATGTGCTGTACCCTCTTTTCCTGCCAAGGGAACAATTGAGGCGGACAATGAGAGGATTATCGATCAGTCTCCGTGCAAGTCAGAACAAAGAACAGTTGGCATAGCATCCAGAAGTATAAACAAGATCCAATCGTATGCCATGCTGTTGCTGATCAAGATTAATGGACTTTGTTAGCAAGATGACTTGGTTGAGGTGAGCAAGGGCGTACCCACGATGCATCCCGCTACCTAATTGAATCGGCCCAGAATCGCCTCTTGTTTACATATTTAGGAGTATCGTATTCACGAGCTCTGCTTGGGCCGCGCTGTAACCAACATGAGCCTCGCTGGTGATTGGACTCAGCGGCCTCCAGCCTCGAGTCGATCCATGAGCTGGGGCCATACCGAGAGCGCCTGCGGGTAATTTTGCGGTCACTGTAGTTTATCCCTGAATTCGCGCTGCTACAGTGTGTAGATGTGGTGCTACTGATTCCTTGCAGTAAGACCGTTGAGGAGACAATGAAACTCAAGCCCATCATTGCACCGGCGCTTTCCCGATAAGAGGATGATATGTAATAAAAAGCTGCCCGTAAGCTGTATTTATTTATCTCGCACAGGTTGAGACTTAAACATGATGAACCCTACCCGGATTGAACGGATGACCTTGAGGACTTCCGGCCTTACTTATCTCACTTTTGGCGTACTCCTGGAGTGTGCCCTGGAATCTCACGCGCTACCACTGCGCCAAGGTTCTCGAAAATGGTTGTTGTTGAACATAAGTGTCTATATTGAGCAGGCACAACACCTTATAGTACACTACAAGGTTAAGTGCAATCGAGATCCTAGGCCGAGACTTACCGGAACTGTCCGACTATGACGGCCGCTGCCGGTGATGTGCTCAACCGCTGCAACCCGCTAACGTTACACCCTCGCCGAGCAGGATGGTAACACTGAATGTCTCCGCTGCAGGACGCGTCTCCCTCGCGCGAGGGTTGCCCATAACCGTAACTTTTGCAGACAAGAAGCCTGAGGAGGTCACCGTCGCAGAGGTCAAAGCAGCTGTCGCCGCCAAGTTTCCGCGAGTGAGTGCATTCCCGCTGTAGTACACCCAGTTCATGAACGCGTCGTTTGCTGTAGCTCTACCCAGCACGTCAGAAATTGACTGTCAAAGGAGAGAAGAAGGCGTTGGATGATGATGTCACATTAGAGGATGCAGGGATTACGGACGGCGCGGAAGTGACCGTCAAGGACTTGGGTCCGCAGGTGGGCTGGCGCACCGTATTCTTAGTTGAATATGTGAGTTCACGGAGCAGGCATGTAGTCATTGAATGCTGATATGCCTGCAGGCTGGACCTTTGATTATACACCCTCTGTTCTATTATAATCCCGGTTTCTGGTACGGGGCTCTTGTTCCGCATAGTCTCCTACAGAAGTACGTATTCGTGCATTTGACGATGCCTCATTGTTGAAAGCATTATCAGGACAGTATACACGCTGGTGCTCCTCCATTTCATAAAGCGCGAGCTGGAAACCTTGTTTGTGCATCGTTTCTCGCACGGGACCATGCCTTTCTTCAACATCTTCAAGAAGTGAGTGTCTCCTTTGGGATATCCCCGTTCCTTGCCTGAAACACAGGCACTCACGCCCGTGTTAAGCTCTGGCCATTATTGGGCCCTTAGTGGTGTAGCGCTGGCGGCTGCAATCTACAGCCCAACGTACGATGAATACTCTCGATACATGCGCGGCTCAATTCGGAGTGATCCTCGCTTTATCGGCGCGTGTGTTACCCTTTGGCTGGTACGTCGAACCCACGTTCACACACGGCGTTGATGAGCTTACTCAACCTCTTGTACCAGTTTGCTGAGGTCTCTAACCTGCATACCCACCTAACCCTTCGTTCCCTTCGGCCCGCCGGAACGAGGCAGCGGGCGATACCAACTGGCTATGGCTTCGACCTTGTGTCGTTCCCAAACTACTTTTTCGAGATCTTGTCCTGGGTCGCTATCGCCGCTATGACGGGGAGCTATGCCGGTACGTGACTTTGACGTTGTAGTCGGAGATGTGTTCTAATGCGCCCACTCCTTCTCTCTAGCTTGGGTCTTCGTTGGCGTTTCGTCGTATACTATGTCCATATGGGCATTGAAAAAGCACAAGGCCTACAGGAGAGACTTCGGCAATGAGTATCCCAAAAATCGCAAAGCTATAATCCCCTTTGTCATTTGACGCTGTCATTCACTCCCATGTTGTGCTATATATACAAATTGACTGTTCAAAGCGTCAGATATCGTAATAGCATAGGCGCGACCCAGATTGTGTCTGTCACCAGTCCTGAAACGGCAGCGCCGCATTCATGGTATGCTGTATGCAAGCCATATCTCTCCCGGCGTATCGTAGTCTCCATGAGTGATCAAACCAACCCAGCCACTCACTAATCCAGCTACAGCGGTCTTGATGGCCCAGCCCACCAAAATTATGGCAGTAGTGAAGAATGGATGACAGTCTAGGACCACTGAGTAAACAGACGTCAGTGACGGTGACGTTGCACACACATCGGGGGATTGCTGCGCCATCTTGGCGCTGGTCACAATTTAAGCTAGAGAATGAACCTCACCTCTCAGTCCGAAGCCAGCGGCCATTCCGCCCAAGACATTTCGAACGATCCATTCTCGGTCGAGCTGATCCTCGTCGAAAACACGGAGGATGCTTACGGCAATCGGATGTATGGATGTTGCGTCGATACCCACAGGCGCCGCCGAAGGCGCGGGGCGCCAGATGGACAAGAGGAAAAGGAGAAAGAGCTTCGTCAGCGAGGAATAGAGTAGCGTCAGAGGTACATGCGAGTATCTGCGCACAGATGATTTAGGAAGTCAGACCGGAATGGGTGCAAAAGTTCCGTGGCGCGGCATCTGACCTGAATTCGCGCCGGATGCCAGACACCTGCACGTCGGCGGTGGTCTTGCGCCTGCTGCGGTGGTTCCAGGCTAGGAACGTAAGGATGGTATAGCATGCAATCATGATGCCAGCGTGAAACGCCACAGTTTCTGACGGCGTTTACGAAGAATGTCTGTTAATAACCTAAAGACGGCGAAACGAGCGTACTCCTCACCGACCACGCATCCGGACAGAATTCTGACGAAACATTTGATGGCCTCAGGCTCCCAGTTGCGATTGCCGCCATCGGGGAGGACGAACAAACCGCTAGAACCTGGGATCGTGGCGCCAGTGAGTACAAGTGTTTGCTGACGATCTGGACTGCATTACTCAGGTGAATCCATCGAATGACTGAGCGGTGTGCGTCAGGCGCTATGGAAGCTTTGGGGACAACGGCAACAACGCACATGCGTCAACTGTGATTAGAGCGGCACCAAGTCGCGCAATCAGATACCACCTGCTCTGCAAGGCGCGACATCAGAGCTGGTAGGTGTCCACGGAACGCTCAATGAGGACATACCTTCTCCCTGCTCCGTGCCGTGTGGCTGTCAAAGTCAGGGTCTACAGCGTTTGCCTGATTTGTCGACGTATTTGTGCCATGCTGCGCCTCCTGTGCATCTGTGACAGGGTTTACAAGTCCGACTCGACCGGCTTTCCGCGCACCAAGGCCTCTGTTGAAGAGAAGATGTCGATAGACGTCTCTCTTCAGCAAGATTAGATCGAGCAAGAGCGTCAATGTATCGTGCTCGACGTATGGGTCAGCGAACGCATGGCACGCCGTCTGCGAGAAGTATAGTCAGGGGGACGAGTCGTCGAGAACGACACAAAGCCACCGACACACTGTTCTAGGCGGGTATTGTGCGCAGATTGGTACACGGTGTATAAAAATGGCGTAGGATGTGTACAGCTCGTGCAGATCGGCATGTTGATTGCAAAGTATGGGACAGAGTTTGCTGGGAACAAGGAACCGAAAGCACGATATCGGGTATCACCAAGAGCCAATTGACATCGTGGGGCATAGACAAGGGACCGTACGTACAAAAGTTCCTCACGCTTCTGGCCCGACACGGGATGCAGGGAGAATACGGATATCCCGAAAAGCTTTGGAGGAGACTAGAAAGTCGTGCCTATTGCGATACAGTGGTCAAAGTTACGCAAAGTTACGCATTGTACACTGGCATGGTTTGCTGGTCTGTGACTGGGCGATCGCATAGGTTGTTACTGTCGAAGGAAGTAGACGCGTGTGGGCATGTCGTGGACGCGCCTTGCCCGACTTTCTCTCGTACAAACCATCGCTCAATCTAACGCACGGCCTGCTCATCACCAAAGTGAAGATGCCCCCTGCTGCAGCACAACCACCGTCCAGGGCGTTGAACGCCATCCTTCCTCTCATTACGTCTGGCCAGGCATACGAGGCACACCAGAAAGCCCGCACATTCGCTTCGCGATACCAGAAATCGAATCAGTACGACACAGCTATTGATGTTTTGTTTCAGTCGGCTAGGGAGTTATTGAAGGCGGGGCAGCAGGGAAGCGGGACTGATCTGGCATGTTTTATGCTTGATGTATACGAGAACAAAGGAGAAAACGTGAACGACGAGAGCCGAGGTAAGTTCCGTGACCTCAGGCTTCACTTTGATTATCTTGACCTGAACACTCTGAAATTTCTCCCCAGGACGCATCACTCAGCTAATTGCTCTGACTGGACCGTCTGGGTCATGGAGAAAGTCGATCATTGACAAGGCTGTTGCGTGCGTGAGCATTCATGATATCCTGTAGCCGATATTCACGCGGCAGCGTAGCTGGTCAGCAAAACATGGCTCCTGTCCTGCAGGCGACCCCGATCTCCAACACTACATTGGGGAGTTGTTGTACAGAGGTCTGTCGTGTGCACACTATGACGTTCACCTGTTATTCATATCTCATATGCCTGCAAAAGAGGGCGCATTTGATAGTGCTGAGCTGCACCTTCTAGCGGCTGGGAAGCGTGACAGCGCTCGATTACTCGCCCAGATGTATGCTGAATGGCTCGCGAACGGTGGAACGCCTGGCGCATTTGGATTGAGGGGAGTAATACCGTAAGTATCATCATATAATGAAGCGCGAGACCCTGAGCGTCAGCATCGCTCGGGCTTGGCGGGCCAACTCCCTGCGACCTTTACTGACAAAAGTTTAGGTACCTTCAGAACGGCAACATACTGGCCGCACGAAGCTTCCTTACACAATACGTTTCTCAACTTACATCCGCGAATCCCGCCCTCATTTCCTCACAGCAGTCAGCGCCTATTCCAGTCGGCAAACCCGAAGACGGCGACGAGATCATATTCACTACAGATTCTGTGCTTAACTTTGCGCAGTTGGCGGTGCGAACATGCCAGCGCGCACAAGGCACGCAGAATAAGGCGATGCGTGAAGCATGGGTGAGACTATGTGGAACATACCAGAGTAGAGGCGGGCTGATGGCAACTAGAGAAGTACGAAAGGTACGTCATGCGTACTGTCCAAATTTGCGCTCCGGCGTCGCGCTTCTTTCACCAAACTTGCGTCCCGCCTTGTTATTCTCCTGCGGGGTTGTAGACACGTGGTTCTTCGCTATTGAGTGCCCTACAATCTTACATGTATTAATCCGATCTTCTCGAGACAAGTTCTGATATTCCTGCCTTTTGACTTCCACTAGGCTGTAATCGAGCTAGCGGAGCTCTATTTCTCCATTCCTCCACCGCGGACGCAGCCCGCCAATCCGCTGAACGACATGCTCTCGGCAATGTTCGGTGGCGCTCCGACGACTGCAGCGTCTGTCAGAAGGGTTCTGTCCCCTCCCCCAACAACGAAGCCCCCAGGGTTAGACTAACTGCGCTGACCCATATATCCTTTGAGGGTTAGTCACGGCATGTATACAGTGGAGCCGTGCTTGTAAGCTTGTGATGTTTTGTATCAACTCAGATTAAGCGCAGAGATGAATGTTTGTTTATCAGTTCATGATCCGTGTCATGTTCGTCCTGCTCAGCTCTCTGTCTTTGCATGGGTATGATACGCCAGGAACATTGTGTGATCGTTGCGCAGTCGCAATACAGGGTACACGTTCCGACGGAGTTTGCGCGGCGCGGATAGGGTAGCAGGAGATATAGCACTACCTCAACCTTTCCCTCGCGAGGCGAAGTGAATGTTTGACGAAATTGATGGAATGCGAGGTAGAATGGCTAGTAGCATTGACATCACTTCAGCGACAGACCCTGATCAACGTAAGTGATCGATAATCGCGTTGATACAGCATGGAGAGGGGTCAGGTACTGAGTAGAAAGCTTTGTGCTTCTCCGCTAGAAATACGGGTGTGCGTGTGCTACAGAAAAGTACGATACGGCCGGCTATCGTTTGTCCATCGGCTAGACGAAATGAGTTTAGAGTGAGTTATCAGATTGTGGGACGCAAACTAGACAGACTAGGCCGACGCACAGCACAGGCACTAGATAAATCAACGACATGTTGCTCGCATCTTATGGTATCGCGATGTCCGAGAAAGCGAGACGTGATCGTCATCACGAGCTACCATTGCGCCGTGGGGCCACTGCAGGAGATTGTGGGACGCTCGGCGGCACTGTAGTACCGTCGCCGTTAATTATGTCTTGTATCGCAGCTTCTAAGGCATCTACACGCGTAGACATCTGCATCACTGGGAGACTTCATTGCGGGTGTCAGGTTGGAATCAGCGATGAGGCGTACTACGGTCGAGCATCTGCGTGGACATATCATCGAACTTCCCATCCAATTGCTCTAAGAGCGACTCGACCTGAATCGTAGTATTCAAACGCTATATATTCCGTGATGCGTATAGGTTATGTCAGTACTCACATAAGCCGTTAACTCGTGTGGGCTGGATATGTCTGACGGGTTGGTCGCAGCTTTAGTTGAAATAGCGGTGGAAGTTGAGACTCCAGAAGACCCTGTGTTTGTTGGTCTTGACGGCGTCGTCGATGGGTTCACATTGAGAGGCAGTGCAGGAGAAGATGACGGCGCCATAATAACACAGCGAGTTAAAATCTCATGGGTTCAGCTTAGGAGGAACGAATGTTGGCGAAGTCAAGAGTCCAAGACCTGCTTCTCAGGAGAAGTCATCACGTGACTGTAAAGGACCTGACAGCGAACACAATTGTGCGGTCGAATCGGTAGTAACAGCCACCATGAACGCGACAATTCTGCAAAGCAACTAGTTCGGCGTACTAATCTAGCTTTACTCTGAATATTACTATATGCCTTTGCCTACTTTGTGCGACGATGGTCAAATGAGATTCGGCCTGGATATCTCGTCTCTTTAACGGCTAAGTACTCTCCAGTTGCGATCATATGCCTCGCCATCGCGTACACGATCTTGAGGACACTTGACAAATGGTCGTGCATTGCCGCCACACGGCGACATACCCTTTGCATGTCGCTTGCATGACGATGTCAGTCTTCCGGCGCATCCGCGTTGTGTACTGCCGCAGCAAAATCGCTTATTTCAGTTAGTGAGTGTTTTGTATTAAGTCTCGTGCTGCATATTTTGATCGAATCACATAATACCATGGTTTAGATCTGTCGGATGTGCAAATCAGCTCAGGTGTTCATCAATTACAATATGTACCATCATGCTAGTCGTCACGAATGAGCTAGTAAGCCAGACTTTCTCTACTCAGATTGCCACAACGCATGGTTAACATAAGGTGGCTAGGCTTATCGCGACAAGATCCGATATAGTTGGGACACCTCAAAGTAACATATCAAGAATAAGGGCTGTCTGCAACGTGGTTCCATTCCTGCGAAGCGTGAGGATAGCACAGAGAGACATGAGACTAGTCGGCGCCCGTCGCCACTCGATGCTGCAGAACACGTATCATTTATTTCCGTAGCTTGATCTGGCAAGGCATGCCAGGTGGTCTCTCATTTATTTCTTCTCTAGCAATGATACACGACCAATAGGTGGCGCAGCATCTGACCCAATAGATCCGAGAATACTGAGGCGCCCCCACGGCATCGTTGTTACAGAGTGGACATCGAACACATGCGCACGGCTTGTATTGCGCCTATCCGCCTCATGGACATGACACCCACTTGCAAGCATTGCTGGTTTACGGGCCTAAGCTTTGACGCTGCCATGAACTGATGCTATCAACGCTGGACCTGAATTGCCTTTTTAGTATGTTTGGTGCGTTCGTAAAAGGCCACAAACCTCAGGGACAATTGCGGCTAATATTTCATGACGTACGTAATCAGTTCGATCAGTATACGCTGGGACACGTTGCTGAACGCGCCCTGAATCTAGTTTTGTCGATGTGTCGGCTTCAGCAAGAGGAACGGCCTCGCGTCTTGATGAGTCGGGTTTTGGACTGGCTTGCTCATCCAACCTTTCCCACCTACGTGCGGGCTTTCCCCATGCTTTCTTTATGACGGAGGAGTGTAAGCTCATTCCGTACTTACACAGCACTTCCTTGTGGGCACGGTCTACGCGCGCCCTTTTCCCACCTACGTGCGGCTTCCTTTGATCCGAGAGCTCACGTCTAGGTGTTGATATTAGGCTGGCCGTCGTCTTCGTCCCAGATCCACCAATCGTGGGGATCTCGGGATGTCAATGATTGTACATAAGTGCGCGCGGCGGGTAGCTAATTCTAGGTGTGTTAGTATCACGTTGCCATTCTGATCGACCATTCGACTGTCCATTTCCTTTTAGAATCTAGTAGATCTGTACCGAGGCTTCCCAAGGGATAAATATGCGTCGCGCGTTGTTCGACTTCGTCATTCGTGCCCGCTTGTCTCACGTCTCCGCTCACCTACACTCTACAATGGGATCTATTTCGTCCACTCCGTCTCAGAAGTCCCCCGTCTTTCCTACGCCATCTCTTCTCCCTTCAGACATAGTGGCAGTCAGACCCGAGGGGGACGAGGCCAAAGTCCTCAAATTTCCCGACCTCGTGAAGTCAATACCGTTCCCCCTTCGATTGAATCCCTACATCCGGTTCGTATCTGCCGAGTCCGATGCATTCATCATCGAATACGCGAATTTTTCGGAGAAGCAGCGCAACAGGTTCATTGGCTTGAACGCAGGTCTCCTCTGTGGGATGTGCTACGCAGAGTGCGGCCCCGAGCAGCTCCGAGTCTGTTGCGACTTCATGAGCTTTCTGTTCAACCTCGACGACTGGAGTGACGAGTTCGACACGGCTGGCACCAAGGGTCTCGAGGAAGCGGTCATGAACACCCTGTATCACCCGGACACCTATGTCTCTGATACTGTGGCTGCTAGGACTGCTAGATCGTGCGTGTCTGTTTTGTTCACTATTCGTGCTGTGTATTAATGACAGTGATTCAGATGGTGGACAAGGATGCTCAAGACTGTCGGCCCCAGATGCCGCCAGCGGTTCGTGGAGACGCTCGGGTTCTACTTCAAGGCTATTCTGCAGCAAGCTGCTGATAGGTCATCTAAGAGCATTCCGGATCTCGAGACGTACATTTCTTTGCGTCGCGATACGAGTGGTTGCAAGACGGGATTTGCTTTGATCGAGTATGCCGCTGGCATTGACCTTCCAAACGAGGTCGTCGATCATCCTATAATCCAGAGTCTTCTGGACGCGACAAACGATTGCGTTAGCTGGGCTAATGTGAGTAGCGCTTGCCTATAATTCTCCCCTTCCTGTGCTATATTCCACCGTTGAGTCTTCACGTACGCATATCGTACGCGCCTCCGAGTCGCAGTAGTGGTGTGCGATGCGATCCGCGCCACCGATGATCGATCGTCGATCCCCTCATGATCGCGCCATCGAAGTTAGGCTGACACTGCCACTTTCATCTAGGATATTCTATCCTACAACAGAGAACAGTCACGAGGGGATGTGAGTTGCAACGCATGCTCACGTTTCCTGTCAGCCACTGATCGTCTTTACCAGACGCATAACCTCGTCCCTGTAATCATGCAGACTGTCGGTATCGACCGTCAGGCGGCGATCGACTACGCAGGTGACCTCTGCAACAAGACGGTGGAACACTTCCTCGAGGGCAAGGCCGCTTTGCCGTCTTGGGGCAAGGAGGTCGATGCCCAGGTCGAGCAATACGTGCAGGGTCTGGAAGATTGGATCATTGCGAATGCGGAGTGGAGCTTCATGACCGAGCGATACTTCGGCAAAGACGGACCCAAGATTAGGAAGGGGTTGCAGGTCCCATTGCTGCCAGTCGTCGGCTTCGACTGATATAGTGGAGATGAAGATGGTAAGCTCCTTATGTTCTACTGGCCGCCTCCGATTTCCGACTCACGCCCGTCTAGTAGGAGCTCACTGTGTCGCTATTCTGCCCATAACGAACGGATCCCAACGCCTTTCTTGTCAATAAGTCCCATCATGTACTCCTTCCCTTACGCCGCTCGAGTGGGTCGTCATGGATACTTGTACAGTGTATCATATGTATCCTAGAGTAAATGTTATCTCTATATTAGTACTTATACTTCGAATTACGCGTGCGAAGCCGTCAGTACAATCCGAATGGAGGACGCCCGCTCGATCAGCGATCACTCTAATTCCAAGTCAAATGATCAACTGTTCAACGACGCGATCGTTGTACGTCGTCGCTCATCCTCCATTGTCAGCTCACAACAGACGCAACGCTGTATGACCACCTACCATAAGTTAGGACTGCATAGTAATGCCCTGATCAGAGGACAGGTAGTAGGGCTGCAATCGGATACATCCGCTGCACCTTGCCTATCGTAAACTAGCATACGAAGTGCAGGAGGCGGGGGGACGCGGATATCATTTTTTCGCCATAAGAGGCCCTTGCGAGTCTCAATGTAATCGGAAGGCCGATCTCGAGCTTGTTGCCTTCTCAACGGCATGGCACGAGCTTATGCGTGGTGCCGGTACATATTAACGGCCTATTTGTCAATTACCTTAAGATGTCCCTTCACACATCGCCGAAAGATTGGCTTCGGCTTGTGGCGGATTAGGCTCCTGTAACGAGATCTATCAGAGACATCCAGGTCAGATAATTGGAAATCACTGGCGGTACCTGGGAACATTTATTTGACTTCAGCATTGGTGCCTTCATTCAACTAGCTCTCATATCGGCAACTAAGAAGTCACTTACCCAGTGACTGGTCTGCTCACCCCAGGATCTCGTTCACGTTGGCCGTTGGGCCAGGAGCCGTGATGGAGGATCATACGGTATGCCGTGTTGGCGTAAGCAAGCTTAGCCAGGGCTCTTCCTGATCTGGCTGCCTCCCATGGCCACCATTTTTAACCTGATAGCTCAATGGAGTACTAGAGTAGCAGTGTTCCTGCTGCTCTTGGTTCTCCGCGTTCCTCGTACTTGTATAGGCAGCGGGTGAGCTCCTCTTGTGAGTCAAGAATTCTACGGAGGCTTTACCCGTGAATAGTGATGGCTTCACTCCCAGATTGAACATGTCGTGTCAAAGCTGCGACTACCATCTTTCCTCGTTGCCGCACCTTTCTGGTGGTACGTAATGGAATAGCCACAACGTGAGACAGCCGACATCAGTAAGCACCTTTTACCGAGCGCCTGGTTCGTCTTAGTGCAAGCCATTGCCACATAGCGAAGCATACGACAGCCTAGGCATTCGGGGAGTGGTGGCTGCAGGGGATTCGGCAGGCACTATCATGTGCTCACGCCTTTTAACGCTTGCTGTTATAATTCATTCCCACCTCTTTGTCCCTCGCTGCAAGCCCCTAATGGCATTTGTGTTGCTCAATAATAAGATGCACAGTGCTGCCACGTTGTCCCGATCAAGTCGTGCGTTCATTTACAGGGTCTCATAGTGTACTGACACATTGACAATCTTGAGCGAAATCTATCGGAGTTAACTATTATGCAGGTCTTCATATCCGCGGTACTTGCGATCTCGATATATCTGTTGCCTTCTCCCGCGAGCGGGTGCTCGAGATAGGCAATGATCGAACACTTCGTGTTCTGCGGGGAGGTTATTGAGGGTGCACCCGGCACAACAGCTCCACGAGAAAAGAGGGATTTGCAATATGCCCAGTGGTTCGCAGCCTCTTTGCTATGCAGGAACATTTTTAGCAGCCTCATTGTAACCACATGTGCTTTGAGATCATGAGCGCGAGTCGAAGACGTCGTGAGCTCTCATACGTATCGAGTAGCTGTATGTTCCATTATTCACCAAAATATGGGCACGTGGCAGACACCACACTTCTATGGGGGAGCGGTCGGAGCCTGCCTGGCGGCTTTCCGACAAGTCGCACTCTTCGAAACGTCGTGTCGTATCACTGATCACAGGATCAAGCCTTAGGCCTGGCATGAAAGTCCTGTGATAGGCGGATTCTGCACCTTCGTAGACATATCGGAAGCGCGACCCTGAATATTCACTACATAATCCCGGATACATCCGACGCACAGAAACGACCCCATCGGATTCTGTACCGTGCAGCAGGAATCGCTCGTCAAGCCCAGCGACTGCATTTTCGGGTGTTCGCCGTCCTTCAGTATGACCCAGAGTCGGCGTTCATTATTATCAGCACGCCGTTGCGATCTCGGGCCCGCACGCATAGAGCCTTATGGTAGGAGTTCAGCACCCACAGTCAGTGGCGTCATATGCCTCGTCGAGATGCTCCTGACGCGAAGATCTCTAGCAACAGAGAAGATAAATGTCCTAGGGAGACATATCGTAACTTGTGACGTCAGGACAGCGTGCGAGCCAGTGCAATAGTCGCCCCTGGCCGAACCGTCAGGAGACCACCATTGTCCACTTTTGTGTCTCGAAGACCTGTCATGTTGTCAACACCCCGCGAATGCCCACATTCCACACCCAGCGTTGATGACAACTCAACATTGACGCACGACAGGGCCACGGCTGTCTATGGAACGCCGTCCATTCATGTTGTCTCGAAGCACTCTGGATCCTTATCACGGTGGTGATCTTCCTATACTTCGGATAGAAAAGAAAAGAAAAAGACTAGCGGCGGGACCGGGTCCGAGTATCCCATTCGATCGCTCACCGAGATGAATTGTGAAGGCCAGCTCTTCAACTGGTGATTTGAGTGGCTGTGAACGGAGCCATGCCGGTGCGGCGTGTGCTGTGATTCTGAAGGTGATCAGAACCTTCTAAGGAGAGGGAACGTGTGAAGCCTTACCTGGGTCAGGATGTATTGTATGTATCGAGAAGCGCAGCCAGGCTTATCATGTGTCAGCAGCATGCCGTAAGCTCTTCCATGACATCGACGATGCGAACTGTCGTATCTGTACATTCCTCGACTGTAAACTGAACTCACGCGCGACTGGTTGCTCATTACAGATGACACGCTGTGGTGTGACCCGATGGCCATCAGCGCCGTGACTTGAGAACCTTAATCTCGGGGACAATGTCCGGGTCCCAAGTGTGTCATGGCCGAATGCGACAGTGATCCTACTCACCGTCACATATTGGGGTACAGGAGATCTTGGAGAATCTAGCCACTTGAGAGGAGCTTCGGCAGGTTAGAAGCTCGTCTGGTCATAGTATCAGTTGCATATCGAACTATGTGCACCTACTGTACCTTTCCGCATGGTGAGAATGGTGCATTACATCGAGTGTCTAAAAGATACTGATGGTGCCTGCACGGTCCGTGATGAGTGACAATAAGTGCCTTCCGCCAGATCTCTCCTGGGCAAGAATGCTGGAATGAGAGGCCTGCGAACCAAACCCAGTGAATAATACTGGCTGCACGGCGAACTACCGCTTTCGGCGTCTAGCGCGCGACAACTGTAGCGGCGAACTGCTGGTTCTTGCGGTGAGCGGTCACCAACGAGACCACTCGCACCTGTGCGAACGATCCGTTGGATTCGATATTCATCGGCGAATGCTACGTCCATGCCATAGCGTAGATCGCAGGGATTGATTAGTGTAATCGGCACTTCGCTGAGTTCCAATCCAGAGGCGGAGCGACGGATAGGTGACATTCTGCCTGATCTAGCGATAGCAGAACGTCGGTAGTAAGCCGAGGCAGTGATAGCGCTTTGCAGGATGTGTGTGGGGACCCTTGCAGCATAAATCGAGTGTGAGAAGAAGTGAGGGTGTGTATCGATGGAAAGCGCACGAGAGCTCTGGAACCACAGGCGTCCGAACAAGCTCCATCGGCTTAGCATACCCGCCCGAGCCTCCACCAGGTTCCTTGGGTACATATGGAGATCTATCACCTTCTTCCGTGCAAGGCAGGCGACTTCCACGACCGTAAGAATAGCCCTCTGAATCGGGCAACGAGGCATCACTCATATTCTCCGACTGTCTGGACCCGTCTTTTCCGACGTACGTTGGTCCAATGAGGACGTAGAAACGGCATTGCCACCTTTACGACCTGTCTAATACTCTCCCCGGCATCTTGGCGAAAGTGCGAAAGTCCCGAGTTTCCAGTACCTCTTCGTGACCAGCAAAGGGGCAAGGTTTACTGGTGAGAGCAGTGACGCGCCGGTCAGATTCCGAGCTCAGCGGCATTGAGACGAAGTTAAGGTACAACTCACGGTGCTTGTAGCCCGAATCCGAAAGCCCTCAGCATTTTGCAATGTGATATTGTTTCCACCTTCCGCCTGCTTCGCTATTGCTCGCATCCCAAAGCAAACACGAAGGTTCATGATGAAAGGGTCCTCGAAGTTGATTTGCGATAATCAATAGCCTAAGCAGTTGTACCCATAGCTGCACCGCAGACAGCACGGATTAGGTAGATTGCTACTAAGGCACAACAGCTTGACGCTGAGGGAAATGCCATCACACAAATCGACGCAATATACAAATCCCGTTGGGTTGTGCGGAAATCTGGACATAGGTCCAAATCACGTCGTCACATCTCCGACAAGCTCACAAATTGACCATGCAAGGATGCATGCGGGCGTCGCGTACCTCCACGGGTGCAGTTGAATTTCTTTACTGTCTTCTCGTCAAGAGAAGCGTTGAAGGGACGCTGGGTCCCATAAGGTAAGGTGCAGGCTACCTATAAAGTCGCATGCCTCTTGTCCCAGTTCCCTCTTCCAGTGTCAAACCATCTCAGATAGTTCCTCCATACATCGCCATTCACCGTGTCATGTTATTATCTCAATCTTCGTCGGACATTCAGCCATTCCATGGTTATGTCGATACTACTGAGGATGCCCTGCGTCTCATCGAGGTACGCATACGTTTTCAGAGATGTACATGGTTAGAATCGCTTAACATTCGATGGACCATTGAAGGCTGCCCGTCGAGGCGTCTTGCCACGGGTAACACGGCGTCTCAACGAGCTCGAGCGGAGATCTATGATTCGGAGCGGCGCTGTGTTCGTATTCAGCGTCGAGGAGAGTGGTATCAAGAGGTGGACAGAAGGGCTAGCGTGGTCCCAGTCCAGAATCTCTGGAAATTTCCTGGTTAGTAACATGACACATGACGATGCTATTATGCCGCAGTCGACCGAAGAAGGCCAGATTTGCTGAGAAGAAATGCATTTACAGATCTATCGAGAGGTCACCGATCGCAGCAGCCTTCGAGGTGCCAATCAGCTGTCGGAATCAGCTGACATGCGACAAGGGGGACAACTGGCAGACGGACATGTCACGTTGAAACCTGGCGGACTGATTAAAAAAGTGCGTTGATGACCCGAAGGCGAGACGAATGCTCACCGAAAAGATTCGCCAGACAATTACAGTCAAGATCAATAGGTCAGACCACCATCTCATATCGTATTTTACGCAAGAAGACGTCCGTTCTGGAAGATTGCATAGGCCGACCAGTCGTCCGGATCTCATGACTTTGAAAATCCCGTCGGAGCTCTTGCAATCGGCTAACTTCCGGTACCCACTGAAACTCGAAGGACAAGGGCAGTACAGTGCCATTCCGTCCCCCACGTGCGTCCAAACTTGTATTCAGCTCGTCTAATTGCTGAGAAACATGTCTGGTGTTGTTAGTGATGATAACAATGACACCGATAGTAAGCGTCAAGGCTCCTTCCGCTCTGCCACCAGGACAGTCCCGCGCCCCCCGCGTTTAGATGTGACTCCCTCTGGGCTATCCCCAGTGTCAATGTCAGGCTTCTCAAGAACACATCCTGGTTCGAATGTTGCCTCGTACGCATCCCAAAGCAGGGAGGGACAACTCGACGGCCTCTACTCATCGCGGCCCTCGGGAGACATGCGGCCGCCTTTATCCCCCACAGGTTCCCCAACCTCCCCGTACGGAGGCAGTATGGACGGCACGAACCTAAGCCCATTAGAGTCGCCCTCGTGGTCATCCTCGTACAACACGCATCCCTTCGCACCGAGTGGAAGCCCATCGACGATGTACACATCTTCCATGCAGCTCGGTCAGATGCACCCTACCCATCTGCAGAGAGATGAGGCGTGGTCTCAGCATGCCCCCGGAGCTTCGCGGATGGGCCGCGAGTTCGAGCAGAACGTCTCGCGGCTCGACGTAGGAGCACAATCTGATTTGTCGAGTTGGACGCAGGGGTCAGCCGTGATGGATGCCCAGCAGCTGGCATCGGCGCCGCCTATCTCTACCTCCATCAGTGAGCACTTTCCCCTGGGACGCGGACGTGACCATATGCGGACCCGTTCGTTCCCTCCGGAGTGGCAATGGGGTCATGACTCTGCTTCTTCCCCTTACCACGTGTCTTCCGCCCCCACACCGCTGTATTCACCACACCACATGCATCACTCACCGAATTAGCCGACCTCGTTCGTACCTAGACTTCGCGAAGTGCAAGCTATCTGTCATAGTATTGCATTGTACGCCTCTCAGCCGACTTGTATACCAAATTACATGGCTTACCGCGTTGACTATTTATATCTGCCGCATCCGTTCGTGTGCTACCGTCACCGAGCGTGGACCGGCCCGTCGATCGTGTGAGACTCATAGATCGGTCAATCGTAGGATGATGTTCCGGGGCGAATTGCAGTTGCAGATGACGTACTACGTCACAGTGGGCGGGTCCCCACAATAGTTTATCTGATGGCACTAGGAGGCAGGGTATGCCTCCCGTTCCGACTGATTGGCAATGCAAGCGATGTTATTGACAGCCACCTAGACATTGCCGGCGGTTCTCCTCTCGATGAATCCTCGTATGTTAGCGTGCCCATCTAAACTGCCGAAGAAACAGCGACGAGACGGGTTTTCCCATAACACAACGTCCAACTGCTTGGCGTAGTTTAGAACGTACTCGTAGTCAGCCTGGGAAGCAAATGCCGTGTATAAATATCCTGCCGGCATCGAGAATCAATTTATGTGTAACAATGAGCCATGCGTAATGCAATCTGACATGACTAACCTTCTTCGGACTTCAACCTGTTCTTCTCTAGTTCCCAGAGTCTGATTTGATCTTGTACAGTCACCGGTAGAAGGGGGTTCTGCGCCAAGAACGGATAAATAAGTAGAGTGCACGCAGATGACATAGCATTGCGTTACATTTTTGCGCATCTGAGGGTGTGCGTGGGTCGTCAAATAGCTAATTATCTGTATGAATGTCAGAATGCATACAAGAGAGATAGGGTCAATGTACCTGTTCCGCGGTTATGCCGTTCGCGAGGGCCTTCTTCACACTTTCGCGGGTAATCGCCCCGATTACGAGATTCGGGAATCGAGATTTCAAGGTAACAAACAAATTAAGCACTGCGATCTGCAGCGGGTTGTCTGAGATGCGTGAGTCGAGATCTACATCTCTCAGCAAGCCGCATACCCGTATATGCATATAATCGGTAGTTGGTTTCTAGTACGATGAATCCCTGCGTCTGCGACCCGATTCCAGCCTTATTCAAAATAGGCAATGGAGGGGCACACGACGTCAATGTTGTCGCGAGGCGAGACGGGCTAAACTGATTCGAGGATGGCTTGCGTATAGAGTAAGTCATACGTGCTGATGCCTTAGATAAAAATTGAACGACTGACATTTCGCTGCCATATCAGACCGTAATTTCGGAGGTCCGCGAGCATCGCCAATTGAGTAGTACTCAAACTCTCCGTCGAATACTCCTGCGAAATGTCAGGTAAGAGTCTGGTTGACATCGGACTTGGCAGAACACATACCCGACCCAGCTCCATCGTCGAAAGCATGAGCAAAAAGCTTGAAACTTCAACCAAATCCATTTGCCGCTCCTAGGCACGGGATACATATTCGAGTGGCTTCGAGACAGAGAGAAGCCGGGTTCGCACCTCTACCATGTGAAGGTATTGCAGGAGCAGCTCCCAGAGTTGTGCATGAGGCGTATGAAGAAGAAATTGAAACCCCGACGACGTTATCTGTAGAGCTCCTCCACTACGGCGGTCGTAAGCTCTCGGCGCGGACAAAGTCCGTAATGACGACGCACTGCATGTTTGTCATGAGACCGCTGCGCTGTAAAAGGAACAAGACTTCCTGCGAAGGCCTCGTAGGGTGTTGGCCAGTACCAGACGACACCATATAGTGCAGAATAGTCTGCGAGCTTGTTAGACAGCTTTGGGAAGTGGAGGCTCGAGCGCAGCATACCTCCCAGCGTTCAAGCGCGTATGCATCAAGTGCCTCGACGCTTGGAGCTGGATACTGCCGGTCGGACCCTACTGGTGCACCAAAGCTCCCGCTCACATCTCTATAGAAATTAGAAGGGGCCAAATGTCAAAGGTTTCAAGACTTACCCCCCGGTGATGGCGTGCCGAAGACTTGTCTTGAAAGTGGGATTAAGCGCGAGCTTGCTCGTGGATTTGGGTACCACATGCAGACTAGCCAAAGTCGCCAACGCATCGTTGTAGGCTCTAGCTGATTGTGTGAACGGACGATCCCCTCGATAGTAGTAGAAGGATTACTTTCGGCCTTCGCGAGTGATCCAGGAGGCCATCATTGAGACGGGTATTGGTGACTCTAGCCATAACAGATTCATTATCAATTGCCTTTCTAAAGGCCTCATCAGTCTATAGGTTGGTGAGAAAAGGTCACGGAACAGAGGCAAGAAAATTGACCGAAACAGCGAGAGGCATGAAGAAGGCTTTTGATAGAGACGCGTCAATGCATTCTGGGATTGAGACTGAAGAAACGCGAGGAGAATGTGCGGGCCCTCCTCAGTGGCGTCGGTGCTGGGGTCGACTGAGGGCATCGCTCGGTGCTGCGGCTACGGCAAGCGGTGATTAGTCAGACATGTGTCTTCCGCGTGGCCACGTACTACCTGGCTGAGTTTGTTATGAGCCTGGTCTGATTGATTTCTCAGAGCTGGAATGAGCCTAAGTGACAGAGCGGCGAATTCCACTCAACTTACTAGCTCCAAAATAGGCAAGTCGACCCATCAAACCCTTTTCTCACGGCGTGACCTTTGGGCGGAGGCGCGACGCTTGCGCGTTCCGACTCCGAGTTCTAATTCTCAACAGCCGCGCTTACAGAAAGGTCGAACAATTATCGAGACGCATATATTCTGGAGGTCCTTCGCGCAAATGTCGAACACATCCATACATACTGCAGCGCAGAATCGCGAGTTCTGTCACCACGCTATCCACGCAGAGCGCTCATTTCCCACTAGGGCAGGCAGGACTAGTTCGGGCACTAATTGCGCAGGACTCAAAGCTTGCAGATGTTCCAGATGTGGTGCGACTTCTGTAACAGAGACAGTACAATGAACCTCGTCGACTGACGGCGCCACGCAGGATGGCAGGGCTCCTCTTCACTGGGCCGCTTTATCTGGATCCGTTGACATTGCGCGAGACCTGATTGATCGCGACGCTGATGTAGACCGAGGTGATAATAACGGATGGTCGCCTTTGCACATTGCAGGTTTGGTAAATACGAAAAAGCCACAAGCTTGTTCTGAACGGTATTTAGCAAGCGCTGGTCATGAAGAAGTTGTCAAGGAACTACTCGGCGCGGGCGCGAATGTCAATGCGAGAAATGATAAAGGACTCACACCACTGTGGGCATACATGAAATTGCTACATGTCGCTATCCGGCTGACGCAAGCATTACCGGTAGACACTACGCTGCATCCAAATCGCAAGTAGATGTGCACATTGTCTTTCTGCAGCGTGCCTTCTGTCTCTGACAAATTTGAATCAGATTGGAAAGATATTGATTGCGCGCGGAGCGGATGTACAGTATTGTGACATTGCAAATCACGTTCGGAGACTGACCACTATCCCAGATCAACGCTAAGGACAAGGCAAATCAAACACCTCTGTAAGTTCTATCTATTTATGTGTAAGTGTTTTGGCTCAAACTACATTCCATAGTCACCGCGCGGCGACAACAGGCTCAACAGGCTTTATCACAATTCTGCTTAATCCGCCCGAAGGGTCTCCCAAGACTCGGCTAAACGCAGCCGATCGTGTCGGTGCGTGCTGCGGATAGGCACCGAATCTTCTGCATTCTGACTTCCCTCGACGTAAGCGCAGGTAACACGCCACTTCACCTAGCCATGGAGTCGGCACACGCAGAGGCAGCTTGTCTCCTGATAGAGGCCGGCGCGGATCGTACTCGAGTAAGTGCTATCAGGGGAACAGGGGCCGCATGCCCTGTGGCACTTGTCCTGCTGACCTCAGTTCTATCTATTCCCCATAGGAAAACTTGGATAGCGAGATGCCAGAAGATCTCGATGGTGTCGGGGGCCAAGAGCAGAGAAGGGCGAAGGCCTACGTCATCGGGCGTTGTGGGCAGAGATCTTAAGGCTTTCGAGATACGCCCCGGCAAGTCACCTCGTGAATAGCGGTGAGAGCAGCCATGTTTTAGAACGTCGAGACACGCAATGCAATTGATATCCGTGGATGGAGTTTGCGGACATTAGTGGGAATGCAGTGTGAAAGGGTCTGTGCATGCGGACGAGGGAGATACATGGCGGTGATTGTCGATAGCCGACCATACAAGTGCACATGCACTCCGGTCGGACTGGAAGTTTTAAGGTACGAGCGCCGCCTGAACTCCAAGCCATCTGCGCTCGACAGAAGAATTGTGACATAGAATTTGGACTCACGGAACCCGCTGATGTACGACAGGCGGCCACTAATCCCTTCGGTGATGGAGCGCCGTCTGGAAGGCCCTGCCTATTTTTGAACCCCCAGGTGATCGGAGTCAACGACGGGAGCTGGCGGATTTGTCGTCTAGCCATTTCACCCTGGAACGGTACGAAGTGCCTGTTGTGTTGACATCGAGCGGGTGCACAGCGCAATGCCTGACCCGAGTGCCACTTAGTGCTGGTTGTCACTACTAGAATCGTTCTGTCCATTTCGACGCACTATATCCCTGCCAGACATCCACAAGCTCGACTCTGAGGGCTACTGCCATTTGTGGAGGGCCGTCCAACTGCAGAGGGACACCGATTTCCTCTAGACAGTAAAATATTATCGTTCACCTTCCGCACGTCTGGGATTGCTGCTTTGCATGGGTCCTATCGAGGCGTCTTTCGGAGGGGTTACAGGGACAATGGTGAGTGTACTACAAATTTATCTGAGGTGACTGGAAGGCAGTCGTTGCGGCGCTGGCATTGTTCTCGGCCCACGAGTTTGATCAGGTCAAAACTCTACATGATTTCGACTGTAGCCGACGGGGGTGACACTGTTGTAGAACACGGCTCTCAAAGCATCATGCAATTAACGATATCGATGGCACGGTGCGTGATATTCTATGCATCGTTCAGATGCATAAGGTGCGAGCAGGCAGGCAGAAGTATCGGACGTCGTTCCGCGGGACACCGATGCAATGACTAATGGCGCGTCACCATCGTGTCGGTAGCTTCAAAACACAACAGACTCCGCATCTGTAATGCGAATTTAATCTTATCAAAGACAACTTTGAGGCGCTTTTCCACATCACCATCGTTCAACCCCACCCATGGATCATAGAATATCTAATACGGATGAACGGGAGCGCATGCTCAGGCACACCATGATTTATAAATGATGACCATCCAAGTATACCGAAATATGAATCTAGGCCATTACAGCCATTGGGCAGGGCCGATGTCCTAGTCAACCACGGACTTAACAAATAGTGATCACGTCGCATGGAGATCCAACAAACTACGGATGCAACCAGGTGTAAGGCGCTCTGCCCGATTAGCCCTCAACAAAGCCGCGGCGGAAGTGGTGTATCCGTGTTAGATGACCCTGATATTATGCAACGCGTAGCTGCATCGTGATTACCAGAGCACATTTGTCGGGCTAACATTGCCTTTAAGAGCTGCCTCGATGCGGCAACAACGATTCAGCTCGACCCTTCCCCGCCTATTCCCTGCGAGCCATCTGCATGTCAGTCGAAGAAGCTCAGACGCCCATGGAGTTCGCAGGCGGACCTTTTTCCTTCCGCTCGATTGTCAAGATCGTGAATCTAACCAAACATGTACGAGCGCACGCGCATCATGTGAGGCGGTGGGTCCGCAGCCAGGAGAAGGCTAAGGCATGCCACATTCTCCAAGTCAATGGGAGCTAGGCCCGTCCTTGTCGTCGACATTTATATGAAAATGGAATCCGCAGCCGTGATTAATCCACTCTCGTCAGGGAGTAGTCAGGAAAACGACAGACACGGAGAAAAACGATCCCGGCTGTGCTCAAGAACAGCCCACAGGAGTAGAATATGTTAACCACCGTTACATTGATTCAAGCAGGTCTTGAGTATCTCTCCCAGAATGCTATTATTGTCAAGCCGTACGGCGTATAAAATACACGCGGTATGAGCTACGACTAGATATCCTCTAGAGAGAACAGAAAGCAGATGAGCGGCCGAGGATATACAATTCCTCTCGTTGGCTCTTGGGCATACATGCCGAGGGTTCTAGCATGGCGGTATAAGGGCGCAAACTGTGCAAGAAAGCTGGCGAGAAAAGCTGAACACAATACTGACATTTGTTCCGATCGACTGCGATCGTCACCTCCTTGAATATAACATCTTGATAAACTTGCGGTTCGCAGGTAGACATATAGGCAGGGCTTGTGGCGTCTCTGGGGCGACGTGTAGTTCAGGCTATTTCGATGTCATAATCTGAGTAATTCATTGTATTCGCGGAGGAAGAAGGAAACAATACATACATAACGGAAGTGTGTGATCCAACTATTACAGCTTGGGCATCGATCTGGCTGTATGGCAGTCTTGTGGGCCCATCGCAGCAGCGAAATCCGGTGAAGTCGTCTACCATCTATGACAGTAGAGTTCAAAGTGCAGCTCAGGATAGCGTGATGAATGTCCTATATGAGAGAAGACGCTGTCGACAGAGCCTGCGACAACAGCGACATCTGGTTCGTAGATTATACGGCAAAGAATACCTGTATGCATTTACGGGGCCATTGTCGCTGCTGAACGATGTGCAGCCCGTCGTGATGGACTATAGTTTCAAAGGAAACAAAGATGAGGCTAGAGTGGCCTCGCTGGCTGCCAGAGGACATGGGAAAGCTGTCAAAGCTGAGTGCAGAATCTGCGCCCTCGGAACGCAATCCCGTACCCATGCCGTGCCATTCAGATAGTGATCACTGGAGCATTGACAACATTCCCTGATGTCGGTGATACTCTTGGGCCATTCCGCCGAGCATATTCAGATGACGAGGGTCGTTAGAAGAGCTCATTATGGGACTCACCCCATGAGATGCTCCCATATCTGGGACGCCGATGATCGCGTCTTTGCAGAAGCCAGTATATCGACGCATCTGTCACAAACTCGCGGATGTGCCCGACAACCCACATGCCCCGGCAATGTCAGGGTTGGAGATACCGCGCAATTATCGGGTCTCCGGATATCGATGAGCCGATGAGTTGCAAAAGCCTTCCTCTGTCCCAAGACTACGCGATTAGACATCCTGTTTCACGACACGGATCCCGTGGACCGAGGCAGCGGTAACCCAAAGGTAGCAAGTGTCAACCATCAGTATTTGGAATTTACGTGAAGGCGGCCAGCCCGAGAAAACACGAGGAGAGACATCCTTGACGGTCTGTGCTCAATGATGTAAGGCTATGCCTAGGTCAGATCGTGCGTACACCAGCCCGGAGTTGGAGGCGCTACGGCGAAGAATAGATGCTAATTATCCCAACATTTGGACAGATACTCACCTGTTTTTTTGTCGGATCAGCTGTATCTAGGATACGGTGAGTACTACACTTTCATGATGGTCTGATTCCGTAGGCCTTGCCATACTTGACTGACGCTATGTCTTCTCTGTGGACCTCAGCGACTATGACTGACATAGAGCTCTAATTCCAGAGCAGAAGTTTGCTTACTAATACTTTGTGTACGTGCACCGCTTCTCTTCATCCCTCGCAACCAAATCCACCGCTGAATGACAAGGTGCATAGCCTATGTCCTCGGCCTAGTATGTCATCGGAGGAATATTCTGGTTCGCAGAGACCCGTTGCCTCGGTGGCACATTTGTAACGCCATACGGCCCAACTGTAAGTAGGTGTCAACCCCGTCTTCGGCCCTCGGTATTAGATTGACTTCCTGCGAGGAAAATAAGATTCAAGCGCCACCCTGGCATATGGGACGTACCGACCACGGTTACATTCGCCACTGCAACTCTTTTGGGATTCTGAGATTCCAACAGGACTAGCGAGGGGGGCACGCTCGTATAACAGTTCTGATGCTCGAGCTTAATTCAAAGCGAAACACACTACTGATTTTTCAATTAGAGCTGCTGTTCACGGCGTAGCAAGCTACCAGTCTGTGGGCGCCCCCGAGAAGTCTGTGGAGTCGGGTACTGCCGGGCGTTGTCACAAAGGGGATATACTAGAGTCAATAATAAGTAATTCCCTACTGGCTAGTCTCGCCACCAAAGCACATGAAAAAAACCTGCACCGTCAAATGCATGAGCATGTGACGAGACTGACACTGTGTTACTGAGACTGTTTGTCGTTTGGCAGGCCTGTGACTGTATGTAGAATAAATGTTCCCAAAAGTGGAAGTCACTCTGAGTTAGACGCCCGAGTACTCACGCTGAATCCTTCACTCTAAACAGCCCCACACATGATCTCATCACACAAGGCGTGGGTCTATTTCATGTCGGAGGGGGGGAAAGAGGCCCTTCATACTCTGACCATTGGGCACAAGTATATTGTGCTTGATATTGCTCAATTAGATCAATTAGATCTACCCGAATAGGGCAGTATTTGGCCGGGCCAAATAGGACGTTGCGAAACGACGACCTGCAATTTATTACTGGCAATTGATGCGCCGATCATGGGGGAAGACGGATCATGGATCGGTGGAAGGTATGCACGGGGCCGAAGTGTAGGTCCGGCTCGTGGAACAGTGTCTCAGTCCCACAATGTCGACGTGTTGATATGACTTATTGACGAGGTGGCTCCTAGGTTGCTGTTAGCCTTGACAAATGTCATACGCAATACAACTTACAACTGTATGGAGGTCCAACGACAATGGTCACGTTCCTTCGCGCCACGACTCTGCGTCACCCTAAGTCTTGTGGATGATGTTATTATCAGCGGCATGGCTAACACACAGAGAACTCGTCCTTTAAACAAATGAGAAGGTCAGGTCGAGATACATTGCAATGCCCAACTATCATACCTTCATGCCTATAAGGTATGTGATAGCGAATTTCTTGTAATAAGGGCCCACACAGGCAGATCGACAGTGGATTGTGATGACCAGATGTGCGATAGGAGTATAGTGTCGATCCTATGAACCTCGTTCTAGCAGTAAAGGCTGACTAGCTGACGCAATGGACCGTCCGGAGGTGCCACTTATCCGTACTCTTGCAATCCCAAGTACCAATATGTGCGCTGACGTTTGATGTCAACGTGGAAATTGGTACGCAAACGAGCACAGATGCTGAAATGGTACCTGCATTTCTTCGTAACCTCCGATGAAGCTTGCTCGCTGATGCTGTTCCTTGCAAGGCTTTTCCGTCAAGATCCGTATGCTACGGTCGAATCGACTGGATCTGCGAATGCAGGCGAGGCGAAGTATACTGAGCTATGGCATGCACTCAAGAACATTCCTGCAAGATTTGTAAGAGTTAATAATTGTATTCAACGAGCCCGTCATGCGTTACTAAATGGATGGCGCTTGACTAGCTGCGTTGCAGCGTGTCCGACCATTCAGTTTCGATAGTCAGTGCTAACGAAATTTACTGGCTGATGGAGGTGCTCACGTATGTCGCCTGGCCCATATGTCTCATTGATCTCGCCGTGCCCAAGACCTCTGCAATGCAATCATTCTCACCGCTGTCGTCGTCGCTGACTTTAATCGCGCCCTGCCGGTATGCGTTTGATTGTACGTAGCCCGAGTCGCATTGCTGCAGGAGTAAGATGCTCGGGGAATTGATCTCTGTTGTATGCCGAGGAGCGTACCATCAGGTGCCGCTCTTGCGGAGTAGGTTCGAGGATGCTGGAAAATGGGCGGATCCGAAGAGCACAGCGTGTAACCTCATAACCGGGCACATTGGGGTGACTTCTTAGCGGCACGTCGGCATGCGGCCACGTCTTTTGCACCACTGTCTCCAAGCTTGTGCGAAAATATGAGCTGTGACCGTTCGGCTGCCAGGAGATGGATTCAAGCGCGGAAGTGGTGCAGTGACTCCTAAACAAGGTCAGGCTGATCGGGCTCCCTACACCACATCACAATCTCACGGATTCGGACATCATGGACAGGGCATCCGGGTGACAAGCACATCGCCAACCCTTGTGAGTGCGACGACTGGATCGCAACACGACGATTCTGGCCTCCTTAGTTCTCGTTCTCGAATGCCGCTCTATGCAGAAATTTCCAAACCGCCGTCTTCGTCCCCTTGATACCGATGAATGGCTTCGCGTCGTGCATATCAAGTCCTATCGATGGTGATGAAGCCGTTGGAATGTCGAGGTGCATGCGGCACATGTACGTCCTCTCCGGTAGCCTAGACTTCGTTGCTTCTCCTCATCCTAAACTGCGCTACATTGTCCACTTTCTCCCACTACATACTGCCTTACGGCCAGTCCTTTGGGGTAGAAGTTCGCACACGAGCCAATGGGACATTCTAAATTATTTCACAACTTCATGCACAGTACACAGCCGACAGCTCAACTGCATGATTCCCATCGTGGCTAGTGTAGTTCGCGGAGGATGCGGACCTACCCTGTGACCTGGTATAGCTGCTTGAGACCAGCAGGTGGTCAACACTAGCACCAATTCTATACGAGGCGCCCTCAAAAGCATCTTGCCGCAAGCTTCGTTGGCATTGTACGACACCTATTGAATGGGAGCAATTGCATGCAAGACGTCGACATGTCACATACATCCACCGTGAACACCAAACAGTCCAGGTGAGTGTTCCCTCGTCACGAAGCTCACTGCCCACCCAAAGATGGGGTTGTACGCCCGCACGAAGTCGTGGCAGTCCGCAGAGTTTGACATTCCTCCCATGCGCTGCTTCTCCCGAAGAATATCGCCATAGCGCGAACCTAATAGCACGTAACACGGATAGTAAAAGCCAACGTCTGCGAATATACTTGTTGGTTGACAGTCGCATTAGATGCGCTCACGGCGGCCGGGAGCAAGTACCGCCTCTATCTTGTGGGATGCCCTGTTTAAGATATCGCTACGCAGCAATGAAGTCCACATGGGACCTCTAAGGAGTTCCATTCATTGCCGTAATTCACCGTCGACGAGAGGAGTGGCAAATCAAATCATGTCCAGAATTCTCAAACAGAGGGGAATGGTATTCTTGCATCACATCCGTACGTCTCTCTCCAGACCCGACGCTCGTGTGGATGGCATCGTGTTAGTATCGAATGCAGGGTCACGCTTATTGAGTCACGTTCGTGGCATTGTCGCCCAGTGATCGAGGACTTCGGAATCATGCGGTGAGACGAAGGAATTCGAAGGCAAACGGACATGAATTGGTCACCGTACCGACGTATATGACCACACGCAGCTCCTTTGCAAAAGGGTCGCATCGATATTCGGCGTTATCTAGCTCAAAACCAGCAAAGTGAAATATCTGCTCTCCCCTGTCCCCAAGGGGCTAAAAGCAGCGCGAGGCTGTGTTGATACATACTAGCGCTTGAAAACCCGCTCATGGGCACTTTGTTGGATCCCAATCGGTCACAAGCTCTGCCGGACGGTTTAAACACAACGTGAGCATCTGAAGCGGGGAATGTACCTTCATCTAGACTATCCAAGTGTGCAATCTCCTCGGAGCTCAACTCTAAGTCGTAGACGTCCAGATTAGACTTGATACGCTGTTTAGAGGAAGATTTGGGCAGCGGGATGTACCCCTGAAGGACGGTGTCAGTAGTTGCCTGTTCCTGACTGTGTCTGGATCATGCCTTCTGCAGTGAATATCGCAATAGAATATGTGCGGGCTCTTTGTGGTACTTGTGCGCAAGGCTCTTGATTGAGGCGTGATTGAAGCGATAACCACGGACGAGAGGTGCCCAGGCCTATCAATTTACTGCGTCAGCAACATTTCGTGGAAGGGGGCAAAAGCCACCGACCTCAAGGGCAATGCCGTGCTGTCGGCATAGCGCCACTATGTCTGTACGGGTCATGAATGGATGAAGGTCAACCTGCATGCGGACATGGCTCAGTAACACCATATATTCGAAACTTTGTTTCTGCAGCTTACCTGATTTATTGCAGGAAGCTCTGCTCCGGACTTTATCATTTCCTGCAGATGCCGCACCCCATAGTTGCTGACGCCGACGCTGCGCAATCTGCCCTCCTTCTTTGCCTCCAGTGTCGCCTTCCAACTTTCTGCGCGCATTTGCGGTCCTCCAATAGGTGAGTGTACAAGGTACAGGTCGACGTATCCCAAGCCGCATGTCTGAATGGAGCGATCAATTGCTTTTTTCGCCGCCACGTACCCGGAATTCGTGCGCAATTTTGTCGTGAAAAAGATCGACGAGCGCGGCACCCCAGAAGCGGCACAGAAGTCGAGGATAGCTTGACCACATTCGCGTTCGTTGCCATACCACTCGGCAGAGTCCTAATCACAATATGTGCCAAGGTCACAGCCGAGCGGCGTCTTGAGAGAAGTGTGTGACCTACGATGTGGCGATACCCGATCTAATGTCGATGTGAGCACTCCGATAATGCTTCGTCGATAGTCCTCACCTCTAAGGCATACCTCACAGCATCATAGGCTTGTCTGCCGTCCATCTCGTATGTTCCTGCAAGTAGTCAGGATGAGCGTGATGGAAGCGCGTTCGCCGTACTCACCAAACCCCATGATAGGTATTTCGTTCCCGTCACGAAGCTGGAAAGTCGGGAACATTCCTAAGCTCGCTGATACCTAACCCCCCCACCCCAATTGCTTCACACACACCTTCATCTTAGTTTCAAGTGTCAGAGCCATTGTTCGAGGTGGCTGAGACTGAGTGTAGTGGCTGATCAACCGTGAGCTCAGGCCGTGGCGGAATATAGACAACACAAGGGAGAGTTTGCGAGTCCGACTAGTCAAGAGCATACAGTACTTGGACAAGCTCTGCGGCGTCCAAGCTTCTACTATTGTATATATTATGACTGAAAAGTTACCAGTATATGTCGTCATTCCGGCGCGCCGTCTAGCCGTGCCGGATGCCCGAGCGCGCGGGAAAGGGAGCCTCTGCCACGACTCTGAACAGCAGACCTGCACGACACGTGCATTATTCAACACTGTCCAATTGCTGGGCCTAAAGAAATGACTGCAAGATGTGTACATTCGGCGCAACAGGCAGATCGTTCGGCTGCAAACTGGTTTCTATCGCCAGCGACAGGCCACGACGTGTCCTTACTTACATAGCGCTCTTCGCTACATATACTGAAGTAGTTGAGTTCTCCGATAATGAGCGACACAACAAGACTGTTGCGATCTGGCGTGTTCACCCTCACTAGGCGGCCTGAGACAGACAAGGGCCGGGAAGAGGGTTTCATCACGTGCTGACTATTGTGAGGCGGATCATTTTGTCACCGAGCTACGGGCGCCTCATTGACCCCTTCGTCGCTACAAGCGCCGGCGTTCTCTCATTCTTGACCGCTTACCACAACCATCTGTGCTCACTGTTCACTGTATCCTTACTGCTTTCACTGTCTTCTTGGAGATTGCCGATTTTTCATATCTTTTGACGATGGCAACGGCGGACTTTCTTGCACCGCTGCTATCTGGAGTTCGTCAGCGACCCCAGGATATAATCGATGTAGATGCTCTCGACGACGAGACAATGACAATACTTGGCACAGCCAGCCAGTTTCAAGATTCCCGCGTACCCGAGGGCTCACGCAGTGCATTCCAGAATGCCGCTGCCGGTCCCAGCTCTACCTCGATCATCGTCGTAGATAGCTCAGAAGACGAGGACGTTTCCAGCGTCAACGGCACTGCAAATGGTAATGTGCATCAATCGTCCATTCCTCCATAGGCGTTGTCCTAACAGGTCACAGTCCGCCCACAGCGCGTACGACCGCGCGCTCGACCACGTCCGCCACACGTTGTATCGTTGGTACAATTGACGGCAAATGCAGCCAACAATGCTCCCCCTCCAATCGTTCCCAGCGCACAGCCGTTTCCTTTCGAAGCGCAGATACAACAACCAGTACGGCGCGCCAATAGCCCGCCCTTATATCTCCCGCCACCCGCTGCCGCCCCACGGTCGCAACATCAACCTATCATGGGTCTCGGCGGTGGTCTCATTGCTCTGAATAGGCAGAACGTAATCGACGAAGCCAATCGCCGTCAGCGGGAAGCGGAAGCACACGCTCGACAGCATGGGCCACACAACATTTGGCACAATCTCAACATAGCTGGGATGTGGAGGAATGGCATACTTGGAGGAGGATACCACCTCCCTGGTCTATGGCACGCATCCGATGACAATGGTCAATACGACCCCGGAGACCTCTATGGGCTTGATCTCTTTGGTGACGTGCTAGACGGGCTCTTTCAACGCAATCGAGCCTTTGGCGCGCGGGGAACACAAGGTCGCAGTGCTGGGCCAAGCGACCCACTCTACAAACCCACGTACACTCATCCCGAGACAGCCCCAGCCGGTTTCACGTTCGACTTTTCCCCGCCGGATGCTCCGTCTAGTACACGGGCGCCAGCAGTCATTGTGCTGGATGACGACGACACTGCTGCTGTCGCTCACAACAGCAAGACATCGTCCACAGCTGTTGAGACGACAACGACTCTTGTATGTGCTCGCTGTATGGACCCACTTATTCTGTCAACCAATGGAGCGGCCAGTGAGGACAAGCGCAAAGCTCGTAAGGTTTGGGCGCTTCGATGTGGCCACATGCTAGACGGCAAGTGCATCGCTGAGTTGATGCGACCCCGCCCTCCACCTCCACCTCCATTTGCTCAGGAAATAGAAGCAGAGGTTCCGGGATTTAAAGGCAAAGGCAAAGGGCGAGCCATGCCTGTCGTTGAGGCGCGGCCCGCAGAAGGGGAAGAAACCCCTGTCGTATCTTCAGTCGCCGACGAAGACCAGGGTCAGGTACTAGGGAAGCGGAATCGGACGGGCGACCGGAAGGGTAAAGCAAAGGCACTCGACGTTCCCACGATACCTATTCCCAGCGCTTCCCCCACCTCGCCAGTCGAGACAGAGCCTGCAGACACCTCCATGAGGTCTCGCCTACGTCCGCGTCCTCCCCGTGGACAACCTACTACTGTCCGGGGTTCTGCGAATGCTTCCGCTGCTGCTTCGGCCCTTGGAAGCGCTACATCTCCTGTGGCGGCTCGGCCTACACAAGCTCGACGTGGTCGTGCGCCGGCCAGACCCCGTGGCCCTGCAAAGGGCAAAGGCAGGGCGAAGAAGCCGGCGATCGAAGCTGAACATCTCTGGGCTTGTCCCATTGCTGGTTGTAGTCGCCCCCACAAGAGTGTATGCACGGATGGCGAGTGGAAGATGGACGACCAGATGGGTGCCATCGGAGTTTTCGTCTAGCTTGATCTGTACGAAACGTATGTCACTCATGCCCCTGGAGACCTCTCGCGATGGCTCATATTTTCTTTAGGCATTCTTCTTGAGATGTCCCTCCGTGTGTGAATGCATCCTTGGGTACCTGGTTTGAGGGGTATCGACTTCCGCTATGAATGATTATTCTCCATACATCCTCATTGGATTGATGTGAATTATCTCACCAGCAATGGTCATAAGGTCAGTTTTTATTTACACGGGTGTCTCCATTTGTTGCATTCTCGGACGGAGAGAGCAAGGACATCGCCGGAATCTATCTCTATCGACAAGCCATGAGTCGACGGCAGCGCAAGGTCGGCTTCGTTCCGCGAACCTCACCATGTACGTCCTTCCTATGTTCTATCTCTTCGGCGACTCGGGTGTATATACCTCTCACGCACCGCAACGTGCACCGCGATGCGATGTATATTCACATCGTGCCACTACTTCTTCGATACTCACAGCTGTTCGCTTTCCGAGTTTTCGCTTCACCAGCCGGTGTACTCATGCGAAGCCGCCTTTGTGAAGTTCCGACGATATATTTGACTCCACCGTCGCGATCTTCTCTTGCCATCCTATCGCGGTAACACTAAACGATCGGAGGACCCCCACTGTTCTATGAATGCGAAGAAGGGGTGCTTTCAACCATTCAGTTCATCGTGCTTAATTCATACTCGCAGCCCAGGCATGGCTGGAAGGCGGGGCTACAACAATGAAGTCTTCGCAAACTCACGAGTCGCAGAAAGCCACATCGTCATGTGTCTGACAAACGACAGACCGATGAGGACGCTTCTCGGCTGTGAAAAGTCCCGTTCTCTCAGCGCCGATGTACCTGTTCCTTGTAGGCAACTGCATCCGCGAATGCGAAAGAACGTGTCTACAATGGCACTGTAGGATTGGTGACGTGCTATCTGGCTTTCGCACTGTATTGCACACTGCCGCTCGGCACTGACACATACCTCCCCCACACCGTCAATCTCCAATCTATGACTGACATGCGGCTGTCCTCGAGCCAGATACACGGTGCGGCCCGTTCACCATTCAGATGAGATAGATCTCGTTCCAGCGAGGTTCTCGGCTTGTGAACTTTCGTGCTCATCCATCTCACGTGTGAGTCCCCTTCTTGCCAATCGTTGCTCGATCAGTCACCTTCGCGGAACACGCATTGTCTTCTCCGCGTGAGGGCACGCAGGCATCAGTATTCATTGTCTCCGCCCCCATTCTTTCCCCTGGCCCCACTCCCCCACCAGGCTTGACCGTTACGGCGTTGGGTTACAGGTGAGGCTGGCTTAATTGAGCATGCGAGTTCGGTGTAGTTGAGGTGAAACGCGCCTTCATCTTGCAGGCGCGTCGTATAACCCCTTTCGATGCAAATGCTAAGTAGCCGCTATGTATTGTGCCAAGATCATACCGGACAGAAGTTGTGTGTGCCAATGCCGGTGATGCGCCTGTGTTTTCCTTCTGCGGAAGGCCTGCTATCAGATCTGGGCGGAACACGGCTCGCACTCAAGGCCTCAAGTACGCTGACGATGACAATTATATCCAGCTCCGTCATGTCGTCTCGCTACCTTGTATTTACATACACAGTACCCTCAAACATGTTGCTCATTTATATGTATTTCTTCTCTCATTCCTCGTGCACCGCACCTTCCCCGAGCTCAACCTGTTGGCCAAAGCCTTGCGGTATTAGGCTGTGTTTGTCTCACGAAGAAAACTAAGCTAGTAGCGTCGCCCAGAGTACCAGTCCAGGTATGGCAACCGTCGGGGCCGTTGTGGATCAATTGGCTTCTTGCACAATCTTGCTTCGTTATACCAGTAGTCTTCCCTGAGTCCTTGAGACCTGCGACGGATAGTTAGGACCTCCATAGGAGCTCGGAATGTATTCTCGATGCTTACCCGTCTTCACTTCTCTTTCGTTCTCGGTCAAGCTGAAAGTCACGAAAACAGGCTGCGATCAAAGGCGCCCATCACCGCGGTCCGCGGTCTGTCACAATCAAGTGGTACCTCTCTCCTCGTTGCAACCACGACCTTTCTATCCCGCGTGCAAGATCTCGCTTGGTTCTAGACTACAGCCTCATGACTTCACAATTCCGTTTCACCAGAGTTGCTCTCGCAGCTGCCGCGGCGGTTGGCATGCATGTCAATACCTTTCGACAACCTCCTTGTAGCGGATCATGATTCCGCCTAAGGCTGCTGTTACTATGAGCCCCATGTTTCAACGGCCAGTCTCATTCGAAACCAGCCCGTGCACCCATAGTGTGTCATGAAAAGGGCGTTTCGCAGCGTGTTATACGACATCCTCGTGTCCATAACCCTTATCTGCGTGGTATTTCTTGGTGCTCCTCCTGCAATCCCCTGACGCACCGACTACCATCGCTGCTGCTTACGACCTTTGACGACGTTCACGACAACTATTTAACAACCGCGCCCCAACGATATGCAGCTGATCACCGAGGATTTGTCATCTTCTCCCCGTTACCTTAGCAGGGAGTATAAGTGGAAGAAGCAGGTGCGCCGGGTGTTTGAGGATCGCAAGCTCACGAACTCACGGCATGTGGTACCAGCTCAGGAAGTCAGACTCGCTCCCGTTTCTTCGCCTCAAGCCCAACGGCCAGTATTTCGAATGTAGACAATGTCACTTTACGAACGTTCTCGGTTACACTTGTCCTTGGTGCCAGAGCGTCTGCAATGCCTTGAACACCCCAATCACAGCTACCCGCCCCAGGCGACGAATCAGCGCTCCCCAATTGCTGAGCGAGGCGCAGAAAGCCCAGCTGGTACGGATCGATCATAAGAGCACGGCTGTAAAGCAGGTTCGTATATCGCCGATTGGCCCCCGCGCCGGCGCTTCCGCGCAACGAGGCGTGTTGTTCGACGATTCGGGGGATGTTGCGCGCTGGCGGACGTCTAGGTCCTCAAAGACTATTAGGCGACGCAACCGTCTTGCTGCGGTCTACTCCGTTCAGGATATTGTTGCTACAACGACAACGGTATGGGAACCGGTTGCTACGTCAGCGAGGCTGGTCATGCTCATTTCAATTTCGCTCGCTAGGACTCTAAATTGGAACCATTCCTGCGCGAGCTGGTGGATATGCTTGAGCAAGGCATCGCCAGCCCAACACCACCCCTACCTCTGCACGACTCAACGCCACTCACGACGTCCTCCGCTTATGAAGATACCGATATGGCTACCATGGATGAGAAAGAGAATAGATGCAGCGACGGCAATGGCATCGGTACGCTTATCGCCGTCTCGAACACAATGACACCGCGCACGCTGCGGCGGAAGCAGAGGATAGGCATACTTCGGCAGCACTCTTCTCGATCCCTGCGCAAACGATCGGCGGCCTCCCTATGCAAAGGGTCCTCGAAATGTATAGACGCCACTCGTACGCCCGTCTCGACACCTATTGTCCTGTCCTCGTCGCCAAATCCGTCGCCGTCGCCGTCGCCGCAGCCGAGGCCGAAGCCCCAGGCCGCGCACATCCCCCTCGGCCACCCGCAGCGCCCGCTGTACAGTGCGATCCGGAAGAACATGGCGCGCCCCAGTATACCCGACACGATTATACCCAAGATGGACCTCCCGTCGCTGCACGCGCAGGTGTGCGAGCTCGCGCGCGAGACGTGCTCGCTTGACGTGCCGTTCGGACGCACGTTTGACCTGCCCCCCGCCACGGCAGCGGGATGTGAATGGACGTGGGGGAGCGCCGGCGAGGCGGGGATGGAGATGCGGGCGGAGCTTGCGCGCTGCCGCTCGGCGGATAGCATCGGGGACTTTGCCTACGACGGGAAGCGGGGCAGGGCGGTGAAGGAGAAGGTGCGGAGCCTAGGCAAGGGGCTCCGTGGTCTGCTCTTAGGGAGAGCATGATGCCAGAATCGGACGGGCGTATCTTGCGGGGCCCGAGGCCCCGCGCGCACTGTATGTTCTCGGTCGGATGTCGCCTAGAGTGCTGGTCATTAATGGCGTGCTTGCAGCCGGACGAATGGACCCACTCATGATCAGCAACCATCCATATCCCCCATAGATCTCGCATTGCTCTGCTCCCGCTCCCATTCCCGCTCCTGCTCTTTGCGTCTTCGCGCCTCTACGTCTTCACATCTCCGCTCGCCTGGTATGTGCTCCCGGTGACGCCATCTACGCATCTCCCGTTCTCGCTGCCTGGTCAGCTGTCCGCTCGTGTGTTTTGCTCGCTGCTAGTGTGGCTCCTTACTTCTTCGTATGCTGCCGATATTAAACCCCAATTATGATTAGCCTCCTCACGACCCTATGACGGCCTGCTTATGAACTTTTATATACCCCACAATCCTATCCATAGACGTCCTTCCGTGTGTCTGCGCGCGACGAGCACGGCCCCGCGTAACCTTCGTCTTACTTGAGCTGAGCAGCACGCCAGAGTCGGTACGTGTCCGCGAGACTGCTGACGCTGTCTCTGGTCTCTGGTCTCGGGCGCGCCAATTTGCGACCGAGAGCCGTCTGTTGCGGTGGCTTTCATTCGCCAGCCGCATGAACCGGGGCCGGGGCCGCGGAAGTCATTACCGCCGTGGGGCAGCCGCACACCGACCCGTCCTCCTCTGCGGGGGACTCCATACCAAACCTGTCCTCTGCCATCTCTAAGGGGCGAACGTAAGGTGCGCGATATTTGCCCGTCTCGACCGCGTTTGTACCTCGGGAGCTGATCGATATCCCGCTATCAATAGCGATCTCGCATTCATCGCTACGGCATGCTGTCTATTAAGTGGTCACCCGCGAATCTGGGTGATCATCTTGACATAAGTGATGAGCGACTGGAGAGGTACGCCGTCTCGAGTGGTCAGCCGCGCCGGACGGAGTGAACGGGGGCTATGTACGCCCTGGCTCAGGTGACGGCGTTACGTTTATTGTTCAGAGATGTTTTGTTTTTCTGTCCTCGGACCTGCAATCGCTGATGGTGCCTTCAGCATTTTGAATCAGGTGTTTGTTGGCGGGGCTGTCGCGCTGTCAAAGCTGTCCGCGAAAGTATCTCCCTCATGATAGGTATGGACACGGGGGTACGCAGATTAGTCCTTGCGGCTGGATGATTTCCTATTTGCAGACTCCTGGTTTTCTCGATCGGAAGGACGGAGCGAGGGCATCAACGCTGGCCTTACATACAGTACTGTCACTGCTATGGTCATGGTGTCGGTAACCTAGTCTTCTAAGAGCATACTAGACACCTGCCGAAAACCTCCGCAGGCTCCGGGGCGACGACGTCCCTTCTGACAGCTTCGCTCCCTCTCTCGCGTGCGAACGCTAATGCTCCGTGCTGCTGCGCCACTGATATGCGTTTGGGTCTCTTTCGCTGCCAATGACGGTCTCGCGGGTCGCAGATCGGACAAAAACACAGAAAGACGTCGCGGAATTCTGGTGACCGCACGACGTCGCTCAGCTGGCCCCTTGGTCCGCCCCCTGGCTCGCTCCAGAGAGACATTCTCTGGTCCTTCTGGAATGCAGGGTTTTTTTTTTGAGAACTGTGGATGTGGACATCGGATGCGAGTGGGAACTCTATCAGAGCGCCGCGAGACTCGTGTGCCGGACACTTCCGAGGCCCATTCCAACTATTTGAGGTCATATAGAAACTCCGTTGCGTCACAATGCCATTGCGATAGAAGAGCGTATATTGCAATGTTTTGTTTCCGGCCCATAGAGGGCCATCTTGAACATAACATTCAGAGGCCAGACATGTTGTGTACTCAATTTAAGAGTGCAAGCGTGCGCGGCGCATCTACTATGGTCTTCGCACTCTTGTCGGTTTGTGACTGCATTGGAATTGGCTAATTACATTGGAGGGCACGGCGTTTTGTCTGACATGGTGGAAGTACAGCGCGGAGAAGTGTGACCGGAGTGCGTGCAGCGAATTCGAAGAAAGAATACTACCTTTAGCCGACAAGATATCATGACACAGGGCGGGGCAGAAGATGGGAGGGGAATACGTATTTTGTACGTATTCACTGAGTTTGCGCAGGCGCCCAAGGATCCTGAGCTCCAATTTCGAAGTCTCCATTGAGGCGATTTTTTGTGCATGCAGCGAGGCCATGCACCCGACCGAGCGCACACCGAGCTGAGCAGGCTAGCTGCCTTTGTGGTGGTGTTCATGATCATCGGGGAGCGGATCACATGTGGGAGAGGACGTATGCAAATGACGCTATCGCTGCCTATACGTGTGTGATGCCACCGAGCTGAACGCGGTTTTGTGGCTGCTGCGGACGTCACATGGAGGGGCAGAGGAGGGAGACGTCGAGGCCTGTCGAGGAGCGCCGTCTGTACGCCGGACACTCCCCGCGATTGGCTCCCGGGAGGGCCTGACTCGCGCTCGGTCTGCATTCGGACGCGCGGACGGGCCAGTGATCTCAAGATCCAGTCGTGACTCTTTCGAGAAACACATTCGACAGCGCTGCAGATAAAACCATGTCCGCTCCCCACCTCCCTGCTCGTCGCCCACGCCCTCCTCCCCACTCCCGCTCCCCCACCCCCCGCCGCGAATGGCCCGCACTCGCAATGGCACCCCCGACGAGGAGACCGCTCTGCTCTCCAAGGCAAAGCAGACCCGCGAGCCCAAGCCCGTGACCCCCCTCCCCAAGCTGCAGATCGGCATCCTTCTCCTCCTGCAGCTCGCCGAGCCCATCACGTCCCTGTGTATCTACCCCTTCATCAACCAGGCAAGTGCCGCCTTGTTCCGCGCTGTAGTCGTGCTGAACCCGTCTCTCAGCTCGTCAGTGAGCTTGACATCACCGGTGGGGACGAGAAGAAGGTTGGGTACTATGCTGGCATGATCGTGAGCACCCGTCCGTCCCGTCCACCCCCACCGCGTGCACTGACGTCCGGCATCAGGAATCCGTCTTCTTCCTCACAGAGGCCATGTTCGTCCTCCAATGGTCCCGCGTGTCTGACTACATCGGCCGGAAGCCCGTGCTGCTCACCGGCATGGCGGGCCTGTGCATCTCAATGGTGTTCTTCGGTCTCTCTAAGACTTTCTGGCAGCTCGTTGCAAGGTACGTCACCGCGGATCTTATCCAGTGTCCCGTGAAATCTCTGCCTCTCTTCTCTCCGGGGAACACCCGGACTTGCTTGAGCAATGCGCACAACTTGAACTGTTCTCTGACCTCTGGCGTCCTGAAGCTCTCAGATGCCAGTTGCAAGAGGTTTCACGGAATACTACTATTCATATCATGGGGGATCGTCGGCATTGATGTCATGATCTAGCCGGTGTATTGTCGGCGCGCTCAACGGAAACATCGGGGTGGTCAAGAGCATGATGGGAGGTGCGTCACGGAACAGCGCGCATGCCGGAACGGATGCTGATCTACTTTGCAGAGCTGACCGACTCGACAAATATGGCGCAAGGGTTCGCTCTCATGCCCGTCGTGTGGTCTGCCGGAGCAACAGTGGGGTAAGTGGTCCTCTTGAGCTCTTCGTCTACGTCGCTCATCTCGCGCCAGGCCATTCATCGGTGGACAACTAGCGAAACCTGCCACCAGATGGCCAAATACCTTCACCAGCCGCTTCTGGAAACAATTCCCCTATTTCCTCCCCTGCGCCGTCTCCGCCTCGTTCTCCGTGTTCACCTTTATCATCTCCGCGATCTTCCTCCAAGAGGTGCGTTTCGCGCGCTATCAGCAAGCGGTCCACTAACCTGCTCTTCCCAGACCGTCCAACGGCGCAAACACAAGAAGACTGTCCGCGTCGCCATCGCGGTCGCGGACGACCCATGCCTGCACGAAGAGGCGCTCGAGGAGCCCACACAGCTGCGGCGGCTGCTCATCCGGCCGGTGCTGCTCTCCGTCGCGAACTACGGCGCGCTCGCGCTGCTCGACATCGCGTACCGCGCGGTGCAGCCGCTCTTCCTCTCGACGCCCGTCGCGCTCGGCGGGCTCGGCGTGTCGCCCGCGACGATCGGCGCGGTGCTCGGCGCGTTCGGGCTGCTCAACGGCGTGTTCCAGGCGGCGTTCTTCGCGCGCATCGTGCGCCGGTGGGGCCCGAAGCGCGTGTTCATGGCCGGCATGGCGATGTTCGTCCCGCTGTTCGCGCTGTTCCCCGTGCTGAACGCGCTCGCGCGCGGCGCCGGCGGCGTGGTGGACCGCACGGTGTGGGCGGTCGTGTTCGTGCAGCTCATGCTGTCGGTGGTGATGGACATGGCGTACGGTGCGTGTGCTGCTTTGTCACTGCTGAACGGAGAATACGCATGCTGACGCAAAGGATGTGCGTGCGTGCGGCAGGGTGCATCATCATGTTCGTGACGTCGTCCGCGCCGAACAAGCGGTCGCTGGGCGGGACGAACGGGATCGCGCAGCTGGTGGCGGCGCTGCTGCGCGCGGTGGGGCCGGCGTCGGCGACGTCGCTGTTTGCGCTGTCGCTCGAGCGCAACTGGCTCGGCGGGAACGGGTGCTATGTCATCCTGATCGGCGTGGCGTGCGTGCTGTGGACGGTCGCGCTCCCGCTGCCGTACGAGACGTGGACGTACGAGGACTGAGCGCGCGGGGCGCAGGATACGGACGAACGAATACATGTGAGTGATCGTTTGACGCGCCGTGGTATGGCAGCTTGGCTGATGATGGCACGCAGGACAAAACCAGCTGCGGCGGCGCGCCGCTGCTGGACGACGCGAGATGTATGGGTGTGGGGTGTGTGCACGAACGCGATGAGAGGCAAGCCTTTTTGATTTGGATGAGGGGGCAAGCGCTTTTTGGATTGGAGATGGCTGAACAGCAGCATCTATATAGACTACCAATAACGAACAGCGAGGCTTAGGCTTAGGAGCATAGTATAGTCCATCGATTTGTATCATAGAGCGATACCCGCACGCGAATGGCATTGTCGTCGAGTACTAGAGCGGTTCCGACGCGCATTGTATATTGCACAATGCAGAGGGATGCCCCTACTCGTGCGCCGACGCAGCAACGTGAGCGAGCATGCCGTGGGCGGTCGCGGTTGCGGTCGTGGCTGCACGCTGCACGGGCCCGAACGCATCTTCTCGCCTGGGACTCACGTTCCAAGGATCAGTCTCACACTCACACTCACTCACTCACTCACACTTGCTGGGGCGTAGGTCCGGCAAACCCTCACGCGCGCCGTCCTCGCCGACTCTCAAGCGGCTGTATGTGATGCGTATACCCGCCATCATGTCATATACCATGGCAGTCATATCATGTAGATGCATCCGTTCGTGTATGCGGAGCGCGCGGCGGGAGCGTTGTACATGTGTGGCGAGCGGGCGAACGAGAGGGCACGAGAGTACGAGAGTACGAGAGTACGAGAGTACGAGAGCAGCGCGATGCAAAGGGCGTGAGTGGGAGTGGGATTGAAAGCGTGTATGTGTATAGGTATAGATATAGGTATGTGTGTATGTGCGTGTGCGTGTGCGTAATGCGAGAGCGGTATCGAAGGCAGGGGCAGGGATCGGGATGGGGAGGGACGCGGGATGGGTGTGGACGAGAGAGGTAGGGTGAGAAGGGTCCCGGAATGGTGTGATACGTGACGACGCCCTGCAGGTAAGGAAACGAAAGACCAGAGGCCCCAGACAGGAAGAAAGCGGGGAAGGTGCGGGGTGGGTGCCGCGATCTCGTGTGGACGGTGGACGGCGGGGCAGAGAAGGTGCGCGCGGCGGCAGGCGAAGCGGGGGTCGAGGACGGGACAACGAGAGAGGGTCGGACGGCAGCGAGTGTGCGGGGTTCCCGACGAGCCTCTCATGGTGGTCCCTCGTCTACGACCGCCGCGCCGGACGCGAAACCGAAACCAGGCACGGCGACGACGGGCGGGGGCGGCTCGGCGGGGGGCGCGACGGTGACGTGCAGCGGGTCCGCTTTCGGCGCATGCGCGCGATCCGATGTGTCGATCGACAGCGGGATGATGGTCGATGACGGGTCGATGACCTCGATCGGCGCGGATGGCGGTGGCAGGCCCTCCTGGTCCTCCTGCTTTAGGCTCGAGTTCTGTGGGGCGGGGGTCAGCTCCGGAGCGGACGGGGGATGGGAAGGGGGGCGACGCACCGTGTCTGTGACTTTGAGTTCCACCGGCAGCCGTGCCAGTGCCAGACGGTGCTTGCGCTCCTCTCCGTCTCCGGTCCAGCCCCGCTGCTCTCCGCTGCTGCCATCGCTGGGCTCGCCCACGGCCGTGTCGTCGCTCCGCCGCCGCTCGGGGCTCGGGGCGCGCTCTCCCTCTCGCTCTGGGGCGCGGCGGCGCACTGGCGTGCCCGCGACGAGCACCGTGCCGCGGCGCTTGCGCGCGAGGCTGGGCGGGACGGGGGGCTCGCGGTCGCGCAGGCGCACGCGGAGCTTGGGGTGCGCGGGCGAGAGGCCCTTGGCGTCCGTGCCCGCGCGGGGGCCGGGGAGCGCGCCGAGGTTGGGGAGGGACGCGGAGGCGGCGAAGGCGGGCGCGGCGTAGGGGTAGGGGTCTCCGTGCGCGCTCGCGGAGGCGGGGAAGGGGTACTCGAAGCGCGGGGAGAGCTCGAAGGGGGTGCCGACGATGGGGGACGGCGAGTGGAGGGCGAGGCCGGCGAGGGAGAGGCGGGGCTTGTCGCGGGGGCGCGCGGGGGTGATGGAGGCGGAGGCGGAAAGGGAGGGGGGGCAGGGGCTGGCGGCGGAGACGGCGTTGTGCTGGTCGGGCGGGACGAGGACGATGTGGTCGAGGTCGGGGTCGGGGGTGGGCGCGGAGGCGGAGGGGAGGGCGAAGTGGGCGGCGGGGCGGAAGAAGGGGGCGGGGCCGGAGAGCGGGTCGTCGTCGTCGAGGGAGAGGAAGGAGGGCGGCACGGTGGGCATGGCCGCGGGGTAGGCTCTCGCTGTGACAGTGGCTGTGGGTCTGGGACTGGCACTGTCAGTGGGAGGGAGGGAGAGCAGACAGCACAGGAGGCCGGGTAGAAGAGGGCTGGCAGACGCAGCCACGGCCCCGGCAGAGAGGGCTAGTATCTCTCTATCTGCTCCACTCCGAGAAGCGCATCACGTCCTCCGCCATCCGCTCGATCGCCGTCCCCCCTTCCGCCGTCCGCTCCTCACCCGCCGTCCCGCGCCCTTCTCAGCCCCGCCCGGCCTCCAGCTGGTCCGCGCCCAAATGGCCCTCGCCCCTGCCCACCGCTGCCCCCGCCGTCATCCCCCCGCGGATATTCCTGGGCGTCTCCCTCGTCCAATCCCCGCCTCCCATCTTCCAGGGTCACTGCACACTCTCTGCCCCGTGCCGCACGCCTCTGCAGCCGAATCCCCTTGCGCTCACGAACCCGATCCTGCTACTCGGTCTGCAATCCGCGTCCACGCCGCCCATGACCGCCTCTGCACCCGCACCTCCTTCCCCCCACGAACCCGAACCCGCACTCGGTCTGCCAATCCCCGTGTGCGACGCCCACACACACGTGCATGTCGTGTCTCTTCTGCCACCCTAATAAGCTCTAACCTGCGGCAAGGGAACAGGCCCGCCTTCCCTGCAGCCCACCCGCACCCCGAAATGTCCCCTCTGCCCACGCTGGCTCCTTGCCGGCGTATCAGCATCTATCAGGATTCACCCTCCAGATCTCCGCCCGCAATCGCTGCATCCGCGGCGCGGCGACTGTGCCAGTGCAGCCCACGGCGAGGCCTATGCCTATCTTACGTCGCGCTGCTTAGCCAGCCAGTCAGCTGTCCGTCCCGCCGCCGGCACCACCGCTCATACCTGCCTCGTTCGTTACATCTGCTCAGATCGCCCGCGACGCCGGCGTGCCCTCCAAGATGCACCACCGCACTCCCGTCGACGCTCACCGGTTAGCTCACCGAGGATGGCCCCCGTCGCTCGACTACGTGCGCGGTGAATCATCGACGCGTCATGCAGTATGGCAATCTCGATCGTATCCTCGACATCAATTTGCAGCCCGCACGGTCCCCCCGAATCCCTTGCAGATTCTCCCCCCCCGTATGTGCACAGGCGTCCGGTGCCTTCCTATCGCCAGGGCTCAAAGCTGCGGCCGCCGCACAGTCGCACCAGGCTGGGGCGCCGCCGTCCGGCGTGCGCCCGCTGCCAGACCTGCGCGGTGCCGCACGCGCCCCGCTGCGCACGCTCTGATGCAGCGGCCGCCGCACAGTCGAGCCAGGTCGCGACACCATGCCTCCCAACTGGCCCCAGTGCCTGCGCGGTGCGTCCGCTGAACATGCGCACACACGCCCTGCCACTTGCGATCCGTGGATCTGCAGTCGACGCTTATCTGGCGGGGGCCACCCAGCATCTCGATCTCCGCATCTCGGGCGCACAGTACCCCTTGCGGGAAGGGGCGCCAAATATGAACGGTCGGTGGTTGTCGTATTCCTGTCCGGCCTCCGCTGTGGTGGTACGTGCACATCCTGTGTACGCGCTATTCCGCGTCTTCCATCCCTCCTACCCTGTCATCGGCAGTCGCACGGTGCTATGCGCAGGCGGGTTGTCTCGGGATCTGATCTCCTCCTTTGTGTGGGTTGAGAGTGCGGCCCTCCTCAGCGCGCCCCCTCCTGAACGTTCAACGTGCGCACACACGCCCCACTGCGCATTCTCTGCAACTTGCAATCCATGGATCTACAGACTCAGCCTGCAGCCCGCGCTAACCCGGCGGGAGCCACTCAGCATCTCGGGCGTACGGTACCCTTTGCGCACAGAGGCGCCGAGCATGAGCGGCCGACGGTCGACGGTCGGTGGTTCGCGTATTGCTGTCCGGCCTCCGCTGTGGTACGCGTCCATGCTGCGTATGCGCCCTCCAGGGTCTCCCGTCGGCGACAGTTGCACGGCGCTATGCGCGGGCGGGTTGTCTCGGGATCTGGTCTCCTGCTTTGTTTTGATGTGGAGAGTGCAGCCTACCTTTGACCCCCGCCCGCCTCCCCCTCGTCCCCCTCGGCTGCGGCAGGTCCGAGCTGGATCGGTGCCATCGGGTGCGGGCAGCGCCGCGCTGCTCGTCGGGTCGGTATCTGATGGACGCGTTTCTATGGACGGGATCCCCGCCCCGTTCGTGCGCGCAGACCGTGGCATCAGCGAACGCCCATGCGCCCGCGCCGGTCCATGTCCGTTGAACGCGATTGCCCTCTGCACGCGCCACTCTCTTGCGCACGACCGACAGATTCGTTCGCATCTGGAGCGCGGGTGGAGGCTACACGTACGCTGGCCGCCAGGCAGGCGTCGGAGCGGAGTCCGCTGCGTGTGGCGGCGCGCACCGACACTGTAGCCACATTGGGTGCAAAAACGCGTGCCAACGACGCATCCCCGGGCCACCGGCTGCCTCTCGCTGGGTTCCTGTATGTGGCTGGTTGTCCGACGCTCTGCGATGTTCGCAGATCCAGATCCACCTTCACCGTGGTCGAACACGCTCTGCGCGTGCCCCAGAGTGGCGAAGGGCCGTGCTCGTGCGCATAAAGCGCGGGGGCGGCTGGTCGTTGGCATTCTCCCACCCCTCACCCTGCTGCCTCTGCAGCGCCACCCACCCCGCCTCCGTCTGCCTTTGTGCGCGACCCCGCCTGTCTTTGTGCGCGACCCCGCCTGCCTTTGTGCTCGACCCCATGGCCCCGGTGACCACCCACAAAATCAACATCGCGAAGCTGCTCGCGAAAGTGCACGGCACGCGCGCGCCGACGATGGAGGAGCGGGTGCGTTTGCGTTCGTTTACGCGCTCGCGGTCCACTGCGCTTGTGTGGGCAGGCGCATGTTTGTGTGCGCCGCTGATGCTGTTGCTGACGTGCCCTTGCCTTTGCAGGGAATGGCCGTCCTGGCCGACCACTACCGGCTCCTCGGCCTCATCAGAAGGGGGCTCATCGCCGCGTACAAGGAGGAGCGGCGCAACTGCTTCCTCGCGCCCGAAGCTGAAGCCGCGCGCGTCGACTGGGCCGCCGCCGTCAGGGTGCACCCGTTCGCGTTCGCGTTTGGGGCGCCGGACGAGGACGAGGACGAGGACGACGATGCGAGACCGAGAAGACATGTACGTCCATATTCATGTCAGTCTGCGCGTGCGAGAACGTCGTTGCTCACGCATACGCATGCATAGTCGCTCTGGGGGGTGGTGCCTGTGCCGCGGGAGGCGCCTGCTGGCGCGGTGGGGGAGGACCTGTCCGCGTGCTTTCCGAGTCCGCCGCTCGAGAGCATTTTTGGCGCGTTCTGAACGCGCGCGCATCCGGGACCCCGTTTCATGGCGCACACTAAAAGCCTCCAGACCGCCGCCGCAGGCCTGCGTCCGGAGTCGACGTCAATGGTCCGGAGTGCGCGATGCCCTCGTTTTCTTTTTGCACCTTGCGCGCCACACTGCGCGCCCTGCTGTATGGCGTGCGGGCGAGCTTCCGCACGTTGCCGCTGTGTAGGCGTTGGTGCATTTTCGCATTCACATCTGTTGTTGTGGTTATGATTACCGTTGGATGAACTATCGTTATCGAGGCATTATGAAGAAAGAGTGCTATAGTGTGCGCAATATCACGACATGTCTCGCCAGCTATATGAATGATTTGACGGCAACGGCAACCTACTGGCCTCCGCCAACTGTAAATCCTCTACACCCCTTGAAATCAAGTCCAGGAGCATCTCCTGCATCGTGTAGAGGACGTCAACGCATCGGTTCCTGCCAACACGACTACACGCTGTTTTTTCTTTCTACTGTCGCTTTTAGCAGTGCCGCGGCTATGTCGCAAACAAGTGTGACTCGGACATGGAAGAAGATACAACGTCTGCCGCCCTCTCAGGATCCAGACATCTAGACAATGGCTCTTGCATTGATGGACATTCGCTGATGTCGCGGTCGCATTGTTCTCCGTACATTTGCTATAAGTGGCGTACAACAAAGAACGCGTTCTGCCGATTCTGACGTCCGAGGCCCGAGCGCAAGGTGTGTCGCAGTGGCGCACCGCATAAGTAATGGTTCTACCGCGCTCTTTTTATTGATCATTTTCTGCTGTCAGAGGCCGACCTCTTCCCACTGGGCTTGAAGATCCCACCAATCTGCTGACCCTTGCCGCGGCGACATATCCTAGTCGCATCACCGCCAGTCACAAGGCAAGTCAGCACCATGGCCGCCTGCGGCTTGACCATGGTAAGCGTTCGCGTACATGCCAATCTCCGGCGGCGAGCCGAGCTGATTCTGTGCACAGAAATCAGTGTTCCAGATCCTCGTAATTCCAGACGACTCGCCGCTGCTGCGACCCCCGGCGTCGGGGGCATGTCCAATCTCTCGTCTGGCACCGGAAACCCTTATCGAGATCCTGGCGCTCTGTCTCTTTGATGTGAGGCCCCTCGAGTTCTGTGGCAAGATGAGTGATGAATGGGAACAGAGGTTCGACGCCAACGCGTTCGTAGCCTCCATGATGCTCGTGTGCCGCCACTGGCGCCGCATCATCCTTGGCGCCGCAACGCTATGGTCCCGGATGATGGTCAGCGAGCGCACGCCCCCTGATCGCCTTCCGCCACACCTGGAGCGGTCTTGCCGCGCTCCGGTTACGATCTTCCTGTACGAGTGTCGGAGGGACATCTTGCCCGTGCTCAACGCCCACCTGTGGCGCACAAAGGAGCTCCACTTGTGGTTCTACAATGATATCAATTCCGACGTGTTGACTGCGCTGTCTGCTCCCGCCCCGGTCTTGCGCAACTTGTCGGTTTATGCCTGGAATGAGTCTGTAGATGCGGTGGCGCTCCCGCCGATGTTCAGCGGGCACGCACCGAGTCTCAGACAGCTCCATCTCTCGCCCTACTGTCTTCGGCCGCTGGATCGTTTCGCGGGTCTGACCCACCTCCGCCTTGCGAACCAAGCGGACAACCCGGCGTGGACAATTTCCGTGCTCTTGGACACTCTCGAGGCGATGCCCAATCTGGAGCTGCTGGACATGTTTGCGGTGCTCATGGGTCCTCTCCCTGTCGACGATCCGAAGCGGCTTGTTGTCCTCCCTAAGCTCCGGCTGTGCAACATCACGTATCATGATTGGGACGTCGTGTCCCTCCTTCTGAGTCACATAGAGATACCAGAGCGTGCCCGCTTGATCATGGAAGAGTTCATGGGAGGCCACGGGGACAGCATCGGGATGGCCTTCCCAGCCGACGTCTCGCATCTCAAAAACATGAGCCGGATCACGAAGATACAGCTTCGTCATCTGCACCATACGATCAACCTTGCAGGCTTCAGCGAAGATGGGGAATCATCCTTCTTATATGATGCTTGCCTGTCGGGTTGGAAGTTTGATGCGCCAACATTGAGGTCGTTGAGCAGATTTCTGAACGTCCGCAATCTCTCCGAGATGTGGGTTGACGTCTCCCCAGGTCGTGGCATCAAGGGGCCTAAGAAGCTTAATACTGTCGAACTGTGGACGTCGGTGTTCGCAGAGATGCGCAATCTGCGACTGATATCCGTTAGCAAACGATTTTCTGGGGCCATCATCAAGGCACTTACTCCAAAGGTATCAGTCACCTCTGCGACCTCAATGTATGCCCCGAATTTAGAAACGCTCATCATCTACAATGACGTTGACATCTCAGCGGGCCTGCTGCAAACCCTTGCGCGTCGCCGCCATGCTCTTGGGCATCCGCTGCAACATTTACACGTAGCGATGAGGCCTTACATTGGTGCATTGACGGCTCTCCTTCGCCTCAGGGGGGTCTACATCGCGCAAGTATGTGTCGTTTCCGGTGCGCGATACCAAGATCAACCGCGCATGTCGATTGCGACCTCCGACAATGAACATGGATCCATTCAGAGATACAATCGAGGAAGACGGGTCCTGTCATCCCCAGGGGATTGTGGCTGGGACAACGACGACGACGTGCTGTGCATTGATATGAAAAATCCTGATGGAGACTGAATTGGGGAGAAGCAATCCAACTTCGCTGAATTGTCACTATGTAAGATGTGTTCCGGGAATTCGTGAATGTAATTGATCTTACTTACTATGAATGTCGGAAATCATCGGGCTGTACTTCGTTCATCTCCACCCGCTTGCATGACCTAAGTAGTTGACCTCACATATTTGGAACATCAATGGATGTGAGTCCTGACAACTGTGGGGTCAAAACAACTGACAATGTACCTATTCGCCATAAAACAGAATCCATAATTTTCATGACCTGTCCTTGAAGCATTAGCGTTAAGTACAATGTAATTGATGATGGCAGGGTCCACGCAAACTAATTCGTTACATACCCACCTGAACTATTGATTTTGTCTGCCCGAGATTAGGACAGAATGGTGAACGCGCTTATTGTTCCAACAAAGGCAACGGATGATGCAGGCATCGATTTGGCGGTAAAAGTCATGGTGGGTAAGGGTGCACACGAGAGAGGAGCTGCGGGTATGTAAATTAATCAGATCAGACCTACGGGAGCTCGTCCACAAAGCTCCCTCCCAACGCCGATATTCTCTCAGATATCTATTACAGACTAAGCGTCACGAACTGAGGTCCATCAAGATAGCGTCAAGCAGGTGTGGGCGAGGATCAACAAGCCGTGGGAGGACTCCCCACAAGCGCGTCGCTCGCTCATAGCCGGCAATCTAGATTGCGAAGTATTGTTAATGTGTGGCGGTGGTCATCGCTTCCGCGTGTCTTCACCAGCTTTGCTTCGCTTGTGCGGACAACCTTTTCAGTCAACCAACCTACGCTGGTCCGAGCCCTACCATTCGACGGCGGCTATTGTGTTGCGAGCGGCTCACTGGTACTATAAGCAAGCGTTCTCGACTGGACAGATACTCTTATGCTGAGCTATGGACCTGAATAATCTGCGATGCTGTGTACACTGGAAGAAGGCGCGCGCTAGGCTCGGTGGCGTGATGGTCGAAATGTATATATTGCTTGACCTGGTTGCTCAGACCAAGCGCCGGCATGAGGCAGATAGTGCGCTGCTTCAGCCGGGAGTGGCGGATTTGCATACCCGCAACGCCACCCAATCTTGTACTGAATAATGTCCATCCTCACTGGCTACCGTGTGTCCAAGCACACTGACCGCCACATGTATGTTTCTTTAGGCGACTGGTTAGACAGCTCAATGTCATATAAAAGCCACATCAATCGGCGGCAGCAAAACGCTCAGCTCAGCACCTCGTTCCAATCAAGGTCGGGCCTCTTTCCGTGTACACTCGAAATCCCCGCACACGCACTCTACCAATCCGCCTAACTCAGAGCTTTGGACGACTTCACCATGGTCACATCCAAAGATCATATTCAAGTGATTCAGCAACACCTGCGCAACCATGCTCTACCCATGATCGGGAACCCTCGCAAGAGGGGCTCATCTGTATTGGGATTGGACGACCTTCTGCGAGCTCCCCGTAAACGGGTTGCGATGGTCCCGCCTGTCTCGGATGTGGACGCACAATTGCCTGCAGAAGAACGCAAACGTAAATCAACGCTCCCGTCACCAAAACTGCCTTCATCAACACCACCTTCCAAGTTGGCATCTCTTCCTTCGCCATCTCTCCCTTATCCATCACAATCAATAATGTCGCCTCCCTCGTCTCCACGAGAGGATCATGGAAAGCTGACATTCGCTTCTCAGAGATACTCTGAGGTGCGTCATTTCTCGCGTGGTTCCATGGGCTACACTCAACGATAGCGTAGTTCACAGGCCCCGATGCGACTGCGACGTACACTTACAAATGTTTTCTATCCTTTTGCTCCGCGCGCTATGTTAACCCGTGGACTAGGGATCTGCATATGGCCAAACACTTCAAGGTCGATGAGGAGACTAAAGGCTCTTGCAGCTGCCAAACAGGATCCTGCTGCTACACTGCTGAGTCGGAAGAATACTACAAAACCGTCGACCAACTCGGGCCTCTAGCGAAACTCAGTCAACTTGTGGACGAGAACTTTCTGGGATATAACCCATCCAACTGCAAAGTCAGAGCAGCAGAGCCATGGCTGCACGATTTCTTGTACGCTATTCTTTTTCTTGAGCCCCAGGACAGATCGACTACTGCGGAGGTGGTCAGGACGCTAGAACAGCGGTTGAATGACGATCTTAGCCGAAGAAAATAGCCGCTGTAGTACATCTGGCTCGTTCATCATGCTAGCTTCTGTATGAAACGTACTCAGAGTCGTTCTCCCCTGATAATGCTTGCATAGAGCCTGGAATGCAGACTTGTTATATGATGCGCCGAGCCCTGCGGATCGAATACTCTTTGGTTTGCGCTATCGACTGACAATCGACGGTAGCTTCACAGATGCAAGAGATGCGGAGCAAATCAATGTGGCGATTGAGGAAACTTTAGGACATGCCACGCAAGTCACAGCTCTGCTTGAGCGCAGGCTCGATTTTGGTCTATCGCACAGCCTATCATTCAGCTAGCAAGTTGGGACAAATCTGAGACCCGTCAGATCTACTAATATCCAAGCTGAGAATGTAATGAGGCCACACGATCCCAAGGAATGTTTGTGGCCAAAAGATGATTGAATACAACTCGAAACTGCCACCGTATTTTACTGAATTAGAGCAATGTCCGTCTCGCAGGTCCATACAAATGGCCGAACAGACAATTCCAACCGGAGTGTTACTTGACAGGCAAGTGAGCACGAGAAGTGCTGATACATCGTACTACGGAGGAAAGTCGCGACTGTTATGCAGAGAATGGCCCCGTATCTAGCTATACACGTAATGATTGATACTTGCCCTCCACTTGAGAATCTCCTGTCTAAGCTCATACAAGGTACCAATCTCCGCCGCATCCTCCCGAGACGGGATATTCATCTGTGGCAGATATACGCTCAGCAAATATGGCTGATCCACCACCTCGCCGGTCTCAGGAAGACGATACCGTATCGTTGCTGCACGATCAGCATAGGCTTCTTGTTGAAGCACGCGTTCAGGAATGAGCTCGCAAGCTCAGGCGCGCGAGTAGCCGGGGGCCGGAGGCCCCCTATCGTAGTATATAACGACCCCGCGCGATGTACGTACCGCACGCGATTGTCCCTTACGGGCATCGCTACGCCCGTGGACAAACGCGCCCCGCGCCGTTCGCACCGTTGTTCCAACACTTCTAACTCGTGGCAACATTCGTTGTCGGACTTCTTGATGTGCTCGCGAAGGCGTTGCCAAGAACTATATCCCTTGCCACAGGTGTTACACCTGAGATTCCGAGGGACATGCGACATCATGTGCGTGGGCAGTGAAGAGCGTGCGTCTGTGCGAAAATTGCACCCCTCGACGTGGCAACGGTACTTATCAACAGTACATTCCTTCTTCTGCAAAGCCATCGTAATTTTAGTTACACCAGAAATGCTACTCGAAATCACTATGCGTACCTGGAGTGGCTTTAGTATGTAATACTTTGGGCTCGTTGTGGGTTCGGGTTGCATCACGAAGCCAAGTGATGCATCCGGAAGAACTGAGCCCCAGGCTGCATTTCGAAGGGTCATGAGTATCGTCAGATGGGCCTGGAGTATGCCTGAAATCTGGACTGGATGAGTGTACATACCACTCCAACATACATATTGATCTTCTGCAATTGGCTGGGGAAGATTGGTTTCAGGCCCGGAGCCAGACGTCCTTGGGGTCTCGAAGCCTGAGGTAGACATTACTGGCGCCACATCCCACTCTGATGCTTTGGCGAGCAAGGAAACAACGTCGGGTTCGTACGAGCGCAAGGTTGCAATGATATCTTCGCCTTCCATCTTTGTTCGCAGCTGTGGCTGTTCGGCGATGAATTCCTGGTCCATATTATGAGGGTCAAATGCGTCGAGCAGGAACTTTGGGCCAATACGAGGGTGATGTCGTAAACGCTTGGGCTGTAATCCTCTTATATATGTCCGGAGACAATGAGCCAGCACCAATCGTGCAGCACACAAACACGATCACGGTGGCGCTATTTTGCAACGTGGCCGACAAGTGAAGGTGCCACCGGTAACTAGGACTACTGTCCCCTTTTGAAGAACAAAGCGAGAAGGAGTGGCTCGAAGGTGCGCTGATGGTGCCACTCAGTATGGCAGGGTGGTAGCCGCTAGTGAAACGAGGTCAACTTATCATAGGTCACCGGCTGCAGAGAAACGTCGTTGTCCTGTGCTCCCAGGGACTCGTGCGTTCTTTGTCCTTGTCTGGAGAAGACACTGCGCCACAATATGAGCCGGATCAAATAAACTTATATTGGGGCTCAGAACGCACCAGGGCTACGCAGTTTCAAGTGTTTATAGCTAAGGACTATTGAGTACAGCTCGAGGTCCGTTAGTGTATCCCTAAGATAAAGTAACAATCGTCTCACAAGTCCACGCAAATCGTCGGATAGACATCGCGACATCATCTGTCATGTCAGTATTCCCTGTCAGGAAAATTACTACGAGATGTGTTGAGACAGTAGTACGCAGAAAATAATACAAAAAGTGACCCTGTATCTAGCCATACACATAACGATTGATCCCTTCCATCCACTCGAGAATCCTTTGTCTAAGCTTCTGCAAAGCAACACACTTCGCCGCATCCTCCTCAGATGGGAGATTCATCTGTGGCAGGAATTACGCTCAGCAAATATGGCTTATCCGCCACCTCGCCGGTCTCAGGAAGACGTTACAATTTTTTTGCTGAGCGGTGAGCATCGACTTCAAACTCGTGGCAACGCTCGTGGTCGGACTTCTTGGTGTGCTCGCGAAGGCCGCCCCAACGACCATATTCTTTGCCACACTCGTTGAAGTTGCTACACCTGACGTTCCTCGGGACATGTGCGGGCAGTGAAGAGGACGTGTCTGCGGAAGTTGCACCTCTTGACGTAGCAACGGAACTCACCGACGTCATATTCCTTCTTCTGCAAATCCCGCAATGTTAGCTACGCTCATCAAGATTATGCGTACCGGGAGCATGTACCTTGGGCCCGTCGTGGGCTCGTGCTCGGGCTGCATCACGAAGACAAGTGATACATCCGGAGGAACTGAATCCTCGTCTGCATCCCAGGAGGTCACTATTGTCGGCTCTTCGACCCCAGCCTTGATTTGGATCAGACCTTTCAGACCGTTAGTCGACCCTTATTGGGTAGGAGGAAGACCGCCATGTATCAGTGTTATATCGGAGTGTACGAGATCGACGACCATAGAAGGCTCTCCTATAACGCGTATGGTATTGGCTCGAAGGCATCGCGATTGTTCCATGCTTTGAGTATTAGATGTGCCAGAGTTCATGCTGTGCTTGTCGAATCTAGACAGTGAGTAGGGTATGGAAGTGTAGCATACGCACTGCACTCTCCCTATAGCGCTCTGCAAACAAAGAGCCACCCAGGCGATCGTGCCACATGCAGCACAAGTGCAACCGCATCGTGAAGCAGGCCAAACCGGTTAAGGGAGACGGAGGCAGCGCAATGTGGAGCAGAACGATGCCAGTGGCGCGCAAGGAGTTACTTGTAGCATTCAGTGATTGTCATTGAGCGAAATCCAGACGAGCCACCGGTCGAGCCATCAAGATGTGACTGGGGACCTACGTAGGACACCATGTCAACCGGGGGGAAATGCATTAGACGTCTTTGTTGATCGAAAGACATGTGGTAGGCTGTAAGTGTCTGGGACAATGAAAACTGCCTCTTGGACACGGTGCTTGAAGACGGAAGCCTCGCGAGAGACCAAAAGCCTGGCTGCGCTGTAGGACAATTGACGCGGGTTGTTCACTTGCTGACTAGCTTCTTCTTGAGGTAAAACAGGTAGCAAAATTGAGACAGCAGACTTCACTGCAATGCAGGAGTATTATGTTCTATTTGGCGCGTAGGCCGAACGAGCGACATCGGGCTACGTGTGGAAGCATGTTATATTGCTGGTAAGTAAATGGTCTGAAATTATATCTACTAACGATCGTACCAGTCTTGGTAGTGACAGTGAGGAGAAGCCACAGTGTGAAGGGTGCATGTTCAGCTCGGATTCTGTAAGACAAGCAAGGTCCGCTTAGGCTCTCGCCGTAGGTGCACATACGTAAAGCGCGCATCCTTGTCTTACCGTACAACAGTGCATGCCAACTTCAGAGGCATATTTGCGGCCGATGCGGCACAGGCAATCATTAGTAGGCGTTGTAAGCTCGCCATGAGTCCGTATCATAGGTAGTTGGCGCCTCCATCCTGTCACAAGGTGAGTATGTCAGCCAACAAGTAGGTCCCGGAGCGATGATGTCCTCATAAGCTTGTCTTAGGTGATGAAGAAGAGTGCACAAGTTGCGGACAAGAAGTTGTGGGTACTGTGTGCGTAGGTGCGACAAATCTGAATAGAGAACATCGGGATTGTTCCACGATCACGCGCACTTCTTCGACTGGCAACTTCGCCCTACTCTGGTTGGTCCCGATCACTACTGCTATGCTCTCTGAAATTTATTTGATGTAAAGATGCGTACGGGCGTGAGGTATGAAGGAAAGCGTTGAGTGATCGATGGCAGATCAGGGATCTAATGCGAAGTAAGTTACTAACTACTATGCGCCGCTCCACGGAAGCTTAAGAATATACAGGAATCTACACGACAACTATGCACATCGTACTTTTCACACACCCAGCTACAGTCGGCTTACTGCTACAGAATAAATATCTAGGGTGAACGACCTCACTTCCACTGCGCCCTCACGACTCAGAGAATGATGTCAGAATCTCGACGATTCTCTCGAGGTAGGGGTCTACAACCTCGGGTGTTGCCCATGCCTTGTTATGCTTGAACTGGATAGTCATCTTCTTATTGAAGGTCCAGACATGAACTATCGCCAACGCAGGAGCGACCTTCAGGTTGACCGTGACATCCGGAACGCGGATCTCGCCTTCCGACCGCGAGTCTGGATGGAAGGCAGCGCCCACAGTCGTCTCCGGGGGAGGAATGGCGCGCAACGTGCCCGGCACGAGTTTGTTGAGGTCGCCCATGCTACTAAATAACGGGAAGAAGGGAATCTTGTCGAGGATCGAAGCGTCGGCGGCGAGGGAATCAATCATTCGCTGGCAATCGAGGAGATAGTGTCGGATGATGTGCCAGAAGTAGGGCGAGTTGACGACGCCTGCGTGTCCGTCCTTGCATTGCTTCGCCACCTCCAGGATTGCCGCATGAAGACCCTCCTTCGTGTTAAGGCCTGCAAGCGACGGTGCGCGGATGAACATGGGATAGTGCGCCATCCGTACCGCAATGCCGCGAGGGTCACTCCTGGCCCGCGGCCACAGGTCGATTGGCAAGTGATGCTTGAAGATCGGGTTCTGTATATCTCTCCCCGGCCGAGCCTCTGCAGCGGCAACGACTAAGGCAGCGCAAGCAAGCTGCGTCACGGTCACGTGGTGTTTCTTGCACGCGGCGACGATCGCGCGCGACTGCTCCTCCGACCAAGCGTAACGTATGATATTAGGCTCAACGTTCTCGTCCTTCGAATTGCCGTCTGGAAGGATACCAGTAACGGACTACATGAAAGGCATGGTAAATCCACAGCAGCTATGATTGTGGCAAAGCACACTCACCGGATCGTTGCCCGAAGCCATCAAGGCTTTGTACGCCTCAAGCGCCTTCTGTTTCTCCTCAGGGAAAGCGGCGTCTGGCTCTGGCAGGAGATTCTCATATGCGTCTGGTAATCTCGGCTTCGGATTCGCAAAGTATTCATCCAACTCAGCCTCAGCGCGCCCGGGGTCTGCCAGCAGCTCCGTGAACTGCCCTGCGACGTCGCACATGCCCAAGCCATCCACAGCGAAGTGAGTTGTCTGAATCCCAAACGCATAGCGCCTCTCTCCACCCGGCTCATGACCAGCCTCCTCGAGCCATGCCAGCTTGTATATCTCGCTGCGGATGTCGAGTACATCGTCTAGAGCGTTTCCCCACCAACGATTATGCAGCGCCCCGAGCCATGTCGCGCGATCGCTGTCCTCTTCAAAATCGATGTTCATCCTTGCCTGGCGAAGGGCGTGCGCCTTCGTCAGAGGCGGCAGGTACACGAAGGACGGACCTTGCGGTGTAGACTGGACTCGAGAGGCGAGGAGTGTGTGACGGAGACGGATAGCGGCCCAGGTGAGTACGACTTGCTCATTGCTAATGCGCGCTGTGCCGGAAGACGTATCAATGGAGATGGTGATGAAAGGGTCAGAGTAGCCATGAGGCCCACGAATGTCGAGGAAGTAGCGCTCGGTGATGCCGAACGGACGACTGACGACCTGTGCGCTGGGTTCAGGCTTTGGGGCCGCATTGGGCCGCGGGACGACAAGCGCCGGGTCGATCCCCACACGCTCCGAGACGACTTCGGTCTGGAAGCTCCGGGTGTTGAGACTTCGAATAGCACGCCCAGCGCGCCAACTATCCGAGCGCAGAGGAGGCCGCGCACGCGAGCAAGCAATGTCTCTCGACCACAGAGACAGCGGTGCGGTACCGTGAAGGCCAAGAGGCCCACCGCGTGGACGAATTACAGCGAATGCAAGACGAGACATCGCTGGGGAGGGGGAGTGGTGAGTAGTGCTGATGCTTCCGGTTCAGTATACGCCCATATATCTGAGTGTCGCACGTTCCTGATCGCCATTCCGGACCTGAGATAGGACGCCATAGCTCAATTTTGGTCAAGCACCGGCCCAGATTCGCGTTTTATCCCGCAGGGCGGCGTCAACGCTCGTTTTCCGTATCAGACTGCTTCATCCTTGATGGCATCTGCGTTGTATCTACGTGCGCCAGTGATCCGACCGGACTCAGTGACATGACCTGGCGTTTTCCCCTTGGGATTCCCGCTCGTAGATCCTCGCAAGATCACAGACGCCGAACAGACTCAAGAAGGACGCGGAAAATCGCGATTATTCCAAGTCCCTTCCCCGACTGCTGCTGCATAATGCAACCCACACGGGAGTTCGTCGAGTTCGAAGTTGACGACAAGGAGAACCCTCGCAGGTGAATGAAAGCTTTTCCGCACTCGTACTCGTCGTTCAGAACTTAATGATCTTGCTCTAGGTGGAACACCTGGTTTAAGGGTTTCATCGTTGTCTGGATTTGCTTCAATGCGTTCACCATCACCTGCTACGCATCTACCTACCTGGATGCTGTTCCTTACGTCCAGGAGCTCTTCCATGTAGGTTCCACTGTCGCAAAGTTGGGTTTCACTTTCTACGCTGGAGCTTGCGGTATCGGGCCCCTCTTCCTCGCTCCGCTAAGCGAACTCTACGGCCGCAAGTGGGTGTATGTTGGTAGTGCCTTAGGCTGGACGGGTGAGCTTTGGATGTGCCCGCGACCCTGGACTTTGGATAACTTACCTCCATATCGCTAGCCTTTCAGGTCGGGGCTGCACGCGCCGAAAACACGGCAACGATCCTCATCTGCCGATTTTTCGCTGCCCTTCTTGGGACAGCTTCTTTCTCCAATGCTGCTGGGACAATCCACGACTTGAGTACACCAGGGCTATTCCAATCGTCTTCGACCATGCTCTTCTGTATGGCGCTTTTCATGGGACCTGGTAAGTTTATTTCTGGTCTGAATATGTCGTCGGGCTCAATATTGTCACCGTAGTGATCGGGGTACGCATTGCATCACAACTTTACGACAAATTGACTTATCTGGGCGCAGCCTATCGTGTCCGGCTACATTGTGGAGAACACAACCTGGCGCTGGATCTTCTACGCAGCAATCATTGCGGGCGGCGTAGAAACTGCCGTCTTCGCCATGTTGCCTGAAACGCATCACGGCATCATCCTCATGCGTAAGGCAGCGAGGTTACGGAAGGAACAGCCAGAGTACGACCATCGCTCGTCATTCGAGCTCGAGCGCCCATCTGTTGTGGAAGCACTTCGGATCACAGCCACCCGCGCAGGGAGCATGCTGATCAGCGACCCCATCATTCTCGCAATCTCGCTCTGGCAGACGACCGTATTTGGCATCATCTACCTGTTCTTTGACGCGTTCCCGATTGTCTTCGGAGCACATGGATTTGGAGTAGGCGCGACGGGTTTGACATTCCTTGGCATCGGCGTCGGAATGCTCCTTTACGGCGTCTTCGCCATGACAGTCGGAGACAGGATAGAGGAGTCAGAGTCCCGAAAGGCAGGTGGAGTGCGTACCCCTGAAAGACGCTTGAAACTAGGTCTGCTAGGCGCCATCATTGTGCCCATCTGTGAGTTCTTGACTTCGTATCAAATCGCTACGAACTTGCGAACAAACGTTTCTAGCGCTCCTGTGGTTTGGGTTCACGACGTACACCTCCGTGCCGTATATGGTGCCTATCGTCGCATCAGGCTTCTACGGCTTCGGCTTCCTCGCCGTCAGCCTCAGCACATTTTACTACACCATCGACGCATATACGACGTATGCGGCGTCTGCATTCGCGGCACAGGCGATGATACGGTCGGTGGCGACGAGTGTGTTCGTGCTATTCGGCACGCAGATGTTCAGCGGGCTGGGACCTCGGTGGGCAACATTCATTCTTGCGATGATAGGCGTAGTGGAGATTGCGCTGCCTATCGTGTTCATGAGGAAAGGTGAGGCGCTGCGCAAGGCGAGTGGATTTGCGAGCCTGGAGGCTGAGCACGATCATGTGGACGCGTCGAGCGACGAGGAGAAGCAGAGTGTGGATGACGAGAAACAAGTGTGGGTAGAAGGCCAGACCGCTTGATACTAGACGTGTATTGTGCTTAGTATAGATAAACGTGTCAGAGTGCTAGCATTTTGTAAAGTGCCTCATCACCAATAACAGGAGATCGTACAAGTGGCATTTTGTAAATGTGAATTCCATATAGGTGTCCTTCCTTGTGGCGAAACCCTGGCATCGGCGATGGTGTCTACCACTACTAAAGATTGCCGCTCAGTTAGGAATGCCTAACTTCCGTTGCCAATGGCACTGATTTTTCAATAGATGAGCAAACGCTCTCGATGGTCCGCCAACCACGGACTGGTCTGCGGAGAGTCAGGATGCGTCGCCGAGTTTCTGAGGCGCTGGCGGGAACACATCTTGATCCCATCACTTTATCGGTTCCAATGCCTCGGGCAGTCTAGATCTGCCTCCGAGATTTCGACTCTCCCTAGTCAGCGGCCTTGATCTAGATTTACGTTCTACTCGCTGGACGCAGCAGTCGGCCAAGTTCAAGTTTAGGGAGTTATGTAGTCTTGCCCCTGCTCCTACTCAAAGCAAGTGGCGAACGACCCATCCGCATCACCTCGACGGGACGAGCCACAAGCGATGCGCAACTAGACGAGGCGGATCAGGAGTGCCGCTGGCAGGGTTGCATCTTCAATCCGATCCCGGCCAGGTGAGTCCGGGTTGGCAGTCGGCGCGTTATTTGATGACCTTGCCTTTCTGCGGTATCCCTTATCTTTATGGTCGGAACTCTACGTTGGCCGCGCTCTGGCTCCATGCTACATCATTAGATCAATATCCTCGGATACGTTCCTAAGCACCACCCTCACATAAGTCGCTGGCAATCACATATGTCTAGCAACCATCGCTTATACATGGAAGCTTCCAGAATCGCTGTGGGAATTAGCTGAAATAGCTCCCGGGAGGCGCATTGTTTTCATCTAATCTGTAGGCGTAATTGACATTTGTTTTGCCGTTGTCTTGCATCTCAATGACTTGACAGCTGGAGCACTCGATTCCGATGGCTGTTGTCAATATCGTGGAACACGCCATGCAATAACTGCGCCATCTTTATGCCGTATTATTCAAATCGGCATTTCTCCATCCGGCGGACTCAACGCTGGGCGTTCATATGGTGCCTGAACGAGTTTCCTGTCAAGATAACATCTCGCCGCTATTGCGATTTGTCTAACTCGATGAAGATAGCCGCATATGTCTGATGGCCGCTCGCATATTCATACGAAATCCTCTGCTCTGGTCTCCGATCGGAAAGTCGTATGGTAGAACAATTAACAGAAGATCAAAGATCACTGACCAAAGCCGCATTCCGCCCCAACTCGCCGACGCCATACCGAATGTACCGCCGTGCTTAGTGAGCAATCAGCGGTTGAGTCTGATGTGCGCGCTCGCCGCCCATGCGCTGCCGCTGCTCTTTGCCATTTCGGCAGGTTTCTGCCCTCATAACGTTACCCGCGCCCGTGTGCTCCCGCCAGCCACTGCACCAATAGGCAAATCCCTCCGCTTCCTCCTTCCGCGATGTCAGATGCCAGCTCTGCAACATCTCCCGCTCCCAAGCATGAACCTGACTTCGAGTCGGAAAAGGAGACCAAGACGCCGCCACAGGTCGAGGAGGCTCCTCCCCCACCCACACAACAGCTCGACGCGCCTCCAGACGGTGGCGCAGAGGCCTGGATGACCGTCGCAGGAACCTGGTTCCTCGCATTCATCACCTTCGGTGTCGCCACAGTATGGGGTGTATTCCAGGACGCCTATGTCAGCAACTCCACATCGCGCTTCCAAAATATCTCTGTCTTCAGGCTTGGCTTCGTCGGTGGATGTGCCACGGGTTTCGCATTCCTTGCTGGCCCATTCTCCAACATCCTCGTCTCCAATTTTGGCGTCCACAAGACCGTGCTCGTTGGTGTTATCATGGTTGCCATCTCGTTTGAGCTTGCGTCGATAGCGAAGGAGTACTGGGAGCTGTTTCTCTCTCAAGGTCTTATGTTTGGGTAGGCGGAAATATATTTGCATGTGGGTGGGGACGTCGCTCATGATGGTGGTGGTAGTCTTGGTGCATCGCTTGCTTTCATCCCGTCTGCTGGTCTACCGTCGCAATGGTTTGCTAAGCGCCGCAATCTCGCCACCGCTATTGCTAGTGTAAGTGGCGTCACTGCTTTGTTTTACGTTCTCGTTATTGACGCTCACCCGTGCGCAGTCAGGCAGTGGGATCAGTGCTGTCATCCTGTCGTCGGTCTGCCAGGCTATCATCGACGCGAGCTCGATTGCATGGGCGCTGCGATTTCTCGGGTTCCTGACACTGGTGTTCGGGCTGGCAGGTGTATCGCTGATCCGTGTGCGCACTGTGGCGAAGAAGCAAGTCCAATACAAGGTCCTGGATCTGAGCATCCTGAAGGTCCGGGGGTATCCGCTGTACCTCGCGTATGCTTTCCTGCAGTTCTTCGGGTACTGCACGCCTGTGTTCTTCATTCCTAGTACGTATATGCGTGTGCAGACCTAAGGCTACATGCAGGTGCTTACTATATCGTTTGTGCTTCAGGTTACTGCACGGCAATCGGTCTGAGCCCGACGAAGGCGTCTGGTGTGCTGTCGATCGCGACGGGTCTCAATGCCGTCGGGCGTGTGATGGCTGGCGTGTTCGGGGACATCATCGGCCCGATCAACGTGCTGATCATGTTCAACTCTCTTACGGGTCTGATGTGTATCTTGGTGTGGTACTTCGCTAAGACCTTCGGGGACATGGTCGGGTTCGCGATTCTGTGGGGCTTCTTCTGTGGAGGTATGTACACATGCACGTGTTCATAGACCGGTCATTGACCTTGACCTGTATACAGCTTACTGGGCACTGTCGGTTCCGGTGTCGGCGAAGATCGTTGGTGAGTACCATCTGCGCGAATAGTCACATCCGTTTATTTTAGCCTTGCTTACTGGTCAATCGCGACAGGCTTGCCAAGGCTCGGTTCTGCGGTGGCGCTGCAATTCCTGATGAACGTCATCCCACCTGTCTTCGCCGTCCCGATCGGGTCGCGTATTATCAATGCTACGGCGGCGAGCCACCACGTAGCGGAGGAGTCGCGCACGGCGTACAAGTACTTGATTGTATTCACCTTCCTGGTGCCCGTCATCGCGTCGTTCATGCTAATACCCGTCCGACTGGGCTTCAGCAAGAAGCTCATGGTGAAGGTCTAAAGCGGAGTATATGGATCAGTAAAGGTCTATGTGGTGATGCCCTTGCAATAGCACACTATGATACCAAATTCAAAATTACTGTTCGTTCATAGGCTCAGTGGGCCAGTTGGTTCAAATCACACGTCATGCAGGTGCCTGCACTGGTCACCGAATTGATTATAATAGTGCTGGAAATGGCAGGTTGTATGGTGTTTTACGTGCTACACACTATACATAAGAGACCTGTACCATATAGACCAATGGAATCTGATAAAATTGCCTCGAACTAGCTGAGCGGCCTCCGCTTGCTCTTTGAGCTCACTGCTTACTGTTGTGCTGGACGGGTTGTCTCTAGTAAGAGAAACCAGGATCTCAAGTGACTTAGTTCGATCATGGGATCTTGTCGAACGGCGGTCATATGTCCGTGCTAAAAACACAGTTCAGATACAACTGCTCAAACATTCAGCCCTAGGGCCTAGTTTAGACATAAGGATCTCGGCGAAGTGGCATCACCCGCCGTGTCGAACTGAACTGGGCTGCCTATCCGAACACATCCCACCCGGCTCCGAACTGACTGTATATCATGGTGGTTCATAGATGACATCGTCACACCGGCTGGACTTATGGTCGATCTAGTAAATTAGTCAGACTCCTTTTTTTCAGCCATAGATTTAAGTCAAACACCTTGCCAAGGAGAAGATAGACTTATCGGTGGCTGAAGATACAGGAGGTTTGGGTGTTGATCGCGCAACTACTGCACTTGCCATATTCGGGCCGCACTCGATCAAGTGCGTTGCCGAACGCGTCCACCGACGTGGTGACTACGTGCCGTCTTCACTCCCTTGTCGCCGCTAAACCTCAAAGCAAGCCCAAGCTTACGAGTCGATGCAACATTTATTTGACATATACAGGGTTCAGCCTTATCGCATTGACAGTGGGACTAGAACGTAATGTTATCGGTATCAACCCCGCAGCCATCATTCTCATGGCGCCAACCCTTCCGCGTACGATAAGTACGCGCCATGAGCGTTTCTTCGCGGGGTTTGCAGGCTTTCCCGTCTGCTCGACATGGCCCGAAGCTCCTTTGCCGCCTACCTGAAGCCTTCAACATGGGCGCTGGAGCCCGAACCATCGACGTTTGCGCCTAACAGCAGGTGGTCAAACAAGGATATGGACCCGGTGCCGATTCGTTCCGTGAGTATCACGACGACGTGATGTGGTCTGCGGCTGACGACTGAATGCACCATTCCAGCGAACGTGGTCCACAGTCAATTACGTCGCATACTGGATTTCTGATGCGACTAACGCTGCTGTGTGGGAGCTCGCGTCGAGTATGTTGGCAACTGGGCTGTCTTGGTATGTGCTGAGATGTTACAAAATGTGCGAAACCTGAGCGATGTATGATCTGCAGGCGCCAGGCACTTCCTGCGATTGCTGTGGGCCATTGCATCATCTCAGTCGTGATGGTTCTGAACGGGACGATCGGCGCTCGGCTTCATGTTGCCTTCCCTGTCCTCAACCGGTCTTCCTTCGGCTTCTGGTTCAGCTACTTCAGCGTGATCAGTCGTGTATTGTTATCACTGTTCTGGTTTGGTATCCAAACATATACTGGATCAGAATGTGTCTACCAAGTACTGTACTCTCCGCCATTGAAGAAAGATCCCATGACCTACCTTGTTGCAGATGCTGAAAGCTATCTGGCCCTCGCTTGCACGCCTCCCGAACCATTTGCCCGAGAAGTCAAACATCACAACGTCAGGTAAATAAGTGCCTTTACTGTCGGCGCTCATGCTAACCAACCCACGTAGGGATTATGTGTTATTTCATGTATTGGCTCATTCAAGCGAGTGGCTTCCCTCATCTATTCGACCTCCTGCTAATGATTGCTGACAATAATAATGATAGTTCCCATTCATGCTGATATCACCGCAGCGGATCCGCTGGCTGTTCATGGCGAAGGCCATAATTGTACCGGTGGCATGGCTCGCCATGTTGATTTGGGCTTTCGTCAAAGTGCCTGTCAACTCCAGCGGAGGTCTTTTTAATCAACACTCAACGCTTTCTGGTAGCGATATGTCATGGGCATGGCTCAGCGCGTTGAACAGTGCATTGGGAATCTACTCAACCCTGGCGGTCAATATCCCGGATTTCACTGTAAGTAATCTTTCCAGCGAAGTGTGGACAATCTGTAACAATTTCACATCAGAGATATGCGAAGAACGAACGAGCGTGAGTTATCTATCCCGATTGTGTTCACTGACGCAGATGTCTCATTCTCTATTCAATAGTCAGTACGTTCAGCTTGCCATCATCCCAGTAGCATTCACACTCTGTGGTTTCATTGGAATGGCTGTCACGAGCGCTGGCATAGTCCTGTACGGTCAGACGCTCTGGGATCCACTCAAGCTCATCAACCAATGGGACAACCGCGCGGCCGCGTTTTTTGCATCGTTCGCGTTTGTCCTCGCCACACTTGGAACGAACATCGCCGCCAACTCCTTGTCAGCCGCGAATGACATGACAGTCCTATTTCCACGGTATATAAACATCCGCAGGGGCCAAATGCTGTGCGCGTTGCTGGGTGGCTGGGCGTTATGCCCGTGGGAGATCCTTGCGAGGTATTTAGCAGTCATCTGAAGCGTCCACCTTGAATATCAATCTCTGTCTGCTTACAGCGCGGAAGGGTTCCTGTCGTTCATCAACGGCTACACCGTCTTCCTAGGCCCATTTGCCGGTATCATGGTCACCGACGTCGGTCTCTTCACACGATCTGACTACGCTCACGTTCTAATTCCCTCATTGTCCTCCAGTACTGGCTTCTTCACAAAGGCAGAGTCGATGTCCCTTCCATGTACCGACCGCACGGACGCTACCGGTATATGTACGGATTCGTGAGTGACCGTTGCAAATAATGCGTGAGTGTTAGTATTTATCTCACACCCCTCTCCGCTAGAATTGGAGAGCAGTACTCGCGATCTTATGCTCTGTACCTCCGCTCTTCCCTGGATGGATTAACTCGATCAACACCGACATCAATCCTGGGCGCGTCGCGCGCCTCTTCAACTTCGCATGGATATATGGGGTAAGCGGTTCGTATAAGTACAATCGGGGCATTGATCTAAGCAAAATTCTCGTAGTTCACTGTCGCTTCGACAGTCTACTTTGTCACCTCGTCTCTGTTTCCTGCACGGGAAACATACATACCAGAAGCTATTCTCCCAGACGATGCTGAGGATGCCAGTCAGACGTCGGATGCGGAGGACGACAAGAAGAGCATACAAGCGGAGGTCAAGGAGATCTTGGCATGATCGTGAGATTTGCTCTCGTACGATCAATAGATTTCTGTGCAATGCGCGATTCGCCCGAGATCTGCGATGTGCTGCGGTATTCGGAATTGCTTGAGAGGTGCTTGTGTGCCAGTGTATTCGACGGCCGTCATGGAGATCGTAATCGCTCCCAGACGGCGGAAACTATGAATACATTGATCGATCAAAGTCCGAGCCTCATTGAGTGCAATGATAGCACACTCACATGAGCTCGGTCCACCGACACGTGGGGCTATGTACATATTCTTGACTGCCTTTCAATCATGCAGACTCAAGAGCTTCGTAGAGAATGGCAGGGCAGAGAGTCATGAGGGTACGCCGTCGCTACTTTGAGAATCACAGACAAGATACTCATGACGGGTCTGGTACGAGATGCTGTCATGAAAAATCATGTCGGAACCATGCGCCTCGGAGAGAAACTTCAAAGTTTTCATTCCCAGTGTAATCTGAGAAGACCACACCACAAGTCTGCGATACATTGCTTGAGTACGCTGTGTCCGGTGTGATGGGCTTGGCTACATGTAGCGGAGTATAGGCTCAGTACTGTGGCTGCGATTTGTGGCTGAGACGAAGCCGGCAGATAAGACGCGATCACGTGATCGCGTTTTGCGCGACGCGCATCATCCCTCACTGATCTCGCTGAATATTGACCTGCCTGTTACCGGAACTTGCACCAAAAGAGCACTCCACACCGACGCCGCAGCAACGTGCACAACAAAAGAGCCGATTCGATCTCAGAACACCTACATACACCAACGAGGGACCGCACAACCGCAAGCGCAAGCGTGCCCCCGATTCAAAACGACCATGTAACGTGTAATGTGTGAGCTAGCAGCGCCAGACTCGAATACGGACGGACGGGGAAGAGGCAGTCAGATGTGGGCTAGGCGGGAGGGCAAGATGCAGGGTATATACACGACACGGGGAAAGACCAGCTCCGACGCATGCCGATGCCGACCCGGGACCAAGGACGAGGGGGCGAGGGGCGAGGGGCGCAAGCGCACGGGAAGGGAGCATCGCAGATGACGAACAAAACGGCAGCGGAAAACAAAAGCGAGAAACTGGTGGGGGACAGGGAAACGGGAGGGCGAGCGCGACCTGAGACCTGCACGGCCGCACTCCGCAGAGCGTCGAGCCCTGCGAGGGTATACATGTGCGTGTTCGCTTCTTCACTTCACTTCTCTCTCACACTCTCCGCTTCTTCATGGCACGGGTTACACCCATCCGCGTGGGTGCGCTCAGTGCGAGTGTTCGTGCGCCAGCGTGCGCTTGTGGCGCCGCACGAGCGAGGCCGGCGGGGGCGTCACGACAGGCTCGGGGATCTCCGCGCGACGGTTCGCCGCGGCGGTCGCGCTCGGGACGACGCCTGGCTGGCTCGCGCCGAGCGAGGACACGTACGCGTCCTGGAAGATGTCGTCCTGCGCGCCGTCGTGGAAGCCGTAGATGTCGTTGTACACGGGCGGCATGTAGTAGCCCTCGTTCATCTGCGCGGGCGAACGAACGTGTCAGCGCCTGCGACGATAGCGCAGAGGGACAGGCGGGAAACGCACGTTGTTGCCCTCGGCTTGCATCCAGTACATCGGGAGCTTGGGCCCGATCGTGCAGTTGCCGGGGTTGGCGGCCTCGTTCTGGTCAGAGTCTGCGCCGCAGCTGTGGATAGATGATGAGTGTCAGGTGCGCGATGAGTCGGACAGAGAACACGCACCGGCGGGGCAGCATGGACTTGCCGATGGGTGTGGTGCCCGTCGCGCCGGTGACGTTGCAAGAGAAGCCGTTCATGTACACTGAGCAGAATCGTTAGCATCACACTCATCTTCGAGAGCGAGTAACGTATACACTCACTCTGCTCAGCACCGCTCTTGTCCTACATCGCCCCAGGAGTCCGTCAGCCACGTCCTCCGCCCCGGGCTCAATGCGCGCACTCACCGAGTGGATCCAGAACCAGGCACACGTGCATCCCTCGGGGCCGCACGCAGGCATCTCGGCGGGGACGGCGAACTCGGTGTTGAGGTACCACACGCACGTCTGGTTCACACTGAAGATGGTGAAGTCGTCGGGCTGCACCTCGCTTCCGTTGCCCTTGTACGCGATCGCGAGCGCGCAGCCCATCACGTCGTCGATGCCCGTCGTGTGGAACTGGGACGACTGCTGGCCGGGGCATGGCCAGTTCGAGCCGTAGCCGGCGTCGCCTCTGCGTTTAGGGGTTCCAGCGTCAGTCGGCCAGATTAAGAGAGGCAGGTCGCATGAAAGAAGACACACCCTGAGGAGGAGTTGTACCACACAGTGGCGCCTTTGTCGCAAGACAACTGGCTGTTGATGGTACCGCCGGCAGGCAGGTCGAAAGTGTCTCCAGGGAGAGGGGGGTGGTCCAAGTGGCCGTGCTGCAAGTATGCAATTAGTCAATGTTTGGAAAAGGGACTGCATGCGAATAGCCGCTCGTAGTACACAGCGAAAGCCGCAGAATCGAGCTCAATATGCCGAGCAGTGGAAGGATCCGCGTATGCGCGCGTCAGCCGCCAAGAGCGCTCGTTGATATTGGCGTAAACACAAGCGATTTTGCGCAGTTCCAAACCAAGACCTGCACACGCAAGAGAAGACTGCTACTCACGAACCACCACTGATCAAATGTATAGCCAACGAGGGGCGTGACGGGACGGTTGTCGTAGGAGTAGTCTTGCTGGGTGACGTTGAAACCGTACATGGACTTGTCCCAGAAGGCTAACACGCGGGGGATGCTGTAAACATCCAATACCATGGAACACCATCGCACGGCACTCACCAATGTGGGCAGATGCCAGAGGGACGAAGGCCGCAAGGGCCAAAACGGCGGGTACGGTGTTAATCATGTTGCCAATGCTCTTCCTGCAGGAGGTTCAAGTCGAGTCGGTTCTAATTCAGGACCAAACGAGGGCGAGGTCGTAAAGAATGTGAGTGCCCGGTGGGCGGGGAACCGTGCAGGGGGTGGAGGCGAAGGAGGGGGATGGGAAGGAAGGGCTTATATGCTTGGCACATTTTGCGGGAGAGAGTGCTTGTTGGAGATGTGACCGCATGGAAGGAGGGGCTTCCCTGCGCCTATCGCCTTGCCTACCGTCCTCGGCACAGAATCCCTTGCGCCTTCTCTCCTCGGCCCCGCGCGCACACCTCCTTCATGACGTCCTCTCTTCTTTTTTATTTATTTTATTTCCAGTTTCATATCCGCTGGAGCTTGCCTGGATAGCATCGCTGCACAATCGTCGCCCATCGTAGACACTTACCGTGCCAGCCTCAGGCCTGCATGTGAATTCGGCCAGTCGCGAAAGGCCCGCTAGAACGCGCTGCCGACAAGCTTCCCGTCCGCCGCCCTGTCTCAGCAGCGAACCGTCGGCGGGCGGGCGCTCACATACGTCGCTATATTTACAACCCAATGCACGCATGAGATATTTTTTGCCTCCTCCTGATCGTCTTTTGCCGCTGTCCGTCCTGTTCTCGTCACCGGTGGCTGTCACATCCTTCCGTCCCACTCCCTCACCCTGCTTGCAGCCCTCGACTCCCCTCCCTGCGAAGACGATCCAGAGCGGACATGAACTGTTTTCCTCCTGCCTCGACCGCGCCCAACACGGCCATCTCGAGCGGTGCGGGAACGGCCAGCCCATTCTCGGCCAGCAGTGATGCCGCGGCGCGCACGGCCGTCTCGTTCATCACCTTTGCCGCGCCCGCGAAAATGGAATTCGTCAGGTACGCGAGCGCAGGGCAGGACGAACCCGCGCACCGCCCGTGGCGGCAGCGTATAGGCTCGGCGGCATAGTTGTGAGCTCATTTGGCAGTCGGCGGCATAACCGGTGAGTGAAAGAGCATGGAAATAGAACGATGGGCGCCCGCGGAGATGGGTTGTCCGACGACTTGTGTTCGGGCCCGTATACGGCGGCTCGATCGTTTCTCCACAGTGCGTGCTCAACGCTCATATGCCAGTCTTGGACTCGGACAGCGCCTTCCAGGCTACCTCCTCCCTCAAATCTTGGACGTCCGCTGTGCAAGTGGTCGCTCGTTCTTCATTGCATTTCACACCTTAGACAGCGGCCCGACGTTCGTTTTTTCAACGTCAACTGCCGAGACAACGCAGAAATTGACCTCGAGCAGGACACCCCGCAACCAACTATCGTGCCACGCCGCGCACAGGCCAGCCAGGCTCGTTTGGGCAGTGCATCTGCTCGGGTCGATTGAAAGATGATCGTACTTGACACCCGTTCATCTAGCATTCACTGTTCGCCGTCGCCAGGGGGACCGCGCCGCCTCGGTGCGGCCCGCTGACAACCAGCACTGCGCAAATTGCATAGCTGTCGCTGGCACACAAATTGCACGCGCTGTCGGATCCAGTACAGTCGAAATCACACCATTACTCCTCCCCTCGACCGATGTTGGGCTTCGTACCATTTTACACCTGTGGACGACGCCATGAACCAGATCGTGCAGACCGACAGCAGTCGTGGGGACTATGCACGCACGGGCGCACAGATGTCCTCGCGAGGGATTGGGCGTCAAGCTTGTCCGCTGGTACTCTAGCGTTGTGTACAGAGCACACCCCTCATGTTTCTTTCGCGGCTTGCAGGGCAAAGATTGTTCAGTGAGTCTCGATCCGTTTCCCCTTCTCCGACGTTGGCGTCGCTGCATATGGTCGGCGCTCAGGTAGAACAAGTCACCTGAAAGCTGAGATTTGAGGGCTGATTTCCAAATGGCAAGCGTCAGCTTTCATACGCGCTTCAGACTTTCCGTAATGCGACTCGTCGGACACGTGTACTCGTAAAGCCAGGCCTTGTACATATTTTTGCTAGCACGATAACGTATCTTGCCCCCTTCTCAACGTCTTTGGGGCGATTGTGACCAGTTATCGTTTGCCTGCCTGGGCCGGTACTCGCCATGAGGCAGACTTCGTCTCTTCTCTCGTGGAGGGCCGCAGGTCCTATGACTGAGCATCCCGATAGGCCTGGTGTAACGTAATGCTGCGCACCATCTGGAGTAGAGTATATCTATCACCGCCATCATTGTACTGCTGAGCACCAGTAAGTACGATGTCTTTCGCCCTCCCTTGGTACCCGGATCGTGATTTCATCGAGCCTGATGGGGTTGAGCCTCCTCCGTCAGACGAGCTCGATGAAGACTCGACCGAGTCTCAGTCACCTGCTGCCGAGCCAACATCCCCTGTGGAGGAGGAGGCCAAGTCAGAGCCGATTATACGGAGCGCGGAGTATTTCTTCGAAGACCAGTTCGTGTTCTTTCGTGTGGTTGCTGTATGTGTGTCGTGGTGTGTGCGCCGACGGGCATGACTGATACAGTCGCTGACCGGGCAGTCTGACGACGGCTGGATCAAAAGACCGGCCACGGTCTACAAAGTGCACCAATACTTCTTTGTACGTGACTCGGAGGTATTCCGCGACATGTTCACGTGTCCCACCGGGGAGCAAACCGAGGAAGGGAGGACAGAAGCAACCGCGATCCTTCTACCCGGAGTCAGCCATCACGAGATCGAGTGTCTGCTCTCGTTCTTGTATAAAGGGTATGCTTCTGCGCTCTAAAGCAGCGCAGCCGCTCATCCTGTTCCTAGCATGTACGACCACACGAAGTACGTCGGAGACTGGATCGCGTTGCTCTCGATCGCATCGCGATACATGTTCGATGGCATACTTTCGCGTGCTATCAGGGAAATCGAACTGCAACACTCGTCCATCGTCCCTGTCAAGCGCATTGTCCTTGCTGTGAAGCACGACATCCCACAATGGCTCAAACCGGCCTATTCGGAACTCTGCTTGCGCGACCGGGCCTTGAGCTCCCATGAAGCAGAGGCTCTGGGTCTACCGACGGCTATCCGGCTGGCAGAGGCCAGAGAGAAGATGCTGTTGAAACGCATCGCACGCCTGAATCAGCCGGTAAGCAAGATCGTATGCCCTAAAGGGAAGGAAGGTTGCCGCTGCTGTGAGCACGCTCGACAGCGGGAAGTCACTAAGAGCGCCACGGCGGAGGAAGAGAAACAGCTTGCTGAGCATGTTGTAGAGGAAATCTTCGGTCTTTAGTTAGTGGATTCTACATGAACTATGTCCGTAATAGGTACAAAATGTTGCATGTGTTGAGCATGTAGTCATCTACGAGGTCGTCGAATGTATCGTGCATGATAGTCGTATCCCATGCGTCTGGATCCCCCGCGCTACCACCGCCATTAAAATGTCTGGTAACGTCTGGGGCATGCCGATTTTCCGTTTAGTGCCCTTTTAGCGTCTGCTTAATGGTCACAAATTTTATGACTGATGCCTTTCTTTTGTTGAAGGCACGGATCGACATAAGGGGCATAATTCAGAATCCAGTTTGCAAGCCGTCTAAGTTCTGCCGGAATGTAGCCACTATTCCTAGCCTACTTTTTCACGTACCGTACAATGTTCTTCTGTATTTCAATATAACCAATTGACCAGATGTAACCCATGTAAATGCTACAAGACTATTAGTACACAACAGACTCTATAGGCAGCACAGGGGTAGCCTGACATATTGTGGCTGAGGGACTAAAGGCCCCTTCATCCACCTCAATACTGGTTCAAGAGGTGGTGAATATTTATAGATAGTATATGGAGGTGTGGGCAAAAGTCGTTAGGAGTAGTTACCAAAACAAGCAACCTTTAGAACGCTTTGGGACACGCAAACCTCGTTTGGAAATGGTCACGCGACGCGTGACATGGTACCTATATACGGCCATGATGCGCGCACTCTCGCCGTCCTCGAACGTCTGAGCAGTGCACCTGCTCGGGCTGACTTGAAAATGATCGTGTTTGATGTTCTTTGCTCTTGCACTCGCTGCTCGCTGTCGCCAGGGAGACTGCTTTGCCTCGACGCGGTCTGTTGTCGGCTCAAGTTCACACCATCTGAATCGCTGCCACTCAGGTATATGTGTACGCAGGCAGGCAGGATGCATCATGCAGTCTGCGTCATACTCGTGTCGGCAGCCTGCCCGCTTTCTTTTGTGGTCGGTGCTAGAGACCTGAGCGTTGAGCATGAAGCCAGCGATACCGAGGTTCGGCTCTCTTCCTCTCTCCGCCATGTAAGATCTCTTCGCCCTCACTAGAATTTTAGTAGCACCGATCAAGAGTCGTCGTATGTATGGCAATGGATCCTTCACAGCGTCACAGAAGCTGCCATTACCGTCGTTCTGCCTTGTCGAATTTCAGCTCTATCGGTGGCTGGATGACTGGGAGAGATGGACAGAACACCACGAGGTGATTGCGTTCTGTCTGTCCCAGTACACCTTTTCACTTATATGTACAGTAGGCCTAGTCTTATGACCCTGGGCGTCAGCGCCATTCTTGGCATTAAGGTTAGGAGGCTACTAGTCATGGTTGTGCCGTCGATACGTCGAAGGGCCCATACAGTGCAGTCCGTACCAAGTACTCTGGCAAACACCCCACTAACAACATCGATGTCCTCAAGTCTTGTACACCACCGTGACGTCCTATTTGGCCCGATATCAGTCGATGACTCTGCGTCGGATGAATACTCGACCACGACCGACTCCGAGCCTCAGACGCCTGACCTCGAGCCGTTTTCTCCAACGCCTACACCGCCAAGGCCGGTCCAAAGCGCAGACTGGTTTCTTAGTGATGGGAACGTATATTTGCGAGTGAATGGTGTGCGTTCTTCACATTCTTGTCGCTGATGAAAGAAGCGGCTGACCGTTAGGCGACAACGCGTAGGCCTGCGATGGACCCGACATAATCTACAAAGTACACGGATACTTCCTGCAACGCGACTCGATTATATTCCGCGACATCTTGTGTGGAAGGCGTGGCGAAGACGGCAAGTCAGAAGACGCCGCGATCTTTGTGCCGGACGTCGTCGAACATGAGATGGATTGCTTGCTCTCATTTCTATACCACGGGTACGTTCGCTCGCAGACCTTGAGGGGATCTGCGCGGCCAAGGGCAAATGGATCTGGCTGACCTGAGCTACGGGCGGCAGGATGTACAAATGCACGACTTTGGTCGACGATTGGACTGCACTGCTCGCGATCTCCTCACGGTACATGTTCCACGAGATACGCCTGCGTGCCATCTCGGAGCTCGAGGCGCAACACGCGCGCATCAGCCCCGTCCGGCGCATCGTTCTCGCCGCCAAGCACGACGTCCATGAGTGGCCGAAGCCGGCGTATGTGGAGCTCTGCATGCGGAACGATCCGCTGTCGCCCTGGGAGGCGAAACAATTAGGGCTATACAATGCGGTCATGCTGGCGAAGGCGAGAGAGGTGGTGCTGCTGAGACGCGTGACGATCCTCGAGGCCGCCCTGGGCAGCGGTGCTGGCTGTCCATGCGGGACCGAGGTCTGCGAACGTGCCCGGCTGCGGGAGGCCCAGAAACGTGCACCGGAAAAGGACGATTTTCACCAGTTTGTGACGGGTGTTGTTTCTGAGCTCTTCTCGCTGTGACACGAGGTGTGGCGAATATGCTTGCCGCCCAGGTTGCTCCACATCTGTCAAGGTGTACATGCTGCAGTCGTTTCTTCTGGCTGGCGCAACCTGAGGCGCGCTTGCTTCCTGGGCCTTTGACACGATGTGGGAGACTGATACAAACGAACTAATGAAGCGGTGTATACTGTGTACCGAAAGACTGGCAGCAATCTGTACGTCCAAGCTGATTGATTCGTGGTTCATACTACCAAGAAAACTCAAGACATGATTCTGGCTGTCCAAAGCCTGCTTGTGTGTTTTAGAGGACTGACGGAAGCATTCGACATGGACCGATCGAGAAAATATGACATCATGACTTCAAACGATCTTCTCGATCGCCCTCTAGCTGTCGAGCAGGCCACGCAGATGATTGACTACTGAGGACCGGGTAGTTCCACAATTGACGATGTTGCAGTTGGCGAGCCTCAATGAAATTTCCAGATCTTTGCGGGACGCTAAGAGGTTCGGTGTGGAAAACAAGTAGGATATAATGCGCAATCGTGAGGCGCGTGCCGAGCACCACTGCAAACTATGATCATTATTAGGATTGCGGCTCTGCTTACTTATGCCCCGCGAATATGCAATGTACAAATTTGACTTAAATGTGTTCAGATCGATTGCGTACGGGTATCAAAGTCTAGCGGCATTAGTTTTAAATATTCGGTAACATAACAGGCCGCTGCGAGCATCGTTGCCGGGTTGGTCACGTATCTCTAGATTGAAGATTCGCGCCGCGAGATCCGTCCAGCTTGGACGCCTCCTCCCGCTCACCACCTGCACACGCTCTACACCTTCGCCATGAGCTTCTTGCTGAAACCCAGCCGGACGGGCACGAGCATGAACGATGCGATGACAGGCACCAGGAAGGTGAACACGATCAAGTACTTGTACGCCGTACGCGACTCCTCTGCTACGTGGTGGCTCGCCGCCGTAGCATTGATAATACGCGACCCGATCGGGACGGCGAAGACAGGTGGGATGACGTTCATCAGGAATTGCAGCGCCACCGCAGAACCGAGCCTTGGCATACCTGTCGCGAGTGACCAGTAAGCAAGGCTAAAATAAACGGATGTAACTATTCGCGCAGATAGTACTCACCAACGATCTTCGCCGACACAGGAACAGACAGAGCCCAGTATGCTGTATACAGATCAACGTCAATGGCTGGTCTATGAGCACGTGCGTGTATACACACCTCCACAGAAGAAGCCCCACAGAATCGCAAACCCGACCATGTCCCCGAAGGTCTTGGCAAAGTACCACACCAAGATACACATCAGACCCGTAAGAGAGTTGAACATGATCAGCACGTTGATCGGGCCGATGATGTCCCCGAACACGCCAGCCATCACACGCCCGACAGCATTGAGACCCGTCGCGATCGACAGCACACCAGACGCCTTCGTCGGGCTCAGACCGATTGCCGTGCAGTAACCTGTCATAAACCACTTAGCATCTGCATGTGACCTAGGGTCTGCACACACATATACGTACTGGGAATGAAGAACACAGGCGTGCAGTATCCAAAGAACTGCAGGAATGCATACGCGAGGTACAGCGGATACCCCCGGACCTTCAGGATGCTCAGATCCAGGACCTTGTATTGGACTTGCTTCTTCGCCACAGTGCGCACACGGATCAGCGACACTCCTGCCAGCCCGAACACCAGTGTCAGGAACCCGAGGAATCGCAGTGCCCACGCAATCGAGCTCGCGTCGATGATAGCCTGGCAGACCGACGACAGGATGACAGCACTGATCCCACTGCCTGACTGACGACGGGGTGAGCGTCAATAACGAGAACGTAGAACAAAGCAGTGACGCCACTTACACTAGCAATAGCGGTGGCAAGATTGCGGCGCTTAGCAAACCATTGCGACGGCAGACCAGCAGACGGGATGAAAGCAAGCGATGCACCAAGACTACCACCACCATCATGAGCAACGTCCCCACCCACATGCAAATATATTTCCGCCTACCCAAACATAAGACCTTGAGAGAGGAACAGTTCCCAGTACTCCTTCGCTATCGACGCAAGCTCAAACGAGATGGCAACCATGATAACACCAACGAGCACGGTCTTGTGGACGCCAAAATTAGACACGAGGATGTTGGAGAATGGGCCAGCAAGGAATGCGAAACCCGTGGCACATCCACCGACGAAGCCAAGCCTGAAGACAGAGACGTTTTGGAAGCGCGATGTGGAGTTGCTGACATAGGCGTCCTGGAATACACCCCATACTGTGGCGACACCGAAGGTGATGAATGCGAGGAACCAGGTTCCTGCGACGGTCATCCAGGCCTCTGCGCCGCCGTCTGGAGGCGCGTCGAGCTGTTGTGTGGGTGGGGGAGGGGCCTCCTCGACCTGTGGCGGCGTCTTGGAGCCGCTCTCCTTTTCCGAGTCGAAGTCAGGTTCATGCTTGCTGGGGGGTTTGGAGTCAGACATTGCAAAAATTTGGCAGCAATGTGAGCGGCACTGGGGAAACGACGCTACTAGCTGGGGGAACGGTGCTAGATACTTGAGACCTGCCGGGGCGGGGAACAACCGCGGAGGGATTATGAGGGGGCGGAGGGTGTTCTGCCGAGGAACAAGGCGATCGGCGGTGCGCTGGGCGGAATGGCCGGCTGGGAATGGCGCTCATCTGTCGCAGAGAGTTTGCACAAAGGTGCGGTGATGGCTCGGGCGCTCCGATCGGAGAACTCCTTCGAATCTGCCAGTGGCCAGTGTACTGCACAGCAGCCTGCTGGACATCCGCACTCGGAGCTCTTCCAGGCGGACCTCCACCTGCATTTGCACGTAGAGGAGTTGTTAGCAATGTTGCCAATAGCGGCTGTCGTGGACGCTGTGTCAATTGATTGTCAGAACATTGGTTCCCTATCAGACCTGATGTTGCGTACTTACACCGTGGCTATCGCGCCATGCCGTTTCTTCACATCCTCGGCGTGACACCAGTGGTGCAACGAGGACACCGCTAGCTGTCGCCGAGTACCATCCGGAGAAAGATGTTAGTAATGCTTTTGATGGAGTTCTTGTCCGCGATGGCCAGCCTGCATAACAGCACCCGAAACATCACGTATCATGAGGCTAGATGACTCGGAAGGTGACAGCTGCCAGAAGACATACGGGAGGGAGCACGGCTATGTTCTGTTGTGGTTTGTCAGCAACCAGCGCCTCCCACCAGATCGAGAGAAGGGCGCCATTTGCCATTTACAAATCTGCCTCCGACGGAACATCCTCACTCCGTGGGCGCATCTAGATCCCTCACAGATGTACTAACGATCCTGATCTGCCGGGCCAGATGCCATCGGCATCCCTCGAAGCGTCCGGCTCCCCAGCGCCTGCTCCATGACAAATGCCAAATCAGGATGTGGTCGCGCCCTCGGACGTTGTCCGGTCGCTCCCCGAGGTTGTTGCACTCGCACGGCCGCCATGGTCCGGATAAGCGCATTGCATATACGAACGGAGGTGAAGATATGCCTGGCAGGAACGTACGTTGTTATGGACGTTTCAAATACGGCGACCCTGCACACTTGCATTCTGTTGTCTGTCGTCGTGAGGTTCTGATGATACGGGCTGCGACTTTCCACCTTGATAATTGCCATCAATTCAGAAGCTTCCGTCCAGATCCCACATGGGCATCAACGGCAGGTGGAATCGTCGTGTTTATTGTCAGGGAAATGTCAGGACTTCATTTTCTTCCTCCCGTGTGTGCCTTGTTGATTCGTCTCGTTGCCTATCATTGATGGAGAATAAACGATCATTGCCATCTCGCTTCGTCTATCTAGGCTTACAGTAAATCGCAAACATTCTGTTCAATCACGGAGCCTGTTCCTGCACCCACGCCCGTTTATCGTCGTCCAAGCTGTGCGTCTCTGTCTGCTTCTCCTCGTCGCTCGAGGCCTTGTCTTCAACCACGTGTTCATGCTCGACTTCGACGCTCGCGAAGCCACTCGCCTTGCGCAGCGCCTCGCCCTTCCTCATGAAGACGATGGGCAACGCAATCTCCACTACACCTATCATCGCAAGAATGAATGTTGCCCACCGAGGTCCCAGCCCGCTGAACATCTGCGTGCCGAATAGCACGAACACACTCGTCACCACTGACCGTATCATCGCCTGTGCCGCGAACGCAGACGCCGCATACGTCGTATATGCATCGATGGTGTAGTAGAATGTGCTGAGGCTGACGGCGAGGAAGCCGAAGCCGTAGAAGCCTGATGCGACGATAGGCACCATGTACGGCACGGAGGTGTACGTCGTGAATCCAAACCACAGGAGTGCTAGAAGATTCGGTTCAGCACATCCATCATAGACTACGACCAATTGATAAACGGGGGCCGCTTACAGATGGGCACAATGATGGCTCCAAGCAGGCCTAGCTTGAGACGCCGCTCGGGGGTGCGGGTGCCGCTCTTGCGGGACTCTGATTCTTCGATCCTCTCCCCAGCTGTCATGGCGAACACGCCATACAGTAGCATCCCGACACCGATGCCGAGGAATGTCAGGCCCGTCGCGCCGACGCCGAAGCCGTGCGCCCCGAACACAATCGGGAACGCGTCAAAGAAGAGGTAGATGATACCGAACACGGTCGTCTGCCAAAGCGAAATCGCAAGGATGATCGGATCGCTCACGAGCATGCTCCCTGCGCGCGTCGCGGTTATACGCAGCGCTTGCGCGACGCTGGGCCGCTCGAGCTCGAATGCAGAGCGGACATCACGCGCAGGGTGCTGCTTCCGCAGGCGGGCCGCCTTGCGCATGAGGATGATGCCATGGTGCGTTTCGGGCAGCACCGCAAAAACTACGGTCTCCACACCGCCCGCAATGATCGCAGCATAGAAGATCCAACGCCAGGTCGTGTTCTCCACGATGTACCCAGATACGATAGGCTGGGGAATGTGAAGGTCAGGAATATCCTCGGGAGAACTAGAAGAGATGCGCGGATCCACGGCTCACCCCAATCACTGCAGCGGGAGTCGCGGCGCGTTAGCGAGCGGCAGATGCGGGTGCAGAGCGGCGGTACGGACCTGGCCCCATAAACAATGCCATACAGAACAGCATGGTCGCGGAGGACTGGAATAGGCCTGGGACGCTGAGATCGTGGATTGATCCTGCGGCATTGGAGAAGGACGCAGTCCCGAGAAGGGCCGCGAAGAAGCGGCAGATCAGGATCGTAGCCGTGTTCTCGGCACACGCAGCGCCGACTTGGAATGCTAACGGAATGGAGGTATGTTGATAAGTCTACGCCCGTTCTCGCAGTAGGAGTTCTCACCTGTCCAGCCTAGAGCACTGCCTACGTACACCCATTTGCGTCCGTAGAGTTCACAGAGTGGGGCTAAGAACAATGGCCCCAAACCGCATGCCCCGGCGTAGAACGTGAAGCCCAGTTTAGCGACCGTGGAACCAATGTGGAAAAGCTCTTGGATATAGGGAACGGCATCCAAGTAGGTAGATGCATAGCAAGTGACGGTCAATGCGTTGAAGCATATCCAGACAATGATGAAACCCTTGAGAAGCGGGTGCCACCTACAAGGGACAGACTGAGCTTTGAAAGTGAGAACAAAAAAGCAGTGTAGCACCTGCGAGGATTCTCCTTGTCATCGGCTTCAAACTCAACAAAGTCTCGTTCGGGCTGCATAATGTTCAGTGTCGTAGTCGGGGGGTGGATCCTCAGAGGCTCACGAGGATTCTGGCCTTTTGCGCCCTTCTTGAGTTCCCTTGCAACCCTCGTGCCTGCAATTTCCGGAGAGTGCAAATTCGCGGTGGTTGCCCTGTTCCTCAAGTTTTCGCGACACTGTCGGATCATTTGCATCACATCTGTTTATTGTAGATGCCATCAACGATGTTCAGGACGTGATGCCCGTTGCAGGCGCTTTGGAGCCGCGCTACAACCTGACGCGCGCATAGAGTGAACGCCCGGCTTTCCAGCGGAGGACGTCAAAATAGGCTGTCACTAGCCATCTTGAGGCCGTGCGATATCACGGAAATACATCACAGACAGATATATTGGCGTGCAGTGAAACTCGGTAGGTAGCGAAACTCACCTGGTATCTGCGTTCGACGTTCGACACCTCCAGAGATGTCTGGTCCCGTCCTTGCTGCTTTTCGTTCTCATAGTATACCCGCGGGCCTCCAGGGGACGCTTGCTTCCTCGTCCTGTATTGGAAGATCGGCAGCCCTGCGGCGTACGCAGCTTCACGCTCGGTGTGCTGGACGCGCCGTCCGAGATCTGCATACACGTAACTATCAGACTGAGGTCTTCTCTGAACGCGTGGGAGTAGAGCCGGCACTCATCGTCCCAAAGTCGAAGGTGGGACGACCACCCGAGCCCAGCCAGGTCGTCACTCGTCCATTTGGCCTCCAGGAGCGGTACTTCGTCAGCGTTCGCGGATATCGCGGGTGCGCGGACCCGTTCACCATCGCCGCAATCAGCACAGAAGATTTGCCTCCGATTAGGACAGAGCAGATCGTGCTTACCTGGGCTGCTCTCCGTGTGCGACACCCGCTTCTCGCGGCTCGCGTTCAGACGACACCCGCTGGGCCGTCGTTTGTGTACCTACCTCCTCTCACGAAAGCGCATGCGCTTATCGAGTCGCGAATGCACCTCAAGTTCCGCGATGCAGACGACCGGCAAGCGGCGATTGACGCGTTAGAAGCTCGCTGGCGCGGCGTCGCGCTCGTAGATGCTATTGATCCCCGTCATAAGCTCTACAGTGCAGTGTGGATCCGGTCGCCGTCAGGGTCTGGGACAGGCAGTCAGTATGCGATGGGCTTTCAGTCCACTCACTTCACGGTGGACGGTTTAGGCATGTTCGATGTCGTGGGGGAGTTCATGGAGCTACTCGCCAATCCTGGGCGCGCGGAGGCCGAGCTGGATGAATACTTTGCCGATCCCAACCCGACACTGCCAGAGCCATGTGAAAGGCTCCTCCCGGAGCCGGAAGCATCGTCAAAGGAAGAGAAGTGTAAAGGAAGGCAGGCATACAAAGAACTGATGGCAGGAGGTGAAGGCGAGGTAAGCCCGTTGACGTATGAGTAGCGGCTAGAATCTGACAATTTGTCACTCGTGAAGCTTATTAATGGTATCTTTCCCGACGGCACGTTGAAGGGGAATGAGATCGAGGCGTATTCGGCGCGGCACTCGTGGTCGACGGAGGAGACGCGTGCGATCGTGGACGCGTGCAAGAAGCACCACGTGACCGTGACGCAATTTGTCGCGTCCGTTATGGTCATTGCGACGATCCAGGAGCTCCAGCGTGTCGGCCGTCCCGTCCCTCAGGGTGGCGTCATGAAAATACATGTACCGATCGACCTGTGGTCGCGTGCACGTAGCGACAAGCGCGGAGTCGCCGTCCGCATGTCCCATTATCCCATCTTTGTCCATGCGCCGTCGACCAACCTCCTCGACACGAAACACGGTGACCTCGAGGACGCTATCCTTGAAGTAGCGAGGCAGTATAAGGATGGCCATGCAAATGTTGTCGACTCACAACACTTCTGGCATCTCATCCGGCACTACCTGGTCGATTGTCAAAAGGCAATCGACGCACTCGCTCGCTCCCCCTCAGACCTCGATGCGATCCCGTTCCTGCCATTGTTTAGCAGCACTGGCAACCTGAACAAGCTGATTCCGTCGTCCTTACCGGCAGTCGCGCCGGTTAGCAAAGGAGCAGACGTTGTGGCGCATGCGCAATCCCGAGGTAGCGGTAAGATCCATGTTCAGGACTTAACAATCAACCAGAAGTGCAACCCCGCGATCGTAATCGCTCACCTCTGGACATTCAACGGGAGGTTGAATTACAATTTCACGTACAACCGGCGGTGGGCAAGCGCTGGCGTCATGGATCCGTACATCAAGCGGATGATTGACATGATATCGTCGTTCGCACAGCGGAAGCTATAAACAGACTTGGTCATATCTATTAATTCAGTAACACAGACCGCCGTTCCTGTAGCACCATTCGGCGCCATTGCTTGGCGCAGGTATAGGCATGCGTACTTGTGAATCACCGCAGAGCGGATAATTTCCTCGCGTCATACCTGGCTGTTGTATTTACTATATGAGCATCTTGTAAGGGGACGGATACAATATATTGGGAGATGACTGCCCCGACAAGGCTCTGGCGCGGGTGACGGCATCGTGCGATGAATGCCATTTCCTGAGGTTGCTGGCTGCGCTGGGTTCAGAATCAGATCTCGATAAGGATCCTACTAGTCTGGTTCAAGCGGGGTTGAGACAGTAAGACGCGATTTTGCCTTAGGTAAGCAGGTTAATCTCCGCCGTCGTGATCTATGTACACAACGCGGACCCATCGCATTGCATCCTCCGAAGGCTCGGAGTGGAAACTTCTACACCATGTATTGTTCAGTCTAGCAGTTGCATCTTGAATTTCCGCAAGTTGAGAGTCTGAGACAGTCGAGTCTGACCCAGCGATGGGGAGCACAAAAAATACACCTGCTCACTTAGGAACACTTATAACTCTCATTGTCCACCCTCCTCGCGCGACGTTGAGAGCCGTAATAGCAGCGAGGAGAACCTCACTGGCAGAGAGGTTGCTGGTACCAGAGAGCGGCAGAGCCGACGAGTCTCGAGATTGTCCCGGCCAGCCGGCATGGCTCGGCCATCAACCGGCAAGGGCCGGTATGCTCAAAATGGTGTCTTTCTGGGGAGCGCGTTTTGAAGCGCACTTAGAGCGGCCATCCTCCAATCACTCAGAAAGGGCGCTCTGGCATTTGTGGCTGCCTAGAGGAGACTAGATCCTACGTACCTGCTTACGTGCTCGTGGCTGATGTTCATCTGTAGACTTGAATTATTAATACTCAACGTCTTCATCTTCACTTATAGGGAGGCCATGGACAAACATCCTGAAGAGAGGCGAAGGCAGCAGGCGTGGCGATTCCTCGTCATTTGAAACCAAGTTTTCGTGATCTTCGCCGTCATGACTGCCTTCCGATAAGATTTCCTGCTCGTATTGTGCCTTGCGTGCCTTGCGCGCCTTGCAAGACAGAACCTAACTTCGTGTAGAAATTGTGTTAGATAAGACCAAGAGGGCACTTTGCAGGCTGTCAAGCTCTCTACACACTCACATCGGCCAGACTAACATCTTATGTCTTCCCCCAATCGCTTTGTCCTTCCTCCTGTCCCTCAGATCCACGGAAAATCATGTGGCACCTTCAAAATGCCTCCGCTGGATGGCTCCCTGGCTCTCCCTGAGCTGTACGAGTGGCACGCGGAGCACAGTCCTGACCATCCTCTGTTCGTCTTCGCAAAGGAAGATGGCAGCGTTCACAAACTCTGCTGGCCTGAAGTCTTGAGAGCGGTCTACACCGGTGTCAAGATCATCAGAGACCGTGCGCACTGGCAGCCTGGTATGACCAAAGCGCCGGTTGTGGCTATCTTGTCCAACTCAGGTGAGAGTTCTGTATATGGGATATAAACGCTGCTGATGCGCAATATCGCACGTTGAACAGACTCTGTTCCGTATGCGACGACGACAATGGCTATCATGCGGGCCAATTGCACGGCTTTCTTGATCTCTTCGCGCAACTCTCCTGCGGCGGTGGCACATCTGCTCAACAAAGTTGGTGCTAAACATCTGCTGGTCGGAGATGAACCCTCCATGCATGGTCTCTGCAAAGAATCACTGGATATCTTGAAGACGCAGTATTCTGAGGCAACTGTGCCCGAGACGTCAACGATGCTCGGTTTTGAGGAACTCTATCTGCCTGTCTCTCAGAGTCCATCCCGCGAAGACGTTCCGTACGAATACAAGGGTGCCAAGGAACCTGCTGTGATCTTGCACTCGTCTGGTTTGTACTACTGGGCACTTAGAAATTGTCGTTTGACAAGGATTTCGCAGGTTCTACTGCGTTCCCGAAACCAATCACGCTTACAACTCGCTGCCTCCTTGAAAGGGTCAGCTCCATAAGCTGGAGCGAACGCGATTTGGCCGGCCACATCATCTCTGTGCATGCCATGCCGATGTTCCACGCTATGGGAATGATATTCGCTGCTTATACTGCAAGTGACGGTAGTGTGCCATTATCGCGCAAAAGCGTCTGATCTTGGGGTTGAATAGACTGCCTGTGGTTGGATTCTCGGCGTGTTTTCACCGCGATCACCTGTGCTGGTATCTACGCCGGAGAATGTCCTAGAAATGGCCAAGGCTACTAGCAGTGATCTCATACTAGCCGTTCCTTCCATGGTCGAGGTACACACTTATCGCATTCAAATGCTGTCAGCGTTCATAATTAGTATCAAAAAGGCCTGGTCGCGCAATCCAGACTACGTCAAGTTCCTCGCCACTCGGGAGGGAATCGTGAGGACTTGCTAAAACCCACTCTTTATGATTCATGCAAAAGTGACGACAATCACAGCTGTCCGGCGGCTCTCCGCTCAACCGGGATATCGGCGATCACCTTGCCGCGCAAGGGGTCACTCTTTTCACTATGTACGGCGCGTGAGTATAGATTGTTCGCCTGTATGCACTGGCGCAGTCACTCACTGTAGAGTTTCCAGCACAGAATCTGGACCCATGTCTCCGATGTTGCCTGGTACGCTTACTCACACCACGGTCCAGCATGCCTTCAGTGACACGCTTCCTAGCGGAGGTTGGTCGCGATTGGGAGTATTTAAAATTCCCGCGCCACAGATCTCCAAAGATGATACCATCAGGCGAGGGGGCCTTCGAGCTTGTCATGCTCGTATGTGTCATTTTTTACTTCCCTTGTAATTGACGCTAATGAGGTTCACATGCACCCACACCCTCAAGGCGAACGAATATGGGTGCCTGAGTGTCGTGAATACCAAAGTCGACGGGGTTGACGGCTATGCTACATCTGATCTTTTCGTAGAGCATCCGACGAAATCAGGTTATTGGAAGGTCATCGGACGTGTTGATGACCAGATTATACATAGTACCGGAGAGAAGGTAGATATTTGTATGTGCACGCCAGCCCAGATGCTTATGATTTCGCAGACCAATCCGGGCCCTCTGGGTGCATCTATAAACACAGTAATTTGGTAAATTGACTTATCCTGCGCTCTATAGAGGCGATCATGAATTCGGACCCTCATGTTTCGGCATCCTTAATGTTTGGCCGTGGTCGCTTTCAAGTGGGGGTGCTGATCGATCCTAAAGCCGACCATGTATTCGATCCATCGCACGAGGGGAAACTGTCGGATTTCAGGAACAGAATATGGTAAAATTGCACACTAGTATGTTGCCGGGCAGGACGTTGAAAGCATTGCATCAGGCCCACAGTCGAGAAGATGAACAAATTCGCACCCCAACATTCGAGGTTGTTCAAGGAGGTACGCGAGTGGCTTTTGTTTATGAAATGACTTCGCCGACACTACACATATAGATGATTTTGGTCACTAGATCAACGAAGCCGTTCTCGTATACCGCCAAGCATAGCATTCGACGAAGCGCTATCATCCAAGACTATGAGGATGAGATAGCTGATCTCTACGACACCGTCAATGCGAGCGCACAGTCTTCTATACAGCCTCCGACCGACTGGGCGCTGCCAGCCACCACCGAATACGTCCGTACGGTCGTAGGCAAAGTGATGACGCATGCGGTGGCGGACAGTGTCGATGTGTTCCAGCACGGATGCGACAGGTGTGTCAACAATCTGCACTACGGCATGCATTTCAAACCTGAATAAATATCAGCCTGCAGGCTACATACATCCGCAACATCATCCTCCGTGCCCTCCGTGAGACAACAAAGATCGACACACGCAGGATCGGCGACAGCTTTGTTTACGATCATCCGACCATATCTAGTCTGGCTGCATTCGCCTCCTCCGTCGCTCAGGGAACGCATGACTCGGCAACTGCTGGGACCACAGCATCTGCTCGTATCATGTCCATGCGAGCTATGCTGGCGAAATACGCCGCTGACTTCCCCGCCCGGCCTCAAACGCTGCTTCCATCACAGCCTGAGCGAGATGCAGTCTTCGTGACAGGGACGACGGGTAGTCTAGGATGCCATCTGCTTGCTTTGCTCGTGGCCGACCCGAAGGTCGGGCGGGTGTATGCATTCAACAGGCCAGCCAAGACGCAGACGCATTTGCGCGAGAGACAGAAGTCGGCCTTGGTCGACCGTGGACTCGACGCAGGCATAGTGGATTCGGAGAAGGTAATGCTTCTTGAGGGAAGCCTGACAGCAGAACATTGGGGCCTTGAGAAGAGCGCGTACGAAGAGGTGTGTGTCTTCGATATCGGGGTTGATTACCCTGAGCACTGATAAGTATTTGTGGACAGTTGCACAAATCTGTCACACATATCATACACAACGGTAGATATTCAGCAATATTGAGCTATCGCATCGACTAACTGATCTGCATTCAGCGTGGCGTGTCGACTTCGTGACCAAACTGGAGTCGTTCGAGGTTAACGTCGCAGGTGTGCGGCAGTTGGTGGATTTTGCGCTGACCTCGCTATTGCCCCAACCGCCACGAGTGCTGTTTGAGAGTTCCATCGGTGTTTTGAGAAGTTCGTCCGTGACATTGCACGTTGTACTCCGCAGGCTGACTTCTTTAAGATTCGCCCGGCGATGTGGTATTCACAGAAGGACCGATTGAGCCCAATCTCGCGGCCGGCACAGGCTATGCAGAGTCCAAATGGGTCTCCGAACAGATCCTTTATACAGCAGCATCCAAGACTTCTCTCAACGCGTTGGTGGTCCGCGTGGGACAGGTTTGCGGTGGCCTGGACGGCGCGTGGAACGTGCACGAGTGGTTCCCCACCCTCGTACAGAGCGCACTGAGACTGGGATGTTTCCCAGACGACGACAAGGTGCGGTCGAGTTGCCTGACATCCCAGCCCAACATACTTGACTGGACCACCCAATTTCCTAGGGTGTGAATTGGGTCCCGGCCGAGATCGCGGCAGGGGCGATTGTCGACTTCAGCCACCACGCCTCAAATACAACACGCACCGTGCATCTCGTGCACCCACGCCCGGTCCCGTGGCACATTCTCGCGAGCGCCGTCGCATCCGAGCTCGCCGTCCCACTCGTGCCATACTCGGAGTGGCTGGCTAAGCTGGAGCAGGCATATCAGGTGGACAAGCGGGACGGTCTGGGCAACACAGAACAGGACAACAATCGAGACCTACGCACGCTACAGTTGCTGCCGTTCTTCCGGGGTGTGGCGGGTAAGCTGGATATCGCGCGGATGGCGATGGGCATGCCAGCCCTCTCGATTGAGCAGGCTGTCGCGAGATCACCGACGCTCGCGGATCACACCATCCGTCAGCTGGGAGAGGAGGACGTCAAAAGGTGGCTTGCGTATTGGAGGAAGGTCGGTCTGCTTTGATGATGACGCCGTGAGCGCCCGGACATTTTCATCATATCAACAAATGTTCTCGAAGATATTGAGGTTGAATTCGGTGCCCGCGTACCTATCACATTGGTGTAATTGTAAGGTGGAATCATGACGTGCGTACAATATTTTTCAACAGCATGGTGTAAAATACCCTAGTGACCCAAGAGTCCCCTTGAAATAAATAAGCACACACCAATAGCATCACAACATCCGTGTCTGCTTGGGATTGATCCCATTTCCCATGCGCAGCATGCTGACCAGCCCTGTCAAGCTCGACCACTATGTCCGTCCAACCTCGATGAGCACATGTCACTAGGACGCAAGAAACGACACTCACCCCATTACCCACGAACACCTGCGCGCGCTGCCCGATCAGCATGTCCACGGCCTGCTTCACGTACTTCTGCTCCCGGTTCACCAGCAGATCGCGGCTGCTCGCCACGTGCCGCCAGTGCCCCGTCTCCTTCAGCGCCGCCTCCAGCTCCGCCACCCACTCCACCGGCCCGTTCGTCATCACGTACACGTCGCGCAGCTCCCCGCGCCCGCCCTCCGCCTCCGCCACGCGCAGCGCCTCCGCCCGCACGACGATCTCCGCGATGTTCGGGAAGCAGTGCGTCCGGTACAGCTCGATGCGCGCCGCCTCGTCGCTCGGCAGCCGCCCCGTGTCGAGCACGTCCGGCAGCGCCGCGAACGAGTTGAACCCCACCCACGGCGACGACCACCGCCCGAGGTGCTCGCAGTGCCCCGCAAAGTCCCCGCGGCGGATGTGCATCGCGAGCAGCCCGGGCAGCGGCGCGTAGCGCGTTGCGCTGGGGTTCGCGCGCGGCCCCAGGTCCGCGGGCAGCGACGTCAGGTACGGCGCGGAGAACTGGGCCGGCGAGATCGTCTCGCGGTTCGTGTCGAACGCGAGCTCGACGAGGGGCGACCAGCGGAACTCGCGCAGCACCGGCGATGCGGCGAGCCCGTCCCAGGCGTTGAGCAGGCGCCCCGCGTCGCCCATGATCCTGTTGGCGTGTATGTGCGTCAGCATGCTAGGGCACATGGGTGGCGGCCATGTGAACACATGCGGATACGCACCAGAAGTCGAAAAGCGGAACACTCTCGTACGGGATCTCGACGCAGCGCGCGTCCGTCTCGGCCATGACCTCGACCCACTTGTCGAGCAGCGCCGTCGCCGAGTACCCACCGCCGAGCTGCGCGACGATGTCTCCGTTGTCGATCTTGCGGCGTTCACTCTCAGGGCAGATCTCGCGGTAGTACTGCTCTGATATCGACGCGGGCTGCGGCGCGGTGGGGTCCGTGTGGTATGGCTCGCCCACAATTGGACCTGATGGATGATGGGTGGGGTCAGGTAAGGTCTGCAGAGATGAGTGATGAGACAAAATGGGGAAGCGGACTCACCGCCAAGCAGCGCCGACATGGGGATGCGTGAAGGTATGGGCTTGCCGTTGTAGAGCGTATAATCGGAGCCGTCGTCATTCCAAGTGTAGTTGTACCAGGTAAATCTGCGTCCAAGACGCGTATTGGGTCAGTCTACAAAAGGAGCCAAATTAGACCTACGTTCGTCCGCTGCGGTACGCGAGGTACGAGTGCATTATCAGCTCTTGCATCGCATTCCCCCATCCCGCGCCTGGATAAGACATACATCCATTAGTACACGATAGGCTACTGCGGGTGACACGGCCTTGGTGATCGCGGCCCCCAAGCCCCAAGGGGAACCGGGAGCCAAGTACGGCTCGGCCTGCGAGACCGCAGTGACGCGTCTGGGTACGCTCCCACGAGACGATCAGGTCGTGTGCCCAGCATGACACGCCATAGTATGTGCGCCCTCGGCTGTGATCGATCGACGACCGAACGTCGCGGCATTCTCTCTCACGCCTCCCACAAAGGCAGTCAGAGAATGCGCACTCGTTCACGCGCTGCATCGCCACAACCTCCAGAACACATCGCCCGAACGACTAAACGCCACATACCTCGGGTGTGCGTCGACGTGAAGAGGTACTTCGCGTTCGGGGGGAAGTGCTGTCTCCGCGAGATGTCCTGCTCGTACTGATGCCACTCGCCGTAGAGCGGCGGCTTCTCAGAAGTGTCCTCCTGCGCGTCCGCGCCCATGGGCTCTGCCGGCCCCGCAAACCGCCGGCGGAGCGGGGCGTGCAGGCGGAGGACGAGGGGGACGGCGGCGATCACGAGGAGCGCGATGACGGCGAATCTGAAATGTCGCCGGGTGAGGCGGGTGAAGGGAGGCTTGTTCTGGTGCAAACCGTTGGTGCGGGGGAGCTCGCCATCATAGTCGGGCTGGGATCCGCGGGGCAGGCGGGAGTTGAGCATGCTCTTCTGTGCTTTCTGTTGCGTGCTATGAGCGGCTCGAGGGCATGAGGGGGACACTGGCAGGCGCAGTAGTACAGGCGCGGGCGCGGGGCGCGAATTTATACGCTACTCCATGTAATGACCCGTCAATGCATCGTGATCAGGGATTTCTTCGGGACGCCTGAGAGAAAATGAAATTCATACCTATCTGCAGCGGGATGCTGGAAGTGCTATATTGGTGTATAGCCGTGCATATAGATACGGCCAAAGACAGATGCTGAGCCGCGTCGCGGGTAGTCCTGACCGGGGAGCAGATATATGCACCAACCAGCGAGGTGCAGATGGTCGCGATATTTCCATTCAACGTGGCAGTGTATTCATAGACTCGACTTACGTACATATCAAACATGCTGGTATGGCACGGAAGGGCGTATGCGCTCCAGAGAAGAGGATGCAATACAAACTGCCCAACTTGGCTGCTTTGATGGCCACGCTTATGTGATCGGGCGTTTGCCTTCAATCTGTCATCTCACAAGGTTTCCAGCAGACAGCTCCCGAGCTTCAATCAGTGATCACGCAGGACTATGCACTTGCACTACGAATCGGCTAGAAATATCCATCGTCCTCAATCCCTGTTCATGTTGGCCTATATCAATTTATGGAAGGTTTCTGCCAGCACAACCTCCGAGTCCCACCGAGCGGATGTAGCCTGACCGTGTGGGACCTCAACCCACGCTGCCTCCGTCGTCCTGGCCCCTCTCATCTTGGTAGTTGACGTGCCGGAACCGAACACAAGTCGCGTGTCTGATCAATGTACAGCATGACTCGGCCGGCGACAATCACTTGGTAGACTTGGATGACAAAATCAGCATCCTCTGAGAGCAGATTCGCCACCCCTACGGACTCGATTTCCCTTGACGACCACACCTCAAGTTGCTTCATTCTTGCAGAACTTCGCGATCCTTCTTGCCCGCGGAACTATTTGACGGGCGGTCTTCCGCCCGGGACGCCTCAAGCTGACATGATACAATCGCTCTGTTACTATAAGCAGTGAGCGTCCTCTCGATATCAGCGCTTCAGCCACTATATAAAAACGTGTCATGATCTGACAGCACCGGACATTGAGGGGCGCGCCAACTGATTAGTAAGCTTCCGTGACTTTCGAGATCCCAGCAGACCCAGGGGACTTCTTTGAGTCCGTCTGTGGTATCATCATGCGCAAAGGTCCGAATCGTTATGCATGCAGCATTGATATTGCGACTTCCCTGCCATCATCCTATATTCTTCCGCGCACCGCCAGCTTGCCCTTACTTACCGTGCCGAGAACGGATCATTACCTTGCGGCCCGGATGAATAGCCCAGATTAGCCTCCGCCTGTGACAATGCAGAGAGAAACTCATGGGGCAGCATCCGGAGAAAGACGTGGACACCACTGTCGCTTTGTTCAGCGTGCGCTTCTCTTCGATTTGCATATATGTGCACGAGGCTGCTGCACTGCCATTGCTGTGGTTGCCAGCTTCTGCCCTAAGCCCCAGAACTCGCAAGGGCGGCAGTCCTAGCCTCGCCTTTGTCTTCCGTGCTCCGCGGCGTTGCGCCACGAACTTCTGGACGAAGCCGACGAACCATTCTCGCACGTCTTCACCGCCGCGCGCCGCGGACATACTCCGCGCAGATGAGCAGAGTGTTGAGCGGGTTCGGCCCGCCAATGTGCAGAGGATCTCCTTCGCATCTTATCTGAAACCGTGGTGACAGCAATATTAGCTACACTGAGCCGGACATACCACTGAGTAGGTCTACCCCCGAGATCGGTGCAACGCCTTCGGTGCCTTCCGGAAGACGCCACTGCAGCCTCATCTTTCACAACCTTTAAGCTTTATCAACGGGTCCGAAAGAATATTCGTTTGTTGCGAAGACCATTCCAAGAGTCGTTCACTCAGCCACTGGATTCCTTCAAATGATACATCGGCTGTCTTGTTAGTGGCTTCTCAGATGAACATGGCTTTCTGGTACATTATACATTGCGAGATGAACGACGAGAAATGCATCTCAGAAAAGGCCGACTTTCCTCCAGTACGCCAACCACCTTTCGACATCCTCCCCTCCAAGCTGACGAAGGTCAGGAGCTCTTAGCGTCGGCGACCCCGCCATAGCCTGCTTGACCTCAAGGTCTGGTAGACCCATTGACATTCGCGTGGCGCCCAATTTCTCAGTTATCCCCCGAAAGAACGGCAGAAGCTGCAGGGCACGCAGGCTTCTCGCAATCTGAGTAATTCCATGCCCGGTGTGCTCGTGTGTCTGCATCGTATGTTCCAGCTTAGCCAACCATGCTGAGTACGCCACGAGTGGGACGCTAAGCTCAGATGAGACGACAGTCGCGAGAGAGTGCCACGAGACCGGGCGACGGTGCACGAGGTGTACGGTGTGCATTGTATTCGCAGCGTGGCGGAAGTCGGCAATCGCCTCTGCAGCAACCTCGAGCGGGATCCAGTTCACGCCCTACATTATCCAGTCTACCGGTCAACTGCCTCGGACAATAGAGTCAAATCATAGTCACACCTTGTCGTCGTCTGGGAAGCATCCCAGCTCCAGTGCGCTCTGCACGAGGGTAGGGAACCACTCGTGCACATTCCACGCGCCATTGAGGCCACCGCAAACCTGTCCCACACGGACGACCAGCGCGTTGAGAGAAGCCTTGTATGCTGCTGCATAGAGGATCTGCTCGGAGACCCATTTGGACTCTGCGTATCCTGTGCCGACTGCGAGATCGGGCTCACTCGGCCCTTCTGCGAATTTCACATCGCAGGGCGAGTCTGAGAGAACGGTCAACATACGAATGGAACATGCCAAGACTATGGACAAACTTTGGAAGATGCCAATGGAGCTCTCGAACAGCACCCGTGGTGGTTGGGGCAATGGAGATGTCAGCGCAAAATCCACCAAACGCCGCACACCTGCGATGCTATCCTCGAATGACTCCAGTTTGATTACGAAGTCGACACGCCATGCTGTTCACAATCCAGTTAGTCAACGCCACGGTTCCAAGATGCACAATATTCACCATTGTGGATGATATGCGTGACTGATCTATGCAACTGTCCACAAATATTATCAGTGCTCAGGGTAATCAACCCCGACATCGAAGACACACACCTCTTCGTACGCGTTCTTTCCAACGCCCCAATTCTCCGCTGTCAGGCTTCCCTCCAGAAGCACCACTTTCTCCGAATCCGCTATGCTTGCGTCGAGTCCACGTTCGACCAAGGCCGACTTCTGTCTCTCGCGCAAATGCGTCTGCGTCTTGGCTGGCCTGTTGAACGCATACACTCGCCCGACCTTTGGGTCGGCCACGAGCAAAGCAAGCAGATGGCACCCTATACTGCCCGTTGTCCCTGTCACGATGACCGCATCTCGCTTAGGCTGTGATGGAAGCAGTGTGTGAGGCCGCGCTGGGAAATCAGCGGAACATTTGGCAAGCATAGCTCGCATGGCCAGAATGCGAGCAGATGGGTTAACTCCCATTGCCGCTGCGTCGTGCGTTCCCAGGGCGACGGAAGAGACAAATGCAGCCAGTCTAGAAATGGTCGGATGGTCGTAGACGAAGCTGTCGCTGATCTTGCGTGTGTTCACCTTTGTTGTGTCACGGAGGGCACCGAGAGTAATGTTGCGAATGTACGTGGCCTGCAGGCTGGTATTGATTCAGCCGTTGATTGCATGCCCTAGTGCGGATCATTGACACACCTGTCACATCCGTGCTGGAAAATGTCGTCATCATCCATCACAGAATGTGCTATAACTTTGTGCACAACAAGACGGACATAGTCAATCTCGGTGGTAAGACTCCACTCATGCGGAGAGGTCACGGAGGTTTGTGCGCTCAAATCAACCGCGTCGTACAGCGCATCTATGTCGTCTTCATATTCCTTGATGACAGCGCCCCGGCGGACAGTGTTCTTAGAAGTGTACAAGAACGGCTTGGATGGTTTCGCGACTAAGATCATCTATAGGCGAACACTTCACGTCCATTTCTTGCCGTGCGAAGCAGAGCTATGATCTGACCTCTTTGAATAGCCTTGAATGCTGCTGCGCATATGTGTTCATCTTTTCGACAGTTGGCCTGACTCAGGTTCCTCAGTATTCACTGCCATCGCCATATGCATGTAGTTCTTTACCAGATCTTATTCCTGTAGCTTGTCAATGAATCTTCGTCTGATGGGTCGAGTACGAATCCGGGTTGAGGCTCGATCAGGATCCCGACCTGAAATTGCCCACGGCCAAACATGACGCATGCTCTGACATGAGGGTCCGTGTTCATGATGCCCTCTATAAAGCAAAAATATGCCTGCAGTCCTGCGATGTCTATGTGTGTGCGCACCGAGAGGTCCTGGGTTCGTCTAAAGGAAGATTTCGTCACAACAATATATAAGAGTGGAGATCAGTACATGTTTACCTTTTCTCCAGTGCTATGCATGATTTGGTCATCGGTGCGTCCGATAACCTTCCAGTAGCCTGCCTTTGTCGGGTGCTCGATAAGAAGATCAGAAGTAGCATATGCATCCAGCCCGTCGATCGTGGTATTCACGACACTAGGACATCCGTATTCATTCGCCTGCAATGATTCATCGTCGGTGTTTAACGACGCGCATATCCAAAACTGGGACATACCACGATGACAAGCTCGAACGTTCCTTCGCCCGATGGCACCATCTTTGCAGTCATATGCGGTGGGAATCTGAAATAATCCCAGCTACCACCGACATTCGCTGCAAGAGGTTTGTATGTATACCCATTAAAAGTATGAGGAAGGCATACCAGCAAACACCATACATGCTGCACCGGTCTCGGTACTGAAGGACATTCTCGTAAAGATGCACATGGGCACGCAAAGGTAGTTAAAGCACGCACGCGCCATATAAAGTGAACAGGGTAACACCCCGAGCAGTGAGCGAGTCACCAACCTCTTTATTGAGCGGTCCGCCTCCGAAGGCCTGAACGAGCTCCATCATCATCCACAACATTCACAACAGCGAAGAGGCTCACAATTCCCATGCGAGTAGCAAACAGCTTGATATAGTCTGGATTATGTGACCAAACCTATCAATAGCAATGAGCAATCACTTCAGAAAAATCATACTCTGTACGTACCTCAATCATAGAGGGGACAGTAAATATGAGATCACACTGTGTTGCCTTAAAACTATCGACGATGTTGTCCGATGTGGGTACTGGCGCAGGCGACCTCGGTGCAAACATACTGACAATGAAGCCACACGAAACCTATTTTTCACTGACTGTTAGCGCTGGATATCATATCTGATGGACATGAATAATACTGTACATACAGCCGACATTGTAAAGAGCATGCCCATGATATGGAACATGGGCAGGACGTGCATTGAGACTACAATACCTGCAAGATCACGCTCACCGAAGCATGGTGTAATGATGATCTCAATGGCGCGACGATGTGTGAGCGTAATCGGTTTCGGAAATGCCGTTGAACCTGGGACATAAGCATTCGGTTACGGTCATAGGCAAATCAAATCAAAGGCGCAAACCGGACGTGTGTAAAATAATGATAGGGTCTTCGAGTTTTTGACGCTCGTAGGGCACATCATCAGCAGAAACGGTTTCTGAGTTGGGCAGATAGAGCTCTTCGAAAATCAGCGCGAGTGACGTCTCAGGAACGTGCGCGCATGGATATCTCGCCCGTAGTATATTCAACGACTTGGTGGTAAGCTCGCAGACCAACGGTTCACGTCCGATAAGGAGATGTTGGACTCCGACAATGTTCAGCAGATGTGCGATCGCCGCAGGAGAATTACGCGTAGAAATGAGGAAGCCTGTGTACCCAGCGCGAATAATAGCCATTAGGGTTGTCGCGTATGAGATTGAGTCTGAATAGGGCCGCAGTATCAATGGCAATTGTGTAGTTCACAGAGACGGATATCACCTGAGTTTGCCAGAATAGCCACAGTAGGAGATTCAGCTGTGCCGGCCTTCCAATTCGTGCGATTTCTGATAATCTTAGCACCGGTGTGGATGGCTCGCACCACCTCGGGCCAGCATAGTCGACGGATAATGCCACCCTCATCTGCAAAAACGAAAAGCGGATGATCTGGAGAGTACCGCGCATGCCATTCCCAGAGCTCTGGTATGAGCAGCAAACCATCGAGCGGGGGTGGTCGGAACGTAGTGGACGACTGTCCATGAATCTGAGAGATGGAAGCGTGAAGAAACCTAGAGGGCGTTGACATCTCAGAACCTTCAGGTAGAAGAATACGGGTAGGGGAAAGCAACTGGCGGGATATCTTATATGGCCTCACTTCATCATGCGCCTGAAATGTATTGTTTCTATCATGTTTGTGAAACGTGCCGTTAGGAGCAGCAAGAGGTGTCGAGTATCCGAAACTGCATGCTGCCGGTGGATACCACCATTTGGCACAACCCAAGGGGAAGTAAAGACGTCTGTAATCATCTGTCCTTGAAGTATCTTCCATGTCTGATGACAGCTTCGATAATTTGGAGCATTTATTATTCAAATGGGACTGCTCACCGCAAAACAGATGTCATTATGCTGCCATTTGCATGACCAAACTATACGCGTTGGGAAGCGGCGGAGGGACAACCTCAGCTTGAATGTGTTCTTTGGGGAGCATGAGGACTGAATTAGACCGTCATTGTGCTCCTCCTGATTTGGAAGTCTTATGATAGCGCTATAGACACCAATATATTGCCAAAAATGTTGAAGTAGCAATTAGCAATATGTAACTGCGCTCAACAGCGGATTAACAGCGACTTCCCGGGAAAGTCTTCTCCCAGCGACTCGCCGCAAGATCATGAGACACGATGGTGTAGCAGTGGGTTTGATGTGCCCTGTCAGAGTGGTCGGAAGACCCCCCAAGCCGACAGTCACGTAGTACGCACCCACTGTACAGGGAATGGGTCGCGACACATTCATTTCTATGACCAATGCGGCGTAACCGCAACTGCATTGGACTCCATATTTGTCTTGAGTCAGGGACCGAAGAATTTCGCTTCATTCGCAGTGCCTAGCACAAGTAATTTGATTTGCATACCACAGAGGATAGTGCCCAATACAGTCATTTGCTGCATGACTACTGGGCGCTTGAATGGCGCACGTTTGATCTTGCTCGCCACCACGACAGTGTCGTGGAACTGTCAGCATTTCCCAAAATTTACACGCAGAAACATAGGAATTAAGAGCCAGTCAAAATTTAAATGACGAGAATTGGTGCGCTCTTGAACGAGTTACAACTTCAGCGTACCTAATGCCGCTTGGAAGGCGATCAAAGATAGGATCAATGTGACCGTTACATGCGGGCGCTAAGTGGGATGGAGGGTACGCCTATCGAAATACCCCAGACGGTTAATCCGCGGTGATGGGATGCGGGATAGAATCGGTTGGGCACGAGACAAACATTCATCCTCAGTTTGGGTCGGTCAAAGACAGTACGGAAAATTCAAATTCATTTTGCGTGGGCTCCACCTGACTGCTGGGACTGCAGGTCATACCTGGCTGCGCCCTACACCCAACAGATAGTTGTGCCTGTCGACAAACTCACTGCCGAATAACTATAATTGGATGAAGTACGATACGTCTATGTGTATTCTAGCCCTGTTGCCGGAAAGGCTGGGCATATGTATGCAGCAGTCCCCATCGAGTCTATGAGGATGGATATAGCGTAGCCGTGACTGGGAATGTCTCAGAACAGCTCGACTCTTCTCCAGTACACCAACCACCTCTTGACGTCCGCCCCTCCAAGCTGACGAAGGTCAGGGGCTCCTAGCGTCGGCGACCCTGCTATAGCCTGCTTGACTTCAAGGTCTGGCAAACCCATAGACATCCGTGCAGTGCTCGATTTCTCAGCCAAGGCCTGGAAGAACCCGAGAAGTTGTAGGGCGCGCAGGCCGCGCACAATCTCAGGGTCTGCATGTCCATTCTGCTCGTATGTCTGGGCGGTATGTACCAGCTTAGCTAGCCACTCCGCGTAAGGTACGAGCGGCACGCCAAGTTCGGACGAGACGACGGTCGCGAGAGAATGCCATGAGACTGGGCGAGGATGCACGAGGTGCACGGTGTGTGTTGGATTCGAAGCGTTACGGAAGTCGGCAATCGCTCCTGCAGTAATTTCGAGCGGGATCCAGTTCACGTCCTACCATATCGGGCCGACCAGTCAGCTGTCATGGATAGCGAAGCAAAACAGCTCAATCGCACCTTATCGTCGTCCGGGAAACATCCCAACTTTGTTGCGCTTTGCACGAGAGTAGGGAACCACTCGTGCGTGTTCCACAAGCCATCGAGGCCGCCGCAAACCTGACCGACACGGACAACCAGAGTGTCGAGAGAAGTCTTCGATGCTGCTGCGTATAGAGTCTGCTCGGAGACCCACTTCGACTCTGCATAGCCTGTGCCAATCGCAAGATCAGGCTCCAGTGGTCCCTCTGCGAATATCACATCGCAGGGTGAGTCTTGGGGAAAAAGTCAATATTTAAAGTATAGTATGCAGTGTCAAAGACCAACTTTGGAACACGCCAATGGAACTTTCGAATAGCACCCGTGGCGGTTGGGGCAACGGAGACGTCAGAGCGAAGTCTACCAAACGCCGCACGCCTGCGATGCTATCCTCAAACGACTCCAGTTTGATCACGAAGTCGACACGCCACGCTGGACACAGAATACAGAACAATTAGCCGATGCGATAGCTCAATATTGCTGAACATCTACCGTTGTGGATGATATGCGTGACAGATTTGTGCAACTGCCCATGCATACTTATCAGTGCTCAGGATAATCAACCCCGACATCGAAGACACACACCTCTTCGTACGCGTTCTTTCCAACGCCCCAATTCTCCGCTGTCAGGCTTCCCTCCAGAAGCACTACTTTCTCCGAATCCGCTATGCTTGCGTCGAGTCCACGCTCGACCAAGGCCGCCTTCTGTCTCTCGCGCAGATGCGTCTGCGTCTTGGCTGGCCTGTTGAATGCATACACCCGCCCGACCTTCGGGTCGGCCACGAGAAAAGCAAGTATATGGCACCCTATACTGCCCGTTGTCCCTGTCACGAAGACTGCATCTTGCTCAGGCTGTGATGGAAGCAGTGTTCGAGGCCGAGCCGGGAAGTCAGCGGAATATTTAGCCAGCATGGCTTGCATGGCCAGAATGCGAGCAGACGCGGTGAGCCCAGCAGTTGCCGAGTCATGCGTTCCTTGGGCGACGGAGGAGACGAATGCAGCCAGACTAGAGACGGTCGGATGATCGTAGACGAAGCTGCCGACAATCTTGTGTGTATCCACTTTTGTTGTGTCACGGAAGGCGCGGAGGATGGTGTTGCGGATGTACGTAGCCTGCAGGCTAAAATATCATACGACCAGTCATGAGCAGAGCTCGCTCTCCTGGGCATAACATTAGCGTACCTGTCGCAGCCGTGCTGGAATATGTCGTCATTGTCGGTCACCGCATGCGTCATCACTTTGTGGACGACCGTGCGAACGTATTCGGTAGTGGTTGGCAGTGTCCACTCGGTCGGAGGCGGTATGGAGGATTGTGCGCTCGCATCGACGGTGTCGTAGAGTGCGTTGATCTCAGTTTCGTATTCCTTGATCACAGCTCCGCGGCGCACAGTGCTCTTCGCGGTGTACAAGAAAGGCTTTGACGGTGAAGCAACCAAGATCATCTGTGCCCAGAGCATTAGCGCCATTGCAACAGTAAGGTATTACGTGGCTATGCGCTGACCTCCTTGAACAATCTCGAGTGTTGAGGCGCATACTCGTTCATCTTCTCCACCGTCGGCCTGTGACCATTCGTCAGCGGTTGAATCTCGCTACAGTCTGCCAGACCCCTACCATATCTTGTTCCTGAAGTCTATCAGCTTCGCTTCATCCGACGGATCGAAGCGATACTGCAGCTTCGGCTCGATCAAGATACCAGCTTGGAACCTCCCACGGCCAAACATGACCGATGCGGCGACGTGCGGATCTAGATTCATAATGGCCTCTGAAGGGAGTGCATGAGTCAAACAGATGTATGCGGATATTCTACTTGCGCATACCAAGAGGTCCCGGGTTTGTCTGTAATGTATGGTCAAAAGAATCCACCATGCATGACAAGGAAAGGGGCTTGCCTTCTCTCCCGTGCTGTGCATGATCTGATCGTCAGTGCGACCGATGACCTTCCAATGCCCCTTCTTCGTCGGATGCTCTAAGAAAAGATCGGAAGTAGCATAGGCATCTTTCCCATCGAACTTGGTGTTCAGTAAGCTCGGACATCCGAAGTCATTCGCCTAAAGGCGCGTGTGTAAATGGATCCTGCCGGCTGACCCATACTTAGAATGGCTACTCACTATTACGATGAGTTCATACGTCCCTTCGCCCATTGGGGCCATGTGGGTGGTTACGTTCCCTGGGAGCCGGAGATATTCCCATTCGTCGCCGACGTGAGCTGGGAACTAGGTTAGTATAGTAAAGCGAAGGCAGGGAGCGTCGACGCATACCAGGCATGAAGATACATTGAGCGCCGGTCTCCGTTCTGCAACGCCGTCACGGTTACAACGCTGAGCGCATGAGAAGTAGATGGTACCGATACTCACGAGCCATACAAGTTGACCAGGGTTACCCCTTTAGAAACGAGCTCGTCACCGATTTCCTTGTTGAGTGGACCTCCTCCGTAAACCTTTGTTTAAATGTAAGCGATTGCATCAGCATGTGTCAGTGGTAACTTACTATTCCTTGACGGGTAGCAAGGTACTTGACATTAGCGGGTGTTTTGGACCAGGCCTGGATAAATATTGTTACAAATTTGAATTGTACGAGCAAACCGGGCCATACCTCCACTATAGCGGGGACAGTGACCAGGATGTCACTACCGGTCGCCTTCGCCTGGTCCAAAACCAAGTCCGGCGTCAAGATGGCCGGGGGATGCTTTGGCGCGGGCAGGCCAGGAATCAAACCAGTCGAGACCTGCAGAGAGGTCAGTTCATGGAATGAAACACATGCACCTCAAAACTACGCACAGCCCAGGTCGTCATCAGCATGCCCATAACGTGAAACATGGGGAGGGTGTGCATGGAGATGATGCGCCCTGCCAGGTCGACCTCGCTGAAGCATGGCGAGAGGATGTGCTCGTTAAGACGGCGGTTTGTCATCACGATGGGCTTCGGGAAGGCCGTAGACCCTGGGATACGTACGTGAGACAACACTGCTCTGAGTAATCGACCCATCTACGAACCAGACGAGTGCAAAATCACAACAGGCTCCTCGGCACCCTTGTATTCGTACGGAACGTCTTCGCGGGACGGACTCTGGGAGACAGGCAGATAGAGCTCCTCGAAGCCAAGCATCGAGGACGTCTCGGGCACAGTCGCCTCAGAATACTGCGTCTTCAGGAGATCCAGTGATTCTTTGCAGAGACCGTGCATGGAGGGCTCATCTCCGACCAGCAGATGCTTAGCACCGACTTTATCGAGCAGATGTGCCACTGCCGCAGGAGAGTTGCGCGAAGAGATCAAGAACGCAGTGCAGTTGGCCCGCATGATAGCCATTGTCGTCGTCGCATACGGAACAGAGTCTGTTCAACGTTCGATGTTGCGCTTCAGCAACGTTTGAATCTCGTATACGAAACTCTCACCTGAGTTGGACAAGATAGCCACAACCGGCGCTTTGGTCATACCAGGCTGCCAGTGCGCACGGTCTCTGATGATCTTGACACCGGTGTAGACCGCTCTCAAGACCTCGGGCCAGCAGAGTTTGCGAACGCTGCCATCTTCCCTTGCGAAGACGAACAGAGGATGGTCAGGACTGTGCTCCGCGTGCCACTCGTACAGCTCAGGGAGAGCCAGGGAGCCATCCAGTGGAGGCATTTTGAAGGTGCCACCTGGTTTTCCATGGATACGAGGGACCGGAGGGAGGTGGGGACGAGCTAGGGCGGACATGACGAGATATCGACAGGAGCCGGGACAATGCTTGCTCTACTTGTTGCGCAGTCTCATATTTATGCTAGTGGTCGAGGACCGGCAAAATGCTGTAATCATGCGCATAGTCGGCATTCAAGATCGCCTTACCCAGCACCAACACCACGGCATTAGGGTGACCCCGTTTGCAAGGAACATACTTCTGACGATCACCGCGTTAGCGCGTTCAACTACGCTCGGAAGGGCTGAAACGTACCTCCCTCTTCAGGAATCCGTGACGACAGCGATGGCGATACTCGGGATTGATCTGTAGAAGCTTCGGACATTCCGTCGCCGTCGGCACCGGTGTAGGATGCTTCTTACGCTTTCTTACAAGGGAAAGAACTATGCGGGACGCCCTTGAACATTCGTTGTACCGTCTCCTCCTGCGTCTCGCCATTGAGCAACCGGGCAGTCCGATGGCAGCTTCTATCGTGATCAGTATGGTATCGCCTCGAGGCCGCTCTTGGATGTTGTCATAGGTATACCCGAAATGCACCACTGCCTAGTATAATCTCACTAAGGTGCGTATACAGCCTTGAGTTTTGAAATGCTATAAGGCTCTATCGGACAGAGACTGAGTCAGACGTTTCATATGTGCATGGACTGCATAGATGAGATGCGAAGTCCCGTGCAAGGAGTTGTTTCGCCGCGGTTGCTTGACTAAGTTATCTGGCATGACGCGTCTACGCATAGTCAAGATCGAAAAGCGAGCCTTCCATTTTGGGACGAGATCGGCGTGAGCTGATTAAGCGCTTGTCTGGCATATGATTTCAAATTCGGCCACAGATACCCAGATATCCGTGCGCGGGACGCCCGACTCGGAGGATATTCTACAAGACGGATATGTCCTCCAGGATGGTTCTGGTCCTACGCACAGGCGGACCACCACTTGACGGCTATGTTATGGCCTCCAGTCCGCATATCCATTCCAAAGACAACCTACCCAAGCCTGCCACTCCTGCGCTCACTGTTGGATATCCGATGGCCCCAAATGCATAAATACCCTAACGAATGAGCCTTCATTCCTCAATTGCAAAGTCACAACTACTGCCGTCTACCACTGCATTATCATCATATCACAATGGCTTCATCTTCTGCCTTTACGCGCGGCCTCCCCCTGGCTGGTCCAGGCCGACTCTCGCGCACCTTCTCTGTCGCCAAGTTGCACACCCTCGCAGCTTCCGAGCAGACAGATGCCGCCTCACCATCCTCGCACCGCCCCACCAGGGCGGAGCTCGAGGCGCGCCTCGCACATGCCCAGGTCCGCGCGCAGGCGCGCGGAACAACTAAGCCTACACTAAAGGGCATCGGGCTCGGCCTCCCCGCCGAGCTCTTCGCGTCCCAGTCGTGCATTATCGCTGCGAAAAATGTAACAGCGCACGACCTCACGCCCACATTGGCGCTGGCAAGCACTGGTGAGCTCAGTCCCACGTCCAACTTACACACTGCATTCTCATACACCCCATCCTCGACGTTCGTGTTGGTGCCCTCGTCTCCGTGATCGCTGCCAGAGCTCGAGACGGCCACATTCTCACCCGAGCTCGCGCTTGCGCGCCTCCCATCCTACCAGTTCCACGGCAGGCGCAGCGATGCGCCGCCCCCCAGCTCGGACGTATCCTCCGGGTCTGTGGACTCGCCCACTGGTACCCCGCAGCACTCGCCCATCCCGGTGCGCAAACCACGCCAGCCCCGGCACTCGTATGCCCCGCCCGCGAGCAGCTTCGGCGCGCCACCGACCAAGCACGGGCTCGTCGGGCTCGGCATCATGATCTCGTCCACCGCGCCGCAGCAGGCCTTCCCCGGCCTGCGCCGCCCGCCGACGCGCATCGACATCCCTCGCATGTCTGGCCTGCTCTCGCCTGGGCTCGTCGTTAGCCCGCGCGAGCTGGCGCAGCGCAATTTCCCCATCACCCCCGGGGCGCCCCTCCGCCGCGAATTCGCCATGCAGCGGGCGATCCCTCGCACGCCAGGCGCACCCCGTATTGGAACGTTGCCTTCGGACGAAGGAATCCCAATGTTCCACCTCCCTGCGGGATTGATCACGCCAATCGGGCTGGGTATCCTCATAGACCCCTTGGGCTCGCCGTCGTCAGAAAGCGAGCCTGAGTCCTATTTCGAGGCGTAGAGTCGATCATAAACAAACAATCGTTACAAAAACACCATATAATACATATATGTATAAAAGCGAATGCAAAAAATAAAACACCGTCTTGACATCAAACGCCAGTGCCTGAATGAGTCCATTTAAGGTTTGCGGAGAAGTCTGATATCGTTGTGCATGTATCACAGTCTAAGCCATTCTGTCGCGACAATGGTCACTTAATTCCAGGTCAGAAAAAACAATACGTCCGCGTGTATTATCTGGCTATCGTACAGTGAAGGCGAGTTCGTCAATCTCCAGAGCATCCAAGACAAGTCGCACATGTCATCCAGTGGAACATAGAGCAATCACGATTGCATGTTTTCCACAAATCTGCTGTCGCTCGAAGCGCGCGGGCGCGGGGCCTGAGGGGGGTTCGCCGCAGCCATGTCTTTGCTCTTCCTCCACCCGAACCACCCATTGCCCTCGCGCTTGCCGCCTGGCCGCGCTCCCTTCTCCGTGATGGTGCCCGTATTTGCACTCGAGGCGACCTGCTGTTGCTGTTGCTGCGCCGCTTGGTGCTCGGCCAGCTGCCTGAGCACCTCCTCGCCACGTATGCGGAGGAACTCCTCAAGTAGCTCCGCGTTGCGCGAGTTCGCCTTGAAGACAGCAAGGACGACGTCGCCGACGAGTGGAACGAAGCCGATCACAAGGGAGACAGCGTTGTTGGCGAGCATTCGGTGCAGCAGCCAATCAGGAATGCTGAGGACATAGCTGAGCATTCGATGTATACGGTTATGAAAGAGACAAGCTCACTTCGCTTCTTGTGCCTTGCGAACTACGAGAACGTAGTTGAGGGTAGCATCTGCTATGTCTCCGGCTCCTGGGACCATGCCTATACAATAAAATTAGACAATATACTCAAGCTATAATCTCAAGGAGCCGAAGAGCGACCCACCAATAACGAACGTCCATCCAAAGCGCATGCCGCAGAGACGGAACCCCTTGTCCAGATAATGCGCACGCTTTTTCACAGACTGTAGAATTTTCGCATCGCGCGCAGACAATCCCGGGGGTAGCTCCCTCTAGCATTTTCGTTCGCCTCAGTGGTGCTCTTCTTGATTATCATACGAGGTCACAGCACACCTTCCTTCTCCGCTGTCGGCCCCGCTTGTCTGTGTAAGTCTCGTACAGCGGGTCGGCGGGTGAATATTGATGTAAATGCTTTTCAAAGAGCTTCTTTCCCGAGCTTACGAGGAAGTCTGGCGGCATATGGGCGACGGAGGGGAAGAGAGAAGATGGCTGGAGCGGACTCGTTTCCAGCGGCAGGCAGCATTTGTACAAGTGACGTTCGATCGAGCCTCCCCGCTGAGGGGCTCGGCGGTGACGTCACGCGCCGCACCTCACATAGCATTTTGTAGCAAACCCATGTGTCGTTCGGGGCGGTGCCGCAACAGCCAATGGGCGAGGCAACTTGCAAATAGAACCGCCATAGAGTTCGCATGTGGAAACAACATACGTAAGGGCACGAACTTCTTAGCGCCGACCCGATCACTCCACACGCATTCCAACTTTGGCCAGCCCCGGCGTAAGTAGTTACGATACAGTAAATAATACCTCTGCTTATGGCGAGACAAAATGATTTAGACTACACCACCGGAATTAGTGAATTCACTACTGATATCTAAGCATTATTCTAGGTTGCCTCTTACTGACCCTTTTCGTTAGCCGTCCAGGTCCATGCCGGATATCTTGCCCACTGGCTCTAGCACCTTTCATTTGCACAACGTTTTGTGTGTACCTCTTTGCACTTGTTTGCTTTCGTGAGTTCACCGCCGCAGGCCTTCTGTCTTCATGGTTCATCTTTATTTCGCCTTCGAAATTCGCTTTCCATGGCGCCGGTAAGGGTACCGTCCGAATTTGGGGCGGCCGCAATTGGGACCGTGAGCGTTTGATCACGTGCAGGGGCTATGCGCTGCCCCATTTGGCTTATACCACCTTTCTCCCTGACTTATCGCCTCTTGCCCCCTCCTGTACACCGAAATACACATCTCGGGAATTCAGGCGCTGCAAGCCCTCAATAAGTCGCCCGTAAAACAGGTAAGTGCATCGGTTATCCTACTCATTTTCCTCAATTTGTCCAGATTGCTTTCTTTTGTCTTACCTCGACGACGCTCAACGATGTCTACCCGTGCAGGCTGTAGTGCGCAACGGACATGGACCAGGCAGGATCACCAAATTTGTCGAGCACGCTCGAGTCCGTGCAGATCCCCGACCCGGCACACGATGCTAAAGCTGAGGGCACTATTGTAGCCGTCGAGGTCATAGACAACGGCAACGGCAGCGGCAACGCAGTGCCCCTCGATGACGTTCCCCCTATCGCCGTGAATGCGGAGGCCAGTGTGTCTGATATCAAGCGTAGACCAGGCCGGCCTAAGAAACAGCCCGCGCCCGCTGAGCAGCCCAGGGTCAAACGCCCCGTAGGCCGCCCGAGGAAGGACGGCCTACCCGCAGGATCTGTGGGTCCCCGTCGTCCAACTCGTCCGCGCAAGCGGCCGCCGGGGACATTTGCTGCACAGCAGTCCATCTCTGCGCCGTTTCCGTATGCGGTGCGCCGGTTTTTCCAGGTCTGCGCAATCGGTACTGATGCGGACTGCAGCCCCAGTTCAATTTTCCCCCACCGGAGTCGATGCAGACGCAGTGGCGCGCCTCGGTGCCACCCATGGCCTCCCTGCAACGTCCCCCTCCTGCCCCGCGCCCTGTATCGCACATGTCGATCCCCATCGATCCGAGCCTCGACCGAGACAACTGGCCGGAACTCTCTCGCACCAGGCCGGATATCTTCCTACACACGTTGGTCATGACGCTGCAGGCTCCGAATCTCGTGTCCTCTGGTGGACCGACCGTGGAGGAGGCCTTCAAGTCGCATCTCGTGTCCCTCACTCCCAACAAGAACGCGCCATCTATCCCGACGCTGTATTCTATCTTGAAGACATTCTGGCTGCCGTCGTCTCCCGTGTACTTCTCGCTGACGTCGTCGGCATCGACGACGCGTACCCCGTCTGATCATCGGTTCTTCTATTGGGATCCCCATACTCTTGTCTTCAACGGCATAGCGTGTCCGGCATGCTCAGCCCCTCTCATGAATCGTGGCCGGATCGGCACGGGACCCATTAAGGTGTACGACTTGCACAAGCCGTTCTTCATTATTGGTTGCGAGTACCAGTGCAAAAGTCCGGTGTGTGTCGCCGCGGCAGGTACTGAGGGCCGCCGATTCGCGAGCACAGACCTATCGATCCTGCGCGCTCTGCCGCCAAAGCTGAGGGACGAGTTTCCGGCGCTGTTGATTCACGGTGTGCCGGATCTCGGGAGCGGTCCTGAGATATGGAACTGGCAGGGGATGGGCGTCTCCATCGCGCTGTGGAACATGGTCCATGCAAGTTTGCGGACCGGGTCGAGGAAGGAGACGATCCTGGAGATCATTCAGGCAGTGCAGCAAGGCGTCCCGGAGGACTACGCGCCCTTCCCGCCTATGCCGCTCCCGCAGCAGCTTGAGCAGCCCATACGAGGAGAGGAAGAAGAGGAGGAGGAAGAGGACACGCAGGAGGCTGCGCAGGTCGAGGGCGACCTGGAGTACCCCAAGGATGTCAGTCGCAAAAGGCTCTCCTCCGCTTGATCCCTGCTTACGGCGAGCCGCAGAAAACCACAGACGAGTTCAATGAGGCGTGGCACGCGAACAGCGGCGCGGTCGAGGTTGCTGCGGGTGGTGTGCCAGGCGAGGCGGGGCCCAGCACAGTCGCAGCTGCCGCGCTCGGGGAGCCCAACGGCAATGCAGGCGACCAGCCCGCGCCGCCGCCGCCGCCGTTCGCGCAGTTTGGACAGCCCGCACCGCCCCCGATGTACCAGCCGTATGGCTATGTCCCGTACCCGTACCTCCAGGCGCCGGGGGAAGCGAACGCGCCGAATCCTAATGTGCTGAAGCGTACGTTCTCGATCGTGGACGGGACACCGGACCCCGAGGTGGGGATGCCACTGCACAAGCGGGTGCGGCACTGTTGCAAGTGCGGGTCGAACGAGTGCAAGGGCAAGGGCGGGCGGTCGTTCTGCCAGAATCCGTGCCAGGACTGCGGGAAGGTCGACTGCAAGGGGCGGAATAGTAAGCGTCCGGACAGGACGTGTGCGGATGCGTGGCCGTGAAAGATTGAATTGAGTACCCCTCGTCCTAGTATGCGCTTTGTATTCTCGATATCCCGCAGAAAAGTCTTGTTGTGTATTCTAGCTTTTTTTGTCGGCATTTGGCGCGAATTTCAATCTTCTTGTGATCATTCTCACACTCTGAGCCTGATGCCTGCGTTCAATGACAGCAAAACCAATATTGATAGACCTCCCCTCGCAAAGTATACACATCGGCAAAGTGGGGCAGAAGCCCGCGGCAGGAGTCGGCAGTGGTGCAGACACGTCGACGAGCGGCCGATGGGCTACTGAGGATCGTGAGGTAGACGCTCGCTGTAATCCCCTCGTCCTCTCGCCGTCATTCTTAGGATGGGCGATATATCCCTCCTCAGAAGGAATTGGGTGTCTAATACATGCCTGACTCCATGACTAATGTCCAGATTAAGGAAGCTACTGGTATCGTAGGGTTCGTCGCTGTCTACCTTTGTTTGCAGAAGTAGAGAGCGATGATGTAGACCTCGACATATAGACGAATATTGAGACATCGGCGTGGATTACGACTATATATGGGTGCCATGAACAACACTGAGATCTCTGGGGGATGAGGGCACGTCACCCCCGAGGTGCCGAGCGCCGCTATGCTCCATGCCGCCTATCTGTACTTTTTGCGAGGGAGGTCTATCAATATTGGTTTTGCTGTATCAAAGGGCCGGGACTAGAGCAAGTCACTTCTACAGGTCGTATGCATATATGAGCAGTTACTTTCGATATGTCCACGGAGAGAACATCATCCTTATCTGTTTGGCATGTCGCTCCACGTTTGCGCAGTGACAAGCATAAACGTCGCGGCAAATGCAGTCTGTTCAAGAAATGTACCACGAGTGCATGTCAACACACGCGTAAGCGAGCCCGGCAATTCCTCAGGCGCGACAAGGACAAATTCTCTATAAAAGATGCTACATATACGCGTTTTGTTTGCTTTGTTTGACAAATACAACATTGCTTTCCTTCATCGTACACTCATCGTACAGCGCCCCAGTCGCGACGGAATTCGAGCGTTCACTGAGAAAGGGTCCTGATCTTCAGGATGATCGCTGCGAGGGAGTAGCTCATAAATGAGATGTAAACGGACGACTATAGTGACACTTACACTGAGGGTCGAGGCCTTGGTGAGGGATCTGCTCAGTCAGACCACCACAACCTGCAGATGTCGCACTCAGTATACATTCGTGACATGAGATCGATACTATCTCACCCTCTTTGTTGGTGCCGATATAGCCGTAGCGCGGCGTGAGTTGACGCTCCAGCAACCAGGTACCGAACTTCGAGCCAAGCTGTAGTGCGAATCAGTCAGCAGGCATTTCTTCTACCAGCAGCAGACTTACGCCGGTCTTCTGGCTAAGCGACTCGACAACAAGGACGAAGGGGCTGGAGCCGATCTTCCTGATTGTCCGCTCGTCGACGAGGTTGAGCGTCGGCTTGTTGATCAAGCCGACGTCCAGGCCCTCCTGCCGGCAGCGTAGAACAGCGTCCCACGAGCGGTAGAGCATGTCACCGTACGAGACGACGTAGCCTGCTTTGCCCTCCGCGATCGTCTCGTCCTTTCCGGGCTCAAAGACGTAGTCGTCACCGAAGAAGCGCGTCTTGCCATCCTCCTTGAGGATCCACGGCACTTTGGAACGCGTTGAGAAGACAAACCGCAGGCCGCGGTCGAAGAAGACGCGCTGGATGATGGCGACCATCTGTGCAGGGTCGGCGGCGAAGTACAACCACGACTGCGTATCTGCGAGACCATTGTCTGCGAAGAACGAGTTGATGCCAAAGTGGCAAGTGTTGTCCGCCATCTACCTCATTGTTAGCCATCTGTGAACTGGAGCCTTAGGTCTCACGAACCTCGTCAACTGCATGAGGGGCATGAGCATACCACATTCGTAAGACAACGACACAACGTGCTTACCTCCAGAGTGAGAGAAATGGCAGAGAACGTTGCAAAAGTTGAGGCGGGCCATGGTAACCTCAGATATCACCATCTCGAGGAACGCGGAGAAAGTCGAGAAGACACCGAACTTGTTCGCGTCGAAGCCAAACCCAGCCGCGGCACTAAAGTTACCACGCTCCATGATGCCGGACGGGATGAAGACTTCAGGGTGCTTCTGGTGGATCACTTTCAGACCAGTCGAACCCTCCAGGTCACCTTAGCTTTGTATGAGATATCGATCCCTGGATATCACTGGAGACACTCACTGTCGATCACCATGACTTTCTCAGCTGCCTCCTCTTTGGACAACTTGTCGAGCACCAGGTTGACAGCCTCGCCGAAGATCACACGGTTTGCGCCGACCTCCTTCGTCGACCCAATGTACAGATAGGGCACCGAATGCGGCTTGATGTTGTTAAGAATATTCGACGCCATGGCCTCAGGGTAGCCACGCGATGTGAGGTACTTGATGGCAGACTTGACTGGGATGACATCGTGTCCGTGCGTGCTGCCTTCAATGTCCGCGACACCAGGCGCCATGAGACGCTTGCAGACAACGGCCGCGGGGCCATCGTGGTTGATAATCTCACACAGACCACCCCACAGTGCGTCAACGTCTTCACCTTGGACCGTGATGACCTTGAGGCCATGGCCAGAAAGCGTCTTGTTCAAATCATAGCCTTTGAGGTACTGCGACGGATGGCCAGCAATGGTGACGTCATTGTCATCGATGATCAGTTTGACATTCAGGTTCTGCGCAACGGCGAGGCGGGCTGCCTCAGCGTCGTTGCCCTCCTGTTGGGAACCGTCTGAACCGAGCAGGAAAACCGTTTTGTCGCGGTTCGCGAGCGCGACACCGTTCACCCATGGCCAGACATGGCCAAGACGTCCCGAAGAGAACTTTACACCGGGTGTCAAGCCGAGCTCAGGGTGACCTGGGAGTTTCGAGTTGGCCTCACGGTAGTGCAGGAGGTGCTCTGCTGGGATGTGCCCTTCGATCGCGGAGAGGAGGTACTGAGTCGCGACACGGTGCCCTGGACGATCACGATCAGAGCAGATCAAAAAGTCATGGTGGGAGAGAGCGCACCAGCCTCGTCGAAAAGGATCGGGACGTATTTTTCCTTGGAAGCGTTGAAGAGAGCGAGGAGCATGCAGACCTCGGGGACGGTGTCATATGCACCACCTGCAGAGATTATGAGAGTCTGTTCGCATGTGGTCCAGTAAAACAAGATGTGTCCGACATGTATTCTACTTCTACAGGCCCTTGGATGCGATGGTTTAACATTCTTAACAGCGCACGATCCTCACTGTTGTCTCTTGACGCATAAGAATGCTGACCAACGACAGTGAGGCAGGGGTGGGACCCGTAGAGCTCACTTCGGAAACACTCTTAGACGCATATAACTTACCCGTATGTCCGCTAACACCTCGCGCAGCGCCCGTGGCCGTAAAAAGTACAATAGCATCGCGCATGAGCTGAATGTTGTGCAGCAGCGCAGCCTTCTCCTCCGCCGTCAGTTGCGGCTTGGAAGGGTCTAGCGACAGCCTGTCGATGATGTCAGCGCAGTACGCGTCGATCGCAAGTGAACATCCGCCCACTTCTTGAGCTGCTTAAGGTCGATTGGAAACTTGCTATCCGTACCCGACATGGTCTGAGATTGTGGGCGACGAATGAAGGTGAGATGGGAGTAGAGAGACGGGGTGGATTGACTGTGGGGACTCTTATATCATTGGATCGGGTCGCCGATCAGTGACGGCGGACCGGGGTCACCGGCGCTCACCTACAACACCGCCAGCCAATCAGACAACAAACATGCTTCCCCTAGCGGTCCTTGGCCCTTTGCATGGGAATGTTAGACACGATGCAAACCAGATTGACCTCTTCAAGTACAAACTGGGGGCTCAAGGTCACACATATCATAGAGGGAAAGAGGGGATATGTATTACGCGAGAATACATGGGACGCGCTGCGTAGATAGCGCGCTGCGATAATCCCGCACACACTGCGATCATGAGTATTTAACCAGGCGTCCATGCTATAAATACACAACGAATAAGGAAACCAAACCGCCGAAAACGGTTCAACTCTGCTTGGGAATCGTCAACACATTAGCATTTAGGTATTCCCTTGTTTAGGAGGAATGCCGGCAAGCATGTCGAGCCAGCGGTCAAAAGATCTTGCTATGAGCTGGGCGAAGATCAGGTAAATCACAACACACTAGGCACAACAAAGTACTGGGACTTACCGTTGTTGCCTACGACGATATGTTGAGAAAGAGAAGACCCTGCCGCATGCTGTCAGAAAGCAGGCATGCCGTCGTTAATGGCGAATAGGCTCGCTATGTCATGATCGTCGGCTGAAGGTTCGATCCATTCGTGGTCGCCACGGCGATCATCTACCCGGGGCATTGGATTACCATTGCATCGGATATCGAACCCGTCATCGTCATTATCGGTAACCGGACCTTCAAGCAGCGTATGTTCCAAGTCTGGAGCACCGTCGCGGAATATCCCTGCGGAGGTCGTGGGTTCAAGCTGACAGTCTAACCTGCGGGGGCGCAGGTTTCCCTCTGTGTCTAGGTAAAATCCATACCGACGGTCGTGGCGATAGCACTCTACTTCGTGTGGCTGCAGATACAAACATGAGGAGGCATGCACTAGCAAAGGAAGCAAATAGACGTACGTCGCGCAAGTTCGGCCTGTCCTTGAGCTCCTTGTCGAAGGCTTCCGTGACTTCTCTATCTTCCTCCCCGTAGCCGTATGGATCCGGGAACCTATACTGCGGATGAGACACTTCAAGCCCCGAGTGTAAAGCCTTGACTGCATTCAAGGCAGGATTCAATTCAAGCAAAGTCCAAAAATCATGGGGGAAGACACAGTTGCCTACTCGTACCCATGTCCTCCATGTTATGGCTGGATCTGTGGCTGAGCCCAAATATTTCAGGAATTCGTGGTGGAGAAATGCAGGTGGTCGTGGGCCTGCCAGGGACTCGTCATCCCATACACGGTACCATTGTACTCCCAAGTCATGGTCAGGAAGCCACTCGTAAACTGGGTCGTTACAAGTCGGGTTGAGCAGCGAAGACATTGTGGATAGTAGAGTTGCCGGTGGCGAGATCTGGGTAGATGTTCGAGCGAGCTGGGATTTCGTCGACACCACTGCAAAAACAACGGGGCTTTATAGGTCGAGAGCGAGAAAGCCACAGACAAGCGTTAGCCACGCGAAGGCTGAGGTATTGAGGCATGCGTAGACACGTTTATAACAACTTTGCCCCACACAAGACGACAGGTGGCTTGTGATGCTGCCACGAGCCGTCGCGATCAAAGAGGCTCTCTGGACTTTCCAGACATAGCCAGAAGAACAAAGAGAGTGAGTATGAGCCACACAGGTTCGCCACGATTGGCGGAGTCCCAATTGCGTAACCCGCATGTTGCAGAAGAACAGTATTTCCAGCCTTGCCTACTTCGGCCAACATCTTTGGATTTGAAGACCGCTGTTGACAACGATGCGTTGGAGGGATTCGCCTGGTCGGACTCTGCTTGGTGTTCTTCTACGACCAAGCGAGCTGTGATGAGAGGAGGGAGAGAAGGGCAAGGTCAGACTGCGTCGGCATCTTCATCGTTCTGTGGCACAACGACACGCCACTGGCCGACTTCGGAATGCGGCGCACTCGCCCCGTTCTTGGTGGCATTCCCTAGTATCCGAAAACCTGATACAAGACCTCCCAGTGAGAGTACTGGAATTTATCCAGCGAATTAACTGATGAGTTACAATGGCGGGGGTCAGTCGTGCCACGAATAAGTAGGCCACACGTTGTCGTCCGGGAGCCATCACATTGTTTCCTTCGTCCAGCACGAGGCAATGGAACCACTCTTCCAAAAAGGACTAATCACGAGCGAAATATCTGCTTACATGCGTAGTGTGGTTTGACGTTTTTGCAGTAGGACGTTGGGACTCGCCACTCAAAATAGGCATTCGAGCGGCGGTAAACGGTTGCTATTGTTGCTTGGAGGGCGCTGGATGTCAGATACTCAGGTGAACCGGACCATATGATTGAACGTTTAGTTGGTCTCCGTATCATAGCACGAATGGATGGCTTGGTGCCGAGCTCAAGAGCTTTGGCCACAACTTGATCGAGTTCAAAAGCCATGGGGCGCAATGGAGCGCTCGTGTACGGCACAATTCACGCGTTGCTGGGGTTTGTTTGGCATTCAGTTAGCGCCCAGGCGCGTCCGCGCTTCTTGCCAGACATCCTTGGCTCGCCGACTTCTACTCTCTATGGCCTCGAGGTAGATTCAAACGCATGAGGTTCACCATAACCACCCATATGCATTTGATGTGATACCTGGCGAGCAGGCATTATTCCTATCCTGCTCCCCGTTGCTATGGGTATTGTTTATCACGAAGCGGCATTATGCTCAGCCTAACAATAAACGGCGCCTACAACGGTCTGCTATTCAGCTGTCTCGCCCCCGCCCTGCATTTAAAACCCATGTGGTGGTGCTAAGTATAACCAGTTCCCCGCTCTCTCCACACTCCTTTGTGCATCGCTGTCCGACCCGAGCCTGGTGCTCGCGAACCTCAGACGTTTTTAGACTTGATTGTCGTGTCTCGCTCACGACCGGTTACTCTCGTCACTCCATCGGCACGACATGACGTTCGCTCTCTTATTGACTGCTGTAGCTGGGCTACTACCCTTCACGGCTGGCCATGCTTGTACGCTCTATACCCTCTTGGTTGTTGGGATGATTGCTGAAGCCTACCGTATAGCCATTTTCCACCCCAGCATGTGGGGATTTAACGTGACAGCACAGACGTTCCCTTACGACAACCGTCCTGTTGCTCCCTTAATCAACTACACCTTTGACGAGTGGTGGTTCCACGGACATCTCGATCACCCTCCTAATGATGGTGACTTCTTCGAGCTTCCTGCAGGCGAGCCTGCCACGGCACAGGTTGCATGTGACAAGGGTGCCACAACTTTCTTCGCGTCTGATCCGGGAGGGAACATCCAGAACGGCGACGACCCGTGCCCTGGCTCGCCACCCGCAGAGTACCACACCACCGGGCTGAGCGACGTCAAGGGATGCGCCCTGGCCATCACATACGAATCGGACGTTTCCCAAGTGCAGCCGGAAGACTTCACAATATTCAGTGTCAACCAGACCTGCGTCTGGACGCGTTTTACGGACTTCCAGGTGCCGGCCAGGATGCCAGCCTGTCCCGAGGGGGGCTGCATTTGTGCATTCTTCTGGATCCACTCGGTAAGCATCGGACATCCTCAATATATCTATGGCGTATTCATGCCTCTCCCGCAGCCTGATAGCGGTAGTGAACAAAGTGAGTTTGAAATACAGAAATATCAATTCAAATGCTGACCTGGACATATCTAGATTACATGAATGGATTCCGATGCAATGTGACCGGCTCCACGTCGAACGTGGCGTTGGCTACACCGCAACTACCTCGTCGCTGCGGTGCTGACCCACAAAATGACAAGCCCGAGGCCAGCCCAGGTAACTGTACCTACGGTGCGAAGCTGCCGTTCTACTGGTTCCAAGCAGAACGCAACAATGTATGTGTCTACTGCTGTTTCGTATTTCAGGTCGGACTAAAGAGACTGTTGCACAGATGTTCGAGGGTACATACGCTCCACCTTTCTATAACGACCTTTACAACTTCTTGGACGGCGCTCAGGAAGATATATTCGCCGACTCATACCCCAACGGTCTCCCATCACCAAGCCCAAACTCGACGGTCGTCCCTTCTCCTAACCTATACGACGTTGCAGCGACTTCGACTCCGTTTGCACCCAGCATTACTCCCGTGTTTTCTGTGACTTCCTCGTCCTCCGTTACGCCGACTCCTCCCATATCATCATCGAGCGCCGTGACTCCGCTAGCAAACAGCACGAGCACAGCGTCCTTGGGTGCAGCTACAACCGCCATGTGGTACGTGCCGTGCCTCCAACACGACGGAGTCGTCTTTCTAATCTAGATCTCGCAGTAAATCTACTTTATTCAGACGGCGGCAGCAGCGCCGATCGATATCGCACGGCCCTGAGTCGGTCGCCGATGTCATGGCACCTCGTGTTGCTAGCCACCGGGAGTTGCAAGACAGAAGTAAGCTGTGGCGCGCATTCTGATATTATCTTGTGATGTCCTTTCGATACCCTTTAATGTATGGTCGTTTCAATTTTTCCAGTCAAAAGTCATCCATGTAGCGATATGAACGCACCTGTATTCCAGCAGTAAATACTTGTATACTACGTGTACAGTATATTGTTTGCAACGGCACTCGGATAATCTCTTCTGTCGGAAAATGACTGATTTATACTGCATGTGCTGGCCACACTCAACACGATTAACTCCCTACACTCGTCGTGATTGAGCCGTCCACTCATCCGGCGCGAGAGGTTGACCAATTACTAATTGTCGAACGTGCCATAAGTAAAGCCTTCCAGCAAAAAGACATCCACTCATGAGCGCGTAGACGCCCGGTATCGGCCATTACCGAGATCTGCGTTCGTGAATCGCGTTCTCGGGACCGTGCAGTGAGGGCGTGTTTCGTTCTTGACCTCGTCGTCATTCTCTTGTATACCCCTTCCCAAAATGCCTCGAGAGATTATCAATGTTCAAGTGTGTATTCGCGAACGAGAGCGCTCAAATAACGTTTCTGACGCGCACATTGCAGGTCGGACAGGTCGGTTCGAAAGTCACTTGCGATTGCGTGACATTCAATCCAAATGCGCACGCTGTAGGCCGGAAACCAAGTTGGAGAAAGCTTCTGGCAGACGCTCCTTGCTGAGCATGGTCTGAATGAAGAGGGCGTGAGTGACCAACCACAATGCGCTGAAGAATGCTGCCTTAACGCGTAGACCAGTACTACAAGGGCAATGATCCTCTGCAACTGCCGATGGTTTGTGATCGCTGCCCCTTCGTGGTCCTTTTGGTCTGACGTGGCATGCAGGTTGATGTCTTTTTCAACGAAGTGGACCAAAGCGTTGGCGCTAGCAAGTACGTCCCGCGTAGTGTGCAGATCGATCTTGAAGGGGGTGTCTGCGCACATGTTAGTCCATGTCTACATGCACACCATGTACACAACGAGGCTCATTTGTTTTGTGGATCAGATACGCTCAGGCAAGATTGGAAATCTGTTCCGGCCGGACACCTTCCTTACAGGAGAGACTGGTGCTGGAAACAATTGGGCAAAAGGATGTAAGTTGTACTCAATCTGATCACAAGACTGTGCTGACCGTATCCGCAGTCTATACAGAAGGTAACTCAGATGATCATACAACCCAGCCACTACTTATGGTCACTCAGGCGCTGAATTGGTCGATCCGATCCTCGTACGTACCCGGACTTTGCCGTGCGAATCAGGCCGTTAGGAAGTGAACTCATACGCCAATTGTAGGATATCATACGCAGGCAAGCGGAGGCTTGCGATGCCCTGCAGGGCTTCCAAATGATCCACTCACTGGGTGGAGGTACGGGTGCCGGCTTGGGCTCCCTACTACTGTCCAAATTCCGAGAAGTTGTGTTAATTATCATGCCTAATGCTTGCTCCCTGATTTGAATACCGCAGGAATACCCTGATAGGATGATATCCACTTTCTCTATCCTGCCTTCGCCTAAGGCAAGTTGATCGCCAATGAGCTGATTGATACTAATGCTTATACTTTTGTCAAGGTTTCGGAAACAGTGGTAGAGGTGTGTCCCTCGACAATGTTTTCTCCTCCCCGATGTATTCTTACATCGACCAGCCGTACAATGCACTCCTCTCCATCCACCAACTACTGGATAACAGCGATCTCACCATGTGCATTGACAACGAGGCTCTGTAAGTCTTGTCATTTTCAATAGACTATTCACTGACTAGCCACGTATAGGTATGACATCAGCGTCAGGACGCTCCATGTCAAAGCTCCTGCATTCTCGGATTTGAACTCGGTAAGTAATAGTATTGATAGATTGTCCGACGTGGCGCCGACTATCCACAGCTTGTGTCGCAAGTAATGTGCGGTGTCAGCACGAGCTTGCGTTTCCCTGGGCAGCTGAACGGGTGAAGTGTCTATTTCTGACCTCACCCCTGTCGTGCGCCCTGACATTCATAACTCAGGGACCTGCGAAAGCTTGGGCTAAACCTAGTCCCTTTCCCTCGAGTATGTACGAGACCGTCGTTCACCAGCTGCAAATATTGACCTCTCGCAGCTACATTTCCTCATGCCTAGTTATGCACCTTTCGTCGATCCTAAATCACAGGCATTCGTACGCGTCAGTGCACCGGATCTTACATCAGCGTGAGTACTGATTATGTGCGTCACAACACGGTGAGGGGTATATCATTGTACGCAGGCTTTTCGACCGCGCGAACCTATTAGTGGCTTGCGACCCCAGGTTCGGGTGGGTACTGTTAGTTATATACCTTGTCCGGTGTTTCTCATCGGCCACAGGCGTTATCTCACGGCAGCGACAATTTTCCGAGGAAACATTGCATCCCAAGAAGTGAGTACGTCATTTTTCGCTCAGTTCGCTCACGGCTGACGATCACTACCAGGCTGAAGTGAGTGAAGTAATTCGGACATGTCATGATAGATACCAATATAACTTGTTCAGATGTCAGTCAGAGATCTGCAGACCAAGAAGTCTAGTCAGTTTGTCGAGTACGTGTCAGGGATGACGTATGCCACTGTACCAGATGCTGAGGGGTTGTTTGTAGATGGATTCCGGACAACGTATCGGTAGCGTTGTGCTCGGTGCCCCCGGTTGGACAAACGCAGGTACGCTGGGATTTGCTCTCATGATCACTGTTGTATCAACATGGGTTCTTCCAGGCGGCAACGTGCCTGGCCAACTCGACTGCTGTCCAGGAACTATTTCAGCGCACATTGTCTCAGGTATAATCCTTTTTGAAGCGTTCGTCTCACTTTAGAGGCTGATCACCGAGATGTCCCTAGTTTGCAGCCATGTACAAGCGACAAGCTTTCCTCCATTGGTACACGGGCGAGGGAATGGACGCAATGGAATTCTCCGAGGCAGAGAGCAACGCGCAAGACCTCATGTGAGTGTACAGATCTATTTTAGGCCGGCGGTACTGAGTTGCTGATCACTGCGCAGATCCGAATACCAACAGGTAAGCCAGTCGGTGGCACGTGGTGCAGGGACGGTATACGCTGACGCAATTTTCATCAGTATCAAGAGGCCACTCTTGAACCTGAGGAAGAATACGAGGAATACGAAGAGGAAGTTCCTGCAGATGAGGACGTTGAATGATAACGTTATTATAAACGTTGTCTTCAGATCGACCGGTACACCTCCAAATCTACTCATATCTATCCCTTGCACATATGTAGCCTACTAATATCGTGTCTTCTCCCTTTTGCTCGCTAAAGCAAGGCTCTACAAGGTCTAAAATGCAGTCCGAGTTTACAACGTTGTGTGTTCTCGTTCGCATGTGGTGGCTGACCCGTTCTTGTGCAATGGGCCGCTATTGGAGGGCTATTTCTTTGGTAGTCATTATTTCACATCTCAGTCGCGCGAGCAAGGGTCCCGCTGCCGGCCTATCGACATATCGAGTATGCGTTGCTCGTTCAGGTTTTTCCCGTTTTGCGCCAGGCTCCCCGCTGTTCCGAACCGACTCATCATAGATGCCAACTGACGTGCTCTTTCAGGTCAGTCAGAACCCCGTGGGGCGATCTAGGTGAGTTCCTCTAACAAATAGAGGCGATTGCAGCACTACTGACCGCCTGCTGTATGAGAAAGCCCGAAGATTCTCCGAAAGCGCCTAGAATACTTGCTGTCTTGCAGGCGAGGACTTCAGAACACACAGCAATGAGGCAAAGCATTGGGCCTCGTCTCGCCACCGGCATGCCTAGGCAATCTAAGGGCTTCCCTATTGTGGAAGGATCGTGGTCGCGTTGCTCACATTCAATGCGAACTTCGAACGATTTGGTAGTAGTCGACGCTGTCAGATTCTCCGTGCCTTGTGATCACTGGGTTATGACGGATTGCGAAACGTGACTTTTATCTCGCTTCACGGCCGCGGCATCTCGAGGATATAAAGCTAGCTTGTGGTCCTGTCAGCCTCCAGCCCTTTTCTCTTCGTCATGTCGAGGCCTGATCTTGGTCCCTGTCCCCCCCGCTTCGTTGAAATTAAGAAGGAGATTGCAGCCTCCTACCCTAATTTCCAGGAGCGCGTTACAAAGGCCTGGAATGAGCTCTTGGTAGACCTTGACAAGGTTACCACCGATATTGCGAAAGAGGGAACTGACGTACGTCTTGCGTGAAGGTATCACTGCCGTTACTGACCCTATCTTGCAGTATGTTCCCCAAGTTGATTTCTCTGAGATTGGCAATCTGAGCCCCGAGCGTGTTGAGGAGGTCCGTCGTAAGGGCAGTGTTGTCATCCGGAACGTTGTCGACGATGCCGAGGCTACTTCTTGGAGGGAGTGGCTGCAAGAGTATGTCACTAAGAACCCCGGTATTGAAGGTAATGTGGAGACTTATAGCACGTTATACGCGTTGACACGTCTCGTGCAGGCTTCCCAGCGGACGATAAACAATTCTTCCAGCTATAGTATGTTATGCATGTATCTCCGATGGTAGTTCACACTAACTTTGCTGTTCACAGCTGGACCAAGTCTCAAGTTCGCGCTCGCGGGCACCCGAACGTCCTAGCTGTTACGAGTTGGCTGAACAACATGTACCACGTGCGATCTGGTGCCAAGATAGAGAGCGTAGATTTGAACACCCCACTCACCTACGCTGATCGCTTCCGTATTCGCCATCCCGGCGTACAGTGGGATGCTCATCCCCCGCACGTGGATGGTGAGTGCATACTTACCATCATCGACGTGTCAGTGCCCTGACACTGCTTCAGGCGGTGGTATTGAGCGTTGGGAGGACCCCACTTTCCGGAAATGTTTTGAGGACCTGCTCAGCGGCGATTGGCGCAACCATGACCCATACGACCTCGAGAACCGTATCAATGCACGAAGCTCGATGTATGGCCGAGTCGGTCAGGTGAGTCGCGTACTTGGAGTGGTCAAGTGTATCTCCTACCCCTCTATCTCCGCTAGGCCACTGTCTTCAGGACATACCAAGGATGGCTTGCCGTCAGGTGAAAGCCTTGTGAATTAGTATATACTTGTTGGCTGAATCCATCGGCAGTGAGACTGGTCCCCACGAAGGCACCCTCCAGGTGTTCCCGAATGTCTTCCTGTCGAATGCTTACACCATCCTACGCCCCTTCTTCGTGCAAAAGGCCGGAACTGAGGACTCGACGGATCCCAAGAATTGGGAATATGGTATGCCACTGCTACATTGCATGTTTAGCCCAGAATTTGATTACATTCGATATGTACAGACGTCTCGTCCTCTGACTTCCCCGGCGTTTACTCAACCGGCACTGGTTTCCGCGGGCCATGGCCGAACACGAAGACTCACCCCCACTTGAGGCTGGACGAGACGATGGTGTCCGTGCCGAAGGTTAACCCTGGTGACATGGTATTCTGGCATTGCGTAAGTGACGACTGGTCGCTTTTGAGTCTCAAATCATAATATAGATTACATTTAGGACGTCGTCCACGCTGTCGAGAAGGAACACACGGGCAAGGGTGACTCAGCTGGTCAGCCAGATTTCCTACCGAGTAGCGACAGTCATAGGCTAATATACTCCACGATTTGCAGTGATGTACATTCCGGCTGTGCCCCTCACACCTCAGAATGCTGCCTACGTCTCCCGGCAGAAAGAGAACTTCGTCAAGGGCATCCCGCCTCCTGACTTCCCTCCTGGGCACGGCGAAGGTGACTATGCCGGCGTCGGAAGGCCTGACGACCTCAACAGCCCTGTCGGCAAGAGGGCGATGGGCTTTTCCATCGAGGTAGCATAAGAAGCTGTTGGCGATGCCTTCTTGCCCTAGATCTCTTTTGTATGTCATGTGTACATGGTGTACAGCCAACATGGCTGAGTATATGAATGTATGATCTCAACAAGTTTACACCACTGATACATAGTGCTTGATTGACTTCAACTAGAAGCAACGTTTACATGCAATTGCTAACGGCTACAACAACGTCCGATAGCGTACACCAGATTCTTCTTACGATGTCTAAGATCGATCACCACTTAAGGTACGGCAAGAACTTCCCGCTGAATGAGACCGGGATAATTGAGTGAGCAGCAGGGACAGCATTCCGAACAACTTACTCGAATGTCAAGACAACGCGGTCACCTTTTGGGTCAGGCTTGCGTTCAATGTTGACCTTGCAATCGATCATGGACATAATGCCATCTCCGAACTGGAAATACGGAGAAATAAGTGAGCGCCGTGAGAGGTTTCATTGATAACAGTCTTACCTTCTCATGTATAATGGCCTTAAGAGAGATCGTGAAGTGGTCATAATCGGAGTGTTCACAACATGTCCACACGGCTTACCTTGATCGCATTCCCATACACAAGCACACCCTGCGAAAACAATCCGTCAGATGATGTCTCATGACTTCACGGGCCCCGTACCTCGTACAGCCGGTAGAGCACAGGATCCGTGGGAGGCATGGGACCAAGGCCTCGTCGCGGCCACCAGTTTGCACCTAGCTCAGCCTGCAAGCTGGCGTGAGGGAGCTCAAGATAGTTAGATAAAGCGGCGAGCTCTTGTTCGGACAGCTTCGCCTGGAGGTTCATGCTGAACGTGAGCAGAAAACACAATGACTCAGTAAATGCGTCCAAGTTACCTGGCCGTAGAACAATGCGGCAACCCATACTTCGTCCCTACCGATAGCTTTGGCGATGTCATCGAACGTCGCCCCTGGGATGATCAGAATTGGCTTCTAGCCAGCCTAGTCTAGATACAATTACTGTATACCTTTCTTGGCCTTGGCCTCGAAGAGCTGCGCGCAGATCGGGGGAAGATCCGCGAAAGGCTCGCTTGCGGAGTTCACTTTCTGTACACAAGTTCTGATTCGTATATGCGCGTCAAATGAGTGCATATACAACATACCAGAGGCTGAGCCATTGTATGCGTTGAAGAGAGAAGATGAACAGGTCGGACGGGATAAAGAGGGCTAATGCTGAAGTGCTTTTATACATTGACGATTAGCGGCGCTAACAACAGCGCGTGACTGACCAATGTCATCCGCATGAGTGAGTTAAATCAGTTGTCTCTTACCCATCCCGCACCTCACCACCGCTGAGACGTCTGGGGTATTCTGTTTAGCGCTGATGTAACGGATAACGCATTTCGTCGATGTACCTAGCCTATTTTGGCAATCACTCCTAGCATCGTTAACGCGTGGACCTTCTGTACTTCACTGTAGCTAACTGATCAGATATGAATGCATACTATTGGAACTGCAAGATTACAAAGTAAATTCTAGAGGCAGTACAAGAATATCGTAGCAATCTATAGCTGTCACCCATGGCCAGTCGCAGTTGTGCATAGATGATTTCTTAAATCACTCTAAGTGTACTATTTCCATAAGTATAATATGAGGATGGTGGTTGGAGCTCACTGTATCGCGTGTCAACCGCCGAGGTGTTACATTAAGATGTTCGAGAATCCGTGACACAGGAGAGCTGTTTCTAAATGTTGAGGCATCCGTGATCGGGCGTGACACATGGGGTGGTCCATTTCGTTTGTTAGAAAGCCGAAAGCGGATGGTATGATCAATTCTGCAACGATTATTGTGTGGAACACGGATAGAGCGCGGCAGAAGACGTTCCGGTCCATCGCGGGTGCATTCGCGCAATCGAGACGGTCTCGCTCGGACACCGCCTGTCGCAGTGAGGACGCGGTGAGGCCAGGGAAGTGCGGCAGCAGAAGCACAGATGACCGGGAACGAGGCGAAGCCCCGGGAAGATACATGTGGCGATGGCACTCACATGAGTAGACAAGGAAAGAGATAGAATAAGACATGACCTTAAACCAGTATATTGGGGCCATGAATGTACAGAGGTGGCTAAGAAGTACTGATGGATCTTGAGACGCATGCAGATACAGTCAGTAGGTAAAGCTTGCCCTGCTGAGTGATCGCGTCTCAATCTTCGATGTATGGTTCATGACCTTTCTGGAGCATCACTTGGAGCGCTTGGCTTCCAGACTTCTTTGGTGACGTTCATCAACTCGTATAACTGGCCCAGTTGCTCCGCAGACATCTGGGAAGGTTGGTGTCATGAGTATATGGCTGAAGGATAAGATGTAATTGTATATACTTTCTCTAGAACGGTGGGGTCCAGCTTCTTGCCTGTGAAGCCCTTCGCCTCTGGTCCCGCGGGCAGCTCGTCAAGGTACACCTTCCATTGCGAAAGAAAGCCAATGATGTGAACTTTATTGGTTACATCCTTGTGCCGACGGAATTCTGAGCTAGTGGGCACACACGGAGTACGAGCCGTCAGCGCACGGTCCTTCTCGACGGTGTTTATTTGCAGACCTGCTTTCACATAGTCATCTCCGAGTGAGCGCATCTCCTGCGGTAGAGAGCGATGGGCGCGTAGAATCCTCCGATACAGGCTGTTTCCGGACTTCGTGAGACGACAGCCTAAGAACATGCCCCTTGCCAAAGTGGCTTACGGCTTAGACGGTAGTAGGGTAGCACTTGTTTCCCGGAGGTTGAGAGGCCTCTTGGACACAGACTCAGCGAGACGTGCAATCGTTGATTGCATGGTCAGTTCCAGGGGTCAGACCGTTCGTTCACTCTGATTCTTGAGTTGGTACGATGGCGCAGATTCGACACTGTTCTATGTGTAGAGCAAGTACCATCCTTACCGGGCAGTTAGCAGACCCATGTCGGCACACGTGACCTGTCACCAATCAGCGAGCAGGATTCCCCGGAATGTCTCGGGATGTTCGCGGTCCGATCAATGATTTTAGCTCCTAGGCAAATTAGGCAGGGGGTGCCAACTTGAAATCTACTGACTGCCCGGTAGGATCGGCTGAACGAGAATCAACAGTCTGTCTTAAGATGTTTCTGAGACACGACCAAGTTAAAAAGGGATGATACCGAAGCCACCCGACGAACTCAGCGGTTATGCAAGTCGATCAGGGTAAGATAGTGTCCTATCAGGGTTGTTACAGATCTACAAATGCTATAGCTACAACATGGACAAAATGACTAGTAGAAATGTACAGTGCATGAGGAAGGTCTATCTACGATTGGTATGAGATTATCCAGGTATTTAACTAGAATGCTAGAAGGTTCAATGTGTGGGTATCCGTGCGACAGATGATGAGGGCAGGCCGTGGGCAGTGAAGCCGATGTCCCTAAGGGTCTATGGGGGAGCGATAGTATCGACGCATACAGCCAGGTTGCTCGAGAAGCTTGAGCCTACATAGTGTCAAGTCGGATATCAACGTAAGATACAAGGTCACTACGGGCTGAATATGTGCGCACCTGGGTAAAACCAGAAGGTCACGGCGATAACAAGATACAAGCCTATCGGAATCATTGATACAATCCTAGCGTATAGTGGAATGTGGGACGTACTGATCAAAATGACCCCTTCGAGCCAGTTTGACTTGCCATCGGCCACGACGTAGCCCATGATGTGAACTGCGCGAGAACATCCTCAAGCTAAGCTGGTGAGCGGTGAGGTATCATCGTGGATCTCACCTGAGATGTACAGAACCTGTAAGGGAGCTAGATCAATCTGTGTTCCACGCGTCCTTCGGTGAAAGATCCACTCACAACTGTCTCGAACGGGTCAAACAACAGAGCCAGCGGTTTGTTCAGTATCCAACCCAGTATGACCATGAACGGAATGACAAAGAGAGCGGTTTGCTGCGGAGCATCGCGTCGTAAATATGGACTTGAACACGTCAAAATCGGAGAACTCACAATAGTGGAGCCCACCGCGACACTGATGCTCAGAGTCAGCTGGTCCTTTACCGAAACATTCACGGCGGTGACACATTCTGAGAAAATGATCAGTACAGATCTATCATGGGATAATGTGTACGCTAGATCTCACCTGCGATTGAGCTCACAATGGGCAAGAGGATGAGCCCTATCCACTCCTTACTGAGCGTAGGTGAGAGACTGTCCATTGAGTCCACCAACCACTCCGCATCGATGGTGACGAGCTGCCACATGGCGGTTAGTGCTATCCTCCTGACGAAGCGAAACTGAACGTACCACCGTGACAGTGGTTAGGAGAACGATGATCATTACCCAACTCATCTCCGGGAGCTCCTCCGCCGCCTCGGCCGGAGGCAAGGGAGTATCAGGCCTACACTCGTCCTGCCCCAGAGGCTCCCGCCGACCGTGCACATCCAGGACATCGACGCTTGCCTTCCGAGAACGCTTGCTGTCATCCCTCCTCAGCACACGCACGACCTCGCCGCGATCTGTCGTATATGCAGATAGCAATTCGCTCATACGTGAAGGACGCCCCCTGCGGTCGCCATCACTAAAGTCATCGGATGAGCTCGACGACTCGCTGATATGCCCGCCACTCCCGCTGTGACTCATTGCGCGCTCCTTGTCAGAGACGAGGCGAATGGTCGGGTCTGTCCCCTTTGTACTCCCGAATTCATCCACAGAGAGCGTGACCTGCGAGGTCTTACCGAACGGCGAGACCAGGTATGCCTGTCGGTCGCGCGGACCCACGCGAGCCGACGAGGAACGCTGGTGACAGGCGTCCAAGTATTGGGGGTCATCCGCTAGATCGAAGGACGTTTCAGGTGCTTCCTCTACGGGGCTCGCCTTCTCCGTCTCTTGAGCCGCAGACCGACTAGTCGGAATGGGGATTGACTGCTGCGACTGAGCAGATCCTACAGAGCAGGCTTGTGAATGAGATCGACGCATGCCTTTACCGCTGTTGAGCCTGACGCGCGATGTCATGGAACGCATAGATACAGCGACGGGGAGTTTGGCGCTTGGCGTGGAGCTGTCCTGGTAGAGGTGCGTATGTGACCAGAGTTGGAAGAGAAGATAGGAAAAATAGACTGCGGTAATTGAGGTTAAAGCAGTATGCGTTATGAAGAGACGGGTATACGTACTGAACAGAAGTAGGAACGAGACCTGTCGGAATAATCAATAATAATCTACCTGCGGTGTTAAATAGGTACATACGCTGTGGCTCATCTTCAAGAGATCCTGCTTCTGCTGGTCCAATGTAGTCCCCGCCTGCTCGGCATCCGCTTCACTGTACGTAAGGGCGAAGTGGAAGGCGGCAGGTAAACAAACAGCCCCTACACTGATGCTCAGCAGAGATGAATGTATTTGTGTCGCAGCTGATTATAAGGCATGCGTAGAATTGAGTGAGCATGGTCCTGAGCAGTATTTGGAGGTGACGTACTGTGATTGAAATCTTGCTGAGAGAACCGCATCCCACCAGCAAAGAAGCACATTCCGAGTATGAGCACTGACGGGCGTGTCAGCACCAACGACTCCATAAATGTATATGCAATCCGTCGGTCAGGTGCCAGTAGTTATACAGTACTTACAAAGCTTGCTCAAAATGGAACCGATCACTGAAGGGAACAATGAGCTGTTTGCTAATACTCGACATAACAAAATGAAGACATACACGACGACTGGACAACGCGCAGCTCGCATTTGCGAAGAGCAGTGATCTAAAAAAACAATCAACGATCGGGTCAGTCGAGGCCTGGTCATGCATTACCGCTACCACAAGCTCGACGCTGCATCGGGACCCATGAAAGTTAAGGTCAGGGTGTGTTTTACAGAGTGACACGACTGTACACTTACATGTTACTCTATGTAGCCATGTTAATAAGATGACATTGGACGAAGTGACGAGGAGACCTACGAAGCTGGCATTCAAGAGGCCGGTCTTCGTACCCCCTATGCGACGCGAGAGAACACTGATCGCGAGATCATGAAGCTAGATAAGACGGCTCAGAGGACATGGTATCTTTACAAGTGCTTGCCGCATACCTTGACCAAGGGGATCATGGCTAGCATGCACGCTACATCGACAGAAATCAGTATAGCCAGTATGAAAGTACGGATGCGAAAGGTCCAGAGACTTACATGTAAAAATCAGAGTGTCAGACTCGGTGGTAGCAAGCTTCAGGATCCACTATATGCGCAGAAATTATGTAGTGCTTGGATCTGTTCCGACGCGCATATACTCACCGATATCGGAATTAGTAGCAAGAAGACGTTGAACCCTGGAAACCTCGCCGGTGTTAGCGCGTGATCAAACATATTGAGATGATTGATATTACAAGAGCCAAAGAGAATAAAACGCCAGCCCTGCCACGCCTTGATACGTTTCCGCTTCGTATTGCCAGGAACACTTTCCTCTGGTTCGCCAAATCGGGTCATTTCAGAATCCGGTGTTTTTTCGGAGCGCCAGCTCCAGGATACAACTCTGTCTCTGAGGCTCTTCCTCTTCTCGCGTTTACTGTCTGGATGCGGGACTAACTCGGTAGTAGAGGAATACGACGCGACTGACTGAGACGAGAGCTGAGAAGTTGTACGCGTTACAGCCGCCAGGGGAACCGCCCTAAGGTTGCCAAGATACTTTGCGTCAGAAGGGTGCTTAGAATGAGCGTGCCCATGGAGTCCATAGCGATGTGGTGCAAGCGGGTCGTTCGTGGGCGACGGGGGAAGCATTAGTCTGTCTAGGATTAGCCTGGCTGAGTACGAGTAGGTATTGAACGAGCGTGGCGGCCACCAGTGACCAGGGATGGAAACACGGAGGTGGGTGAGGGAGAGAAGGTGGTGTCCGTACTTCGAACAGGGAAAGCGGAGTTGGCCAACATACGCGACGAGCACTCAACTACGGCGGCGACGCCGCCTGCTTCAATTCCAAGACGGCCATTTCTGGAAACCTGCGAGCTATTCCGGGATGCCGAACTTGCCGGAGGCCAGTGTTACATGGTCACACTCAGCTTTCCTGTCGTCACACTGTCACGCATCTCATCACCGTCATCTCCCGTGCATTTCCGCTTCAACACACTGTGCGTTGTCGTCCATCCAACGAAAAACCATGCTCCAAGCCGCCGTTCGCTCGGTCGCCCGCTCTGCCCTCAGGCCGTCCTCTGTGGCCGTCCGCGCCCTCTCCACGACGCCTGCGCGTCGCTCTGGTGGTGGTGCCCCCCAGCTCTTCGGTCCTGGTGCGAAGCCGGGTGAAATAGCGACGGATGACGTCCAGGCGACCGGTCTTGAGCGCATTCAGGTGCTGGGTGAGAAGGAGGGTATTGAGGTGTTCGACTTCAAGCCGCTCGAGTCGAGCAGGATTGGCACTCTCGCCGACCCGATCAAGGTCCTCTCTTGGGTATGTCACTCAGACGCGACATTGTCATTTCCTTGACCGTGCATTTGCTAATTTTTGTGCCTTTCATAATGTGCAGGAGCCCAACCGTATCATTGGCTGCACTGGTAGCCCTGCTGAGTCGCACGAGCTCCTCTGGATGAACCTCACCGCTCAGAAGAACAGGCGCTGCCCCGAGTGCGGCTCAGGTACGAGGTTCGAGTTTCCACTGTCATTAGCTCGCTCACCTCCAAATAGTGTATGCCCTCGACTACAATGTCAACGAAACTCTGCAGCTGCACGAGCACTAGACCTGTTTTCGGGTTTTCCACTGCCTTGTAGACCGCATGTACAGATCAATCCAGTCCTAATTCCTCTAGATGGATCTCAATTGTTGTACTGCGGTATGTAACCAGTACACTACTGGTACGCTGCTGCTCGCTGCTGGGCACGTCGGTGATAAGGTGGCGCCATTCTCGCTGAGGACACGCGTTTTGGGCGCGCCCCGCCTGGACTGGGCCTAGCTTAACGGTCGCGACAATCGACCCTGTCCTAGGCTTGTCTAGGGGTTGTCGAGAATCAATCAGAGTCCCTTCAGACTCTGCATGGTCAGTGCGTCGCGTCATAAGTACGCGTGTGATTTGCGCACGCGCGCGAGATGTAAACCTCAGCCTGGCAGTAATCCAGTAGTGTCGAGTCTTGGTCGATAAAGTGTTATCTCATCTTCCTTGCATCGTGCAATCAAAGGCTTGTTCGAGAGTGTTCATATTCGATATGATCGCGAGAACGAGAGAATGGTACTCCTTGCCGCAGTTTATGTTTCAGGGATACTGGTCTATTGGAATAGCCTCTTCTGCTTGGTTCACGTACACCCTCGGTGAGTCGGCGCAGCCTGCGTCATACCATAAGCGTTCTTCCGACGCCAATGCGGTACAATGTGTTCCTTCACTGCCGAAAGAATATCATATGATCTTAAGATCTCATGGCAATGAGCATCCCGTTCCTCTCGAGGTGTTTATAGCTGCCTCGCGGTGAACTGAAACGCTAGCTTTGATAAAATGTATTTTGTTTAGTGACAGTTCGACCTTGTCCATCCCATGCAGCCACAGGAAGCATTCGTGTATCCCCGTCATTTCCTAGTATGATAATCATTATCCAAGGTCCCTTATAAAGTGTCGGCGTGTGGCTACGGGAAACTACTCTTACCCGCAACGAATGCAGCGTCGGACCTGGCGCTACTTGTCTCTTGGAGGATCATAGCTACTCAGGGTATCGTGCCCAGTCGGCTATTCCGTCGTTCATTTGGTTCAGGCCCTGGAAGCACTGAGGTGAGTGGAAGGCTCATGTTGTTGCTCATGCTGGTGTAGACGGTTATGATGCACAAGGGACACTGTTAACGGACATATTCATATTATACCCAATAGCTTGTCCCGAGCTTACAGGTTAGCTCTAGTCTTGTTCGGGTATACCAGAGACTCGCCTCCAAATCCGCGGTCGGCCTCCAGATGATGCACGTGAGCACATATAATTGCAGCAACCGAACATGATGACCACTTCACCGTGACCTTGCCGCTCTTCAAACCGAAGACTTGCGGTCTAGTCCCCCCTGCAGCCGAGAGCAGATCTCACGAAGGGGGTGTGGGGGGAGCACACAGTAGCTGTTCCGTTAGCTACGGATATCTGGAAGCGTCGGAAGTTTAAAGAGAAGTACCCGTGATGGTCTCAGGAAAGTAGGTGGTAGGTGCTCTGGGCCCTTGAACTTAGGCGCAACCAGCCAATTCTCCCCGCCGGATGTACAGTGGAGAATGTCCAACGTCTGAAGTTTGCACTGCTATCGGATGCTCGACCTTGACTCTTCGTTCTAGTGGCAGCGCTCCGCTGCGAAGGAAGTGGTCTGACGCTTCTGGCGCGGCTGTTCTCAGTTCTTGCACTACTGATGGGTTCCGTTCTGTGAGAAGATTTGGTACGGTTCATGTGCTATCTTGGCTCTGGTGATTTTCTCCCCTCTAACCTCTAGTTCGTCCGCCCCCGCTCCGGCTATATACTCCCTCAGGTTGCTTATTCGCCAGCCAACGCAATTTACCCGGAGCGCGGCTCCATCAGATCGTGATCGAGATGGCGAATAAGAGCAAACGCAATTTACCCAACACAAAAACACCGATCTAATCCGATGATCTTCCAAATTGAGCATGTGGACCATATAATGATCCTATATTCCTTAAGAACAGTTCCCTGTTGGCTTAGTGGTAACGCCGCTCCTTCTGTTCAGCAAATGGAGGTTCGAATACCCTTGAATCCTTTTTATTTTCAATACTCCTCAACTTCGAAGTCGTTTTTCACACATTTAATATTGAGTTGTGGTTAGGTCACAGTTAGGTTCAGTTAGGATTAGGTTAGGATTGGTTAGGTTGGCATTAGGTTAGGTTAGGTTTCAGTGTATATGTAAAAGAAAAGATGGCGTTGAAGTCACGTGTGTTTGCTCAAGTTCGCCGTCTCGATCACGATCTGATGGAGCCTCATCAGAGAACATCAGAGTAAGGAAGTGGATCAGGAGCTGGTTCGAGACGATTCAAAAGCCAGCGGTCAAGCGAGTTGAATGCAACCATGATTGCTATAGATAAGTAATAGCTGACGTCTTTGTGATAGACTTCGCGATAGGTAGCCGCTCACTGTCTTTCATAATCTTCTCACCGTCGGGCAAAGCAGGTTCAGCTTTGTTGAAGATGAATACAAGTCGACCTACCAGGTTATTGCGAGCGAAGCGAATATCGACGTGGGGGGTGAGCCCTCGCTTTCGCCGGGGACAACCAAAGCCAAAGAGTCCGCTACAAGCGCCCGAGCACTTTTCGCACTCGCAGCATTAAGTACGCTGTAAGTCGTTCAATAGTGCACCAATTCGCATCATTTGAGTCTCAAATGGATAGAAATCCCTTCCTCTATGTTTCTGCATATCAATGTTGGTGAATTTTGACGGTTCCATGGCACTGTCTTGGTGGCAAGGAGAACCAACCATGTGTCACGTGCGCCACTCAAGCGCCAGCAGTCGTGCGGTAAGTAACTGTCTTGAGCAGTATCCTTTGTGGCACGCAAATTAACTTAAATATATCAGGCACTGCGAATGAAGCGAAGCAGGACAAACTCGGAGTCTAATGAGGTTGCGGTTATGCAGCCTTGGTCAGAGAATTGAATGCTTCGCGAGCCACTCCCCGTGCAGCGGGTGCATATTTATGTACACTCCAGTACTATCCAAGTCGATACCGTTGATATGGCCTCCGTACGTCGATCGGCTCAGAGAATCTCCACGCCCCCACCAATCCACAAGGACCTCGCAATCCGAAACAGCGAGTATTTGATGGGGAGATCCCTGCGCCCAGCAGCTCGAAACGACTTGGCGCATCTGCATAGTCCCGTAAGCCTGCGGCAAATCATAGGTATATCAATCACATTGGTCAATTTCGATACAGTTCTTGGAACTTGGGATTGTGGCCGGGAGCGCACGCCATCGCATTTGGTATTGTTTGTAGTACCTTGCAAATCTTGCGCGAGCCTCTCTGTACGTTCCTTCGCGTTTGACAGAGCGTGATATATCTTCAATGTCGATCCTTCCCGCTTCGGGTCTCAGACGAACCATTGGAGACGTCAACTTTTGGACGTCGCCGAAGCTCGCAGCCTACTCTCACGGACATCTCCTTCGCAGATCGCTAGTTGTCTGCTACTACCATGCCCGGGATACGACTTGGCATCTGCGCCTGCCCGATCGCGATTGGGCATCATAGATTGCGATCTGTGCGGTCCGACACAGTACAAAGCACGGAGCGGGACAAGAATGCGTGCATAGGAAACCTGCCTCAACTTTGGACGAATCCGCTTTCCCCTGCTAATCACAGGTAACTATGCTGCCAGATGCCACCATCGTCACGGGGAGCGAAGGTGAATCGTGAAGACGACAATAAATCTTCTGCGGACCAAGGGGACAGCATACTACCGATCGAAGGTCTCACTAGTCCGCTCGGCTCTGCAGATCTAGGCGCCGGTTTTTCTGTATCAGCGAGACGTGTCCCCGAAATGGGGGTCACTCGCACCCTTTTGGAACAATGTGGCACCGGGTAGAACAATTCGTTCCATGCGGTTTCGCGACGAGTGGCGCCAGGATGCTGGCCATTCTATCATATATCGTCAACTTTGGTCGTCGCGCGTTTTCCCCCATGCGTAACCCCTCCTGGTCTCCTTCCCCGGGCTAGTGTCGATTCCACCATGGTACAGGAGTTGTCTATTGTTAGCGTGAATCTGGCGACGGTGCCCATGGAGAGTTTCTTCTATGGCATCATCACCGTCCTCTTCGTTGCCTCGACATATCTCTTGCTGCAAAGAGATCGAGAGCAGAGAAACACAAGCGTCTCGAGCAAGCCGATATGGAGAACGCCAATGTTTATAGCGACCGTTTTCATGTACCTTATGCTCACAGGGGTAGGTCGAATGGAGCTCCTATCTCGTTATCATAAATTCTGCAGCTGAACAAACCGTCTATTTAGCACTGGATACTGACAATCATTCGCTTATTTGAGGCTTTCATCGATTTCCAGGGGGGCACTGAGCCAATAATCGCGTATGCAGACCTGTCCAGGCTGACAGAAGTCGTTAAGACTGCTTTCCTGGTCGCAATCGTGCTGACATCCGACGCGATGATTGTACGTGAATCTTCATCGTATTCAACAAGACATGACGTTTCCGCGATAGATCTACCGCTTGTGGGTCGTCTGGAGCTATAACCACTGGGTTGTCATCTTCCCGGTCCTCTCCTGGTGCGGATTGGTCGGTGAGTATGCTGGCTTTCTCCAGCTGCTCGCACCTTCATCAAGCTCTCGTAGCTTGCGGGACGGGTGTATGCTGGCAATTTGCGGTGTACACTCTGGGTGATGACGTCTTCAAGTCATCTGCCGGTCGGTGGATCACCAGTGATTGCGTCTTCTCATTCTCGTAAGTTCACTGGATTCACGACCCTGGATAGCTTGCTCACCTGTCCGATGTCATGCAGTACCAACGTCTATTGCTCAGGTACAGTTTTAGAAGCCTTGGAGACGCACAGTGGCTGACACATGTATCCAGTCTTGATTGCGTACCGTGTGTGGCGTACCCGGATAAGCAGCAAGTCCTACGGTGGAGCGAGCGTCATGGGCGCCCTCGCAATCATCATTGAGAGTGCTGCCCTTGCATCGTAAGCATGTCATGTCTACCCTCGTTCCTCGTCACTGATATCTAGCCCTCTCGCCTTCGCATAGGTCCTGGAACCTGATCTTCTTCATCACCTACCAGGTCAAGAGCAACATCCAGTTCACGACGTGCGACCTTTGGGCGTCCTTCTGCGGCGTCTCCTTCATGCTTATCAACCTGCGTGTCTCGCTCGGCTGGGCGCAGAAGGCGGGGGGACAGCACACGTCCACGATTCCCCGGCCGACGCAGCAGCGCTCGATGGCCGGGGACTCGGGCTACGCAATGCGCCCGCTCGCCGTGAACATTACGCGCGTCGTCAATCAGGAGGATGACTATGGGATTAAAAAGCAGGAGCTCTCGAGTGAGGGCAGTGTCTTGCCCGTCTGAGTGCGCTTCTGTTTTGACCCGAGGGTGGCCTGTGGAGGGTCGGACGTTATAGCGTTGTAGTACTTACGTTGTGGCCAGGCTGTGGCCCTGGCTCAGGACCTAGGAAGGATATAGGTAAATATGCGACATTAATACACGTCTTATGATACTCGTTCCTTTCACCGCTGACAGACGAGCTGCTACACTGAACACCAACATCGACCAAGCAAGGTCGACCAATCATTTTCACTCCGATGTCCTTGATGCAAGTCAATAGGGCTAACCTATGTGCGATGAGGGGAGATTATGCATTCGGCTTGCTGTGCTGAACGTCCAGGAAGCATCGATATATACAAATAGACACTCATAGCGAACAACGACGAGGACCACGGCACTACAAATACAATGCAACGATAGTGAGATATGTATGGTACGGCGATAGATGACTTAACGACAGCAACCCAAACTAATGAAAATCCATAATATATAATCAGGTCGGGGCACCCGCACTTGCGACCGCTGTCCTTCGGCGCTCTTGTAGCGCACGCTGCCGCACTTTTTCCCAGCGGTCGAGCTCCGCCTTGAGGCGCTGCACACGTACGACGTTCACCGGATGTGTCTCGCCCATCCAACGGTTGGGAAGCGACTCCAGGGTATCCTCATAGTGCCCTTCAGCGCGGGTGAGCGAGCACTCGGCGTTCTGCGGTGTCTCCTGACGACCCTCCCAGAAGCGCACAGCATGCCGTGGGTCAAAGCCAGCATGGGCCAGCAGCCTGTAGGTGCAGGGGGTCAGGTCAGTAAACAACGGTAAGAGGGGGAAATGGGGAAGAGAATGCCGGGGTGGTTCTGACCTGGCAGAGACGATATCCGCTTCGATCTCTTGTGATTGACTCGTGCAGTACTCAGACAAGCGAGTAACCTCCCCTGAGCTAGCCTTGCCTACCCCGGCAAGTGCGTCATTGATGAAAGGACCGACTATGTGCACGCGAGTCAGTATATGCGCTGCGTGGTAGTACAAGTATGATGCTTACAGAGCATAGTGACGGGGAAAAGCAGTGTGCGCACGAGATCTGTCACGATCGACATAACACCAGGCCAGACAATCGAACCCGACGATAGTGTTTCGATATGATGCGTCAGGATTAAGTGAGCTAGTTCATGAGCCAGCAGTATTGCTAACTCTGATGTTTGCTCTTCTGTTGGCAGCGGCTGTATGGGTGTGGGCGGTGCGAATGAGAACAAACCGCCAAAGAAATGGGCCCACAACGACTTTGGCGGCGGCGGCAGCTCCTCTACAGAAGGCTGGTACTTTGAGAGCACGTCGTCAAGGAAGCCTGAGAACACGACAATGCCCCCTCCGCCGTCGGGGCCGAACCCGTACGAGAACGCGTTCGACGCCTCCGGATCGTCCACGACGAGTAGCGAGTATGGCGGGCCAGCGATCGCGTGCGGCGATGAGTGAACGGTCCGTGCACATGCCGCCTCTGCGACCCGCCGGAAATACTCGGACGCGCGTGGTCGCGGGCGCAGGGGAAATTCTGCAGGCGGCGGGCACGGCACTGTACCATCATCGGACCCGTGTTCCATCCAGTCCGGCACGAGATCGTGCTCGTGCTGCAGGACGGGAACGACCGCCTCGAGCCGCCGCAGCGTGTCCTGCACCCACGTCAGGCGCCAGTCGCCGGGATCGACGAGCCGTGGTGGCCCGCGCTGCGAGAGAATCTCACCAACGGCGCGGTACCAGCCGGCACCGGCGAGCTGCGCAGCGATGTCCTCCTCCTCCTCTGGAGAGAGTAGGATGAGCCGCCATCTATTGGGTTGTCAGTGGTGAATGAGTGTACATAGCGAAAGGGGCTGCGCACCTGCCCGTCAGAGGAGTCCGCTCGAGACTGGCTACAATGGTGAGCCAAAAGAGAATGATGGGAGTAAACAGGAGGATGTGAAAGGCAATAGTACTGCGTCGCTCATGCTGCACAATCCTTGCCCGTTTCTCCTCGAGGTCGGTGCGACCATTGCTCATCTTCACATCAATCTTCTGGAGTATCCTGCGTGCCTTGAGCTTTTTGAGGAAGACGAGGGGAATGAAGGTGAGAGCAATGCGGGAGATGGTCCCTGCGAGCTGGAGTGCGGTGGATGTCTGCGGATAGCATAGTTATCCCAAGGGGATATACGTTCAGCTTTCCCCCTAATGTGAATACGATTCTTACATACCTTGAGAAACGACAGCAGTATCGACGCATAAGGCGAGTCTCTCCGGGGTGTTACATGAAATGACCGTGTCTGTGACAATACAGGAGCTGCTGGCTGTGGTCGCCGCTCATCCACCTGGAGAGCGGCAGGGATGACCCTGTATGGGATTTGCACTTTGCCATGATGCAAATAGCGAGGACCGTGAATGGACCATGGCCGCGATATCAGATGCCGTGGAGAGGATGTGCCGAGCAGTGAGCGCAACATAGCACATTGTTTGAGCGGAAGAGGCCGCTTGAACGCGTATCGCAAAGGGCAGGACTGACTCCGACCGATTCAGATTCGCGCGAATCCCGGTACCGCTATTGACGCCGGGCACACGCGTCCACACTGCGCCTCGGCATCGCTGACAGTGATCATCTCCTCGGATTCTATCGGCATTAACTGTGCAATAGAGCCTAGCCCAGACTCTCGTAACAAGAAGGGATCTGGTCGCGAGGAGTATTGATGATGCAGATGGTTCGCAGATCAGAAGTGGGGCGACAACGAATCAGACGCAGAGACATCGAGGCCTGTGATCAACTGGAGCCTTTGTGCACTCGTCTCGTCTTTCGCTGATTGCTCGGTAGCATCGCTGGGGCAAACGGCGAAACTGTAGTGAGCGTTGTCGATGCATGGCAGGGAAGGTGCAGAACGAGGGAACTTTGAGTATGCCTATCATGTGCATATATGCGAGAGATGACTCGAAAGCATCAGCATGTCAGCAATGGGCGAGCACCTCGTAAAGGCGAAGCATCGACTCGGCCTTTCGCCATTTCTGGCAAATATGTCGCCGCAAAAGGCAAAAGGCGCGCCCAAGCCCTGGCTTTACTTATGACTCCCTTCATAGATATCCAGGAATTAGCCCACTCACTGATATAAGCCTGCAAAGCAAGACTTCAAGTTCCAGAGCTCTAGCGGCTGCGATTAGACTCGGTGAGTGAGGCGACTAAGTGCTTCACGAAGACTACTCGGAAGCAGAGAAGGAGAAGTTCATCCAGATGCCAAGGAGAATGGTGTATGTAGGTGGAAGGCATGCTGAGTCGCAACTTGTCGTGCAACCAAGGTGGTCATCATGCTGGTACAATCTCGACCCTGACGCTCTGTCATGTCCCCCCACATAATGTCCGAATTCATGTAATCACGCATCGGGATGCGAGCTGACCTGTATCCCCTCTAGGAGTGAGGTTTTATTTCTCCAATCCACGCTGTGCTATATGATAATGCCAAGACAGTTTTAGCGCGTAGCTGTACGTTTCCTCGCCTACACTGATTGCATGCATCGTACAAACGCATCGGAAATTGATTCATTGCGCTCTGTCGGATTGTTCAATGTATGCTCAGTGAAACACTGTACAGCAATGATAACCCATGCGGTATGTCGCCAAGTCTGGCGTATACCTACAGTGAAGCCGAGACTGGGATAATGGCCTTTTATAGCCGTACATCTGCCCGATGAGGTAGTGCTCAACTCAACGCCGAACATCGGACTCCGCGCCCCTTCATCTCATGCTGCCACACATGCTCATTACCATTTTTGCTCTTGCATTCAGTCTGGGTGTACATCTCCCCTTTCGCCAAGCTCCCCTCTAGTGCTCTTGCGCTCTGCCTTCTGGATGCAGACTTGGCCCTTGATTCGCTATACATGCAAAAGACACTCGAGGCTTGTAATACAAGGAACACGCAAGCACTACAGTCAGGACATAACTATTGTATCTACGCATGTCAGTTCGATCTACCGTCGTCAGTGCTAGTGATGCACCAACGACAGCGCTCAGGCTGCGAAGTTGGCGCCAATTTCCAGATAGGATATTTACCCAACTTGAAGGTCTCATCCTGTTTTCTTGCTCCTCGTCTACACCTTGCTTTCCTTCAGAAACATGTAAAAGGATGACCTCGATCTTGGAGACCTCTCTGTTTCCCCGCATTGGTCGCCATGTCCTTTCGCTGAGTCCATCTCGCTTTCGCGGAGGGGCGCAGGCGTGCACAACCAAGGGCATCCACCATATATCATGTAATGCTTCACCCAGTACTTTACGGCAGCGCCCCGTTCTGTTCCAGCCTCGGGGAATTACCCCAGCAATCGGACATGCCAGGTGGTTTCATGTTACACCCAGGCGGGATGCTGCCTGCTTCCCAATACTCTCTTTTCTGAAGGTGAGTTTGGCGCGTATGCTTCGAGCCACGCTGGCCGTTGAAGACATGCATTCACGGTGCAGATGTCGTCTGCGATGCCGTTCGCGGAGACCGCCTGCCGCATTGCCTTGACGTTCTTCCCGGCGGTATACATTATGGGCATCAGACGATGGAAGACGCGTCATCTCAGGCCAAAGACATTCGAAGCCAGGCTCGCAGCATGGCCCGCGCCCAAAACCAGAAGGGAGCGCATATATCGAGCCCTACGCGTCCCTGGGCTGCTGACCCATTCACTTTGGATGGTACCTGTCGCCATCATCGGATTGACCGTGCTTGCTAGCCTGGAGCGCGTACCCTTAACCGGCCGGTGCGTTTTCCTCTACGAGTTACTGGGTGGCAATCTAATGATATCCTTAGCTGGCGCATGATGCTACTTTCCCCCGAGGAAGAAGGGGACATCGCCTCGCAGCTCGCTGGCGCTGGGTGGTACCGCGCCGTCAGTGAGATTCTCACCCAGGCCGGAACGCCACGCGTCCTCGACTCCTCCGATTGGCGGCACGACTGGGTGCAGCATACCCTCAGGCGGCTTGAGGCCGCCATCCCGATCCTCCAGTGCGAGGCCGAGCTCGCTCCTGACTGGATGGGCGGCGGGACCGATGGCGCGGACATCCCTCGCCCGCCGCCAGCGGCGATCCCACTTTTTCACCGGCGGCGGACAACGACACGGTTCCTGCGCTTTGCGGACGCTGCGCGCGAGGAGGGTTGGTTTTCCAGGGATCCGCTTGCGGGTCCGCCGTACTCGCTGCTTGTTGCAGACCGCGCGGACGCAGCGAACGCGTTTAGCTATGGCTTCGGAGGCGACGGCGGCGGGGGAATTGTCGTGTTTTCAGGCCTCCTCGACGAAGTGCTCGCAAAACACTCACTCGTTGTCGAGCATCCCCCACCTGCACCCCAGTCGTGGTGGATGAACATGTTCGGCGGGATCATCAGGCCTGTGCCTCAGCCACAGGCTCGCGCAGCGCCAACGGAGGAGCAGACCTCTGAGCTTGCGATCCTGTTAGCGCATGAGCTTTCCCACCTCCTGCTTGCACATCACCTTGAGACCTTGTCAAATGGTTCTATAGTTGGGCCGGGCGTCATGTCCATCATGACAGACGTCGTCCGCACGCTCCTGTTCCCAATAACGATGTTATGTACGTCCCATATTTGCACGTGCGTGTGCAGCGTCCGGATCCTCACTCTTCTTGTACAGTCGGCCCTTTCATAAACGATGCCCTCGGGGAAGCGGGCAAGGCATTCTCGCAGGAGTTCGCGAGGAGGAGTGACTACTGCACCAGTCAGGAGCAGGAGATCGAGGCAGACGTCGTCTCTGTTAGGTCTGTCCGCCTCCTGTCTCCTCTGACGTCTTATGCCGCTGACCCTGCTCATCTTTGCATGTTTAGACTACTAGCGCACGCAGGCTTCGACCCACGCCATACTGTGCGCTTCTGGGAGGGCCGACAGGAGTCCTCTCAGGCGGCCGAATGCTCGCATGCCCATGCGATAGACGCATCGCGCCGTGCGGAGTCCCTCTCACGTCAGTGGATGGGCGAGGCGCATCCCATGAATGTGGTGCGTGTGCAGAAGCTCAAGGACGAATTGCAGCGGTGGGAGATAGCCAGGCAGGCGGCGAGAAAAGTCAGGATCGGCGAGTGGGAGGAGGACGAGGACATGAGAGGGGTGCTTGTCTAGGGACGCGGATACAGAGGTATGCACTCACACCGGTCGCTTCTTCGGGGTTTCTTTTGCGCTACTTTACTTATCTATCACTTTCACTCGCTGTCTATGGACCCCTCGCTTCGTGTATAATAAATGGGTAGATATATTACTATATAATTCTGTTACTACACTGCTACAATGACCTCAGACTTCGCAGTCAGACAACCAAGCAATCACACAATAGGTATGGTGATGCAAATTCGCGTCGGTGAATAGAAGTTAGGAATAAAATAAGTATCATACTTCCGAAGGAAGTGGTGTTCGGAAAAATTGGTAATGCGACTTTGAGATGGGGTCAGTACACGGAATCCCCTAGTAAAAGGCGAGGGGATTGTCTTCTTGTACTAACCCCAGCCGCTACTTATTGAGGTAGTAGGAATCTTCATCTTGACGTGCTTTTGCATTTTGTTCATTCTGCGGGTTAGTGACGGACAAATGCTGGACTACAACATCTCTGAACCCTTCTTGCTGATATGCAATATAAGTTGTGTTTTTGTCCAGATCTAACATGCGGGCTATATTAAGATAGATGCAGCTATGATGTAAATGTGCTAGCTAACAGCGAAAGCGATAGTCTACGATTTAGCGTGAGTGGGGGATGCGCGGGGAACAGTCATGAATACACCAATCGGTCGTCGGTCAGAGTTTGTGAGCCGACTCGACATCCGCTGTGTCCTTGTCATCCATTACAATGTGCCACAGCTCAGGACCGTCACGAATGAGGCACTGCGGAGTGCGATTAAGGTAGTCCACGGAAACGTACAGGGACAATGACTCACGATGACGACCTCGACGGCGATGAGAAGGATGATGATGAGCTCCATGTCGTGTGCTGAGGTCTGGTTTCAGTGTCAGTCAAAAGCAACAAGACTATGGAAGATATACCCTACCTCCGTTAGGAGTTCTCGCAAGACCGACTGCATCTGATCGGGACGTCAGTATATATCTGCATAGACAAGTCACAGACATGCCCACCTCCGCAGCATAAGTGATCTTGTCGTTCACAGACCGCGTCCGGTTCCGCATCTCCAGCGCATTACTCAGAGAATTGAAGTAATCTGTCAAATACTATCAGCCCCCTTTATCTCTCTAACTATCTGTGCGAACGCACTTTCCAATGCCGGCTCCGCCCAGTAGAAATCCGGTGTGTCAGAGAAATTTTCCCTGTTCAAGTTGAGACCCTGGCGGAACTTTAAAAGGCCTCCCAGCTTCATGACGAGCGCTCTGCGGCTCAACCCCGGTTTTCCAGTGCGTTGCAGGGTGTCTGGGAGGAGGGCCATGGACGACAGATAGTTCTCCAATGACACTTCGAGAGCGGAGAGGGCGGTGGAGCGAGACAGCGCCTGCGAAAAGGAATAGCGGGCAAGGACGGTTTCTCGGGGCAGAGAAGAAGACGGTAGGTCACTAGGCATGGCATCGTCTGAGCTCAATGACGGACTTTGGCCCAAGATGATGAGATCGCCTTGCAGCCGCGTGTCTCTGTGAGTGAGCAATCAGACTTTCGGTGCCCTATCGGCAGGCAAAAATGCCACTCACTCTCCCGGGTCCGTCACAAATTCAAGATCCTCCGTCTCTGGCTCACGCAGCGGAGCGACTTCCGCTTTCGACTTAGACAGGACACTCCATGCGAACCTGCGCGCCTGGTCCTCGCCCAGGCCCCAGCACACAAAGCTCCCGTTCCCGAAGATGAAGATCTCGCCCTCCTGACCGTCATCTTTCCACTGAGGAACCCACCACGAATCATGCAGCCTCCGCGCGGACGCAGGGAGGTGTGCGCGGAGATTGGACAACAGGTAGCGCTCCGCCGTCGCGAGCGTGAACACAGGCCGAATCTCGCTACGCGTAGGCGTCGGGTTTGACCGGATGGGCAGCGACGCGGACGCCGAACGGCGCAACGAGGTGTGGGCTTTTGGCTTTGGCTTCTCCTCAGAGTTTTCTGCGCGATTGTACTTGGTTGCCTGCGCGAAGGTGCGGCATGGTATGCGAGTGCTGGCCTGCCATTGTAGCTGCCAACAGCGTGGCAGACTGACAAAACTGCGCCTGAGCTGAATGTGCGCGAGCATCTGCAGGCGTTAGACGACAAGTGTGAATATGAGAGAGGATGCTCACCTGAAAGACTGGACAGACTCAGTCGAACGTTGGCCAAATGGTGAGTGCAAAGCAAAGTATTGCAGACGCTCGGGACGATCTCGATCAAATCTCAGCCACACACGCGTTCTTCCGGCAAGATCGCCGATGAGGCCTGAGGCCTTGTGGCTTGAGGCACGATTTTGTAAATTCTTCAATTTATGAGGACGCACTCAACTTGGCTGAAGTCTCACACGACCCGTTCAAACAGCATTAAGATCATGTAATTTACTTTTTCCGCAGAGTGAATCCAAGATCAACAGACATGTAAATGCACGCAAAGATCCAAATGCAAGCCGTTTACCTCATGACATGTCTACGTCTGAATCACCGTCCTCGCTGCCCTCCGCGTCTTCCCATCCATCGCCATCGCCTCCTTCGTCGTCGTCGTCGTCAGGAGAAGGCTGTATACCTAGCGCGTCCAATTTCGCAAGAAGCTCTTCGACATGCTCTAGCAGCGGCTTGTCGGGGTAGTCCTGGTTGACATGCAGCTAACGACAGATCGAGGTAAGTCACTGAATGATATCGGGGGGAATGATATGGGCGTACAGTCTTGCAGGTCTCTAGACAATCCCTCGAGTCTCGAGCCAGCTCTTGCCATGTGAGGCCGTCCAGCTGTCCCTCATTCTCCTGTGCTTGTTCCGCCATCATGAAGAAACACCAGCCCTCCAAGTACCACGCTTCAACATCCTGGTCATCGGTTGCAATGACTCCCTGCAATACTAAGAGGGCGGGCGCGAAAAGCGACGACTCGAGGAATAGCTTCACCAGAGACAGGCGTGTAGGTATTGGTGGCATACGAGGATCATCTGGAGGGAATCATTGAGCGAATGTATCAAGAACAGGGCATGGCGTGCACAGACCAAGATCCATGTCCTTCCATGATACCCATGCCTGTTCGAGGCAGACCTTTGCATCATCGGGTCTCTCTTGCGAGAGTCTGACAGAAGCGAGAGTCTGCAAAGCCTCGTTGTTTCCCGGATCGATCTGTACAGCAAGATTCAACAGGTCCTCGCAAGTCTTCTCTGCCGCAGGGTCATCGCTAATATGAGACACAATGAGGAGCGCGCCCGTATCATCGTTCGTTTGCTTACCATAAATCACACGAGGGATCCATCCATATCTCAACCATCGCGCATAGCGCTCGGACGGTGGTCTGCTTCAGCTCTGTTTCGTCATCATTTTCGCTCACCGCGTCGACTGCACGCTCTTTCCCCTTGAGCTGCGCGGTTAGAAGGTCGATGGCTGCTTGATAGTGTCGTAATGCCAAATGCGGATCGTCACTCAGTTGCGCAAGGTACAAGTGAGCAGAGTGGGGAGGAGGATTAGGGGCACCCGCGCGTGGAGGGATTAATGATTCAAATGTCTGCGCGATTGATGGGACAGTCAATTGGGACAGGATTTGAAGAGAGCTGTATAACATACCGCCTTCGCGAGCTCGAGCTCGCCGATTTCTAGCTGCACGACGCCCAGCATCTCCTTCGCCTGTGCATTGTTGGGCTCCCGGTCCAGCACGCGTCGTATAAACAGACCGGCGAGTTCATAGTCGCATTGTACGATCAAGCTCTGTGCCTTCTCCAGGAGAGCTGGTGAGGATGGTAGTGCTTTAGTATCTGGAGCAGACCCCACGTCTTTTACTGCAATCACAGAAGCTTTTTTAGCATTTGGCCTTGTGCGACCCATTGCAGACTGTGGCTGCCGAGCGGGAACGAGATTTTGGGTGAGATGAAGAGCTCGCAATATTCAAGCTAGCGCCGGCACCGATCATCTTCAGAATGGGTAACCGAGGCTTTCCCCGAAGCTCTCCTGATTGTGACAAGTTGTCCTTCGCACCACATTCGCTCTGAACACCCCGTCTTTACTCGATGGACTTCTTACTGGCTGCAGCTGCAAATTCAGAAGGGACAAGTCGGGCCTCGGAAGATGGACTTTTTCTGGAACGGCTGGGGGCTTTGTTTGACAAGACTCTCGCGGACATTCGCACATTCGCTGAGCGGGAAGGTCGCTCTTTCGGAGAGGTCAGGTGTTTCTGTGTACAATGCAACAATTTCCTCAGAGGTGATGCCTCAGGTCAGGCGATACGTAGCTGAGCTGCACTCCGCATATCTCTTTAAGAGTGCGCCAGTGAAGGATGTCCGTGAATCCGTGCAAGAGCGAGGTGAGGATACAGCTCGCTGCTAGCGTTCTTGTGTACCATCCTGAGAGACGCAGTAAACGTCGTTCTACGCCACACCTCGCAGACACTTGAAACACTTCAAGAGGTCGCTGGCTTGCAGTCGTTCTTCCTCGTCGTGAATCCGCGTGACGCCACAGACGAGGGCTTCCTTGGTGGCACAACTATGGGTCGGGAATTCTGGCGGGGCCACCGAGGGTGCGGCGCGGCAGGCGCGAGAGCGTTCCAAGCCCAGTGTATGAGAAGCGCAGATGGAAGTATGCGTAACCCGGCGGTCGGAACGTCCACGGATGCGCCAGCCGTGATCAACATCGCTTCACAGAAGAAAGGTCCTGCGAGCTCATTGAAGGCCGAGGTGTATGCGAGCATCCGCAATGCGATCAGGTCAGCCCTCGTGTTTCCTCTGGACCTGACTGCATTTCACGCTACACATCAGGGCTGCATCTGGCATTCGCAATGCAGAAATGAAGTGGAAGGATCACTCTAAGCTGGACATCTATGGGATCCGCCTGGAAGGCTGGCCACACGACGTGCCCAAGGATAATCCATCCACCCTATCTGTAGTGCAGAACAAAGAGGTACTCAAGGCGCTACAGAGCGGACGCATGTCGTTTGTGCGCATTGCAGGGAGCTCTGGGCAGACGACCCCTTCAAGCGGCAGTCAGCAGAGCCCCGAGATCTCGGATGATTTCTCCTGGGCCTGTGGCTACCCGGACGAAGCAACACATTCGGTGAGTAGTCTTCTGGAGATTCCCGGGCTATCCACTATACAACATGTCGATTGACCTTCGAGTCGTGCTTATTTTCTGCTCCATATGTGATTTCACTCAGCCTCAAGATCATGCGATGCCGAGCACGAACTCTGGCTACTCGTCCATGCCCATGCCGTCAGCCACTGCCTGGGGAGAGGCTCATGGCAACATCGGATGCCACAATGACCCTGAACCGCTGCCAGACAGTCGTGGATCCTCTTCTCCGAACAAGCGGAGACGCACAAACGACGACGCAGGCTAATGGTGACCAAAAGCTTCTGATGAGATGCGTACTATGTGGTTATGTGGTAAAGCATGCATGTAAGCCCAATTGTACTGTACAACAAATGTATATATACCAATAGAATGCGTGTATTCGAACGTGGGAGATATACCTATAATTCCGTAAGTGGTCTCGCGGCTAATAGCATCTCCTAGTGCGTCGGCTCGAATGGCACACCTCGAAGCGAAGAACATCTTTCGCATGCATAGCCTGCATCCGGTCACACACCGAGTCTCGGTTGAATGCTTGTGGCGCGTCGCGATGCAGCTCAACCTCGAATTTGACGATCCTCAAGCTGCGGAATCGAGTGTGCGAGAGCACCACGTCGAGACCTTCCAAATTGAGGACGCGAAGATCGGCTAGCCGAATCGCAAATGTGATTTCCTCGAGGTGGGGGGCGTGTGCCGCGGAGAGCAGTATGACAATCCAAGAGAGTGAAGGACGGATGGAGGATAGCATGAGCGAATGTTCGACGGACGAGCAGCAGATATGGAGACGGCGGAGACGAACGGAATCGGTCATGTCAAAATGTGTTGCTTGCAGGATATCTACGTGTCTCGTTAGATTTGGTGACTACGTCATGAGCTCGCACGGACCTGTGGTATCTCGGGTATCTTCGAAACCGATGGTTAGGTACTCAAGCGTGGAACCGGTTGCATGTAACAAGTCGCGGATAGCGGAAACAGACTTTGGACCAGACAATGAACATGAGAGGGACACCATCTCTACGTGCACGTTTGCTGAGAGCATCCAGGAGACGAGGGGAGCGACATCGATCTTGCGAGAGATTTCTAGGCGCCTGAGCCTAATGACTGATTGCTGACTGGTCTCTGTAGGACTGCTATGCCCGGGCAGCCACTGAGCCGAAAGCAAGCGGAGAGTCTTGAGACGGGGCAGACTGTTCAGCAGCCCCACCACATCCGCAAAGGCCACACCCCTGCAGCCATCGAGCACGAGCTCGGTTACACAGCTAAAGTGAGGGGATAGTGCGACTGTGACGCTGCCGCTCAACGTCAGTGCCGTCAGCTTGAGCGAGACGACCTTCTGCAGCGACGGAGTGCTTGAGGGTAGCACGCGCTGCAACCACGCTGCAGTCTCGACGGCGGCAGTGTCGCCGCGTCCGCGGGGAGCCTGTTTCAGTGTCGGCCACGAGATGAACGGATTGGAATCCCATGGTGACCGCGTGCCCGAGTTGCCGAGGATCTCAACGTCTTTTACATAAGTGGCGATTATGGGCGATGAATGTATGAGTCGCCTGAACGCGTCACCGATGTGGCCGGGGTCGAGCGTGATGCTACGGAAGAGGTGGTAGCGGCTCCTCGGGAGCCAGGCGCGGCAAGTCAAGCCACACGCCTTGAGGGCGTTGCGGTCGGCGTGCAGCTGGTCGATGACCTCGTCGCGAAGTTCTGGTGGGATGTACCAGCAGAACTTGTTCGAATGTAGGACGGTGTCGGAGTCGGTTTGGCCAGAACGACGTTTGGTATACGGCTAAATATAGCCGAATGTGGCGAGTTCCCTTCAGTAAAGGTATACAGCGCGACGAATTTGACTGCTCACCGTTGGCATGGTCTAGCTTCTCTTGGGATCGCGATGTTCTCGACGAATCGAGCTGATGGTTGATAGACCAGGTCGGTCAATCCTAATCCAGATCGTGAGCGGATGAGCTTCATCTCGCGCTGCGGCAGGCGTGGGTGCTTACGGTGCGCGCTCTGAGGTCGCAAGAATGGTTGTCCTTGACACGTTTGACAAGCTCACGCGGCATGTTGTATCCAGTGAGCGCTTTTCACGAGCCCGTATCCCGCCGCAGACTGTTGTCATTTGTCAAATGAGGAGGACAGCGTTACTGCACGGGCGGTCCGAGCCGAGGCAGGCGATCGCCGGCCGTGTTCCCTCGCTTAGGATCGAATTCGACCTATGTTTAGATCTCATTAATTATCAACGATTACTTAAATGCTCAGCACTCGTTACCTGGCGGCGGGCATCGTTCAGCCTCATTCGATATACTGCGGTATCTGGACGGCTTTCGCCCGCCTCTAGGCGGCGTGTGAATATAATTCTGTGCTGAAAATGAGAGGGATTATACAGGTTAGCTAAAATTAATTTAGCTAGCGTGGAGATAGCCCGCTTATATGATGCCTTTCTCACGGAGATTCCTCTAACAACCCACCATGTTCTCCTCTATCTTCTCGTAAGAGACTACTACCCTCGGATCAGTTTGATGCTCATATGTTTGTAGAACATCCCCGCCAGTCGACCCAAAGGCGCCTAATTTCCATCCAGTATCGTCCGCACATGGCGTCTCAGACTTGTTTGGTGAGCTCGAGCCCAAGGACACCGAATGGACTTGCCCGGGAGGGTTTGCAGTGGAGACCCAAATTTGGTACCATGCATTGGACGACGGGACGTCTTTGATGTGCCAGGTCATCCATTCCTCCGTCGGGTGAGTTACAAATGGCGTGGTTTCGCACCAGGAGGTTGCTCACGCGATTATAGCGTGTGGTATCCTACCATCCAATTTACTTGCAAGATCTACAATCCCGCAACCAACGAGCGTACCTGGAAATCGATCAATGTCAGCAACTTCGTCACTCCGCCTCCCGGACTGGACAAGCGTTCTAGCAAGGCGGATCAGTTCAGTATCACCCACCGCTCGAATCCGGGATCCGACACACCCGAGTCGTACAGTATCCGCGTCAACCTCGATAATGACTTACAGATCTCGCTAGAGGTCACTCGTCCTGCCTCTGCGCCTGGCTGGAAGGTGGGCAAAGGCCCCAAGGGTGGCTTTTCCTACTTCGGACACGATCCGGAACACGCAGAAGGCTATGTCGTCCATCGTTTCTGGCCGATGGATCTCGCGACCGGGACGATCATCCATAAGGGTCATGCCAAGCAGGTCTCAGGCCCAGGCATGTTCGTGCATGCCATTCAAGGCATGCGACCAAACCTCGTCGCGGCGCGGTGGAACTTTGCGCACTTTGTGAGCGCCGAACTCGGAGGCTGCTCTGCGATTCAGATGGAGTTCACTACAATCGACGCGTATGGGCGGCAGGGTGCTGGCTCCGGGTTCGTCACCGCCAACGTTGGTTCGCTTGTGCTCGGCGGAAAGCTCGCAGCGGTCACGGCGGAAACGAAATGGCCGGACGAGACATTGCCGGAGTCTGCGGATGTCGTGTCGCGTGCGGCACACTCAAAGACGGCGCTGGACGCAGAGACGGGCTACAATGCACCAACGGAGCTCGTCTTCCAATGGGCGGCGCCCTCGATTATTGCGGAGGCACAAGGGCCAGTTGATGCGACGCTCATCATCGACGTCGGCTCACCTGACGCGTACAAGGGCCTGGTTGAGAAGGTCGACGTGCTTGCGGAGATCCCGTACGTGATCAAGACGATGGTGAATTACGTGGCTGGCACGAAGCCGTACATCTATCAGGTCAGTTGGTTTACGCATCGCTGCAGATGCTCTCGCTGACAGAGTGGTCTTCCAGTGGTACAACCCTGCAACGCTGCAGGTGAATGTACCCGCTGGTCTGATTCCAGACGTCTCTGGGCCTGCCTCGATCAACGGAACACTGTACAATGAAGCCACCTTCATATCCTAAGTGTATACCATACGCATCCTTCCACGCACTGTCGATGATATCTGAACAAGACTTGTGTACATTCGTGTTTGTTGTAAATGTGAAACTGGAGGAAATATAGTCATGTGTTAAGCCCCATCCCATGTCCTATTCCTTAACATTTCACAACGATAATGAATCGTACAGTATTACTTTAGATTTGTGAATAAGTGTATTCGAACCGAAACTTCCAAACGTAAATGGGCGTGTTACGTAATGTCTGTAAGTACATTTGAAACCCCGCATCCATGGTGCATATTACTCTTTACTCACTCATCTATTACCACTATTGCGTACTTGGACAGCCCGTGCACCGACTATCTGTTTTCACCTCCGCAACCTCACAGCCATGTCGATGGAAGAGAGCATCAGCTTGGAGGAGACCAACAAGATCCGTATATCCTTAGGTCTCAAGCCGCTGACAGACGATAGTGGCCCTGCGGACGACAACGAAAAGCAAGCTCAGGACAACTACGCGAAGCAGCGAGAAAGAGAGACCAAGGAGCGAGAAGCAAAGTAAGCAATAAATCATGTTCATAAGTAGATGTTGTCACTCACGGTCGCTCTTTGTAGGCGAATTCAGGACAATATCGCAAAGTGAGTATCTTCCTTCCTCTGTCCAACCCAAAACAGCTACTTCTACCGTTCTTGGGCGCCCAGGCCCATGCCCGCTACGAGCCCGCATGCTCATTGGACTATCCATATAGGGTGAGAAACCGGAGAGAGCTCAATGCGAAGCTGAAAGGTTCGACGCTGGGTGATGCGGACGGCGACGTAGACGACACCTTGAGATGGATCAAGAAAAGCAAGAAGAGGGAGAAAGAGTTGGTGAGGAAACGGCAGGAAGAGCTTGAACACATGGATAAGGTCTTCCAGGACGAGTACACTGAAAGTGCGTCGTCCCCGCATATATCCACGAGCATCAGCTGACATATTCCTTGTGTTGCACTGGCTCAGAGGACCTCGCCGGATTGAAAGTTAGCCATGACTTCGAGGAGATGGACGAAGGCGAGGCTCGTATTCTCACGCTGAAGGACAGTCGCATACTCGACAACGAAGGTCTGGTCACACAGTCAAAGTGACAAACGATGTTACTCACATATTACTCTAGAGGACGAGCTACAGAATGTAGAGCTAGCGGAGAATGAAAAGACCAAGAAGAACAACGAAATGAAGATCAAGCGACGGGATTATACGGGCTACGATGACGACGAATTCACGCCTGGACAAGCTGGCATGAAGCGATCTCTTCTTTCCAAGTATGACGAGTTTCTCGAAGGCCCGAAGGAGACGGTAGGCCCTGTTGACAGACCGAATGCAATATTTATTGAGCGCCCCTTATGCAGGACTTCCGCCTAGGCAGTTCTACAGCATCAATGTCTCAACTCAAAGAAGCCAAGAAAGAGGGAGGTATTACTTCTGTCAACAAATCTTTGCTGTCCATAGATTACGCCAGTAAGTACGTTTTAATGGTTACCTGCAACACGCACTTATCGTCACTGGTAGAAAATAATGAATTGACTGATTATATGAAGGAAGGCGATGTCGGGTTCAAGAAGCTTAAGGTCTGCTCCAATATTATGGCGTGAAGCCGGTCACTTACGCGTTTTTGAATCTTAGACCAAGAAGAAACGGACGTCGCGTAGAGTGGCAGATGAATATGACATCCCTTCAACAAACGGCGATGACCAGATGCAGGTAGACGAGAAGCCGATTGCCCCACGACCACGTAATCTGGATACCAATTTCGTAGATGACGATGAGCTGCAAGCGGCCCTTGCTCGCTCGAGGCGTGCAAAGCTACAGAAGACCAAGAAATTGTCGCCGGAGGAGATCGCGAGGAAAAGTGCGTTGGTGCAATTATACAGACTTCCATTAATTGATTAACTGACGAATGGCTTTCATAGTCGCTGAGGAGCGTACGAAAACGGAGGCAACTCATGGCGACGGCATCATCAACGTGGACGATGATGGCGACGCGGATGGCGAGGGCGGTCTGACCTTCGATGACACCTCAGAATTTGTGCGTGCCATCACATACGAGCCGGTCACAGTCAAGAAGGAACCACCTCCAGAGAGCGAAATCACGAGCGCTCCATCTATTCCTCATGTACCATCTACCGGCCGTTCTCCATCTGCCGACGCAAAGATGGAAGATGGCGACCAAGTCATGGAGGAACTCGAGGCTGGTGAGGTCATTGTGAAGGAAGAGGAAGATGACGAGGAGATGCTCAATGCTATCGAGAATGCCATCAGGCAGACGGAAGCCGAGGAGCAGGCTATAGCTGAAAATCTAGAGGTGCCTATGGGCACATCCTCCGAGCAGAACTACAGTTCCGGTCTTGCGTCTACGCTCAACATCCTCCGAAGTCAGGGAATTCTTGCTACCCCTAATGCCGATCAAATGGAACGAGAACGGGTACAGCTACAGCGCGATCTCTGGCTTGCTGACTACCGCAGACTAATCGCTCAGCGTGAGCTCGAGCGGACCAAGATGCGTGGGGGGAACAGGGACCAGGCGACGCGTGAGTATGAAAATCGGCTGCGCGAGCAGCAGGAGGCTCGTCAGAATCTAGACGCGTACAAGAACTACAAGCCGGATGTCAACATCGTGTATTATGATGAGTTTGGCCGGGAGCTCACGCCCAAGGAAGCTTGGAAGGCGCTATCCCACAAGTTCCACGGGAAGGGCTCTGGTCGTATGAAGACGGAGAAGCGTTTGAAGAAGATCGCCGAGGAAAAGAAGAAAGAGGCAATGGCAAGTGGAGACACGCCACTCAGCATGAACCAGGCGTTCCAGCTCCGACAAGAGAAGGCTGGTCAAGCGCACTTCGTTCTGTCCGTCGGTAATCGAGGGTAAGTCGATGCAGTGCGATACCGTATCTCAATATCTCATCATGTTCGTTTAGAGCGGTGCCACAGGCTGCCGAGTTTCTCGACGCTCAGCCCCTGTCCAAAGGCAAGACGGAAAAGAAGAACAAGAAGAAGAACGCGGGCAAAGTATCGACGCCACAACTTGATGCTGGTGGTTTCATGATAGTACCCGCACCATTAGCAAGCGGCAGCCCATTGCCGATAGACTCACCGGCGCTTGCTTCAGCTTCCACGAGCAAGGACTCCCCTGCTCCTCGACCGGGCTTCTCGCGGATCTCATCCGTCGCCGAGCCTGTCGATTCATCGAAGGGGGGTACGCCTGTGCCCAGTGACCGGACCAAGCTGGTTATCGGACTCGGGACGAAGAGAAAGGCGAATGGTGAAGCGCAGGGCTCGCCGCCCCCGAAGAGGAGATGATGTTATGTTCTGGGCTATGGATTATGTAGAATATGTAATAGGACAAGTGCAACGTGCGCTTCTTGTATCTCGAGTTGGTCGTTCCGTGCTGTTCCAGCCAGCTTCTTATTTAAGATATTGAATTGGATGCCAGTGGCGAAACGAGATACCAGAGTAAAATCGAGACGCGAGAAGAAAGACAAGAACAGCTACTTAGAGCATTGCAATGCTTTTTATGCAGAGATCTTTTGTGACTGCACACCGACCCTTGTCTAGTCCGGTCCCACTTTCAAATGCCTTCACCAGTGATGCTTGTCCGTCGTCGATCCTACGCGAGGTCATGTTCAGCCTTTAGAAGCCGCATGAGAAGGCTAAGGTATAGAGGTACTGACCACTCCACGTTATGGGCTTCCTTCTCGAGGGCAACTTTTATTGTCGTCCACGAAAAGCGTGCAAGTGATGGGAAGCCAAAGGTAGGATCAAGTGAGTTCTTGATCCACGCCTGAGTCTTAGGATCTAGGGCAAACCCCACTCTACGGTTAGCGCATGCTGCATGGTGGAAGTTGCCCAGTCCGTACCGGATGGATAACCGCTACCGAGCTCTTCAGACCAAGCAGCTTGCATTTGGGATTTGGACCGTTCGACACCACTATTGTGGTGATGCTCCTCAAACACCCAGCCCTCTACACACGCATCGCGCGTTACCTTCGCGGCAACACTAGCCGCGCCAACGATCTTGAACTTCGAATCCGCCTTCGCGGTGACGGTAAAATTGATGTCAGGGAATTGTGATGATAGGTAGGCTTCGTACGTCTTTGTTGGGCCGAGCGCATCTACGTAGACCTGCGGCGTGGTATGCTGTTGAAAATCGTGCGCGAAAGGGACGTTGGGTGCATTACGCACCTCGGATAGTTTGATGCCGCGTTGTAAGACCTCCCGAATTAGTAGAATAGTGGCTTGCTCGGATTGGCGATTAAGATTCGTTGGTGGACGCCGAAGCATACCACTCGATATTCCTTGCGGGCTGAGAGACGTTATATATCTTCTGACTGAGCGATTCGGATTGACGACTCACCAGAGGACGCGTACAGACCAGCCAAGATTGAGCGGGTCTGAGGAAAGCTTCTCAAGCAGCTTAGACCGTGTCTCTGCGGTCAGGGTTTTGGAATCTATGGTACAAGAAATTTGGCAAACTATATTTCACAGATACACAGACCGCCTACCAGCGAAGCCGAGATTATTCAGGGAGTCTTGGTATGTGGCCGGACAGTAAGCGACGCCATAGACAAGCGGTCCCAAGACGGGCCCTCGTCCAGCTTCATCGACTCCCAAAATATATGGCCCTGAAGCTGTTGGTGTAGGGGAATGATATGTGTAGGATGCGGTTAGTGGTGCGCAGGGGTCAGCAATGGAAGGGACGTTGGATGTGCTAGTAGCGCTTTCGATCTCGGGCATGATGAACTAGAATTTGCTCAATGCGGATTGCAACTTAGACTTAACAAGTTTCGTTTGTTTGGGCATGTGGATAGAGTGTTTCTGTGTACTCACAAGCAGGCGTACGCGTATATTACGTCGTGAAGTGAAACGCGCCTCAAGATCGCGTCGCGTTATTTTGACCTATTTGGACGCACGCGTCTGTGGCGCCTGGAGGTGCCTTGGACAAGTCTTGCACTGTGTCCGGAGAGCTAATGTCCTCTTGTCAGTACCCTGTACGTGGATCGGGCCACTAAGGACTGAATATACTAGGCAGTATGGGGAGAGGACATGCCCAAATGTAGAAGCTATTGAACAACACGCGCAAACAACTGCTCGATCGTATTGCAGCCAATCGGGTATGCACTTGACGAAATTCATGGCTGCTCGCACTGGTCCTTCGCTGCCCAAGGCTCTCCTCGAGGAGCTCGAAAGTCAAGACGGTCCGTTCTATGCAGCACTTTCTTTTGTAAGTCTGACCTCCGCCTGTACAGGTGCTGGTCATAAGTATCGATCAAAAGCAGGAACTCGACTCTCGAGGAAGGATGCCCGTAAGCAAGAGCGTCAAGGACGCAAGCAGCGCAAGGCAGTTTTCTTCGCGGGACATGGAACTCAAGCTATTCATGGCGTCAAGCGCGATGCGGAGCAAGAACATCCCGAGTCACCGAGGCGCAAGAAAGCCAAGGTAGCGCACCCTGGATCATCAGCTCCTAAAACATCTGGGAGAGATAAAGATGGACATTCAGCAGCACTAGCAGATGGCTTAGGCACCAAGCCAAAATTGGAGAAGAAAGCCACTTCCAAGCCGGAGAAGTTGGCGAAGCCCTCGAATAAGGCATCCTCGAAGACCAGAAGTACACCTTCTGTATCTGCTATGGTGCATACGCGCGAAGAAGAGAAAGAAGACAAGTACATAGCCTATCTGGAATCCAAGCTTGGCTGGAGGAAGGGCGGTAGAAGGACCAACAATTACGGCAAAGGCGGAGACGATGGACTAGATGGTATGCCAAGCATATATCGGCGCACAACAATCTTATTGATGAAAATTCTCAAGATCTTTTACAGGACCTCGAATCTATGGAGAAATCTGTATTCTCGCATTCAAAGGTATATAGCAGGTCGTTCTACCTGGTGCACGGGCTGACTTCACTTGCATAACACAAGGCGGTCTCTCATCTGGAAAGCGATCCTGAGGATATCAGTGAAACGGCCAGTGGAGGGAACGATGCCGTAGACAGAGAAGGCCTCTCCGCCGAGCAGTCGGACGAGGACGAAGGATGGGATGGCATAGGAGATTCTGCGGGTGATTTGCCATTGCCTGATGAGCAGAATGATTCTGTATTAGACGAGGTTGAGCAGTCCATAACAACTTCGGCTCTACAGACCTCGACACCTTCTGCCGACGCTACATCTGGTACGTTTGCCAAGTAGTGCGGAATCGTTGTCCATCTAACGGTCTTGCGCAGAGTCACGTTACGTCCCACCCCACCTCCGTAATCGAGAGGCGTCTGCACATGGTGACACAGAAGCCCAATTCAAGCTTACGAGACAGCTGAAAGGATTGCTGAACCGGTATGTCATATCCCGGCCCTGACTCCAATAGCCGGCTGACGGATGTGTTGATTCCCAGGATGAGCGAGCAGAACATCGCTTCGATCACAGATGGTGTCGAAGAAATCTATCGAAATCATAGGAGGCATGGTACGTGCGTTTTTTATTACCCGCGGTGGTCTATCTCACATACTGCTAACAGATGTGACATCATCCATTACGACGCTCATCGTCGAGGGGATATCTGCACACTCTATGTTACTGGACTCTTACGTCGTCCTGCACGCTGCCTTCGTATCCGCTCTGCATAAGCTCATTGGAGTGGAGTTCGGTACGTTGAATAGGCCAGATATACGAGCCTTGTCGATTCATATGAGTCAATAGCCGCATACTTCGTTCAGAATGTCGTGGCCACCTATGAGCGACATTTTGCCGATCTCAAAAATGACCTGCATACAACAATCGCGCAACCTGACACTGAACAGTCTCATGTCGCAGGCGATACGTTGGGCAAGGAATGCTCCAACTTGATCATTCTCCTCTCCGAGCTCTACAATTTCCAGGTCATATCTTGTGTTCTGGTGTATGACGTTATTCGCGGGCTTCTCGACGGCGAGCTTACCGAGTTTCAAGTGGAATTACTGCTCAAGATTACCAGGAGTACGTACAGGTATCGTCGTGGCGGGCAGGTGGCTGACGACAGAGATAGATTCTGGCCCACAGCTACGACAAGATGATCCGACTGCATTAAAAAGCATCATACAAATGGTTCACTCCAAGTTGCCTAGTCAGGCGAATGCAATGAGGTGCGTATCGTCAAATCCTTGTCTTCTCAAGTCTCACCTGGCGTGGTAGCTCGCGCACTCGCTTCATGGTGGAGACCCTCACGAATTTGAAGAACAACAAGCTTAAGCGAAACGCCGGAGCAACGCCAGGAGGCGAAGCCGTTGAGCGCCTCAAGAAGTTCCTCGCGGGCTTGAGCAAGAAGCGTCACGGTACGTATCATCCTCTCGGCGCATGAGCTCGTTACTGACGCATATATGCAGTCCTAGCGCACGAGCCCCTTCGCGTCAGCCTGGATGATCTACATTCTGCCGAGAGCAAGGGCAAGTGGTGGCTTGTCGGTGCCGCGTGGGGTGGCGATCCCTTGGTCGATCATCAAGAGAGTCGACGGGAGGCTATAGCCAAAGTAGAGGCAGATGTGCTAAGCGAGAACGCTTTGCAGAAACTGGCGAGGAAGCAAGGGATGAACACAGAGATCCGCAGAGGCATCTTTGTTGTACTCATGAGCAGCGAGGTATGGTCAAGAGAACATGGGTAGATCGTCGATGTGCATCCTGACGAACCCCGCCTTGCGCACAGGATTATGTTGACGCGCAAGAACGGTTGTCGCAACTGAAACTTACAGAAGTACAGCAACGGGAGATCATCCGAGTGATCCTGCACTGTTGTGGAAATGTGCGCCCTCCCTTCCCCCCCTAATTGTCTTCGCGTACTGAATTAGAGCGCGATATAGGAAAAGGCATACAATCCGTACTATACCCTTGTCGGCCAGCAACTCTGCAGAATGTCACATTCGCATAAGATCACTCTGCAGTTTTGCCTATGGGACTTCCTACGGGATATGGGTGAAACGAACGTCGGTGGAGCAGAAATCATCAAGAACCTTGGTGAAGACGCCGGCTTCGATGTCAAGAGCATCTCCTCGACAAGGATAAAGAATATAGCTAGAGCGTATGGCTGGTGGATTGCAAAAGACTGCTGCACTCTCGCGATACTGAAGGTGGGTCGCTTGATCTTTGTGGCGAAACCCTTGTTGAAGTAATTACGTGCCGTCCAGCCGGTCGACTTTACCGTCCTGCAACCGCAGTCACGAACATTCCTCAAAGAGCTCCTCACTCAAATTTTCATCAGCACGCAAGTCTCCACACCATTGCTGAGCAGGAACCCGAAAGACCTCCCTAAGGGTCACAACAGAGGGCCTCTCGAGGAGGTATTCATGAAGGCCACGCGTGTACAAACTCTGGTGATAGGTCTCGTATATTTCATCGGTGACGTGTTCAAGGGGGACATGATCGAAGACGATGGCTTCCTCAAATGGGCAGCCCAGGTCGCAAGGGACACGTTGCGGACAGGAATGGATGTCGTTGCCGGCCTATAATATCTGGAGCATTCTGTCACAGCGTGAATAGAGTTCAATGGCGGAAGGGCATTTTCCCTATATTGTCTTCTGGAATGCTACGCTCGAATACACGTTGCCGCTTTTGCCGCCAAACGAGAAGCTTGGGAAGGATATCCGTGAGCTGCATCACATCGTGTAAGTGACAGATCATGTATGAAGGCATCTATCGACCTACTGGAAGATAAGGCCCGTGTCTACAGAGGTGAATTTGTTCTTTAGCTCTTCCTCGGTGAAATTGCATGCTGCGCAGTGAGAAATTCAACTGCGCGGTCGAGGAGCGAATGTAGCGTGGTATTCATGACTCACAAGTGATCAGGAAGTATCCTCCGGGCTTGACCACACGCCCCACTCGGAGAGGATATCCGTCAGCAAACGAGCGTCCATCTTCGTTTGTCCCCAGGGCCATCGCGTCAAAGGTACCCTTATCTAGGACAAGGTCCCACACCGCACTGCCTCCTTCGAAGCGAGTCATCTCGGGCAGCACGGGCACGTCTTCCTGCAGGAAGTCACACACTGCGAATGTAATTGCGTCTGGATCTCCTTCAGAGCGCTCCGTCGTGTCCTCGTCGTCTTCTGCCTCGCGCCGAGAACGCGCAATCGCCTGGGCGAGCCTCACCGCATCTGAACTGTAATCCACTCCACACATTCTGCGTGGTTTGTACCCTGCCTCGTGAAGAGCAAATAGCAGGTTGCCGTTACCCGCACCAACCTCGAGGATAAAAGGTGACGGGTCCATGTCTGGAGGGATGGTCTCAAGAGCCCAGTCAACCATCTTCTCCACGCTATCTTCGCCGAACCTAAATTGAGCATCAATATGTAGAGTTGTAATGTCCGAAGTCCGTGCAATGTACTTGCCATGTTTCGCCTTCATCGCCGATGTCCTCGAAATTGTTCAATTCGGAAGAATATACATTGTCCCAGCTCCAAGTTTCCCGGCCAACGTCAGGTTCAGAGATTGACAAAGTAGAGCAACTCACTGTTCTTTGGTACCAAGCCTCGACGGTGGGAGTTCAATTGAAGACATGGTGGCAGATGAAAACCTATATTGCTTAGTCAGCATCTCGTATGGACTCAAGCTTTCTGCTCGGCGAAATTCCACATCGCCAGGCTGGAGACTGCTATACGTGACATAGTAGTAAGAGCGCTGGGAGGCCATGCTCGAAAATGATAATAGCTCAGGAACCGGAAAAGCTGCTCAGATGAGTGACCTGTGACATAGTCTGGGCAGCGAATACACCACCCGATGAGAGACTTCAGACGAGAGACCGCAGGTGAAAGTAGTGAAGTATGCTGGTATTATATGGGTATGATACAGTAGTAGCATGTCTAAACCACGACTCATGAGCTAGACATTGCATGTTGATATCATGACAATTCCCATAAGAGCATAGCCAGCGTACCAGATCAGTAAAGCTCATCGCTTCTCCATTTTCTCCAACAAGTCCTTGGCTTCATTGATTTTACTCGCCAGATATGGTGACCCACCCCGGTCTGGGTGGTTTGCAAGCATGATTTGGCGGTGGGCGTCCTTCAACCGGCTCTTGAGCTGGGGGCTGTCTCTGAAGCAGAGGCAAGACAGTGATAGGGCGATGTTAATCACATACTGGAAAGGAGATGGATGCCGTGAGCACTCACTTGAGACCAAGGATTGCGATAGCCTCCTTGCGATCCATTTTGGCCTTGAAGCCGCCCTTCACCCATTGGTCTGCAGCACCCTGGCCTGCTCTCCGCATTATTTGCCGACCAGCAACAGCGGCAGCAATTGCCCCGAAGCCAAGGAGTATTGGGGTAGCCATGAAAGCAGTAACCAGCGAGGGACAGGCTCGAGAGAGGCGGGGTCGGGCGTTGCGTCACGTAACGGACGAATGTCACCATAATGTGACCGCTACCGTGACGTCCTCACGCCTTGTCCTGCGCCCGTCGTCTCCTTGCATGATGCTTGATGGCCAGCGCGCGCACTATTCGGTTGCTACAGCTCCTCATCTTGCTCTATCGGACACATGTGGTTTTTCTTTCCTTGCTTGAGCTGTGGCAGCACATCGGCGCATGATGCACCGGAATGACAGCTACTAGCATGAGGCATCCGCACCCGGGCGATTGATTGTGGGTCCATGTGTGTATATGACAGAATCATAATACAGCTGGGCGTGCAACCTGCCCTTTTCGTTGAGTTGCCGTCTTTTCGTCTTCCTGTGACTCCGTTATCTGACCCGGGTCCCGGATAGAGCGACGTGATAATCACAGCTTTGAGGGGTGCTCTTAGCTTTGAGGGCGTCTTGCATCGCCCATAAGCCTCGTGCAGTAGTTATCAGGAGCACATTTTCACGCTATGTCCACGTATAAGGTTGCGTCCTCGAGGCCCTGTTTACTTCTGCATCTCCTCGCCCTCCCCCATATCACTGTATCCCAATGGTCATCCAGACAACGCTTCAGCAAACCATCTTCAAGTCATTTCATAAACCAATTCATGTCACGCAGCTCAATGAAAGCGAGCTGACGGAGAGCCAGACCTCGGAATTCTTGCGGACCACACATGGAGATGTCTATGGGATTGCTGCCTCCTATGGGCCACGACTTGTGCTCACATCTGTTGCTTTCTCTACATCAACCCGCGTTCTTTATATCAAAATGACAGCGCCTCGCAAGGGAACGAAAGGCAAGTCGAAGACGCAGCCAGCAGCGTTGACGCGGAGCCGCGATATTCTGCGCGACCGTCTTCTCTGCCATTTAGATTTTAGAAAGCTCGGATTCGACGCCCATCGCATTGCCATCTCTCTCTATCTCGATCACAGTCTCTTCATTACACGAGCCATTGACCTACAGAGTGTCATGACGAGCAACCGTCGAGCGCCTGCGACTCTTCTCCAGATCCTAGGCGGCGAGGCTCAATTGCACAAAGAGCAGCTTCTTAATACTTTCTTTGGTATCGCTTACGACAAGGCAAGTCCCGAGAACGTCTGCCTTCGGGCTTGGGCAGCCTGTCAAGCAGCTTCCGTCGGATCTACAACCAAGCAGCTCCTTTCGGTACTTCCTATCGATACCTCAGCACTGGAGACCCTCGTAAGTACAATTAGTTTGTCTCTCAACTAGATTCACCATGCTTTCTTTGCACGTCAGCACTTGAATGTGATCGCGAAAGTTATACGAGACTTCGATCGTCTCTATATCTTGAAGCCGACTAGAGTGAAGAATGATGTTGCTACACAATTCAGTCACAAGCAAGGCGCATTAAACGTCGAGCTCACTCGTTTCAAGACTCGCCTACGGGTCTCCAGCTCGCAGGTCAGTCTCACTTGGCCTTGTCATCGGCTTGGTTACTGACGGTCCTTTGGGTATCAGTCGTTGGTCGTGGAGGTAGCATCCAAGGGCCGCCAGGCTATCTCTGCTCAAGGGCGTACAACCCGTCAGGCCGGAAAAGCAGCGCAGATCTCGTTAAACAAATCCGTCCCGGCAAACGGACAGATCAAGAATATTTACACCATTGGTAGAGAGGAATTGACTCACGCCGAAAGCGAGCGGGAGCTAGTAGCTCTTCAAGTACTGCAATGCAGATCCGCATTCTTCAGCAAGACCCTTGTTCGGCGGATATTTGTGGGCTGCAGTGGCAAGACTCTACAGACACGCTCTGCGAAGCGTCGTGCGCCTCCTGCGCCTCCCATCTTGTTCCCGGGTAGACCTCTAAATGCTTCTCAGACGGCGGCAGTACGCCGCATCCTCTCGAAATCCAGCGACGACCGAGTCTGTCTAGTCCACGGTCCGCCGGGAACGGGGAAAACCACGGTCATTGCGGCGAGCGTTACGAGCCTCATGGCAGCTCCCGTGGACGGCGTTGGCATTTGGCTCGTGGCGCAGTCAAATGTGGCCGTGAAGAACATAGCAGAGAAGCTTGCAAGCGTCGGTTTCGCGGACTTCAAGATACTTGTATCCAAAGACTTTCACTTCGAATGGTGAGCTGAGATGCCGACAGCCCGACTGCGATGCGATGACTGATTTGCACAATGCAGGCACGAACACCTCTACCAGATGATTGAGCGTAACGTGATACGATCAGACGAATTTGCTGACAACTACATTGGCACTGAACGTCTGTTGCTGGGCTCTAAGGTCATCTTGTGCACCATCAGTATGCTATCTCATCCACGCTTGGGCCCTTCTGGTTTCATCCGGCTCGTACCAATTCACACTGTCGTCGTGGACGAGGCCTCTCAGATCGAGGTGGGCGACTATCTTCCCACGTTGGACAAGTTCGACATACAGAAGCTCGTCTTCATCGGCGACGACCAGCAATGTGCGTGTCATCAGCAGCGCGCCTCTCGTACACGTTCGCATTGACATCTCCCATTCGTAGTGGCACCGTACGGACAAGATGACTTGGGGAACCTAAGGAGTATCTTCGAGTGCGATCATCTACGCAAGGATGCCGTATTTCTGGACACGCAATGTAGGAGCGTTTTGTTTGCGATACTTACGAGGCGCCTTACCAGGTTGTAACGGCAGATCGTATGCCCGTACATATCGGTGGTTTCATCTCGCGGCACATATATGACGGCAAGCTTCAGACGGTGCATTCCCTAAAGGCACGTTCTGTGTGTCGACTGGTTGACATTCAGCGCGGAAAGGAGGAACAAGCGGGGAAGAGTTGGATCGTGCGTCCATGCAGCGACATAACGATGACGGTATCTGACGTTGGTTCCACCAGAATAAAGCAGAAGCTCAAGCAGTCGTCGTCGTCGCCAGGGGACTGGCCCGTGCGGGGAAATCCTTCCGCGTCATTACGCCCTACGACTCGCAACGCAATCTATTGGAGAAGATGCTCAAAGCAGAGAAACTACCATGGGAGAACAAATGTTTCAATGTGGATTCCTTCCAGGGTACGCGGTTGTACTACGCTTACTTACGTTGGGCTGAAAGTTTATCTCTTCGTGTTCCCCAGGTAATGAAGACGATCACATTGTTATCTCTGTCGTACGAACGGGCAAGGTTGGCTTCCTCTCCAACTTACGCCGGACGAACGTTATGCTCTCGCGTTGCAAGAAGAGCATGACGATATGCACCAATCGCGCGTTCCTGGAAGGTGTAGCGTCGTCTACCCTCATGGGCAAGCTAGCCTCGGAGTGGGGAAGCGATGGGTGGCTGTCCTGGCAGGACATCATCTCAGATCGATTCTGAGCAACGAATATGTGTCACTGGTCGTCTTAGAAATCCCCTTCCTTGTATTCGTATGCTTTGTAAAGACGGCCTCAGAACAAAGAACAACAATGTCCAAATTCTGACACGCTGCGCGCTTCTTCGTAAATGAACTGGCAACTGCCTTTTGCTTCGCCACCCCAAGGCTGCAGCAGTCCATTTCTCTATCTGCTACCACCACCATATCGGAAACTCAAAGATGTCTAACACGCGTCGTCTGATCCACCAGAACCTGTTGGATGGGGATTACCCACCCATCGAAGTTGAGACTCTGCTCGAGTCTTCTCTCACAGAGGAGTTCGTGCGGAAGTTCCTAGGTGACACTCCAGCTCGTCCCATTCGTCTTGGCGTCGCTCCTGCATACTCTCCGAAATCTGCGCTCCTTGCGGTAGCGATCGCGACCACCTCGAAAGCGTTCATCGTTCAATTCAACAAGAAGGAAGAGTCGGCGAAGAGCGGGCGCCAGATTCTACGGTCCATGATCTTCTGCGAGCCGGACTGCCAGCTCTTTGCCTTTGACCTGGGTCTTCTTGCTATATCACTCTATCTCGATCATAACATCCGGATGCTAAATGGCGTGGACGTCCAGAGTGCCTGCGCCGGCAGCGGCGACAGCACTCCTCTCAAAGCAATCAAATTCGCGGTCGGCGATCACGATCCCGTCTACGATGCGAACGTTACCTTAGTCTTCGAGAGCAAGGACTGGGATCCTAAGCGCACGACACCTCTCGCGCAGCAAGCGTGGATTGCCAGCTTCCTCCCGACCCTCAGCGATATGGAGGAGCGTTTCAACGGCGTGAAGCGGGTCAATACACAAGATCTCAACGATGCGGTCAGTTTGATTAGATCTAGCTGTCGATGCTCTCAAGTACTTACTCAATGGCAGTATCTCGAAATCATTGCTGGCCTCGCGCGCAGTGATCAGCAACTTGCATCGAAGAGGCCATTGACCAAAACGCACGAATTTTCCTCGCAGCTGCCGCAAGGAGAAAAGGTGTTGCTACAGTCGAGCCGCTTCCAATCGCGAATACAGAAGTCATCAGCAGTAAGCACTATCTTCATATAACTGCTGTTAAGTTACCAACTCGAGCTTCGAATTCGGATCCAGGTCATGCGCATGTCTGTGCAAGATGAATTCGGTGCACAGTATGAAGTCCATGGGCGGACCGTTGATACTCGTGGACCCTCTGCTACTTTGCGTGCAGAGACCACCATGCTAGGCAAGACAATCACTGCGGTCACTTCCATTGGAGGCGAAAGGCCTACAAGTGCTGAGAGGCAGAAGGCCATAGTCATCTTGAAGGCACTTCAGGGAGAATATAATCTTCTTGAGAATCCCTTCCTTCAGTTCATCATTGCTCCATCTGATACCTTTAGTTGGCCAGAATCTTGGTCATCTTCTGAAACAGTCCCTCCCATCCTTGCTGAAGACCTCAACCACTCACAACATCAAGCTGTTGAACACATGCTTTCTACTGCTAATTCGAAACGGGTCACTGTCATTAAGGGTCCCCCTGGCACAGGGAAGACTACTGTGATTGCTGCCTTTGTTTGTTCAGCAGTCTCTGCTGGTCAAACAGGACTCTGGCTTGTTGCTCAGACCAATGTTGCTGTCAAGAACATTGCAGAGAAGTTGGCTAAAGTTAGATTTTTCAACTTCAAGGTTCTTGTATCTACTGACTTCCATCTTGGATGGTAAGCTTTGATCCATGTTATTTTGTTTGTGCTTACCAGACTTTGAATTTGTTAGGCATGAACATCTTTATCAGAGACTTAATGCAAATATCATCCGCTCTGATGAATTCAGGATTGCTGAAAAGCAGTTGAATGGATGCCCTGTTGTCCTTTGTACCCTTTCCATGCTATCCAACCCACGGGTTCAAGGCTTCATGCATGTTGTATCCATCAACACCCTTGTTGTTGATGAGGCTAGTCAAATTGCCATACAAGACTATGTCCCTCCTCTCTCTATCTATTCTACCATCCAGAAGATGTGTTTCATTGGTGATAACAAGCAATGTAAGTTATCTCACTTGAAAGAAAGGTTGAAAGTTCAATTATTTGAGTTTAGTGCCTCCTTATGGTCAAGATGAAGTTCAAGAACTCAAAAGTGTTTTTGAAGTTGATCATTTGTTCAAATCTGCACTTCTTCTTGATACACAATGTAGGTACCTTCAGTATGGCTCAATTGAAAAAAACACTAATGTATAATAGACCGAATGCCTCCATGTATTGGAGATTTTATCTCCAAGACAATCTACAACAATGAACTTGCTTCATACAAGGAGCATCCCATACCAAGTCAAGTTATGGCCACAACCTTCATTCATGTGCAAGATGCTACAGAAAAAAAGTTTCAAACCAGTTATGTGGTATGTGTTCAGCTTTTGCCTTAAGGTTTTGATACTGTTGACACTGGTATATGCAGAATGCTGAAGAATCAAAAGCTGTTATGAAGATTGCAGAGAAATTGGAGATGGAAAATAAGAGCTACCGGATTATCACTCCATATGATGCCCAGAGAAACTATCTGGAGAAGGAGATGAAAGCATTTGGTTTGAGGTGGGAAAACAAGTGTTTCAATGTGGATTCCTTCCAAGGTCCAGTTTCTTTTTAATCTCATAGAGTATTTGTTGACTTTGTATACAGGGAATGAGGATGACTTTATAATCATCTCTCTTGTACGCACCAAGGATCTTGGTTTCTTGACAGATTTGCGCAGGACCAATGTCATGCTTACTCGCTGCAAGCGTGGCATGTACATTTGTACCAGCTGGGAATTCATCCAGGTTATTGCTAAGGAAACACTGGTTGGTAAAATGGCTATTGAATTTGGTGATGATGCTTGGATAGGCATGGGTCAGTTGGAGGCTGGAGAATTCTGATTTGTATTTCAGTGGTGTCAATTTGACAACTATGTAATACTAGTATGGTCAATGTGCTATCTCAATGTATAAATATGTAAAATCACACTCTACAAGTGAGATAGTTCAGAAGGGCCATGCAACTGATACATGTCCATCAATGCATGAGCAATGGCATTTCTGAGACATTCAGTTGAGGTTTCAGGGTGAGAATGTTTGGACTCAATGCCAAACTTGATGGTATCAGAACCAGCAAGATCTGAATATTAGCATCAGTACAAACTAAATCTAGAGACATATGTTTGTCAACCCACAGTTAATTCCATAACCATCATGATAGGAAGCACCAAATCTATATTGATAGTTGAGACACAGACACAGTTGGATACAAGATGGACTTACCCAGTTCCACGAAATTGACATCCAGCACTCAAGCCACTCGTACTTAGCTTCCATGTCTGACTGCGCGCGAACATCTCATCCTCGAACAATTCATGCCGCTCGCCCGGAAGCATCATCATCTGTAGTCCAAGCAGGTGCCGGTCAATCCCTCGGCCCGTCGCGGCTTGACGCGTCAGGTTAGTGTGCGTTTGCACTGCACGCTGCAGCAACGACTGTCGCGCTCCGGACTACAAGATACATGATCGCAGAGGGCCGTTCATCATGAGCGATAAGACAGCAGCAGGGGTGGAGGTACTCACCGAACTTTGCGGATCGACCATTGCGAGAACGAACGCGCGACTGTCAGTGGTGAACGTGCGAATTGTCTCAGTACGTCCGTTTTTGAATAGCCGCGTCAACGCTGTCTCGTAGGTCGCAGTGAAGCAGCCGCGCGTTCTGTACCACGCCAGCTGGAGCGCCATCTGAATGTATGAGTCGGGCGAAAGGCGTGCTGTGACATTCCGGGAATTGTCAGCAACCTCGTCTACATCGCAAAATCACAGGTGCCACGAACACGCTCTCACGCACCTGTGTTTTTTATCCAGTCCGTGCCATAAGCATCGAACCATAAGATGCCATCATCGGAGTCCTCGACGATTGCTTTCGCTCTCGCCTCCGCGGTAATACACTCCCGCTCGACGTGCTCATCAACCACCCAATCCAGGCGCTCCCAACCTTGCACTTGATGCGGAGTCACACCCGGGAAAGGCCCGAACGCATCCTGTTCGATACTTTGTACGACTGCGTATTCAGCGACGATGCTTGGCACAAGCGCATCGCAAGGCGAGTGCTCGCCGATTGCTCCTGCACGCGTGTTCGATTCGACAATGAGAGTGAACGGCTTGTCGTACCAGCGGTTATGTGCGGGGCGTGCTGCATGTCCCGAGCGTACATTATGAAGGTGGGCGGTGACTTCAGGAACGGTGCAGGGTGTGGGAAGGGCGTCGTCTGTTACGCCGCCTGCAGGCAGGGCATATGTGTAATGATCGAGACTGAGTGCGAAAAGAGAGTGGTGAATGGTGCGCAGTATGGCATGATTTTGTGGAGAGAGAGATAATAGATGACCGAGGTTCTGCAGATTTGTTCATCAGACGTAAGACGGAACCTCTCGCATGCCTTACCTCCGTCCATCGATCTCTGTCGTCTGCGCTTAACACGCATACTGGAACCGCATGTTCACCGTTCTCGAGACGTGCAACTACGTCTGCAACGACGGCAGAAAGTCTGCGCTCGAGCTCGTCGGACGAAAGAAAGCGGGAATCGTCATCGACAACCTCCACAGCATAGAACCAGTCATGTACGAGAACGAGGAGTTTGCGCGCGTCGGAATCAGTTGGCGCAGGTAAAGGGGACAGCGTATCACAGCGCGTTTGGGGCACACGGGAAATACTGAATATTTTTGCCGTAGTGTTTCGCAGCCAGATCCCTACAGGCGTATAAACGCGGACATTAAGTTTGACGAAGAGAATTCGGGCGTACCTGCCCTTGTCGTATCAGGATACATGTCTTGCCTGAAGGCATGCATTCAGCGATGAACAATACCTACTATACAATCGCATACCTATCCAGGCGGCTTTTCCAGTCCAATACGCGGCTAACAAGCCATGCTGCCCGTCGAACCTGCCAGTCAGTAATACCACCGTTGGCGGAAGAGGGCCGTCCAAGGATGACGTCGTCGGGTATGGCGGGATCATTGTGGAACGCCAGCCACCAGTTGGAATTGACGAGCAGAGGCGCGCGCGATTCGTGATACGCCTTTTTCATCCAGAAATTGTCATCTAGCCAGTTATTCGGTGATGACCTGTCGAGTGCTTAGCCAAAGAGCGACGAACCGTGAGGTCAGCATAATCATGCTAGTACACAGTGGCTACTGACCGTGAAGGCGGTCCTGACAAATCCTGCCCAGACCACGCTCGAAATCCTCCACAAGTTTTACTCTATGGTTGTAGCTGTCTTCGCGGGGCAACCCGCCGTTAGCTTGATCCTCTAGCATGAACGGCTCAAGAGAGACCAGGTATTTCTGCAACGTCTGACGAAGGTCAGGTACCGGGAGTCGCGGAAGCGTCGTCGGGCTCGATGAGCTGGCTCTTGCTCTCATTCGCGGTGTGTATGATTGAATGGCTAGTCGAGGATTATTAATGCGACGTAACATGTCCTCGTTCAGAGTGCATGACAGTTTAGAGCAAGTTCAGCATGAACCTGAAAAGGCTGCAGCCGATGCCAGCAAGCACCAGAAGCATCTAATCTTATCTATTCCCCAAAGCCGATGATGCGCCCTCCCCAATATAATGCCTTCACGTGGTACGCGTAGCCGCCCATTCGACGCGTCCAAAGTCTCGCGCTCGCCACAGCCGCGTTCACTCCCCTCTATGCTATTCCCTACTTGTACCACTCCATGAAACAAGCTCAGCGCGCGGGAATAGACTTCGCTTACAACCATATTTTTAGTGCACTCCTTGAAAACTCGCCCCTTACACAGACCTACCCGCAGGCAGACTCGGACTGCAGTATACCGACCGGCAATGGCGCCTCCTGCTCATATAGCGCAATGGTTGAAGCGCACATATCCGAAGCCACAAGTTGATCCAGTATGTACTTCCCGCACACAACTCCTTGACACTATATCTGATCTTCCGGCAAGGATTGGCTTGAAGGATGCTACTCTTGGATCGAAGAGGAACATCACTTAGATCCCACCACACAGATGGATGAGATCATTCACCATGTTGACCTGCAATTGCTTCAATCCGACCTCACTGATTCAATGCTCGCGGGGACAGGCTTTCCGCCCAACATCGCCGCACTGCCCGACACTACCATCCGTGGTCCCGTTCTGGTCCAGATTATCAGTATTGCGGAAGTCGGCCATAGCGCCTTCACGTTGCAGAATGTCCGGCAGGCTCGCCTAGAACGCGAAGACATGGCGGGTTTGGCCAGACAGGAAGACGAGGACGATGAGGGACCGATTCCGTCGTACCCCAGATCGATGCTGAAGCTTCACATCAGTGACGGCTCAACCACTCTCCAAGCTATGGAATATCGCCGCCTCCCAGAGCTCGTTCTCGGGGAGACGCCCATCGGTTTTAAGGTGTGTCCCTTCTTGACTTAATGTTACGAACGTGCTTTCCACCAATGACATGGGCTCGTGCCATCGATCACCCCGAGCCTTTGCTTTGTCCTTCCCTTTGTTAACTTTGTCTCTTTATGCGGAGCAGATGATAGTCAGAGATGTGCCAATACGCAAAGGCATCGCCCTTCTCGACCCCAAGTGCGTCACGATGAAGGGTTACCAAACCGCAGACCTTGAAGCACTGCAAGACCGTGACTTCGCACGAAGTCTCAGGATACGTTTGGGGTTTGTATTTCTGCCATTGGGGTGAAGTGATAGCTAAGGACTCAAACTTCAGCAAGCCCGACGATCCCGCTCAAGAAGAGCCTGAGCCTCGACGAGAATACGCTCCAGCCCAAGCGCTCCAGCAGCATGCGCCTGCCGCCCGCGCAAACGCCGCACCCCCGTCGACACGGCAACCGCAGGCACCGGCCGCATCGACCCGGTCCCCCATTCGCTCACCCCTCAATGAGCTGTCGGAACCTCCCGCACCTCCGATCGCAGGGCCCTCCGGCACGCACCACGACGACGACGAAGGCCAGCCTCGCCGGCGCAAGGTCCCCAGTCGTGCTCAGCGCAGTCCGTCACCTGACCCGCCTCCAAGAACTATGCGCTCGCAATATTTCGTCTCAGGCTCAGACTCAGGCACAGGCTCACGATCGCACACGCGCAACCCTTCCGCGGACATTGCGCGTGAGCATCTCTTTTCGCCGCATAGACAGCCACCGGTCGTCGTCCCGGACAGCGACGAGGAGGACCTATTTGCAGGCGCGCCAACCAACGCCGTCGGGAAGGTAGGGCCGTCACGGAAAGCGGGTGATACGGATAACAGCAGTCCCAGAATGCCAAGTTCCGACTTCGACTTTGCGTTTAATTGGGATGACGCATTTCAGGAGAAGGAATTCATTGAGCAGGTAGAGCGCCTCGAGAACGCTGAGCGCGCCAAACGCGGAGGGACGCCTCAGCCAACTGTTACAACAAGCTCGAGCGCGACTATTGTGGAGCTCACGCAGGGCAGACCTAGTGCAGCGGTCACACAAAGATTCACGACATCCTCGAATGCGCACGCATCATCGTCGAGTTCCGGGGATCGTGCGCGATCCACTACCCTAGGCATGGGCTCAGGCCCCGCGCCGAGCGCCGATCGGAGAACGGTCGATATGGGCATCATCGACATCGACGATTCAGATGAAGACGACAAGGAGAACGTGCCCGCTCTGACACGTCATGTGCGTAGGCGCACGGCGAGGTCGGTCCCACCTAGCCAGGAGGAGGTTATCGAGCTGTCTGACTGATAAACCACGCTCTTCTCCGTCCAATAGGGGATGGATTAAGAGCGCGGTATGAATGGGCACGCATATACCCGTCACAAACGAGACAATATTTGACGAATCCGATGGTATTCTTATACTTCAGCTGTAATATACAAGGTCAGACGCCTCTATGTATGAAATTTATGATCAGAGCACTCTGCAACATATATAACGCACTAATGAGGCGTCCGAACTGGAAGTGGGTGCAATGCACATATGATGCGGCCATACAAAAAGTGTACTTCCTATGAGATATTAGCCGAGGATGGCAATTTTCTGTTTCTTCTTCTTGTTCTTCGAGGCAGCGAAAGATCTCCAACTGTCAACTCTCTGCTCGCGGTTCTCTGAGGATCAAGTCAGATATAAGACGGCAGAAATGATGTTTTTTCAATATACCTTCCCACCGTGCGTCGTCCTCGGCTTTACGTTTCTTTGCAGAGACCTCCTCTTCTTTCTTCCGAGCCTCCAGTCCTTCGTTTGCAAGATTCATTTTGACAGCCCTAATGAGATACGCGTGTGTGAATGATACCCGCCGGAAACGACAACGAGATAAACGTACTTCCGTCTGCGGACTTCCTCATCTATGAGGAGTTCCTTTGCCTTCGCAAGAAGCTGCTGACGCCAGGGTGGCGCCAAGTTTCGCAGACGAGGGTCACTGTCAGGAGTGGTGGTGGGAAGCAAAAGGGACTTCAGAAGGATAGCGCGGGCTTGGTTGATGACTGCGTCGATTTCCTCACGCTTTGCCTTGTCGGAAAGCTCAGATTCGGCCTGGTCAAACATGAATGTTAGCCATGTCATCTCCAGGTTGGGGTGGGGGATGCAGGAAACGGTTTAGGCGGAAGCCTAAGAGCCATATAGTACGGAGACCTGAACGAGACGGACCTTCTTGAGGAGATCAAATGCATCTGGGGCGCGTGCGTGGGGGGTCTTGTCAGGATGGATGACTGGATGTCAGACAACGTACGAGGTAACCATCAATACAAGATCATTCAAGGGCAAAGAACAGGGCGTGCGGGCGGGGGCTGCGCGACGCCAGGGGCGGGAGGACGGGCTCACAAAGCGAGAGCTGCCTATATTTCTTCTTGATTTCTTCGGGGGATGCGTCATCATTTATGTCTAGAATCTCGTATGGGCTGTCGTAGTGAAGGTCAGAGGCGTACAGGAATAACACTCTGAGTAAGTGAAGTGGCGAGGAAGGGGCACAACGCACTTCAGCTTGAAGGCTTTGAGAATTCGCTCGACCTCTACCTCTCGCTGGAATGCAGTTGCCTCCCTGCTGAGCAGTTTCTCAATGTCGTCTGCACCTGAAGGACCGCTCCGAGCAGTAGAGGTCGAGGGCTTGCTACCTGTCGAGGAGGAAGCTTCTGCGGGCATGATTTCTACAAACAAGGGAACGATCTAGTGGGGCGTGGTCTGTGCCGGAGCCGAAGCTTTGTTGGCGATGAGCAATGAGAATCAAGGCAGCAGGGCTTAGGAGGCGAAGACCGTTGTCGAGGTCAAGGTGCAGCGGCGCTGAGAAACAGCCGCCGTGTCTGCCACCGCTTGTGATGAACCTTCTCCGGACCGCGGTGCTGCGTCCTCAGCTAGCAAGATGCTCTCGCACATTCACGATAGCGGTGTGTGGTTGAAGCTCATTTTGGAGTGTTAGACCTGAACATTCATTCCTGACTGTCTCAGAGCAGATGCCAAAGAAACACACTTTCTACTGCAGCTCAGCTTAATCCGCCCAAATGTAAGAATAGTTCGAGACTCTCGCAAAAGACAACTCCATGGACACGAAACTCGAAAATATCATGGAGGACTATGTCGACGGAGATACAACCCAAGGAGAGCCCTCCATCCTCGCCGAGGCCGCCAGCTCGATATGCTTCTCGCCAACAAGTCTATGCAGCGCGGAATCGCAGCTTATTGATGTACACTGCTGCAGTGGTGCGTTATCTTGTATTTTCATATTCTAGCAACGCCTGGATAGTATTCAATTACAGATTGTCCTTGGTGTCGGCGTGACATATGCTGCAGTACCCCTATACCGTATGTTTTGCGCGGCCACTGGGTTCGCAGGAACCCCGCAAGTCGGTATGGGGAAATTTGAGCCTGAACGGCTCGTACCTGTGGAGAATGCGAAGCGCATCAAGGTGCACTTCAATGCGGACACGTCCGATGCCTTGCCATGGACGTTCACTCCGCAGCAAAAGTTCGTCAGTGTTCTACCTGGCGAGACAAGTCTCGCGTTCTACAAGGCGAAGAACAACTCGAAGCAGGACATTATAGGTATTGCTACGTATAACGTCACTCCTGATAGGGTAAATGCACTGTAAACGACTGCCATCGCTATCCACTGACTTATGCCGCCAGATCGCTCCTTACTTCGGGAAGGTGGAGTGCTTCTGCTTCGAAGAGCAGAAGCTCCTTGCAGGAGAAGAAGTAGACATGCCGCTTCTCTTCTTCATCGACAAGGATGTCCTCGACGACCCGTCGTGCAGGAATTTGGACGATGTCGTCCTATCCTACACATTCTTCAGGTGAGCACAGACTTACACGAAGAACTCACCGCGTGCTCACCCAAGCATCCCCAGAGCGCGGAGGAATGCACAGGGACACTTGGAGCCAGATGCCCCTGATGACATCGTGCAAGCCTCACAAGGCTTTGCCGAATACGAGATGGCACCCAAAGTTGAGGATAGGAAGTCCGAGTGATCAGTACTGGCATAATAAGCATTTGGCCACTGTGTCTAAGCCCCCGCTCTCTACGCCAGCAGTGTCAATACATTATTTACACGCATTAGTTCATGACAAGCATTCTCATGTACAGCTAATACTCACTGTCAATGACATCTCTGCATCCTTTGCATTAGACGCCTGTGAATTACGATAACTCCGTTTAGGGACATTACGTATTTTGTGACCTCACCTATCGCGGCATTTTCCTGCATCAACTTCATCCGATTTTCTTAGCGTTTGACCGCCATCATCTCAGCTGCTACCTATCTCTTTTGCATCCTCGCAGACATCTCCGCGAAAACAGGTGCGACAGTGCCTGCGTGAGTCATAGGATCATCCTGACCAACAGTCATTTGGATACACAGGTTGTTCCAATCGTATGCTTACTCTCAGTCCATATACTGCCAATAGTACTGCCGCAGCTTCCAGCTTTTGCCGATCGACCTGCACCTTCGAGGGGAGGTAACAACGCCTCAAGGTGCGTACACATGCATCCGACCATCCATGAGCATTTATTGACTGTCATTGCGCAGTGTCATGCTTGTTGACCTTGCGCCACCCGCAAACCAAGATCATCCTCACGATGGGGATTCAGACTCTCTCTTTGGCTCTCCGCCCCCCTCTCCGAGTGGTAGAGGTAGGTCACCATCACCGCTAGCGCTCCCAGGCGTGGCAGGTTCTGCACAAAACGTGGGGACCCTTGCACTTCCTGGTTCCCATCTTGTCGCTGAAGCATCAGTCCATCCGCCAGCGTCGTCGCCGTTGAACGATCGCGCGACGAATGTCGCACTCCCTCTACGGCATCATGCCATCCAGACTTCGCGCCAGAGACCATTTTATATGGCGTCTATGTCCACGCCTTCGGCTAATTCGGTTCAGACGGCGCCGACTCAGCGTAAGGCGAGGAAGGGTAAGGAAAAGGCGATTAGCTCTCGGGCATCCACTCCACGGCCTGCAGCCCCTCAAATTCAATTACCGCCGGCCGATCGCCCCTGTCCGCCCAACTTTTTGCGCAATCAGCGAGCACTGTTAGGGCTGGCTGGGCTTGTTGGTGGGCTGAATCCAAAACAGCTGTCGGTTCCGCGGGGTTCCTCCGCTCACAATCCAATTGTCATTGATGATTCGGACACGTCGGTAGCTGCAGGTCCACTCACAAGCCAACCGCAGTCCATATCTCGACACCCTGCTCCTGCTCCTGTCGGTCCTGGCCAACTTTCCCCACCGAATGGGGAGGAGATTCTTGCGTCCCTGATACGCTCCGGCAACCTATTACCCGTCGTTCAATCTCTCGTTCGCCTACTCTCTGGACCTGCACCAAATGCCCCTGCCCCTCCACGACTGCCTACCCGGACTGGTTGGGAACACCCTTCTCCAAACTCTGCTCCCCCTTTGAAGCGGCGGAAACTCAACAATGTCCCTGCTGGTGCAACAGACTGGGATGTACCGTACCCGTTTCAAGAAGGTCAGGGCCCACAAGGCTATGAGGCTACGTGGGCTCAACAACGCGCACGGGCGCTACTCGCGGACCTAGTTGGGCTGATTCAAGGTGCGGCGAAGAAGGTAGCGGTAAAGGGATACTACCAGCAGCAGGAGAGGGAGCGGAAGAGGAAATGGGCCGAGGAAGGCATCATCCGCGGGTACTACAGGGCACGGACGGCGACGTATGGGTTGGAGCTGGATAGAGCAACATCTCAAAGGCCGTCACAACTCGGTATAACGACATCGATGACATCGAGCAACTTCCCTCAGTCAAGTTTTGTACCTCAGATGTCCCAGACGAGGCAGACGATGAGCGAACCTCCGTCGCAGCTCATGCAACCACCCTCCGTGCAAATAGCGCAGCCAGAGCGATCATCTACTCCCGAAGAAGCAACGCCGTTGCTAGCTCAGGAATCGTCGACGTCCTTTGACGATTGGGTTGCATCACTATTGGCACCATCCGATGCTCAGTCGCATCCCTCGGATGCATCTTTGACTAATGAGCAATTTGCCGGCCTCGACTTACCGTCTTATTTTGACGACTGGCTATCACTCTTGAACACGTTCCCGCCGGGTGATCCGAACGACGGTGAATCACACACAACATTCGACGACACGTTGAATGCGCTTGCCTCGATTTCGGGTCCTGTCCCTTCAGATTCTGCCCACATCCCTGCTTTGATTTCTAGTCCAACCACGTCATCTGTGACATCTCCTTCGGTCGTGTCTCCTCAAGCATCCTCTCTCGCATCTGTTTTCGCGCTCACCGATACCCAATCACATCCCGCATTGCAAGCTCTCGATTCCGCTTTCAATATTGCTGCCCCAGTAGACTCGATTCCAGACCATCTCATTGACCCTGCGCTCCTAGCTATTCACAACAACTCCAACGAGGCATCCCCAGAGCGAGGACCTTCTGTGCCATCATCGTCCAATGCTCTGCTAGACGCCATGTCAGCTACACCAACCGACTCCACTTTTGACGAATTGTTCGGGGCGGGAGAAGGAGTGGCACCGGTGGTCGGTAATGAAGCTGATGCGATGACGACAAGCAATATGTTGTCCACTCCGACGCTAACCAGTCCACTATCTGGCTCTGCGTCGCCCCTCGCGTCGACCATGTCTCTGGCCGATCGCGATCCAGCGACCCCAGACTGGTCATGGGCGTTTGGCGATCCAGGAGTAGCTGGCGTCCCGAGCGAAGCTGCAGGTGGGTTTTTCGGTGCATTCTGGAATGCTTCGGGTCAAGATGCTCATGCAGTTGGAGGTGCAGAGCCACACGGAGGTGTCATTGCCAATCTGGGCATCGATGCGGCCGATTTAAGGGCGCTGGAGATGGAGCTCGAGCAGGTGTGCGGATCAATGGACATACTGCCGCAACTGTCCGAAAGCTCGCAATTGGAAACGAACATGCAGGTTGTTTCCGAGGCGGGAACGGACACCAAGGTGGACGTGGGCGATGGGTCGCACGCAATGCGTCTTGATCCTCTAGTCCTAGAGCCGCCCTGCACAGATGCCTCAAAATTACAGCCGACCAAGTTGTCGCCGGTTGTTCCTGTTGCGCTGCGTACTGCAACGTCATCGTTCGCGCTTCCAGAGCAAGCTCGAAGTGTGCAATCACCAGATGCGTCGCAGGTGTCGACTTCAGATTGTGCCGTTGTGCAGCCCAGTTTGCCGTCGTCAAGACCTCCCCCGGATATGGCAAATGAGGATGGCCTCCCGCCGCCGGCGAGAATACAAACCGACACTGGCTATTACACCGGCGCTGTAGTGGACGCACAACCAACAGCGTCAATGCACCCTGCACTTCGGGATCTACAGGCAGACCAGACAGATGGCTTGTTGCATGCCCATTCTCCCATTGTTCAATCCGCATCCTGCGTCCCAACACAGTCCGAATCCTCTGCAGTCCCCTCGGCTGATCCTGCTATCGCCGGCCCATCCAGTGTCCATTCGCCTCCAGCGTCTACTCCCGGACTTATGCTGTCGTCTCTGCTGGCTCTAGCCTCCCCGTCGTTTGCATCGACTTTCCACCATGGCGCAACTCAGAAGACGCTTACGAAGGCTCCGCGCGCGCAGCTATTGACGCGTGCACGAGCATTGAAAGGCGAATTAGAGCGCGCGAGAGAAAGGGCACGCATTGAACTATGGGAAATGACGATGGAGATGGGAGGTTTGGTCGCCGTGGGCAAGGAACTGGATGCCATGAACAAGCAACAATTATGAGTGCCCTTTCTGCGTCATGTAATGACTTGCTCGTTGGTTTTAAAATGCGCTATTGGATAGATGTAACCTGAATTCCGAGAATTGTGACCTGAATCACTCTGAGTGGTATGCGTTGAGTCCTTCAGACTCCTTTCACGATACCTACTTGACGTTCCCGTGTCTTCTATCCACTGTCGTATACCGACAACATGGGATAGAGCATGGCCGGATGAAGCTAACCGCTAGGACTAGTCTTGTCGAGCTCCAGGGTTTGTTGACCGAAGGCAAGATCGCGTGAGTGATTAGTAGTTATAAGTGTGGCTATGATCTGATTCTGCGATAGATTTGTGAGTATATATGTCAGAGCCGCATAAACATCCGGCCGCTGCGACGGATAAGAATCAGCATGGTGTGTTTACAATCGACCAGCGGACCCGTTTCACAATACACCACAGCAATACACTACCAATTGTCCTCCCAATACTCATCCGATCCGTCGTCGGAGTTGCCATCCGTCCAGTCATCCTCATCCGCAACGTCCACGCCTACGGCACTGACAGGAATCCCTGCGCTTTCGGGAATAGGCATGACCATAAATATATGTGTGTTGAGGGTCAGCCACCGTCTGTCCTCCTCGCCGAGCTCGGGGGAACCCGCCATCACCACCGTCCACAGGGGCGCACCCCACTCCTGCCGCTTGCTGATCAGGGCACGCAGCTGCCAGCCGGTGACCGCAATAGGCACAAGGTTGCGCAGGCGCGGCAGCACGTCCTTGTGGGAGAGCAGCGAGAGCCACAGTGGGGAGCATATGTCGAGACCGAACCAAAACGTCGTCAAGTTCGGCATCGCACCGTATGCCTCGGCGATGACCCTCGCATCTCCCCCACGGAACTGCTTAAGACGGAGGTCGGTGAGGCCAGCAAGCAGAGATTTATTGTCGGGAGGGCGAGGGCGGATCAGAGCCTCGAGGACACCCGTGCAGTCGCCCGACACGATGTCTATCTCGAGACGGGTCAGGCTAGGCAACGCGAGCCGGTCGATCAGCTCGGCGGCATACTCTTCGTCTATCTGGTCGAGCGTCAGGCGCGCCACCGACTGAGACCAGAGCATAGACCTGCATGATTCCGGGACGTGTTCTGGGATATCTAGATATGTATCCACGCCCCAGTCCGCAGGGCCTCCTGTCGGCCCCGAGAACTTTAGGGTGAGCGCTTTGAGGCTGGGAGACTCGCGCAGAATCCGTGCCAAATCCTGGTAGCTCGGGCGAATGCCAGGCTGGTGATTCGAGAGCTCCAAGGTCGTCAGAGCGTGCGCAAAACCCGTCTGTGGCCAGTTGAAGTACACGCCAGACAGGATGGCCTTGCTTAGCTTTGGCGCGTTGAGGAAAAAGGGGTTGATGCAGAGCGGCCACTCGTGTCTATGGAGATGCGACACGAAGGCAGGCTTGTCCGCCAGCACAAGATTTTCGAGCATGGGCGCCGGAGAGCAGCAGTGGAGGGCAATCAAAAACGCGTGCATGACGAGTGAGTTGGCCGTTCTCAGCGCGAAGGTGCGCCAGTGGGAGATGGAGGGGGAGAGGAGGAGCCAATGTTCAAACACCATCTGAGCGATCTGCTTCTTGGTCCCTCTAGAGACAGATACGAGCGCCGATACATCCGTGCTCGGGGATTTGAGGTCGATGGTAATATCGACGGCAACTGTCTTGGCCCGTGCCAGGTATGCTTGAGTCTTGGAGTGCATGGTGGAAGATGTAATCGCGACCTGTGCCCATAACGCGGGCGTGGTGAGCGCAACTTCGCGCCAACGACGGCATACATGAGAGACGATGACTTCGAAAGGTAATTCTGGCCCGGTAGAGGTATCTTGCTCACGATGTATGCCCGAGAGGACATCCAGGAATGCAGCGAGAGCGTCTACGAGCCCCAGGTAGAACGTGTGCACGAGGAGCTCCGTAGGGAGACGGTCGACCACACAACGATCGTCTGGCGAGGGCTTGTGCAGACTGTCGCAGCGTTCACTGATCCGCGTTGCCTCGCCAAAAGGCCTGTCGCTCTTGCTCCCCTCTGCCATTACGTCGAAATTGTTGGTAAGGTACACCCAGTCGCCTTAGTACGTTATACGTAGTGGCACAGACACACTGCTCGTATGACTCAGCCGGACTAGCAATACACAAGAATGGGTTACATACCTCAGTCGTACCGGTACATAAGCGGTAGACGATTGAGGTTCACAAACGAAGGGTCACGATGGAAGAACGCATTGACGCGGTCACGTGCCCGTACTCAACCCCACCTGTCATCTGGACCTCCAATCAGTCGAGCTTCGCTATATTCCACAAACCAAAGCGCATCTTCGCCGGTATGTTGCTAGTGATCGTGGCACAATGATTAGTGTACTCAATTTCACATAGGTGTTATGAACTGAAAGCTGTAGGCGCTCGGTTGATCGGAGACCAGTGATCGGAGGCGCTAAACAAACCAGCTGTATCCCTGCGCTCGTCTGGACTCTGAGATAAATGATTTCGGTTCACAGCGCACTGTTGGCATCTGGCCTCATCTCGCAATAGTGGATAAGGTCTTATTACCCGCGCTAATTTGCGAAACACGAGTAAGAACTATATCACCTGTTGCTCCCACATATATTCTTCCTCCTCCACATTGTCGCCACGGGACTGGACGCGGTCACGCAGGCACGCGATTTATTTTGTCCATACTTGACTATGTGCGTTTCTTAATATAACAATCATCGTCTGCTAGCTTACTTCGGCCCATAGGCGACCTTTGGTGCCGTTGGGGTAATGTTATGTGTTCTGTCTATAATAATATACACTTTTGATTCCAATTCCTGTATAACGACATTTGACGTCAACTTATTCCCGGATCGCTGCCTCCTCAATGAGCAGTCCGATCGTTTGTGTAACACCCGATGATTACGACGCTCTTGCAAGGGCCATTAAATAATGCAAATTCGCATCCTCCAATACTTACGCGTACATCGTCTCGGGAGGTTGGTGGATCCCAGGAAAAGGTGACACCGTTATAATACATCAACTTCTTCGTGTCTTGAAGGACTTGCTGGGGTAGATTAAAATCGCATGGGTAGCAAAAAAGGAGGGTTGGCATCGCGGACATGGGAGTCAAGATACTAGCTGACCTGTTTCCACTACGAATCACACTCCTCTCCGAAGATAATACCCTCTCTATCGTCATCCGTAAAGTCCGTGTCTGTCTCTGAGTCCTGATAAAAGTCATCTTTCTGAAACACGAACGTATGTGTGTTGAGCTCAAGCCACTTTCGTTCCTCAACTTCGGGCTCAGATGCGCCTATCATGGTCACGTTACAGAGGGGTGCGCCCCACTCCTGACGCTTGCTAAGTAGAGTTCGCAGACGTGGTGAACTGACGCCTTCGCAGACAAGGTTGCGCAAGTGCGGCGTCACGTTATGGCCAGATAGAAGCGAGAGCCACAAAGGGGACGTCTCGTCGTGGTCAAACCAGAATGTTTCCAGATTAGGCATCGCCTTGTATGCAGCAGCGATGGCCTCTTGGGTTCCGCCACAAAACTGCTTCAAGCGGAGCTCGGTGAGACCAGCCAGAAGCGACTTGTCGTTCGGAGGCATATGGTGAGTCAAAGTTGTGAGTATATCGGTACAATCATAACACTCGGGAAGATCTATCTTGAGACGGGTGAGATTGGGCAGCGCTAGTCGACCGACCAGCTCTGTGGCGAGCTCGGGCGCCATCCTTTCGATTGCGAGCTCCGCAAGCGACTGCGACCAAAGCATTGCCGCACACGACGGTGGGACATCCGGTGAACCCTCCGAAGTGAGCTCGAGCGCCTCCTCGTCCGGATCTCCTGCGGGCGTGAAGTCACTCAGTGTGAGGGTTTTGAGGTTGGGAGACCCACGCAGGATGCGTGCGAGGACTTGATACCTAGGCCCGGTACCGAACTCGTGGTGCGATAGCGTGAGGGAAATCAGATTCTGCGTGCGACTCGTCTGTGGCCAGTCGAAGTACACGCCGGACATGGCGATCGTGCTGATTTTAGGGGTTTCCCCAGAGAAGATGTTCACTCTCAGGAGCTTTCTAGTCTTGTAGAAAGACCTGATCTCTGACCTGTCAACCAATTCGAGCCGTTCAAGCATGGGTGCTGGGGAGCAGCCGTTAAAAAGGCCTATAAATGCCTCCATAACCTGAGGATTGATGGTTTCCAGGATGAACGAGCGCCAGTGGGGAATATGTTCCGAAATAAGTTGCCAGACGCCGTGCACGACCTGGACGATGTATGAGCTGATTGCAGACTTGCCATAGACCGGGGATCGCAGGTCATTGGGCCCAAATAATGAGAGGCGGAGGGAGATATCCACCGGGGAGTTCTGCGAGCGCTCGAGGTAGCTGCCAACCTTGTTGTATATAATCAGTCGAGAGAGATTGATTTGTGTCCAAAGCTTTGGCGTATTCAGCGCAATATTTCGCCAACGGGAGCATACGTGAGACACGACTATTTCGGACGGCAGAGCTTTCGCCGTATGAGTATTGTACTGAGGACATGGGCCGGATCGTCCTTCCTCAGAGGCATCAGGTAGGTAGACGAGCCCCAGGCAGAATATATACGCCAGCAACTCTACTGGGAGTTTGTCGCATGGACAGCGGCCATCTGGTGGAGGGACTCGTGGGTCTCCACGATATGTTCTGCCCCGCACTTTGTCCGGGCGAGGATGCTTGTTCTTGAGGTGCCCGAGCATTGCGGATTTGCCGGTGTGGAAAGACCTGTATGCCTGCCGCTAGAATGAATAGTTAGCCGCGTTGAGCAATAAAGAGGCTGGTAGGATCATAAGTTACACTCACAAGGTGTGTGTGGCGCAAGTGGCAGGAACCAAGTTGGACTTGTTCAGGTTTCTATTTGGTCGCGCAAATACCGGATAGGCGCTAGATCACTGATCGCATGTAAGTTACTGTATTTATTTATGCTTCCGCTTTTGATATGCCTCTCCTTGCCTCTCGGGCCAGCTTTTTGGCCGCTTAAAGTAGGAATCAGCTGTGCTGCAATATCATACACTCGAGCATAGGCAGGTCCCATGATAAGCTAGTTCGGAAATACGAAACGCGGAGTATGGGTGGCACCGAGTTATCAGTCTGCGTCTAAGACGACGCCTTGCCGTGGCCCGATGCGGACAGGCGAATCCCACTTGCGCACACGGAACATCAAGCACTTTAGCCGGAGGTGAGCGACCTCTGCACCGAAACAAGTTTCACCAATCCGGCAACCCCAAGCCCGCGAGGGTGGACATGGCAGCACCTGCACATTGCAACGTCGCGCGAACAAGGGTCAACAACATTCTCAGGGAGCGCAAATCTACAACCCATAACGTGTTAGGATCTGACATTGACGGGATGTCCGTTCATACCATTAAGACATTCGGAGCACGGCGAGTAGGGATGCCCTATCATTATCGCGAGAGGAAGCTGCAGATGCAAGTCAAATAGCTCAACTGAAGGCTTACTGTGGCTGTGTCGGGGGCGGGGCCGCTTGCCCGTAGTGATATTTTCAGCATGGGAATGGAGCACAATACCGCAGGATCGGCCACATGCGAAACACAGAAAACATTCGTACTAATGAGACACCAGCACCGGAAGTTCTGCATGCCGTGGGTCGCAGAAGTGCCCAAAGGTATACTAGTCGCGCTAATGTAATCGGCGGCAGGAAGTCATGATGTCCATTAAAAGAGCTTCGGAGACACAACATCATGACATGACAGAACGGTCGAGGTCAGATAGCACCGTGGTGGATGGAACATGCACTGTATAGATTATGTTCACCAATTTTGCGAGACATTGTTTTGCACGCAATGCACGACATTTCTCAAGCGAGCATTTGGCCAATGGCAAGGCTCTCCCTAATCTTGGTCCGGGACTGAGTAGAGATTGCAGAACAAAGTAGTCGCCATGAGGACGATCGAGCGCGAAACATATATGTCAGACCCGTCGATGCTCGACCCTCTGAGCACCGTACAGTGTACTTGGCTGCGAGTCAGTGAATAGACCGCGAGATGTAGTTCATGAAGGCATTGTCCGGGCGCGATTCATTGGGAGATCTTGGCGCGGGCTGTCTAGATGCGGAGGAAGAACGCGAGAAGCGCGAGACGCGTGCCGACCGCAGCCCGGAATCTTAGTTGCATATCATGCCCGGCCTGCGAGACTGCGAGCGACTTGATGGCTGAGACAGTATTCCGGTCTACATGTAGAGGGAGGTAGATAACACACAGACGACAGACCAATAAGGACGTCCACGGGCAGAGGATCTGATGGCCGTGGACGGTGGCGGGGAATACGGTTCGCGGAGGAAAGTCGAGAACGTCGACACGCCCCCGGCGCACCCCCGGATACCTCGGGCACGGACCACTGCCCTGCGGTGATCATCCGCCGTCGCTGTCGTGCTGGACAGCGAGCACAGCAAGAAATACCGAGAGAGCGTCGTAGAGTCGCATGTTTTACGCCAGCGACGACAGGATCGTAGGGAAAGAGACGGATAAAGCGAGACGGGGTAGTCGGGGTCCCGGGGAGGGAAGGACAGCCTAATTTGCTTGAGGGAGTCGCCATCGCTGCCCCTCTCACCGCTGAACGCTCTCTCTGCGTCTCTCTCAACGCTCTCCCCCCGCCGGCACACTTGCTCGCCATCCCCACCACCGGCAGCAGCACAGGCCCCTTCGCAGCCCCTTCGACTCTTTCTTCCACTATCCTGCTAGTGGTCCGCTTCAGGTTGCTGCCCTCTTTGCTTCCGCCTCTGCTTCTACTGGTTTCGGTTCTCGTCTTTGTCTCCGCATTTGTCTTCCCCTTCCTCGTCTCCTGTCCTCCACGTTTCCTTGATTCTTCCACTTCGCATATCTCGCTCCGTATATGGCCACTACTGCGAGACAACCAAAGCCCCAGCGCAAGGGCATGCCTGAGCCCGGTGCCCGGTGAGTCTCCGCCGTCCTTGACGCGTTTGTGTTTGTACGGGCATTCGGAGAGATATGGTCGTCCGCCGCCCTTGCGGTTCTCATTATGCGGGTTCTACCTGACCACAGGACCTACTTGTTGCTCAATGGCTTGAGCGAGTGAGCAATAGTCCGCCACATGCGCACCGATACGTCGCAAGAATACGATTTTCTGGAAATATACCCATCGAATAGTCCGCGGTGTAATTCTGCCCTTGCGACAGTGTCACCCTGTCCGCCTCTGCTGGGTGTGATGAACGTTTAATCAGACATAAGGCGATGTAGCATACATCGTCTTTGCCGGTGCTGTAAAAGTCATTGTACAGCATTGCTGTCGGAACTGCTCGCCGCGAGAATTGTTCGTTATAGGCATGCACTCGTCGTCATGATACAACATGTACTCCGGAGCTTAAATAAACTTGGGACAGGCCCGCTCGCGCCATTGCTACTGTCGTGACGGCTTGTGTCCCTTCTCTCTACACAGTACTCATTACTGACGCCTTTGCTTCATTACAGCCGAGCCCCCGCGTGGGGTGGCGCACGGGCATCTCCCACCTTCTCCCCGGGCAACAACAATGCACGACTGCCCAATGGCCCTCCCGCGGCCACGGGAGCCTTCCCGCCTCTCGGCCACCCTGCCGGCAACGGTGCCGCAAGCACCCCACCCCCGCGTACAGACAAAGAGAACCCGCACGATCGCATTCTTGCGCAACTCATCGGACTTACTGTGCGTGCCGCCCATTCGATCTCAGACATTGCCGTCTGAATGCGCTTTAATGCGCGCACATTCCTATCAGGGCACTACGATTACGCTATCGACCAAGACGCACATACGCTACGAGGGCACGATCGCCTCGACCAGTGGCGAGGGCGACACTACTGGCGTGACGCTGCGCGACGTAAAGGACCTCTCCGCGCCTGGCGCCCCGCTCAAGGAAACACTGTTTATTGCCGCAACGAACATTGAGCAGTGGAGCAGTGGGCCAGCGGACGCCAAAGCTCCCACCACTACTAACGGTGACAGTAAGTATTCACTCTTGGTGTATTTAGCATCTTTTGCCGTAGTGGTGTCTGTTGCCTCTATTCGAGATAGGCTGCAGGGTGTATAGCCATCTCAACACGAGATATTCAACCGGCTGGGATACATTTTTGAGCGGAGCTTGTTGACAGACCGGTTTTCTGACAGGCTTTAAGACCGACACCGATATAAGCAAGGCGCCCGCACCGCGCCGCGAGCGCGAACTGCTTGCGTGGGCAGACGACATACCAGGGTCTGGCCCCGGCTCGCCGCCGCTCGGGGCGGTTGGTTTAGGGAAAGACCGCGACGAGCAGACGTTCGGACCCGGAGCGAACGGGAGCGGGTGGAACCAGTTCGAGGTGAACGAGCGGCTGTTCGGAGTGAAGGCTGGTTTCGATGAGGAGGCGTATACGACGAAGCTAGACCGTAATGCGCCTGACTATAAGGAGCGTGAGCGGCGGGCTGCGGCTATTGCCAATGAGATCATGCAGGTGTGTACAGATTCCCCTTGAGCGCGTGCGCGGGTGCTAATAAGCGATCACGCAGAGCACGACGAACAATGTGCATATTGCGGAGGAGCGGGTGCAAAACCTGGCTGGTGACAGCGTTAACGAAGAAGAGCGGTGCGTCTTCTATAATTGTCGATCTCATCGTGCATATTCATCCTGCTGTTCAGGTATGGAGCCGTTGTGCGCGGTGCGAATGCTTATGTCCCTCCGGGTGCGAGGAAGACGAACAGCGCGTCGCCTGGGCAGGGGAAGCAGGAGGTCCCGAAGGTCGCTGTGAACGCTCCCGACGGGTCAGCCGTGTCTGCGGACAAGACGCAGACCGGCACCAGCACGCCGCCTCCGAAAGCGACATCGCCAGCTCCTGGCGCGACTCAGGCTCAGGTACGTTGTGGCTGACTGTATGCGTACATAGTATGGCGCTGATGCGGCGGGGAATTTATAGCCTGCCGCGGATGCTGTGCCGGCGTTCCGTAGCTTCGTGTCAAACGAGAAGGACAGGCTACTTAAGAAGAAGCAGGCGCTCATGAAGAATGAGATGGATAAGCGCATGGCAGAACTTGTGAAGTTCAGTCAGAGTTTCAAGGTGCGCGATCGTCTCGTCTACATCGGTCGTAGTGCAGTGTACTGACGCATATATACGTGCGCCCGCAGCTCAACAAACCCATTCCGGATGACCTTGTCCCCATCCTCGCCAAGGACGAGGATAAGCAGCGCCAGATCCGCGAGAAGTCGACTAAGGACGCTGAGTCGGCACAGGCACGCGCGATTGGCACGAGCGGCACTGCCCCAGTCGTCGCGCGTGCGCCGCCTGTGTCTCAGGCGACGATGCCCCTCGCCTCTGGTAAGCCGTTACAAGGGCAGCCCATTACCAGGCAGTCCGTCCCCGGTGGGAAGACCCGCGCCGCTGAGGCAGGCAAGGGCCGGCCGTCGATGTTCATTCAGGCAATCCCTCCATTCAAGGGCAAGCGCACGTCAACGAGCAATGTACCGGTCTCGATGAGTGTCTCGAGTGCGGCCCCGTCCGGCGCAACTAGCCCATTGTCGCCGACGGCTGTGAACAGGCTGAACGTGAACGCGTCGTCGTTCCGGCCTACTGTGAAGTCAATCTCACCTCCAGTGAGTCTGAATATACGTATGTACTGGTGGATGCTGATTTATGACTATGCTATGCAGAGTGGCTCACCAAATCTGAATGGACATGCGTCGCCCAAGCCCAAGCCTGGGGATACTTCTTCACAAGGCCCGCCGAACCCCTTCTTCGGCACGCGTCTCCCCAAGAAAGGCATGCCTGTGCATATCAAAGAGGACTTCAACCCGTTCAGACACAACAAAGTCGCTGACGCTGCCCAAGTTTGTGCGTGACTTCCGAATGTTCTCACTCATAGCTTGGGCTGACTCCGTTGTGTAGCACCCACATGGCCGTACAACGGCAAGCGCTATATGCAGATGTTCCCGCCGCTGCAGACCCCACCTCAGCAGCAGTCGCCGCCCATGGCTCATCCCCCGCCGCCTCCTATGCCCCCACCGCAGTACGAAGACGACCCGTCCGCTGGCCAAGTTGCTACGCGGGGGCCGTATATGTACCCGTACCCCCCTTACTACCCAGGACAGGTGCGTCGCTCTACTGATATGTGGTTGCCTCTGGTCCAAGGTCCGATCCTCATGGGACGCCATCTGCAGCCGATGATGCCCGGAATGGGCCCGCCGCCACCTGGCGCTTACATGCCTCCTCCATTCATGCACCCGATGCAGTACCCGCACATGCCGCCAAATGGTCAGTCCAATGATATTGTGATTGTCGTTCTTGCCTGACGCGAGTTGCAGCCATGTATGGCGGTGCCCCTATGGGTCAAATGCCACGTACGTATACATGTGATTCACGTCAATAACGTTTGTTGATGTATGGTCGATTGCAGCACCACAAGCGTATTTGGCCCCTCCTCCTGGTGCCTACCCTGCCCCGCCTAACGGTGCTGGCCCACGACCATCCATGCCTCCGACCCCCATCCCCTCGCACGCTAACCCCTATTATCACCAGAGCCCACAATGTAAGCCCTATGCCTCATCTCCCGGTACGTTATCCATAGTTTGTTAATCACTTTCCTGCACAGTGCAACACGCTATGCCCTACCCCATGATGATGCCTCCGCCTGGTCCTCCCCATCCATACGACGGCTCACAAGCTCCGCCCGTGCAAATGGGCGGCGTGGGCCACGCTTGAGCCCGAGACCACATTGTGCCGTTATATTGCCGCGGACGGTTCCGCGCTGCCTGCCCAGTGACGACGACGAGCGGGGCTGATAGCCCGGTGTATGGAGGGGCTGCGCACCCTGTGACGCGAGCGGGGCAGTCGTGTGTAATATCGTCACATCCCAGTGTTGTCTTTGGTCTGTCATGTTGTTCGCTGCAATTTGTTGTGTTGCAATGCAAAACGGATTAAAAATAACAAGGGGGGTGTCTCAGGGATACAGTGGTATGTGCAATAGTATGTGCAGTACAGTGTCGTGAACGAGTGTTGCGAGCGAACGGATCAGCTCCAGTGAAATACCCCAAGCGATATAAGGCAAGTCATCGGCTATCACGGCCGTTGAGTACGTATATCCCAATCTTCTTCAACAAGCCCTTCAAACTGTTGCTCGCCCGGTTGCAGTTTGCTTGCAACCATGTCTCCATTTCTACTCGCAGCTCTGCCATCTCGTCACACAAGGGTAACTCTCCATCGGATCGCATGAGGCAAGGATTCAGCAATAGGTCGAACAGCCTAGTCCACAAGTCGACCTGCCAATAACGCTTCATTGAGGTTGCGAGTTTGTACCGCTCGATGCCTTGAGGTGATGGCGCAGCGGGCACCACTGATGACGCCTCGATGTACTTCCCGTAAAGCATGCAATAAATGATGCCCGCGAGGCCAAAATAGTCGGTTTGGAACGTCCACGGTCGATTCTCACGAATTTCGAGGCAGTCCCTGGGGTCGGTAGGCCATTCTGCGATATATTGCTGACCAGCGGGAAACAGCCGTGTGTCGATAGTGCGGCCGAAGTCGATCAGCTTGATGCCCTTGTAGCTCCAGCCGCCTTCGCCGTCTGGTGAATACATGCTCGACCATGCTGATGCTGGTCCGGGCACGTCTTCGAGGCGGAGCAGACAGTTGTCGATTTTCATATCACCATGGATGAAGCCAGCTCGGTGCATTCCTTCCAGGATGCGCATCAGCTCGATGGTGAAGAACATCACCAAAAGCTCGTCTAGGCAGGCACCCTGCTGCGTGACGCCTGCATGCGGGGCACGGTTGACTATGTCCAATAAAGTACCCTGCTTGCATAGTTCGAGGACCAAGAAGCTCTCGTCACGGAACGCATATAGGGCTTGTGGCTTCACTATAGATTGTCGAAGATGCGGTGGCAAGGTGCGGTGTATTCGTCTGAGGACGTAGAATTCCCACAGGTTCCGGGGCTTGACAACCTTTAATGCAACCCGGTCATCCTCGCCGTCGCCGTCGCCGTCGTCGTCGTCGTCGTCATCGCGGTGTCGCGCTATACTGAGATCGACAGCCTCGAAAACGGCGCCAAACCCTCCTTCGCCGAGCTTGTCGACGACCGCAAACTCGCGGTCGAGTAAATTTATAGGAAGGACATCGGTATCGTCCGGAAGTCGGCTCGTCGTGTTGCCGCTAGTCCGCCGGGACTTTTTCTTCGCAAACTTCTGTAGCGTATCGAGCTGATGCGCCTCCTCGCGTTTCAGATCATGAAAGTCGTGATCGGGGGGAATCAGTGAAAGGAGGCTTGCGATAATGGGTGGATCGAATGGATTGCACGGGTTGGCTGGCTGGAACGAGGATGTAGCGGCCAGAGCATCTGAAAGATTCAGAGTGCCGGTCCTCTCGTCGATATATGGCTCCGACGAAGATAAATCATCCCCTGCATCCTGCTGTTGATCATCTTCTCGCAGTTCTGCAGCGAGCTGCTCGGCAGCCTCTACAGGATCTCGATACACGGCAATGCCCTCGCCGACCAGGTTAGGTGTACCTCGCGTGCTCAAGGTGAACTCAAATGTTCTCTCTGTAATAGGCGTCATGACGTCGAATTGGCCGAATCTTCCGCCTAGGGGCGCGCCGTAACTGGTGCCATCGCCTTGTTCGTCATACATACTATCGTCCTCGCCTTGCATGCCGTCCACGTTCTCGAAATCCGCGTCCTGCTCAACATACTCGTCGTATGGCTCCTCATCCTCCGTGTAAGAGGAATCGTCCTCGCTTGCCTGCATGTTCTCCTCGGGTTCTTCATCTTCAATGGGAGGCGGTGAAAATGGGCGCAATGGTACGCGTTCGCCAAGAACGACACGAGCGGGAGCGGCGGGTTCCTGGTCCTCGTCGCTGGGGTCAACGAAAGGCCTGAATGTAGCGCTAGGTGCGGGAGGGGCATTCTCGTTCCTGGTTGGCGGCCGGCTGAACACCTTGACTGGCGCGTCATCCCTGTACGGCGTAAACACATTCCCATTCTCCATGGGCGCGGCCGCAGCATTCTTGCCTTGCGCCTGCTCGTCTCCAGATGTGTCACGGCGGGCCTGCGGCCTGTCTCTTGTTGAAGCAAGTGGGGTGAATACGGCTGAGAACACCGGTTTACTTTCCTCATTGATAGACTTGAGACCAGATCTAGGCTTGAAGCTTGGAGCGTTCTCGTCCAAACGCGCTCGGGCGGAGGCAGGCGTCGTAGAGTCCTTTACTGACAGCCCCCGACGGCCTGGTTGAGGAGTAAACGCGGGAATCTTGCTTGGATTCTCAGCATCAACGAATGGTTTGAACTAGGGCGATGTCAGAATAGATTTTCGAAGGCAATGTACTTGAGCTTACTTTCGGAGGCACGGCAGGCGTCGCATTCTCCCGCCTGAGATTCTCGTCAACGAACGGCTGGAATGCTGATAGAAAGAGACAGAATGTATCAGGGCACAAGCCGATGGCAGCGCATTCCACTCACTGGGGGTCTTCATGGGTACGTTGGCGTTCTCGTTGCCCCTCGGCGTCTTCACGGGCACGTCCGCATTCTCATTGCTCACCGCTCTGAGCTGGCTCTGCAGCGACATTGGTGTCACGGGTTCCACTTTGCGCACAGGAGCATGTTTGCTCCCCGCTACCGCACCGAAGCGCATTGATTTCTCCGGCGAATTGTACATGCCAAATACATCCGCTAGCGCCTCCTTTGTCGCCAGTGTCACTGTCGGCTCACCGGTAGTGAAACCCTTGCGCGCAGTGAATGTACGTGTCCCGCGGGGACCTTGCGCCTCCTTAAAGCTCACGCGCACTGTCTCCGACGGAGGTGGCGGCCCCCACTTCTTGCCGAGAAGACCCATCGAACGAGCACGAGCCTCCTGCATGCTGTATTCCGTCCCGTCCTCAGTGAACAGCAGAGACAGGTTGAAGCGCAACTTTTCGGGGCGCTTTCCGGGAGCAGGAGGGGCAAGCATCGGTGCGTATCGGTCATGACCTAATGGATTGGTGGGTTGGGTTGAGGCGGCAGATGCCACCGTCGCTGCAGGGGGGGAAGAGGATGTGTGGTTCTTCAGTGGACTACGGCGGAGAGCTTGTACTTGCGGCGGCGCGCTCTTCCATGTGGCCGCAGAAAGGTCAGAAGCCGGAGGTAGTCGCGACCCTGATCGCAGCTTAAACTCCTCATACCGACGCTTCAAAGGATCTGTGGGACGTGCACGCCGGTGGATGCCCTGCTTGTAGATAGTCTCTGCATCGGCACGCCTGAGTATGCGGTGCTTCAGCTGATTGACCTGGAGCGCGACGGGGGGGCACACCTTCCGGTTCTTTCGAGCACAGCAGCATACTCCCAGTATGTTTGAGCATACACTAGACCTATCCCGTTGGCCAGAAGATAGGCGTAGATGACTGCAGGATCTTCGACGTGACTGGCATATAGCGACCAGAGTTTGAGGTATCTGAGGTCTCCCTTGTATGCGTCGTCGTCCTTGAATTTCCGAGTAGCCTCCTCCAGCAGCTCCAGCAGCCCGGATGACGGGAGTTGATCATCGCGGTAATTATCGAGCGTCCATTTGACGAAGGTGTCGTAGGCAGTCAGAGGGTCAGGGTCTTCCAGAAGGGCGGTGGTGATCTGAGACTTGTAAAACTCGCGTTTCTTCGATAGCTCGGACGCGGGATCCATACCAGAGGGGCGTTGGCAGCGGTGTCGACCTTCAAGATCAGAGTTCGAGCCGCGCGGAAGACGCGTGTTCGACGCGTCGGGCACGTGATACGTGTCGTCCGTGTCGGTCCCTTCGACTTCGCCGCCGACTGAAAGAAGTTTGACAATTAATTTCGGTGCTACGCGCGATAATCAAAAAGCATGCCTCTCGAATTCAATGTTTAACTGTGAGATCCATCGTGGTCCATTTACCCCAGAACGCCGAACGCTTTGATGGAATCATGCTTCGAATCAACACTCGGGTTGCGGTCGCACTTGTCGTGCACATTACACTGGTGCGTGCGGGTCAATACAAATTCTGCGTGTGCCCCGCACTAGTGTACTTGCATGGCTCACACTTATCTCTGACTCTTGAGCTTGAGTCCCGAGTCTATTGGCTCGGGCGTCTGCCCACGTGGTATGGAGCCGTAAACACATCCCTCCAGCCTGCAGCTGCCTGTAACCGTCCTCAGTTACTGTACGCCGTCTTCCAAGTTCAGCAGGACTCTCCCTTCCGAAATCGCATCTGAACTTTCAGTCTAACCTTACTGACTACTTGTCTCAACGAGGACTGCACAAACCTTCATCGCTATCTCATCTGACTTCACTTACACCGAGTTAGCCTTGTTCAATCTCTGGTTCGTGTGATCCATGCCCAACCGACCTCACCCTCACGTCGCAATACCGCCTGGGGCTTCTCCGTCTGACCCTTCCTCATCCTCCTCCTGGTCCTCCCAGCTATATCGATCGCCGCCGCAAGATTCCCGAGACCTCTGGTCCGACTATGACTCTGCTAGATATTCGCCTGCTGCTTCATCCTCCATACCACATATTAGCTTGGAAGATAGCTCTCACCCGTCAAGCCGTGCCGCTAGCTACTATGAGCATGACTCAGGTCATATCGCGTTCCCCGAACCCCAGCTCTATCGGTCGGTTTCACAGCGGTCCTCTCTTCGCCCGAGTCCTACTGGAGTGCATCGAGCCACCCGCAGTGAACTGACGGTTGGTACTCTGCATCACACTGGAGAGTCGAGGCCACCTTCATTCATCTCTACGGAGAGCAGTCCGGACGTATGTACAAATCCTTCTCCAAGTTCTCTTCAGTCCGGCTATTGATACACGGCCTCACTGCAGCTCGCTTACCGTGATCTTTCTGATGACATTTCAAGCCTGACGTGTGTTGATTCTTTGCATTTATGTAGACCACTTAACAAAACACACTTTTATTGACCGCTTCCAGCGTTCAAGAGGAAAGACTTCACCACTTTCAGACCGGCCAGCTTCCCGATGAGGACTCTCAATGGCACCAGCTGGTACCGCGGTCAGTACGGGAGATTCTGGATGTGAAAGAAGTTCAAAGACAGTCAAACTTGTTCGAGATCATCAAGACTGAAAGAGACTACGTCAATGATATGCAGTTTGTGAAGGAGGTGCTGCTAGGCTCATGCTGATCGATCTGGCAAAGCTTAAAGTAATATCGCAGGTCCTCATTGAACCCCTGCTGAATACCTCGCCCGTCCCGCAACACCGTCTAAGCGGCTTCGTATCTGAGGTTTTCCACAATCTCGACATGATACAGACCATCCACCAGCGGCTGCGTGATGACCTGTTCGCTCGACAACGTGACCAGCATCCCCTTATCCAAAGCATCGCTGACGTCATTCTTGCCAATATCCTTGATTGTGAGTGCTGTTCAAATCATCAGGAATTCAACAAGGTTTAATTATATGCCACCCAGCACAGCAACTCTTCCGCAGCGAGTACGAGAAGTACATCAAACATTGGCCTCTGGCGCGAGCTCGCCACTCAGCAGAGTATAAGCGTAACTCAAAGTACCAATACTTCCTCCAGCAATGCTACCAGGACCCCCGCTTGCTCAGACGAGACCTGCCCTCGCTGTTGTCTCGTCCTGTTACGCGGCTTCCGCGCTTGAAATTTCAGCTTGAGGATGCACTGAAGCATACGGCACCGGATCACCCAGACATTGACGCGATCCCCCCGATCCTGGATGTACTCAATGACCTGATCAAGAGCACGCAACCAGGTATTGAAGTGTCCGAGGGCAAAGTACACTTCTGGGAGTTGTGCGAGAGCCTGGTCTACCAACAGGGGGAGATCATAGTACGTGGTTCTGTCGTCCTTGCTTATGCAAGACTCATCATCGATAGGACTTGGACCTGTATGATGAGGCCCGCACTTTGATCTATTCAGGCCCGCTTTCACGACGCTACCGATCTGAGATGGGATATAGCTGGGCTAATTTGCACGTAGCGCTTTTGGACAACTATCGTACGTCACGCGGTCGTGTTGAGCTGCACGCTCGCTCACACTGACAAACTCCGGATAGTGCTTCTTTTAAGACCGGACCCAAGATCGAGCGGGAGTACGAAGCACTCAGTTGTGTCGCGGGTCGGTATACTGTCTCCCGCGCGAGAAGTGCATTACGGTCGACTGACGCGCCAGTCGGTGTAGCCCATTCCACTTGAATATCTTCGCCTTGCCACGTTCTCCAGTCCTCCAGAGATCCGCAAGGAGAAGATTACAAATGGCACCATTTTCGACGCCTTCCGCAACATCCAAAAACCAATGTATCCATTCACCATATACCATGCTTCCGCGAAGATGAATAGAAGATATACTCTATACGCCGATAGTGAAGAGATACGGCAGGAGTGGCATGCATTATTGGTGGATGCGTTGGGTGTTCGGAAGGTACAACAAGAAGCCAACATGGTGCGTCTTATCCTTGAGGATCTTGTACGTCGCTATAGCAAGCTGATAGATCGAGACTTTTTTCAGTGGTTTGCCCCTCATGTGGTCAGCGAGGGCTTTTTCAAAGATCCTAGGACACTGTACACCCCTGGAGAATTCACTGGCAAGGCTGTCACCGCAGCACCATTCTGTGTGTCGCCATCTATCTATTACCCAAACAACAGTACACTGATGCATTACTCTTGCAGCTAGCGGTGGCAGGAATCTTCTCGCTGTAGCCTGCACAACGGGCGTTTACGCTGCAGTCAGAGGCGAAGCCGGTATGTGGGTAGATGTCACCGTACCTATGCACTGAGCTTATGGCCTGTTACTTCTGCGTGTCCTCTCTAGGCTTTCGAAAGGTCCTCAATTTGGGGAATGTCTCTAGCATGGTCCCTCTCCCTAACCTTAATAAGATGCTTGTGCTCTGCGACAGTGGCCTCTCTGCATACTCTCTGGATCTCTTCGGGCGTGCAGGACTTGGCATCTCCTCCCCACAGCATGTCGAAGCCACTTGGGAACCAATAGCTGGGCAGGATAGTACAGTGTTATTCTTCCGTGCTGGTAAACTTGGCCATCGTACAATGAGCAAGTGTTTGTCAGCAGTGCTGGACTGTCAGATTGACTGATCGGCTGGCTCCACAGTACTATATGTGTCGAAAAGCCTGCTTCATCAGGTTCATTTCCACGCATTGGAAGTCTTGCGCGCGCCGGATGGAACTCTGAGTCCTCGACGCACCAGCACGGGGCTTCTGTCGACACTTCAATATCGCACGTTCGGCGAGGTAGGTATTTGGATTTGTTGTGGCGTTGCCGGTACTGAATTTATCCAGCCACTTGTGATACCGAAAGACGTGTATGCTATCACCTCGCTGAATAGAAGTATCGGCATATGCACAGACAAGGGCATATGGATCGTCGACCCAACAAAGTGAGCATGGTGCTATCACAATAGGCGTCAGTCGGTTAATATGCTGTGCAGTCCAAATACGACCGGCGCAAGTCCCACCATAATTCCGAAATTCCATGGTGCTGAGAGTAATACGCCACTGAACACCCTCAAGTCACGATGCGCATCGGCTAAGCCGCTGGGTCTGGTGCGATCTCGCGACGACGAGATCTTAGTTGTTTATGACGGTGAGCAGAGTAGTTCGCACTCCACTGCCGTGAGATCTCAATCTGTCCAGAACTCGGCTGTTACGTCAATAAGCACGGCATACCCAGTCGCTCCTCTGGCTACCTACGTTGGGAGTCTAAAGCAACTGCCTTCGCGCATCGAGGAGATCATATCCTTCTTTTCTCTTCCGACTTCATCGAGGTACGGAAGTTGCAAACGGGAAAACTGGTGCAGGTAATCGAAGACGAGGACATCCGATATGTCTACCAAGGACTGCTTGCCACCGAGAACCCGATACTCGTCGCGATGAAGGGACGGGAGGAGCAGGCTTTCGTGAATGACAGGATCATTGAACTTATCGAGACGGCGGAGATTACGACACCAAAGACCGCCTCAATACCCGCGGTGTGGGATGAGTGGGATATGTAGTTGATTGAGCTGCCGAACGGGCCGTATATTTGACTGCCGCTAATATTTTGGGTGTAAGGTAGTTTATTTATATCTAAGCTTGTCAGGATCCAGCAACCTCGTTCCCTCTGCATAGTGAATTATTACGCGAACGTGCAAGCGAAGAAAGAGGTGAAGCAAAGCCAAAGTCCAATATCATCGATGGTTCACACCCGGGATCGTTAGCTCGGAAGAAACGAAATTTCTGGATTCGATGTGGATACAAGTTGCACCTGATCCCTATCAACCTTGGAAGAACATCCATTCAATTCATAAAACGTGGTCAACTCATTGAGGAGGCAGCACGCAGCGGTCCGCAGATAAGTTTCCGTCTTTTCATATTATTCTATTAGTTCGCTAGTACAGGACGTCATGGACAGGACACGTACCATTGCCCCACCATTGAGGGAATTGATGTTGATTGCCAGCAGCACCAAAGATGGCCTGTAGGTCAATGTAAGCCAATGAATGGGTACCATCATGCTTCACAGGCGTACAAAGTTGAGTAGAAATATAATGACTTGTGTGCCTGCATCTAGTCCCGCAGCGACAATGTAGCTGCAAAAAGGTACGCGTTAGCCCAACCGATGGTTGTGCGTGTCTTTGATTCTTACTTATACTTCGCAAACCATCGCGGGTAACGGGTACGGATCCACCATTGCGAGATGATGCCAGAAGCCATCATAGTACTGTGAGACCGGTGTGAGCCTTTTGGTCGATGGTAGTCGATCATCACTCACTTGACTTGCGTGTTCACTCCGACGGACAGAACACATGAATACTGTGCGTAGTCAACAGCGGACCGCTCGTAACATATTGAATAGGCTAGATGCTATACTCACTTGCAATATAATCGTCGTGTTGATATTGTTGAGCCCAGACTTCGGCCACAGGCGATGCTGTCGGCCAGCATATTGAGCTTCTCCACATAAATGCGTGACAATTCGACGGCTCACAGCGATATACATTGGCAACGGACAAAACAGTCCAATAGCCAAAGAGATTGGGACCATATGATACGTTGAGTGCGGACCAAACATTTCTGGGCCTAAAGCTCCCCAAGCCACGGCATTAGCTATAATGTAAAAATCAGCATCTTAATGAATGTGATTTGGATGATGCGATATTTACAGTTATATGCCTGTGCATTCTGACCGGACCAGAGTCTTGACAGACAATTCAGTCGACAACACATCGACGAAATACATTTCTCCATACCGGGTTCCAGAGATGGAGAGAAGTGCTAGTCAATGTGGAATATTCAACAAAACGGAAGGGACCAACTGAGGGCGTACATACCCGGTCGTTGCGCGTTGATAATAGAGAGCATCATGACATCTGGTTCACCTAGAATCAGCATAATTCCTTTGGTCTACGTCACGATGGCCCACAATTGAGCAATGCTCCAACCACCGTCCCTGGACACTTTCAGCTCGTACTTCAAGCTTTACGACAAACGTCCTCACCAGCCATTTGATAACAGAAGGTCACGCGTGGCGCTAGTTTCACATATTGTCCGAGTTTCAGGTCTTGCAGGAAGGCGATACCCTGTTGTGTAGGGTGTTCGCCATATAATGCTCCGTACATGTTCGCCACAGGACGACCAGGTACCATGTATGCTGCAACATGCGTCAGTTATCATTGGAGTCGCAAAAGTACCACAACTGTACCTGTGATCATCTGGTAGAACCCAGTTCCACCAGTTACGAATTGATTGAACCCAATCATCGCAGCTAGGGTAGCATACAAGGCACAGAAGGATGAATCCAATGAAGAGGATCACAGTCAAGGTCCACCAAGGCAGTCCAGAATCGCCGGTATAGTTTGCTAAACGACCACCAGTCACTCCAGAGTGTAACAGGTATAGATATCACTCACTAGCTTGTGCGATGCCATATGCAATAACGAGAATGACTGTATACCACCAACGCGGGATCTGCTTGTACACTTTCATCTTCTCGTAGTGCTGAAAAAACGAGCCGATCAGCCACATAATACTATTTCAATCCCAACGTGTATACATACAACGTCATAAATCAAATGCGGTGTCTTGTTCCAAGGGTTTAGAGACAGTACAAACGGCTTCAAATCGTTCCAATGATAGAGCCCGATATGAGTCACTATAGCGCCAAGTGATAGATTCGCGACAATGAGATAGAGTGCGTTTGAAGCCGAAAAGAATGCAGGCTGTCATTCGACGTGAGTCGTATTGATCACAAGCAGAAGTTATAGAATATACCCCGAGTTCAGCATATTTGACAGGGTCGAACTTTCCGTCCGTGAGCAATGCAGTCTGGTTGTATTGCGAACCATTCTCAGACTGTGTGAAATGACCGGCTGTCAGCAGTTTCCCTCCGATATGCATAGGTTGAGGAAACCTTACAAAGATCGCCTGGCTCATGAACGGGAAATCCTTTGCCCTCCAGACGTTTCCGTAGTACATAGCGGCCATGAGAACGTATGTCAGCATAATTCCAATATTCTCGTTAATTTGCAACCAGAGTGGAGCATATAGATATTGGCTAGTGATAAGATTCCAGTCGAAGCAGAGGGCCAGAAGGCCCATTCCTTCGTTGTTGCTCGCCCCGCCGAAGATGTTCCGCACGACGGAGCTATGATTATCAGCCAGACAAAATATTGAGACTCCGGTCAAAATAGGGAAGATCCCTGTTAACATGAGTAGCGGTGTGATGTCAGTGGATGCATGTCCATGAGACATTCTGGCACTCACATTCAGGGACAATCTCCCAAAGGAATATGCCGCCGAAGACAAACCAGAACAGACGCACACGCTTTGATGTCATTTGGCGATCATAGTGCAAAGCCTGGAACAAGTTCGCAATATAGACTGAACGGTGTCAGTACGATCGCACGCATCTCCTTCCGACGTAACGCACTGTTGACGGGCCAGAAGCATCGAGTCGGCTTGACGAGGACATCTTGCAAGAGACCAGCGTAACCATAGCCGATAAGCTGGGAGCTAATGAGCGTGAATATGGCCACTGCCGGATTCTGGCCGAATACTTTTAGTGATTGCCCAGAGCTCAAATGAAGTGGACGCGATCATACCATACGATTGTTATAGTACACTGGTATAAACACCGTCAGACCTGCCTTAATACCTCGCAACCATGTATCACTTACGGTCCTGAACAGAAATAACTTGTATGGCGACGGCCGATGTGGCGGCTGTCGACGACATAATGACGATAGCGGCGTGTTCCTTGACTATCAAAGATACAGGTAATTTGGCTGGAAGGTATCATAGCGTAATTGGACTACACTCACTGTTAAATGGGCCCGGGTTGAGGAGCTTGAAGATTCCTTTCGAGGGCAATACTATGTGCAAGGCATTCCCGAACCAGTACGACAATATCAGCAGTAGCAATTGCGAGACCGTCAGGGTTTGAGGCTTGAAGTAGTAGATCTGGGCGAGTACACTGACAAGGCGGACAATGGTATCGATTATCCGAATGTACGCATATATCACTCACGCCCCAAATGCTGAGAAACCGAGGCCGAGGAAAATACTTCGGAAGGTGATGGCTTGAAGCTCCGGATCATCTTTGGCGGACAATACCTATTTTAAACGAATAATGTCTCAGGAATGTTGAACCGATGTTCGCCCTCTATATTGCGGCTCAGGCTCGCATACCTTTGTGGCCACCTCCCACGCTTCCTCCACTCGATATTCCTCTTCGGTTGCCTCATCATTTTGAATGCGTTCTTCCAGGGCCTCTTCTTCCTGTATCTTCCATGCGGAATCTACGTCGTCGTGATCCGCATGATCCTTCTCGGACAGGATCTCATCGGAACCCTTCTCTGGGAGCGAGAGCTGGTCAGTGACTGAAGAGCTGGACATCTCAGCGTCGAAGAGACAAAGTTCCCCGCCTACAGCCTGGCTAGTGAATATATACGTGTGGGCAAGCGCACGTGCTGATGGATTTTGTGCCGTTGCTGCAAAATGAGTTAATCGCAAGCTCGCATTGAGCCCCAGCGGTCGCGGTGTCGTCTAGGAGAGTTCGGTCAGGGCCTGCCGATGACAGTCCATGAGATGCATCACCACGAGCGCTCTTCTGAGATGTCAAACAATGCGAATTTTCGCCGTTGGAGGAAACGCTAGCATGGCACGCGACAGTCAGAAAGCACGTTGGTATGTCGCGCTCTGACTGTTTGACGACCGCAATGGATATCGATAGACTCACACGAAGGCGTCTTCATTATCTACGCAATCAATATGTGCAACGGCGTCATCCACTAGGCAAATTTCAGTCCATTTTGATCGCGACAGCGGTCTCGGCTTCGAGCTGCATGCGGTCTCCGTCAAGGTTCTCAGCGGCGGTGACATACACCGCAGCGTTATTATAATGACTTTGATCACAAGGGCCGGTACACGAATCTAATTAGTGCCCCTCATGCAGCAAGGTTGAACGTAATCCGGAACTTCTTTGATCAATCAAAGTAAGCTACACGGAGGGTGTTTCATCAACGCTGCGCTGATGAGGCTTCCGCGCCAACTTCGACACGTCAATATGGTGATGGCGGGGGCAACGCGTTAAAGACAAGTCTGAACCAACGATCTGGATATTTTCAAAACCAGAGACTCACTCGTTGACGAGGTCAATGATGTGTGCCTTGATGTACTCCCGCCGAGAGCCTCTGGCTGGGGCTTAGCGAGCGCGAAGGCCACTCACACCTGTCTCGTGTGTGCCATCCGTAGCAGTGGCAAGCGCGAATTCATAATAGCGTGGGATCCGGAATGTCTTCCATTGTTAGGTCCATAAACGGTCGTTGTACTGCCCGAAGTGAGTCCCGGCGTACAGGCGCTGGTCGGAGGTCAGCACGTGCTGCCAAACCTGCCCTGAATAGGACGCCTGAAAATCTTTTTTGTCGACCTGTCCTTCGTTCTGACACGACGCATTGTCCCGGTACCCTGCTGGTGAGTCTATCGTCTTACTTTTGCTGTCCACTTCTTGCTTTCGACGCGATGATACCTTATGTTTACCTCGAGTGTCTTCGCCAATTACCAAGGCGAAGATGCGATGTTCCGAGTTTTATGTCATAGTTACACTGATCGGTCTCACCGTATCTGTACTTCAAAGGACAACGTCTGACGTATATCCTGCGTAGCCGTGGAGTCCTTAAAGCCTGTTTCTTGACGTGTTGCTTGTTGGTGAGTGTTCGTTCACTGCACTCTTTCATACGCGGCTGGGAACGAGATGAAAACAAAAGCATTCAAACTAGAGTATCTGAGAGTCGATGCACTCGGCTCGATGCTTTACATTCATCTGTCAATCCACTGATCCCCATTCCAGCCGTGTCCAGTTGTGCTTTTATCCACGTGTTCAAGTATACTGATGCGTATAATTTAGTTTCAATTCCTCAAGTAATGGCTGTTTTTGTACCAGAATAGTTTTGGTGAGTATCTACTTTCCAATGTTCCGTGCTATGATGTTACAAATGGAGTTACCGCCCGATCTCGTCTTTAGACGTTAGTTGACGACAATTCCAAGGCTGTATTTTTACTTTTTCTGAGCGCATATAGTCATCTTCTCTTCTGGGACAACTGGACTTACTATTTCCTTCATTTAGGTCTCCAGTTTGTTTGATATGTCGCAAGTGCTTGCCCATCCCTCTGTTCGCACCTGTAGGTGAGTATCTTTCCGTTTGCGTTGTCAGTGTGATGCTTTATCACGACGGTCTTCGTACTATCGCTGCCGAAAATGCCCGCCACAGCTCAAAACTTTCGGGCACCCCCTTCTGACTCTTCATCTTGCGCTCTGTGAATGAACTCGATGCTAACTGCACCTCCAGGGTGTCAACATGTTGTACCACCAACATCGTTAACTCTGGTACGTCTGCTTGGTTGCTCTTAGTTACGTGTCGCATCCCTCTACCCTATCACATTTACATTCCTTATCGACAAGAACCTGTTGCGAAACAGTGTTTTACATGTGTAGCTCTATTGTACCTTAATTATCACGTTAGCCATCTGTGTGGCCTGGCGGCGCATTGACTGCGCTTCTGTATATCTCTCATATGAGACTAGTGACTTCCGTGAGAGAAGGGATACTTCCATGAGAGGAAGGCCTCAGGCTGCTTCCCGCCGCTGATGGGAGTTACGGGGACTCAATCCGACAAATTTGCAAGCCAGGTCGTGCACACCTCGGAGGTGCCCTCATCCCTCAGAGATCTTAATGTTCTTCGCGGACAGTAATACACGCTGACGTCTCAATCTTTGTCCGTTTGTTCGGATGTCTACCCTGTCGCTATCGGCTTCCGCAAGCAATAGCAGACAACGACGAGCTCTAGTAGCTTTCCCAATCGATTCATTTGTCATGGAGCCGGACATGTCGCTGCAGATGTCATGGAGGGGTGAAATCTTGCCGCGCGCAGACCAAGTGGTCCAACACTGACATATTCGTACACCAGCTACTTCGTCCCCAACATCACGATGGGTATGTATACGACATGTTCCTTCTGATGGATATATCGTCCATGACGGTGAGAGGACGAGGGGATTACAGCAAGCGTCTACCTCGCGATCCTCACTCAGTAGCCTGTCTCTGATCGGCCGTCTGTCGCTGTCTCTGCACCACTGCCGACTCCTGCTGTGAGCTTCTGCCCCACTTTGCCGGTGTGTATACTTTGTGAGGGGAAGTATATCAATATTGGTTTTGCTGTGGGTATTCCAATGAAGTACCTTTCAACCCTATGCAGGAATGTGCCTGGGAAAGTGCTTCCATTTCCCCTGCCTTGCACATTGTGCTATGATGATTTTGCAGACTTAACATTGTATACTTCGATAGCTCAGTTGGAAGAGCACGAGACTGTAATCGGATATGTCCGACAGACTCTTCACTCCCTTGAGAGCACTTCGAGGTCTGCCAGACAGCACCGAGCGATGACTGGCCACCTGCACCCCTCACGCTTGCTCCTGCTGCTGCCCGCACGTGTGCGCCTGTTTGATCACATCCTCGTGCTCTACTTGTGCCAGCCACCCGTGAGCACGTAAGTCACTACACCCCCGGCTGCATGCACGATGACCACTTCATGTGCGCAGATGACCGGTACAAGATGGCAGGCCAATGGTTCGTGCTGCTGACACTCTTCAAGTGAGCTGCAATGAGTGATACCAGGTGGTCATTCGAAAGACCACCTGCTGCTCCAGTTTAAGAACGAGCAGGTACGTCTGTGCCCGCCTGCCCTTTCTCGCTCATTTGCTGTTGCAAGGTCAATGGCAGATGTGGGTGTTCCCTGTGCAGCGTCAAGTCGGTGATGATCAAAGTGCTCGTGTTGCTGTCTCTCGAACCTGGCTCTGCGAATGCGGACCTTCGCCGAGTTAAGTACCACAAGAACCAGGCAAACGGCAAGGACGACTCACACACTGGTGCGGGGTTTGTGTTTAACATGTGGCAAGTGGATTGTGTTGCTGGGATGATGGACAGTGAGGACATGCAAGCATTCAAGGCGGACGGGAAGGAGGAATACCCTGAGTGTCGCGACTTGGGGTCAAGTGACAAGGACAAACAAACACGAAGGCTGGGGGCGTTCGACTGGGTCTCACCGAAGCGATGGTGAGCAACGCTCAAACCTAAGGCTAGGGACAAGATAGTGTATTAGTTAGTGAAGTAAGGAAAAAATACAAAGGGAGCTTACTGACCTAGGGACAAGAGGTCGAAACTGAGGTCCCTAGGGCAGCAGAGGCCGGCTTATATACAGGGGAAGATAAGGGCAGGCTGTGCACATTGGTCCGTGTGCAGCTGGTCCGTGCACAGCATGCTGATGCAGCCCCGGGGGCTGGTGAGTCAGAGCGGCTGTGTTAGTGGGGCCCAAGCTGTGCCGCGCACTGCCGCCCATCTAATCTGATTGTACAGTAGATAAGGAAATGTCCGTTTCAGGCATATAGTACAGAGGTCGCGGGTTTGAGCCCACGAAAGGGAAAAATTAAAAGATGGCTAGGCGCCGTGTCAACTCGTGACAGAAGCTGTACAATCATGTGATCGAACTCGTGCCTGGCTACTCGACATTCCACTCGAAAGTGTATCTGCTATCGAACAATGAGCAGGAGGAGCTGGACAAGTTCCTGAAGGAGCCATTGGCTAAAGGTTACATATGGGAGTTGAAGTTGCCTATTTTATCCCCCTTCTTCTTAATCAAAAAGAAGGAAGGGACACTTTGACCCATGCAGGATTACCGCTGGTTGAATGCAATCACCATCAAAAATCACTATCCGCTGCCATTGATCGCTGAGATGGTTGACAAGCACTGTGGCGCTACGCTCTTCATGAAGTTCGATGTCAGATGGGGATACAATAATGTCCGGATCAAAGCTGGTGACAAGTGGAAGCCAGCCTTTGTGACTAACTGGGGACTGTACGAACCCCTGGTGATGTTCTTTGGCCTCACCAACTCCCCCGCAACCTTCCAGGCCATGATGAATGAGATCTTCCATGATCTCATTGTCGGCGGCAAGGTCCTTATGTACCTGGATGACATACTCATCTTCTCCACCAACAAAGCGGAGCATGAGAAAGTCACACGTGAGGTTCTGCAATGCCTTTAGGAGAATGATCTGTTCCTGAAGCCTGAGAAGTGCAAATGGGATGTTCCCAAAGTTGACTATGTTGGCTATGTGTTCGGTGGCGATGAGGTGGCAATGGAACCTGCGAAACTAAAAGGAATTAATGAGTGGCCGGTACCCCAGAACAAAAAAGATGTTCAGAAGTTCCGGGGGTTCTCCAACTTCTACCACCGCTTCATTAAGGACTTTGCTAAGATCTCGCAACCACTCAACCGACTCACAGGAAATGACCCCTGGCGCTGGGGAGAGGAGGAGCAGCATGCCTTTGATGAGCTCAAATGGCTTTTTAGCACCACCCCTGTTCTGGTGCTGTATGACCCTAAACAGGAAACGCGCATTGAGGTTGATGCCTCAGGGTATGCCACTGGTGGCGTATTGATGCAGAAGCAGGACGATGATAAGTAGCATCCAGTCACCTTCAGATTTCACGCTATGGACCCTGCCCAGCATAACTACGAGATCTACAACAAGGAGATGCTCGCAATCATCGAAGCGCTATACGAATGGCGCCACTATCTCAAGGGACTACCCACACAGTTCGAGATCATAACCGATCATAAGAACCTCAAGTACTGGCGCACGTCACAGCACCTCACGGGCCATCAAGCGCGATGGTCGCTGTTCCTCGCCCGCTTCAATTTCTGCATCATGCATAAAGCCGGCACATCAAATGGAAAGGCTGATGCCCTGTCGCGCCAATCAGACCATCAGGTCGGCGATGAGGATGACAACACCGATCAGATTGTCCTCAAACAGGAGCACTTCCGCATTGCTGCCACACAGCGTGGGCATGCCTCAGTGACAGCTGGTTAGTCACTTCTAAAGCACATTTGGGAATGTTCAGAGAAGGATCGGGCAGTGGCCGAGGCACTTGAGAAGGTGCAAAACCTCGGCCCCCCTCAGTTGCAGAAGGGCTTTGAGGAGTGGAATGCCGAGCAAGGGCTTCTGCTGTTTCGTGGGTGTGTATACATCCCAAAGAACATGGAGCTCCGGCGGGATATTGTCAAGCTCCACCACAACTCACCAATCACCGGTCATGGTGGTCGTGCCAAAACCCTTGAGCTCGTATCATGGAACTACTGGTGGCCTGGGATGTCTAAGTTCATCAATGAGTACGTAAGCACCTGCAACATGTGCAACTGTACCAAGACATTTCCAGCCAAGCCCCAGGGTCCGCTGAAGCCGAACGAGATCCCCAAGCACCCGTGGCAGATCATCACCACCAATATGATCATTGGCTTGCCGAAATCTGATGGGTTCGACTCGATCCTGGTCACCACCGACCGCTTTACCAAGCAGGTCCACTTCTCGGCCTGTCATGAGACCCTGATGGCAGAAGGTGCGGCAGACCTGTATATCTGCAATGTGTTCAAGCATCATGGGGCCCCGGCCAAGGTCATATCAGACTGAGGTCCCCAGTTCGCATCAAAATATCTCCATGTGGTGTACAAGGGACTTGGGATTGAGCTGGCGCTGTCTGCGGCGTTCCATCCTCAGACAAATGACCAGACCGAGCGCTGGAATCAGGAGATCGAGCAGTACCTGCGCGCTTTCACAAGCCACAGGCAGGATGATTGGGCTAAGCAGTTGCCGCTTGCGGAATTTGCGCTGAACAACCAAGTTCACTCCGCAACCGGGCACTCCCCCTTCTTCCTGCATCAGGGGTACCATCCTGAGATCCAAGTGTGGATCAATCCGATGTCTGCGATGCCCGCAGCTGCTGATCGGCTCAAGATCCTGAAGGAAATTCGGGATGATATGCGCTCTGCACTTGAGTTATCCGCCGAGCACATGAAAGTGTACTATGATAAGCACGTGCAGGAGGCACCGGTCTTCACACCGGGGGATAAGGTCTGGCTTGATGCTTGGAACCTTAAGCTGAAGCAGCCGAGCAAGAAGCTCAGCCCCAAGCGCCTCGGACCATATGCCGTGCGGCGAAAGCTCGGAGACTTAGATTACGAGTTGGTTCTGCCAAAGTCGGTGCCTGTGCACCCGGTGTTCCACATCTCCTTGCTTAGCAAGTACATGCATAGTGAGATCCCGGGCCGGGAACCGGAGGAGCCGCCTGCCATCGAGGTTGAAGGTGACGAGGAGTATGAGGTTGAGCGGATCAAAGATTCGAGGATCTTCCGGCGTCAGCTGCAGTACCTTGTCAAGTGGAAGGGTTATGACGACTCACATACGTCATGGGAACCGGCGCGCAATGTTGCGAATGCACCGGCCCTCATATCTGACTTCCACCGGAAGAACCCAAATGCCCCTCACCGTCTCAATGCCACTGCCTTTGGTGGTCTCAACTTCCAGCCAATGCCTTCACCGCTGACCGAAGCACGCTGCCACTCCGGGTGGAAAATGGGCAAGTGCGCCTTGCATGAGGTCATGCGCCGTTGAGGGGGGGTAATGTCATGAGTTGACACGGCGCCTAGCCATCTTTTTAATTTTTTCCCTTTCGTGGGCTCGAACCCACAACCTCTGTACTATACACCTGAAACGGACATTTCCTTATCTACTGTACGATTAGATTAGATGGGCGGCAGTGCGCGGCACAGCTTGGGCCCCGCTGACACAGCCGCTCTGACTCACCGGCCCCCGGGGCTGCGTCAGCATGCTGTGCACGGACCAGCTGTGCACAGACCAATGCGCACAGCCTGCCCTTATCTTTCCCTGTATATAAGCCGGCCTCTGCTGCCCTAGGTACCTCAGTTTCGACCTCTTGTCCCTAGGTCAGTAAGCATCCCTTTGTATTCCTTTCTTACTTAACTAATATATTATCTTGTCCCTAGCCTTAGGTTTGAGCGTTGCTCACCATCACTTCGGTGAGACCCAGTCGAACGCCCCCAGCATCCTTGTTTGGTTTTCCCCTGTCGCTTGACCTCAAGTCGTGATAGCTTCCTTTTGGGTAGCCATTCTGATGCTTCCTTGGAGAAGACTTTCAGGAACTCGTGGTACTGTTTCGGCACTGACTCCTCAGCGGTCTTAACAACCTTCTTCTTGATCTCTTCCTCAATGAACAGCTGGGAATATGTATGCCCTGCTGCAACAAACAGCTAAGGAGCACCAGGGAGTGTGACTCCTTGCTCCCAGGCTTCGATCAGATCAGCCTCATCCCACTCGATTTCCTCCGGATCTTCTTCGGGTTCAAATTCCGGGAGTACCTTACTCCGGCAGGCACTGATGACTGACTGTTTGGACTTCGGCGAACACCTGCATGCCGTGGGCCTAACCCCCGTATCATGTGTAGTCACCACTTGCTCTATGTGGCCAGTCTTCCTGGCACTGCACATTTCAGGGCATTGTGACAGCTTGAGGGAGCCTGTCTCCTAATCTATTTTGGGGTTGTGCTCGCGTAGCCAATCCAACCCGACGATCACATCCTCTGGACCTATGTCCGTGACCGTGAACACCGTCTTCTCGATGTGATCTCCTATCTGCATCTGTAGCACGGCTACTTCCGAGATGCTTCCATCTTTGTTAAGGGTGCCATCAATATTGTATAGCAGGATTGGTTCCTTTAACCTCCGCGTTTGCACCTTGTTTTTCGTGATGAATCGCTTGTTGATAAACTTTGTGGTGGCTCCACTGTCCACCATAGTGATTATGTCCTTTTGCCATCTTTTTCCTTTGAGGTGCACTGGGATGTGGAAATGCTGGGACCCATGGTCCAACTCGTACACATTCGCAGTTGCCAATACATTGTACAGATTATTATTACAGGGTCCGACACATGCAGCACGAAGCGTGGACCAGATCAAAAAGACTCCTCTTTCATCGCCCGATAACCCTCTAGCTCCTTGCACATTGACTTCATCTGTGCTATCAAGTCTGCCAGCTCAGATTTCTCCGATTTTGCTAAAGCAGTACTTGTACTCACCAAGGATGAAGCAACGGGGGTGCTTGTCACTGCCTGGGTGGAACCCAAGGCAACCGTAGCCCGCGCATTAGCGCATTTGGTGTAAGGTTTGTCCTTACAGTCGGGGCACTCAAAGTGATGGTACCCCTTTTTCCCGCAGCCATCACAACTGCTGGGGAAGTCTTCTTTGCCAACGGCTGCATTGATGCTGGCTGAGGCACCTTGCAATCGGGGTGCACCACCACGTGCTCCGCGGTGTCCACCTCCTTGTGCCGAGAAGAAGCTGTTCAACTCGGGCCAACGGGCCCGGCTGATGTCGAGTATTTGCTCGACTTCCATGGTGCGCTTGTCAGTGGCTTCCCACGTGGTGAATGTCTTGAGCTCGATTTTCCGGTAGACTCAGGATGGGATACCGCTCAGGTACTTGTCATGGAGTTCCAGGGTGCCATACCCAGAACGGTCCACTGGACCCTTGAACAGTGCAGAGAATTCTGTGGTGGTGCATTTCTCACGCATGGACTTGTCACTGCAGAGCTTGGTGATCTCGACTTGTGCTGCTGCGGCGTTGTTGAGATTGCCAAAACAGCCCTTGAACGCCATGAGGAAATCCTTGACGTTGGCAAAGGGCGTCACAGCCCCTTGTACTCCGACTTGAACAGCTGCGAGCTGGGCAAAGATTGGGGTGGCCCAGGTGCGTGCATCACCATCAAGCAGATTTAGTGCTACCTGTATTTGGAGCTCTACTGTGGACAGGGTGGTGTTGACCTGCCAGTAGATCAACAATTGCGAGATAAATCGGCTGCACTCGACAACAGTTTTTCCATCATATCATAGGGGGAGAAGGAGCTTCAACACCTCCTTGTCAGGGGGATGCTGGGGAGGACATTACCAGCGGCGGGGGGGATGGAGGATGGCCCGGGGGTGGAGGCGGTGGTTGTGGCTGTCCGCCAGGTGGACTTTGGGGGGAACAAGTGTGTGAGCAGCCTCACAGCGGCGATGATGGTGGAGGCGCTGGAGGAAACCCGGTGGGAGGGTGATGTACATCAGAGACTGGAGCCAAGGAGGGGACCACGGACAACGAGCTGGCCCAACTGAATACAGAAGTGTCGCAGGGCTCGGGCTTCAGGACTGCTTCCACTTGCAGCCTAGCGGATGGTTGAGATACTGCTTGAGCGGGCACTGCAGGCTTTGTGACTGCCACAACTGCTCGAGAGAGATCGGGGTCTCCTCGCGCTTGACTTGTACTGGTGACAGGTTGGGGAATATGGGTGCCAGGGGATGCAGGTCGGGATGGAACAGGAGTAATGTGACGGGAGACGGTCCTTGGGGATGCTGGACTCGTCTGATTGGTGTGTAGCATCCTTCGTCTGCAGTGACAGATTGCGGAGTGTGGTTAGGGCACGGTTGTCGGTCACAGATGAAGAACGGAGCTTTCGATCTGTCGTTGTCTGGGTCATTGTGCAAGATGTCAACCTGTTCTTGTGTGTCAAACACGTGCTCGAGACAAGAGCAGTCAAAGAATTCATCAGCCACGGTGATGGGGGGAGGAAGGGGAGGTGCGCGTGCTATGAAAGGCCGTACTAACTAGCTTACACCTACAGCGCCCGAGGTAACACTGAGGTTCGCAGTTCATGTGGGGCCCAGTACTGCTTTTGACTAGTATGCAGCAGGAACCTAAGCCACGTGTCCGTTAGAACAAGTATCACCCACTGAAGTGCAGATACCGAAAAGTTCGTCCCTCAAGTGGTGGCAATGTATAGTATGCTATCTATGTATAGTAGGGGTGCGCACCACCCAACCTGTGGGAAGTGAATGAATGAGTTGAGTTGCATGTGAACGCCGGCAGCGAGGGGGAGTTTCGACCTAATGTCGCGACTTGGGGTCAAGCGACAAAAAACAAACAAACACAAAGGCTGGGGGTGTTCGACTGAGTCTCACCAAAGCGATGGTGAGCGATGGTCAAACCTAAGGCTAGGGACAAGAAATGTATTAGTTAGTTAAGTAGGAAAAGGAATACATGGGGGCTTACTAACCTAGGGACAAGAGGTCGAAACTGAGGTCCCTAGGGCAGCAGAGGCCATCTTATATACAGGAGAGGTTTAGGGCAGACTGTGCATGCTGGTCTGTGCGCAGTTGGTCTGTGCGCAGCATGCTGATGCAGCCCTGGGGGCCAGTGAGTCAGTACGGCTGTGTCAGCGGAGCCTGGGCTGTGCTGTGCACTGCCACCCCATCTAATCTAATTGTACAGTAGATAAGGACTTGTCTGTTTGAACATATAGTACAGAGGTTGCAGGTTCAAGCCCACGGACAGGAAAAAATTAAAAAATGGCTAGATGCTGTACCAAGTCGTGACAAACTGGGTGCAAAAACATGTACTGTATGAATCAAACACACTCTTGTTGAGGATCATGAGGGCTGTCTGGAGTGTCACCCTGCAGCTCCATTTCTGTATGCCCTTGGCATTCCACAATGTCATCTTGCCTGGCAGCCTTGGACAATTGTTGGAGCAGGGCAACAAGATCAGTGCCTTGCTTACTTTGTTTCAGCCAGTCTTGTAGTTCATTGATGGTAAGAGCATGAGATTGGTGTGCCTGTTGTCGCTGAAATGCTGAATGTTGTTGTTGCATGGTGGACAAAAGGCGGTTGCAGTGTAAGCGAATGTGTGTGTAGAGGGCTGCTGCAATTGGAGTGTCCTCATCCTCTTGCAACAGGTCTTTAACAAATGCATGGTCTTCATCAACGAGATGATTATGACAGAGTGTTACAACTGTCCATTCTCCACAGATAGATTAAATTGCACCTTTATGCCTGACAAACTGTTTTGTCCCACTTCAACCTGTTGCTTGAGGTACATCTTTTGCAAAACAGAATTCAGGTGACATGATTAAAGCCTGCTCAAGGCTAAGGGGAGTGATATTGTGGGCAGGCTCTGAGCTGAACATGTTAGCTAACATTTGGGAGTGTTTCAAACTGGCTGTACTCACCGGAACATGGCAGGCGCATCATGACGCGTTAGTCCTAGTATATGATCCTGCTTGCTGTCAAGAACAGCAGCAACAAGGTCAACCTGGGCAGTGTTGATGGTGTAGTTGTTGTGAATGGTGTTGGTATGTTGCTCATGTTGTAATAACAACTTTGCCATCTTAGAGCCAAGGATTCGATTTAGGGTATTTGCTGAACCTCTGCACCAGCAGTAGGTTGTATTGTCTTCCTCTGTTGATTGTGTGAGTTATGTTAAATATAATAGAGCAAAATGAGACCCTAACCTCCCAAGCCAGCCAAACTACTAATTCTACACAGGAACATGCAGGCGCACTCATAGCCCATTGCTTTGTTTTGAATGACACCTCGACCTCAGGCCAGATGACTCATGAACATGGGCAACCTGGTGTGTATACTTTGCGAGGGAAGGTGTATCAATATTGGTTTTGCTGTGGGCACCTTTTAACCCTATGCAGGAATGTGCCTGCTTTGCGCATTGTGGGATGATGGTTATGTAGACTTTACATTGTATCCTTCGATAGCTCAGTTGGAAGAGCGCGAGACTGTAATCGGATATGTCATCTTGAGGTCGCTGGTTCGATCCCGGCTCGAAGGATTTAAATTTTGCCGCGCGCGATCAGGCCGCAAGGAGTGTGTTGCCGAATTAGGCCAGAAGTCGTTGGTTCGATCCCGGCTTGAACGATGATCTTTCACGTTGGCCCTCCGGCTGTGTATCACTGGACAAGGGTGGCTCAACGGTCTATCCCACTTCTAGGCAGAAATATGGTAGCTTGGACAAAAGTACAAGTACTTAAGGACAGCGTCAGCAGTCTAGACATAGAATAAGAGCCAAGGGTAAAACAGAACTGGAGTTGGATGGACCAACAGTAAGCGAGAGGATGTCAGTCGTCAAGATTGAGAGCGTTCGACGCCGGGCATGACCGCTGGGGCAAGCTGCGGAGAGAAGATGGACAGCTAGTATACAAGGATATAAACCGTTGAAGTGAGAGAAAAGAGGTATAGCGGAAGGATGATGAGGGGCCGATAAGTGCAAATGTCCTTCAAGTTCTAACGAGGATGGTAGAGACGAAACCGATATCGTGCACGGCGGGACAAGCCTGTGATCACGAATGCAGATGCGAGGAATCGCGGAGACACCGATGCTTTTGGCGAAGCAGATCCCGGTCGTCATGAGGGTCGTGAGACGAAAGGATGGTCGGGTATTTAGTAGGTAAGTATGGTAGGATATCGTTGGTCATCAGGGCTCGTGAGGATGGGTGAACGGAACCCGCTGGAATTGCCAGAGGGTCAGCCCAGACGCATATACGGGCAATGGACTCACATACATTCGTCAGCGCATCAAATGCGCACGGGGCGCGATACGAGCTTACCCGCGGCAGCAGAACGCAGCCCAGAAGCCCTTCTTTCGGCCGTGGCCATGTTCGTCCTGCTCCCCGACGCGCGCCATCTGTTCCCGGTCATACATGTTAATCCCCCGGTTGCCCATGCCAGCCATCGCGTCCCGGGCACCACCCGCCGTCGCCGTGCCGGCTGTGGTCGTGCCCTCGCGCGAGTTCGTGCCCGGTTTGCCCTGTTGACCGTAAACGAAGGAGTCACTCGTGTTCGCGCCATTGGCAGGCGGCACAGCCCCGCCTGCGCCGCCGTTTGGAGAGGAACGCCCGTACGCCGTCCCGCGAGCCCCGGGGCTCGGGGTAATTGCGTACGGGTGTGGAGCGGTGAGGCCTGTACTATCACGTTCCGTGCGGGTAATTTGCTGCTGGCTGGCGCGCCGGCTTGCAGGCGGGACTGGCTGCACGCTGACGTCGTTGCGTGAATTGCCACGGGATTCTTGCTGCTGGGCCGCCACCGCACGGCGCGAGGGCTTGTGGTGGGCAGGCGTAGGCGCGAGGACGAGAGGCGAGGAGGGTGTTTGCGTGCCATCCTGCAAGGCTGGTCGTGAGCGACGATGGCCATCGTGGTGGCGTGAGCGGTGCTCGCGGTCGCGGTGAGGTGTGTGTGGTGCCGCAGCATTTGCATGTGCCTGTGCAAGAATAGCCGAAGGCGACTGGCGTGTTGAGAATCAGTGTGATCTCGGACAGGAAACACTCATAAGAACTCACATGTCCGGCTTCCCAACCCTTGCCCCCATTCAATAGCATCCAGTCGAACACACCATCCTCCGGCTCGCCCAGCGTCTTTAACACCTTCGAGAATAGGTCTCGAAGGAAGTCATAGTCTGGCGTCTCCTCAAAGCCAAGCTTCCGCACGTAGTTCATATAGATCGCAAATTCTTCTGAACAACGCCGATGCAGCGTGAGTGCTTAGTGACTGACCAATTGCGGACATAGCTTCTTACCAGGGAAGCCCTCGCACAGCTCGTCGATATGGGTACTTTGCTTCTTTTCGCCGATCTTCTCGTACTTCTGCTTGTTGGTAGCGGCTCGCAAACCCTGCCACGGAAGCCCCCCGCGCAGGAAGTACATGAAGACATGTCCGAGCGACTCTAGGTCGTCCCGCCGCGACTGCTCACGGCCGAGGTGTGTATTGATCGACATGTATCGCGCCGTTCCGGATAGTGACTTGCGTTCTCGGTATGGGATGTGTATCTTCGTCTTCGGGTCCCGATAGTGCTTTGCCATACCAAAATCTGTGGGAGCCGTGAGTCATGCACGGCGATACAAGCGCGAGGCGATCTGGCCCCAAGTCGCGCCCTAAAACGCAGAAGAGGACCTGCTCAAGCAAGCCCACGCTCCCAGTGGTGGTTTCACGAGGGCAGTTGGCTTACCAATGATGTGAATTGTGTTCGCATTCCTCGAGCCCGGCACTCCGATAAGGAAATTGTCGGGCTTAATGTCGCGGTAGATGAGGGACTTCTCATGTATTGCTTGTACGCGTGTCACCTTGGAACAATTGTTCAAATGTCAGTGCATCAGATACGTCAGGGAGTTGATGACCCACCATCTGTTTCGCGGCCATACAAACAGTCTTGATAGAAAATTTGCGACCGCACATGTCAAAGAGATCTTCGAGGTTAGGACCCAGCAAATCGATGACAAGGACGTTGTGCAGGCCCTCCTGGCCGAAGTAGTGCACTTGCGGGACACCAGCTGATACGCAGTGTGAGAAGTGGCTTTCGAGCGCATAGGAGTAATGCCAGACGTACGAGTGCCATTCAACGTGCGGTAGGACCTGTACTCGTCTCGTAACTGCGGGGCCTCCGACTTGCGCGGCTCCTACGTGCACTACCCGCGTGAGCGCCTGGATGCGAATGACAGGTGCCCCACTCACAAACTTGATAGCGACTGGCTGGTTGTTGAGCATGTTGGTACCTACGTCCCCGTTGTCTCAATGGCATTCTCGGCTTGCTGGAGTGAATCCCCCCTACCTTCGAAGACAACACCGAATGAACCCTCCCCAATCTTCTTGCCGACTCGGAAGTGAGTACCCACGACGCCATTAGAGGTGCCGGACTGTGAGCCGTGGTGGACCGACGACGAGGCGATCACATGAGGGGTGGTCATGGCGAAAAAGGACCGACGACGAGGAAGAGGAGGAGGGGATGGAGGAGAGGAGGAATGAAGGAATATTGTTGAGGGATGTCAAGCGCCGGGCTACCCCCACCCAGCTGATGGCGGAGTCTGGAAGGCACACGGTCCTTATTTGGAAAGTCTAGTGTTCGCAGTCCTTCACAACTGCCGTTGTCGGCTATTCTCCATATGCCTCCTCTCAGCTTTCAGGTCATCTGCTGTTCAATGTACATATCTGTGGGCTATCTTTGCGAAATGAATGTCGTAATCCAAACTTATTTCTGAGATCCACCACGCAAAACGGTACGCCTAGTGTGGTCTTTGTACGCACTCATGATGCGAGATGGGTATTCATTCATCAACCAGGCTTGTCGCTTGTTTTTTGTTTCATTGCTGTGGCGTCACTTGTTACGACTATAGAACATGCTTGGCGAAGTTGCCATAGCCCGCCGCGACGATCCAAACCCCTCGAATATGCTATTGACGGCCGAGCCACACAAAGTGGCGTCCTGGAAAGCTCCTGCACGAGTATCGTATTCTACATGCGATGGAGAGGCGTTTCGTGTCGGCGTATTCGCTCCGTCCAATGAGTGTTTCCCGGAGCAAGATGGTGTGCGCGCATCCTATCCTCTCACAATAACACCCGGTACGCAACTCTCGATATGATATACTGAATCTAGCACGTTGCTGCCTTCCAGTCGGATTCTGAGCAGCACCTGGTGACTGCTCGGATAGAACATTCAGGCTGCGGTGAAGAGGCGGGAGGCAAAATATCGCGTTCGCGGCGAGTTTCATATCTCGGTCAGCGTTGAAACGTCATGAAGCCACCCCGGAATACTGGAAGCACCCCTTCAGTGTTATTACGTCTCTGCGATGCCGCATTACAATTGCACAAGCTCATCGGGCGCTGTTCCAGCCTGGGATGGATGGCAACACACGTATAGTCCACGTCCGAAGGCATGATTATCAGCATCTCAAATACGTCCTCCAGTTCGAGCGGGACTGACACGGGATGACGTGATGTTCCTCGCCTTGAGTAGTAACGCTCGGTACTCCGTCAAAAATCTGGAGCATGTACCGGCTTCGCACGGAGGCAACGTCCGCTGGCCTCAATTGCATCTTCTCAGGTTGGGCGTCTAGGCGAGTCGGGAAGCTGGGATCCTCCCATCTGTTTTGGTGAGTGTGGATACTTAGAAGCGCACAACCCACATATCCTTTACCTACTAGTATATGGGATGTAAGACACAGCCTGTGGCAATATTCGCCCCTCCGCCCTCCGCTACGGTCTTCTCCATCTAGCGTACTTGTCTTGTTGCACCTCGGGCAGTCTCCTGTGAGCAGAACGTAATACACATACACATCGTCAAACCTATGCAGGCTCAGGATATACACGTACAACTGCTCGGTTCGTTAGACTCCGAGTCGACCCTGCCCATGTAGATGTGGGAATCGGAGCCTGTAGTCTAGGCACCGGGGACACGGTCCACGTGACATGTATGTCCACGAGATCCATGATCGACGCGTCTCAATGGGGGCTAGTACGATCGGTCAGTGCCGCATATCATATTCTACGCCCATAAGTACCTGTGTCCGGTGACACAATGCCGATACGGTTGCTAGCAATCGCTGCCAGACACGGATAGCCGCTGTATGTTCGCGTTTCACAGTTCGTTGGGGAGACCGCAGCATACTGGAGATAACGATAACAGACGCGAATTGCATGATGGTACACATGTACAGTCTATGGATTACTATTACGAACATCGATGGGAGCCTGAACTATACTCATACAACCTGCGCGCATACAGCACAGGATAACGATACTTTACACACGAAAGCTTCCACGACGATGACCCCGGAATAACGAATTCTTCACTTGCGAGCCTTCCAAGCATTGTCGACGCCCAACTTTGAGTACTTCTCGGCTACAGCACCATCAGGCTGGGGATTCCTGTCGGCGAGCGAGCCCTGTCCACTCTTCGTGCCGGCCTTGTCCATCAAACCAAGGCCCCCACTGCTGCCGCCCCGCTGATGCATCTCGCCGGGAGCCTCCCCGTGTCTAATAGCTGAGCTCTCCATAACGCCCGAGGGGTTCTGCGGGGCGGCGTCGGCGATGGGGTGAGCGAAGCTAGAGCTGGTTGAGGCAGGACGCGTACCCTCAGGTGTGGGCGCCTCTGCGGCGGTGTAGTTCTGGTACGGCGCGGACGTCGGGTACGCGCCAGAGGGCACCTCGTAGGGCGTATTTGAGGGGTCGGGCTCGGACACAACGTAAGTGCGCATGCCAGCAGACGAGACCTGCGGGTCGGGCGAGTGGTCGAGCTGCTTCTCGTAGACGTTCGCGGTGGGCGCGGGCGGCGCGGTGAGCGGCGACTGGGACTGGGACTGGGAGAGCACCTTGAAGGGCGAGTGGAAAGCGCGCACGGCGGGGCGCGGCGACGTCATGCTGGTGCACGAGAGCGAGCGGGTGTGTTTCGAGAGCGCGCGAAGGGCAGACATGTTGGTGGATTGGGGTGCGAATACGAAGGGCGTTGGAATGCTGGGTCGTGTATATGAGGCGGGGAATCGAGCGGCGATTGGGGGGACAGAAGGATGGGAAGGAAAGGACCCAGCCGGGACTGGCCTTCTTGAATGGCGGGAGTGTGGGGTATTGGGGTCTTTCCGCGTCAGTCTCCCACGGATGATGTATTCCAAATGTGGGTGTCGTCAGAGACCGCCTCGGCTTGCCTCGTACGATATTCCGTTCGCAGGCCCTTCGACTTCCACGTATGATGTGTAACCTGAGACATTCCTAGCCCCTGTCAGGCAACACCGCCCATCATCCCCATCCGTTGCCGTCGTCGTCTCGGTTGGCAGTCGTCAAACGAGAAGAGCGTCGTGCCCCAACTTGTGCTACTACCGAGGTGCGATGTTTTGGCCAGCGCAGTGAACTCTACGCACGTTCGCCTATTGCGTATAGCTTGTGTGGCAGGACAAATTCCTCTCTGGCAGAAAATGCAATGCGCACGTAGGGCGGCCGTATTCCACCGCATTGACACGATCCCGCCACAGGCAAACAGCGCCCACTGAAATCGTGAGATACTCGGTCGATAGCCTAAAAAGGATGGACGTCCGTGCGCAGTTGTGGCATCGTCTGTGCATGAGGCCATGGCCGTTGTGGCCTACGATAGACAGATATAGCAAGCTGCATATGAGGGGATCGCCAGAAGGTCGTAGATGGAAATGACTCGTGCGTGCGTCATGGTGAGTGCAGCGCGCAAGAAGTGCTGCTCCGAAGCAGTTCATTGATCGCGCCTCATGCGCTCTCTTGCTTGTTTAGGCAAGCTATATGCGGCCCCGGCAGCATTGTCTGCTGCATATCTGTCCAGAAGTCAACGCATATACCCACCTGGGACAGCACCAGAGGCGCTATCTCTATGCGATCCTCCACCAGACACCAACAAGGCTGCGCGCCTGCCCCTTCTTGATCCGGCTCCTCGTGGAACATATCTGAGATGAAAGTCTTGCCACTATTGCAATGTGAATAAGTCTCCAACCGGGACGCACGTTACACGTCGACCTCATTGGCTAGACTTGTGGCAGAACCTTGAGGTATGTTTTGACTTTGGCTGAGCGATACTTCATCCCGCCGAACTCAACGTCAAGTGCGGAGTCTCTGCCAGTGAAGGAGGGAAAACGGCATAACCGGATGGTCCGCGTTCAGTCATCGTTTCATGACCCGCGTTCACAATCCTGGATGAATCTACGCCGCATTGCGCTGTCAAGTCGTGTTCCGTTCACCTTGCTCCCTGCGCCTACTCACGTAGCAATCAACAACACTCCTCGACTCGTGCAGCGGACTTGTGGGCACCATGTGCACTCATGGCGGCATACCCAAGCTCTGAATAGGGCACTACTTTGAACTTGCACGAGTTGCGCGTCTGAACCAGCGTTGTGACTGGGCGGCTAGACTCCCCGTTCCTGCGGTAGTCGTACAGGCCACAGTAAGGGTGGCGCACAAGCCGAACCCCCACTCGGGCAGCGTGCTTCGTGCAATATCGCTCTACTAGGGCTTATGCATCTTCTCCGGCGATCCAGTGCAGAACCAACAACCTGACAATAAGTCAGGTAACTGCGATGTCTATTTGGGAGGCAACACAAGGTGAGTATGACAGGAAGCGTGCTATGATTGTCGCCTGTTGCAGCGTGGGCTGCGACGCACGAGGTACTAAATCTCCAGCTTCCGCTTGTTTTCTCTCCCGTATCTTGTGCTCAAACCGCAACATCGTCGCTGCCTCTCATGCCTGCCTCTCGCGCAAACACCGTTTCAGGTGACGCTGCCCATGCGGGTGGCATCCGAAATGGCGTGCCCGATCGTCGTGTGACTGTAGGAGAAAGCGACGAAGAAACATGTGTCAGCGACGGTGCACTGCGTCTCAGCGATGACGAGACGTGTGTCAGCGAAGACGAGACTGAAGACGAGGAGGAGGAGACTGAAGACAGCGAGGACGATGAGTGCGGCATACATTCTTCATTTCCACCTGCATAGCGCCAACGACCCTTTTTGCAGAGACGAGTTCGACGAGACAGGGGATAGATAGTGCGACAAGTTTCCCCCTGCCGCTGCATTCACCTACCCCGTTGCTGACGACTCTACAGCACGGTATTATGGTTGGCAGGAATGGTGACTGCCATACGATACCCCGAGGTAATCTTGGAATTCGGCTTGGGCTACGTGCCACATCAGGCCATCGCCGAGGCAAAGGAAATTCATCGTCGGCTATTACGCGGTCAGTAGCAGCCCAGCGCTGAATGCGGTTGCCATCCCATCGCTGACGATGCCGTACATGTTCTTGACGCACGTACCCAGACCAGGCGGCTCATTGAGGCGAGATCCACATTTCACACTTCACTATCGTGTCTATCCTGACCGCGTCCATGATAGCGCTCTCATCGTACTTTCTTGCTCTAGGAATCTTGCTCCGTGAAACAAATATTGTTGTTGTCCCAACGAAATGTAACGCACTGTTCATGCATAAGCACTCGAGCGGTGAAAATAGATTGCGATTGAGTTACTCCCAGCTGCGTTATACGGCATGAGCTGGGGCGACCTTCTGTGCCACTGTACCATGAGATGTTTGCAACAGAGACCGGAAAACACTCTTGACCGACGTGCGCTGCTCTGCGTGAATGTCCTGGAGCCGCTACATTTTGTAAAATGAGACATATGTACAACCAAAGAACAGATATTTTGTCGTGCCACCATAGATATTGCTGAGTGAACACAAATCGTTTGCCTGTCCCATGTCCGATGTGGCTGCGTTGCCAGGTGAGTGTTTCGCCTCCGGCCAGTCGACCTACTACCCATAGTTCCTCATATTCAATGAAACATAATCCCATACTCACCCAACCGCATCGACGAAAGGAGTGTCGTACAATCAGTATCTCGAACAAGTAACTGTGCTGAAGCATCGTTGCGATCGTGAGGCCTCCATGATCGATCGAGGCGATTCAACCTGTGATCGCGGGCGCTAATGTCTCACAATTCGCGCTTTTCGATGTCTTCGCCCTCGTCGAGTGAATTCTTGGTCGTGAGCGCAAAAACCAGCGAACAAAACATTCAAAGACACAAAATAAAAAAACGACACCAGCAGGACTCGAACCTGCGCCCTCGAAGAGGAACAGATATCACGTGATTCGAATCTGTCGCCGTAACCACTTGGCTATAGTGCCTTGGATAATTTGTTTTTATGCAGCAAAATATAAGGAATCAAAACTTCAATAATCATATCGCTTGTTGTGGATTTGAGTTTGAGACATAACTCCCGAAAGGAGTGGATCCTTTATTCTATGGCCGAGAGAACTCTTAAAAACGTAAACTGTGAAGATGTCGCTGTATGCGCCATAAGTGGCGTGGATCGTAAGGATCCATTCTGCAATGAATAAATCATGTTATATGAGTCGTGGATCCGTTCAGACAGCGACGTACCATATCTTTATCCTTCGAAAAGGATGTTTAGTATAACCCTGTAATTCGCCCTGCCTTAGCGGCTGGTACTATCGCCTGTGTTCTTCAGGCGAATTGCTCACCAGGCGACATCGACTCGGGATGAAGGCAATTTACTCAGCGAAGGGCATAGGCAACGGATGCCTGTATCCAAACTGCAACTGCAGTTCGATGGCTGGGTCAGGATGTCAGAGAACTTGGGTAGGACGAGGGACGGCGCTTATCAGAGAGAGAATGCGTGAATAGCTGCACGGGCCGGGCTTGCGGACCCTTCATACTATTACTCTGGTGATATCTCGGGTCCCTGTGTACTCGATGTATTCCGCCACACAGCTGTGTGTGAGTGATTGCGCATAATGCGACGGATGTGAAAGCCAGGACGCCGTGGCTTTCGCGACTGCAGCATGATCTGCTTAAATGTTTTGTTTAGTACGCTCCACAATCGATTTCTGGCAAGGCGCTTTTGCTGCCCATCGACAACCTATGAACCGCAGTGACAGGGATGGTTAGGCTTCTCGCAACTGAGTTTACGTAGAAGAACGAGCATCTACCACAACGATCACCCATGAATGCAAGACAAACAGATGCCTGGTGGATCTGCTGAGGTCTCAACGGTCTGAAAAATCCCGTCCTTGCGCCGCACAACATGGCATCGGTGGAGAATTATTGAACGGTACAGGACGCCCAGACACCCGCCAAGATATTGCCTACGCCCACCGAGGCAGACGATACAGGTGATAATGAAAACGTGCAGTGGTGGGGCCGTTGAAGGATCGCTCCTGGTAGGAAACGCTAGAGCCGTGTCAGAAACTAATGGTGGCATAGTGGTATGCGATAAATGAGGCAATGTCCCAGACAATTAGGACTTCGTGCGCATGCTGAAGCTATCTGCGAGGCGAGTGGGCGTCAGCATAATACGGTGATTACTCGTTTGCTGTCAACCAGCTGAAGTACTGAATTAAGGGGAGTAACTTCGAACACAGCAAGTCAGATACCTGAGACTCGCCCACCCATCGAGCCCACAGAATGTTGATAGCAAGTAAGCGTAAATCATACACTGTTCCTGCGGACAATTGCGTGGGCCGTGTCACAAGAAACGGCCACCTTTTCTCCCTCCTGCTGACAACTTGCAAACGTTCGTTCGGGGGCAGCTGGAAACCAACGAGAGATCGTCAACACCGATTTCTCATGGACCGATTATGAATGAGAATGGGCCATGGCTAGAGACAGTGACAAACAAACCCCAGGATTGGCTGGTAGTGTAGCCAAAGAAACGAACCACTTGATTGGACCGGAGTGCAGAGCACCTCCCATCTCCTTAAAACAGCGGCCGAGACCGTGATCGTCTGCCAATCAAAAGGAGCCAACCCACACGCTAGCGTGCACTCCGATGATAGATCGGGACCACCCCGTAGAAAGAGTGGTCAAGCCGTACCTGGGTATATGCGCCCTTCCCAGCGCATACATACTCCTCCATCTCCAGGCCGCCGGACAGGCACTCCGAGGCACGCGAGTCCGAGCTGGGGCGGCTGCGCACGCGCTCGACAGTGTCGAACAACAGGATATGGTGCCGTTCACATGGGACGTCGGCTCCCGAAAGACAGACGCACAGTCCAAGGCAGATTGCGAGATTGAGTGTGGGGCTTCGTGAAGCCGGCCTTGCCTTGGCAAGCATCATCGTTCAGGGAGCTCACGGCACGATCATGTTCGTATTTGTAAATGACGCGGCCCCGGTAAGCGAACTTGCCAGCGGCAGTTGGTACCTCTGACCGTCGTGTCGACGCCGCATTCCCGCTACCAGTGCGACGTACAGTGGGACGGATTGCCGATAGACGGAGAGGTGTCATTGTGCAAGTACGAAGTTCACACCGGTGAGCGTCTGATGTACGTCAATAGCTTGGCTTGCTGACGAAGGCTCCGAGGACGATAGCGGACGGGGCGCGCTGCTGTGCTCCCTGTGAACACATCAGCCTCGGACCGGCGGCAGGTTCGCGCATACTCCACGTTGTGGCGTTGGTATATGCGCATCGAACTGTCAATGGCCGTCGGGCATGCACCGCTCATGCCAGGATCGCTGACAATCGGGAGTACCTGCGCAGCTTGAGAAGGTAGGCGTTTGTCGCCATCACAGGCGCCTCGGGGACCATAGTCAAAGGATCCGGCACCATTGCGGCTTATACGTACTTCGCGGGAAGGGGATCGTCCATTATAGGCGTAGCGAGCTCGTGTGCTGACCAAGGGCAGCGGCTGAGTCACAAAATGCATCCAGGAGACCCCCGACGTCGCGTCTTGCGCGACGAAGCAACGCGCGGCGCCGACGCACACACCGCGACAGCGTAGGTCCAATATTGTCATGAAGAACACAGAAATCGCGGGCGGTCGTCGGGGACGGGCGCTGGGGAGAGACCGGTGCACGGTGCACGTGATGATGTCAAGGAGAGGTGCTCACCAATGCGTGACCAATCCCAGGGGACTATTTGTAAAGACGCTCTTATACCCTTCACGCTTACTCCATCCGCTCTCTGCCTCAGCCTGCGCCGCCTTGTATCTCTATCCCCGACGCTCATTTCCTCCCGCCTCGGGCTTGCTGCCTCAACCCGACCTGTGTCCGCACCCGCGCCGCTGCACTATATTCGCCCCCGTCTCGCATCTAACTTCCCATACCCTCCGGCCTTCTAAACACTTACCCAGACACACGCACTTCTGAGCGCAGACTATGACCGCGGCGCAGAAGGTGGTGAACCTCGTAGTCATCGGGGACCTAGTGCGTTCTCTCCTTGCCCTGCCTCCGCTGCGCACAACTCACGCCACCTTAGATCTGTCCCTGGTGCTACATCGGCGAGAAGGAAATGGAGCGCGCCATCGACGCCGTCAAGGACCTCCCGCTCACTATCAAGGTTGAGCACAGACCGTACCAGCTCCAACCCTCGCTACCCGAAGACCAGGCAATTGTCAAGCGCGAGTGGTACCTCAACCGTTTCGGAAAAGACAAGTTTGCCATGTTTGAGCAGATGGTCACCACTAGGGGCAGCCAGCTTGGGCTCAACATGTACGTGCCTCCCGTCCGACTGGCCTATGACTTTCGTTGACCGGGTGCCTTAATTCGCTCGCCCTCTGTCGCCTGTGCTGATTGCTGAACCCTTCGTGTTTTTCCATCTCTCCCGCTGGATATTATCCCTATCCTGTCCATCCCATGCCATCCTACCGAACGTTGGATGCCTTCTACTGCACCCTCACCTCTGCGTCGAATGGCTGCCCTTGACCCCCTGACCATCTCGCGCTGACTGCTTGACCTGACATGCTCTCTTGGTGGACCTGTCATACTCACTGGTGGTCATATCGCTCTAATTGCTGGCCGGCTTGTTATTTTGCCTTACGGACTAAACTTTTACTGCTCACCCCAACTCGGACCGCGCAGTTCCTACGACGGCACCATCACACAGACTATCCGCGCACATCGCCTCAGCTTGAAGGCGCTGAAGGTTGGCGGTCAGGAGAGACAAGAGGCGTTCTTGAATGCTGTCCACAAGGCCTACTTTGAGCAGGGAAAGAATCTTGGCGACTTCGAGGTTCTCAGTGAGCTCGCGGAGGCGAGCGGGCTGATGTCAAAAGAACAGGTGCGTTGTGTGATGTGTTTCATTTCACCTATACACTCTGGGGGCAAAAGCCGCGTCCCGGATAACTATCGACTATGGTCCGAAATATATTGTCTATCTGGAAGGTTTCCGGATATTCAATACTCTTAGACGTGTATTCGGCCCATGTTCGTTGCGAGGAATTTCGTCCACCGTCGCAGTAACAGGAGCTACATGGCTGATGGTTGTGATTTGTATATGCAGGCCACGAAGTTTTTGGAAACCGACGAGTGCAGAGAAGAAGTGATCAACATGATGGCAGAAGCTCGTAAAAAGGGTGTGACGGGCGTCCCGTTCACGATCGTCGACGGCCGGTGGGCCGTCATTGGTGGGCAGACGGCAGACGTCTATATCCAGGTATGCTGAGGCTCTGTGCCGCTTTCTTTGGCCGCTCTAATACCGTCGCGCGATTGCAGATCTTCAAGAAGCTGGCACAGACCGAGAAAGTGACACCTTTGTCTCCTGTCCCCGATGCGCCAATGTGCTCAGTCTGATCATCCGCAGGAATACCCATGATCGCGATGCTCGATGATGCTGCCGCTGGATGAGGCGTAGCCTAGAGGCCAGATAGTGGAAGTCCCGTGGATTTGTGTTATGTGACATTACATGTTGTAGTACTACTCCCGTTTTCCCGTGCGCGGTATCTTATTCCGAGCTATCTGTTGCGCCTTTGACTGTTTACTGCCATGCCTGCACTGCAATTTGTCTGACCGAAGAGCTGCCGTGGGGCCGACAGGCACGCCAATACATGCCCAGCCAAGTGGGAGCGGCTAACAGACGCCCGTGGTGTCGGCCTGACGTCATCCGTGTATCCTCTTTGATCGAGACTGCGGACATGGGTAGTATGTAAGACCTCCTTGTCCGTTTATCCTGCGCCACCATGGCCACCCGTGTATCTGCTCTCGCTCTCAACTCTACTTAGGCCTCTTCCACTGTCTGTCTTCAACGTCCTCAGCCCTATTTCTTCCCCTCGCTTGTCACGACCATGCCTTCACGATTGTACGAGCACAGGCACTGGCTCTACGCATGGGTCCCACTGTTTGGAGCATTTATCTGGTCAGGTTCGTACCTGCGTTCTGAGTTGGAGATGCTGCGCACTGACGATCGCGTCGACTTACCACAGGCACCCTGCTTGCGATGCTCATCACCTGGCTTGCGACTGGCCGCCCAAAATACGTCACCCAGGAGGGCAATATCGCCTACATTTCAGACATTGGTGCGGGATACCTGAAGCCGCTCTTCATCGTGTGCTGCTGCATTACCGGCGTCTCGTTCTTCCTCACACTCGTCATCGAGCGGTGGCTTCGGAATTCAGGCAGGTATGTACTGGACCGCACTCATCAGTCGTGAGCGAGACCAGTGATTTCGTTGCAGACTACTTCCGAACATGCGGCGTCGAGAGCGGGTTTTCGCAGCTCTCGCAGTGTTGGGCTCCTTCATCGGCGGCGCAGGCCTCATTCTCCTCTCCATCTTCGACACCGGGCGGCACCCGAGCCTTCATCGTGTCTTCCTGCTAGTATTTATCGTCGGCGTCGCCCTCAGCGCCATTTTCACCATTATTGAGGTACGTGATTCTCACGTTGATGCATCAGTGCGTGGAATCCGATATCTGTTCTCGCTACTCGTCCCGCGCAAACAATTCCTCAATGGCCGCTGGAGGGTAAATGCCTGTCCTTTCGAGATTCACTGGACCCTCTGTCAGTGGCACTTCATTATGCGCCCACTGCTGGAGAGTCCGGAATTATGATTCCCAGCAGTGTTAGCTCACAACACTTCCTGCGGTCACGGTGTATCTGTACGGGCTGTAAGGCTTCTCCATATGCTGGTTATAGTCAGAACGGCATGTGACAACCCTTGATGCTCGGAATTTCTCGATATCGGGTAAGATGTCTCTGTTTGCGCAGAACACATAGCCAAAGATCAGTTCCACGCAGTGGTGCAGAGCATTGCAGTCAATATGCGGGGGATGCGAGCTGAATAACTTCACAGTACCGTTGGATTAGCCGCGATTTCGTCGAAGTCCACAAGCTGAAGCACGCGTACATCGCGAAGGGCATCATCGCGATCATTCTCATCATCCTCGCCATAGTCTTCGCCATCACACTATATACTACAAACGACGTTGCAGGTGAGTATCTTGGGCATCGGAATATCACCCTGTGTGAACCAGCACTGATCCATGGTTTCTCCCATGCGCAGCCGTCATAGAATGGGTCATTGCATTTGGGTACACGTTCTTCCTCCTCACCTTCGTGTACGACCTGCGCATGACGCGTGGTGTCGAGAAGGGCCAGTTCTCGCGCGACCGTCTCCTAGCGATGCGCCAAAGTGGCGAAAGCGGGCCGCCGATGGGCCAAGTTGGGGCAGGGGCAGGGGTAGGAGCCGCTCAATACCCATATACCCAAAGAGACGGATATACCACCGGAAACCCAAACGGGTATACGAATGGCGATGCGTACGCCGGGAACACAGTGCTCGCGCAGCCTGCAAATGCTCACGCAGGTAACCAGCGGGGGATGGTATGATGAGAAGAGACAAAGGGACAACACTTACGACGAGACACGGGTCGTGCTGCTTGCTCATGAACTTGTACCGCTAGTGAACATACCGGACAATGTATGCATTAGTCACAGTACTTTAGAAAAACATTAATATGAAAACCCCTGCGAGCATGATCCTAATATACTCATACAGCCGACCAACGTCAGACCACAGATAATTACTCAACAGCGAGTGCTTAATTCTACAACCGTCGGATCTCATGAGAGCCATTCTTTTGATAAGCGTGTTATGGCACATATGCAGGCCGGTTGGTTGGAGTCATCAGTTCGCGCCCTGGTGCGATGTGATGGGTTCTAAAAGCAGAATCGCCATTGTTGAGATGTGTCCTAGAGCCTTATGTGGAATGGAACTAGGAACGAGCCACGATCATGCGAACAAGATATTATATTATGGTCACGTTACCGCGTGCAGGCAATGAGCGCTTGCTGCAAGGTCTGGACGGAAACACCGTCGCATTGAAATATAGACATCTCGACATGTCCTCTAGAGCGTCAAGCCCATCATCGCGCTCGCGCACTCCCATCCCGCGCCCGCCGTCCGTCCGCCCTATTTCTCCTACACCAATGAGGTCCAGCACGACACCACCTGAAGTGCTCGCGTTGCGGAGAATCTCGAACCCAAGTCCACTCATGTATGGGGGATCTTTGCCGTCCACGCCGCCGCCCGGCGAGCGACCGAAGACACGTGCTAGGGATTTGTTGAGAAAGCACTACGGATTGGGCGTTGGCCCACCTACGCCACTCCCAGGAAAGGTCGCGGATCCCATGAATCTCGGTGTGTCCGACGCAGCCGTATGATTATACCTCCTCAATGTATTGTGCCTATGTGTTAGACTCCACGGCGTTTGACGCGAGAGCTTACTATGAGCAACTCATCACCACGTCGTCGCTGCCGACTCTGTTGAAGCGAGAGAACGAGCTGCTCACCGGTACGTACTGAATACACCACGGAGACTTGGGCGACGCCGACGTCGGTTCTCATGACAGAAATCAGGCAACTCGACAGTGAACGGCAGTCGCTCGTCTACAACCACCACCATGAACTTATTGCAGCAAGCGATACAATTGCTGCCGTACGTCCCTGGTATCTGAGGACTCGCACGTTGTTTGACGTGACAAATACAGATGAAGTCTCGAGCTGAAAATCTGGACGCTGACCTGGACCTCCTGCGAGCTGCATTCTCCGAGATATCGCGTCTTTCATCAGACATTTCAGGCCGTGACACTTGATACCGAGGCTCAGTAGGTGCGTTTCACTATCTCTATAACGCGATAGTATATGATACATAACGACGAAGACACTACTAGACTCCACGAGTCCTTATACAAGAGGATACGGAGCAGGGTTCGCTCCGTGCAAAACGACCATGCGCACATCCGTGAAGTCGCTAACACTGAAGCGACCATAACCCGTCGACCCACTGTATAGAGGGCAGCATCGTCAATGCAGTGATATCCTTCAACATTGCATTGGGACTTACCCTAGCCCAGTGTGGTCTTTAGCATCCTCTAGGTGTACGGTAGGACCGTTCACACTTATACAACCTGCAGTTGCAACGTGTCAAGCTCATGTGCTCTACACGAAGTGTTCAGAGACTCGTACCTGTCCTCACGCGCATAGATACATCCATTGCAATGTGGACATTTTTTGTCCAGAGCGCAGCGACTAGCGAGTAATCAGTCGCATTTGCTAGCTCAACTGCCTCATCAATTGTGTCAGCTTCAGTCAGTGTGATCACTGGAAACATCACCCCATCATCGTTAGCTCTGAATCCGATGAGATACTTCAGCGACAAACCTGGCCCGAAGCTTTCCCTCTCCCACAGCCGCATTCCCGGTCTGACGCCAGCCACGATGTGAGGCTGCACCACTGCGCCTACTCTCTGGCCATCTCCAAGCAAGAACTTCGCGCCCTCCTCTTGCGCCTCGCGCAGCATCGAGACGATGTTCTCCGCAGAACCCTCAGAGAACTGTGCTCCAAGGCGCTCTTCCGGACCCCCGGACTTGAACTTGCTGAATTCTGCGACCAGCGCCTTAGTGAGCCGCCCCGCGACTCCCCGTTGGACGATGACCCGTTCGGTAGACATGCATATTTGTCCAGAGAAGAGCAGCGCTGAGAATGTGATGGCTTTGGCGGCGAGTTCCACCTCGGCATCTTCGAGGACCTATGATTTTCCTGCTTCAGCCAGTCTCAAAACTTATCCAGACGAGGAGACGCACGATAACGGGTGCTTTCCCTCCAAGTTCGAAGACGCAAGGTTTCAAGTGCTTTGCTGCTTCTGCGGCAATGATCCTGCCTATACGATCACTGCCTGTGAACTGACAATTCGAGAGGTGAGTGCAGCGTTAGCGTTTGAAATAACTTTTGACACGTACGTTAATCTTCTTGACAGCAGGATTGGCAATAATCTCCGCTGTTCGCGCGGGTGCATCCTCTTTTGAGGTGTGTATCACGTTGAGAACGCCTTTCGGCAGGCCTGCCTGTAATCACTTAGCGTCGTCGCGAGTCGATCTCAAAGCCGGGCAAACCTCGGCGAATAGCTCGGCAATGATGTGTTGACTCCGTGGGCTCACTTCTGAGCATTTGAGCACGACGGTGTTACCGCAAACGATGGGGTATCCCACGGCTCGGACGGCGAGAATCAGGGGTGCGTTCCAGGGTGCGATGGCGAATCTGCAGATACGCGTCAATGCGGTACAACTGACGTAACAAACCGACCCTACATGACACCCTGGGCTCTCCGCTGCGCAATGACCTGTCCGCCTGGGGTCGTAGATTGGAACGACTCGCCCTTGAGTTCAGCAACCAATGTCGCGATACAGCGCAGCCATTCCCTTGCGACTTGCAAGTTGAACTCGACGAGGAAGTCTCCTGCGCTTGTCTCCTCCTTCAACGCAGCAGCGGCCTTCTCACGGTACTTGGGTGTTGCTAGGAGATCGGCCGCCTTCAGCAGGAAGTCGCGCCTGACACCAAGTGGGGAGTGTTCCCAGGTTCTGAAGGCGTCTGCAGCTGCATCGACTGCCCTTCTGCAATCCTCGCTGGACGCAGAGGCTGCTCGCGTGACAAGCTTCCCTGAGAACGGGTTGCAGACATCGAAGCTTGCCTGAGAGCTCGCGGGGCATTCGCTCCCGTTGATATAGAGGGACGTGAACGGAACGGACATGACGGGCTAGATGGGGCCATGCCCTCATTGCGCGCATCTTATATGAACCTACCCTGGTCTCGGGAACGATTACGGCGCTGGCCCTTTCGCTTTCTCAGGAACGCAGAAACTCTTTCCGATAGGCAGCGCAATTGATGGAACTCTGGGCCGTGCGCGTATCGCCTACTTAAGGTCCGCGTAAGCCAGTCTAGTTGCCGTCATTTGACAGTTGAGATATGCCACGCACGGCTTGCCTTAGACGCGAGAGCATCCGAATGACCGTAGGTACGTCTATGCACTTTTTTGCGACTAGCCCTGCTAGTCCCGCCCGCTAATGGTGATGTGCACACCTTCGAAATGGAGCGAGGCGCTCCGCGGCGGTCTGTTTCACGCCAAGAAGCCATTTACACGCATAGAGTTTCCCATAGTGTGCATGGGTCGCCGGGACTGCCATTTGGTAACTCTGTAACTCGCTACCAGTGGTGAAATTTCGAATCCTTATGAGACTTGGAGCTGGCGATCCGCGTCTATGACAGCTGGTTATCTCCATAGGAACTGAGCTCCCTTGACAATTGATTTTGTCATACAGGTGCACGGCGTTGTCAAATAATGCCAGCATGATGAAATTGCGCTGAAGGCGCTACTTCAGCCCGACGTGTCGCCGTAATGCTGACCTCGATATCCACGAGGATATTTCAACTGAGACCGACCTCTTGCCCCGAGTGTTGCTGTCTGGGTCAATTGGTGGGGTTCCCATCACAAGACGAGCCTTCGTCCTTGCACAAGCATTTTGATCTCCGAAACGCGTCGTTACATCTTGAATGTCGCGTCGCCTACACCACAGGCTAGCGCTTTCGGACACTCCGGGTACTGTACTTTTTGAGATGATACCTATTAACAGTCGGCAGACCCCATGTCGGTAGGCGTGACCTGCCGCCAATCAAAGAGTCAAAGAGCAGTACTTCTTCGAGATATCCGCAGTCCAATCAATGGTTTTAGCTCTTGGGCCAATCAGGAAGGGGTGCCGACTTTGGGACTGCCCGGTAAGGCACGTTCATTCGCCTGCGACGCTGCCGTGGCCTCGACTGCTGGCTTTCCACAAGGATCACATGGTTACTTAGCCATCATCTAGAGGTCCTGACATAAACTGCATATTATCGTGATCGGGTTGCTTGATTGCAACAAGGAGAGGCTGCCACACACATTCAACATATACCCGAACAGTGCCATCTTGCCCCCGACATGAGTGTGGCTGACAACCTCGCCGAGCGGAACGCATGCATCATCAAGCGCTCAAAAATGGGCGTCGGCACGTCCCTAGAAATCACGTCCGCCCTGGTCAACCGTCATGCCACTCAGCTGAACTGCAATGAGCATTCCTGTTACACATTAGAGCTGTGGCTGAACTAGAACAATTGACGTGACACGGTCATAAGGCCTGAACAATATAGTATTGTGAGGGTCGGATGCATTCACTGAGCAGATGTCATTCATGTGAGATTTGAATAAGCAAGACACGAGTCCAGACATGGGCAAAGGGTGCACATTTCCTAGACGTAGCATATTTCCGTGAGTATAATACATCAATCGGTACTTCTTTTTATACACTGCAAGCACGCCTTACGACCATGGTGAGCGTGGGCGAGGCTGAAGCTCGCCATCGACCCAAACATCGACCTTTTCGTCGTAGAACGCGACGAAACCCTTGATATCAACGCATTCGGGTTGTGGGACGCGGTACCACCACACAATGTTCTCAAAAGTCTCCCCACTAGAAATGGAAACGTTATAGTAATTTGCAACACCCTGTTGCGACCACGCTATCAGCGACTAAAATGACTAAGGGCACACGTTAGGCGCAAACCTTGTATGGGCATTCTGTCGTCAGCTGCGAAGGCTTGAGCAGGTCCACCCTACAGTCAGTCTTTGGAATATAGGTTCTGACCGGGAGTCCGGTCTCGAAGAGCAGTCGAGGCTTCGTAGTGTTTGCCAATTCAACGCCATTGACTTCGACGCGAACATGACGAGATGATTGAAGAACATCAACTCGCTGAGATCGATGCTTAATGGTGCCTGCAGAGTAAGTACGCAAACAAGCGGACCTTGTATGGATCCTTCGGATGCACGAACACCTGTTCATCCTCCTCGAACCAGGCATCCATGGAGCTGAAGGAGATCGTGATCAATCCTTTCAGATCACCGTCGAGGTATTCCGTTGCGGCGGCCTCTGCCTTGCGGCTGCCCACAACTATATCGTATTGCTGTAGTTCACCCGATATAGATGCCCGGGAAAGATATTTCTGCGGAACATCCGCAGAGTCAAAGAAAAAGGTGGGGTAATTGGGCTTCAGCCACCTTTCCCGTCAAGCCGATCAACTATCTGCTTTCGTGCGGCCTGCCATAGGCATCTTACTCACACAAGTTTTGCTTTCTTCGTGTCGACAATATATTGTCCTGCAAACAAAACACGGACGCGCCTCGGCAAAGTCTCGATATGAGGCTGGGTGAAGGGAGGTGCCATGATAGCAGCTGAGTGAGCTCGCAATCAGGAAGACGCTCATCGCCTTGGCCACTTTAAGCGAAATGGTCACGTGAGTTCTGTTAACGCGTCACAGCTGATTCTCAGCGACCGCCATCTGTGGCGACTTACATTGTCCTCTGCTTTGCCACATTGCAGTGATATTGTGCTGTTCTCTTCCCAGTGCGCAGCTAGCTTCAACGTCCCACCGCAATGGACCCGTCGTCTCATCACGATGATATTGTACAAGATAGCGAGGATGAAGGTTTGATGGGTCTGGAATTGGATCTAAACCCAATGTCCTCAGGCCATACAAGCGCGCACCAAAGCAGCGACAGAGGTCCGTTAGCCTGCATTAGCTATTTACTGGCTTCTTTGTTGATCTGTTGGCTCAGTCGCGACGTCATCGATCCAGACCACCTCCACGACAAGATTACCTGTGGCAGCACTTCCCGTTGTGCCGACTGATGTATCTTCGTCTACATTCAACACAAACACTGCTGTATCTTCCATTTACTCAGGCTCTACTATCCCGAAATCCTCTACCAGCAGTCGCCCCCGACCCAGGCCCGCATATAAGGGCGCCAAGGCTCAGGCGACCATCGTCGGTACTACTGTGGCCTCGACGTCTACCGCTACGCCGTCATCTGAGATCCAGACCTCAAGCTCTGCTTCTAACGTCCCGAGAAATTTGCCCTCATCTATACCTTTGGCGACCACCGACACTATTGTGGAGTCATTCTCGATTTACGACAAGGCCAAGAGCGACATTACCCCAAACGACAATATAGAACTATATACCCAGGACATGAACATCGCAGAGCGCGCAAAACTCCGTTCTCGCTCACGCACTACTAAGTCACAGGCACAGCAGCGCGCATATAGCCCGACAGACGACGTGATTAATATACCATCCTCCGACTCTGAGATGAACTTACGTCCCCCCGTCCGGAAGAGCAAAGCCCGACCCAAGCCACTAGCCCCACAGAAGCCCTCGCCCTCTACGATGAATCGTACGAAGACGTCACATATGCAGGCAGAAGAGTCGGATCCGATCATGTTGTCTGTGCCAGTTGCAGAGACTAGCATTGATCTCAGCTCCTCCCTTCCTCCTTCCTCCCTTCCACCTCCCTCATCAATCAATGGGCTCTCTTCGATTTCTACCGACGCAGACAACGTGCTTGACGGCGCGATCTCGCCGCTGTCCTCCTCCCCGCTACCCGCGCCGCGTAAGAGGAAGAGAAAGATGCTGACCTTTGATGAAGAGGATGGCGTGGATTCCCGAGCAAGCGAACGGAGTGGTGCAGGCGATACGTTCATAGAAGCTACAGGTCCTGCTCCGTTCTTCGCTGGGTCCTCGCCGGATGCGCCGACGTCAGACACTTTGGTCGGGTCGTCCTCGATGGCCAGCAATGCCAACGGAAAGGTGAAGGGCGCTACCAAAGCTCAAGGTAATGAAGGGGGCGTCCGCGATGTTGATGATGAGGAAGGGGGAAAGGAGCCCGCGCCCAAATCCAAGCCCAAGGGCAAGCAGCGGAAGAAGAAGGGGGATGACGACGATGAAGAATGGGGTGCTGACGATGCGCCGAAGGCTTCACGCAGGGGGCGGAAGAAGGGCAACAGCGACGACGACGAAGATTGGTCCGCCAAGCCTAAGAAGAAAGCACCACCAAGGAAGAAGGCTACGAGCAAGAAGGACGTGGCAGCACATCAGGTGTCCGTCGTGATCGATCGACCGAAGACAGGAAGGGGTGCGAAGGCGAAAGGTGGTACGAAGGGACCAAAGCCCCCAACAAGCAAAGAGTTCGTCGAGGATTCCGAAGGCGAGAACGACCGTATCTTGATGCCTCCGCCCGATGCCATTCCATCACATTCAGCCACAACGCCAGTACCATCGTCCCTCACCTTCGAAGATGACGAGCTGCTCCTGGTGCCTCAACTTGACAAGCCTGGGGCGACCACGTCATCGAAGCGTAAGGACAGCAGCAGCACATCTGCGCCTTCTGGTGAACCACCAAATCCATTCGAAAATGACCAGGGAGAGGCGGATGGGGAGCCCTCGCTGCCCAGCTCGAAGAGTAGAGGGAAGAAAAGGGCCGTGGTTGATTCAGACGAAGAGGAAGAACTTGTATCTAAATCTGGGTCTCCTCCAAAGAAAGCACGGACTGCGAGAAGACCAAGGAAGTCAGCACCAGCAGCACTTGGATTGCAGGATGAAGGAGATGCGGATGAGGGAGACCAAGGGAGTAAGACTAAGGTATGCAACCTTTTCGCGTAATTCGTGTCAGTTCTCTTACACCCGCCGTTGACAGGAGAATGCCAACCACCCGCTTGCGGAGAGTCAGCCAGCTCCACTCACCACTCCCAAAACCCCACTTCCTGCTTCAGCGTCGAGGATCTCGAACTCGAATCGTGCATACTCGATATCCTCCAAGAAATCGACACCAATGTCCGAGCTCATACGGAAGGTCAACTCCTTACCCGGATCCCCCTTTGCGTCACCCAGACCTACATATTCGCCCTACACCAAGAGCTCCAAGAATCTTCTGAAACGTATCGCGCCGTTGCATCCTAACAGACGCACGCCGCCCCCGCCTCCTCCCAGGCTGCCTCCGCCAAAGAAGAGCAAGAAGCAGCTCGAGCTGGAAGAGAAGTGGGAGATGGAACTTGAAGAGACTGTGGACGGTTGGTATTGCCTTCCGGAAGAGGAGAGAGCGGCACTACGGAAGGCCAAGAGAAATGCGGAGATGGGCTTTGAAGATTGAAGTCGGCACAGGACTTTCGGCAAATCGGAGAGTTTTGTTTCCAGTCATTGTTGTACTTCGGACTTCACTTTCTTATACCTATTTATTTTGTGTGCAGTTGTACTTGTATTTACTTCCGGCTAAGCACGCCAAACATTTCTATCAACGATCGCATACCAACTCCCGATAGATCTGGTGTGCCCGATCCGCATGCGCTCGCACAGCCGTCTGCTCTCAAACCGCTCTAAGCACCTGCAGCTTTTTCTATCATCTTGCTTTCGACTACAACTACTGCTTGTTTATTATAATTATTCTTAGTCGTCATGTCGGTCATCCACCCGCAGCTGCATAGCACCCTCGACAGCCTGAAGTTCCAGCTCAAGGACGCATTCTGGGCGCTCTCATCATGCATATGCCAGCAGTCGGCGAAAGTCAAGATCAATGGTCGTACTTGTCAGTGTCGTTATCCCTGAGTGCATTGGTCCTGTCTTACAGTCAACAACCATGGTGCTGTAATGGTTTCGCAGTCAAAATCGTCCGTGTGCTCGGAGAAGGAGGGTTCTCGTTCGTCTACCTTGCGGAGGATGAAACCAGCGGGGTAGGTCCCCGACTTTAGCTCTTCGACCATGCGGGTTTAGCATGCCTTGTGCCCTACTTTTAGAGGCAATTTGCCCTGAAGAAAATCCGATGTCCAGGCGGGCAGGAGGATGTGCGGCAGGCTATGCGTGAGGTTGAGGCATATCGTCGGTTCAAGTGCGTGACTGTATTTCACGCATGCGCGTCCTCTGACCTGCCTCTTGTTAAGACACCCAAATATTATTCGCATTTTGGTGTGTTCTTTCAATGTATTCATACCGGCAGTCGTTAACACCACGCAAGGACTCCGCAGTCGTGCAAGACCCAAACGGCGACGGGCAAGTTGTCTACCTCTTCCTACCCCTCTACAAGGTATGCTTATGTCTCTTTATACGTGGATCTCATCTTCAAGGTTGTTCCTAGCGTGGTAACCTCCAAGATGCTATCAACGGCAACTCAATCAACGGTACGCACTTCTCGGAACAGGAAATGCTCCGGCTCTTCAAGGGCACCTGTGAGGCCATCCGCGCAATGCATGACTATCACGCCCCTACTGGGACACCCTCGGATCCGTTCCCCTCGCGCGAGAACCAGTCCAGTGCAGCAGCTCGCGACCGCGCACAGCGAGCGCCAAGTCGGCGGCAGTCGCTGGACGATGAATATAGCGAGAACACGCACGGGTCATCGGTACCACTCATGTCGAGTCATCGTCCGACGGAGTCGAGGGAGCAGATTTTTGATGGCGACGAAGAGCTGGCGCAGATACAGCAGGAGGGGACGTCACAGAACGGGGAGGCCGGACAGACAGAAATCGTGCCATATGCTCACCGGGATCTCAAACCCGGGTAAGAACGCCAACTGCCTATGATATTTAATTTTACTAACGGAGCAAATAGGAATGTTATGATCGCGGACGACGGTTCACCGATTTTAATGGACTTTGGGAGCACCACGAAGGCTCGCATCAAGATTGAGAACCGTTCGCAAGCTCTGCTGCAACAGGTTAGTCGAGCTTACCAGGGCACGAAACATGTTTTCACGCAGGCTGTAGGATATTGCTGCAGAGCAGTGCACGATGGCCTACCGCGCACCGGAGCTCTTCGACGTGAAGACTGGCGTCACACTAGACGAGAAAGTAGACATTTGGGTAAGTCAATGGCTTCCAGTGTCTATCACTCATAATTCTGACCGCCTTGGAACAGTCACTTGGATGCACGCTGTTCGCACTTGCGTACTCACATTCGCCATTCGAGAATATGCAGACTACCGAGCAAGGTGGTTCAATAGCGATGGCAGTGATGAATGCACAATACAAGCATCCAGACTCGGCTTATTCGCAGGGCCTCAAGAGCCTCATCGACAGCATGTTGAAGGTCAACCCGAAAGACCGACCGGATATCCACCAGGTCGGTCATCGTCGGTTTAGACTTACATTCTTGAGCTGACGCGCCGTGGTTACAGGTAATCCAGACGACGGATCGCGTTATGCAGAGCTTGAGATAGCTTGTGAAGAAGTGGACGTAGTGCTCTACTTGCTCATGTTATCTGGGTATTTATTCGCTATGCGTGCGGACTGGACATACATACCACTACCGTTGTGTACGGTACGATTCATGAGCTCTGCTGCTTCCTCGGACGCTTTCGCGCTTTGGTCTGAGCTTCTCGCCGTTTTCTTGACTCCTCGACCAAGTTCTTGAGTTTGGCAGGCTTGGCGGTCTTGACAGATGTATCCGGCTTCGGAGTATCCGCCAGCGTTGCGCTTTTTGCAGGTGCGGCAGAGGCTGCCGTATCCTTGTCGCTGCGTTTTTGTCGCGTACTTCGGCTGAGCTTCGCAGGTCCATCAGCTTGTGTTGTTTCCGCCATCTCCGCACTTTTCAATCGCTGCGCGAGTTTTGATTTGCGTGCAGGAATCTCTGAGGGTGAAGCGTCCTTCACGCTGTCCCCGTCGTCTCTCTTGCGCTTCTTCTGAGGTTCAGCTGTTGATGGCTCGGAGACGGGTGTGGATTCCGCTTTCGCAGTGGCTTTTTCCTGTTTGCGTGCTATCCCCTTCGCCTTCAGCTCCTTCTGCTTTTGCCGTTTTGATTTGACGGAAGCCTGTTTCTTTTGCTGCATGGTCTGTTAGAAGGAGGTTCAAGACACACATCCAAAGATACTTACGCGCTTCATAGCACGTTTTGAAAGCTTGTCGGTATTTTGTTTTTCAGGCCCTGCCGAAATCTCCTTGAGGATATCTCGCACGTCGGTGTCTAGACTCCTCTCGCCCGCGGCCTGCCTGAACTTCTTGTACCGGCGTACGTGTGCCTACAACTGTTGAAAATGTATTGTAAACCCTGAAACCATATGAACATACATTGGACGATCTGTGAACTTCCTCCATCGTCGGATTTTTGAGGAGTCTTCCCGGACATGACACGCACGCCTTGATTTCGGGCTCGAGCGAGATGGTGTACAATGGGTCTTTCAGAGCCTCGGTGAGTGATACCGGAGGCTCGTCAGCATCCGACTCATCGACCTCATCTTCGACCTCGTCCTCCTCATCACTCTCGCCTGCAGCCAAGTGCTCCTCCCCTCCCTCCTCTTCATTAGGATCCTCCGGGTCAGAGTCGTCGGTGTCCGAGTCCGAACTCAAGAAGTCGTCCGAGCCGCTATCGTCTTGGAGACCCAAAGCCGCCTTGGTGTCCGCATCCAGGCCCAGCTCTTCGTCTTTCTGCTGTTTCTGCAGACGTTTATTGACTCGTTTGAACATTGTAGACTGTCGGAATACAAGATGTATCGCCGAGGAGATAATCGGCGGCGTTGTGAAAGTGATACACGCTTACGGGGTGGACAGCAATGCGTAAAACTGTGATAGACGCCGAAGGATCAATGGATCGAGCGATCGAAGCCGCCGGTTCCATGCATCTGTGCTGATGCCATATCGTTCGACTTACCCCCGACAATATTTGTGCGCATTGCGCAAATGGAATTCGGACTTAACGGTTGGGAACATGTCCCGGCCCGACTGACTGCGGTCACAAAGGCCGTTGTTTCCAGACCCGCACTTTCCCGCTAGAAGTCCGCTTGTGCGGCGCACATCAAGTTCAAAAGGTCTATTCTGAAAGGTCTATTCACACGAACCGGATTAGCGACCTCAGTCATTGTCATTCCCCTAGGGTCATATGCATTCGCACCATGTGATAGCGTTCAGTCGGCCTGATGCTGACCTGCCCAAGATACGTTTTGCAGACGATTGTGTACATCGCCGAGGGCAGAATTTAGAACTGTGAGTACATTGTACGAGATTATTCAAGCTAGTGCGGATACCGTGACAAGAGCATGTATACGTTTACATCATGTGCAACTGATCATCATGCAATGATGCGATTCAGTTCGTGTCCGAGAAATCTACCGCATTCCGCGCCCTAATAGTTCTAACGCAACTTTCAATTAAGCCCGACATATCAGCACCCCAGGGCTATGGAGGCGAAGCCAATTTCTCATGCCGATTCGGCGTTGTGCCCGGTAAGTGACTTTGTCGAGGCGACTGACCCCGTCTGATAGAACCTTATCAACACTTCAATATTCGTCACTATCCGTCACGTTCAAGTGCGTAGCTCTAAGAACCCTTGGCACACTATCAAATTGCCATATCTGATCTTGCAGCGAGCCCGCACGATTCGCAATTGACTAAAACTGAACTTGTTGACTCTGTCCCATCTTCGCCGATCTTCCCGACTCAGTGGACTCTTGTAATTACCTGGGGCTTTACAGAATACTGCTGTCAGAATCGCAATCCGCTGCCGATGGCAACGGCTTTAAGAAGTGGGTGATCTCACTTCCATGATCCATGTCTTTGTCGATTCTCACAGCGTCCCGACAGTGGTCAGATGACGTCACATCTTCGTTCGAGGCGAGATGGTGTTTATAGTATAAAAGCTGCTACCTATGTTTTGCGATCCCAGACAACCGAATCCACAATGTCGACCCGCCGTTTGATTCCGCCGCCGCCGAAGACGCATGCCCTCTCCAGCACTACCTTCCGTCCTCCTCCGCTGGATGGCTCTCTTTCAGTCCCCGAGATGTGGGACTGGCATGCAGAGCATTCTGCGAACCATCCTCTCTTCAGATACGCTAAAGATGATGGTAGCGTACGCACCATCCCCTGGGGTGAAGTCGTCGGAGCTGCCCTCAGAGCAGCCAAAGTAATTCAGACCCGCGTGCGGGCTGAGCCTGGCGCAGTGGTAGCCATCTTTGCGACTTCCGGTATCGAGCAATCCTTGTGCCGCTGCATAATATGCACTGACCTGTTCGCCTGCAGAGTCCATCGGGTATGCGACCACTCTTCTGGGTATCATGCGTGCCAATTACGTTGCCTTCCCCATCTCTGTCCGCAACTCCCCCGCTGCCGTGGCGCACCTCATCGGCAAAGTGGGAGCTAAGCACCTTCTGGTTAGCGGCGAACAGGCTATTCGCGACCTCGTTCGGGACGCCTTGGATATCCTGAAGTCGCAGGATGCGGCTTCTGTGCCGGAGACTTCGCCTATGCTTGTTTTCGAGGAGCTCTACTCTTCGGCCAACGACATTGTCACCAGCAAGGATGTCCCTTACGTTTTCAGAGGACCCGATGCAATCGGAGTCATCCTGCACTCATCCGGTGAGTGGCATGGACAGCTATCGTCCACGCTAAGTTAACGTGCGCCGCTTAGGCTCGACGGCGTTCCCGAAGCCGATTTACTGGACACAACACCGCTTCGTTGAACTGGCCCGCGCCGTCTGGTACTCCGAAAATGATCTGACTGGCAGGGTGTTCTCGTTGCATCCGCTCCCAATGTTCCATGGTATGGGTTTCATGAATATGATGTGGGCAGTGAGTACACGATCTTCTGTGCTTTCATTCTTGCCGCTCATGGTGCACGACTATCAAGGGTTCGTGTGGGACGGTGCTGGCAGTCTTTGCGCCATCTTTCCCACCTCGTGTGCCGACTCCCGATAACGTAATCCACGCCGCTCAGACCATCGATTGCGACACCATACTCGTTGTTCCGTCCTTCGTCGAGGTGAGCTGCTTGTTTGGTGACAGTCACACCGATGAACTCGTATGAATGTTGCAGACGTGGGCACGCAATCCTGAGTATGTCAAATGGCTTGCTACCCGCAGAAGCGTGGTAAGGGTGTCTCTGACGTTATATATCATCATCTCTATGTTAATGTGCCAATGTAGTCCTATGCAGGCGGTCCCCTTAGTAAAGATTGTGGAGATTACTTGGTCTCTCAAGGGGTCCGCGTTGGCAATGGCTATGGAACGTGAGTACTTACTTGTGCAGTGCATCGGAAACCGCTCAACATGCAATGGCCGGCACGTGCAGCACTGAGGTTGGTCCCGTTTGCGACATCTATACCTGTAAGTTATTTTCTGTTTGCCGAAAGCACTGGCTGGAAGTCACATCTGGTATACAGCTGAACCGATCCCGGACTGGGAATACTTCAAACTCCACTCGGCGATATCTATCAAAGCATTACCCATGGGCGACAATACCTTCGAACTTGTCGTTTTGGTACGTCGGCATGATTATTAGAGGTACATAACGACAGTCTGACGTATTTCCAATTTTGCATCAAATCAGGCAAACGAAAATAGTACACCCAGCGTGATCAACACGAAGGTAGATGGTGTGGATGGATATGCAACATCGGATCTCATCGCGGCGCACCCCACATTGGCCGGTTACTGGAAAATCCTGGGTCGCACAGACGATCAGATCATGCACAGCACAGGAGAGAAGGTGCGTCGATCCCTCCGTTTGTTCAGTCCATGGCTCAGTTCCCTGTGTGCAGACCAATCCTGGACCGCTGGGTACGCCGTATCTCAAGACTGATCCGCAGATCTAACTCGTACTGATTTTTTGCACAGAGAACATTCTTAAGCAGGACCCTCTGGTATCGGATTGCTTGATGTTTGGTCGCGGCCGATTCCAGGCTGGCATCCTTGTGGAGCCCAAAAAGGAATTCGCTTTCGATGCCTCTGACAAAGTCCTCCTTGCGGAATTCAGGAACAAGATTTGGTGCGCGTGTCCGAGCTGTGAGCTTGTATCAGTACTGATTTTGCGCATAGGCCGTCAGTTGAGAAGTTAAACGCATACGCTCCGCAGCATTCCAGATTGTTTAAGGAGGTGGGTTCGCGCTTACGCAGCGTTTGCCTCTGACTCAACGTGGGACTTCCCTCAGATGATACTAGTAGCAAGGCCCTCCAAGCCCTTCACTTACACTGCGAAAGGCTCGGTTCGCCGCGGAGCTATCATCAAGGAATACGAGGACGAGATCGATGCTCAGTATGACGCCGTAGAAGAAAGCGCTCAATCCAATATCCAGCCGCCGGACCATTGGGATCAGCAAACGGCCCTTGTATTCACACGCTCTGTGGTCGAGAAAGTGTTCACCGTCCCTGTCGACGATGATGGCGACATTTTCGAGCACGGATGTGACAGGTGAGTATCCGGCTCTCTACCTAGGTAACTCGCGACTTCATATTGCCTTCAGTTTGCAGGCAACCTGGATCCGCAACACGATTCTTCGCGCTATACGTGACTCTACCAAGACGAACACGCGCAATGTCAGCAGCGGGTTTATCTACGAGTACCCTACCATCTCGAAGCTCGCGTCTTTCGTTTTGACGTTGGCATCCGGGACTGTGAACGGTACGACCGTCGATCCCGCAACGATCGTTCAAGGTATGCGTGCGATGGTGGCGAAGTACAGCAAGGACTTCCCCGTACACAAAGGAGGAGTCAAGAGCACCGGCAAAGTAGTTCTTCTCACGGGAACGACTGGAGGTCTCGGCTGCTATGGGCTGCAGGCCCTCGTCGCTGACCCCACCGTCTCCCGCGTCTATGCTTTCAACAGACCAGCGCGGAGCGGTGAGTCCTTGCGTGAAAGGCAGAGGGCCACTCTAGTGGACCGAGGGCTTGACCCGTCTTTCCTGGAGTCGAAGAAGCTCGTCTTGCTCGAAGGCGATCTCTCTGCACCCGCGTTCGGGTTGTCCCGCGATGTGTACCAAGAGGTGAGTGGCGAAGACATCTTTGCTTACAGGGCTATCCTGATTAGCTGGGCAGCTCGGCCGATCCGTTACGCATATTATCCATAATGGTATTTTCTCCGTTGTTTCTGCTGTTGGCCCCTCCTCATCCGACTGGCTACAGCGTGGCGTGTGGACTTCAAAATCTCACTCGCGTCTTTCGAGTCGAACGTATACGGAGTACGCGCTCTCGTCAACCTCGCCCTAGAATCTCCTCTATCTCCGCCCCCCAAGCTTCTCTTCACGAGTTCCATCGGTGTCGTGCAGAGTTAGTCATTTTTTTCTCGTCATCGCCGTCCCTCCCCGCGGAACTAATCCGTTTCCGTAGATAGCCAGGACGATAGGACTGTCAGCGAGAAGCCCGTAGATGCCATACTCGCCATCGGCAATGGGTATACGCAGTCCAAATGGGTATCTGAAGAAATACTGTACAGTGCCAGAGCCCAGACTGCGCTCAAGCCAGTCGTCATACGAGTAGGGCAGCTATGCGGAAGTCTCGATGGGTCGTGGAACGCGCACGAGTGGTTCCCCTCCATTGTACAGAGTACACCAAAGCTTGGGTGCTTCCCAGACGACGACCAGGTATGTCCCATTTTGTACTGTGCGCGTCTAACAGGTGTTGAGAACCTTTGCAGAAAGCTGCCTGGATACCACTCGACATCTCTGCGAAGGCGCTGGTGGATTTCCTTTCGGCTCCTGACTCCATCGACACGGTGCATCTGGTCCACCCGCGACCTGTTTCGTGGCACTCGCTTGCCGTGGTCGCAGCGCAGGAGTTCTCCGTGCCGCTCGTCTCATTCAAAGAATGGGTGGCTAAATTGGAGCAGTACGCCGAGGCCATAGTGAAGGAGGATGACACCGGACTTGATTCTCGCCACACTTCGCAAAGCATCCATGCCATAGAGCTGATTCCGTCGTATAAGGCGATGGCGCAGAATTCGTCGGGCAGCGGACATGCGGCGGGTTTGCCAGATCTCTCGGTGGAGAAGACTAGCATTGCATCGCCTACCTTGGCGGATCCCTCATTGCCTCAGCTCAGTCCCGCCCATGTTAAAAGTTGGATTGCGTACTGGCGCAGGGTGGGGCTGTTCGCGTGAACGGTGCCTGCCAATGAGGCCGCCAGACGTCAATGTTGTATACTATGAAGAAGGATGACGGTCGTATACCACTCTAACATGTATGGACACTTGTTGCTAGTCAGCGGAGGATTGTTTTAGAGTCGCGTCAATATCAATGCAAGGCGTGTGGTGCGCATTCGTCTGTATTGTTCGCGCAACCTCGCACATTGAGAATATCCTTTTGGCTTTTGGGTGAGTCGGGCAAGCGTAGCCGCCCGTCCGAGTCCTGAATGCGCCGGTTTGGAAATGTACTTATGTGAGCGTCGCGCGCCGTAGGTAGCTCCATCTGTTTGTCAACCTAATCACCCATTGATCCCTGTCCATCGAGGACGTTCTCTGCCGGTGGCTTTTCTGGCATCGTTCTCGCATATCCTGTACTTTTCAATCATTGAGTCCCAATAAATTTGCTTGCTCTTGGTTGGCCCCAAGCTTGGTACCTTGCTGTGGTTTATTGGTTCCGACAAGCCGTCGGGGATCTTCCGTAGAGGCCAAAACGAAGTGGTGGCTACACTTATTCAACTATACCCCTCAACGGCTTGTATGCTGCTTTTGTATGCTAGCAAACGACCATCAGAATATTTCCACAGATATTCGAACAGAGCAACGGCATGTACAACACGCATATACTGTACTAAGCTTTTGCCAGATTGTGTGCGCAGACAAACCTACTATGGACCAGATGTCTCCCAAAATGGGTAATGTCAAATATATGATCGAGCGCCCGGCATTCTGGTTTGCAAGCGCCTCACTTTTAAGAGTTGGGTGTCACCTATTGCTATCGACCGTCGCCGCATTTCTTGCATATCCAATTAGTTCTCCTCTCCATCTCCTTGGATATTTCGCGCTTTCCTCCGGGAATATTTACACTACACGGCTGCGCACGGCATCCGGGTCTGCTGTCTCTGATTCTCTCATGCATCGTCGAGGCATCTCTTGTGTGGCTGAGATCAGCTCAACAGCAGGTACCCGACGATGTGCGTCAACTTCTTCAAACCCACGCCCACCTTTTCGCTTGCCCAAGAAGACTTATGACCGGATTGAATCCACCACCAAGTTGCTTGCGGTCGCCGCGGCGAAGGGAGAGGCAAGACGTTCAAAATACAAGAAGCCGTACAGTGGAGAAACGTCTCACACCGTCGATTCCAAGAAGCCCTATCAGCAATCCACCATTTTACCATCCTCGGAAAGGGTTGCCTTTTATGCAGAGCCGGAGGAACAGGGGGATCTGCTGTCGGATTTGTCACAGCTAGATGTTCAAAAGAGGGAGAGGCTGCCGACTGGTGCATTCGTAGAACTCCGGAGGTGCGTCCGCTCGCCTGCTATGCGTCCGCTTAGTCTTGACTATTATTTATAGGAGCGCAATCACGGTACATGGTGTCATTATATGGCAAAAACCTACAGAGAAAGGGTGGCTGATGCACGTCCTCGTGCGATCCGGAGAAGTCTGGCTGGTTCGCGAGAGCGATGTCATGTTTGTGGTCCCTGACTTCGTCCAACCTGATCTCATCGCGCAGTGTGGACCCGAGAATGTGGATGCCAAGTCCCACGAGCTTGCTGCTCGCGTTCACATCCTCAAAAAACTACGGAACTTTGACCTATCGCTCGAGCGTCAGTCTCCCGAGTATTGGCAGAAGCTCAACAAGCTGTATACTCAATTCAAGTCGTCGGATCCCACGCAGTGGGCGTCTGTCACTACAAACCAGGTGTCCCAGCTATTAAATCCCGAAGCAAAAACTGCTCCCGTTGCCACCCAGCTCGTCGTGCATGATTACATGTTCGACAAGAGCAAGTACTTTGAAGCGGACCAGACACATTTTCTGACGACGAGGACTTTTTGGGTGCGGCCGCAGCAACATGTGCAAGACATCGAGGCCGTAGACAGGATGATTTCACAAAGAGATCCCGTTCTAGACGCTTTCATCGAGAAGGCACGAGTCGTCATCACTGCTGCACGGCAACGAGAAGCCGGGACGCAAAATGGTCATCCCACCTTCAAGGAGGACCCTCAGCACGGCTTCACCGCAGAGGACTTGGTCATCATTCGATGGTTTTCCGACTCGTTGGTCCCACGCCGGACATTTCAGGTTGACCCGTATACTGTGTCGCAATCATATATCATCAAGAAGCTAGGCTTGTATATGGACAAGGAGGTCAACGATTCCACGATTCACGAGTTCCTCTTCGAACTTGGTGTTCTTCCACCATGGGAAGACAGGATCACTCGGCACTCTTCTCTGGCACGCAAGAGTCAGAGTCGAACGCTGACACTGGATGTTGTGGACGATTCATCGTCGCCTCGCAGTTTAACACGATCTACAGCCGGTCAACCTCTGGGTCCCGAAGACTTCTACTCGCAGGATGCAGTCGACTCGTTGCGGCATGATTTTGGCAATATGCCCGTCTATGTCATTGATGATGTCGACGCGGAAGAGCTCGATGACGGTATCTCCGTCGAATCCATACCTTCGGAACCAGGAAACCACTGGCTTCATGTCCATATTGCGGATCCAACGTCAATACTCCCCCCCACTCATGTATTCGCCCATCGTGCGTTCGAGCAGATGGAGACGGAGTATCTTGCCGATCGCTCGTACCCTATGTTGTCAGGGGGGATGCTGGACAAGATCAGTTTGGGGTCATGTGAAGGCCAGCCCCAGCGCGTTGTGAGCTTCAGCGCGAAGGTCGACCCGGAAGGCAATATTATCGACTACAAGGTCCGTCCTGGCATCGTCCGCAACGTGCATATTTTCCAGTACGACGCAGTCAATGATGCCATGGGCTGGAGTTATTACCCCTACAAAAGGCCGTTCGGGGGAGAAGCACCTACCGTTCGTCCTCGCCAGTCTCTTCACCTCACACCATCGGTTCGGGATGACCTACACAAGCTTGAAATCGTGCAGGAGGCACTTACCCGCGGCCGCCTACGCAACGGCATGCTCACGTTCGGAATGCCCTCTGCGCAACTCAGTCTTAACCCAAAGCCACTTCCAACGGTACCGCCACTCGGCGTGGCGCCACGCATCTGGTCAGGGTTCCCGTCGGTTAATTATGCAGTGCAAGAAGTTCGCACATTCGAGTATGGCGCGCGCTTCGTCGTCGCCGAAAGCATGACTACGGCGGGGCGCGTAGCATCGCGCTTCTTCCGTGACCGCGGGCTCCCCGCCTTGCGACGCACCTCGCTGCCGCCGACGCCGCGCTACGAGGGCGCGTACGATGAGGTCATGGCCGCACGCGACCCACATGGTTCCGTGGACTCGTTCAGCCCGCTGCGATTCGCGTTGATTTTCAACCCGGCGGAGTACTCGATTGAGCCGGGGACGCACAGTGTGCTGGGCATTCCCGAGGGCGAGGGCTACATGCGCATAACGTCGCCGCTGCGGCGCTTCCCGGACCTGCTCGCGCACTGGCAGATCAAGCACGCGCTGCTACACCCGGGCGATCGCGCGAGCCCCCCGTTCTCGAACGAGTGGCTGCTTGCGTTCGCGCGGGAACTTGTGCTGCACGAGGAGCGCAACAAGCGGCTGGTGAGGGCGCAGCATGCGTACTGGGCGCACCAGTTCATCCGCCGCTGGATGGCTGCGCGACAGAGGGGAGAACCTGCGGACGGGTCAGACCCGCTGGATAACCTAGTCGCGTGGGCGTTTGCGCCCGCGGTGCGCAACGCGCGCGAGCAGTACTGGCAGCAGTTGGTGATGCTGCCCGGCTTGGGGCTAAAAGGGATGCTGGTAGGTCTGAAAGAGGAGAAGGCACAGTTCCCCATTCCTGGCGTGGTAGACGTCAAAATAGAGAGGGTGGTGGTGGGATTGAGGCCTTCGGTCATAGTTACGCAGCGATAATAGGGTTTCGTATATGCACTGTATTTTATTTCTGTCGACTAATTTGAACCCCACTGCTCATCTTACCGCACTCGATGTTCGCGGCGCGTCGAGGTGTCCGCGTGGAGGCTGCCACGCCAGCACGTCATGAAATAGTTTTCTATGTTCTATATTGTCTCAAAGGTAAACATAATACTGCAGATACTACACTCAAGTTTTGACCGGGAAACGGTGCGAAGTCTATCTGAAGGATGATTCCAGTATCTGCCCCTTGCTCGGAGGCGTCGAGATACTGTTGGTCTTGCGAGCGAGGCAATCTACTGCATTTACACTTATTCAATCTCTGAATTCATTTGCCTCAGGAACAAATGTTAGAAAATAGGAAGTTACAGCGCTTTCCGAAAACCTTGGGTTGCGCCTTTTTTCTTTTTTTTAACACATCCAGACGCGGAGACATCCGAGATTTCCCAACTAGGCAAGGCAAGATTATACAGACTCGTTATAAGTGGTCTGCATTCTGTGAGTAACATCGACAGACAGCGTTTATATATAGGTCTTACATCATATGTAAAGCATTTATAACAATTGTACCATGCTTTGGAAGGCTCTGGTCAACAGAGGGATGACCGTGGGTCCAATCGGGACTCAGGCGCGTGATATTAGCGCTAGTTTTCGCGTCGAAAAAAAAGCGCAACCCAAGGTTTTAGGAGAGCGCTGTAACTTCCTACTGTATTTGTTCTCGAGGCAAATGAATTTGCCGGCGCTCACCTGACGCCTCAGCCAAATATAGATGCACGCCTTCCCAATTTGACATATAGCTGCACGGAAATTGTCACTTAGGACGTGCGCCTCAACATTAATACCGGGAGTCGTGGACGCAAATATACGCCTTGAAAGCTGGCTGGTATTGCTCCGCCGCAGCTGCCTTTCGTCATTGACTGGAGGTTTCTGCGCCAGACGGTTTTTGACAGAGGCTCCATTACAACTGCGCAGCACGGAGACGTCATCCATTCAACTGCTCGAATTTGTCTTCTCTGCCTTTCTTTTCGACTCACGCTGAAAACTGCGCAATCTTCTTGCTCCGTGTGCGCTGCGTAGTACTGCGTACTTTCCACTAATTATGTAAGCAAGGAATAGTTAGCAAGTAAGTACTGTACGATATTGTTCGACTGGGGATTACCTGGCTCGCCAGGCATAATACTATTTATCCGCTCTGGGTTCGTCTGTGAAGCCCTGGACTGTCAAGGACACTGAGATAGGCGAGGACAGAGTGATCTGTGAAGCTCGAGGTCGGTCCGTCAAAATGGTCCAATATTTGAGGTGGTGCGGTGGCCCAAATTGGCAGGTAGCAATGGTTCGATACCATTACGCGCAGCCGTATATAATATATTTCCCCGCGCCTCTGTCGTTCCCAAGCTGACGGTTGCTTTTCTTCGCCACTCACGACCGACCTCAACGTTCCGCACGGTCTGTCTGCTGCAGCTGGAATGGCGAACGCAAATTTCTCAGAGCCATGGGCGGGCTACCTTGTACAAGCTCAGTCGCAGCTCGCATCGACCTCGATACCCCGCCTGCTGCTTTTACTCGTCGTCAATATACCCGTCATTGCGGTCGTGCTGAATGTACTCTCCCAAATGGTGTGTATGCGGGTCTTGAATGGACTAATGCGTCGTGCTAACCACTTTTGTAGCTTCCTCGTGACCGGTCTTTACCTCCACTCGTCTTCCACTGGATACCGTGGTTTGGCTCTGCGGCGCAATACGGCCAGGATCCAGTAGAGTTCTTCAAGTCGTGTCGTGAGAAGGTGCGCTAGCGGGCCCCATGTTTCATGCGTTGACTTTGCTCACGAATTCTCTAGCACGGAAACGTATTCACCTTCATTCTCCTCGGACGACGCGTGACGGTCACACTGGGCCCGAAGGGGAACGACTTTGTATTCGGTGGCAAGCACACAGTGGTCGCGGCGGAAGAGGTGTATGGAGTGCGTAATCTGTCTTTCGTCAGGAGCGGGTTCTGCTTCCATGCGGTGGGCGTCGTACGATCGTTGCAAGCGTTTGTCTCGATTTCTCTTCAAGAAGATCCTGATCTTCCCTTGGCGCTCGTGTCAATCAGTGATTTGCCCGCATTACGTCCATTGAACATTCAATGGAAGCGACGCTCTATCACATTGTGACGTGCTTCGTGCGACGCTCGTGGCTGCCAGCTTCTTTGCCTGCATACACGTGTGCGCGGTAAACTGACACTTCGTACAGCCTCTAACAACGCCAGTATTTGGAAAAGATGTCGTATACGACTGCCCGAACGAGGTTCTCATGGAGCAGAAGAAGTTCGTCAAGGTCTCTCTGACGACCGACAAGTTCCGCGACTACATTGGCATGGTGGACGACGAGGTTACGCAGTTCTTGAGCACGGACCCGGCATTCCGCACCTACCAGATGGACGACATTAACGAATGGGGATCTTTCAGCGTGTACAAGACGCTCGCCGAGATGACAATCCTCACTGCAGCACGGACGCTCCAGGGCAAGGAGATTCGGGAGAACATGACGAAGGGCTTTGCTGAACTTTACGCCGACCTTGACCACGGATTGACGCCCCTTCACTGGATGTTCTCGAATTTGCCTCTGCCGAGCTACCGCAAGCGTGATGTCGCCCACGAGAAGATGAGCCAGTTCTACCAGAACATCCTGCGCAACCGGAGGAACAACAACGTCGGCGTGCGTGGTGTTTATCTTGCTTATTACTGTTGAAAAGCTAACCCTTAGACACGACAGTACGAGGATGATGTCATGGCGTCGCTGATGAACCAGACTTACCGCGACGGCCGCCCGATCCCCGACCACGAAATTGCCCACATGATGATTGCGCTTCTCATGGCCGGCCAGCACACCAGCTCCTCGACGACTTCCTGGGTCCTGCTGCACCTTGCCGACCGTCCGGACATTGCGTATGTGATGTCTGTTTTCAGTGGGAAGTCCCTTCTGACTTCCGTCAACAGCGAACAACTATACCAGGAGCAGGTCAAGCACTTCGGTCTCCCGGGTGGTGGCTTCCGCGAGATGACGTACGACGAGCTGAAGAAGCTCCCGATCCTGGACGCCGTTATCCGTGAGACGCTCCGCTGCCATGCACCGATCCACAGTATCATGCGGTACATCCGCGACGACCTGCCTGTGCCTCAATCGCTCGGCGCGCCGTCAGAGGACAGCGTGTACGTCGTGCCGAAGGGCTATACGGTGCTCGCGTCGCCCGCGCTCAGCCAGATGGACCCGCTGATCTGGAAGGACGCGAACACATGGGACACCACACGGTGGCTCGACGCGGCGGGCATGGCGGCGCAGGCGAAGAGGGAGTACGACGAGGACACGAAGGTCGACTTCGGTTTCGGGCTGGTGAGCAAGGGCACGGAGAGCCCGTACCTGCCGTTCGGTGCTGGCCGCCACCGGTGCATTGGCGAACAGGTATGTGTCCCCCTAATGCACTACCGTGGTCGCGGCCTGACCTCGTGCGCTTGTAGTTTGCGATTGTCCAGATTGGCACGATCATCTCTACGATAGTCCGCAAGATCGAGATGCGCTTGGAGGGCCCGTTCCCCAAGCCTGACTATTCGGTGAGTGCTTGCCGCTTCTTCCTGCTCCTGTTACGGAACGTGGTCCTGACGTGCGCTGCAGTCGATGATGGTGGTGCCGCAGCAACCGTGCCAGATTGCGTACCGCCGGCGAAAATTCGATTGAGGGGGTTAATGGGCCGCTGGGATTGTACTTATGATGACGTAAAGTAATAACGTATTGACGACTAGTACACTAATTCACAGAGATGTCTTGGAATTGAACTCTGAGGTGGTGGCTGCAGCGCGGCCTTGTTTTACACACGTTTTGAATGGTCGATGATTGATACTCGTAAATCTGCGATAGAAAATGGGTTTTGGCTTCGGAAGGTCTTATAGTAGACATATTCCCGTAAACCTCATGCAATGCTCAGACCTTATTTTCTTTCCAGCTGTAGATCGTACTTACGCCACGACTGCATTGCGTTCTATCGGGCAGGAACTCATCAATTCTACATGAAATTAGTCTCAACGATGAGTGTCCTACAACGCGTCCGCATGAAGCAACTATAGCTATCGATTACATTCAATCATTACTGCCCCGCCAACAGCCCAACCTTTCGCCAATATGCCAACCAATTCTTGACGTGCTCGGCACCGAGTTGAGACACGTTAGGGTCTGACAGTGTTGGGGATGCTGCGACGGCTTGGGAGACATCAAGCTGGAACATCCCTACAGAGAGCCGACCGACGTTGAAATTAGCAGCGAGCCCCCGGTAGAACGGGAGCAGCTGGATCGCGTGCAGGTCCTGCAGGGCCTTGCGCGAGTCACTGCCCGCGCTCTCGGCTTGGGAGACGTCCAGCGCGGCCTGCTCGAGCTTGGCGAGCCACTCGTGGTACGGGACAAGAGGCACTGAGAAAGCCTGTGCGACGTGCACAGCCAGCGAGTGCCACGAGACAGGCCGCGGGTGGTTGAGGTGGACAACTTTGATATGCGGCGGTGTGTCCATGAAGTCGACCATGGCTTGCGCGGCCACGTCGAGTGGCACCCACACAACACCCTGAAACATGCGTCAGTCTCGATGATTCGAAGCGAGCTAGAAGGTTTCTGACATACCCTCTCATCGTCAGGGAAACATCCCAGCTTTGGGGCACTCTGAACTATGGACGGGAACCATTCGTGGGCGTTCCACGAGCCTTCCAGAGCACCACAGATCTGTCCAACTCGGACGACCACAGGCGTCAGCGGCGTGTTGGCAGCGGCGTTGTAAAGGATCTCTTCGGACACCCATTTTGACTCCGTGTAACCGCTGCCAATGGCGACGTCGGGGTCAATCGGAGCCTCGACTAAATCATCGTCACTATCGAGATCTAGGAGGAAGTGAGGTGGTCATTAATCTTCTTATATCCCTGCTAAGCGATGATAGACTAACTCGTGAAGACACCAATTGAGCTGGTGTAGATCAGCCGTGGGGGTTGCGCCAGCGGCGACGTGAGGGCAAAATCTATGAACGCACGCACGCCGTACACGTTCGACTCGAATGACGCCAAGGAAATGCTGAAATCCACACGCCATGCTGTATTGCGACCCTGAGCACGATGAAAATTACCAGTGTGATCGCCACTTACCGTTGTGGATGATATATGTGACCGATGTATGCAACTAAGCCGCTCTTAGCGCCGCGCACACAACATTTTTCCAAGGGGACTCACCTCTTGGTAGACTTTCTCTGTCAAGCCGAAATTCGCTGCAGACAAGTCCCCCTCGAGGAGTACCACTTTCTCAGAGTCGACAATGCTGGCATCCAGTCCACGGTCGGCCAATGCAGATTTTTGCCTCTCGTACAGAGTTTGACCATGCTTTGCCGGTCGGTTGAACGCGTACACTCGGGCAACCTTGGGGTCCGCGACAAGCTCTTTGAGCGCGTAACATCCAAGGCCTCCGGTTGTGCCGGTGATCAAAACGACCTTGCCCGATTCCATGTTGGCAGCCGCGCTACCCCGGTGTATGGGGAAGTCCTTGCTGTATTTAGCCACCATGGCACGCATTGCATCCGCGTGCGACGCCGACTGCCGGTCCTCTCCGTCTGTAGTACCGAGGGCGAGAGCTAAGACAAATGATGCCATGCGCGAAATAGTCGGGTGGTCGTAGACAAAGTTGGAATTGACTTTGCGGGTATCGATTTTCGCAGAGTCACGTAGTGCACGGAGGATGGTGTTGCGAATCCAGGTTGCTTGCAGACTGTGCAGCCTGAGTATGGTGCCTGTCGATACAAGGTGTAGCAAAATGTGCTTACCTGTCACAACCGTGCTGGAAGATATCGTCTTCGTCTTTCAAGGGAACAGTGATGAGCTTCTCCACGACTGCGCGTGTGAATGAGTTGGCCGATTTATCGTCCCAGTGGACAGGCGGCTCCGTGGCCGACTGAGCGCTGTTGTCCACAGCGTCGTACAACGCGTCGATCTCTTCCTCATAGTCTTTTATGACGGGAGCACGGCGGACAGTGCCCTTGGGTGTGTAGCTGAATGGCTTTGAGGGGTTGGCGATCAGAATCATCTACTGACAATGTCAATGGCCGTTGGTGAAGGTTGCACTTATCGCTTACCTCCTTGAAGATCCTAGAATGTTGGGGTGCAAAAGCGTTCATCTTCTCCACTGACGGCCTAGAAAATAGAAGCGGTCAGATTCAGAACGTTCAATGCGAAGGCGTAACTACCATATCTTGTTTCTGAATTCAGCGACGCGAGTATCATCAGAGGGGTCGAGGCTGAATTCGGACTTTGGCTGAACTAGTACGCCAGCTTGGAACCGCCCGCGACCGAACATGATGCAATTGGATACATAGGGGTCCTTCTTCAATATATCCTCTACAGTGGACCATCAGAATGGCAACCACGTGTACCGCTGGCAAAATGCGCACCTAAGGGCCCTGGGTTTGTCTTAACAAAATATTTCAAGGAGTTAGGGCGCGCACGCAGTCAGACCAGAGCGAGACTCGCCTTCTCCCCTGTGCTATGCATGATCTGGTCATCAGTACGACCCAGAACCTTCCAATAGCCGGACTTCGTCGGATGCGGCATAACGAGATCCGATGTGGCGTAGGCATCATCCCCATCGACTTTTGTATTGATGACAGCAGGTCTATGCACGTTGTTGGCCTGGGGTGGCCATCGTGAGCCCATATTTCAATGCTCATGACAAGTAGATTGCTCACCACGACAGCAAGTTCATAGGTATTATCGCCCATAGGTAGCATTTGTATTGAGATATAATCATGAATCTTGAAGTAGTCCCATTCGATCAGAGGTTCGGCTATATGGTATTGCAATGAGTAAGCGGTTTGTTAATCAAGCAATCATCTCACCTTCGTAGACGACGCTCAACATCCCCGCTTCGGTGCTGGGCATTCCACCATGAGTGGGGCAGACCGAAATTAACAAGCGGAAGTACATACGATCCGTAGGCATTGTATATATTCACGCCTCTTGAGACTAGCATGTCGCCGATCTCCTTGTTGAGAGGGCCACCGCCAAACGTCTACCCAGATATTTAATTCTTTACTAACTTATTCGGATCGCAGTATACGCACCACGCCCTTGCGAGAGGCGAGCCACTCGACGTATTCATCGTTATGCGCCCATGTCTTGGTATACTGTCAGGATTATCATCATCGTCTGATGGGAAATGACCTACCTCAACAAACGACGGCACAGCCCAGACAAGGTCACAATTTGACGCTTGTAGGGCACGGAATACAAGGTCTGGTGTGGGCACAAGAGGCGGCTGCCTAGGCTCAAAAGCAGCAAGTATATTTCCCGTAGATGCCTAACAATTCGGCCAGTTAGTACGGAGGCGGAAGAGAACCGCCAAGAAGTACGTACCGCCCATAGTAAATTTACAAAAGCGAGGCCGTGGAAGATAGGCAATGTATGCAGAGAACTGACGAGACCTGTGAGATCTTGCCCGAAGTGCCACGGGTAGGTGGCGACTTCTATCAGGCGGCGATTGGTCCATACTATAGGCTTGGGGAACGCCGTCGATCCTGATTATGTGCACACGCAATTAGCACAGCATGATACGATACGCAACAACGCAATCCGGTCTCACCAGACGAATGCAGGATCAAGGCTGGGGCGTCAGGTTCCCTGCTATTATGCGGTAGCTCTTCGCTTGTAACTAGGCCGTTGGAAGGGGACGAAAACAGCTCCTCAAACGTAAATGTGGAAGAGACGGTGGGAATAGTCGCGGGTGAGTATTCTGTTCTCATTATATCGAGAGCATCCCGAACAAGATCGGTAATGCTCTGCTCTTTACTAGCGAGTATGTGCTTCGCGTCAACCTTGTTCAGTAGGTGAGCTATGGCGGCAGGCGAGTTCCGGGTGGAGAGAGGGAAGACGACGAAGTTGGCTCGAATAATTGCCATTTCAGTGATTGCGTACGGAATGGCATCTATCGAAGGAGGCGATCAGCTCTTATACATTGAATCATCTACGGGGGTTCGTACCTGAGGATGCAAGTAGAGCGATAACGGTGTTGTTATCGAAAGGTCCTTCGGCGCACATGCGCTCCTTGATCATCTTGGCCCCCGCGTACATTGCGGCAGCTGCCTCAGACCAAGGTATAGAGCGTATTCCGCCGTCTTCTCGGGCGTAATTAAAGTAAGCGTGGTCAGGAGAATGGATCGCAAGCCAATCCCAAATTTCTGGCATGCTCAACGATCCATCTAATGGAGGAGCGTTGAAGGTAGTACTAGAGAGGGCTTGAGTGCGAGGAACCGACATGATACGACGAGTGATTAAAACTGCGAAGGTGGTGCTGTTTTCTAGGGCTCTGTTGGTGGTTGGTGGTTTTGCGAGACATGCAGTGGGGAATAACTGGACTTTATAGCAACTTGGAGATGATCAGATGCCACATCGTCATTGTTCAACGCACAAATCATGAACGTGACTCCCGATAACGGCAGCTAAGCGTGGAGGCCAGGCAAGGTTTAGCGAAACCGACGAAGCTGGTATCGGACACAACCTTTTTTTCGGTATTCCAGGATTGTCCGATTCAAAAGCAATAGTGGCCGCGCTAAGAGTAGTGTTTAACCGCATAAGGATATAAAAACGTTAGCACGCGGGGACATAGACACGATGTGAACCCTGGTATTCCAATATTCTGTGTGACGATCATATGAGAACATCAGAGAATGGATGGTCCGGGATGCCGTGTGGTTTGATGGTCCTAGACAAGTCAGACTTGTGACAACACCAATTACAACATCGGACTAATGTTGTGAGTCCTCATCAAGCAAGGAGCGCGATTCTTTTCGGCATACCAGTGTGCAAGTGCTGAGTGATCGGCAACCGCTCCGGCTGAGAGGTGATTTTGAAAATGCGATGTCGTATTTTTCTGACTTTACAGTATTACAGTGCGAGGTGACCTGTTGTGCATTCTCGAGGCGATGACATTTATCTACCGCTAGGTTACGCGTCGCGAACATTTTCCAGAATGTTAGATCGGCTACTGGCGTTGGCAAAATGAGGTATGACGTCCTGAAGATATGACGGCGACTTACAGCAAAACCAATAACGATAGACCTCCCTCGCAAAAATCGCAGATGATGGGCGGCATGGAGGAAAGTCGCCCTCGGCACTCAGGGGGCGTGCCTTGTCTCAATCTCCGTCCATCTGCCAAGGTCCGTCGCTCCCTGCTTCCAGTGCAATGGCAGACAGCGACGAACTCTGCATCCCATGACGCGATGCCAGTAATAGCTTCCTCCATCTGACCATTAGTCATGAAGCCAGACTCTGCACCACTGCCGACTCTTGCCGTGAGCTTCTGCCCAACCTTGCACCAACACATAATCCGTGCACCAAAGTATAATATGTGAAGGGAGGTATACCGCTATTACTTTTGCTGTAAAGTGGGACCTGAAGCACGCACCTCTAGCGCTACTGCCTCAAGATGATCAACTGCCCGAATTGCATCGTTTGAGATGGACAGCGTATTCAATGTGAATTTGACTATTGAGATACAGTTTGCCATGATATCCGACCATGACCGGTGGGGATTCTTCATGCGAAGCCGTCATCGGTTTCTGGGTGGGTAACGGAGGCAATCAGAACCTTATGGGCGGCCGTTTGTATCATTACGTAGTAACGTACATGCCATTCACGGTATGTTTACGTAATCGCACATAACTGTAAGTAGTACCAATTGGACTGTACGCCGTCCATTGTCGAGCCACTAGCAATGTCTTCATCGCTACCAACTGTGTTTGTGCTTGCCATAGTGCTTGCGCTTATGGCTTGCTCCTGGTTCGCTACCCCGAAGGGCCCGCAACAAACGTAAGCGCATCGAGGCGGACGGCACACCGAGCGACTAACGTTCTGGATAGATTGATTCGGACGAGCTGCATGCTCACATTGGCTTGCTGCTACCTCATGTGGGCCGTCACGTATCTTGCCCAGGTCTTCCCACTCGAGAGTAAGGATCCACTGTACTCCCAGAATCACACCGCTGACGCACCCTCCAGGACCACGGAGGTCATTTGTCGAGGCTTGAACAAGCTGCCTGTTTCGAACGCACGGATTTCTTAAGTATTGGTGAGCCGTATTGTACTAGGGCTGGCGACGAAATGAGTCTCACAGCTGAGCAGGATGTCGCATGTAATACCACTGTTATATGCATCTCTTTTTGATACTTTCCTGTCGGACAATAGCTCCTTTAATTCGAAAGGCGATGATGAACCGTGGTTATCATAGTCAAATTACGCCTGTGTCAACGGGAGGTACGATGCGTGTGCGTCGTTACTTCACCTCGCAAGCGCATCCGACAATGAGCGTCATGCGCCTGCAGAGCAGCATGTACAGCTTACGCACTCATGCGCCCTAGGACCACTGCCATCGCGTTATCAGGAATGGGCGAGTCGCCCGACAGCAAACGTTTGACTTTTGGCGAAACGTGCCGTAAGTAGGGTCGACTACGCACTGAGCACCAATCACCGACCAGCAGTGCTTCGCGTGCACTTCTGGTGTCCTAAATTGTCATTCACACATCTTTTACGAACAAATACAATGTTTCGCCAGTCTGTTCTTGCAATTTGGGGTAATACAATAGCTACCGATTACTAGCTACCAGACTGCGTCTGTGTCGACCGCAGGTATAGTGACGTCCTCGCCCCAGTCCGCAGCTGGACCCCAGCTCCGAGCTTCGTCCGCACCCCAATTATCTGGTAGCAGCGTTGAGGTGGGCCATTGAGGAGAGATCTTGTCGCCGAACACCATATCATCTTTGGAAGAGTCCTCCCAGTGAGACTTGACGCCCTCCAGGTCACCCATGACAGGATGTTCAGGCACCGGCGACTCCAGTTCAGTTGTCCATGCGGAGGAGAGTGTGCTGCCGTCGGAGTCCTCGTATCGCACATCGTTCCGCCAAAGCACCTTCTCGTCGTGACGGGCTTCGCCAACGACCTCGATTTCCCAGTCTGTTAGCCCCTCGGTGTCCGTTGTGAGCAGCCGCAGGTCGGGGTGTCCCTCCACAGCCCTGACGAAGACCTCGATCCAGCCCCCACAAGCCATAGCGATCTCGTCGTCGAACCAAAGCTCTCGAAGCCGCATGACAGCATCGCGATAGTATATCATCCTGGCTTTGGTGAGGTCGCCAATTTCTGGGAGGGAAACCGGCTGGCGCGCTTTCTCGTTCGCCTCGTGGACGTGCGCGCTCAAGAGGACGTGCTGCTCTCTGTTCTCCACATCTTGAAGGCTTGCTACCTGCTGGAGACGCTGGGCTCGTCCAGCTGCGTAGTCTGCTCCATCTCGCCTGCGGAACGCCGCGGTTTGGCTCGCGTGGCCCAGTTCTTCGTCCCTGCCCCACTCGTCTTTCTCGAGTGGCTTCCCTACACCGCCTACCTCTACCTCGTACTCCCATTCGTCGGCTACCTGTTCGCACCATGTTGTGAACTCTTCGATCGTCCACTCGAATTTGTGGTCATGATGCCGGAATATACGGTTTGTCCGTCCGGTGGGGTCCAGGAAGCCGCTTCGTGCAGATGCGGGGGAATCGGGGGCAGTGAACCGGGCGTTGAATGTGTAGGAAGGGGTCGTGATTAGTAGCAGCTTGGGATGGTATGCTCCAAGCATGATTGGTGCGAAATCCTGTAAAACGTTCTCCGGCAGATGTTCAATGCTGAGAATAGTGTGTTTGTATACTTCGAGCAACAGTAGACATGAGAACGAACGTACACTTCGGTAGACACGATGCATTCAACATCCACGAACTCCGGGTTGATTGATTGCAGCCCGCCTTGCCAGATCTCTACCTCGAAGGGCTCCCAGCGAATGGAGCTGACCGACAGGCTGTCGGTTGATTGTGGCCTCGGTGCCGTTCCCTGGATAGCATATGCAAGGTCGGTCGCGGAAATATCGAGACCCATAACCTTTGTCGGGTGTAAGTAAGACTCATGAGCCACTGCCGCTTGCAGTTTCGAGCACTCGATCTCTTCGCGTTGCACAGTAGCGGACGTCACAAGGGACTTGAGCACAGATGGTGGTGGCGCCAGGAGCCAAGGGGCAGGATTACACAAACATGAAATGAGATCGCCCTCACCACATCCTACGTCGAGGACCTATTATATGTATAAAGGATTACGATGAAGTCATTGAGAGGATTTTGTGTGTCTGGGTCTGCTTACATTGTGGACACCTTCCCTTCGCAGAATCTCGAATACCCAGCCTCTCCTCTCTAGGAAGAGTGGCGGCTGGAAAGTAACAGAAAGCTCTGTGTGGCTGACATCGTTGGCGGGTTCCATCGCGATTCAGTGAAACCAATCCTCGGCAGAGATGGATGACTTTATATAGTTCCGGGAGCAGCAAAGAGAGGGCCACAAGCCTACAACGCTTTGACCACGAGTACAGGTGACCCTAGGCGACAGTAAGGTCGATTTGGCAAGATCGTCGTATTATGACCTCGGCACGGCCCAAGTCCACGCTCTGACTGAGAGTGAGGCTGACGAAGATCAAGTTTGCCGACTCAGTAAGAAAGAATGGGACGTCGCAGCGAAATAACTTTCTTCAATTGGAAAATGCACGGCAATCCAGCAGGAGTGAAGCAAGTACTCATTGCGGGACAAGGAAAGGGCCGAGCGTTTCCTACTATCTTGGGCGCGTCGTCCGGCGCCTATACATTCGTCAAGTTGCTCACCACCACCATGGCTGCCGTATCCTCATCATCGTCTGCTCCCGTTATAAGCTCGACCATCGCTTCCGGATCTTCAGAGAAGAGTATCAAAGTCTGTTGCTCGTGCAAGCTATGGCGACTCGGAGGACTGACCCGGAAATGCAGCGCAAACTCGAAGACGCAATACACAACTTGGACGAAGCAGTCGGGCCATGCGCGACCCCCTTGAGTCAGCAACCACCTGCGAAGAGACCAAGAACAGGGAAATCATTGTATGCGACGCTAGCGAAGTATGGAATCAAGAAAGAGACGAAATCGTGAGTCGCAACTTGACTAGTACTGCCCGACGGCCTGACCGACAACCTGACTCAGTATAACCAATGAATACGAGTCTTTATCTAAGGCGGCACCACATTTGGCGGCAATACTGGCACGGACCGCGTTGCGTACGCGAAAAGCACTGCCTTTCAAGCTCGCCCCTGCAGCACCACCAACAAAGGGCGCGACGGCGTCAACCACAGAATACCGCCCATCCTCAATGCAGTCATTCCTAAACCGCCTTTCCACCTTTAAACTAGCTACATATGCGAACAAACCATCCGCGATTGATGCCGTTGCGGCAGCGCGGTGTGGCTGGATGAATGACGGGAAGGATAGGTTGGTGTGTGGAATATGCGACATCTCATGGGTCGTAGCGGGGAGAGAGGGTATGAGTAGAGACGCTGGTATGTAGGACTAACCAAGGTAGGTTCGACCCACTGACCGCTTGCTAGCAAATGCTTTGGTGGAGAAGCAGCGGGCACAGCTTGTAGACATGCACAAGGACGGGTGCCCCTGGAAGACGAGACAATGCGATGGTATGTGCTCATGCCAGGTCACTCGTAATGTGACTGCTCAACAGCTGTTCAGCATCTATATACCGGATACCACTGCAGGCCCCTTTGGCCATGGCAAGAGAAGTCAAAATGCGGGCCGTAGCACTTGACGCGGTCTTGCAAGGTGTCAAAATCAAGCACCCTCTGGTATGCCTCAAGTCTACTCTTTCAGGGAGTGAATCTCACCATGGATTAGACAACGACCCAAACACAGTCCCTTTGTTCAACGATATCCTCGGTCACAGTGCCAACATTCGCAGTGCCCAGATTGCAAGAGGCAGATAATGTTCACGACAACTTGGCACCGCCCCTCACAACGCTAGAAGCCTCTGAAACTGGCATCATAACTGCACTCTTCGGCTGGGCCATCCTACCTCCTGCGCCACCGTCAGAAAGGTCGCGTACGCATTCATACTGTCGTGCAAGTTCGGTAGCCCCTGCGACACCGACACGAGCACTGTCTCGTGCACCATCAGTTATGTCCCTTCGGGAGAGTACGCCTACCCCCACCACCCCACGGCGTTCACCCTCCATAGCGCCGAGCAGCCCAGGCCGGACAGGCACACTTGCCAAGGCAGACACAACCCTTCTCCACTGCGCCCTGTGCCAGCGGCGAATAGGGCTATGGGCATTCATCTCACCATCTGTAACGAATGGGACTATTACGCCTGATGCTTCCACAGTGTCATCAACACGGAAGGCTCAGCCGTGCAGGCAGCTCGACGTGCTGCGGGAGCACAGGTCGTACTGCCCGTACGTTGTACGCTCAACGACTGTCCCGTCGTTGCCGGCTCCCCCTACAGATGCCGGTACAAGCGCTTTGATATCCCAGTCAGCCGCGGCTCAGCCGGATAACCAAGCAGGCGCCATGGAGGGTTGGCGTGCTATGTTGACTGTGGTACTGCGGCACGGACTCGCACGAAGGCAGCGCCTGAACGGGCTATCTAATGGACGGCGGATTTCCAATGACGAGAACACCCAACAAGAAGGCACTCCAATGGAGGTGGACCGAGTGGAAGCTATGGTTGCTGGTGTCAAGAGCCGTGGGGTATGTATCAAAAGTTATTGTGATCTGCTTGTGGGACTCACGACATCCTTTTTTCTTCAGGGCAAGGATCTGCTGAAGTATGTCAAGGGTCTTTTGGGTTGAGGATACTACCTTGGACATCGTGCACAATTGTATTTGTTGTTAATTTCTGCTCTGCATCTCTGCTTTCGACGGCAATGTCCCTTTATCTGCTTAACGTTACAGCTTTGACATATCCAAACCAACATTGTTTGAGCGATGAAAGGTGAGTCAGACTGCAGTAAGTAGTGAGTATTTGTAAGAGCACAGCTTGAAGGCGAACCTAAAATATTTCTATAATTGGATTGTAGACAGATTGTTACTTACATAAGTGACCTACCAGCTACAGTCCGCTGCGCCCGTCCTGAGCCCATCACTTCATGTCACAGCTTATGGTCTGCCTCTAAGTTATCTCTGAACGCTCAAATATCCTCGTACCAGCATCGTCGCCATGCCTGCAGGCTACGCTCCTCTACCAAATCCCCGCTCTGAGCCGGACGCAGAGCGGGAGCTCGAGGAGGCGTTCGATGAAGACGACGAGCACCATACCGAATCAACGCCCCTTACGCATGGGTATGCGTCCACAGATTCGCCCCCCCTGCAGGCGGACAATATACGCTCAGAGCCCGTGATGCCAGGATCCTACGATTTCGAGCGGGATTACGACTACGACTACCCGCCGCCTGGTTCGCCGCCCAGCCCCTCTGCGTTCGCGTTGCCCAACACTATCGGGAACACGAATGGGCGGCTCCCTACCGCCCCGGTGCGCCCTGAACCCCCGCGGCCGTCGTTTTTCAGAAGGGCGGTGGGCGTGCTTCTCCCCCAGCACTATGCGAGGTTACCTTCGGAACCTGCGACATCCAGGCTGATAGGAGGAGGGACGGATAACGATGGCGTCTTCGCGAACGTGATGGCGAAGCCTGTGCGAAACGTTGCGGTGACAAACGACAATGGGGACGTTATAATGGTCCCTGAGGATACTCAGAATGAGTTGCCACCAGTGAGTAAGATCGCTTCGTATCGCTTCGTACTGGCCAAGTGCGCTTGGAAACCTCGGAATTGGATTTCGTGGTGCTATGAGCTTCCCCATAGACTGTCCCAACTTAGGAGACATCTGCAGCCCGCCTGCCGAGCGTACTGCGATAGCGCCGCACTTTCTGCTTGTGGACGTTGAAGATGTCTCCCGAACATATGCGACGACTTTGCTGTGCTATTAGCGCTCTTGGTGAAGCCCTTTAACCTTTTTAGCTGTATGGACTGTCCGCCGCTGAAACCATACAGATGTTGGCCTGCTTCAGAGCACCTAAAGCACCTACGTCCCACGGCATTCACTTCTGAGAGGTCCCTGAGTTAAATGGGGTTTCACCAACCCGTATTGAACGTTGTCATCGTCGGGGGAGGGTCAATAGACTTGACAGTGCTCTCTATTTATTTTAAGTTTGCAAATTTCGTGGCGTGTTCCTCTGCGCTACCTGTGTCATATATAGGATGCTAATTCCGTCTATACATTTATGGTCAGACATACACCGAAGCTCAGGCCGACTCCGCTCCCCCGTACTGGGAAACTACTGTCATCGCCCCTGCAAGCCTATCTGCATCTGGCGACATGATTGTAGACGACCTGCCTACGGGTTCCCTTCTTTTCTTCATCGCGACCGCCTTCGTCTCCTACTTCTTCCAGTTCGTCGGCTTCGTTTTAACCTACCTTTTGCATACGAGCCATGCTGCCAAGTACGGCTCGCGCGCGGGGCTGGGAATGACCATGATACAGTATGGGTTTTATTCCCGCCAGGCCCGCGAAGAGGAAGCGGAGGGCGGCCAGGGACAGGAGCTCATCATGTGGAATTCGACAACGGGCATGCCGGTCGTGATCAAGCAATCGGGTGCCCAGGCCATGCTGCCGAACGGGACCGCCGTCGACGTATCACCAGCAGAGTTTGGCGTAACGTCTCGCGATTGGATGTCCCTCTTGTTGATGACCCTCGGTACGCTCGTGCTATTCGACTGATCGCGTGCTGCTCATGATTTTATCGCTTGAAGGATGGTTCCTGCTTCTCTCGTCCATCGTGGGCTTCTATCGCGTGAAGCGATGGGAGAAGTCCATTCGGGATTCTGCAAGCTCTCCGCCGCCTACCGCTGAGCAGGTGCAGACCGACATCGAGACACGCCGACAGTTCGAACGCGCGTTCAGTATATTTGATTACCGAGGAGACGAAGATGAGAACGACGAGCGCCGCGCGGAAGGCATACCCTCTCAAATCAGCGAGGCCGAGGCACGGCTGCATAGGGATCTCAGAGCGGCAGGTCTACTGTGAGCCATGTGGCCGTCATCCACATTCTCTCCGGATCTCCTCCCCTACTGCCGACGCCTGTCTCTCCTTCGTGCGGATTGTATTATTATTTATGCGAGCTAAAGGATGCCATAATTTCGTAGAGTCTTTCGACATACCTGTACATGACTAGGGTTTTGTCCAGGACATTGATTGCGTTCTGAGTCGCTCGTTTGCCTTCAATGTACTCAGATAGTAGTAGGATTGTACATTGTTTTCTACATAGTAATGAGCGGGATACTCCCGGAATCCCTCGGGTCTCCGTGTGGGTAGTGTGTTGCCAAATTTGCCAGTGAGATGGTGCCACTCGATGATCGAGACAGCAAGAACATGCTTTACTACGCATGATTAAATCTCATGATACTTGCCTTCGAGCAGCCGAGATCCCGATCTCACTTCAGCTCTCTGTCATTTCCCCGCCATGAGCTATAGAACATCCACATTGGGTCCGGCAGGCCGAGTATGACAAACCTCCTACGGCCCGGGAGATATGTATAAAAGGCTTGGGTCTATCGTGGAGGGGCACTTGTCTCTCCCACGACTATCCGATCCACACCTCCAGCAGCAACCTACAGCAACATGCCCGTAGTGAACTCAGGCAAGGTGCTCGTCACCGGTGCAAATGGCTACATCGCCATGTGGGTGGTGCACACCCTCCTCGAGCAGGGGTACACTGTTCGAGGCACAGTGCGCTCGGAAAGCAAGGCGAAGCACCTCAGCAAGGTGTTCGCAAGCTACAGCGAGAAGCTTGAAATCGTTGTCGTACCTGACATTACCAAGGTACTCCTTCGTCTGATCATCCACGGCGTAGTGTGCCAGACTGATGGGCTTACACAGGAAGGAGCATTCGACGAATATGTAAAGGACGTCGATGCGATCGAACACACCGCTTCGCCTTTCCACTTCAAAGCTGGCGAGCCCGATGAGCTCATCATCCCTGCCGTGCACGGCACGACCCGTGTGCTCGAGTCTGCGCTCGCGCACGGCACTCGCGTCAAGCGCATTGTCGTGACGTCCTCATGTGCGTCCGTGATGCAGGTGCAGGACACGCCGCGCAAGTTCTCCGAGGAGGACTGGAACGACGCCGCGATCGCAGAGGTGCGCGAGAAGGGGCGCGCCGCGTCGCAGCCGGCCAAGTACCGTGCGAGCAAGACGCTCGCCGAGCGTGCTGCATGGGACTTTGTTGCGAAGAACAAGGAAAAGCTGACTTGGGAGCTCGTCGTCCTGAACCCGCCCTATGTGTTCGGGCCTGCGATCCACGAGGTTGGCGCGCCCGAATCGCTGAACGAGAGTATGCACGACTGGTTCCACAGTGTGCTCAAGGGCTCGAAGGATCCCAAACAGCTGTCGACCATTGGGTGCGTCTGCTGTGTAGCCAGGAACGCTGACATGTTGATGAGAAATCGCACAGATCATGCTGGATCGATGTACGCGACCTAGCAGAAGCCCACGTCCTTGCAATCAAGAAGGAAGAGGCTGGATCCAACCGTATCATCATCTCGGAAGGGCCTTGGAAGTGGCAGGACTGGAGTGAGACTTGATGAAGCTTTGGGATCGAATTCATACTTATGGCTTTTCTTTTTGCAGTTGTCGCGGCGCGTGAAGCAGGCGTCAGCCCTCCGGTTAGCGACGACTCCTATGAGCCATCGAAGGCCGTTCACCACATCCTGTATGACACGACCAAAGCTGCGAAGCTGCTTGGTCTGAAGTACCGCTCGATCAAGGAAAGCACACGAGACTCGATCGAGGACTTCAAGGCCAGAGGCTGGCTCTGAAGGTGACGTCGTGAATCATGAAAGTTGAACTGCAGTGGGATTGGAGTGTAACATTATCAAATTTCTGTAGCAATGGCAAGTCAACAAGAGGGGAATTCGCGACTGTTCTGAGATTTGAAGATCTGACATCTCTGGTTGATGGCAGTTGCAGAGAGCAGACTAAGCAGTACTATACGGCGGTTGACGAGAACCGGCAATATTGCGCACGCGTGCATGTTAGGTCTCTGAATCACCAGCGAGGCCAACGTGAACGCTGTGTATATTCAATGCCCGGAGTCACGCCGTGTCCATCAGACACAATGAGAATATATGGCACTATACTAATAGATGACTGATAGCAGACGCTTCGGACGAGAGATATGGTTCTGCTTCGAAAGAATATATAAGAGAACATCGCTTGGTCTAAGAAAACAGTGGCAGGTTCGTTTCGCACCTCCTAGCAACAGCTACTGCAGTTGCGGATCGCGTACCATACCGGTTGTTGCCTCTAAAAAGGTTCTTGACACAAGCGCAAATGGCTTCATCGCGGTCTGGGTAGTTCGCCGCCTTTCGTCAGAAAGGTACAACGTTTGCGCTGCAGTTCGCTCGGAGAGCAAAGGCGGGCATCTGCACAAGACCCTTGCCTCGTACAGCGACAAACTCGAACTCTTCATCTTCCCAGATATCAGCGCTGTGAGTAGAGTTCCGCACCGCTCTGGCGCAGTGCTGATAGACAACACACATCGGCGCATTCGATGCGGCAGTAGAGGATATTGATGCGATCGAGTACACCGCATCCCCAATTACGCTCAAAGCAGACAATCCAGATGTCATTATCGTTCCCATCATAAATGGTACTAGAGGCCGCGCTCGTAAACGGGACCTCCGTCAAGAGCGTCGCCCACAGGTCGTATTGTACGGCCATCTTGTCTGTCCGAGACACCATCGCCACGTTCTCCAAAACGCTTTGGAACAAGCGGGTCCTCCAGGAGCAGAGAAAGGATGCGAACCTGGCCCGGTCGTCATAAAGCATGCGAGTAAGATCCTCGCCGAGCGCGCTGCTTTGGGTAGGACCTCGTCGTGATTAACCCGTTGTTTGTCCGCGAGCTCATATCACAGGCGGTGACGACCCCGGCCACGCTGAACGCAAGCGAGGGTGAGTGGTTCTAAACGGTGCTGTAAGGCGCGAAATCACAGGAGCAGCTTGTTTCCGCCGTGTGTGCATTGCTCATTGTTTCATAGTGCAAAGGCTCGCCTCTAGTTCAAGCCCGCTATGACATGAGCAAGTCGGATCGGATACTGGGTATCAAGTACCGCACCATCAAAGATATTGCTCGTGACATAGCAGAGGACTCCAAAGTAAGAGGATGATTGTATATCGTCGCCCATGCCGTAGATGTCACTGCTTTCATCGCATAGAGATCAAGTAGGTTTGAAATTTTCTTCGCCTAACGATTATAGCGTTTTACAAACGAGGTGAGATCGACGTGAAGGAGACTATTTATTTGGTGGTGTGCGACAGCCTCGGTCAAATTGAACGTCAAAGTCGCTTAAGACTCCGTGGGAATATAAGCCCATATTCGCTGTACCAGATCAAGGCTTCCGAAACTTGTGAACCTGCAATGGCTGTTGCATTATGACTTCAGCAAGATATCATCGCTCGAAGTATAAGTCACTGTCTGATCGCCAACAGTGGATGGTAAGCAACACAAACGTTTACTTCTGCCACTGTAGCCCCCATAGACTCCTCGGATGATACCATTGACTGCTCTCAGTCAAATTTAACCCAGCCCCGCGCCTTGTAATCCTCGAGAATGTCTCGCGTGGTCTCATCAATCGAGCGATACCTGATACCGAGGACCTTCGGCGCCTTCGACGCATCGTACATGATCAAGTGAGTTGCTTTAGCCGGATCGTAGGACGTGTTCCCAGCCGGAATCGCAGCTCCAATCTTACGACCGGCGATTGCTGTCGACAGCGTGAGCTGGTTGCTCGGCTGTGTACCGTATAATAAGACGAGGACGTACTGAAGTTTTGCCACTTCCATGGGCCCGAGGAGATAATGAGACGCTCTCCACCAGCGCCCTCTTTCTGGATCGCCAGAACATGTGCCAGTGCAAGGTCGCGTACGTCAATATAGTCGGGGCCTCTGATACGGACAGTAAGTATTACGCGTATCCTATGGAGAAGCAGGGCTCACCCGTCAGATCCCCAAGGCGCGGTGTTGTAGATGCCCCCGCATACGGCCTTGAACCATTCATCCATGCTCGAATGCAGGGACTCCGGTTTGTCCACCTCATTAAGGGTCGGCCCAAATACGTACGGCGGGTTAACCACGACGAGGTCCCACGCGATCCTGGCCTTGTTCTTCTCCACAAATTCCCAGGCCGCGCGTTCCGCGAGGACTTTGCTCGCGCTGTACTTACTGAGTCCCGTCGCGTTGCGGCCGTTCGCCTTCACATCCTCCACTGCCTGCTCGTTCCAGTCCTTCTCCGAGAAGACCGTCGGCTGCTCCGGTATGCGGAGTATCGACACGCAGGACGAGGTGTACACGACGCGCTTGACCGAGGTGCCGTGTGCGAGCGCGGACTCGAGCACGCCGATTGTCCCTTTGACCGCGGGAACGATAAACTCGTCGGGATCGTCGGCGTTGAGGTGGACTGGTGACGCCGTGTGTTCGATTGCGTCTACGCCTTTGACTGCCTCGTCGAATGCCCCTGGCTGTCCGTCCGTCAGCACAGTGCGTGGTGGTGAAAACTCCTCTATCGCACCGATGTTATGTCTGGGACGATCGCAAGCTCAAACTTGTCGCCGTACGACGCGAAGATCTTGCACAAGTGTGCCCCCTTTCCTTCCGACCTCACGGAGGCGCGCACGCTATAGCCGTGCTCAAGCAGCGAGTACACGACCCATGTCGCCACGAAGCCGTTCGCTCCTGTAACCAGGACCTTTCCAGAACTGATGGTGGGCATCCTAATGGCACAGAATGAAAGAATGCTCAGGTAGGTAGACGTATAAAGCTCGAGGTGTGTGGTAAGAAGAGTGCTATGGTCCGTCTTATTTATACTCTGTGTGCAGCTGGCGCTCATTAATTTCAATCTACCTCACAACATATTTTCGACCTCGGCGAAGATGTGGGGTGGGCGACGTATTGCAGGCTCATCATACACACGTAATAAACTGAAGCACTCTGTTACGGGCGGCCTTCCCGGGAGACCCCCACAGGTACCTCAGCGAAGCGTCTTCATTCTTGCTGTTCTCGGTCTTCTGGGAGTGCTGATCACCAACACGATCGAGATTACTATGGGTGGTGTAGAGTTGCTCAAGGCATAGAGTTGCTTAAACCGCCTTATACAGCCGTCCACATTCAAAATTTAAATCCCAAAATATCTGTGAGACCGTAAGTAGTCCCTACGAATGCCTCCATGGCACTGAAATGATAAAATCATGAATGTGGAAAGAGTAGCATGCTCGACAAGGCAATTTGACAACAGTGTACGCAAATATCGACCCAGATCCCACCTGAATGCGACGAGAATTTCATCCCGGAAGCTTTCAGCCTCCATACTCTATTGATCTAGATGTCTATCGATTACCCCGATACTTAAAAGCACTTGAGGTACAATGTAGACGGGCACGGTGGGTGAGATTGCCTCGCTCTTGTGGTATGGTGTGGCTGTCGTTGAAACTCCACTCGGCATGTTGCACACATGCATTGGCAAGACCATGCTGTGTGGCAACGATTTGACCAACTCCATGCCTATTGATACACGCTCAAAACGAGTCGTCCTCGCGGATTCGTGCCGGTGCAATCACCACTCATTTCATTGCACTGAAAATATTCACAGTTATGAAGAAGATCTCAACGCATCCATTGAAAAGATATGCAGTGGTTCGTGAATCCGAGACTTGCGAACGCGGTCATGAGCAATGAGTTCTATACCACCCATAGTACAGTGCACATTCGATTCATTGTATCTCAGTGGCGTTTTGTGTTCACCAAGCAGTCAAGCGTCAACGGTGAGAGCCCTTCCTGACGAGACACACTCGTTTAACATCCTCCGAACCAGCACATCTATTATACAACTGGTCTACGTGCAGACAGGAGTCACAGGATACGGCGCGGTGCGATAAATGCTCGACAAGCCCTCTCAGGCCTTGATCCATCCCCGCGACTTGAGGTCGGCAACAATGTCCTTCGTCGTCTCGTCCATCGTGTGGTACTTGATGCCGAATATCCTAGCGGCCTTAGACGCGTCGTATCTCGTCAGGTGCACAGTGGTCGCGGCATCGTACGATGTGTCGCCTTCGGGCACATCAGCGCCAAACTTGCGCGCAGCGTTAACTGTGTCAAGTGAAGTGAGTTGTAAAGCGGGACAATGAGGCAAACGGGAGGAACTCACCCCAGTCTTGCCACTTCCATGGGCCACCGCTGACAATGATGCGCTCGCCGCCGGCCGCTTCCCTCTGGAGCGACAAGGTGTGTGCCTCAGCGAGGTCGCGGACATCAACCCACTCAGAACTAACCATGTCTACATAAGCTGGAGCCGGCCAGAGAAGCTAGCTTTACTCACCCAATCTCACTCAGATCCTTCACGGGGTGAGCGCTCTTGACGACAGCGTCGTACCACTCCTGCATGCTTTCGTTGAGCGCATCGGGGGAACTGACCTCTTGGAGCATGGGGCCGTAAACGTAGGGCGGGTTGAGCACGACGAGATCCCAGCCAATCTTGCCCTTGTTCTTCTCGACAAACTCCCAGGCGGCGCGCTCCGCGAGAGTCTTGCTCGCGCAGTACTTGCTGTACATGTGCGCGTTGCGCCCGTTTTTCTTCACATCTTCGACCATTTGATCGTTCCAGTCTGCCTCTGAGAATGTGCGCCGCTTGCCGGGGACGGGGAAATTGAAGACCGAGGCGCAGGACGAGGTTACGACGATGCGCTTGACCGCCTTGCCGTGTGCAAGCGCAGACTCGAGCATGCGTGTTGTGCCCAGCACAGCGGGACGGTTCATCTCCTCAGGATCTTCAGCCTTGAAGTGGAAGGGCGAGGCGGTGTGCTCGATGGCATCGACGCCCTGAACAGCCTCGTCGAACGCGCCGGCCTACGCGAATGTCAGGTGCTGCTAAGGTGCGAGCGCAGCGTGTAGGACGTACCGCAGTGATATCGGGGACGACGATGAGCTCGAGCTTTTCACTGTAGGACGCGAATATCTTGCGCAGGTGCGTGCCCTTGCTCTCAGAGCGGACGGTTGCACGGACGGAGTAGCCATGCTCTAGCAGAGAGCGTACGACCCAGAGAGCGACGTAACCATTCGCGCCAGAGACGAGGACCTTTCCTGAGGTGATAGTGGGCATGATGATGAGGGGTGTGTGGAGCTGGTGGTCCAGTAAGGTGAGATGTAGATACTAGATGCAGCGGCTGCCTGCACCCATGCAAGGTTATATATGCATTTCAGCGTCGATCACTAAGCAGACAGAGACAAAATCATTCCCGTAGCATCCGGGACCACATCTTCGTCAGCCTCCATTCCGCCCGGCGCCGATACGTTTTCGAGAGGATTCGTGTTGCAGTGGCGGATGAGGTTTGTTCCGGATGGGGCATTGAAGGATGGATATCACGAGTGCTGAAAATCCTGCGCACCTGTACATTGACCACAGAGAAATGTAGTGACGTATTTCCACAATCGTCGCGCCGTGATTTACGTCCATTTTGAAAATGAACCCTGCCTAATAACACACATCCCGAAAATTGCCGTGACGTATACAGCTCATAAATGGGGAAATCGATCTCCGATCACTCTGATTAGTGATGCCAAAAGTTACCAATTGGCAAGTCCCCGAGACCCACGTATACCTCCCAGGTAACCCACTCGGAAGTCCTTGCATTAACGGTACCTGGAAAATTGTAACGATGAACAGAGACAGAGACTTCCTCTTGTAGGCTAGTCTGGTTACGAGACCATTGTAGGCCACTTTGACTCGTGTAAACCCAATCACGGACCCGCGCATTCGCATGTCAGGACAATAATGGAAACAAAGTTATCTCCAACTGTACTCCTAGCGAGATTTCCGAGTCTTCGCATGCTGGGCGGTCTCCGGTTCTTGGTCGTTTTCTGGGCCGGTGCGCTTCAAACGCCCTCCCACAGCATTCGTCAACCAGAATGACGCGCGCCAATGATGTTGTTATGCACGGGTATCCGGAGTCTGTGCAGCTTGAACCAGAAGCGTCTTACGTTCCACACACAGGACACTAGTAGCATGACGAAAATCTAGAATTCGTAGTCGGGTGAAGCTCCCTGACGAACGCTCGTCAACGTAATTGGGCGCCTGGAGGTACTTACAGCGGCAACAGACGAACATTGAGAGGGTCGGCCTCGCCGTCGCATATCAGCCGTCTCTCAGGTCGTGCAACAAGCTCTGAAGGGTTTCTGCCATGTGACCACATCCTTTCTTCTGCATGGATGATGTTGCTTCAGTCTGATCCCGCTATTGAATCGCGATCTGGATACTTGGATAACGTCGCAGTCGCGACTGCATCTCCGAATAGCCTCGACATCGACATCTCAACGCCTCAGCCGCAAGGTATGCGTCTTACAGAAGTTATTCGACTCGTTTTCACTCGAATGTAAGCAAGAATTATGCGCAAACGGTGAGCCGTGGCTATTCAGACATTCTCGTCTTCTTGCGCAACGGATGGAGACGAATTATAGCAGATTTTCGTGTCACCAGAAGAAGAGCATCATGTCTGACGACTAAACAATGAACACTCACGTAATAAGTTTGTGTATATCAGCAGATGGCAGGCATTTGCGCCCGAGCGACGCGCTCGATGGCGACGCTCGCGGGTTGACTCATATCCGATGTATGCAGCCTGCCTACATCGGACATGAGTCACATACCACCACGAAGCTACTTGTCCCTTCGCACACGCGTCAACTCCCAGTTGATAATTGAGTGCTATCGCCTCCGACAGCACCTTCCCTGGGGCCCACTGCTACTTCTCAAAAGGCGTCCTCTGCGTCGCGCCATATCGCATGCAGGCATTCTATGTGTGTGTGTATGTGTATTGTACAACTGTGTGAACTCATTATGTGCTGACTCTATGACATTCTCTCACGACACGTCGCAGTGGATATTGCTCCTCATGCCTTGACCCATCCCCTCGACTTGAAGTCAGCGAGGATGTCGCGCGTGGTCTCGTCCATCGTACGGTACTTGAAGCCGAAGATCTTGCTGGACTTCGACACGTCGTATACGGTCAAATGCGTCGTAGTCTTCGGGTCGTACGTCGTATCGCCAGGGGCAACGTCGGCACCAGCTTTCCGCGAAGCATTGACTGTGAAGGGTTCAGGTGAGCGACGGCGTCAAGTATGTAGGGCAAACGACGTACCCCAGTCTTGCCACTTCCATAGGCCGCCACTGATGAGCAGTCGCTGGCCACCAGCCTCCTCCTTTTCGAGCGCCAAGGCGTGCAAGTCTCCGAGGTCGCGGACATCGATCCACTCCGCGCTAAGAGGAACGACATGAGCGGCCTTGCGCGTTGAAACGCCACGAAAGACTCACCCGGTCGTGGACAGGTCCTTAGGAGAGAGGGTGCTCTTGACGACAGCATCGTACCACTCCTGGCTGCTCTCGTTCAGCGCATCGGGCCCACTGACCTCGTGGAGGAGCGGCCCGAAGACATAGGGCGGGTTCAGCACCACGAGGTCCCACGCGAGCTTGCCCTTGTTTTTCTCCATGAACTCCCACGCGGCACGCTCGGCGAGTGTCTTGCTCGCGCAGTACTTGCTGACAGGGTGTGCGTTGCGGCCGTTCGCCTTGCAGTCGTTTATCGAGCCTTCGTTCCAGTCTACTTCAGAGAAGGTGCGCGGGGTGCTCTGCGCAGTGAACACGGCTGCCACAGAAGACGTGACGATGACGCGCTTGACGGAGGTCCCATGTGCGGCCACGGATTCGAGAATGCGTACAGTGCCGTGCACGGCAGGAGTGATCATCTCCTCAGGCTCATCAGCCTTGAAGTGGAAGGGCGAGGCGGTGTGCTCGATAGCGTCGACGCCTTTGACGGCTTCGTCAAATGCACCGGCCTATACATAACGTCAGTCGGAGAAAGTGGGACAAGTGAGGCGTCACGCACCGTGGTGATGTCAGGCACTGTGACCAGCTCAAGCTTGTCGCCATAGGACGCAAAGATCTTGCGCAGGTGTGTGCCCTTGTTCTCGGAGCGGACAGTTGCCCGGACAGTGTAACCACGCTCGAGCAGAGATTTCACGACCCAGACGGCAACGAAGCCGTTTGCGCCGGAGACAAGAATCTTTCCTGAGGTGACTGCAGGCATGCTGTTTATGTGCTGGCTTGTAGAGAGAGATAGTAATGGGAAAAGGTGCGTGTGCTAGCGTCGCGACAGGCGTGCTGCCTTATATTTGCCAACCCCCTTCGATTGCTAAGCGATCGCCTGGCGGGACAAACAGTTGTCCCCTTGCGCCCCCGAGTGCGGACGATCGTTGCCAACCAGCTGCTTACTAGATGACCGGAGGATGATCTTGGCCTTTGCCATACGGATGTCGCTGCCTGCAGCCCACACAAGCGCTACATTTTACGGTTGGCGGGTAGAAGGTCTATCTTTGTGCCTATGCCACCGATCGGGCCTTGCCGGGGTCCTTGTCAATATTGTCGATACAGCGTACCGATATGTTATGTACGCCCGACCGTACTTGGCTGATGATGGGTCAAACATGTTCGCGTGCTCATTAGACGGGCAGAAAGGTCGCAGCAACGCCCTCTGTATGCCAGCACCCCCGGTCCAAGCAAAAGTTGTGCGCGGTAAAAATTAGTCTATCACATACGGCTGTATCAAGCATAAACACGAAGGAGTACGACGATTACCACGATGCGAAGATGCTGACAGCATAAGGATGGCATAGTGATGGCTTCCGGTAACTTGGTGGTGGTGCACTTGCAGACAAAGCACGTCATGGTCCGTTTCTCGTAGATATGCACTCGATGCTGTCGCTTTCGAAGTTGTCGAGCATGTGCAGAAGTGTTGAAGTAGCTATGATTGTTCGAACTGCACCTTGATAGCAATCAGTACATGTAGAACGCGAGATTCATATAAGGCCGACGCAGGTCAGCAGAACATATCCTTCTTTCAGGTCAAGGGGCGGTTTGCCACGACGACAGGGTGCCCCACGAGACAGGACCCCGAAGAAAATTCGCAAATCTAGACCTGTTTTACCCGCAAGCCGTATACGTTGCGGCAGGCGCCACAAAGACGCACTCCGATGTAGTGGCATTCACATGTCATGCCCTCATCAGCGATTAACTTCCAGATCAGTAAGTAATGGTCAGTTTACTCGAAAGCGACTGAAGTAAGTATTCAGGATAGGACCGGTGGCAAAGTACCCGGAATCGGGTCAAGAAAGTAACCGCCATATCCGAAGCTTCCAGGCTCATTAAATTTCAGCTTTGGACGCAAGAAGAGGCCATCGGAGGCGTTCTCACCGTACGCTGACGTGTCGCAGTGACGAGCCGGCATTATTGCCGGACATTTACGAGGTCCTTATTGAACTCCGCTGATAGCCGATCCACTGCAACGAAGATTGCAGCTTGTTTCCGTCATAAGAGACACGTCCTTTTCTCTGACTTGGACAGTACCGATAGCGTATGTAAATACGTCGTGATGTGCGGGAGCCCTTCCGACTTTGGATTATGCATATTCACCATCATGCTGCGCGGTTGCACTGATCGAGAGGAAGTCGTCAGGATCGGAGAATCAGATTGCTGAAATCACAAGGCACGCTAGGATCTTGGGCGATCTTGCCGAGGCCACATGGCACGGGTTGTAATGGTATGCGTTTCAATAAGGGCTACAGCAATGCAATACGCCCACCGCGCAAGTGTATTGCGTCAGATACGATACATAGCATGACAGCGTAGGATAGCATCTAGTCGAACAGACCGAAGCCCTGAAACAGTAGAAGGTCAACAGGAGAATACCTCCATCGGAAGGGAAGTCACGTACCATGTCACCCTCAGACTCCTCCTCGTCCTCTTCTTTCGCAGCGGGAGCCTCCTCCGCGGCAGGGGCAGCATCGCCTGAGGGGGCGGCGGCGGCAGCGACAGCGGCGAAAGCCTCGGGGTTGGCCAATATCTCCTTGATCTGAGATGGATGCCATATCAGCAATTGCCCGTAAAGAAAGGAAGACAGGATCCATCAGAGAACAGAAATCATTTTTAACAGCACGTCCGAAGACTCAGCATTTTCAGTGTAAATAGTGATACACATCTTCGGATCACAAAGAACATAAAGAACGAAGCTATGACGCACCTTTTCGGATCCCTCGAAAGTGTACTCGGTGGCGATGGACACAGCAAGCAGGTTCTTGTACGAGTTGACGAGAGAGTGCATGACGGAGACGAGCGTGGGGTACTTGAGCGCGAGCGAGATCGCAGCAATAGTCTGGACACCAGACAGGAAGCGGTCCAAAATCTCCTTCTCCGAGATGTCGAGCACCTCGGGAGAGAAGACATTGCCCTGGTCGAAGATGTGGACGACAGTCATACCGTACGTGAACGGCGAGATGTTCAACATGTTGAGCAACGTCGCCTCGGACGGGCCGACACGGGTGCCAGCGAAAACGACCTGGACGTCGGACACAATTTCAATCGTACCACGAGCGATCTTGGTCGGGATACCGAGGGCCTGGAAGAAGGAGGTCTTGCCCGGCTCCATGCCAGTGTTACCGGCGGGGATAGAGACATCCTTGGGGGCAAGCGCGCCAGCACGAGCGGGAGCCGCGACCTTGTTGGCAGTGATGATGTCACGGATCTCCTTGAGGTCGCCCGAGGTGAAGACAAACCCGATGTTGCCGCGGACGTGAGGGAGCAGACGTTCAAACTGGGGGTACTCGCTCAGAATGGACCGGAGAGCACGGCGGACCATGGTGTTCTTGCCCATGACAACGATGCCCTTGCCACGGAGGGCAACACGGATCTGGTGCATCTGGTTTGAGCCGACGTTGTCGACATTGACCACGAAGATCGAGGCTGATGGAAGCACGCGTGAGATGGCGGACTCTAAGAAACTCTGAGTGACTTACGGTACTTGGCGACCAAGTCCTTGAGCTTCGCGAAGTAAAGCTCCTTTTGTGCTCTTGTGGCGCCCATTGTGATTTACTGGCTGGCTGGATCCACGTAAGACGCGTCTCCTCCCTTAGTTTACTGGAGGTCAGACTCACAGGTTACGAGTGATGTGGAATGGGTGGGAAATGAATCAGTGCCTCCCTATGACCTCTGTAACCATCGTCAGCAATCTCCCCTATCATTCTCTCCTCTTGCGTAGCCTGCTCACCTGTGGTGCCAAAGGATTTTTCAAGGCGACTGGTCGTTGGATGTGTGTGCGGACCGGACCGTAGCTTCGGGATTCGCGGGCGTAGTGGCTTGCAGTACGCCAATTAGAGTTTGATGAATATCGGACACTGCCGAAGACCACCTCGCCACAAGAACCAAATACGTGTCGACATCCCCACGTGCAACTCCTCGATCTGTCTCGCGTCCGAGGTCGCGCTCGCTGTTCCCGACGGTGAGCAAGCCTGCCTGTCGGCAGTGCGCCAGTCGCTCCTTGTCACGGTCTGCTTTAACTCGCGTGCTGATTCATCTTGGATTGTGAGGCCAAGTTGATAGGTCCACGGTATACGATCTGACGTGTCGGACACGTCGCGGAGCGCGACCGGGCAGCACAAGGTCTGACAAGATCTCCATGCAATGGAATGTGGCGATGGTGCCTGCGGACTGTCCAGAATGCAGGCGGGTATGCAGTTGACATTGCAACGTCGCCACGGTAAGTTCGGACGTGAAGCTCACGTCAGACGATTGTCTCATACCGTCATCCAGACCATACCTGTTCGCGACGTCTAGTTTTTGGATTAGATTGTATGGCACAAATTCAAAGTCCTCACAAACCTACGACGGGCCGTTACTCTCCGTATACAATGGCGCCAGACGTGGCCCTCTCAATCAGGCTATGGAAATGGAGACCCAGCGGGCCTGGCAAGAAACATCATATCGCCCAGCCATGCGCACCAGAGCAGTATCAGAACATCCGGGAGCTTTAACCCATCTACTTACCGACCGCACACTCCGCTATGGAGGCGGACGCCGTCCCGAGCCCCATGGGGTCACTCCAGCTCCATCCTCGGAAGAACGCTCGCATAACGACGTATTGGATGCAGGAAGGCGTGCTGGTCCTTCAAGCAATGCATCCTCCGCAGATCGACTGCGTGAACTTTTGTTCCACGCCAATCATACCGTGAAGTCTGACGAACCGTTCGGTATCAACCGTATTCGCAACTTGTATCTCTCAGCAAACACTCGCGGCCAGTTACCCTCCTTCAAACCGGGCGACTTCCAAGCTCTCGTATGCCTCGTCGGTTCTCTGTCCGTATCGACATCCCGACGTCCCTATGTCTCCGTCTACTCTCATCCCCTCGTGACTCGTATGTCTGCTCATTCATTGCGCCCACATTGGGGTCTTCTACGACGCATCCTCAAGGACAAAAGCTCCTTAGGGTACAGGCTGAACGTCAGCGATCATTACTGGCTGATGCGAGCACATATTGCAGAGTTGCAGACGGCAGACAGCGGGAAATGGGCACATTGTAAGTATGCATCATACCGCATTGCTCAGTTATTGATCTGCTTCTGGTAGTGCATTCAGCCTGTCACCACTACAACTGTATCCGTTGGCAAGTACATCCAGATGTGCACGTGCATTATCTAGAGGCCCTTCTGGTGAATGGCAATGAGGAGTTCATCGAGATGGCGATCTGCAAGGCATGCGATCTACTTCTTTGGTACCACGACTGTCCTCCTCAACTACTCGCCGTCTTTTGGAAAGTCTTGCTCCGAACCGATCAAGACATTAGGCCTGAGATGAAGCGTAATATCCTGCAAGTAGTTCAGCGGAGACTATGTAGGCGTCTGTCGATCCAGGCGTCACTCTCCAGCCATAGTCCGACTTCTTCCAGACCGGCTGACAGTACCCGCTCAGCCTCCCAAGCGTCTGTCGTGGAGGTCCTGATCACCTCGCTGGAACGCGCCCTTTTCACTCGAAGTAAATCGTCGACTTCACCGCTTTTGGACTGGGCGCAAAGTGTTTTATGTCCGTTGTTCCCACCGACAAGTGACGACGGCTCTCTCCGCACGCAGTGGACATATCTTATTTTACTCGCCCTGGCGAGAGGGCTTTCGCCAAGCTCACCAAATCTCGGTGTGCCGACTGCGCAGCTTGACACTCCGCGTATGGCAGCCGCCGACTGGCAAGCGGTGTGTGTCCTTGCCACACTGGGACGAACAATCGGCTCTGGATCGGATATGCGTACCGCTTCCCTTTCTGATGAAGCAGTCCACGAAGTGAGTCGTATTCTGAACACGCTATGGTCAAACTGGATATCCGCTGTCCGTGAGGTGGAACGACACAGCCACCCTGTCGCAGCCGTTGCAATATCTGCTGAATTCTTTCGGCTGGCAGGATATCTGCGTAATCGCGGGCTGTGTCAAGATATCGCTCAATTCTGCACATCTTATATGCTGTGGAGTGGGCACCTGGAGGGGGATGATTCGGACACGCGCCCCGCAGTCTTACGCCTGGCACAGGAATTCCTGACATCCTCTCTGCGATGCAGGGTACCCACGGATCTCGCGCTGTCCACTGTCATGGACAACATCTCAGATCCCACTTTACTGTCTGAAGTCGTCAGCACAACGCTCAGCAGCTGGTCCCACATCGATGCCAAAGCTGCTCATGCATTACGTCTCCTCGCTTTTCAGCTCAACATCGGAGTCACTAGCGAGTCTCTCACAGACTTAAACGACGCCCTGGCTGAGGAGGGATCCGTCAAACTTGCCCTCGATTCTCTTTCGGAGGGCCACTTCACACCCAAGCAGCATCTCCGAATCCTCACTAGCATCCTGTCCGTCCTTGTGCGAGGAGGACATCACTTCCGAAAAGCCTTTTTCAGCCCAGCCGTAGGGGACGCAATGTTGAAGCAATTCACGTTCAAGCCTCCTCCACATGCCTTGCGATCCACACTACAGAATGTCCTGCCACTGATGCCGCGCTTCGGCCAGTCGTCTACTGCTGTTGCAGTGCTCAAGTCTGTTACCATCGCACGGCCCGGCTACTTCTCAGGCAGGGCATTCGTATTGGTTCTCGAGGCTTTGTTACGCCATCGCCAGTTCCGTCTTGCTGTGACTGTCTACGAGCTTGCCATTAAGTCCCGCCAGCTGGACAGTCCTTCGTCGGGAAGGGCCCTCATCTTGCACCTTTCGCGCGTCGGCGCCCGTTCGCTTGCCTTGAAACTTGCGCAAAGTGTAGAGACGCAATCTGCTGCAGTATCCTTCGCACGGAAGCTTCGCTACCAAGAAGCTTCACCGGTGCCGATGTTGACTTGCAGAGTCCCCCGCTTTCTTGAGCGCCATGTTAAGCCCAGACACTTCGTGCACCGTGCTGTAGGAGTCCTGATCCGTGCTCGTCGCATGCGGGCTGCCAAGCGGATGTACGAAAGGTTGCGAGACGCGCAGTCGGAAAGCTCGCGGACCGCCATCGGAAACCACATTCTGTATAGCAGCCTTCTCGCAAAGTCGCGACGGAACGCGCGGCGCGTACGCAAGGGCCTCGATACGCTCAACCAGCTGACGAATAAGTTTGGCTTCGTCCCTGATCGAGTGACCGTGAATGTCTTGCTCGTGGGCCTGATGCGGTGGACTTCCGTGGTGGATCGCGAGAAGCTACGGGTGCTCTTCGATCATATGGTGCGAAGCGGGTACCCCACGGGCGGCCTACACTTTCGGTCGGTGGTGCCCTTCGGCACCGCTGCACCGACTACGCAGATGTTGAACATCCCTGAAGTCCACTCCAGCCTTTCATACGCTAAGCATGTGCGGCCGCTCTACAAGATGTTCATCAAGGCGTTTCACCGACGAGGCGACAAAGTTGCGGTGGGCGTAGTTATCAAGATACTGAAGGCGGTTGAAGCGGAGGCTGTGGACCAGTCGGAACAGAGAGGACTGGCGCGAGCTGAAGGCATTCGCAGAAAGTCTGCGCGTAATTCGCGACGATAGATGTGATGTATATAGTGTAGGCATATCTGCCGGGCTGGGGAGGGTATCCAGCGCTGATCTTATTGACGCGATCCTTTTGACTCGACCCATCCGAGATGCCACAATGTCATCTGGTACTTCTTCGTTGGGCGTCATTGGCAGTGGGTAGGCCGAGGCGAGCCATGGGCCGGCGGCTTTGGGGTGGCGCCAGGAAGGATGCAGGGACACACCTCAAAAGAATACTGAGCTGCCCAATAAACTTGTTATTGATTCCAATCATAAGTAGGCTCTCGGATTCCTAAAGATGAGGACTCACTGGTATATCTTGAGTACTATTCTATACCTTGCATTTCTAATTGATAACAGATCGCCCTGAATGGCCGTCTGAGTCTGACAACCCTTGGGGCAGAAGCTCACCTCGCAGAAGCGTAGGACATGGTACGTCAGTCACTAGCACCACCATCTTGCTCGTTACTTGACGTTATTTGAACAGCGAGCTCACCTCTGTACTGCGGGAGCCTAAGCCGAGCCCTGTACTAAGGCCTGAGTCGCTTGAAGGGGCCACGCCGTAGCGCTTAGCCCCGACTTTCAGGCAAGGCAGGGCCGTGTACATCACTAGCAGTAGCTGGTTCGGAACGACGAGCTTGTTTCTTCTACAACATTCAAGCACATAAAAACTGACGCCTGTAGAGCTTCCTCGAGGAGATATCGTCTCGAAAGATAAGGATACTTCCGATGGGCTGGCATATTTGGACCATCAGTATAGCACAGAGTAATAGACACCGTGGTCCGTGGGTGGGCTTCCTAACTGGGAATTCTGACTAGATCCCACCTGCAGTCATTAGTGCAAGTCCCCCCGAAACCCAGGATCGAGCGCAGAAGGTCTCCTCATCTGCACCCCGTAAGCCTACTACACATCTCGAGATTACGATCGCGCTCATATTGTCACCATTTTCTACGCTATTGCAGAACTAGGATGGAATCCGCAAAGCCTCCTCCTGCTACTCCCATATGTCTTCCTAGGTCGATCTTCGACGACATTGGCTTGAACTTAATTCCCCAATCTGCATCGGATGTATCCTGGATCTACTCGGAGCTCTTCGGCAGGTATCGCCACTGGGTCATGTGTGGCGGCCTGAATCCGTCGTGCGATGTCATCCCTCCAGACCTCGAGGTCCCGCAGGATCCCCCGGATCCTCAGGACAGTTTCAGCGTACTGGGGAAAGGAGATCATAGCAGCTTTCTCCATGTTGCAGTAATACTGACCGATGTCCCTATGGCATACGAGTGCATACGTCTGGGCACAATGGTCAACCGCCAAGACGCTAAAGGGCGCACACCTCTTCTTTTCACGCTGGTTCTGATACTCGATGCGATGTGGACATTTTGGGGGTCTCAGGAGGGTTTGGACACTCTGCCTGGGCGATTTCGATTTCCTTCCCTCCCTCCGGACCTCATGGCCAACCAAAAAGGCCAACCGCGCAATAGAGTGTGGTCTTTAACGCAGATAGTTCATGTGCTCCTACAACAACATGCAGATCCAAACATCAAATCCTCCGCGAACGAGACTTGTCTCCAGCTTGCGTGCGAGGCCAGACAATGGGAACTCGTCGACATGCTTCTCCAGCATGGCGCAGATTCTGCCCCCCAAGGTTCTCCCAACCTCATGTCTCTCTTTAGCGACTTCGAAGAGCAGGAGCACCTGACCGAGCTCCTGGCAGCTCATGTAAATCCCAAGCGTCCGGAGCGCCTCTGTCCATGTTTCTCTGGAAAGACCTTGGCTCGGTGTCACGCTGCTCGTGCTCAACCATATCCGAAGGGCTTTATTTGCCGGTGCGGCTCTGGAAAGCAGTACGGCAAGTGTTGCCTCAAGCGTTCTGCACTGCTCTCAGAGAGCTGGTCCGACAAAGAGCAAAGACTCGCGGCCAGTGGTGTATGGCTTAGTCGACCGACATTCGACCCGCGCAACATCGACCAAGAGCTCCGTCGCGTCTTGAACGCATTCACGGATTACGCGGGACGCATACGCCCCGACGAGGCCTTCATTCAGGCGCGGGTCGCTGCTGAGCTGCTTCACGTAGGAGACATCATCGACACACTTTCTCGCGAGGGGCTTGGAGATGTTGCCTTCATCGCTGTCATGAAGAAGCTGTCTCCATACATTGTCATGTAAGTGTATCTTCCTGCAGCGCGTGAGGTACGTGCGACTGACACTGGCATCCTCAGGCCGTATGAGAATACTCTCCCGAAGGTCGGATGTGAGAAAGCCGCAAAGGCCTGGAACGACAGCGTAGATCTGTACATCGAGACGATACCCAAATCGATCGATGCGCGTCCTCGGATTGAGATCGAGAAGGTCGCGAAGGTTGCGAACGATGGAGGACCGCTATACAAGCGATGCGAGGCGACTGGCTGTATGGCGGCGGAAGGCGTTGACGGGGCGAAGATGAAGAAGTGCACCGGCTGCAAGAGGGTGAGCTGTTGCGAATTCGATGTTCCCTGGCGTAACCTGACGCTTTCTGACGCAGATCCTGTATTGCGGGTCTGCATGCCAGGCGGCCGATTGGTCTCAGCACAAGGCGAAGTGCAAGAATGGGAGCCATCCGCTGCAGATGCTCCCTTCGCAGGCGGAATTCCGTGCGCAACTCGACGGGCTGTTGCGGGAGTCGTTGAAGAAGATACAGAAGATGCAGAACATGGAGGAGGCCTTCCGAGGAGACGTGTCGGCTGCGGCTGGTATATCTCTGGCATTCACTGTTCATGCAATAGGTGTACAGCAGGGCTTTACCTCCGGTGCTGACGGAGTGGGTGGCAAATCTTGATGGGCCATACGTTTTCAAGGCGTGGACGGATCGACTTCAAGGTGGAAGATGGAGAACACGACAATCACGCGCGTGCGGGGGCTTATTTGTACGTGAGTAGGATTCATTGCGGAATTGTAACATCACCGGTATCCTGGAACATATTTGTAATATAGTTTTCTGTATGAAAGCAATGACACGGCGTCAATGTTGATGGCAACGTCTGTGCGCGAACTCCATCGGCTGGCTTGCAGGCCACTGCCCATGCTACGGGTTGGCACATCATTATTTCAGCATTGTATTGATGCTGCACGGCTAGCATCATTGGAACGCCCGAAGCTGTCACGTAATTCCGAGTGTCTTATGCAGCCTAACTTGATGTTCTGTGGATTTGAGCAGCGCTGATCTCCCTCTAAGGACGACAACAAGGCCATCCTCACAACGCCTATGCCACACAGAAGCAGCGGTGTACACATTTGAGTCACCAAGTAACCAACACACGAGGATAAATTTAAGCCATGCGTACATCCCATGGATTATACACTTCAATGACCCGAGATGTGCCCGCATACCTTGCCAGCGGACCAGATCTCCCAGTGTGAACCTATGGCTGTTGGCTGAAACTTCCTACCGGTATCCATGTGTCTAGCCGCGCCCAGCCGAGATGTACTGCTCGTACAGCTGCGGGAGCTGCTCCCGGAGTGCTTCAATCCGGCGCTGCTCGCTCGCGTCCACCTCGCCCAGAGCGGCCTTGAGCTCCGCCTCCTCCTCCTCCAACTCCGTCAGAACACATCGGTCATCTTCCAGCGTTCCCTCGAACAGCTCCTCCGCCCTGCGCGTCTCATCTGCCAGGATCAAAGTCTGCTCCTTGAGCACAGCCACTTCATCCTGGACGCTGCAGTGGGTGTCCTCGAGCGCGACAATGTCGTCCTGAACACCGCTTGCTCGCGTCTCGAGCTCGGCGCCCTGGGCCTTGAGCTCCGCTGTTCGCTGTTCGAGGCCCACCTGCTCCTGAGTGAGCTCGATGTCCTCGTTCTCGAGGAGGGCCTGCTCCGTGGTGAGGTCAGCGACCAGCTGCTCGTTCGTAGCGTCAGAAACGGCCAGCTTCGCCTCGAGTTGGCTGATCTTGTCCTTGCGTGTCTCCTCGGCGAAGTGTGCCTTTGTGCGCTGGAGTTCGAGGCTGCTCTCCTCAGCGTCGAGTCGCTCCGTCAACTCATTGCAGGATCGCGTCACTCTGGAAACCTCCAGAGCCAGTTCACGCAGGGAGTATTCCTTGGCTTCAACCTCCTGCTTGACGACTTGTAAGGCTGCTTCAATGGTTTCCTTCTCTGCTTGGTTCTGCAGCTGAGTCTGCTCGAGCCCCGAGCAGTGCGCCTTGAACGTGCCGATTTCCTCCTCGATGGAATCCAGGGTACCCCGGCCGACCTTCAATTCGGACGTCTTCGCACCGACCTCGACCTCAAGCTGCTTGACAACCCCAGACCGTTCCATGACCTCCGCGTCGTACTCATGCTGTGGGCACATATTAATAGTGAGATCATCGGAAACACTGATATCACTGACCTTGATCTGAGCGTGCTCAGCCTGCGCCTGCTCAACGGCAACGCCCTTCCTCTCCATAGCACATCCCTTTGCTGCTACCTCCTCACGCACTAGCTTGACCTCGTCCTGAACCCAGTCAGGCCAATGCGACAAGACCCAATGCGTGTCCACGCACCTCGACCAGCTGCCTCTCGCACTGCAGGTGCTGGAGCATGTCCTGATGCTCTCGCGCAACCTGCCCAATGCGCTCCTCGAGCGACATTGCCAGCTTATCCTTGGCATCGCACTCTGCACGAGCGCACTCGACCTCGCTCTCCAGACCACGAGCTGCAACTCCCGCATCCCGTTGCACCTCGTCCATCAGCGCCTGCAGCAGATCGCCATCAGACAGGAGCTACAAAGTCAGCAATGAATTATACCTCGATCGCAGCCTTCTCCCGCTGGAACTGCTCTTCCGCATCCTTGCCAGTGCCATCCAGCATCGAGATGCTTGCCTCGAGGTCCTGCACGCGTCCATTCGTGTTCTCGATCTCTCGACAAGAGACCGTCTGGATCTCCTTCGCGTCTGCTGTCGCCTGACGAGCATGCTCAAGCTGCCCAACGACCTCCTCAGCCTCGGCAGCAAGCTCCTCCAGACGGAAGTTGCCACGCTCCACATCGCCTTCGACAGTCCTCAGCAGTTCCTCGAGCACCATTGCCTGTGTGTCGGCCATCATCGCTGCGATGTCTGATTGCGCTTTCGACGTCTCATCGTTGACGTCGGCGTCAGTCCTTGTCGCCGTCGTGTCGAGCGCGCTCTTGCACATCACAGCATCGAGCTTGTCCACGACGCTCAGACCTGAGCCCGAGGCCTCTGCGCTGACGACGCCAGTAGACGTGCCGGAAGTGTAGGTCCATCCGGCGCGCAGCGTGGGAGTACAAGGACGAGAAGTGAAGAACTCATCGTCGTCGTCGTCGCTATCGCTGCCACTGAAGCCGTCCTCAGAGTCTGAAGACCACAGGTCCAGGTCGCTGTGCCAGTCAGACTCATCATCCGACTGTCCTACGTGAGTATACCCACGTCAACCAGCATCGTCGAGGACACTTACCAGTACTGTCGAGGATGGCGGCGAGGGGAGAACACCGCTCCGAGGCGCACACCTCTCGCGAATCACGATGTCGCACCACCACAGCCCGCAGTATATCACCGTCGTCGACACCGCGCTGTACTGTGTGACCCAGAACACTGACGTCGACGTACACGGCATGTACCCCGCGACGCCCAACTTGACCAATCCGTACGCCTCCACAAGCGTGATCACGCGTACGATGGCCGTCCGAGCGGTGCGCGACGTGTCCTTGCTGTAGCCTGCGACTCGGTACAGCTGGCCCCAGAGCCACTCCTGCGCCGGACGAACCAATTCCTACCCAGATGGAATCAATACACCGTGAGGGGTCAGATGCGTATGCACCCACCGATGGAGACCATGTCACATGCATCCAAGGATCGAGAGTGCCAGACGCCAACCAGTGACATCCAGCAGACCGGCTCCATGAGTAGTACTGCAGCATGGCATTGACCCAGAACACCGAAGTAGGTCCGCATATCCAGAGCACGAGCCGTCCGAGACCGCGTTGCTGTGTAGATTGATGTCTTGACGCGTTGACCAGTCCAATGGCAGACACGCCGCCGACACTGACGACGGCAGCCCACAACACCAGACAGCCCAACCATGACTTGAGTGCACCGCTACCACGCGTCCCAGACACGGAGACATGCACACCCAGCCAGACCAGAGACACAAGCACCGACGAGTCCCGAAGGACAGACAGCACACAGATGATCCCGAGAGCTGACAATGAAGTCGTCCCAGACAGAAGACCCATGTGCTGAACCAGAGAGAATGCGCGGCGAAGACCCAGCCGCGCGAGGACCACGGATGCGATAGCGGAGAGGATGAGGAAGACGACCACTCCAGCGAGCATCCATGGCCCAGGGAGCGACAGGCGGATGTCCGTCGCCCACTTGGACTCGTCAAGCCCAAGATTTACCGAAAACCAAGACCGCATGGCAGAATTCATGTCTACCATAAGGAAAATGCGACGGGGCGGGGGCGCCCTTGTATACTCTTTGAGGCTGACATGTCCAGCCAGGTTGACATGTCAGCCTCATCGGACGTTCCAGCTCCAGACGCTTCCACAGCGTCGTTGAGATCGTGACTGGAGAGGGTTGCGCTGAGGTCGATTTTGCAACAGTAAGTTGACATGTAGGTACGTTTTCTGTGTCGAAGTTGAGAGTGTAGCCGCCGTGCATAGAACGTTTTGATCGTCAACGACTCCAGGTATACAACTATTACAAGGATCGGAATAGAGGTGCTATCGCCGAATCGACGTGCGTTGGAGTATGACTTTCACCTGAACATAACACCATAGCTACTGTCAGCCATGGATGGTTGTACAACTTGCCGTCGCCACTTTCTAATGTGAGGCCACCAATGGCCTTTGACGTTAAGCTTATCTTTAGACATTAAGCTTATCTTTACTTGGAGCCTGGCAGCGGACCGGAAAGCCTGAAAAGTACGAGCAAACAGACGAAGTCCTGATGTCATTCCGTGTCCGTCCGTGAAGTGCGAAATGCGCTAATCGTGCTTCGTTCGAAAGAGGCTGACGATCGTCACTCACATGGCGCAAGGACGTAACGGACGTAACGATCTGCGTAGATACGCAGCGCATGTGCCAATGATGTGAGACTGCTGCAAACGTGCGCATAAGGGATCCTCCTTTGGAGGATACTGTGTTTTGATACGCTGGTTTCGAGTGCGAGAACTGGCACAATGGGGTTGCTCACTTTACAACACACGGCTTCTTTGACCTATAAATCTGTCATTACGTGCACGTTCGAGGAAGAAGTCGTGCGCAGTTGAGACGCCTCAGACGTATTTATCGAGACATTCCTTGCAGGATCGTCGTGGATTGGCAAGCTAAGCATAGGGCCCCGAAAATATGGCTGATGCGTCGCAAAAGGTGCGGGGCGAGATCCTTCTTCGACCGACGTTTTATGTATTCGGCAGCATTTGGGTGAATCCAGTGACCACAAAGACGACAGTGAAATCATGGCCCGGATGGCTTATAGACGGCTCAAAGCCGGACCGTCGGGCCCACGGAGGCAAGTGAGGCCCAAGATGTGGGGAATGATGAACGGTGCAGAGATATCTGTCCGCGGGTATTTATCGGAGAGGGTAAGAGAGCAGATGGTTTGGAGATGAAGAGCGAGCAGAGAGTGAGCATGCGCCCAATGAACGCGAGCTCGTGTGCTGATGGCGGAAGGATACGGAGACAACTGCCTGAGAAGGGAAGGAGAATCTCCTAAACAGGCAGTAGCGTCTGGATGCAGGCAATGCAAATCCCCGAAGCTAGACCCAGGCAATCAGGCATATCTCGAGACGCTATTGGCTGGATCAATTTATCGGAGTAAGTTAAGTGATTCTATGGGGACATGTCACGACGTCAGTGCAAAATCCCAGCATTTCACGGGGCAGCGTACATGTGACATCATCGATAAGTCCGTGGTTTTACTCGAGTGTCCAGACTGCATTTAACTCCTCTCATCCCTCCCTCTCCTCCGCATCTCTCTCTTCCCCGCACTCCTCTCACCGCGGCACTCGCCGTCGCCGTCGCCCATCATGCCCTCTCTCCCCACATCGCCCTCCGACCTCTCCCCACAGCTCCCAGAGCTCGGCGGCGCGGGTCAGCAGCATCTCATCGTCGTCTCTAACCGTCTCCCCGTCACCATCACGAAGGACGCGTCAGGCGAGTACCACTTCAAGATGTCCTCCGGCGGCCTTGTTTCCGCCCTGTCTGGCTGCAAAAAGTCCATGTCCTTCACCTGGATCGGCTGGCCAGGCTTCTTCATCCCGCCGAAAGACCGACCCATCGTCGACCGCCGGCTCATGGAGGAATACTCCTGCCAGGCTGTCTACCTCGACGATGATGTCGCCGACAGACACTATAACGGATTCAGTAACTCGATCCTCTGGCCGCTGTTCCACTACCATCCCGGTGAGATGAATTTCGAGGAGGAGAACTGGCTTGCGTACCGCCAGGCGAACATGCAATTTGCCCAGGTGATCATGACGCAGCTCACGCCGGGCTCGATGGTATGGGTGCAGGACTACCACCTCATGCTTCTTCCCCTACTCCTCCGGTCTCTTGTCGACGCGCCCCAGAAGGTCGGCGAAACAACCAGCACCGAGCTGGAACGGATCCTCGATGGCATCGAGACCGACGAGATTCCACCAGCTCCCATTGCCGACATAAAGATTGGCTTTTTCTTGCACACACCGTTCCCGTCGAGCGAGATCTACAGGTACGCCGATGTGCAGCGAGCAGAGGAGCGTTGCTCATCCCTGACAGGATTTTGCCCGTACGGCGTGAGATTCTGCTGGGGATTCTCTACTCGGACTTAATTGGGTTTCACACGTACGACTACGCTCGGCACTTTCTGTCCTCATGCACGCGGATTCTCGCGCTCCCAACAATGCCTAATGGTGTCGAGTTCGAAGGCCGCCTCGCGCACGTTGGCACGTTCCCTATTGGTATCGACCCAAGTTCGTTCATTGACGTACGCCCCGCTTTGATTCTGCATTGCTGCGTATTGTGACGCTCGCTTTAACAGAACCTGAAGAAGGAAAGTGTGCAAAAACGAATTGAGCAGCTCCAGCAACGATTCGGCAACGTGAAGGTCATTGTTGGTGTAGACCGACTTGATTACATCAAGGGTGTTCCACAGAAGCTGCACGCTCTCGAGCTTTTCCTCAGTCAACATCCAGAATGGATTGGCAAGGTACGCGACCATATTTCATTGCAGATGTACCACGACTGATGTTGTCATTAGGTTGTGCTTGCGCAACTGGCTGTCCCTTCACGTCAAGATGTTGAGGAATACCAGAACCTGCGTGCGACGGTGAACGAGCTCGTTGGCCGGATTAACGGCCGCTTTGGCACCGTCGACTTTGTGCCGATACACTTCATGCACAAGAGTCTGCCTTTTGACGAACTATGCGCGCTTTACGCTGTCAGCGACGTCTGCCTCGTGAGCTCTACGAGAGATGGTATGAACTTGGTGCGCCTTCCTTCATTCTGCGGCATATTCCATCCTCAAATAACACTGACTTGCCGCTGTAGGTGTCTTATGAATACATTGCATGCCAGCAGGAGCGCCAGGGTGTCATGATCCTCTCTGAGTTTGCAGGCGCGGCGCAGAGTCTGAACGGCAGTCTTGTCGTCAACCCATGGGACTCGCAGGCGGTCGCGGACGCGATCTACGAAGCTGTCACCATGGATGCTGAGACGCGGGCAGAGAACCATCGGAAACTGTTCAAGGTACGTTATATTATGGCTCGTCCGGGCTCGTTTCAGAGGAACTGACTTGTGCTTTGTTACCTAGTATGTGAACAAGTACTCGGCCGCGTTCTGGGGTACATCTTTCGTCCGCGAGATGACGAAGCTGCGGTTGCCCGAAGTGGAACCCGCTGATATGCAGAAGGGCGGGCAGGCCGAACTGACGCTAAACCGGGAGGACCTGAAGGGAAGTATCGTGGCGGGAGGGACCGTAACGATGGCCCCACCCATGAATGCCCCAGCGGTTACGAGCCCCGCGTAACTTTGTTTGATGGGCCATGCTATCGTTATTCGGTCATAGAGGTTTAAGAAGATCATGAGGTGGACATTACAGGATGCAGAGGAGAGGGTTGAGTCTTGTACCAGCCAGGTCTTTTGCAGCTAACAGTTAGGTATCATTCATCGTCTTATCACACATGCACACAGAAATACATATTTGCATCACGTCATGGTCGCCACCTTGTCTCCCCACTCCACTGTACACGATGTATCCACCTCCAATCCGCTGTCTTGCACTTAGTTCGCATACTCTACGTTTCGCGTTGTATACTCTGTACGACATAGTTGTACAGGTTTTTCGTAGAATTTACAATATATTACGCCTGTGCAACCCAGTCAGCTGGAGGTCGAAGCATCGCCGCGATGAGCATTGCGTCAAACGCGTGAAGTCACATGTGTGACGCGACGCGTCTCATTTCTCGTCGCTGGGCGCCACCGCGCGACTAGACTGTTTCGTCCTCGCCCTCGAGAACCTCGGCTCTTGTTCAGGTTCACCTTCCTCGTCATGTCTCTCTGGGTTGACAAGGTGCGCCTCGTATGCCAACCGCTCGTTGTCACGCCCTTATAGAGAGCAGCATCGACCAAGAACGCTCGATGACCTCCACTACCATGAGAGCCTCTCGGCACGCCTACGCGCCCTAGTTCGTGTTCAATTCGCTTCTATTTCGCGTTATACGGAAACTTGAATATAATATATCTGTGCTCCACTACTAGGCTGCCTTGGGGGACTTTCCTCACATGCTCTTTTACGGGCCGTCAGGCGCAGGGAAGAAGACGCGGATTGCATGCACACTGAGGGAGCTCTACGGGAAGGGCGCGGAGAAGGTGTGCCCAGCGTTGCCTCTGTAAATAGATACGGGCTCTGACAGAAGAGCACACGGGCAGCTCAAAATCGACCAGAGGGTGTTCATGACACCGTCAAGGCGGAAGCTGGACGTGAACGTCGTGCAGAGCAACTTCCACATTGAGATCACACCCAGGTGCGTCCCTGCGTACGGTCCGGCCTGAACGTTGGCATGCTATCTGATGCACAGTGAAGTGGGAAACTACGACCGGGTGGTCATCCAGGAACTGCTGAAGGAGATCGCCCAGACGCAGCAGGTCGACCTTAGTGCCAAGCAGCGGTTCAAGGGTGCGTTTTCTCTCACCGCGCGAAACTCGTGTCGTCTGTCGCGCGCGGAAGCTGACGGTATGCCGTAGTGGTCGTCATCAACGAGGCGGACTCATTGTCTCGTGATGCGCAAGCCGCTCTGCGACGCACAATGGAGAAATACATGACCAACCTGCGCATCATCCTGTGCGCGAACTCGACCTCTCGACTCATTGCCCCTATCAAGAGTCGATGTTTGCTCGTGCGCGTTGCTGCACCCACTACGGAGGAGGTTCGTCGGATGCCCTGTTCCGCTGTTCTGCGCGCTGTGCACTATCCTCCGCGCCGGTTCTGTGAGCGAGGTTAACGAACTACATAGATGATAACTGTCCTGCGGCACGTCGCGAAAGCAGAGGGATTTGATGTCCCAGATCAAACTGCCAACAACATCGTGGAAGACGCGAACGGGAATCTTCGCAAAGCCGTCCTCGTACTCGAAGCGTTGAAGATGCAGTCGTAAGTCAGACTATCGCGTCAAATCCTTATGGCGGATAGCCAATCTGTTTGTGGCAGGACGGACCTGGACAAGCCGATTGCGATCGCGAAGCCGGACTGGGAGACGTACTGCCAGAAAGTCGCGGACATGATCCTCCAGGAACAGTCACCACAACGCGTGATGGATGTGCGAGCAAAGTTGTATGAGCTGCTCAGCCACTGTATACCGCCAACAGTGATTCTGAAGGTACATCGGCGCTCCGTCAGTTCTATACGCAATCGCTGAGCATGTGTCCGGCCAGACGATTGCAGACCGTGTGGTCGAGCAGGTCGACGAGGCATTAAAGGCCGACATCATGCACTGGGCAGCGGTCTATGTAGGTGTGACGGTTATCGCGTTCAGTAGATTGCTCATGGTGTTCTCGATTAGGAGGTCCGCATGCGAATAGGCAACAAAAAGATCTTCCACCTCGAAGCGTGGGTCGTGAAAGTCATGGCCCTGTACAAGGTTCGTTTCATCGTGGTCTCTGTATCGTTTGAGCTAAGACCGTGCGCAATTTCCAGCATTTCTTCTATGGTATTGACATGGATGGATTTGGTGACGATATTTGATATACGGACTTCATGTTTGATTTGCATTATACTGTATCGTTAACTATTGGTCATGCATCATCGGGAGGCAGAGCGAGACACGAGACTTTAACCTTGCAAGCCCGTTAGGCCCGCCTTTTGGACTGCATTGCACACACGTAGATCGCAGCGATCTCACGCCGTCCCACAGCCGTGCTGTAGGGATGCGGGTGCAAACGTTTCCGATACTACAGTAACCACTTCAACGAGTAGAAAAATGTCGAAGTTCTCAATAAGGCGAGGCGCCACACTGGCATATGCAACTCTGAAGGACAAGTAAACGTGCACTACGGATTGAGATCATACTCTTCTTCGACGGACTGCAGAAAGTCAACCATCTACGACATGGGTCAGGTCAGAAGTTATGATCCGAGATTGTTTGCTAAACTTACAAGCTTGTGTCGCTTTTCTGCAAGCTGCTTGCCTGGGATGGTCTTTAGTCGATCTCGGATGCGCAAGAGCTTATCATGGAAGTGCTGGACGGCAGACATAGACTGTTTTGGATCATTGTCAGGCGTGTGTAAGGGGCTGCAAGTAGAGAATTATTAGCAATGCATTTTATAACACCTTGAGTTCTACTGACTGGTTCGTCACAGCACTGTATGCAGCACAGCGTAAAACACCTATGATAGCACGTCGTTAAACGTCCTTACGAGGAGCATTGGGGCGAGGACGTACCAAATGCGCCGATAGCGTCCAAGCGGTCTGCATCCTGCACACAGTGCAGTTCCACGCATTCTTGATGCCATACCTTGAGCTGTCCGGCTTCACGCAGACGCTTCTCCGTGCTCCAAGAGACATTGTCGATGATTCTCGCAATCAATCGCGCGCGACCGTCTTTGATTAGATCAAGCCCAGCCTCGGAAGTAACAGACTCGAAAAACGGGCGGAAGAACGCGTAAGGGTCTGCTGCCTCGGCTGCAGTAACATATTTCTTGTCCAAGACATCGTGCAGGAGTGCAGCGAGCTCGACGGTAAGGAGGTCTGGCTTGCTTGTTCCCTCGCTTGCGGTTACAGCGCGTGCAAGATGCAGCGCTGTTCTCCGTACACGTTGCACTGTGTTTACGGTTTGTCAGTACCCGCACAGAAGCAAGGCGCAGAACTGACCGTGAAACGCGTCGTGCGACGGATCGTACCTGGCCATAGTTGAGATCATGAGTTTTTCGGCAGCAGTCACAGCAGCCGCCTCTTGTAAGCTTGGGTACATGGCTTAATCAGACTTGTACGTCTCGTATCTTCGATGCAAATATCAGAGGTGCCGCCACTTTGTCCGTTCAAGTCACAAGCGCTCGACGCGTCTGAGACGCGTCGCGGGAAGGCGCGCTGGCGGGCACGTGCACCGTAATGCAGAGAGGACACGCCAACGATCGAGGCGCGGGATCTAAAGTACACTCGACCGACATTCGACCATGGCATTCACTTTCCGGTGTAGGCGGACGCTGCTGCTGCTCGCAGTTGCAGCAAGCTTGGTGGCAAGCATTTCTGTCGCAGCAGACACAGGCAAGGCACCTCTCCGGGTTCTGGTGAGTTCTCCATCTACTTGACAAGCGAGTTGGACATCTTTGCGTGAAGTCAGCGGTCGCTTTCAGCTCGCAGCAAGTGATGTCGTCTGGAAGGTCTCCCATATGGGCTCTACTTGGCGATGTAATTTCACCGTGACGCGCAACAGGGGATGTCTGCTGCAGGCCGTCTGCCGTGGTGCCTGACGCAGCGTTCGCCCCTCATTGGCGAGCGCCGCGCTATCCCATCTCTAACTACATGTCTGCCGGTAAATAGCGCCTATGAGCATCCACTGCGTTTCAGCGGTCTCTTGCAGGTGGCCGGCGACACTTCGTACGACCTAGAGGGTCTAGAGAGATCCCTGCGTTTGTCCAAATGTATTGGACTGTCCACTGTCTTCCCAGGCACGGTGTGGTTGATCAGCCACGCTATTTCGGGCCATGTTGACTGTCGGGGACGAACCAGAACTCTGTGGAATTCATTCTGGAGACACTCCTGACTCTTTGCAGGCAATTTATTGCTCTTGCTCTCGCTGAAGCCTAGTCGCCCCGAGCACTACGTCTGGGCAAGTCCTTGAACAGCGCATGTGGCAGCCGATCGAATACGTAGTCATTCATGGCACGAGCAGCTGTGCTAAAGGACGAGTGGGAGGTGACGGCGACCGCGGGGCCAAGAGTGCACACGGCATGCATTCTGGCGAACCTAGCGGTTGATCTGGGTCACGTAAACCCTATGCACCGTGCCGTAGGCGCGGGACAGCAGCTGGTTTACTACGCGGGCGCACGTGTGCCGTCAAGGAATATCCCCGCGCCTCCGAATTCCCGTGCTAATCGCTTCTACTGCGCAACAGGACACGGAAATCCGAGAATGTGCTCCAGTGCAGCAGCTCAGCGCCCTCAAGAACGAGCTGGAGGAAGCCCAGTCGCCCATTATGCGACAAGTCTTCGCATGGCTTTTCCCCTTTGGCCCAGGCTGGAACTCCGGTACGTCGCGTCCCGGAGCTTCAGACGAACGTGTCGCGGACGCTCACCCGACTGGCTGACATTGCAACCGCTGCATAGTCCTTGGGACCTTCTACATCAGCTCGTCAGTGCCGCGTTTTCTATTGCAACACATGGTGACCGGCTGACCCTTGTTCCGTAGCGTTCCCAATTTTATCCTTGCCTTCATCCCTGCGCAGATAAATCCTAATACGTTGAATACCATGACCGCCTTTGCGGTGAGGTTTTACACCGCGTCTGAATCGATTTAGAATTTCTGACGCCCGTAACTCGGACGTAGACCGGCGGTCTGCTGTCTGACGTCTTTCTGCACCTCGTCCCACACTCTTTCATGGGCGAGCACCAAGAAGGAGGCGTGCATTTCGTGATGGTGGAGGAAAAGCGCAATATATTGATTGGGTAAGGCGCTCAGTTGCATGCATGCATACATCTCGCACGCATGCAGACGGCTTATCGGACGCACACACAGGCTCGGAATCTTCGTTGGCTTCGCCTCGTTCTTCGTCATGGAAAAGACCCTGCGCGTGCTGGGCGGCGGGGACGAAGACGCTGGGCACTCGCATAGCCATTCGCACGGCGAGAAGTCCGCCACCGCACACGCGTCTGGTGCATCCGTAGCCCCCGCGTCTGGCGATGTCCGGAACCGCGGCGCGGGCAAAGCAGATGCGGAGCCCACGGAGCGTGAGGCAGAAGCGCAGGGCAAGCAGCCGTCCAAGCTCTCGGCGTACCTGAACCTCTTTGGCGACTTCGTGCACAACATGTGAACGCGTCTTTCTATAGTATGGTGTGACGCCACTTCTGACCCACATGCGTCCCACAGCACGGACGGCCTTGCGTGCGCTCGCTTCTCTCTCTTGTGGTGCACGGGGCCGCGATTCTGACACCAGGGGTTCGCTTCCCGTTTACAGGATGGCGGCGTCGTTCTATTCGTCGCCTCTCATTGGCGCGACGACGACGCTCGCCTGCTTCGCGCATGAGATCCCGCACGAGATCGCTGACTACTCGATCCTCGTCCGAAGCGGATTCACGAAGAAGCAGGCCATGCAGTCGCAGTTCCTGACTGCCATAGGCGCGTTTGTGCGTCTGCCTTCTCGAGGTGCCTTCTTTGCTTCATCTCACGTTTTCTTCCCGTCTTCGTTTACCGACGAATGTGCCCCATCTCCTGCTGCATACGCCGCTCATGCGCCCCCGTTTCTGTCTTTACATATTGGCGCTCGCAGGTTGGGTGAGTACATGGAACTTGAAACGTGCCACCAACGACTGAATGGACGGCTGACGGACCATGCGTTACACAGTACATTTATGGGTATCGGCATCCGGAATCTGTCCGCAATGTCTGGTTTGGATGAAGAGGCGATGGATCTCGCTGCTGCGGTGCGCCAGACTGCCGCTGGCCTGCTCGGGACAACGGTTCAGCTAGCGGATCTCGTAAGTGGCTGTATTGTATGGTGGTGGCGGCGATGGCTCATAGTCTGCAACGTGCCGCGCTATGCGCAGGTCATACCCTTTGTAGCGGGTGGATTCATGTACATCGGCGCTGTCGCGGTGCTGCCCACGTATGTGTGGACGTTTCTGACATCTGTGGCCTGGACTCAACTGGCGGCTGCTTGACAGGCTACTAGAGGAGAGCAAGAGCGGCAAGCAGGCGCTCCGCGAGGCGAGTCACTCATTCTATGCCGTTTTCATGCGTGCTCCGTTGACTGACAGGGCGAGCGCAGTTCGCAGCCATGGCCTTTGGAGTGCTCTGCATGTTTTTTGTTGCGTGCGTATTTTTTCTGATGATTTTAGGGCAGGGCATCAACTAACGGGTGGTTCTGCAGATGGAACGAGTAGGTTGTCAGCCAAGGTTGCGTAAGATGCGATGCATCGTGCGAGGGGGGACCATCGATCTTCCGAGACGGCAGGGAAGAGATCTGTGCTCATGCCGGGGGCGAGCCGTAGAGTATACCAGGCCTATAACTTAATGAAAGGATGCAAGGATGTGACTGTCGGGTAGCAACTGGGGGAGACGGTATTTATGAGATCTCCGTCATGTCCGGGATGGCCTTTGCGGGCATATCTAGATTTGAGAAGCAGGACCCTGGATCTTCGGGAACTGTATGTGAACTGAGTTAAGAGGGTGCTTATCTGGCGAGCTGGGCAACTCTGTTTCGGGCCAAGTATGTCTGCACGGGGTGGGCGCACAGTGGACTGGACGTGATTAAGTATGATATGATGTGTGGTGGAGGGGACTCGGAAGGGCGATAACAGATGGCGAATTGGTGATTTGTCGCTGGCGCGGCTGAGGGCGGCCGAGGAACGTGCGTGAAGGGATTGGGCCCAGCGCGCGCCGCCACCTGCGCAAGCCCGCGCCCTTCTCACCACGCTCAGCCCATCGCCAGACGCTCTCTACTCTTCATAAGCTACCCCCTTTAATTCCCCTCCGGGTCGTGTGCCTCTGCTGTGCCCACTGTTGCAACTCCGGATCCCTCACCTGTGAGCAGCATTTTTCTGGCCGTTGCCGTTTCTTTTCTTCCTTCATATTCCTGACCACCACCATGCTTCTCGCACAGCCTAACCGCCGCGCATAATTGGGCCAGCTCATCCGTCTAGTACCTTACGTCCAACCCCTAGTTGCCAGCCGGGCCCACACGTCGGCGTCCCTGAAACCGGCACGCGGCTTACACTTCCTCGTGCAAACAACATCCACGCTCCAGTACGCGCCATCTCTGAGCTCTCTCGTCTCGCCAGCTCGCCAGCTCCACGTCGCCACGCTCTGCGCCCCGTCCGCCTGCTTTACAATGAGCAATAAAGGCCGCTCCACGCCCCGCGTCGTCTGCTGCGCCATCCCCATTGCCAGGTCCGCCAACAAGGTGCTGGTCATCACCAGTCGCAAGAGGCCAAATAACTGGGTTTGTGAGTGACCCCGCATTTCTGCCTCTGTCCCTTCTCCTGACCGTCTTCTCCGCGCCACGCCCTTCAACGCACCAGTGCCAAAAGGAGGTTGGGAGCCATCAGATGGAATGCTGGAAGCAGCAGCATCGCGGGAAGCCTTGGAAGAAGGTCTCATCCGTTCTCCTCCCCTCCCCCCTCCCCCTTCCTAATCTCGCCGTCACCCATGCCTTACGCGCATTTTCTTCCAGCGGGCGTACGCGGCAAGATTACCCGATTCGTCACCACCATCCCCTCCGCGTCGTCGACCTACCACTTCTACGAGCTCGACGTCGCCGACCTCGACGCCGAGTGGCTCGAGAGCAAGGAGCGCCGGCGCGAGTGGGTCGACTACGCCGAGGCCGTCCGGCGCCTCTCCTGGAAGCCCGAGCTCGCACAGGGGCTCGCGCTCTCGACGCTCGCGCCCAAGCGGTGACACGGCCCCCGCCCTCCCCGCACCCGCACGCAGCGTGCGCAAAACGCCGAACGCCGCACGAGGGTCCCGCCGCTCCCCCACCACCGGCACACCCAAGGCGCGCCCGTTGCCCGTTGTCACAGATAGACTCTTGCACCTCTCATTCTCTTCCTTGCATCGAATGTCTGCATGCTCATCCATCCACCACGATAGAGCGTTCCGAGCCACACTATCCCCCATCCCCTTTTGTTCATCGTCGTCCCCGTCCCCGTCCCCGTCCCGTCCATGCGTATCTTAGCACATCCTTCTAGTTTATCGATTACCAGCGCCGCACCTCTGCGCGTCAGATGTCTGCCGCGCTTGCGCCCGCGCCCGCCTGTTCGTGTTGTGCGCCGCGCGCGCCCGTGTGTAGAGACGTCGATACATCCGCCGTTGTGTACACCAGCTGAGCGTCCGATGGTTCGCGGGAAACGATCTGGGTATGTATGACGACGCCGTGGCGTTCGGCCGATCGGCGCTTTTTGCAGACCGCCCAGCCAGCCCAGCCAGCATGCATACATATTTCATACTAATGGTACTTAGCGCGTGTCCACTCAGCTGGGCACGTCGAGAGGTGAGAGGGCGAATCCGTGCGGAGCCGGTGCGCTGACGGCATGCTTGCGTTGATGGGACCCTCAGCTCTGGGCGACTCTGGCCCGTCCGGGTCGGTGACGTTGGGCTGCAGCTTTCCCTCGTTGTAGCGCTCTCGTCGATGTCGATATGAAATCTAGGGCAGCAGAAGTCAGATGCTGACCGCGGTGTTCAAGGCCATGACAAATTTAAACCACAATGACTCGGGTTGACTTCTGAGCGCGTCCATCGTCGCCAGCACCAGGGAGACGAGCATACTCAGTGCGCTGACTTCTCCGAGGGCCGTCAAATGAACTCCTGAGACGTCTTCCCGTCTCACGATTCATCGAGGGCTTCACGCCGTGAGCGTCGACGCCTCTAGACTGCAACTCAGATGGTGCTCAAACTACGCGGGGTAGTGCTGAAGGCCTGAGCCTGAGCTCCACGCCCTTCTATTAACCGTTGACCGCCAGCGTGTCTGCTCTCTCGGCGCCATACACGGCCGCATGTGCAGGCAACAACGGCTCCCGGAGATCCACGTCCCCACCCGCCTACGCTATCGTCAAGTGTGCACGTTAGGTTCGTACGTCAATCACTGCATTCGCGGCATCCTTGCTTGCTGACGCGCGGGGGTCTGCAACTCCCGTTTCTCACACGTATTTGCAATACGCGCCCATTTATGCATGGCGGATGTCAGTTGGAAGCAGGCTGTGGCTGAGGGGGACTCCGCCTCTTCGTGGCGGGCCTCCGTGCAGCCTCTCCGGGTCCCTCCTGTCGCCAGGTGGAGCGAGCAGATGATGGAGATGTCGTTACGTCAAGCCCTGCCAGAGCTGGGAGGCTTCCTTCGACCGCATCGTCGAGAGGAAACTGATGTTTTCAGAGGCTGGGCTCCTCAGAATAGCGTTTTGCGTCGCGTACTCTGGACCCCCGGTGCATCGCGAGCCATAGGCTGCTGCAGCGCCCACGCCTTGCAAACTCTCCGACTCCTGCGACTCCTGGTCGGTCGAATTACCCTTCACTTTTGGGGTCTTCCCGGACACTCATCCTTGCAACGGCAGAACAGCCTCGTGCCCGTCCGAGCAAGTAAGATGGTCGTATTATGTATTTCCTGTCGTGCAGGACACGCCGCCACCAGCCACATTCTTTCCGCGTCAAATGAGAATGAGCCGCGAAAAGCACACACTGCCGAGGGGGCGGCCGATACCGCCGCCTTGTTGGCAAGTTTGCCGAGCACGCGCTCTGGTCCTCGGGAACTGCATTCTGAGATTTTGGACAGGCACGTTCCTCTTTCTCTTTCTCTTTCTCTTTCTCTTTCTCGCTCGGCGATCGGGTTCTATGTGACGTGTTTTTTCTCTTCCCATCCGATACTCTCTTAGTTCGGGCGATCGCATCGCCCTTACAGCAGAAGCCGATGCAAGACAACCGTATTCCGGATTCAGCGGTGAGCGCTCCGTGGACATGAAACAAAGCCAACGGTGCCGGGGCGAGCGCAACGCCGCTGTCTCCCGTCGTCACACAGGCTACAGCTCGGGTCAGGGGCAGACGTGATGCAAGCCTGTAATGAAGGTTAAGGGGCATGATGCCTCTATGACCCTTCACAACAACCCTGCAGACAAATAGCAAGCCCCACGGGCCCTATCTCCGCAGGCCGCAAATTTCAACATTCAACGCTCAGCGCTCAGCGCTCAATGTCCACCACGGATCAACCGATAGAACCTCTATCCTCGGCACTCAGTACTCAGTCCTGCCAACGTTCAAGCACAGAGGCCATGTGTCATGTCCCCTAGATGCTCCCCGCAAGTTTATGACAATCAGTGTTGGGCCATGGCTTGACTGGTCCATAGAGCATAGCACTTAATTTACGTATGTCGGTGCGTCAACGCGTGCAACGGTGGCGACTATCAGACTCTTGGTGGGCCGTGCAGCCTGCCGCCTTGCCGGCTCGGCTTGGGCCCGGCCTGATTCGGCCGGACGGCTTTCAGGCGTCGTCTCTTGAGAAGACAGTTCCTTCACTGGTTTGATACCGCATCATTTCATCGATCTACTCAACCTATTTAGGTAACTACTCCTAGCAACTTGTGCACGCACACTTGTACATACTAGAGCAGTCGTGGCTGCCGCTCACTTGGTTTCACCTTGCGCGTATTTGCTCCGTGATACAAGCCATTATGGACGCCCTTGATACTGTGCCGCGGAAAGTGCCGAGGCATCCAAAAGTATTTTGTCTAGTACTGCAAAGTCCACAGAAAGAGTTATAGAGACAAATTATATCTGGACGGGACTATATCCGGATTGTTTCTTGGAATAGGTGCGCACGTCTTAGAGCCAAGCTGACTCTGTTTGAACGAGTGTGTGTGGAAGCGTCTGGAGCTGGAGCGTTCGATGAGGCTGACATGTCAACCCAGCTGGACATGTCAGCTTCAGAGAGTATACAAGGCCGCACCCGCCCCGTCGCATTTTCCTTATGGCAGACATGAATTCTGCCATGCGGTCTGGGGTTTCGGTAAATCTTGGGCTTGACGAGTCCAAGTGGGCGACGGGCATCCGCCTGTCGCTCCCTGGGCCATGGATGCTCGCTGGAGTGGTCACCTTCTTCATCCTCTCCGCTATCGCATCTGTGGTCCTCGCGCGGCTGGGTCTTCGCCGCGCATTCTCTCTGGTTCAGCACATGGGTCTTCTGTCTGGGACGACTTCATTGTCAGCTCTCGGGATCATCTGTGTGCTGTCTGTCCTTCGGGACTCGTCGGTGCTTGTGTCTCTGGTCTGGCTGGGTGTGCATGTCTCCGTGTCTGGGACGCGTGGTAGCGGTGCACTCAAGTCATGGTTGGGCTGTCTGGTGTTGTGGGCTGCCGTCGTCAGTGTCGGCGGCGTGTCTGCCATTGGACTGGTCAACGCGTCAAGACATCAATCTACACAGCAACGCGGTCTCGGACGGCTCGTGCTATGGATATGCGGACCTACTTCGGTGTTCTGGGTCAATGCCATGCTGCAGTACTACTCATGGAGCCGGTCTGCTGGATGTCACTGGTTGGCGTCTGGCACTCTCGATCCTTGGATGCATTTGGCATGGTCTCCATCGGTGGGTGCATACGCATCTGACCCCTCACGGTGTATTGATTCCATCTGGGTAGGAATTGGTTCGTCCGGCGCAGGAGTGGCTCTGGGGCCAGCTGTACCGAGTCGCAGGCTACAGCAAGGACACGTCGCGCACCGCTCGGACGGCCATCGTACGCGTGATCACGCTTGTGGAGGCGTACGGATTGGTCAAGTTGGGCGTCGCGGGGTACATGCCGTGTACGTCGACGTCAGTGTTCTGGGTCACACAGTACAGCGCGGTGTCGACGACGGTGATATACTGCGGGCTGTGGTGGTGCGACATCGTGATTCGCGAGAGGTGTACGCCTCGTCGCGGTGTTCTCCCCTCGAAGCCATCCTCGACAGTACTGGTGAGTGTCCTCGACGCTAGTTGACGTAGTTACTCACGTAGGACAGTCGGATGATGAGTCTGACTGGGACAGCGACCTGGACCTGTGGTCTTCAGACTCTGAGGACGGCTCCAGTGACAGCGACAGCGACGACGACGGGTTCTTCACTTCTCGTCCTCGTACTCCTACGTTGCGCGTCGGATGGACCTACACTTCCGGCACATCGACTGGCGTCGTCAGCTCAGAGGCCTCGGGCTCGGGTCTGACCGTCGTGGACAAGCTCGATGCTGTGATGTGCAAGAGCGCGCTCGACAAGACGGCGAACAAGACTAACGCCGACGTCAACGACGAAACGTCGGGAGCGCAAGCAGACATCGCAGCAATCATGGCCGACACACAGGCAATGGTGCTCGAGGAACTGCTGAGGACTGTCGAAGGTGATGTGGAGCGTGGCAACTTCCGTCTGGAGGAGCTTGCTGCCGAGGCCGAGGAAGTCTCTGGGCAGCTTGAGCATGCTCTCCAGGCGACAGCGGATGCGGAGGAATGTCAGACAGTCTCTTGTCGAGAGATCGAGGTCACGACTGTGCGCCTGCAGGACCTCGAGGCATGCATATCGATGCTGGACGGCACTGGCAGGGATGCGGAAGAGCGGTTCCAGCGGGAGAAGGCTGCAGTCGAGGTATGCTTTGTTGCTGACTACGTAGCTCCTGTCTGATGGTGCTCTGTTGCAGGCGCTGATGGACGAGGTGCGACGGGATGCGGGCGTTGCAGCTCATGGTCTGGAGAGCGAGGTCGAGTGCGTTCGTGCAGAGTGCGAGGTCAAGGATCAGCTGGCAATGTCGTTCAAGGAGCGCATTGGACAGGTTGCGCGAGAGGATCAGGACATGCTCCAGCACCTGCAGTGCGAGAGGCAGCTGGTCGAGGTGCGTGGACACGCATTGGGTCTTGTCGCATTGGCCTGACTGCATTCAGGACGAGGTCAAGCTAGTGCGTGAGGAGGTAGCAGCAAAGGGATGTGCTATGGAGAGGAAGGGCGTTGCCGTTGAGCAGGCGCAGGCTGAGCACGCTCAGATCAAGGTCAGTGATATCAGTGTTTCCGATGATCTCACTATTAATATGTGCCCACAGCATGAGTACGACGCGGAGGTCATGGAACGGTCTGGGGTTGTCAAGCAGCTTGAGGTCGAGGTCGGTGCGAAGACGTCCGAATTGAAGGTCGGCCGGGGTACCCTGGAGTCCATCGAGGAGGAAATCGGCACGTTCAAGGCGCACTGCTCGGGGCTCGAGCAGACCCAGCTGCAGAACCAAGCAGAGAAGGAAACCATTGAAGCAGCCTTACAAGTCGTCAAGCAGGAGGTTGAAGCCAAGGAATACTCCCTGCGTGAACTGGCTCTGGAGGTTTCCAGAGTGACGCGATCCTGCAATGAGTTGACGGAGCGACTCGACGCTGAGGAGAGCAGCCTCGAACTCCAGCGCACAAAGGCACACTTCGCCGAGGAGACACGCAAGGACAAGATCAGCCAACTCGAGGCGAAGCTGGCCGTTTCTGACGCTACGAACGAGCAGCTGGTCGCTGACCTCACCACGGAGCAGGTGGGCCTCGAACAGCGAACAGCGGAGCTCAAGGCCCAGGGCGCCGAGCTCGAGACGCGAGCAAGCGGTGTTCAGGAGGACATTGTCGCGCTCGAGGACACCCACTGCAGCGTCAAGGATGAAGTGGCTGTTCTCAAGGAGCAGACTTTGATCCTGGCGGACGAGACGCGCAGGGCGGAGGAGCTGTTCGAGGGAACGCTGGAAGATGACCGATGTGTTCTGACGGAGTTGGAGGAGGAGGAGGCGGAGCTCAAGGCCGCTCTGGGCGAGGTGCACGCGAGCGAGCAGCGCCGGATTGAAGCACTCCGGGAGCAGCTCCCGCAGCTGTACGAGCAGTACATCTCGGCTGGGCGCGGCTAGACACATGGATACCGGTAGGAAGCTTCAGCCAACAGCCATAGGTTCACACTGGGAGATCTGGTCCGCTGGCAAGGTATGCGGGCACATCTCGGGTCATTGAAGTGTATAATCCATGGGATGTACGCATGGCTTAAATTTATCCTCGTGTGTTGGTTACTTGGTGACTCAAATGTGTACACCGCTGCTTCTGTGTGGCATAGGCGTTGGGAGGATAGCTTTGTTGTCATCCTCAGAGTGAGATCAGCGCTGCTCAAATCACAGAACATCAAGTTAGGCTGCATAAGACACTCGGAATTACGTGACAGCTTCGGGCGTTCCAGTGATGCTAGCCGTGCAGCATCAATACAATGCTGAAATAATGATGTGCCAACCCGTAGCATGGGCAGTGGCCTGCAAGCCAGCCGATGGAGTTCGCGCACAGACGTTGCCATCAACATTGACGCCGTATCATTGCTTTCATACAGAAAACTATGTTACAAATATGTTCCAGGATACCGGTGATGTTACAATTCCGCAATGAATCCTACTCACGTACAAATAAACCCCCGCACGCGCGTGATTGTCGTGTTCTCCATCTTCCATCTCAAAGTCTTTGTCCTATCCGTTTACACCTTCAAAACGCACGGCCGATCAAGATTTGCTACTCCGTCAGCACCGGAGGTGAAACCCTGCTGTATACCCATCGCATGAGCAGTCGATGCCAGAGATATACCAGCCGCAGCCGACACGTCTCCTCGGAAGGCCTCCTCCATGTTCTGCATCTTCTGTATCTTCTTCAACGACTCCCGCAACAGCCCGTCGAGTTGCGCACGGAATTGCGCCTGCGAAGGGAGCATCTGCAGCGGATGGCTGCCTTTCTTGCACTCCGCCTTGTGCTGAGACCAATCGGCCGCCTGGCATGCAGATCCGCAATACAGGATCTGCGTCAGAAAGCGTCAGGTTACGCCAGGGAACATCGAATTCGCAACAGCTCACCCTCTTGCAGCCGGTGCAGATCTTCATCTTCGCCCCGTCAACGCCTTCCACCGCTAAACAGCCAGATGCTTCGCACCGCTTGTATAGCGGTCCTCCGTCGTTCGCAACCTTCGCGACCTTCTCGATCTCAATCCGAGGTCGCACATCAATCGATTCGGGTCTCGTCTCGATGTACAGATCTACGCTGTCGTTCCACGCCTTTGTGGCATTCTCGCATCCGACCTTCGAGAGAGTATTCTCATACGGCCTGAGGATGCCAGAGTCAGACGCACGTACCTCACGCGCTGCAGATTGATATACTTACATGACAATGTACGGAGAAAGCTTCTTCATGACAGCGATGAAGGCAATATCTCCAAGCCCTTCGCGAGAAAGTGTGTCGATGATGTCTCCTACGTGACGCAGCTCGGCAGCGGCCCGGGCCCGGATGAACGCCTCGTCGGGGCGTCTGCGTCGCACGTAATCCGAGAATGCGTCCAGGACGCGACAGAGCTCTGGGTCGATGTTGCGCGAGTCGAACGTCGCTCGGCTAAGCCATACGCCACCGACCACGAGCTTTTGCTTTTCGTCGGACCAGCTCTCTGAGAGCAGCGCAGAACGCTTGAGGCAGCACTTGCCGTACTGCTTTCCAGAGGCGCACGGGCATACAAAATCTACCGGATATGGCTGTGCACGAGCAGCATGACACTGCGCTAAGGTCTTTCCTGAAAAGCAAGGACAGAGGCGCTCCGGACGCTTGGGATTTGCATGGGCTGCCAGGAGCTCGGTCAGGTGCTCCTGCACTTCGGAGTCGCTGAAGAGAGACATAAGGTTGGAAGAACCTTGGGGGGCAGGATCTGCGCCGTGCTGGAGAAGCATGTCGACGAGTTCCCATTGTCTGGTCCCGCACGCAAGCTGGAGACAAGTCTCGTTCGCGGCGGATTTGATGTTTGGATCTGCATGTTGTTGTAGGAGTACATGAACTATTCGTGTCAAGCGCCACAGCCTATTGCGGGGTTGGCCTACTGGGTCGTCCAGGAACCCCGGAGGGAAAGGAGGGTACTGACACGAGCTAGTCCTCCGGGGTTTCCAAAATGCCTCCATCGCATCGAGTACCAGTGCCAGCGTGAAAAGAAGAGGTGTACGCCCTCTAGCGTCTTGGCAGTTGACCATTATGCCCAGACGGATGCACTCGTATGCCATAGGGACGTCGGTCATCATCACCGCAAGATGGAGAAAGCTACTATGATCTCCTTCCCCCAGTACGCCGAAACTGTCCATACGACTCGTGGGATCCTGTGAGCTATTAGGGTGCGAGGGGACGACATCGCATGTCGGATTCGAGGCACCACATAGGACCCCACAGCGATACCCGCCGAAGAGCTTCGAATAGATCAAGGACACATCCGACGCAGAGTTGGGGATCGTGTTCAGGCCAATGTCGTCGAAAATAGACTGAGGAAGGCATATGGGTGTAGCAGGATGTGACTTTGGGGCTGCCATCCTAGTTCTGCGATCGCGTAGAGAATGTTGATTAGTATATGCGCGATCGTAATCTTGAGGTATGTAGTAGGCTTACGGGGTGCAAATGAGGGGGGGGGGCTTTCTGCGCACAGGCCAGCAGATCCTGGGTTTCGGAGAGACTAGCACTAGCACTAATGACTGCAGGTGGGACTTGGTCAAATTCTGCACGCAGATTCCCAGTTAGGAAGCCCGCCCACGGTGTCTATTGCTATACTCAGGTTAATGGTCCGAACGTGCCAGCCCATCAACAAAATCCCTATTTTTTGAGTCGAGGTCTTCTTGAGGAAACAGCATGATTGAAGGATGTGAAAGAGAAACGCTCGTCGTTTGTAGCTACCGGTGTGAGATCATCTGCAGCATTTGGTCATGATGTGGCATAAGCGCCCGAGCTTGGAACAAGTATCATCGATTTAAGACTTTTTATGACGACAGAAGATGGAAACTTGGGAAATTTATCCTCACATATGTGCGATTGGCATGTAATTGGACCATCACGCGTTGGTGTCCGTGCTAAGTGACCGAAGAAGGATTGCGTGTGCGGCGGTGGCGGGATGAGAGCCGGAGGCGGCTATCTGAAGCTTCTTGTCAAGTTGAGCCACACTGACAGACAGGGAAGCGAATGATACGTGATCACGACGTTGAGACTTGCCATTGGTGTTAGGCATTCAGTATTGAGTGCAAACGGACGACGAGCTCGGTGGTGCTGGGGACTCTGAGAGAAACTTGGAAGGTAGGACGTGCGCACGCTGGAATACCTTGCCTTCATGGTTACGCTTGACGGCACGGTCGGGCTGTGACACAGGCAAACCTAGTCAAATGGGGTAGAAAGAGGGTGGCCCGTGTAGATTATATACGCGTCTCCATCACCATTTTGGTACCCGCTTGAAGGTATTATACTTACGCCGTAATGCTTTCCTAAGTAGAAATGCAAGTTAGTCCTCGAGTGCACACGCCCCTCTGGGCCGTCCGAGAGACCCGGCTGACGGTCATTGACCGTTGTACCTAGGAACTTAGGTGGATATATAAATATCACATACCGGGCTGACCACTTTGTATCGGTCGTTAATATGGGTTTTTGAATGTTTGTCAGATGGCCGTGAGGGGGAAGCGGCAGAACAAATCAAGCCGCGATGAATGCAATCTAAGATTCATCATACTTCTTTGAAGAGCACGTACGTAGGAGCATATCACTAGACATATATGATATAACAGCACAATACCCTAGGGTATATTACGATGCGCACCCGCATACAGGATGTAAATACAGACCCCCAGCGCGCACGCGGGTATTGTACAACGATGACCAAAAACACCACAGCACACAGCACGAAAGCAAAGCATCCATGCAACCTATCCTTATGCACTTGACAGTCAGCCCTACCCGTCGTCGTCACTTCCGCCATCATCATCCGCCCCCTCGTCGTCATCGTCCCCGCCTTCCATGACGCCTGTGCCCCCATTCCACTCGCGGTCCCACAGCGGTACACCGAGTGCATCCAGGTATTCGGGCTGCACTGTTAGGGTATGGTGACCAGGCGCTAGACTCTGGCGTGCGATCTCAAGCCGCGCGAGGTAGCCCTGACGCTCAGTGAGAAGAGCCCTGATATATTCAATTGCTATGAAATGTGTCAGTTGACCGTGACGAGGCGTGACGAAAGCGAGCGAGAGCTGTCAAGGAAGCTCAGATCGATGGAAGGACACCTCCGTATTGTGAAGACGCCAGCCGCGTCCTCCCGGAGCGAAGAGCATACAAACACATGAAAGCGACTTCATGCATATCGCAATGCACTCATGCTGCCATTCGCAGCGCTCGATGCTGATCCTGTCCACCCACGAGCACAAAGCAAACACTCACTCTTCGTCAACACCACGTTCTCGCTCCTTGGCCCCGCACGTCCATCCAGGCTGCTCTCCTCGCTCTTCTTCCGCCGCCGCTTGCCCTTGCCCGCGCTATCTGCGTCCGCTGCGGAGCCCCCGCCGCCGTCCTCCGCAGCAATCGCTGTGCGCAGATCCGGGACCGCGTTGCACAGCGCCTCATATCCACGCCGGATGTTCGCACGGCGCTTCTGCTCGCTCTGTATGTGGTTCTGCCGCTTCTGCGTCGCCGACAGCAGCGCCGGCTTGGGGGCGGGAATCTTGCCCGCCCCGGCGCCTGTGCCGGCGAATGCGTCCGCAGCGCCAGAAGACGTCTGGCGGCGCGTCTTGGTGGCACCGCTACCCGGGGGCGACTGTCGTGAGCGCTTGGAAGCGCCTGCGCGCTCGTCCAGGTCAGGCGAGGATAAGCGTTTAGACGTGGTCGTGGCGGGAGCAGACGTCGAATGGGACAAGAGCCCGCGTGTCGGCACGCCGGCGTCAGTGGTCTGGGAGAGGCTGTTGAGGTGGTCGGCCAGAGGAGGCAAGGTGTAGGAGGACGAGGATCGTGTTCGCGTGGACGGGGCATCTGTATGAGACCGACCGCTCGAATGATGAAGTTCACCGTGTCGCTGAGAGGACGAGGTGTCTGTGGAGGTGTGCGACCGCGAGGATCCGCGCGACGCTGACTCATGCCTGTTGTTTGGCCCCGCCGTGCCAGGACTAAGACCGCTCGAGCCCAAATTCCCCGTGCCCGATCTACCCTTGGAGCCCGCCTTGCTGCTCGGTGCGCCGATCACGGGCCCGCCCTTCGCGAGGAGCTCCATCGTGGCTTTGGCGAGCGCATCCTTGCCCGTCTTTATCTGGATCTTCTGCGCGAGCTCGGGGGAGATCTCCTGGAACTCGACGCCCGCCGTGCGGTCGACGGAGGTGAGAAAGGTGTTGAAGGTGAGGGACTCGGAGGGGGACAGTAGGCTTGACATCGTGCGGCCCTCCTTTACATAGTCGCCCGCCGATGGCGGCTTGTGATAAACCAACGAGCCCCCCGCGCCAAGACGCCTCGCGCTGCACACCACGTGATCTGGGGCAGCGCGTCGCGCAAACGGCATCTCCCATTCAAGTTCCCCTTGCACTCCCCGCTTGTTCGCTGGGCTTGACATCGACCGGGACACAGAGGGCGGCCGCGCACTCGTTGCACAATGTCGAAGGAACCCACCCGCCACCAGCTCTCCGCCCGTCTGGCCTACAATGCGCGCACGCCCACGTTCCTCCTCAAAATGCAGCAGCGCGTCTCGGGCGCGCGCGCGGACGACGACGACGACGACGATGACGACGAGTACGAACACGACGGCTCCGGGCGCCCGCCGATCCCTAAGCGGCCTGCCATTCCCGAGCGTCCAGACGACGATCCCGGCAGCGCAAACGAAGACGACGGCGACGAGAAGCCGCAAGTAGTCGTGCTGCGGGAGGGGAAACATCTGAGTGCGCGGGAGGTCGAGAACGAGAAGCGGAAAGGTGCGTGATGCGCTGTGTTGAGTCCGGTTTGTGTCTCAGCCCTTGCTCGTCAGCAAAGGGCCTGCCTCCCTTGCCCGACCCCGACGCACAGAACGAGCAGGACCCTCCGGCCGGGAAGACAGACACAAACACAAAGCCGGCAGGCTCTGAAAAGAAGGCGCCGACCCAGGGCCTCTCGTTCTCGTCCTCCAGTGCGGCCCCCAAGACGAAAAACGCGAAACGCAAAGCAGTCGGGGACGCGAGGGACGACGAGCCGGGGGACAGGAAAGCAGGCCCTCGCACGAAGAAGAAAGCGAAGAAGGCGCAAAAGACGCTGCTCTCGTTCGGCGATGGCGACGAGGCTTAACACCTCGCGATCCCCCTCTCGGCGTGTCAAGACATCGGGCCGTCATCGACCCATGTATGCTCCATGCCATTACCGGTCGGGCGATCGCACTAACAGGCCGGTGCAGATATCGATGTCGTGTTGGGATCGCAGGCCGCCAAGTGGCCATATCGTCGCCTTGATATGCGTCCTCCGGTCCACGGTTCATCATGTTCCTCACCGCAATCATGCTCAGGCACCGATATGTCAATGCTCGCAGAGGTCCCGACTCCCGACGCGACCCCTGAATGTATGTCTCGATCGTCCTGGCCGTAGTCTCCTGTAGGGTTCCTTCGTCGATGCGGGCGATATCATATATGCCAGAGATATGGCTGGACTCCGCTGGAACGAGGCCGGAGCTGGCATGTCCATTACCCCTCATCCCACTTACCCGGCGCTCTTGCATGTGATAGCCAAGTGTCCATCCCATCGCGTTGCACCGGAACCGAGTAGCTAAGGAACCTGTACTGTCGAACATGATATCGATGCACAGGGGTAAAAATGGGAGCATTCTGACCACGCGTACATTAATAGAGCCGCCGCAGGGTTCCCGGCAGCTAGCTTGAAGGTATGAAGGAAAAGCAAACATCACAGATCATGCAAAATCATGCAAACAAAGAGCAACAACAGTGCAACAGCCCAACCCAACCCGACAGCTCGTAAGTCCATGCATGCGTATGTGGTCCATGAGAACGTAAAGTCCGGCCGGCGAGAGCCCCTCACGACCGCCTCCCCAACACCGACAGCCGGTTCCGGACCCTCGACACCATGTTGAAGTCGCCCGCGGCGAGCGACAGCACAGACAGCCGGCTCGGTGCACGCCCGTGTCTCGGTGGCGAAGGGGCGTCCCGGGACGACTGGGACGCGACCGACCCACGCGTCGTCGAGGTGGACGACTCCTGCCTGCGCGAGCGGGAGCGCGCCTCCGCCTCCGCCCCGGCACCCACTTTTTCACCGGCGTTAGAGAGGTTGGCGCTGTGGCGGAACGCGGACGCCCTCACGCGCACGGGACTGTGCGACGGCGTGGCGGGCATGGCGGGCGCGCTCTTCGCCGCTGCCATCGTCTGCGCTTGAGGCTGAGGGCCGCCTGGTGGGCGACGCCCTCGCACTGTCCGCTTGTGCGCCGGGAGCGCGAGCGTGACGTCCAGCTCGCTGGCGACGAGGTCGTCGAGCAGCGCGACGGCGTACTGCGGGATGGGTGCATCGTCGCTGTCCAGTGAGGCGAGGATCTGCGCCCTCGAGCGCGGTGTATCTGGTGGCAGGATGGCCGCAGTGCCAGCGTGGTTGTGCGCGGGGGTGTGCTCGGGTAAGGAAGGCAGCGTGCCAGATTTGGCCGCACGGCACGGTGTGGATGGCGCAACCGGCATCGCGCTGGTGGTGGTGCGCGACGAAGACGGAGACGTGGGTGCAGGTTCAGAGGAATCCGGCGGGCTTGCACCGCTATTCGACTTGTCTGGTGGGCCGTCCATGTCTGCCGGTGCACGCTTGAGCGGGGAGCCAAACTGGCATGCGTGGGCACGCAGCCGCAGCGAGCGCACACGGCTGATGACCTTCCGTCGCTGCGTAGTGGCAACCGGCGTATGGCGCCCCACGCGTGAAGGGAACGCCAGTCGCGTGGGCGAGCGCTCGAAGAAGCACGCGAGGTCGGTGTGCCGCCGCAGGGAGGGTCGTGTGCTCGCGTCATTCGTATGTTGCGCTGTCTCCGCTTGCAGTTGAGGGTGTTCTTCCCGAGCAGCGAGCAGGGCAGCGAGTACCGTCTGTACGGTGCGCATGTGCTCCTCCCGTGCTATGCCTCTTCGCTCTGCCATCCACCTCTGGCACTGCATCGCGGTCCACTCCTCCGGCGCGACGTCCGCTTGTGCGCCCGCTTGCCGCCGGTCGAGGGCGTCCCGCAGCTTCGCCACCTGCTCGGATGCCTCCTGCGCCTGTGCGCGCAGTAGCGCGGCGGCGCGCTGGAGTGTGCGAATCTGCTGGTCCAGCGGAGAGGGCTCGGAGCATATTGTGAGCGTCGATGCGAGTGCGGACTGGGCGCGGGTGTAGCGCAGCTGACGGCGGGTGTGCGGGCTGAGACTACGGGACGGCGCACGGGAGGGAGAGGAGAGGAGGGCGTCCGTCGCCTTCGGGGTGGAGATGGAAGGAGCGACGCGTGTGGTTTCGGTGGTTCTTTCATGAATGAGCATAGCGTCATGCTAAGGCGGTCCGTGGCAAGGAGGCACTCACAAGGAAGGTGTAGTGGATGGGTTGCGCTCAAAGTTCAGCACTGGTGTCCGGCCCTGTCGATAGTTGCAATAAAGCGCCTTGTCAGATTGAAAGGGGCACACACCTCGAGGAAGACGCTAGGCAGACGTTTGTGCGGGACCACCAGCGGAGGTGCTGTAGCATTGTCGTGCTGCTTGGCGTAAATTCCAGTACGATTCTTCCTGTGTACGGTGCCGTTGACATCTCGCAGCACGCCTGTGTTCATGTCGTGACCAGGAAGAAAGGGAGCTATGCTGCGAGCGGCGGCATGCAATGGGGTAGTGTGGTGCACAGACAGACTCCGCGGTCAGACACGCGACGCGACTTGAACATGTCCGAATCATTTCCCTGATGCGATCGAGACCAGGAACGATCAATCTCGTACGCAACGACAGACGCGCACGTGTGTTCATGCCTCTAACCGTCTGCAGAACTCAACACTTACCCGGTGCTTGAATAGCCTCGGTCGCCAATTCGTTCGAGTTATGAGAGAAGATGATTGTATGCGAGAGGGAAGATGCATTTCTCGACATCGACGTCGGCTTATAAGAGTACACAGAAGCGCTGACAGGAGTGACATCATACCTGTCTGCGAGAAGTGAATGACGCGCACAGCAACAAGAGCTTCACGCAGGGAGAATTCCTTGGCTTCAATTTCCTGCTTGACGACTTGTAGGGCTTGATTGCGCTGCCTTGCAGAAGACGACCCAAGGAACGCAGGTATTCTAGACAGCAAGGCTTTAGAGACAAAGCTCGTTACGCTTACCATCAAACTGAGCAGTTCTTGGTTCCTCAACCCGTGCGGGGACTCAATACGGCTCAGGAGGTCCCTGCGGAGGAGGAGCACAGTGCAGAGCCTGGGCGGCGAAAAATGACGCTTGATCCGGCAGCCGTTCGTCTAAAGAAGCGCATTGGTATCTATCAGCTGAACGCTGACGTCAAGGCTTCAAAGGGCCGAGCTCGAAGCACGGCGCATGTAGCTTGTCAGCAGGGCGGAGTTGGCAGAAGCCCGCATGCACAGAACCCGCGTCTGAGGCCGGCGGCAATCTGTGGTCCCTGCCTCGCACTATGCTCGAGGAAAACATACCATTGCAGTCCGTCTGGCAGATACATTCTCCTCATTGGTGCCCAACGCTTCGACATCGTGTAATACACAAAAGTCTCACTGTTCCTTTCTGTTACCGTATACACATATGATCACCACTATCAATAGACATCCGGGAGGTGAAGCGATGGCATGCCCACTCACGGTCATAAGTGGATGTGAAGTGTAGCTGTCGGTCCGACAGCTACACTTCACACTCGCTTACGACAGTGCGGGAGGCGCAATGGTTATCATCTGCATGGATAGGGTCAATGGCGATCAGAGCCCGGGGCCTACATCAATTGAGTCTGTACCGCGGGTAAATGTGTTCCGTAGTATACAACAATAGTGCCTGCACTTCCTTGCGTTAAACAAAAGGAGCCAGATATTAGCAGACAATAACAAAACAACCTAAACATTGGATGCTGCCTGATCAAAAATCCATCTGCTACCATAGTACACACCACGTAAAAGGGAATAGGTATCAAACACGATGTTAGAAGCCCAGTCATCATCACGCGGTCGTGGTCTCCACGCCCTGTGGACATATGGGACGCGCTCACGGATTCTCTGCCACTGGGCAAGAGCCTCTTCAGCAGTTGGCCTCAATTCAGGCTGCCGACGAGTCATGGGTTCAATGAGCGGGAGGAAGAAACCCACGTTCGCGAATTTCTATATCACGTCTCAGTGAATGCAACCCGTTAATCAGCTTAGCGCCTACGTCGTGGAAATTGCGACGGAACAAGTTCCCTATGATGAAGATGTCGACCTTGAATGGATCGTACGGAATGTCTGCAGACAGCTCAGGCACTTCCCGATCCCTCCCGTATGGTCCGACTGCCAGCTTCGGATGTGTATCCGGCGGAATGTGGACAGATATACCAAAGTCGATATAGTAATATTTGATCGGCATGCCCTTGCGGGAGTGCCGAGACGCTGGAGTCATTCCATCTGGAAGGAACAAACCATGAACAGGATGAAAACCCTCGGGAAACAGTGCATTAGCATCCATCTGCAGGTTCTCGTAAGAACAGTCCCTAAAGTATCGTTAGCGCTTGTTGCGAGCGGTAGCAGGACGCGAGACGAGTCACCGATGAGCAACGCCGTGCTTGTGCAGAAACACCAAGCCCTGAGGAGAACGTCACAGCAAGCACTACGGTTGCGACTCGCACTGACCTCCAATAACTGGGTCGCAAGATCCAATATGTCCCACACAGTCTCAAATGGCGGGTCATCGATAAAGCGTAACAATGGCATAACCATGTACGACACTGCAGCATCGTCTTCGTCCTGGAACAGGTCCAGGACAGGCACGCAGTGGTTAGCCGGGTCGTCAAGTAGATCTGGAGACGAGAGCATTGTAGCAATCTTGGATTCTTGATCCCCCGTCTTGACTCTCTTGATGTATACGAGCTTCCCGTCACTAATCCTCGTAGCGTCAATGAGGTGCTGACGTAGCTACAGCCAATCGGTGAGGATAAACTTCGTTTCTGTTTCCTATCACAGCTGTCACTCACAGGTATTTTGATCGAGTCCTCGAAATACATCGGATGTTCATCGAGTCCTTGCCATGAAGGCACCCATTCAGGTCGGTATCTTGGACGCAACATATAGCCCCGCGATTGGAGGGATTTCTGCCGCTCCACCCATCGTGACTCCCATTTATTTTGCTTAGAGTAGAGGCGGTGAGCCTCTGCAAGCCGAACCCGACGTTCCTCTGGCGTCTCAGGCATGCGCACAAGCCAAAACGCTTGGAGTCGTAGATAGTTGCGGAGGATGTCTTGCTGTGACGGACGACGGACTGTCACAGGACACCTGCTGATGATGAAATCTACATTTATATCCCGCAACAAGCAAACATATAGTGCTAAGACGCGGCGGGCGCCGGCCCGCGAAACGCGGGCGGCGGCACCCCTGTCGTGTGAGGTCACAGGACACCTGCGGTTGCGTCATTTGTTTAAGTTTTGTTTATGTAATCGTGTCCCTGGACATGCACGTGACATGGGTGCAGGGAGCGACATGCTTGATGGCGAGTGACTCTGAGGGCATTTGGACAGCACGGCTGATGCCCAGAGTGCAGCAGGCTCCTAACCATCCTTTCCTCTGGTCGGAGGGGGCCTTCATCCGAGAGTGAGCTGCAGTGCTAAGTTGTAGTCAGCCACAATCGGCATTATCCAACATATTTCATGATCCGATCATTTCCAAACCCAGTGCTCTCATTTGCCCCCACCTCCCTATGATGGCTGGCAGAAAACACGAGTAAACAACGGAGCCATGCTCGGACAATGTCGCTTATTCAGGTTTTGCACTTGATCATTGCCCCCATATAAAAAAGTTCATTATATTCATGGTCTGCCTACGAGAGACTAGTTTTGCACTCCTCTTGGGGCCCTCCACCTCCCGGGGAAGGATGGGAAGGAGCCTGAGAGTGCAGGCCAGCTGCGAGGATGTGGCCTGGATGATCTGATGGTTGCTGTCATTGCACGAGATCACATGAGAAACATCCCTGAAGCAATTCTGCATGTCCCATGAAGTGCTACTATGTAAGGTGAGATCCTCTGCACTGCCCTGCGAGAATGACAGGCACTCTCGCAAAAATGCCTCCGCAGAAATCCTTCATGAAACATGCGGAACAAGCCATGAATCTGACACAGCGCATTTAGTCCCAAGGACATGTCCCAGGCTCATTTCAAGCCCTGAAGGGACCTTCTCAGCAGTCTCCAAAAATTGGTGAAGGCATTCATATACTGTGCCATACCGAGTATTGGCAGACCCCTCAAGTTGGCACCCTTGCTTGATTGGCCCAGAAGCCAAAATTATTGATCAGATTGCGATCATCCTGATAGATTCCGGGACCTCCTGCTCTCCGATTGGCAGTAGGTCATGCCTGCTGACTTAGGGTGTCTGCTAGTATGACATGTAGGAATGCATGAAGGTTCGGTTTCATGAGCCAGAACACATCTGGAATGGCAGAGTAGTGTAGGGTAAATAATTCATCAGCATGTAAATTACCGTTTTTTACAGACCCAGGTTTTGGGACCCCGTTGTTTACATGGTCAAAAATGTAAATTACAGTAAATCACAGGACTATTTGCCCTTCGGCACATGACTCCCTCCAGACTATAAAAAACAGTAAAAAACAGTAAAAAAAAGTGTAAACATATGTTAAAAAAGCCTCAGGGAGCATCTGTATTGCATGCATGGGCTTACAGAATTTCTAGTATATGCTGCAGAGTACCTACAGATCCCAGTTAGATTGCCACAATGCCTTACCATCTTCTGCCTTGTTCACATCTACTACTCCTGAACATCCATGTGCAACTGCTGTGGCTTCCCAGCCCTAGACAATGGTGGTGATGTTGCAAGCATCTTTAGAAGGTCTGGATCATCAAGGTTCACCTCACTGCATGCAGGAATCAATTTTCTTGCACAAAATATTGATTTAAAATTAAATTAAAAGTGAATAGGACCCATTGAATCTTATTGATGTAGAAATCTAATGGAAATTGAAGAGAATTCAAAGAAAAATTGAAAGAGACAATGAAAAATGGATTACATAATCGATTTTCCTTCGATTTCACTTCCATATTAGGCGCCAGAATACTGATTAGGTAAATCAACTTTTCTTTTGGTTTTAATTTAATTTCTTGTATTAGAAAATTGATTACTACATGCAGTGCCTCGTTTGCAGCAAGAAACCCAGACTGTCCCTGGATAACTGTAGCAGGCCCATCAAACCACTCCAGTGTATTGTCATCATCCAGTTCCTCCAGCTCAAACTCCTTGACACTACCTGTATGTCTTTTCTTGTCACCCTTGAGATGGTTGCATAAAGTGCTCTCAATGTTGTAGAAGCACACTGATACAACGGTCTATACTCCTATGTCGATGCCTGACTCGTAGACGACGAGCGAGGGCTTATGGACAGTGCGTCGTCCTGAAGATCGAGCAAGGAAGTCGAGAATGACCACTACCCCAAGCGAGGAGGAGCAGAGACTTGAATGAATAACCAGGTCGAACTTAGGGTTCGACCGACTAATGGTACAACTACTTATACAAGTACCGACTGCGCACGGACCATCGTGTCTATGTGGTCGTGTTAGTGAAGAAAGAAACGTAGTGGTACGATGCCGAGTACGAAGTGCGCACGGACCCCATTATGTAAGCTACATAATGTTCAACCTGCGGGTGAGCGCTAAGACAGGCGCCAGTATGGGCGCTAGTAGTACAAGGAATAGAATGGAAAGACAAATGTTTCATTACCCCCCTGCCAGAGTCGAAGTCCCATTCGACTACTTACTGCTCACCATCTCCGTATAGCTCCCAATCTACGCCGTCATCCTTTTCTTCGTCGAACCACTCGTTGCGCGCATTCCTCCCCACGTTCATCCATTCCTCGCCAGAGAGGTGCTTCTGATGCGGCCAGGAGCTGTCCCACGTCCATTGAGTGGTGTCGGGTGTCCAGTCGGGGTCGACTTTGCGAAAGACAACGGGTGTATCGGGGCGGGGGCGCGAGGGTCCCGCGATGGGACTGGTTGGGGGTTCGGGGTTAGCGCTGCGCGGTGGAGGAATAGGTACCGCTTTCATCTGCCTCTCTTTCTCCTTCCTCTCCTTCGCCTCGTTGATGATTTCCTCGAGGAACACGTTGTCAACGACCACCCCCACGCGTCGCGCAGGTTCTTCAGGTGGTGTGGATACATGTCGCTTCATCGGCCTGGTTCCACACTCTCGCTCCAGGTGTCCAGGGGTTTCTTTTCCGCATCCTGCGCATCGTACGTCTGGACAGTCCTGTACCCAGTGTCGAGACGATCCGCATCGCCTGCAGCTTCCCTTCAGGGTCCAACCAGGGTTGGGTTGCCAGTCAGCCGGGATGGTAGTGCTCCGCGGCGTTGCTTGGAGGAAAGGGGATGGGATCGGGGGGCGCCTGAAAGCAGACGTCGGTAGGGGTGCGGGTAGGGGTAAGTACGCGTTGGGGATGGCGCGCGGGATGAATTTGTTGTGTTGTGCCCGGATGCTGCGCGGTAGGAGCGGTTGAAAGCGATGGGCAACTTTCAGATTGTCGAGTCGAATGAGCTCGGTGAGGACACGGTCGTCCTGTTGACGTACGAGTCGCTTGTGATGGTCGATGGCCTCGTCGGCTGCCTTGACAGCCTCGTCGTATTCATGGCGAGCGGAGAGGTACGCTTCTAGTGCAGCGCGATCGGTGGCATTGGTTGCCTCGGGGTTGTGGGTTTTGAGCTTATTGAAGACGTTGGTGGGGTTGCTGAGGAGTAGTGTCAGCAAAGTGCTGTCGCCGACATGGGTGTGCTTAGGGGTGTAGATTGAGATTCTCTTCCCGCCTTCGGTTGAAGGGGCGTTGAACTAGTCGAGGAACGGGAGGGTGGAAGACATGTTGATGCGAGTGGGGATGTAGCGACTGGGTAGAGCTGCTATCGTTTCAGCTCAAGTCCTTCCTGTTCTTATACTCCGTCAACACTTCGTCCGCCGTCCCAGTCAGGTTCGCTTCGGGCTCCCATGAGTCATCGGCAGTTGAGTAACCCTTCCACCTGATGCGATATTCCCGGCGTCGCATCCTCTTGTTCTCTCGGTGTCCGATGATGGCTTCGACTTCGTAGTTATCTTCGCCCTCGATAAGGTCAGGAGGTGGCCTCGTGTAGTTCGGACCATGGATCTCTGTTTCTGAGTAGGGAGATAGAAGCCATTCGTGGAAAACGGGGTGGACTCGCCAGGTGCTAGGGAGGTCTAGCTTGTACGCGACTGTTCCGATCTTGTCTAGGACTTTGAACGGCCCTTCTCGCCTCGGGGCTAGTTTCCTGGATGGGTACGGCAGCTTCAAGTTCCGGGAGTCTAGCCATACCAGCTGACCTTTACGGAAGGAACCCCCCTTCCTTTTTACTCTCTTGGCCAGGACGTTCTGGGCCATCTCCATTGCCGCATGTGCTTCCTCACGGATGTTTTGCAAGTCCTTGAGGCGATAAGCTGCTTGCAGCGTGTTTGATCCGGGGTGCGCGGTGGGTATTCCGCAAGGTTCATATCCCATCATGAGTTTGAATGGGGACATCTTCGTCGTGGAATGCTCGCGGGAGTTGTGAGCAAATTGCGCAGTGTGAAGATGGTCAGCCCACTTATCCGGATCATTGGCAGTGAAGCAGCGGAGGTAGATCTCCAGCTCTTGGTTTACTCATTCTGTCTCGCCATCGGTTTGCAGATGGAATGCCGTACTCATGGCTGATTGAACCCCAGTCATTTTGCAAAGTTCTTGGAAGACTTTGGACGCAAATTGCGGTCCTCGGTCGCTGATGATCTTGTCTGGGAGTCCAAACCACTTGTAGACCTCTTGGTACATTGCGTCTGCCGTCCCAAGAGCATCAATTGTTTTGTTACATGGGATGAAAATTACCCCCTTTGTAAGGTCGTGGTCCACTACGGCCAGAATTGAATCGAAGCCGTTGGACGGTGGCAAGTCGGTGATGTAATCGCACGAGAATGTGCTGAAGGGCTTGGCATTTGCGCGGGGTCGAATGGGGGTGATGGGCGGTCGGGCTGGATGTGTGTTAACCTTCATTTGCTGGCAGATGCCACAGCCGTTAACATAGCGAGCGACAAACTGGGCCATGCTCGGCCACCAGTAGTCACGGCGCAAGCCGAGGAGGGTTTTCTGAACACCAGGGTGTCCTGCGGAGGGGAGGTCGTGATAGTGGGAGACAAGACGTTTGCGAAGAGACTCATCTGGGGGTACATAGACCCGATCCTGGTATAGGAGGAGGTCATCATCGATGGACCAGTCTGTTCCAGTGCGTGGTGTTCCTCCAGTGCGCGCCGCAGTGAGGCCTTCCTTCATTATTGGGTCGTCCTTAAAGGAAAGGATGGTGTCGCGGGTGTCGATGTCGATGGCAGCGACCCATACTTCTGGTGGGAGCATAACGACGTCGGTGTTGTCATTAGAGCCGTCGTCATGGTCTGGTCGGCGGGAAAGAGCGTCGCTCTGCACCATTTGGGTACCAGGAACGTGTACCAGGCGGAAGTCAAACTCAGTCAGTTTACTCGCCCAGCGTGCTTGTCGTCGGTTCATGTCTTTGGCTTGTTTCCAATATGTGAGGTTCTTGTGGTCACTGAGAATCGTTACTGGGTATGGGCTGCTGATGAGGTAGTGCTTCCACTCATCTAGTG